GTCACAGATGATTGGGATAGAAGATGTTTGCTTACAATTTTAACTAAATTTATTAAGTAAAATAATATTTGATTAATTTTAGTGAAGATGCATTAAATGATGGATACTCATTTTCAGATTCAGGTATTTATAAATAACCTGGTGAAATGAATATTGATGGATACAGAAATTTGATAAATAAATTCCCAGATTTTGAAAAACCTGAAGTTTTTGGAATGAATGAAAATGCCAATATTACCTTTAAATTAACTGAATCAAAAATGGCTTTATCTACTATCTTAAGTATTCAACCAAGAGAAAGTGCTCAAACGAGTGACTCAGAATAAAAGGCCAAGACTCCAGATGAAAATGTTCTGGAACTGTGTGAAATTCTTGCATAGAAACTTCCATTCTAAATTAAGGAATAGGAGAAAAAGAAAAAATAAAATGCTCCTTAACATACCTCATCTGAGATTGATTCTCTTAAGGTTTGTTTGAATTAGGAAGTTCAAAGATTTAATAAGTTATTATCAGTTATTGGAAATTCAATTAAAAATTTATAAGCTGCCATCAAGGGAGAAGTAGTGATGTCAGCTGAACTTGATAAAATGTACAGCTCCTTACTCAATAATTAAGTCCCATCAATTTGGGCTAACAGAGCCTATCCTTCTTTGAAGCCATTGGCCTCGTTTTATGACGATATGATAAAAAGAGTCAATTTCTTCAGAGATTGGTTTAACTTAGAATTTGGTTATCCAAAGGGTTATTGGATTTCGGCATTCTTCTTCCCATAAGGTTTCCTTACTTCAGTTCTCTAAACATTTGCAAGAAAAAATTAAATTGCTATTGATGTTCTGGGATTCAGTTTCAAATTCTTTAATTATGTCGACAGTGAAATGGTATTAATTTAATCAAATTTAGATAACATCAACCCCTGATAACGGAGCCTACATATATGGTTTATATGTAGAGGGTTGTAGATTTGATTTGAATAAAGGCATACTAGAAGATCAGTTGCCAGGATAAACCATCTTTTAGGCTCCAATCATACACTTTATACCTACTTAAGACTATAAGCCAAATCCAAATGAATATTCAATGCCTCTTTATAAAACAAGTATCTTTTTAGATAAAATCATTAGGTCTTCGGGCAGGAGTGCTATCAACTACAGGACATTCGACTAATTTCATAAGAGCAATTGAATGCCCTACAAAGAAGAACCCTGACTATTGGATTCTTAATGGAGCTGCCTTTACAACCCAACTAAATGATTGATAATATAATATATAATAATGTTCAAATTTTATCAAGATTATTAAATCTTTTATTCTTAAGTTTCTGCTATTCAAATTATATAGCAATATAAAAATAATCTTTAGACTTTAATATTATTTTCCATTTCTGATTAATATATTTATAATTCATATAGCTAAAAGAATTAAAGATTTGATAATATTTATATATTAATTTTTACTGATGTAAATATAATGAATTTCTATAGGTTCGATATTATTAGAAGTCTCATTAGATTTCTCTGGTGGCATGAAAATTTGAATAAAATACCCTTGATCTTATAAATTATCTACATAATTTTATAAGGAAATAAGATAAAACTGATATATAAATTGAGTAAGAAATATGTTGAAATACTATTTAAATGAATAAGTTGATATTGGGGATTTTGGCATTACTTAATATTAGTTAGATTATAATACCCTTTTAATTACTATATCTGAAAAAAGTGGATTTCAGTAACATAACCATAACAACTAATAAATTTCGAAAGAATTAAATTATTGTAATAATAACAATCTATGTTATCAATATGATACATTTATAGGTAGTAGTAGTAAACTATTAATTTATAAGTGTAAATCTTAGACTCTATTTAATTTGAGTCTAGAATATAAACACCTACTTGAAGAGTTTAGAATAATTATAATTGGTATAAATATCAGAAGATTTTAATAATTATATTATTATGATATACGATCAACCAGAACACTTTGGTCTGTTTGAGAAAACATTTACAGCAAAAGAGAAAGAGGAGGTCAAATAATTCTTGAAATACGATAGACATGTTCCTTTGAAATTGACTGAATAAGTGTTCCATGCAGAAGCGTATTAATTTTATTCTCTACAATAGAGACGCATCGAGATTTGAAAGATTAGGATAAGTTGGAGGTGCAGTCTATTCATTCTCATTCTTCTTCTTTCCAATAATAAAAGGTTTGCCAATTAAATAGAGATTGTTTTGGGCTGCTGTTCCAGGAGGTGTAGTTGCATGGTTGGGATGGAGAATAAAAGAAGAATTAGAATGGAATAGAGTTTACAACTGCTATTAGAAATATCAAGTAGCTCATTCCATGCACAAGAAAGTGTTCATTTGAAAAATTTAGCAGGCACAAAATATAAATATATAAAACCAAAAATATCCAATTCAATAATTAATTTATCATGTTTTTTGAGTTAGACGACATCAGAAGAAGACATTCCTTATATTTTGATTGTTATAATGCTGGTGTATGGACCAACGCTCCTGAAAAGTATATGATTGTTTGCATAAATTAGCTCATGGAGATGGAATTATACTAGAGGAGCTATATCAGGGTTACTGGGAAGTGTTGTTGGTGAAGCATGGCATAATTTTTATGAGAATTGGAAATTATTGTATAAAATCTATGTAAGTTTAAGGTTACGATCATACGAATAACCAAATACTGTGAATGAATTGTATAAATTTAGCAAAGCAACAATCAATCTTGAAAATTTCAAAAGATCAATGGGCACTAGAATGTAATTTGCATTTGCTTCAGGTGGCATTGATTGGGCATTGAGATTAGCAGCATTTAGAGCAGTCAATCATGGATGGCAAAGTATTATATGAATATATTAAACAAAGGAACTTGGGGTACATTTGAATATGGTTTCTTGAGAAAAGTACCAGGCACAATGTTCATTTCTCTCCTTACAGCTCCAATTGGAATTCCCTTTGAAGTTGCTAGAATGGCTTATTATGCTGACAAAACATTCCCCAAAGAGTTGTAAAAAGGATATACTTCGTTTTTCAACGCTTTATGGAGAATACCATTTGAAGAGGGACCATACTATTTCTTCAAAAATTCATTCCCTCTATTTGCTAGAAACTTCTTCTAAACTTTAACACTACTTTACTCTTTTGATTGGATGAAGGATAAGGTAAAGATTAGTAGAATTAGAATTATAGTTATCCGTCTTCACAAGAGTTGCAGAAATCCCATATTTTCCAGTTAAAGTTTTAAATTGCTTCTTATCAACATATTTGGCAATCTTGACAAGTTACTCCTTGTCTTAAGTGACAAGAGAGATGGTAGAGTTATGGCCAAAACCAAACGGTGTATGTCCTTATGATGGCAATTATAGAAAAGCTGCTACTCATATTTGGTAATTAGATTTTATATTGTAAATTCAGGTATGCCAGAAATCTCAATAATTATTTCCCAGGAATGTTAAGAAATTATGCCAGCAGACAATTCTTGCCAATGTTTGTGACTCTTTGGTGGGCTGACTCTTTTGGATTGTTTACTTATTGGAAAATAGATATGTTTAGCGGAGCAGGATCAAATACATGGGAAGATTCATTTTGCTGAAGTTTATAAATCAACATTAAATTCAAAATACAAAATCATTTATTGCTATATTCCGTTTTTAAATATAATTTTTATTAATAAATTAAATTTATGAAAACCACATTGCTTTTGGTATTAGTTGCATGTGTTTTTGCCACAGATACAGCCATGTTTGATAGAATTGAAAGCAGCGATTTAGGAAGAACCCTTTTGAATACAATTGCTATTTAAATGACAACAGGTGAACCATTGGAAAGAATCTTTTAAACACTTTATGATTTAGAAGATAGATATATAGCTGACTAAAAGGAAGATGATGCTAATAATTAAGCCTTTTAATAAGTTTGTGATGCAGATTTGGCTGGCTTGAACTAAGAACTCGCCAATCTTGAATAGAGAAATACAGAATTATAAGCTGTTCTTGATGACCTTGTACCAATCAGAGACTAAAAGATCGGATAAAAGAAAGCTAAGGAACTCTAAAAGGCTGAATTATAAAAGGTTATTGATGAAACAACAGCTAAAAGATAAGAATAAGCTGATGATTTTGAAGCTTAAAGGTAAGAATACACCTTTGTTTCATCAGTTTTGGCAGAAGCAAGAAGGCTTTTCACAGATAACCTCTAAGCTCCATCTTTCTTATAAAAGGGTGAAGAAAAGGTTCACGTTACTCCATAAATTATGGCTTAAGTTGCTAGTCACATGAGTCAAGGTGCTCACAAAGCAAGTACAATGAAACACGTCAGAACCTTTGGAAAAGCCATCAAATTGTTAGCCAATCTTGCCAACAGAACTCAATAATTTGCTAACCAAGAATTAACAGGAAGAGTCATCAAATTGATCGATGATCTCTAAAACTAATTAAGTTAAGCATTTGATTTAGCCAGAAAAGCTGAAGATGACAGAACCAGAGCATTCTAAGCATATATTAGTTTACTCAATAAAGACATGAACAAATACAATTCATCAATTGCTAATTTGACTGCTGAAATCTAATCACTTTAAGACAGAATCGATGCTACCACAGCAAGCTAAAACGATGTTCTTTAAAGAATCTAAGCCAAGACCTAATAAAGAGATGACAGAAGAGGTGAGTGCTAAGAAGCTGCTTATGATTATTAATAAAGAAGAGCTGCCAGAGACAAAGATAGATAGACTGTCAGTGATTTGATTGGTATCTTGAACACTAACATGAGAGATCTAAAAGAATACATCGCTTTAAGAATTGCTGCTGGTGATAAGGATCTTGAATGAAATTGAGATTTAATTATCGTATAAGAAACTTATTAATGTTTAGAAATATATTCTATTTTTAAAGTTATTTAAATTCTTATCTTAATAATTATTTTTCGTTAAAATTTAGGATTAAATTAATATAATAATAATGAAAATCATTGAAAGAAATTATATTATCAACAACAAGAATTTTCAGAATCGTTTCTATTCTCAGAGCTTACTATTTTAATTGCTGGCTTCTCTTCTCTTTTCTATTGTTATTATTACTTTTCTTTCTCATTCACTAAATCAGCAATGTGATTGAACAGTTCCTAAAATTATACCGAATCAATACAAAAACACCAATATTTTGTTTACAACTAGTTTCAAAAACTTGTATTTTTGGATCAAATGAATTAGCATATTGTTTAACTTCCTCTAAAGGGACCTGCGATTCTAAATCAATTTTATTCGCTATAATGAACTTGGCTAAAATTGAATATGAAATCAAGATTACTAATATCACTCAATCCTTCTTCGAATAATTTTTCCAACCAAAATTTAAGTACTTCAAAAGATTTAGGTTTTGTTACATCATAAACAATAATTGCAAAATTAGCATCTAATTTATAAGAATAATTAAATACCCTTGTAATAGAGTTTAGCAATGCTTCTGTAAACTTCTTGACCTGCAGTATCCCAAATCTATAATTCTATTAATCTTCCATCTCTTAATATTTATTTAGGAGAGAATTCAGCACCCACAGTTTATGTTCTAGTATCAGTAAAATCGTTTTTGGTGAATCTTTGTATCAAACTACTTTTGCCCACAGCATAGTCACCTAAAGTGACAATCTTACTAAAAATGGGTTTTTGCATATATATATATTTTATTTTTTATTTTATGTAATACTATCATTTTCAGAACTTGTCTAGTGTGGATAAATCCTAAGGCAATTATTATAATTTGTCTGGATATTATTTAAGGATCTATTGTAAAACCTAATTGAATAATCACAAGGATAATTACTTCATCATCAGTGGGCTTTTTACCATCTGATGCTTCTTCTTCATATTTAACAAAAGAGATTGCAACCCCATTAGTCTCTTATCTACCAGCTCTTCCTACCTAATAATTTAAATGATTTTGGTACTCTATGTAAATAAGTTTCCAAAGAGTCAGGCATATCAAAATTGATGACATAATTGACCTTATCAATATCAATACCTCTTCCCATTAAGTTGGTTGCAACCAGTAATCTGAAGTGTCCATTTCTAAATTATTCATAAGTCTTCTGTCTCATTTTTTAGTGATCTGGTCCCAATCTGTTACCACCATAGAGTTATCTGACTGAATCTTCTCCCTTCTTTTTGAGTTCAGAGACTAATGCATCAGCCTTTTCTGAGCTCTTCACAAAGATGATGCATTGATTTAATTTGCAGGTATTTAAGATTTATCTCAAATAATGGAATTTAAGAGTTTCAGGTACTTTCATATAGTATTACTTCAATTTATCTAGAAAGAGTTGTTCTGGTTTGATTGTAATTTCATAAATCTAGGAATAACATAAAAATTAACATGTTTGTTATCAGCTATAAACTTTTTGAGTGATGTTCTACTTGATTCAGTAAAGGTTGCACTAAATGCCATAAATTATTTATCTTGTGGTGTACGTAAGAAGATGTCTTAGATGTCCTTTCTAATAATAATTATTTCAAAAATCAGCACCTCATATTTAAATCTTCAATCATAGTATCGGCTTCATCCAAAATAAAGTACTTCAATCTATCTACTTTCAAGGCTTTCTTCTCACAAATCAAATCCTTAAGACGTCCTGGAGTACTACAATTAGACTCTATATTTACCCAACTACTATTTAAGGCTTAACTGTTTCGATTGTCGATATATTTACAGTCACTGGTTCTCCTCCTCCATAAAAACACTCAACTTTGATACTTTTCATGAACTTTCCCAACCTTAAAAATTCATCCCGAGCCTTTCATATTTACATATCTCATACTTATTGAGCTAACTCTCTTGTGTGAGTAATTACAAGACATTCCACTTTATTGCTTTCAGTGTTGATCGTATTTAGGACAGTCAGAACAAATACAGCTGTCTTTCCTGTTCCTGCTTTTGCTTGACAAATCAATTGTTCCCCTTATAATGCATTTGTCAACGATTCTGCTTGGACTAAAGGGAAATAGAACCACCATTATTACCTCTAGTGGGATGCTCGAACCCGGCTTCTTTTACGGCTCGTAAGAGCTCCTCTTTTAGCCCAAAGTTTTTGAATTATGAGACATTGTAATTGTCATATTTTCTACGATTCTCAATATTTGCTCTTACTATATGTCCTATTTTGTTGGTTGTTGTGGATCATCATAAAATTCAGGAATATCTTCTAATCCGCTCATTTGTTAAATAAAAAGATTTATATTTTAATTTCCTAATTTAAATCAACACTTTTTTATAGTCTTTTCTCAAGTAATATGATCTTGTCTTTGCTTCTTCAATAATCCCTACCTTAGCTACTCTAATCTTTTATTAATATCTACACCTGAATTTCCTAATGACTATCTATTTATATTTTTAGTCGCTCAAAAATAAATGCAATTGGATTTTAAGCATTTAGACATTCATATAATAAGCTTAAATAACTGTAAAAATTCATTAAATCAATCCATAAATAATTTACTACAAATCCTCTATTTCTTAATTATTTGGATCTAATTTATTCAGGAATTCACAAAGATGCAAAGCCTCTTAATATTTTCCAAGATTTTTCATTGCATAGGCTATATTAGACCTATTCTATACCGCTTAAAATTACAAATTAAAAATTTGTTTTGTCTTTTTCAAGAATTTCACGGCAAATTTATAAAGTTATTGATGGATTTTTTTCAAGCTGATTAAATGCTAAATGATTATTATTATTGAACCTCTTTAAAATTACTTATTAGCCTCATCTTCTGATAAAATTTGCCCTAAAAGTGTTTGATTCTAAAACTGACCTCTTAAGCGTACTAAATAATCATGATTAATCGTTACATTAGTGTTATAAGATTTATCTCATATTGGCTCCAGTAGCTTACAAATTCTATTGAAACTCTTGAATTCCACCTGATTTATTAGATATCAATTATAAGAGAACGGCTAATTTAATATGAATTTTGTACCTTTCATTTAGAGAGCCTCTATGTGAGAGGAATTTAAGAGCAAAACGTGGTCTACACATTCTAAGCTTTGCTGAAGCTATTTTAATTTTTGATAGATTTTTGCTAAAATATTGAAAAAAAAACCTTTTTTGAAATAATATTCTTGCGATTTATCATTAATTCTAGTGCATTAATCATAACATTTTAATGCTTCTTCTAATTTTCCTGTATTTAGATTGATATCACCTAAACATAAAAATAAAATATACCAATCTTTCCTATAGCATAATAATTATTTTCATCCATGTCTATAGCGATCATATAATTTTCAATTGCATCTTCAAACTTCTTAAGTTCTAAATAGCTGTCTCCTTAAAGCTGATCAAAAATTTTACCTTTCATTAAAGAAAATCGAATATCTGTTATATGAAACTTTTAAAAGGCATTGCATTTTTAAATACAATCTTCGTACCTTCCTGCCCAATAAAGAGAATTAGCTGAAAATTAATGATTTATTAAAAACCTTCTTCGAAATTTTTTTAAGCTCTATTATTTAAGCCACCTGTTGTCTAAAGTCTGCTCTAAATAAATTCATCAAAAGAAACTTTAACTTATCATACTAAATACCTAAATTGTTAATTTTCCCTGTTTAATTCATAATGTATTCTAAGTATATTTTTAATTTTTCAATTTAGGGCTTAATAGATTAATCAATAATAGTTGTTATTTATTGGATGTTGATCATGTTATTTATTTTCTACTCAAATTGTTAAGTGTTTACACTTGATTAATTGTAAATTACAGGGTAATATTATGCTTCGTACCATTCTTTAAACGATTTAAGCACAGGAAATATTTCAAGAATTGATTCTAATTTTTTGGTATTTTCTAAATTCAAATTATTGAATTATTCAGACCATTGAGGAAACTCTTTTAGATTTTTGCATTCCATTGCATGATCACAATGATATTAAAGTAAGCAATTAATACAGAATAGGCGAAAATTATTGCATTTTGGATAAGGACAAAATCCTTGTATTTATTCATTATTATGTAAACTGTATCGGCAACTTAGCTGAATATCGGAATCCATTGGATTGTGAAAACGTTTATAATATTTCAATATTAAAAATATATCATTTTGCCAATTATTATAATTTATCATTAAATTATTCTATAAACTTTTGGATTAGTATAAAACATTAGATTGAAATGATACACAGAAAATATTTTAGAATAAATTGAACATAATTAAGATTTTAAAGCAAAAGGAAGTAATTAGTAAGAAATAAATATTTCAAAATTCTACATAATTGATAATATAAAAGTACAAATAGAATTAAAGACCAATTTTTGAATAACATAAATTAACATAACACATTTATCTCATCTAAAACAAAGCAAGTAAGTTAAGGATTAATATTTATGTTAAAGAGTCAAGATTGCTTAAGAGACATTTAAAAAAATAAAATGTTTATTTGTTTAAATTTCTTTAACATCAATTGGGTTAGGTAAAGGATTTTAAGCGACTACTAAATTAGAAGCACAATGAATATGCTTAATTTAGTTGATTTGATTATTAAAAGTTGGTTGAGTTTATTTAATTTTTTAGAAATAAGTATAGAATAAGCATAAAAATTAAATAAACTTAATAAGTTTTTCTTGTTAAATAGATCTTTAACAATTAATGCCAAAAAAGGAAGTAAAATATTTAAACTTAGATTTATTGATAAAAGTTTTTTAGTTGAAATCAAACTATCTATAGAAGTCAAAATATTTTAGAAATATTAATAAGATTAAGGCTTATCTTAATTAAGAATTTTTATTTAAAGTAGACTCAATTTGGTAAAATTAAATAGAATAAATTTATTAAAATATAGAGAAATGTATTAGGTAAATCAATAATAAAAATACTTTTAATAATATTAGGAAGGTATAATCTTTGATAAACAATGAAAAATTGTAAACGAGATATTCTTTATCCTTAAAGTTTGCATCTTAAGCCATTTATAACTTACTTTTTTCTATCTTAATGAGATTAAGAGGTGCGAGTTTTTTATTTCGGATTTGAGGGTGATATACATCATAGCATTCTTGTAAGTATAATTAATTCCCTTAGTTATTTGGACTCAAACTTTACTTAATTTTCATTAAAATATTTTATGAGCTGCTTTTTAACTCAGAAATTTAATTAATATAGCTAATAGTTCATAAAGTTAGAATCTAAGTAGTCTGAGTCAAATAATCATAATTTATAAAGTATAAGCTTTAAATCAATCAATTTAAATTTTAAATTCTATTTACTTTAAAAAATTATTATGTTGGTAGAACCTGATTATTCATTGTTGATTTTGAGAAATTGCATTTCTTAGAATGACATAAGAAATTCAATTAAATTTTATATTCTCATTAATATAATTAAATAGAGGCTATTCTATAGAAGAATATTATAAAATTTTTGATTTTATTTATTAAAAAAGATTTAATTTTTTTACTGCCAAAAGATCATTCTACAATTATTTAAAGATATTTAAATGGATTTTGGGAATTAGCTACAATACTTGTAGTCTTATTTAGCCTTTAATAAATAAATAGAATAAGGGTTAGGATTGAGAATGTCAGAAATTTTTAAAATTCTGTAAAATAAGAAAATTTGTTCATAATAGCTAATAAAAATCCATTGTATGTATATTTAATGCATTTTATGGAAAAATAAATATTTAGTGAAATAACAGCCACAAAACTCTAAAAAAACTCAATATGTATGTTAATAAAATTGTGTGTTAATATTTATAATTATCGATCTATAACCAATTATTCATATATCACTTTTGAAAGAGATTTTGATGCAGATGTTGGAAATTCATTTTTCTTCATAAATTTAGGATCTTAATATTTGTACTAAATATTATGTTATGTATAATAAGAACTCTCTAATTTTTATATGAATAATTTGAATTATTAATATCCACCAATCACTGTGTAGCAAATTTTTTTTGATTATCAGTTAGATTAATGATAGAAGTATTTCAAAGAAGACATTAAAGTTTTTACAAATATTAAAAGAGATGATGCCTTTGATGATGGTATTGTATAATTGTATTAAATCATCATTAGCAATTAATTGATTCTGACTAAATCCAGTTTATATACCTTTAATATAGTTAATTGCTAACAAATTTATAGATCACTTGAAGTATTTGGTTAGTAAATGATTTTAGATAAATGTTTTTCAATTATTTAAGGATTTTTTTTTGAGATTTTTTGATTCTTAAAAACTCCCTTAATTTGAATACACATCTTAAATAAACTGAGATGGTTTCTAGATAAGGTATTATCAGATATGAATTACCGTCATATATTTTAATTCGTGAGATTTCAAAGGTAATGATATATTGGCAATCATCATTAATGGATTAATAGTTCCTTAAGAAAAGAACATATAATTTATTTAAATAGTTTCATACCTTGGCATTAAGTATAAAACTAATGTTCTATCTTGAAGAAAAAATGAAATGCTCTAGCAATTCTCATCCTAAGGTCTAACCTTAAAAGCATTTTAATTGAAGCACTTTTGAGGTTTGGCCATTCCTAATCCAGCTAAAGATATCCAGTTCTTTAATGAGCAATTGAAAATCTTGGCTATTAGTGAAAATCTAATTGGAACCCATAACTTCAAAATTAAGTTAACGTTAAATAGTAGTATGACCTAGTTAATAGCCGGATGGTAGGGCTATGTGCTTATTTGTGAATGATGACCTTAAAATATCTTTAAGTGCTGTAGATCATTAAAAATCTACTAAATGTATAATTTTATAAGAATGTCTAACTCTTTGAAAATGATTCTTAGGGAAATTGGTTTCAAAGCAATTCGATAAAGTTTTAACAACAACGATCTCGTGTGCTTAAGCAATATCTAAATCTAAAAAAATCTAAATATACAGATAAAATCGAAACAAGTAATAATGCTTTATAAAGTTAGTGTTTAACTTTACCAAATAATTATTTCAAATAAGTCCATTTTTCAAAAAACTATATGAATCCTTATTCAGTGGCTTTCAGAATGGGAGAGTATAAAGGTCTTAGTAATGGTATTATCAGCCCTTAAGATCAATCTTATATATTATAAAAAATATTTAAAATAATTTTAAATAAGGTGGTTTGGTATTAGAACTATTGACCTTTTTCTAAACTAAATTATCTTCACCTAAGAATGACTGAATATTTTTGAAATTATTTTTATCAATGACTAATTTATATAAAATGTATCTAATTTAAGATTAAAATGGATTCAAACTAATAGTCATTATTAATAAAATAAATAAAATTTGTCAAAGTGTAAATAGCTGAATGGAAAACAATAGATTATAGGAACTATGGACATCATATATATAGATGGAAAGAAGACTAAAACGATTTAAGTTAGGAAAAAAAAAGGAGACAGAGATCCAGAGGGATTATTCTTAATACCTTGAGCCTGAAGGAATATCTTTGCTTTAATCAAGGCTATTCACTTAATATCAAGAGGAAGGAGATATTGAATAATCATTTCGGTAAGATTATGAATAATTGTGCTAATTTTACTAATCAACAAAATTATTATAGGTTAAGTTCAATGAAGTAGCAACAAAATTAAGAACAAAATTAGATGGTAATCCTATAATAAATAGTACCTAATGTAACGTAGAATTAAAAAGTAAAAAAATTGGAAAATCTACCTTATAGAATTCCCATTTCTGTAAATTTAGATTGCTTATGAAAAATAATAAAAGGAAGTAGGCATAAATACTAATGGAGAAACTTGCTTGGCTTTCAAATTAAATTCTTTCTTTTTAAAAAAAATTTGTAGAATTAAATTTTGAAAAACAAAAATCAATAGAAATAAAAATATTTATAAACACTGATCTTATATTAAATATTACTAATGAAGATGGTCAAATAAATGATAAAATCGTTGTAAAAATGGAGAATTTAGATTCTAAAATAGAAGAAACAAAGAATTTGAATGATTCATGCTTGTATAAAAATGAGTAAATTGTTATGAATTAAAGAAAATCCAAAACAGACTTTAATGATGATTCAGAACTAAAGCCTCAATTACTCAATAGGTCAAAAAAAATAAGTTTTAAGGAATTAGTATAAAAAATTAATATAGAAAATAAACAAAATGAGAAAAAATAGTCAAATAGACAAAAATTAGGGTAAGAAATAACAAACCCAGAGTAAAAATAAAATAACTACATATAAATAAAATAGGAAGAGGTCATTAAATATGATCATACTATACAAAATGAAGAGCATTAAGAAAGGAATATTTAAATAATATAAAAAATTTAGTCATCTTATCGTTAAAATCAATAGGAAGTGTAAGATCCTGATAAAAAACAACAAATCACAAATAAAACTTCAGATATTGAAAATGCTAGTATGGATTTTCGTAACACTCGAAAAGAAAACAATCTAGCAGTAATAAATATAGGCTCTCAAGATAATATGTTTGAAGAGCAAGAAAGTTGTCAAATTATCTTTGTAAATCAACCAAATTAATAAGAAAATCAGAACGGAATCAAATTTGAAAAAATTGACTAAGTGATAAATAATCAAAACCAATAAAATGTTGTAGAAAAATTTGGGCTACTAAAAAACGAAGAAATTTCAAATAAGCAGGATGCTGATGAGTATTTTACTTTTTAGAAAATTCAATAATTTTACAAAGAACACCATTAAAGCATCTTAAAAGAGAGATATAAAATTAAAAAAAAATAAAGATAATTAGAATGGAAATAATATAAAAATTTAAGAAAACAAAAATTAATAGATTTAAATCAATAAAGGGTCTAAGAAAGAAAAAGATAAAGATAAATAGAAAGAAATATAAAATTAGAAAGAGCAATATAAATGGAATTAGAAAAGAAGAGAGCAAGGCAAAAAAAGAAAGATAGAATGAAATAATAAAAATTAGAAAATAAAATAGCAAAAGAGTAATTAAAATAAAAGCAAATCTAATTTTGTAAAAAGCATAATAAAAAACAAAAAAATAAATAGAAAAATAGATCTTTCAGTTCATAATCACGCATAGATTAATTTTAAAATAGTCCTTCACAACCCAGTGAAGAAAGAAGTTAAGACAATAATTATAAATAGGAAGAATAATATTTAGATCATCAACAACAATAATCAAAGCAAAATATAGTAGAAGATAAATGTTAATCAGAATAATAATAATAAATAGAGGAAACCCATTTAAATCTTTAGTAATATCACCCTTAATATGGTTAATATTATCGAAATAATATTTTAGATTATAGTTAATAAGATTAGCTTATTTCATAATATTAATTCCCTTTTGCTTAACAATTGTATTCTTCTTTCATAGTAAATCCTTACTATTAATATTAATATTAATATTAAAATATGCCATTAAATTTGATTGAATAGTAATCTATCCATTAAAAAAGTAATGGATAACAAAGTATAAATACAGCTCAGTTCCAATTTGAAATGTTTAATTTGATGAAAATGGGTTTAGAACATCTGAATCCTACTTAATATTTTTAATTCTCACCTTTGACTTTTTTACCTCCAGAGAGCTCAAAGGGAGGATATAAGATAGAATGAGAATATTATTTATAAAAATAATCTTATTATTGTGTGAAATTACGTTGCTTGGAAGTAATTTTTTTAATTACAAATTTATATTTTATCTTCGTGGCTGTTTATTTTCTCCATATCATCCTTAAAAACAAATAAGTGGATTAAGTAAAACTTAAGATTCTTTACAAAAATAGAAATCAATTTATAGAATTAATTCTAATAAAATGTATATTAAGCTTTTTAAAAAATCATAAGTAAGAATTTAAATAATAATATGTTTTATCTAAGTACAAAAAGCTTAATTTTAATTTTGATTTGCTTTATGAGGTTTGATTGATGGACTATTAATTTGATTTCAGAAAATTGTATATACAATCAAGTTATATTGATTATCATTGAATTTTAGGGACAATTTTAAATAAAATTGATATAATCCACTTTCTTTTATATTTTAACATGATTTTATTCATATATTAATGTTTTTATCAATAACTAAAATATATAACAAAAGCATTGATTTTAAAAGCTCAATTAAAATGATGAGTTGCATATATAAGAATTAACTAACTCTTGTAGAACATTATGTCTAGATATATTGAAATAAAATGGGAAATTTATAGAATTTAATAACAATAATTTGTATATAAAATTATTAACAATAAGATAATTAAAAAAAGCTTAAATTAAATTATGGATATGATTAACTTACTATTCTTTTAAGCATTTCTAAAGCTAAGCTTGAATAGAATTGCTTAGAAACTTAAAATATTTTCTATCTCATTAGCATATTTTAAGTATATTTGGATGATTAATATCCTCCAATATATCTGAATATTGTTTCTGAGTTTATTTTCAATTTTATGTTGGTTATACAAATTTTATTAGTATTATTTAAGCTATTAGACCAATTTATAAAATTATTATCTGATTAAAATTTAATTATATGATTTTGTAATACTATAATTTGTTTGTGTAGTTCTTCTGAATTATGTTCATTCACTACTCAAACACAATTCATTAATTTAAGATTTTCTTCTTTACTTCTGATCAAATTATCAAATTTTATTTATATTTGATTTATGAATATCTGATTTTAAAATCCGTGCAATATTTCTCTTTAAATATTTATTTAAATTCTTCTCAACCAAAATAATTTTGATAATTACTTTAGACTTATATAAAGTAACTTTTCTCTAATTTTTACTGTATAATAAGTATTGTTTTGAGGGATTAATTTATCTAGTATTTTTGCATTCTTCAATGAATAATAATACTATTAAATACAAATGCTTTTTTTGATCACATAATAATTACATTATAATCATTAATAAAAAATATATAATTTTATTTTAGGCAACTGATTCTTTGAATAAATAACCAAAGAATTGCATTAAATAAGAAAAATGATAAAATTTATCATCCTTATTTATAAATTGACAAGTACAAATGAATAACTTTCCAAAATTTTAGCATTGGTTTAAACTTGACAAATATTTAATTTAATAAAAAATAGATAAATTTCTATTATAAACTTAAATATTATTAGTAAATTTTATCAATGAAATGCGTAATGAAAACGAAAAATATCTTTAATTTTAATTAATGAAAAATATCCAATTGGTATTATTAATTGCCTTTTGTGGGCTTGCTTCTGCAGATATTATCATCAATAAATCAAAAAGATGCGAGTGCTCGTCATTTATCAAATCAGAGTGTGATAAATGGTATGATTGCAAATGGAATGAATCATCTTGTCTAGAAAAAGAATGCAGTGATTACGCAACAGAAGACAAATGCACTGGCGATTGCTAATGGAAAGGTGGCAAGTGTATTGATGAGAAGAAAGGGTGTGAAGACATGCCAACTGAAGAAAGCTGTTCAAATATGGCTGGATGTGGTTGGAAAGATAATAAATGCATTGAATTTACTCAATGTTCAGATTTCATTGTGACAAAGGCAGAAAGATGCTCTGTCTTGTAGGGCGAAAATGGAGAGAAATGCTAAGCCAAAGGAGTTAGTGTGACTACGTTATTCTACAAACATTTAGCTGTTGCCGCTGGATTTTAATGTGAAAATAAGGTGTATGTTGATTGTTCTAAATTTGTGACTGAAGCAACATGCAAAGGAGATGCAACTGCAACTGCCAAATGTTAATGGAAAAGTGATGGTAAATGTTATGCATTTGAATTGAAAACATGCAGAGATGCTGATGGATTCAATCAGATGTGTGATCCAAAATATTGTAAGAAAGATGGATAAACATGTGTGAATAGAGCTTGTTCTGATATTACCATCTAAGCCTAATGCACTTCTCTACCAAAGATTGACAGCAATAAATCCATCTTATGCAAATGGGGTGCCGATAATAAATGTGCAACTGCAACAGACGCTACTCATTTGAATGAACAAACTTGCAATGATGTTACCTTTGGTTCTTATCATTGGGTGACAGAGACTTGTCAATAATGTTCTTCCAATTGGATTCTATCAATTATGTCATTAATTATCTTGGTTGTCCTTATTTGAATGATTTATTCATTATTAATAGAAACAAAACATATAAATTTATTACCAAATTATATTATATGTAAAATTTTGTATTTATTTATAAATAATATTTGTTTTTTATAATTTTCATTTTTATTAAATTGGTAACATATTTAACATATTTTTATAAAATTATCAATTAATATAATATAAAAACAATTAATTTTATGAGATTTGCATCATCAATTAATAATTGCATCGTTTATAATGCGAATTAAATTAAAATTCTTAACTAGAAGCCTTTCTTCAACCTGAATTAAAAATTAAATGAATAGACACTTAAGTAAGCTCATTAAAAAATCATTTTCATTCTCAACTAAACCCTCCCAAAACTATACTATGCCACATCCCAACTGGAATAAGCCAGAATTAGAACAAGTTAGCCTAGAACATAAAACTGCAATTACCTTTGGAGATCATTTTGCCTACTACTTCATTTAATCAATGAGACTTGGATTTGATGTTATGAGTGGATATAAAAGGATCCTTCCATTTTAATCAGAAATAGTGTCTGAAAAGAAGTGGATCAATCGAGTTCTATTTTTGGAGACTGTCGCTGGGGTTCCAGGATTTGTAGCTGGAATGCATAGACATTTTAAGATCTTTGAGAGGAATGAAGAGAGATCAAGGATGGATTCATACCTTATTAGAAGAAGCAGAAAATGAAAGGATTCACCTGTTGACTTTTTTAAACATTAAAAAACCCTCATTATTATTTAGAACTGGTGTGGTTTTAGCTCAAACCTGGTATGTTGCACTATTTGGAGTTACCTACATGTTCTGTCCTAGAGTCTGCCATAGGATTGTTGGATACTTGGAAGAAGAGGCAGTTAAAACCTATACTCATATGATTCATGAAATTGAAAGAGATGGTAGTCCAATTCATTCATGGACTACTCGCAAGGCCAATCATCATTCTATCGAATATTGGGCATTAGAAGAGGATGCTACTCTATTAGATGTCGTTAAAGCAATTAGAAAGGATGAAGAACATCATAAAGATGTAAATCATTACTTTGCTGACGACTATACTTAATCCAAACCAAATCCCTTCCCTCCAGGCAAATGATTAGTTTTATATAATAATAATTTCATTTTATAACATGATTTTTCATTCCTGATGTATAATTACAACGAATTTTTTTTATATATTTCGATAATTAACAAAGCATCCACCATTTTAATTAGAATATGATTGCAATCATTTTAATGAATTTAAACTTAGTTTAATTTCATAGGAACTTTTTCATTTTTATACCTTAACACTAAATGTTTAATCAACAAAATATTCATAGTCAAAAATTCAATTTATAAGTAAGATTTTAGAATTGTCAACTAGCTATCTATACTACCTACAATATTGTATTATTATTGATATAGGTATTTTAAATAATCATGCATGAATAATATATAATTACATTTATTAAAGTATTAGTTAATGTAATTAGCTTTGAACTATTGATTTGATACTGAATATATAATCTAGTGATATTGCAATAACTTATTTAAAATTTTTATTAAGCAGTTGGAATATCCATTATTTTTAATATTTTTATATATTTCTAGACATTAATACATAAGTAAAGGATATTAAGATCAAAAAAAAATTAATAAATAAAACGCTTTAGAAATAGTAACAATAAATAAGAATGATTGATGATTTTATAAAATTCTCGATTGCGAATAATAATATTTAATATATAAATTATCCAGGTTTAGTTTATGGGAGGCTGCGAATTTAAATTTAGAGGATCTAGTGATGATTCATGTAAAATAAAAAAGAATATTTATAGAAATGACACTAAATAATTTTGAATTAATATCAGTAGTTGGTTAAGGTGGATTCGGTAAAGTCTATAAAGCACGACTAATAAAAACTCGCAATTTAGTTGTAGCTCTAAAAGTTATGTCAAAAGTTAGGTACTAAGTTAAATATATCAAAGAGTAATACAGAAAAAGAGTGTGAGTTCAGTTATGAATGAGTTATAGATTTTATCAACCCTCAGACATGAGTAATTATACTTAGATAATTCTAGATTTATAATTAATATAATCAGTGCCTTTTAAGATCGTTGTTCATTATATTTAGCTATGGATTTCTTGGCTGGAGGAGATCTAAGGTTTCATTTATGCAAATTTCGAAAATTTTCAGAGGCAATTACAAAGCATATTGCTATTTGCATAATTATTGGATTAGACTATATACATTCCAATGGCATAATACATCGAGATATCAAACCCGAAAACTTAGTATTTGATAGCTAAGGTTATTTAAGAATAACAGATTTTGGTATTGCCAGAATATGGAAACCATAAAATAGTCATGAAACAAGCGGCACTCCTGGGTACATGGCTCCAGAGGTAATGTGCAGATAAAACCATGGAGTTGCTGTAGATTACTTTGCCTTGGGGATAATAATTCATGAGTGTATTGTACACTATTATTTCTATTTTAGCTTGGAAAACGACCTTATACTGGAAAGAGTAGACAAGAAATTCGAGATCAAATTATTGCCAAATAAGCTGCTATCACTGAAGTTCCTTAAGGGTGGAGTGTTGAGGCCATAAGTTTTGCTAATGCTTTAATGCAAAGGAAACCACAATCCAGATTAGGATGCAATGGACCAGAAGAAGTTAAGAATCATCCATGGTTCAAAAATATCAAGTGGACAGATTACGAAAAGAAACACATAGGTTCTCCTTTTATTCCTGATGAAAAATTGGAGAATTATCTAAAATCCAATCAACTTGAGTCCCTTGAAGATTAATCAATTCTCCATTCTGAACAAGTGTAATGTAAATAAGTCAAAAATCATAGAACAATTCTTTGGGTACGAACATTTGCACCAACTCAATGGAATCCCTCTTTATGTACCACCAATAGTTTCTCCAAGAACTCCAAACTTAAGGATGTAGCTTAAGAAAGAGTAATGATTTTAATTTAATTATACACCACTATCTATTTAGTAACATATTTTTACTTTTGTTTTCAGAATTATTAATTTTCACAGAATTTTAATTAATTTAAATTGTAGAGAAATAAATATATATAAAATCAAATTGAATGATATTTTACTTCAGTCTAATTATATTTGATTATGTTCTGGTTAAATTTCAACTCATTAAATAAGTCATTATAATGAATAGGTCTTTCGTTTTAAATCACAATTTTTTTTAATTAAAAATTTGGTACTATTTGATCGCGATAAGATTATTGTTTTCGATTCAACAAAGTGATGGGAATGATATTTCAACTCCTAAATTGAAGAAGAATTGGATTTTAATAAAATTTTTTTCTTAATCGTATATAACATATCGATAATGCAAACTATTCTGAATGCGTTTCTTTACTTCTTTTTATATAGTATAAATAATTGAGTCATAATCATTGAATCAACACGTGAATAAAACATATAAAACTTATATATCATCTAAAATGGTTGTCTACTCGAGTAATTAAGTTAAGCATGATGTCTGTTACTTCTGGGTAGAAATTCATGTCTTCCAAAAAATTTTTTATTTCGTCACTTTGACTTTGACACAGAATGCTATCCTCTACAACGTAATTAAGATGTTGATAATTACTACAATATATATAAGATGAATACCTTCCAAGGATTAAGCCCCAATTATATCGTAAAAACTTATAATACCTATTTTTTACAGCATTTTAACTTCTATCCAAGAAAAACTAAGAAATTATTTAAAACCTTGGGCCATGTTCAATTACGAGATTTAAGATTTTTTCATCTTCTTCGAAAGTAAATGGAGTGTGTTTTTCGAAGATGAGATTTTTTCTGTTCATTTTTTTTCTTTTCTTTGTATGAAAATCACATTTTTTTCTCTTTGTGACTCTTTTTTTAGTTTTTGGAAGACTATCTAGAATTGAATCCAAACTATCGGTTTAAGATGGTAGAGGCCCATCTATATACATGAGAATTGGCTGATTTTCATTGGATGTTTCATCAAATTCCTTAGAAAATAGGGATTATGAAATTTCATCGTAAGATTTTGTATTTTACATCTCAAATATAAATAAAATTAAGTAATATTTGTTAAAAGCTTAAATACCATAAATATTAAGATTTTAAACAAATTTCAAATATTAATTTTTACAAGCTCTCTTCAGTTGGTAAAGAATTTTTATTAATTAAATTGAATTAATATAACTTTTTAGAAGATTATTTATATATTGCTGAAGCGGTAGACATTCATTTAATCTAATAAAGAAAGAATTTTGTGTTGATTTTTTTTTAATTAAACATATCAGTAAATTTATTAAAAAGAATTTAATCTATAATTTTTCTCCAAATGTTAAACTAGAAGAAGCCTCCACAAAAACATTCAAAAATGATATCCCAAATTTTATTAATTGAAGTACTGGATAAGCTTTTTAAATTTGTAAATTAATACAATAAGCAGACAATTTAAATTTAATAATAAATTATTATCGTATATATATATATATTTATAACTATTTAATATCGACTTGACAAACTTTAAACATAATAAAAATGTCTTAAAATTGTGCTTTGAAGTTGTTGAATATAGTATTTATCAACTGAACTATGTCTATTTCAAATAGAACTATAAAAATATTAATATATTTTATCCTTTATATACTGTGATCAATAGGTAATTCGGAATTTTTCTATTTTAAATTGAAGTTATATTGGTACATTAATTGAAATCTACATTTATTGTCCATAAAGTAATTCAATTAACTCATTTTATGAGTTCTTTATTGAATATTTAATTCTAAATATCTCTTCAAAAATACTACAATTCATCTTCATTATTGCAAAAACAAACAAATCCAAAAGAAAAAAATTTTATTTTTATATAAAATGCACCTTATTTAGAATAAACAATCATCATTATTCTAATAGAAAAAAATAAGTAATATGATGTATTATTCTCAATAAACATCATGGGATCAGAAAGAAAAGCTAAATTATTGTTTTCTTTTAAAAATTTATTTTAATAATAATTTTATTTGCTCCATTAAAATATTGATATGGTTCTATTCAGGAATCTTTATTAATTTTGTTTAGAGGTTGTAATGGCTTAATATCATATTATTATTTTTCTTTTAAATAATATAAAATAAATTAAAAAATTTTATGGTGAAATAAGTTAATCTATATTAAATAATATAGATGTTTTGAATTTCAAATCACAATTCAATGCTTCTAAATAAAAATTCAAAGCTAATTTGAAGTGATACAATTATGTCGATTATTTCTTTGGAGATAACTTGTAAAAGGAACTATTTTTTATAATTGAAAAGTGAAAAAACGCTTTAAAAAAAAATAAAATTAATAGAAAAAGTCATCATTTTAAAATGGTTTGATCGAGGAAAATTAGCAACAGGTTTAGGAAATTAAGTTTTATTTTATTTTATACAAATAATACTTTTATAAATATCAATTGAAAATAGTTATACGTGAATAAATAAAGACATTGAGATTTAATATAGAGGTAATAAAATCCTCATTTCTAATTTTAATATATTATCCAATTTCCTTAATAGTATTGAGTTATACTTGATTTAATTAGAGTCCTTTAATTATAAATTTATTTGTAAAAATGATAACTGAACAAATTATGTAGGGCACATTACGTGAAATAATAAATAAATATTCACAACTTTAAATTTAAAAATCAGAATTTGACATTGATATTTTGATTTCTGTATGTCTAAGTTTCATCTCTACAATTATTGTGGTTTACATTTTCAATTTTTGACTCAGTGTCTTCATTAAGATAAGCATATGATCTATATTAAAACAATTCTTACTATCCTAAGACGGAATCCCATTTATATCGTAACATTTTATAATATCTATTTTTTACCATATTGATAGTTTTCGTTGGAAAAAATTTAGCTATTATCATAAACTTAGGCCCAAAATGTAAGACATAAAGTAATATTGCTTAGTCCTCTTACGGGGAGAATGGGATTGATTATTATACTTTTGATATCTACTTGATTTATATTAATTTTTACCTAATTTTTTGATTATTTTCTCCTCCTTTTCTTATCAATATTAGATTATTTCTTTCTCTTTTTTCTTGGCTTTTTCAAGCGTAAGATTGGTAAATCATAGTAATAACAATTGTTTTACTAAAGATTGATTTCATCTTAGTCATTATTTTAAGCAGCTATTCATGTATAATTTGAATATTTACAGATCTATGGGTACTGATCGATGCTCTCTTATAAAAAAATGGACATTTATGATTCCTTGAAGAAAATGAGCGGGGACTCAAGATTCTCTTAAAAATTTGTAACTATTTCTACCTTAATAGAAAACGTGGGCATTTTCATGTATCATAGTGTGTCTGAGTAAATTGTAAGAAACTAATATTTTAATAAAATTTGAACTTTTTATCTTTAACTTTGATTCTATTTATACCAAAAAAACTGATTATTTAAGATTTTTGTGAATATTTATTAATAAACTATAAAATATTAAAGTTTAATTATTTTTAATTGAATTATCATTTATTATCCTTATTAATCAATAAGTAAAATTAAGTACCTGAAATATTTTTATTCAACTTAAACTGAATCACCAATTGTCCAAAATTTAGAATGAGTATCATGTCGAATTCATCAACTCTTAAGGAAATATCAGATTAATCGCACTTTCCTCAAAAAGGCAATAGAACACTAAAATTTAATGTATTAGACGATAAACCTACTCAACAATTCTAGGTGAAAAGTTGATATCAGTTGAAAGAATTGAAATTTAAATTATAAATATAAATATTTTATATATTCTCATGTCTTTTCATGATGTCTATTAAAGGAAAGATTATCTGAATAGAAAATCAACTATACTTATACCAAAGAAATCACGATTTGATAAGAAATGCGAAGTGTTGTAGAAGCACTTAGAAATATATAAAACATTTATAAAAACATTGTTAGGATTTGAGTTAGAGGAAGAGGAAGACCTCAATTATAATTGCATTCTAATGAACTTCAAGAAGGAACTCAAAGAAACTATGGAAATATTTCCTGACTGCGTGATAAGGTTTCATTATCAATCATAATTTTAATTAGCTTATTAAACCCAGACTATAAATAACAGAATGAGAATCAAAATTAATATTTGGTTAATACAAGCATTGAATTGTTTGAATTACTATAATCAGGATTGAGAATCAATTAGAAATCATTAGAGGATCTATTATTATTGAAAGCTATTGAGTCAATTTATTTTAATTTGCCTGTATATGATCATTATTATCACAAAAAAAAGGAATCCACGGCTATTTTTACTGAAGATAATCAAGAATAAAGAAAGTTAAGGGATAAAGAAAACCAAAAACAAATTTTATTAGCAGACAAATCAGACATCAGGTATAATCAAATTGACAAAAATGGTACTTTAACATAATTAGATAGAAATAATTAAAAATTACGTATCTTAATTAGAAAAATAGTTTCATAATTTCCTTTAATAAGATATACATGCAAACATAATGGATTGTTTAACATTAAATTTTAAGGAATTGAAACAGACACCTTTAAGAAGATGGAGAGGAGGTCAATTTTTGGAGAATCAAAATGATTTATGGCTTAGATCAAGTTCTCCTACTCAAGATGTTTCTACCTTGATTAGAAATGCCTTGATTATCAAGCTGAATAAAGTAGGTTTTAATGTTCAATCATTTATATCTGAAGATGGCCAAAAGATCTTTGTAATGCTTAATATGCAAGATTCAAACCTTAAAATAGTTGCTGATTAAGGACATGTATTAAAATAATTGAATTTTTGGTTTACAGATTTGTTTTCCTTAGAACCTGTCGATAAATCATTTAGACCATTAAGAATAAATAATAGACTTTGGAAACCTTAGGACTACGAGGTTTCAGATTTGTTCTTGTATTTAAAGCCTTAAATGATCAAACTAATTCAATAGATAAATTTTAAAAGAATAGCTAGAGAGACAAATCAGAGTTCAATTAATTCGTAATTATTTGAATATGGAAAATTGGATTTTAGTGAGAAAGACGATGGTCCAACTGATGAAGAATGGATAGCATATCATAAATACTTGACTCATTTAGAAAAATGTATTAGACAATTCAGATAGAGTTAGTTGATAGATAATGAGTTAGCTGCTTTACTCAATAAATAAATAACTCCTCTGTAAATTTACTAGAAACGAAATTAATCCAATAAAGAAATTAAAAATTTGAATTACTAAAATTTGAATGAACCTAGGAATTATGAGCATCTGGAAATTATTAATCAAATTGAGAAATAAGCTGAAAGAGTTATGGATGAATTTTCTAATTTTTAATTTTCATTACAAATCCCAAAAGTAAAGGCACTAAAATTATTGAAAAAAGAATCAGTTTCTTTGAATTATCTCTACTCATTTTAAGAGGCTCTTAGAGTTGCAAATGGCGAGTAAATTAAATTATACAACTTATGGGAAAGATCAGAAATGCCTCCATTCGATATGTATCACCCTTATCAAATGCCTAACAAGTAAAATACAAAGACTTAATAAGCAAAATAAGAATTGAGTTGGACAAAATATGTGAAGAATGAAAACAATGAGATATCATTATTCTCATCTTAAGAGAGATTAAAATTAGTTTATCAAAAAGTCTTTCAAGAAATAGATCTTAGTATTATGCATTAATTAGGTATCATTAGATAAATATTTTGTTTAAATGATAATTATGAATTATTTGGGTAGTGTAGTAACATATAGGCTTAGATAACTTTGGATACAAGATTTTTTAAGAAGAAGTCATTCTAATTGATAGATGAGTGGAAACTTGATTATTTGAGACCATGGATTAGTCCTTGTGATTTAATTTGTGGATATTACGGAGAAAAGATTGGTCTCTATTTTTATTTCATGAGCTATTTTACTGAAATGACAACTCCCATAGCTATATCAGGTCTCGCTTGTAGTTTGATTTAATGGATAATCTGGGATAATGAGAGTGACTTGTATATATTGATTACTATGATATTTGCCTTTGTTTAAATTTAATGGAGCAATGTCTTTACAGATTTATGGAAATAAAAACAAATCTATTTTAATTTAAAATATGGTTAAAACAATTAAGATTAATAATAAGTTTAAAGGTCAAAATTTAAAGGCAAACATATAAGATCTTTAGTAAATGACTAATTAAACTCAATTGAAGTATTATTTGGTGAGTATTTGAAAAGAACCTTGATTAGCTCTATGTTACTGTTCATTTTTATCTTATTTTATATTGGTATCATAGTCTCCTTATTCGTATTTACTGTCTATATGCACAACAAATACTCAGAGGAACTTAAATAATTGGATGTTGCTACAATAGAAGTCACATCTGCTGCAGCTATGAATTTTATTGCTTAATTGCTTTTTGATGTTATCTTTGATAAAATTTCTAGTTAATTAACTGAATATGAGAATTACAAAACTGTTGATGCATATGAAACAAGCTTTGTATTAAAAAAGTTTATTTTTTAATTTTTCTCATATATAGCTCCGCTTTTATTTTTAGAATACTTGAATCAACCATTAAATTTGTATTGTTCAGTGACAAACTGTGAAAGACATGTTAAGTATTACTTTTCAACTATAGTAATTTTAATATTGTTTAAGTAAATAGTGAAATTTGGTATTTTTTTATTTAAATTAACAAAAATTAAAATAAAATGTTATGATTACAATGAAAATGAAATTATGGATTTTGTTGAAGAGTAATCATCAAGGTAACCTTACTCTGATGATTTCGAGAGATATGGCACAATGTAGGATTATATGGAATTATTTGTATTGATATCCTTTTTAAGTATTTTTGGATATACATTTCCATTTAGCTTTTTCATTTTATGGATTTCAAATATAATGTAAATTTAGGTCAAAAAAAACACATTCCTTTATTACATATAAAGGCCATGGCCTAAAAATGAATTTTCTTTAGGAATCTGGAATAATTTTCTTGAGGTTATCAGTTTACTTTGTTTGTTAACAAATACTGGTGTTATTACAATCTAATATAATAAAAAATATGGCTACGAAATTATTTTAGTGTTTCTGTCTATTTTAATATTTAATTGCTTTGGAAAGTTCTTTATTGGAGTAATATTTGGATAAATACCAGATGCTTTAAGTGATTTAATGAAGAGACATAAATATTTGATAAAAGCAACTATTCAGAATAAAATTAAAGAAGGAAAATCTCAAGAGAATAAAGAAGCTTTAAAAAGATTTCCTATTTTAAAAGTGTATGGCACATTAAACTCTGCAGAATCAGGAAAATTTGAAACAATAAGTTCTGATGATGAACTACATGATCATTATGAAATCCCAGAAGTCAAACAAAAATTAAACCTTATCAAAGTTGAATTATATACTAAAAATTTAGATAAATAGTATTTAGGTGAATTTTAATTTACTAAAATTCTTGAGTATTTTAGTTAAAGGGAATAGAATTGGGCTTTCAGATGTGTATTTAAGAATTAAACCGAAAAATAAAAGCTTAGATTACTATTAAAAATTTATTCCTTATTGTACAAAGCATAAGTCTTAACAAAATATAGATAACTTTGGACAGATAGGAGAGTATCTCAAAGATTTGTTCACATGAGAAGGAAGATAATTTAATTAAGAAATCTAGATTATAGAAGGTATTTGATATTCTCCTCAAAACTCAATTAAATGAGAACATATTATGATGAAAAAGCTCAGCAAAGATTTAGAAAGGATTTTCAATTAATTGGGTAATAGAAGGATGAAAATGGAGATGAAAATATGGAATATACAAATTTAGTTAAGAAATAACAGAAATATGTTGAGAAACATGCTTGGTTAAATACAAGAAAAGTGGTTATGTTTAAATTAAAAGCAATGACTTTTAAAGGATTTAGAAAGCAAGTTATTAAAAAACCATCTTTATAATTAATTTAAGAGTTCTATAAAATCACTTAAATTATCGAAGATCTCGAACCAGAAAATCCTTTGTAACCATAATTAGATTCTTAAATTGATTATTCCATGCTAGATAAAACACAATTCATCGAGTTTATTGAAATCTTTGATCGTATAGAATTAAAGTAATTATAAAATGTTAAATTTAAGATAAAAAGCTTAATGGTTTCTGCCTCTTAGTTCTAAAAGAAATAATTCATCAAATTATTATATTGAAGAAATGAAATCCGCTGAATACAAAAATATAGTTGACTAATGCAAGGATTCTTCCATTTTCCAGAGAACAACAATTTTTCTTGAAGATATTATACTCTCCTATTTCTAAATAGAATAATTCCCTATTCCATAAATCTAATTCATCAAGTATATGCACGACAATATCTGGATAGTCAAACTAGGATAATCGGATGTAATTTCCTTGTTGCAGTTCTTCTAAATAAAACACGGAGAATAGATTCACCTTCAAAAGTATACAGATAATCATGAAGGTATATTATATACTGAAAGTAAGACCTATTATAGAATGGTCAATCTTGTGGATCAGATAGACGACTTTTATATTAAAGGTTATTGTATTTGTATTTATAATGCTTTCGAACCTCGAAGTTTTTTGCAAGTATTAAAATATCGAAAAACCTATGGAATACCTTATTCAGAGGCAGAAATAAAATAATTTCTCCATGCTGCCCTAAATCTATTAAAAGTTGCTGATTTTAAAAGCCTGTCTAGTCGAAATATTTTCTTAATCAGAGGAGAATATCACATTTTAAATTCAATGACAAAGACTCATTCTTTTTTTGAATTGGGGAAAATTGTTTTATCAATGATATATTTAGAAGATATAGATGACATAAAACCATATTTTGAAAAATTGTAACATCCTTTGAAATGGCTAATTAATGAATTATTATTTTTAGAAGATAATCTTCAAAAACTTCAAGATTTTATTCAAAAGTAATACTGTTTTACTGACATTAAATTTGAAATTGAACAATAATAAAAACACCAGTCAACCTAAGGATTAACTTACTAAGCATTTACATGGTCAATGTTTCACAAAGTAAATTTAAATTTTAGAATGAAACAATTTAACGATACTTTGCATTTAACTTAAGAATTTGAAGATTATATTAGAAAAGAGGTCTTTGAAATTAATGTTAACACTTTTTCTTATTTTTGTGTCCACTTAATCGAAGATTTAAATTCATATTTGTTATCATCACATTCTCTGAAAAGAAATCTGGACTTGATATTAATATATTATTATTAGATAGCAACAAAGCTTCAATTAAAATATGATGTATCTAAATAACTAAATTATATTATCGAAAATTTAAAATAGCTATCATTTGAATTAAAAATCATTATAAAGTAACTGACTTCAAATATCAATGTTGCGAATTTAAATCAAACAGAATAATGTATAATTCTTAAAACGATATAGGGTGAAACAGATCAATTTTCATAATTATTATCTAAGTCAAGATAATCCTTACTTTAATAATTAAGAAAAAATCTTAATCTTATAGACAATATATTGGTGTTTGAATAACAAGTTAATCGATTTCTAAATTAATTTTATGCACTATTTACTTTGCAATAATATTTTTAAGAGCGCTACGAATTTGCCAAATTAACGATTTCTACTGTAATTGAAACTTAACAAAAACTAATGCATAAACAAAAGTTACCTGAAATTTTAAGTGAAGCCTAAGAATTAAGTCCAAGTCAATTTAACTTTGATTAATTAAGTCCTGGAATGGAAAGGGAAGAATAAGAAATAATTCAGGAGGAAATATGGGTTTTTAGTATACATTAAGAAATAAAATAAAATCCTTTATATGCTATATAGTATATGTATTATCTCTACTTACAAGTAATTATACTACATGATTGTAAAAATGAATTATTTCTCATAAAATAACAGGAGTTTATTGATTACAATTTTAAGGATATTCCAGCATACACTTATTTCCAGTAATTGATTTCATCCTTAAAAATTGATTTTGAAATCAATTCAAAGAATCAACAATTTTATGAGGAAGAATCTAAATGTGAACTTGGATAATACAATGTTTTATGGATTAGAGCGAAAATTGAAAATAAATAATATGAATAATCATAACTTGAAGAATCAACTAATTTAGAGTTTAATTGGAGACAAATATTTTCATATAATGATTTAAAATGTAGTGCTAAAAACAAAAGAGTTCTGCTTTATATCTTGAATCAACCTTCAACTAATGAATAAATGAAAATTCTTTTGAATATCAAAGTCATTCATTTTCTTCTAAAATTGTATGATTATTGTCCCACTAATTAGAAGTTAAGAATAAATATCTTGAACAAAGAATCATTAGGGGAACACAACTTAGAAAACTAATCAAAAATCTTATAATTACAATAATTGCACAAGAAATATGCTTTAGGAGTAAGGACAGATTATTTCCCTAACTAAAACAATGAAAACTCACCATGGTTATTTCATTAAGGGCTTTTATCTTTAAGAATCTTTATCTATTAGTCTTATTGTTATACTTTTTCTAAAAGACACTTTGAAAATCTCACATCTTATATAAATTACAAGGAAGATATATTCACCTAAATTTCACAGTTAATGATATAAGGGGACTCAATCTTCTCTAAAGCAAAGAATTATTAGATCCTTCAAATACCTATTGACAATATGTTAATTAATATTCAATCTGATTATTTTAGATATCATTAATATTTTTTGACTCAAACTAGAATAATGTTACAATAAAAAAAGAAACTAATGGATATCTATAAAGGTTTCGAGCAATACATGAACGAAATGTTCAAAAACTCAGTATTCATTTTGGGGTTAATATAAATATACTACGAATTCGAAGAAATAGATATGGCGAATTTAATGATTTCTTTTACTAAGAAATTAATAGAAAATAATGCTATCATTTTAAATGATTAACATGAAGGATTTTTAAAAGATTTACAGATAGTAGAAGCTGTTATCAAATAAAAAAGCTAATAGCTCATTAAAAGTCCATTTAATAAACTCTACCATAGAAATGACTTCATAGAGTATTTTGATGATGAAACCTTAAATGCAAGATATTTTCTTTTCAATCTACCTTATTACTTTAATATTAAATTTTCGCAATCTATTATGGATGACTTCTTAGTTGTCAACATTTAAAAACTGTCTCCAACTTTACAATAAATGTTTAAAACTGCTAATTGTTCTGTCAAAGCAGAATGTGGAGATGAGGAAATCTTAGCCTAATTAAAGATGTATAAATAAATATATTAGTAGAGTATCAGAATATAAATTTACTGAAGGATGTTTAACATGGGCCTTTCATATTCATTTCATGTGTAGGTACTATATATACATGATAGATATGGAAAAGGCATATGATTATTCAATTTTATTACTGTCTTATTTATTTTAACTTGATCTTCAACAAGGTTTTTATATAAAGGAGAATAAAAATGGATATAAATATCAATTTGTAATATTCATAATTTAAAATTAGACATGTGTTTAGTCAGAGAAGAATATTATCAAATAGATTTGCTAGCCTAAACCCATTCAAATCACAGAGTCAATTGAAGATGATCTTTTTGATAATGTGATTGATGAATTCTTTATTATGGAATGCATAATAAATCATCTAGAGATTCTATCGAAAAGCAAATTTTAAATTCCCTCTCTAAGTATTTTACTTTAATTTCAACTGAAATTATAAAATCAAAGACACAAAATATAATTCTGGAATGTTCTCGCCCATTTTTTACAAAGAATAGCAAAGGAGAATTTAATTCCTGATATATTATCACAGATTTAGGAAGTCAAAAAGGAGCGACTTTAGGAATTGAAGGAAATTAAGAAATAAATTAAAAAGAAAAGAAATGCAAAAATATTATTAAGAGAAATTACATAATAAGAATTTGAAGAATTTGATTATCAAAATAATCTAATTATGTTTTAGTTTAACATCTACAAATTAGATGAAAATTCAAACGATAAATTATTAATACTGTTCTCCTGTTAAGCTGCGGATAGAGCATTAACAGGATATTCAAATTAGTGTAGAGATAAAACAAAAACAAACAAATATCAAATGAGTTAATTGAAACTGTTGTTAGTATAGAACTATATATGGTTAAATCAAATTGGAAATGCTACAACAACATTAAGTGATGCTGAGGATTTAATGGTAGAATGGTTTGGTAAGATCAAGCATCCATTAAAGGGCCTCTATTTTTATAATTTTGGATTAATTAAGATTTCATTTTATCAACAAATTCTTAGGATATTGGAAATATTTATTGAAGCAAATGCATTTAATTTAATGGAAATGAAATTAATCATATAAGGATTAACTGTTATGAAACCTTTATTATGGAGACATATAGATATGTTTAATGCAGGCTAAATATAAAGTTTGATTCCTTTTTTTAAAAATTACATGTTGGAAGTTGGAGATGAATCTACTTTTGACTGTCCAAAAACATATTATTCAGTGAATGATGCTGTGATAATTTTAGATGGAGTTTTGTAAAGTAATATGGCATATGATTTATCAGGAATAACTGAATTTATTGATGTAATGTTTATTTGTTCTTATATATTAGGCTGAAAACTGTTTTAAATTGTTCGACACGGATAGCTTCCTAACCAAAGAGATATCAAGTTTGATCTTCAAAATTTAGAATGAGAAATTGAAAAAATAGGGGACTTGAATTGTATTGATTGCTTTTAGGTTTTAATATTATTTCATAAGATGAAATGAAACTTGTTTTTTTAATATTTTATTATTAATATAATTAAAATGGCAAGGGCTCCAGAAGAAGGATTAAGTTTGCCAGCTTTGAACAAAGAAATAGATCAATATTCAACAGATCCGCAAATTATACAATAAATTGAAAAGCATTTTCAAGATGTTGTTAGAGATTTTAGTGGGGACCCTGATTTAGAATTATTCAAGATAAAATATGAAACTCTTTATAATTCTCTCAAAGAAAGTTATGAAAATGAAGTGAGATGGACTAAAAAGTATTTAAGTGAAATATTTAGATGCAAAGAACATAATAGTGAAATTTTAGTTTACACATCAAAAGTTCAAATGTCTTTGAAAATGATTAACGATGATAATCAATAATCAGAAAGTTTTTAGAAAGAATTGGAGGAAAAATGGAGGAAAATTGAAGATTTAAAAATTAAAGAGAAGGAACTTAAAGAAAGAATAGTATAGGCAAAAATTGAAGTTGAAAATGTAGATATATATATATAATTCTTTAGTTAAAAAAACAATGTGACAGAGTAGTTGAAGATATTGAAGAGCAAAGCTAGATATAATTAAATGATAAAAAGAGATTGATTGATGAAATAAAGAAGAGTATTAATGAATAAAATTTTAGATTTTTAGAGTGCTAAATCCAAATTTGAATATTTAGAATAACAGAACAAAAATTTAAAACATGATCTAGACAATGAAGAAAAATAATATTAAGATTAAATTTAAAAGATCAGTGATTTGGAGGATAAAATTGCTAAAATTGATGCTGATTCTAAAGAATAAGAAAAGAGAAAGAAGAAAAAGGAAGTTAAAATGGCTGAAATTAAATAAAAAATTGATTTAGCAAAAAAAGAAATAGAAGAGAAACAGTCAAGAATTCATGATATCAAAAAATAAATAGTTTCTACAAACAATAATATATTAATTAAAATCAAAGAAAAAGAGAGTTAGCATACTAAATAAAAGGAAGCTGAAGACAAATTTGCTGCTGCTTAAAAGGATAGAGAAAATTAAGGGGAGCAATTACGGAGTTATAAAGAATAAATTAAAATATAATAGGAATAATTAGAAAAGCTACAAATTGAAATCTAAAAAGAAAAGAAGGAAGTGAAGAAAACACATAAAGAATAAGAAATAACAGCTAAAGAAAAAAATAAAATCATAAAAGAAAAGGAAGAATAACTCATTGAAAAAAATACTAAAGAAATGTTAATTGAAACAGAAAAGATTGAATTACAATAGAAGAAGGATGTATTAGACAAAATAAATGATCAAAATAGTCAAAGAATTAAATCAAGAACACAATAATAAAAAACCTTAAAAAAGCAAGAAGATGTTTAACATTAAACAGATGAAGAGATTGTGAATAAAGTGAATAAATTGAAAAAAGTAGAAAATTAAGTGATGGGATATGAAGCAAGTAATGAAAGAATTAATAAAATGATTTTACAATTATAAAGAGAATAAGAAAAGTATGGTATTGAGGCATCATAAGCTCATGCTAAGTTTTATTAGACTGTAGAAGAAGTTAAGATAAAGAATAATCAGATTGCTGAATAATAGAAATAAATTGCTGAAGCTGAAGCTAGATTGAAACATTAGCAATAATTGTATGAAACTGTCAGAAGTGATAGAAATCTTTATTCGAAAAATTTATTAGAGAGTCATAATGAAATCTAAGAACTAACTAAGAAATATACTAGAATGAAGCATTAAGTTGATTAATTAAAAGAAGAAATTAAAACAAAGGATTAACAACTAGTAAAAGAAGACCTTGAATTTCATAAGGTGGAAGAAGAAAATGCAAAAATTGAATAAGATAAGGCTAAAGTTGAAAAAAACATCAAAGCAGATGAAGATTTAATTAAAAATTAAGAGAGTCATATTTCAAGATTAAAAAATATTATTTAAGGAGCTCAAACTGAAAAATAAAGATAATAGAAGGATTATGAAATGGTGGTTAATGAAAGAGATATCTTAGGAACTTAATTAATCAAAAGAAATCAAGAATTATAAGTTCTTTATGAGAAAATTAAGTTAAACTAATCAAGTTTGAGCAAAGGAGAAATTAATTTTAGAGAGCGAGAGATTGAATTAAAAAGCTTAAAAGATGAATTAACAAATTTAAGAAATGAATTAAAAGTAAAATTTTATTTTAAAATAAGTCCACATAAGACCAAACAGCTTGCATTGATGAACTAAGAAAAGAGATTAATAATATTGAAAAGGAACTATTAAATGAAAAAAATAAGGTCAAAGCCTTATCAGATGAATTGGAAAATCCCATGAATGTACACAGATGGAGAAAACTTGAAGCTACAGATTAAGAAAACTTTGAGAGAATTCTAAAAATTCAGACATTGTAAAGAAGATTGATTGCTAAAACTGAAGAAGTAAATGAAAAAGAAAATTTAATTAAAGAAAAAGAAAAACTCTTTATGGAGCTGAAAAATATATTATCTAGACAGCCAGGAGTAGAAATACACTAATAGCTTGCTCAATATAAGGAATCCTTAAAAGAAAATGCTGCTAAGATGAAGACAACCTTAAGCCAATTAAAGCAAAGTTAGGATTACGTAATATTATAAATTAAATAAAGGTTGATATGCTAAAATTCGAAATTGATAGAATGAAGGGTGATTTGTAAGAGATGAAAAAAGCATATTTTTCAATGAGAAAAGCAAAAGATAATGTATTTTGATATTTTTAGTTTAGGATTTACTTTAAATTGACTAGAATGGAGAATAAGATATGCCTCAAAATAATGGGGGAGCCAATTAGAACGACTTGCAATCCTATGCTTTATTTGGAGTTAATGCAAATAGAATTGGAAATTGAATTCATTTTATATAAATATATTATTAATAACATTTACATGTGTTTACCATTTGACAATAAAAAACCTAATACTTTTTAAGGAAAGAGATCAGTTTTTCAGTTGTAATTGATTGCTTTTATTTAATTGGCTTTGTTATTTGCCAGATAAGTAGCCTAATTTGAGTTAGGAGAATTGTTTGAAATATTTTTCATAATTCTATTGTGGTCAGCTTGGTCTTCTTTAGGAAGTTGCTAATGCCTTTTCTATATAGTTATAACTTTATATTATGTATTCATCATAATTACTCAAGATTTTATTAAAAGGACTGTATTTTGCTACTCGTTTTTAGAATGAATTACCCTTATTAGGAGAAACAGGAAGAGAAAAGATTCTAGCCGTTTTGCATTTGGCAACACTATTTTTCTATATAATTGCTCAATATATTGTCTTTTTGGCTTATAAAGAATTCGTGGCTTTGGAGATGGAGAAAGATTACACGGTTGAAGAACCTGAAAGTATGGATTAATTTACATTAAGGGAGACCTTTGCAATAAAACGAAAGAAATTAATAGCCCACGGTTGTAAAAAACTCTGCGTTTACAGGAAAAGGAATAACTATAGGTTGATAAAAATGTATTCGTTTAGATATTATATATTTGTTAAAATAAGATGCAATAATTTGTAGTTGATATTAATTATTTCACAATTATTTGAGTGAACTTATAGTCTTTGGTTCTAATAAAATATCATAGGGAATAAGAGTCAAACTCAATCTCATTAATTAAAGTCTTGCTGTTATTTGTTTTATCCATTGATAAGATATAAGAATAAAAATGAGAAATACGCTTAATCCAGTCAGATAGACATATATTTAAGTAAGAGTGGTTGCCTAATTTAACTTCGATTAATTCTATTCAAATAAATTATATCCAACAGTGCTTAATAATTTTCCAGTATCCAGAAAATACTCGACCTATTACGTTGTATGTACTTTAGATCTCAGATATTGACTTATTTCATGAGCACTATCGGTACTTAAATGTTTATTGGCTAATTCAGTGTAATAGTACATCTGCAGTGTTTTACTGAATTCTTATACCATATTAATTATTCCTCCAGAAACATATTCATAATTATTGTCTTCTGCCACAGGTTAACCATATTGATCTATGAAACTCTTAGGAACAGTAAAATTAATATCACTTTGAATTTGAATATTACAAAATGGAATTTCTGAACTCATGAAATTGCATAAGCTTTATTCAAAATACATGAGTAATTCTGTTTTTTATGTTTACATCAATCCTGAATTTCCAATAAGAGAATCGTATATTTGTTTCATACTATCTTGAAATCCATTATATTATTAATTAAATAGATCAATTATGACATCTATTTACATGTCTAAGTTTTTATATTAATTTTGTAGATATTATTCTATTATCTTTTCAGATTTAATGACTTCACTATAAACAATTAATGAATCAAATCTAAATTTGAATCTAATCAACTGTAAATTTAAATTGAGTGTTGGTTTAATATCAGAAACTTAATTTACTGTCACAAGAATAGAGCCAATAATAAAAAGACAAAATATTAACCATGCCACGATCAAGTAAATATAGTTCATTTTATTAACCAAACTTAAATCATATATCCTTTAAGCCAGAGAGTTGCTTTGATAATTTCGTTTAGACTTTGATTTAGTCTTTGTATTTTGATAATTTGATCTCGAAGCTGAAGTAGTCTTTAAGCTCTTGGCTACAATCATTTTATTTTAATCGTTATTATTTTCTTTACCTTCATAATTAAGATCAAAGAAATTTATTTTCTTCCACACCAGTTAAGTTGGTTCTGAAAGCACAGACTTTATATCTAACAATTTATCGATTGTTTCTTCTGCAGCTTTGTATGATACTCTTGATATCAGCATTAATATTTATTTCTCATACATAGTAACATTTTAAATCTAAAATGTGACATATAGAATTATGCCAGTTACTATGCCCAAGATTATCATAGTAATTTATATAACATCGTTAATTATTTTGTCCTCATAATATACAAGATTTTCATTTAACAAGGTGATATATTTAAAAGCGAATTGATATATGTATGGCATATTCAGTCGAAAAAATAGCACATCCTTATAACTGGTAATATTGCTAAATTTGTCGATGAAATTGAATGCATGAATTTGAATTAACTAAATTAGCTATGTGAGATCTAATTATTAAGTTTATGCTTCATATTCATTGATATTTATCAGTTATAATTCATTAGTTATTATTTGATCCTCATATTAAATAATTCCTTAATAGAGCTCATTTAATTTAATATCTATTATTTCTTTCATAGATTAAAGTTCTTATTCATATTATTTCTAAATAAAATCGCTGTAATTTACAAGTTCCAATTCTTAAGTCAATTACATCCATGAAATATATGCAGTTTTAATAAAATAAAAATTTAAGGTTTCTGGAAAAGTTACGTAATTGATGTTAGTTTAAAGAACATTGTAATTTTCTAAATTTATAGATAATCATACATTGTATTATTTACATTTTTACAAATATTAAGCATAGAAATAGAATAGCTATCAAAAGTACGCTAAGAACTATTAATTTAATATTCCCTTGGAAAGTATTTATTGAATAAAGCTATCTAATTAACATAGATGGAGACTTAGATGAACTTGTACGAGATGAACTAACAGACCTTTTCTATTTATTCTCTTCCTCCTCATATTCACTATATTATGGACTATGAAAATTACTTATTCTTTTTTTTCAATTATCTATTTAATTATAATATCTCCATCAAATCTGCCTTCACAACCTCATGATCATGATCTGAGGAATTCTTGGCTTAGTTTTAATCAACGTCTATTTAAGATTCATCTTTATCTTTGCTTAAGTTCCTAAGATTACTTGATTATTATAATTATTGTTATTGTATTTCTTGGTCCTACTCAAATTACTAGATTAATTAATGAATTATATACTCTAAAATGACCATCTATCATCTAAAATTCAAATTCATCATCTTAGTCTATTTTCTAAAGAGGGATCTACCATAGTTATGGCCCTTTATCTCTCTATATAGTTAGAGATAAATTATTGTATTCATCATTTATCCTATCTTCATACTCTTTAGATTTAACTTCATTGTACATAATTTGTTTAGATTTCTCATTCTAAAATTAAGATTTTTATTATTTTCTCAATTCTTTGATATATTTTTAGTCATAAAGTTGTTAATTTATATTAAAGTTATTAATTGATCTATCTAAACTATCTATATGACTATCAGGGTAAGTCTTATTAAATACTACAGTTTAACCTGCATTGAGTTAAAATTCTATAATTTTGTTAATACTTGGGTATTTATTAAAATACTTATTTTCAGAATTTATTTCAGTTATGTGATCTAATTCTAAGACAAAAAAGCTATATTAAAATGACTTTACTTTTAGTAGTTATTATTGTAGCTTTACTTTTGTTTTTAGAATTGTAAATTGTTAGAACAATTCTTTATGAATTTACATAAATTATAGAGAAAACTCGATATTCTCTAAATCAGTTATCTTATACAAATGGTTTTTGTCTTTATTATTATCCTAAGAATATAGACTTTTTGTCAAACTTTTCCAAGATCTCCATGAACTCAAATTCTCGCTTTCCAATCCAAAATCAACTTTTTATCCAAATTTATCATATTATTCCTTGATAAACAGTGAATTAAGTTCAATCAAATTAAAAGGAATGTATAATAAAGTATCCTCATTGTCCAATATGTATTCATCTTATTTTTCTTTATGTTATTATTCCATCTGCTTTAATGATGATAATATTGACGGAAATATTAAAAATACCCTGCAAAACTCTTTAAAAAAATCTACTTAAATTTGAGGATTGATTTTTTTAATAAGATCATACAATTTTTCACTTATACCAATAATTTTGCCCTCAATATCAAATAAAATGGTTTAATTTGATAAATTACATTTTAATATTGATGCAGTTATAACATAATCATCCAACTCTTCAAATAAATTCCCCAATTTTATATATGATTTTTGAATGAATCCTTTAGCATTTTCATAATATCCACTAATCTTTTTAACAAAAAACTAACTATATCCTCTTTGCATATATTAATCAATCAATAATTCATGTGCTGGCATAATAGATTTTGGTAATAATTTATGAATATTAGAAACGTTATCTTTAAAATTATTACTATCTACATATTAAAAGAAATTAGCTAATGCTAACTGGTTCTTATTAACTATCTTCCCCTTGTTTTTAACTAGACTAACTAGTATAATAGTAGTTCTATCATTTAACAAAGAAAAATTGTCAATAATATCAATTTCTTTTTATCTATCATTTGATGTAAGATCTTTAACGTACTATTCGATATAGAAGGACTAAGATATTTATTATTAAATTACTCTATCATAATCGTTCATCATTATAGAATAGAATAAGGAATATAGTTTGAGTGTGATACAATTTATATTTAATTGAGCATGACTTAATTTTTTAACTTAATGACCCTTGCTAGTAGTGACTTTTAAATCAAACCATTCTTCAGGCACTCCAATGTATTTTTCCAATTAAATTTTCAACTAAAATAGCATTCCTTTATAAAATACTTATTATATTTTAGCACATAATTATTGGGTATTCTATTAGAAAGGATTCAGACTTTGATATCCAATCATTAGGTTATTCCAATGGTCAACCTTTTAATCAAGTAAGTAAATATAATCATTCAATAAGCTTTCATACAAATTTTGGGTCCACCATTGTTATTATAATGAAATCTCTATCAATTAACTTTTCTATTCTTAGATTAGTACATCTCTGGATGTTTTTCTTTGTTAATTATCCAAAATTTAGACTTGAAGTTGATCTGCTAATTTGTTTGTTATTTCAATAAAATAAATAGAATTGTTATTGTTTTTACTGTTTTGGTATTTTCTTAATTCCAAATATCCAAGTAATGGCTTTTAGACTATATCAGACACAAAACTGATATATTGTAGTTGCAGTTATTCAAACTATAAATCTTAATTTTAATTGGCTCTAATTCAATTAATCAAAATAAATTACAACGAAAATAACCATAATTAAGCAGTTTTAAATATGCATTTGACGACACTTAAAGATAATTAATGAAGGTCTTTTTTTTAATCAAGGTCTACCTATCTAAATTTAAAATCTTAAGAATAGCACTTTTTATTTTTGCAAAAATATCTATGGATCCTTATAAATTATTGAAACTTAATCTAACATTCTTAACTCTAGTTTAATTTGTCATACACATACTTTATTGTAATCGAGATATAGCTTATAGAAATAATCAGCAGTAATGATTAAATGCTTCTCTTTGATCTATGTGTTGGAATTAGAATTTAAGATTGCGTAGTAATGAAATTGCAATGCCAATCCTTGTCCAATCATATATATCAATGGTAATGGGATGGTCATGAGGAAGAACAATTAGTTTTCTTCTATTTTATCTGAAAATCTGTAAATAGTCAGAACCACGACGACCCAAAATTATATGAAAGTCATTGTTATTGCAGGCAGTCGAACTGGATCTCTATAAGGATAATTGTTTAATTAGTCAATTATTTGATTTATAGTAAATAAATTAGCTAGTACATATTTAATTGCGTCAGAAAGAGTAAACTATTATCGAATAATGTATTACAAATTCGTAATTGTAGTGGAAAAATATAATGGCCAGTACTATTGTATTATTGAATAATAACAAACTAGAGTATCTTCTTTTTAGAGAATTGATTTCATTGAATCTGTGATTTCTCATTGCGTATATTAAAATTTGTCCATTAAAAAAAGAAATTAAAAGTTAAATAATGGAGAGCACTTATAGTAAAGGTATGATTTCGCATTGCTTAAAAGGAATCAAACTTAATGAATTACATGATAATGTACTAAATGACAGTACTGCAATTTATAAGTAGATAACTGGATAAGTTACGAATATCCAATGCAAAAGTTCATTAAATTATATCACCCAATTTTAGATATTGCTATTTAAAGTGCCTTTATCACTATTCTTTATCAAATTAGCAGTGTATAATCGAATTACAGTTGAAAAGCATAAAAATAAAAATAGAATCAGTTGAGATAAAAATGAAAATGTAATTATTATGAATGCTAACGAGTAAGACAAGCTCTATTTTAAAAGGCTATTAACTAGAAAAAATTCTAAGAAACTTTGAACAAAGTCTAATTTAAAATCTGAATATCTTTTATCATAACTTGTTTGAAATATGATTGCCAGCAACTAAAATTAATTTATTGTATGCAAAATTATATAGAATGAATAATCCATCTAATCCTTTATTATAATTTATACTTTATATTTTGGTCTAATTTCGATTCCGTACAACATTGTTTGCATATATCCTCTAAAGAACTTTTTTAATTTTTCCATAGAATAATTAAATTATTTTTTATAATATTGCTTAAAAGACAAATATTTTAAAAATAAGAAGTCTTCAAAAACCAAATCAATAAAAGTCTTCATAAGCTGACTAAAACCACAAGAGTATTGAATCAATTAACGAGGCCATATTTTACAATCCCATTTCTTTTAATATTTTTACAATAAACTAAAAGAAGTTCAACTATGTACTTTGATAATCTTTACCCGAAGCTCAGCTGAGATTATAAAACAAGGATGATCTTTAGGCATCTATTTTTAAATAATTTTAAATAATAGTATTAATACAAATACATAATTGCTTATGCTTTGCTCGTTTTAAGAGGAATCAATGCCCTAAGTATTATTTACCTTAAATTTTAGGCTGTGGATGATGCTACAAAGGTGGTTAAAGAAGCTTTAGTTGAACCAGCTGCTGCAAATGTTAAGAAAGTAGTTAACTCATTGAGATGAAAAAACTAAAATGATGTTGTAAAAGAAAGGTACAAGTAATTGACAAATTTATAAGTTGGAGGAGGATCATGTAATTTTGAATTCATAACTATTAAGCACGATGCACTTCCCTTGCTCCATAAGCTACATCTGTTGCTTAAACAGCTTCAATATCAAAAGCAGAGCCAATAAAGAAGTCTGAATAACCAGAAGAAGATTTTGATAGAGCATTTATATGTTTCATGTAATCAATATATTCTTAGTCTTTAATATTTTATTGATGACTCTAAACCTTTCATCAACAATTTCAACGACTTTTCAAGCTTTGCCTATTAGCTGATTGTCCTGTCTGATTAAAAATAAAAAAGTATAACATCCATCTATTTAATTTGTGCTAAACCTTTGTTATTATCTCTATATTATGAATTTTTCAATAATAATTACCTAAGAACAAATATTTAAACAATGGGATGATTTCCACATATTTTCAATTTTAGATCTTAAGCTTGTAATTTTTGGAGAATATTAAATTAAAGGATAGAAATAACGATACTCCATTTTCATTAAATAAATAACGGTTTAATAAATCTTAGTTTACTTAAGCCAAACGTTTTCAATAAGTTATGGAATACATATATTAATTAATTATAAACAATTAATACCTTAAATAATATTTTAATATATTATCGTTTTTTATATTTTAATAAACTTTATAATCTTAGAGCCTTGTTGAGATTTGGTTACTAAATTTGTAATTCTGTTCGAAAGACTAATTTAATCAAAAAACTTAAATTTACTAATAAAAAGTGTCTTTAATTATTGATAAAAAATATGATTCTAACCTTCCCGTTCTGGCGTGAATTCCTAAAAAATTTATTTAATTTCCATAGGTGATAATTCTGTATTTTAAAAGAATTTAAAATGGTTTTGTAATTAATATCTATTATTACCTAGGTATAATATTTATATAACAAAAGTTGTTTTCAATTTCAAATTCAAATTACAATATTCTATAATCGATTATAATTGAGTTGACATCAACAAGAAAGACAGATTTTTCATGTAATTTAAAAGATTATTTATACAAGAAAGTTCAAGAAAATATTAAAAATTATAGGAAAATCTTAGAATTTTTCAAATCCTTAGATTTTAAAAAATCTAATCGAAAAATAATTTAAACTCAATAAATTCATACCCATATTGAGATGATAGAGCAGAATTTAGATAATTTATAGACTGCTTTTCTTATAATAAAAATACATGAAAATTAAAAACAAATAAGATTTATTACAATTTAAGTGTGAGATGTTTGAGATTAATAATCAAATTTATTAATATCCTAATAACTCAGATGAATATGACAGTTAAGCTAATCAGAAAATCAAAGAAATAGTATATACACTCTCTTAAACATGATAATGAAAGTAATAAGGAATAATGTGGACTTTAATTGTTATCTGATGATGCATTTTAATCAAAATAAAATGTTGAAAACTTAGTATACGATAACGACTCATCCCCTTAGAGTAGTTCATTCAATAATTGTACCATTATAAGCCATATTTAGCAGTTGGTGATATAACTGAAAATTTTGAAAGCGTTTATTCGCATAAATTGATGAATAAAAATCATTAACAGATAACCAAAGCCTCCAATGACTCAAAAAACAAATTAATACGCTATACTGTTAAAAGAGAGAAGGATATGAAACGAAAAAAATAAAAGAATAGAGGAAAATAATTTTCATAAGAAGAAGATTAAAGATTATTGAACTACATATTGAAGAAGGGACCAAAGTTTCACAAGTTTGCTCGATATTTTCCAGGAAAATCAACAAATATGTTAAAAAATAGATATTATAAATCACTAAGATTTGTATGGGATCAAGTACTTGGAAGGTATGTCAATCCTTTATCTTTTTTTAGTTAATATTCATACATGAATGCCCCATCTGAAGAAATCACACCAATCATAGAACAAGAATCCCCTATATTCATGTTTGATGAATTGATTTAACTGAGATTGTTTCCAGAAGCTGAAGACTTAATGTCCAATTTTATTGGAAATCTATCCTAAACATTTAATGATCTTCACAGCAGTTTTCCTTCAGAGGATAATTGATCATTATTTATATATATAATACATCGAGTAATAAATTATCATCGAATAATTTTTAAATTTTAGTTGCATCAATGGTCAATGCACATTACTTTCCTTTTCGAAGAGATAGAAATGCTTAGAATAGAAATCTTATATGCATATTCATTTTGAGATTGCTCTTCGTGTCTAAAATTCATTTATATTGCTTTTCACTAAATGTTGAACTAACTTAATATATCTTTTTTTCAGGAAACCTGCTTTAAATAAAATATATATTAAATTATCAACACTGTTATAACTTACTATAAACACATTGAATGTGGAGCTAATTCCTTTTCAGTAAATATTTGCTTTCAGTTAGTTGAGATATTAAATTATAATTAATTTTTTCTACTTTTTTTATTTTTAGAATATGTATATTAAAAGAGAATTAATAAAATTAAAATAAAGAATTATCATTTGTAAAAATCCTAAACCATTTATGTTTGAATATTTAGAGAAAAAAAAGAATGTTATATAAATTGTTAAATTTGATCATTCATTCACCCAAATTCTCCACCAATCAAGATTTAATGTATAAAAGTCCTTAAGATGCCTCCCCAATTAATATCTATCCTAAAGGAATATAAATATTATTTTTTACTTATTAAATAATTAATATTAAATAAGTATTCAATTAATACTTACACTTTAATTTTATAATAATAAGGTAGTATTTTCACATCTACACTCTGAAAATATTATAGCTCAATCTACCTAGTTCCCATTCAAAAAAGCAATTAACTAGTAATTCTAAAGAAGTTAGCTTAGGAGGAGGAAAAATTTATTCGTTTTAGAGTCATTATTTAATTTAATTATAAATATTAATTTAAATTGTAGTTTTTATGTTTTAAACCATCACTTCTCTATTGGTTAGACTAATGGAATTAGAGTATATATAAACTAATAATTGATTATAAATATTCATTAAATTGTATAAGATCTTTATTTCGAAATATTCAATAATTTTGCTCCTATTTTTAAGTACTCTCACTATCATCAGTAATTATTTCTTATTAATTTTAAGTTCTAGTTTAAGACGAATATTTTTTGTATTCTCTCGAGGTTATCCCTTCTTCTTTAGACATATTTCTTCCTTATTGAATAGGAACATTCAAAAGACAAAGGTCTCGTTTATACTTAAGTTTTGTTGAAGTACAACCCATTATTATTTAAATTAATTAATGACTTTGTGGTTTTCAAAGATTTAAATAGCTTAACCACAATAGTGGATATTATTTTTAAAATATTGAAAAAATAAAAGGAGCCCTATCAATGAATTGAATACTGTAATTAAAATTGATAGTTTAAGTTGTCTGTTTTTTTAAATTGTAGTTTAATATAAATCAAGAACTTTAATATGGATACAGAAAAGTCTAACAATGAAATAAGTGACTTAGAATAAAATAATTATAAATAGTTATTTATTAATTATAATAAATATATAAACAGACTTAAGAGAAACAAAATATTTGAGTTTTCAAAAGCAATTTTTGCTTTTTTGGGAGATTTACGAAACTACAATTATTTTGTTTCCATTAGGGTAGTTAAAGACTTCTGTTTAAGTTTACGATTCAGTCTTTATTTTTTTTCTGCTTGCCTAAATTTTCTAAAGGCATCTGAGTAATAAGGATAAGATAACAAATAATACCTTTCTATATTCATTCCATGAAAATAAGGATGCAAAAGAGCTTCTTACGCAGTTATTCTCTAAGAAGGATCAAGAATAAGCATTGAATCAATTAGGTTTACTAATAATGGAGGCATTTTTTTCTCAAGGAAAGTTTGAAGGATTCTTGGTTTTGGTTCTTCTTTTATAAGAGTAGAGTAGTTTTTGAGTGAAGTCACTCCCAACCAGTTTTCTATTGATTATTAAGGAGAAAACATACCTTCAACTGGAGTTCCACAGATTTTCAGAATTTGATTGAAACTAGCGACTTCAGATGGTCCTTTAAAAGGATTGCTTTTAAAGAGCAATTAAATAAATAGCACTCCTGCAGACCAAACATCAACCTTAGAGCAATATTTTTAACCTAATATTAGTCATTTAATAAACCAAGGAACACTTCCGGAGCCCTGTATGAATGATTTTGAATTCGTGCTGTTTGTGGCTTTAATTTATTTAAATTTTGAGCCATTCCCAAATCACAAATTTTAATTTCTAAATTTCTATATAAAATGTTGTTAGCTAAAATAGGAATATAAGAGCTTACGTTTTATATCTCTATGGACGATTCCTTAACTGTGTAAGTAAGCCAAGCCTTAAAGCACTTGAAACATGATCAGTTTGACTTATTGTTCTGAGAAGGTGTCTCTTCTTAAAGCAGTTAGTAAGTCTTCTTCCATATATTCCATAATTAAGTAGGTTTTATTCTATCCACAAGCTAAATCCTTGAAAGCCACAATTTGTTCACATTTTAAGGATTTAAGTATTTCAATTTCCCTTAAGGCTTACACATTAATCTTGAATTAAATAAAATAGCAAACCCCTTAATCAGCATTGCTATGGCGCAATTCTTTGATAGCAACTGTTTCTTTGGTGCGCAAATTTACACCTTGATATACAGTTCTAGGAATAAGAATAAAATATACCCGTATTGACCATAGCCTAGAATCTTTTAGAGAATGTACTTTTTTTTTAATTCATCTGTTTACATTGAAGAAGAAGATATTCGTTAGAAAGTAAATTCCTGATTCATAGAAATAGGAAATTTATTAATTGTATAAATTAATGCAAAATTTAAGCAAAGAATTATTATTAGGCACAATATTTTATTATCCAAATTTAAATTAATCAAAATGACATAATTATCACTCTAATAAAATCAGAAGTAACAGATATCTTGTTTCTTATCAATAAATCTATTACCAAAAATAAAAATGATTTAATTATATATTGACTAACTACCATTCTACTTCAAAGCCTAAAAGCAATAATCAGCCATCCTTAAATTTATGCTAACTAAATGAAAATAAATTATTTTTGAAATTCTCTATTTATTGAGAATTATCTGAAACAAAAATACTAAAAGATGATTAGATCTGTAAATTCTTAAATTTATTATTTAATCAATAACGTTAATACAATTTCAGTTCATTAATTGACTCTTATAACTAATATTATCTTTTCTAAGCTCTTATAACTATCTTCATTATTCTACAAGTATCAATTAAATAGGGCAGATTTCAATATTATTGGCTCCTTTTTCAAAAGAGTTTATCACTATCTTTGGATATTATGAATTCGCATTTTATTATGATAATTTATTACAACAGCAAAAATAGCATTAAATAAACATACCATAGAATTAAAGCATTAAAAACATATGCAAATAGATAAATAGAAAGGAAATATTATAATTGGTACTGATAAAATATGTAACCTTAAAGGTACTTGTAAATTGAATATACAACTACTTATTAAGGATTATGATCTATTCTCAATATACAAATGGAATATTGAAATTTTGTATAATAAAGAGGGACTACTTAATCATCGTAAACAAATTATAAATTGTAATTCCTTAAAGAACTATTGTAATTCATGTACTTATTATCAAAATTACTAAAAATCTGTAATAAAAGGAGAAAAATTACAGAATTGCATAAAATAATTAGCAATTTTGAATGATCTCGCTTAAAATATAAATATTAGTATTAATGGGCATGTATGGATCTAAATGATAATTATAGATTTTGATATAGTTTTTCTTCAAAAACATACTCTAATCTATTAGATAACTCTTTTGTTATTTACTCTTGGATAATATAAAGAAAAGAATAAACTTAAAAACAGTTACAAGCATTATGACTTAAATCAATTTTTATAATAAATAATTATTTCTAATTTATACTTAAATTAGAATGAAAAACTACTTATAAATAGAGTATAAATTATATAATTTGATTAGATATTATTAATTTTTAAGATTAACTAATTACTAAACTCAAATGTTTTCTCAGGTATTAAATAATAGAACAATTGTATAAATATAATTAATTTAAAAATACTTTTTAATAACCTATTTATATTATTTATCTATATTTCATATCATAATCATAAAAATAGCCATGATTAAAACATAGATTATTTTTCCTGCACAAACATCGCATTTGTTTGAACTACTTGACCATCTATATGTGTACTTTGTTTAGTTGTAACAAGTATTTATGTTAAGTGCAGATGTATCGTTAGCAGAAATGCATGTATTATTGGCTGCATTCCATTAGCACAATTAATACATAAATTTATTAAGTTGAGTTTAATAGTAGGTGCAAGTATTGTTATTTCCATACTAAGCACAGCTTGCTTATGTACAATTATTGAGTGTAGCATTCCATAGACATGCATTTCCAGCACTTGAGCAAGTATTTGAATTCAATTGTCCACAACTTGAAACTTCTGAACATCCATTATTACTCCAATAGCAAATTCCATTAGAAGAGATAGTTAAATCACAGGTAGTTTAATTTGAATATGATGAACAAGACTTTAAGGCCTCTTAGCTGGCGCAGTTCTTACCATCAGATTATGGACAGTTTTTTGATTTTGCATAGCAATCTCCTTGATTGGCTCCGGTTAATTAATTGCAAAGTGTAAAATCAACACATGCTTTACCATTCCACATACATTTCAAATTATTGGCACAATTTATTTGATCACTTATGGATGAACAAGATACGGTTGAACATGAACTACCTTTTGAGTCCCAAGTGCAAATTGGTTATGATTGTGCACAATCCTATTATGTTGTCAAATCACCACATGTGCATTTATTATTAGCATTGAAAGTCAATTAAGCATACGTGATGGAGATCAATAAAATTGCCAAACTCAATTTATTCATTTTTTAATAAATATTAATATTCTATATTTTAATAATTTAGACCTTATAATCACCGCTATTAGTACCTACTATATTAATTAGTATCTTATTTTGTTTGAATATGAATTTTTTCCATTTGTTCCAATTGCTCTCCTTAAAAAAGGAAAATGATATTCTATTTTCCTTGTCAAATTATAATTAGAATCTACTATTAAATACACATAAATAATTAGAAATAAAGAAATAAGTGTATGTATTAATTTCAATTATCATTGAGAAGAAAAATAATGAAAATACTCAGACTTATCTATTTATGCTTTGCGAATTTCCATTTTCTTTATAATAATCTCATTCTTCGAAAATCTATCATATATATTTTAATCTTTAAAAATACTTCCCTTTCATTGAAACGAATTTACCTAGCTTACATATTTAAGTAGATAGAAACTCAACGGGCATAGAATTGGGTGAGATTCTTAATTAAAAAGTCTTTAACAATCTCTTTATATTTTTAATTTTATTATTTTTGAATAATATAAACCATGTATTTTTTATTTCATAAATATGTTTCATTTGTGTTTAAACATATTAAATTATGAACTCGTGGTTATGGCAAATCAATCAAAATTTTATCAAAATCTAATTTCTCATTGATGTTTATAACTTTATGACCTCAATTTTAAATTTTATGACCAAACTGGAACCCAGAGAAATAAGATAAAAGGGAAAAACCAAAAAACTCTATCTAGATAATCATTTTGTCATTGTGAATGCTCCAAATCTACAAAGGAAAATGTTTAGTTTATTATTATTCATTTTATTATATGAAATCGAAAATATGTAATACATTAATTGTCCGTTTTATTAATGAGCCTACTAATTCCCTGAAAGTGGTTTTGGGAGAAATGTTTAATAGTAATATATATATTTTTTATGGTCTATAGGCATATAAATCAGATGGATGTATATAATAACAAATTTTTGAAATAAAAGTAATAATAATTATACTGATATTGATATATTTTACTCAAGAATACTAATTAATCAATTTTATGTAATATTCTGTTTATAATTGCTATCTGATTTTTTTTCTATCTATTGAACTATTCATCTTCATTATTTATTAATCATATGGTTATTCTAGTAGTAATTCAATCGCTTGCTTATTGAAATTCAGTTATGTATTTCTTGTAAATTCTTAAGACAATCTTTAAAATTCAAGCACTGATGTATTATAAGCATTGGATTATCGAACCTTTGCTGAGATTTCCCCTTTGTATTCAAAAGGATATACTAAGTCTTTTGACGATCTAAACCGTCTGAGATTGAGGACATGTTCTTTCTCAACTTTGATTAAATTATGAATAAATCCTAATCATAATTATAAAAAGACATTACGTCTTGTTAGTTCCATGATTCCAACGATCATAATAAATAGTTACTAATTTGGAACCTTCAAATATAAATACATTTATGGACTGATTGTGAAGGCCCAAGCTGAAATAACAAACATATTTAATATAATGAGAAAATAATAGAAATGTGGATTAATGAAAGCTAAATCACTTCTTAAGAATTTAAATTTAGAATCTGGCTATAAGAATAACCAATCATTTTTAATTTCCCAATATTATTAAAGGATTGTGAATGTACCAGCCAATATTATCCATAAAATGGCATCAGTTTTATCAAATTTATTCAAACATCCAACAATACCAACAGATACAGCAAGTAAATTCTTTAGAAAATTCCACATTTCCAAAGTGTTATAAAATTTACCATTTTTTTTAGCCAAAGTTAAACAATGTAAACATTTTAGAGAAAATACAACTATTAGACATATGTCTCCTACTATTCGCTGTCCTTATTCACACTCCTTATAATGTTATATCTCCTCATTATCATTGAATAACTTAATTAAATAATCACTCTTACATCGTTCGAATAATAGCATATTGTGTATTCTAGGTCTCTTATAGGTGAAAAAAGAGATACAAATTAATCTAGAACAAAAGTATACCTAGCATCATAGGCTAAAAAATGAGAGAACAAAGCACCCTTTAACATTCTATACATCCATCGTCTGCCTTACCCATTGAATTTCTTGATTGTTGGAATCAATAAATATCCAAAAAATATTACCCAATATAGAAGTGGAAGTACCTTTATTATATTTTTATAGTCTTTAAAAGCTATTTCTTCAACTTAGATGCAAGTAATTAAAAATAACAGTAAATATATAGTGCTTAAGAAACTTACTCTTTTAATAACTTCAGTTAATGTAGAGAAGTGATGGTTAAATCCTAAATAAAGTTTGTAATTAATTTAATATTTAATCCATATATATTAATCCAGAGTCAATAACCAATAATAGATTAGTAATAACCCACCTCCTCTTATTGAGGGAAATATCGGAGAAAATAATTCTTCATTTTCAGGATCCAGCATACCTTCCAATCTCATCAATAATAAAATTGTTATAATCACCACACTAACGCCAAAAAACAGACCAAATAAATAAATGTTTGTGGATCCTGTCTTTTTCTTTATTGAATACTTTTCCAAATTTTTTCTGCATGTATCTGGATCATAAGGATAAAAATTGAAGCTTAACAATTAATGGGTTTTAGACTTATCATCATCCAATTTGATATTTAACTATTCGAGTATTGCAATGTCTTTTATTAAAATTTCAATCTTAAAACAGTATTGAACTTCATACTAGAGTTACTACATAATTCTTATGTGCAATTAAATAAATGATTGAAATTATAGCTATTACATATAAAGTTCATAGAACTATTGCTTTAAACACTCTTTCTTCCTTTTATGATATTAGTCCTATATTTGCATTAACTTTATTTGCTCCTATAATTATTGTGATTTGCATAATAAATCTTGATACTTATAGAGAATAAATGATTCTATTTTTTATAATTCCTAATCTAAAACTAATAAAAATGAAGATTTGTCTTTATCTATTTTATCTTATACTTCTAAATTTGAAACCAACTCTTAATATTTCTAAGGTTTGACAGCCTTTAGACTATTTTTTTGATGACGAAATTCTCCTGCCACGATCATCAAATGTTCGAGAGTTTCATAATCCAAATATAATCTCAACCATTCAGGTACCATTTCTTATCTGTACTATTCCTAATCAATCTTCTCCAAATAAGAAGGCAAGGCATAAAAGAAATTCATTATTTTTGTTTTATTAAGTAAATTTCATATAGAATTTTTATATTCTCTAATAGTTATCGACCTAATTTCAAAATTTATCGTCAACATAATACTTCTAAAATATATATAGACGTACCAAACAATTATTTATAATACTCAATATTCTTAACACAAAAGCAAATATCAATAATTCTCTTGAAATAAATAATTATTAATTATTTGTATTATCCAATAAAATTCAACTGAACTCCTGTCTTTATTGGATTTCAAATTATGATTCTAGCTACAAAATTTTGTCACTTAATAAAATCCAACTCACAAACGAGGTCCTAATGTAATTGAAAAGAAGGTGAACCTAACTACATAAAATTAATACTATAAATATCCTTATTTTACTATATGATATATTAAACTGTTTGAATTGTGATTTTCCTTTCTAAACCCTCTTCCCTTGTAAATTCTACATGAATTTTCAATTTTAGGAAGCAATATAATGTTTTTATAAATAAGATGCTTTAACTATTTGTTAAGCATTGATTGGTGGTTAACAATAACTCTTTTGATTGTGTGTTTAGACTCAACCTTAAATTAGCAGTGGAACAAAAATTTATTTTAATTTAATATAGGTCAGAATTTAATAGAAAAAATTCCAATCACTATTTTTAGTAATAACTAATATTAGTGACAATCTTATTTATTTCCAAAAAGCATCAGAAGTAATTAGATATTATTCCATTCTTCCTAGGAAGCTTTAAGATCTGGATTAATGAATTGATATTAGTTAAAACATCATAATAGAAATATAATCGTTAACAATAGTATGTATTTCTTAAGTTTCTTATTAAAAATCTCTCTCTAGAACCAACCAATTTAAAAACTAACATTAAAAGGATCATTTATCAAGACAACCACATCGATATTCTGCAATTTTGTAGAGATATCTAAATCACAGGACAATAGGAGAATTTGTATTTAAAGAAAAGTATAAGAAGGAGATACAGATGACAGTCAATTATAAGGGAATCTAGTGGTTGGATGGATTCTATAGAAGTTAGTAAGAGAATTGGCTCTTATAACCTCCTTCCCAATAAGTAGATATAATAAAGTTAGGCTATTATTTTGTTGCCAATCACTTTCAAGGAGACTAAGGTTTGGATGTGCAATAAAGCATGAGACTCTATTTACAGAGAAGGTTTAAGAGTGAAAATTTCTTCGATTTGTTAGTGTCTGTAAGAAAATTTATTTGAAAAAAAAAAATCTATATTGAAGTTTAATCTTCAACATTAATACAAAAAATAAGAATATTTGAATTTTTTAAATATTATTTAAATTTCATGGCACTTTGATTTACCTGTCATGATTCAAATCCGAAATTGAATTTCAATTTAGAACATTAATTAAAAATACAAATGAACTACTCAACTATTTTATTGATTGGATTGGTTGTCTCTATCAATGGAGCCATTACCTACACGATTGGCTCTGAACTATGTTCTTGTGATACATTTTCAACAAGTGCTGACTGTGGTTAGCTTGCATCAAGTTGTGAATGGGTATCAAATGAATGCCAAGATATTGATTGTACAACTAAAACTACCATTGGAGATTGCAATAAAAATGGATGTGCATTCACAACAGCAAGCAAATGCGAAAAGAAAACATTGTGTGCTAATTACAAATACGATTCAACAACTGGTTGTAATAACATTGGATGTGATGCAGGCACAAAAGGAAATGATAATTTGTATCCTTGCAAAGATTATGCAGCTGCTACTTCTTACACCAAAGATTGTGGAACCTACACAGGTGAATCAGATTGTATAGCAGCTTAATGCAAATGGTCTACAAAATGTGTCCCTAAAACTTGTGCCGATTTAACTTAATAGACATGCACAAATATAAGAGGTGAAGTATTCAATACTAGAACTCTATGTACTTGGGATGCCACTAAGTCAGTATGTGCAGATGCTACAACTGGATTGACAAAGACCTAATGCTTATCATACACTTAAGGAACTTATTCATGGAATGATGACAGTTCCGTTTGTGAAGAATGTTCATCAAGTTATGGAGAATTAGTCATTGCTTCAATGGTTCTAATTAACCTTTTGTTTTGAAATTTCGATTTATATATGCACAATCAAATATTATTAATTTAAATTGTAATATTATATATCTTATTTATAATTACTCATTCTATTTGTAATATTTGTTGATTGCCTAAAGTGTTTGCAAATGATATGACCTCTTACACCTAATCTAAGTATTGGCTAGTGATATACTCTAAGATTCGCTCACTTGCACCTGATAAGAAGTGGCAATTCTATTTAGCTCCTATTGATATCCCAGACCCATTTATATCCATAAAGAAAATCTTTACTTTTGGATTTACTTCTGTTATGTACGAATTCAAAAGATACTCAAAGCTAATGTTGTCCTTTCTAAAACATTTCTAGACAGCCATATCTGAAATTATAACAATGTTATCACAGAAGATCTTTGGCTTATACAGCAAATCCTCAATTGTTTGACCGATCATGGCATAATAGTTCCCAATTTGTCTTCTTACCATGTCACATTTTTGAACAGATTCATAGAGGTCTTCATCTGTAAAATTAACCCTTAAGTAAGGTTCATTGTTTTTTTGGCCCCCAAAAATATAGAATTCCATATATTCGCATTTAACTCTTAGGATCTATGAAATTACAAAGGCTACTGTTTATAAGCTCTTATTTCCTAATTCATAACTCATTGATCCAGTTACATCAACAAAGATATGGGTTTTTCCAGGAATTGTGGGTATAGTTTTAATTGCAATATCAATTGCATTAGAAATTAATTTATAAATTAAATTTGCTCTATCATTTTTCATTTAAATGAGTACTTCCAAAGTCTTATAATATTGCAACATTGTGACCTTGTTTTATGAGATTATTTAAGGATTGCTTAGATATTATTGCAACAATGAGAATGCTTTTGGTGATAGATAACCAGAGAGAATATTCCTAAGATTTCTAATAGTAGCCAGGAAGGTAATCCTATTCTCTTTGATCAGTTTATCCCACACTTTATCATTTTTTTATTAACTTAACTCCCTTTCCCAAGTGATAATATTTGGTAGTTTCATTCTTTTTCCGCATTTCTGCTATTCAAATACCCTGTCATCTTGTGGGAATAACTGTTTGAATTCATCTTGGTTTAGAGGGTATCGACACCTCAAGATGCACATAACATTATATTTTGGTTAGCTGATGTGAAACATTTAAATAAGATCCTTCATGGTAATGAATTTTCTTTCTAATGATTTTACAACTCTTTATTTTTTGGAGTGCTTAAACTTTTTTTGAATTTGCTTCTATATTTACCTAGCCTATTTTCTGTCTTTTTTGATGATGACCTTTTTCTTTAGCTTCTTCTCTGCTAATTACTAATATTTTAGCTTTTAACCTCTTTGATGATACCTCTTCATAAACAAGGTTGGGTCAACTAATTCTGAAAATCTGTAGATGATCCTTTTTCTCCTTCTATCTGAGCAGTATTTGGCCAATTAATGAATAGTAAATTATGGAAATTTGCTGGCTCCACACTTTTAAAGCATTTTTGAGAAATTTAATTCTTTTCTACAATTTATACTGTAAGGGATGCATCTTAGATATCCATTTTCATATCCTTTCCATTCAAGTTTCAAATAATAACGCATCAATTGTGAATATTCAGCCACTTCAATCAAGTCAGTTGGTAATTTCACAATGTAATTAAAATATTTCCTACAATAAGGTTTGCAAGCATCATAACTTGTAGCAAAAGCCAATATAAAATTGGATGTAGCTCTAACCAATAATTTATTTCTAGTGTAATAGGCCACTTGCAACACAAATTCAGGATCCTTATCTGCCATCTAAAGAAGGGATTAAAACAATTCATCTCTCGTTCTATCTTGATCAGCATAATATTTTTTATCCTTCAAGATTTAGGAAGAAGCTATGTTGAGTAATAGTTATCTTGGATCCTAAATTTGTTTACAAATTTGATTATCATAGAATTTTTCTATAAGTTCATAAAATGACATGACAATTTATTTCAATTTTTAATAATAATGAAATTTAAATCAATCTGCTCCTTGATGTAAGTCTCTACCCTCAGTAATAAATGTAATATTGTCACTTTTGTAGGTAGAAAGTCAATTAAGTTATTGAAAAAGGTTAGTTATGATCCTATGAGTCCTTAATAGTGAAGTCTAACCGACTAAAGATTTATAGACTAAAATCAGTAGCATCATTTATAATTTCTTATTAATTCATGGAGTAAAAATAGAGACTTTTCCAGAATTTTATTTTGAATGTAATTCTAGAGTTTAGATTTTAATAGATTTTTCTAAGCATTTCTGTCATCCAAGTCTGACATCTATCTACTTCTCAGTCAATTTAATGGAAGTATTGTTTTTAAATAGAAATAGTAATATTGTGTCATTAATTGGTCATTAATTACATTAATTGATTTCATTATTATTTTTTATAAATATATGATAAAGAAATAAATAAGCTCAATCTAATAGGTTGTTAAGACAGGAACTTAGATTGTGGAATATTCCTGGTTTTAACATCATGATGTTTTCAGTGAGCCTCCGATGAACAACTGGAAATAGACAATAATGGATAATTTTGAATGGTTCCTCATTCTAATGGTTCTGGTCTATTGTGTGACGTTCATCTTCATGTACAAGAATTTTAGTTAAAAATCTCATAAAATAATTGTGCACGTTAGAAAAGAGAGTGCAACCAGTGATGAATTGCAAAAGTAATACGTGTATACTAAAGATGTAGTTCGGTTTATCTAGGCACTGAGCAAAATGAAAAACCAAAAAAAGACTAAACTTCAAGTACGGAATCATCACCTAGAAATATTTAAAATGAACCTCAAAATAACGCACTTGTGTTGCCTGATCAAGCTTTTAATTTAAATGGGCATAAAGTGTCTGAATTACGGGAAAAAATCATCCAATGGGAAAGACATTAAGAGGGCAATATGATAACCTAGATAGAAACAAAGAAAGTGCAAATTAAAGCAAGTGACGACCATTTACAATTTGTGACTTCCCAGTTTGGAGATTTGAATTAGAAAAATGCTAAGGGTGTCCATATGATAGAATAGGATGATGGAGATGGGAAAGCAGAAAGAATTATTCACATCCTTACAGATTGGAGCAGATATTGTGAAACTGGAAAGTTCCAGAAATTGTACGCTCTTCCTAAGCTTATAGGCAAAGGGGCATTTGGAGAAGTCTACAAATCTCAAAAAATCATTGATCTCAAAGAATATGCAGTCAAAAGAATTTATTTTAAAGTTTAAAATGAAAAAACCTTAAGAGATCATCCAATTTTTAGAGAGATTGGATCACTCTAAGAAATTAATCACAAAAATGTAGTTAGATATTATACTAGTTGGATTGAAGAGTTAACTAAAGACAATTTAGCAGACATTGCAAAATTACATAAAATTGTAGATGATCAAAAATAAGCCAAATTAAATGATGTTTAGGATTCATTTTAACCTCAATTGATGGATGACATGTCTTCTATAAATAATTATGTTTAATTTGTTGGAGGAAATGATACAGATAATGAATAATAAATTTAAACTATTTCAAAACAATCCAAAACTGTGCCTAGTTTTCATCTCTCAGATTGCAGTAGTCATATTCAATCTCAAATGCGTAGATATCACTTTAATCCCAATTCAAAAGATGAGTAATACTAATTATTTACCTTATACATTGAAGTAATTGTTAATCTTAATAAAATTAGATGGAATTATGTGATTATACATTGAAAGATTTCATCGATAAGGTTGATAGAAAAAAAGATTACCCTCTAATTAAATCTATATTCATCTAAATACTGGAAGGAATCATTTATATGCATACCAATCAATATATTCATAGAGATTTGAAGTAACTTATTTAATCTAAACATTAAGACCTCAGAATATATTTATTAATTCAAAGAATGAAGTCAAAATTGGAGATCTCGGACTTTGCAATTCTTTAATTATAAAAATGGATGACGAGTTCACTTCTGGTTCTGGTGAATACACGAATAATGTTGGAACTCCTTTGTATATGGCTCCGGAAGTCAAAGATGATCTTTACGGTTCGGCTGCTGACATATACCCTTTAGGAATAATATTATTTGAGATGATGTGGGAGATGAAAACTCACTACGAGAAAAGTAGGTAATCATTTATAATTTAATTTAGATTGATACAAAATCTTACCAAAGATTCTATCTTACCTCCAGATATATTTAAGAATCATCCTGTTGAAGCAGAATTGATTCTTAAAATGGTTAATAAGAATCCAAACAAAAGGCCAACTGCTCAATAGGTTTTAGATTCTCTACACAAATAATGAAAATATATGACACTATCACAAATCTTTTAATAATTTATCAACGTATTCCCAATCTTACAATTTATTTCCATTCACATATTCCCCAGTCATTATGGTTAAACTGTCAAAGTATTACTGAAACACTTCAATCCATTTACCATTTTTCATCCCATTAACCAAATAAGACCCACCGCCACTTTAGTCATATAATTTCTAAATACATCTCTTCTTAATGCATAATAGACCATGAACCTACTCTAGTATTATTTTTGTATTCCCCTATATATTTCAATATTCTATAAATAATAGAGACCTGAGTAATACATTAGATTGCAATATCCAATATGTGGCACTATTTCTATCCACCCATCAACCTTTATTCCTTTTGAAGTGTATCTACCCCCACCACTAAAATTCACTATTCATATTTACTTAATTGTGCTGGATCCATGTTGAGTAATCTGCCATTCTCCTGTTCTTATACCATCATCATAATTTCCAAAATATTTAAGAATTCTTTTTTTACAATAAAAATTACATTGAGCAACCTCCTCCCACTCTTACATCCACATCAATCCATTTACCCATCTTAGTTCCAAAATCACTATATTATCCTCCCCCACTTTATATTTATTAATATCGTTACATAAATTCTCCACCTACTTTTGTGATGGCCCATTTTCCTTATCTTACCCCATTCGAATATAATCCATTGTATTAAAGAACTACTTCTGAGTTATAGCCAATGTAACATATCACCTCTTACCATTAGCCTTCCTTAATTCCACTCAATGAATAGTTGCCTCCTCCACTTTAAATTTATCAAAAATAATTACATTAACTCCTTATTTGCTTTCTCAATATTCCATCTACCAACCCTAACTCCGTGGTTGTATTCTCCTATATGCAATAAGGTAATGGTATCCTCAATCCCGTCATGAGCTGAAATTTCTACCCATTCACCATCCTTACTTCCTGATTTTGTATAGAAACCAGAAGAACTTAATTAAACGAACATTAATTACACAACTTCCCTCTGCTCATTTTAAACCACCCAATTGCCTGTTCTGATTCCACTCCTATACTCGCCTATGTGATATAGGGTCCTAAAGTAAATAATAGATTTTACAAGTATTTTCCAACTCCAACATGCACTTCTACTTCCTTCCATCCACCCTCTTTAAATCCATACTTATTATAGCATCCTCCTCCTAATTAATTCCCTTTATACAATTTAGTAATCCATAATCCTGATCTCTTACCACTACAGTATTCACCCTCTGAAATGATAATCCTTTTCCATATTTTATATGCTTACACAAAACATCTCCATCCAACTTGCATTTCTACTTCAACCCAATCAGATTCCTTCTCACCAGATCGAGAATATAATCCTCCCCCACTTATTAAATGATATTTATTTTATTATACATTACTCCTTCTTATTACTCTGATATCACCCATTTACCTATCCTTTTATCAAGATTATAATCTCCAGTGTATATTAAAGTTCTAAAATCAAATGTTCATTAATACTTTGTACTATAATAGCCACAATAGATTTCAATATCTGTCCATTTCCCATCTTTCTAATCTTAAATGTAGTTCCCTCCACCTATAATAGTATCAGATCCCTCTTTGTAAATGTTCCAGATTCCAATCTTCTGTCCCTTTTTATATTCTCCTTTGTGTAATAAAATCCTAAAACTATAAATCCATTTAATTACTATGAACTGCGCCACCCAATACAAATTTCTACTTCAGTCCAAACTCCTTTCTTGTATCCTTTGCACAAACCTCCTCCAATCTAATTTCTACAGATATCCAGCACTTTCCAATTCCCTTATCTTAATCCTGCCTTATAATCTCCGACATGCAATAAAATTCTAATTATAGTATCAAATACATAGAAGATCCAACCCCAACATGAACTTCAACTTCTGTCCACAAACCTTCTTTTAAACCAATCTAAGAGTAATTTCCTCCACCACTTCCTTTTTAATTGAAAAAACCTTACATCTACCCAGAATTCAACTCGGATATCAACCACAGACCGACTTTTACGCCATTAACATATTCACCCTAGTTTAAAATTCCCATTGAACACCAGAAGCCAGCATAGCCTTCAACATCTGTCCAAAGACCGTGCTTTAAACCTTGCAAATATGCTCCGCCTCCTCTAATATTTAGTATCATACTTACACCTATCCTCTATTTCCAAAGATCGTAGCCCATTCACCGTGTCTTACTCCATTCACATACTCTCCTTTATGAATAACAATACTAATTAATTTTCAATTATACATCCTTCCCCACTTGCCTATAAATACTTCAGGCTCAACCCACAATCCAATCTTCTATCCGCCTTCAAATTGACCTCCTCCGATGACTGATTAATCCTGATTGTAATAAAACCAATGATTGACTCTTAGACCTTAATGATACTATCCTCGAAATGTTCTTTTATATTATGCGAGTGACTTACATACTAAAATCCCGGTTATGATTATAGTAGAGAACTTCTGACCACATGCCAGATCTAAGTCCATTGTCGTATTGGCCTATCTTATTTAAGCGTCCATTGGTTAACAAGTAACAGATCCCGATATTATTTTAATTGTATTCCTTTACAGCCAATGTATACTCTCCTTCTTGAAATTCTTTTAATTTAATTCCCAAGGCTATTTCATCAAGTGGGTATATGGTAAATTTGGAGGCTTGTTCAAGCACTGATTTGGAATACTAAAGCAACTGATTGATTTGGCTTTGCTTATGATCTGCCATCTATTGTAACTTTTCAGGCATCATAAGTTATATCACTCTATCCAAATGTTCATTTGACAATGAGGTTGTGAATGATTAGCTCTAAAATCCATCGATTAAATAATCAAACAACTCCAATTCTTTGAATATTTAATCCTGGATTACATCTGAGGCTCGTTGTACAGAGTTGATAACATCTCTTATTTTCTTAACCAGCAACTTTGATGCCTCGTCTAATTAAATAATTGCATCGGAAAACTTCATTTCCACAATCTCTCTTATTTTCTTTTTAGCTGATACTACAGTGTCTTCTAATTCGCTAACACTGATGCAACATTCAGTGTGAGATTTATGATGAGAACTTAAACACTTTTGGCATCCCCACTTTTATTAGCATCGAGGATGCAGACAAAATAAAGTTATTTCTCTATCGAAATGGTTTTTCTCTTTGCATTTAGGAGCATTCATCTTATTTAATTTCTGAATTAAAATTTTATTCTTAAATAGAAATAACAATAATATTCTTACAAATCCCTTGTTCTCTTTTATTTTAGAGAATATGAAATAATATGAATCTTGATTTTAGAAATAAATAGACTTTTTATATATAAATTGTTTTAATAGATTGAATTAATAACAATAAATAATCACAATATTTTAGATTAATCAAATAATTAGTTCATTTCCAACATGTCATCTATCTACTTAGAAATAGAAGAAATATATGGTGAAACTATATTGTTAAACATCAGATTTTTATATATTTAATTTTTGAAAACTCTTCTAGATTAGACCATCAGTTATATTATTTAATACTGTAATAGTTTGATTATTTTATATGTTTGGAGATAAGTTAGTCTATAAATCATAGTTATCATAATCAATAATGTTTGAATGACTTACAATACTATTTTAAATGTAAAGAAATTTTCTAAAATCAAGAGAATTTTAAAAAATCCCAAAATCAGTTAAAATTTACAATTATAGCCTCATTTGAATAATGAAGCTATCAATTAAAATATTTATTAACATAATTTAGAATCTAACATAACGTTAGACTTTAAATTCTATAAATGAAACTTAAAATAAGGTTAGCAAATTATATAAAGACGTAGAATATAACAATTTAAATTATAAACAAGATATGAAAATAATTGAAATTCTCCAAAAAAATAATTAGAAAATTTACAACTTCCAAATTATAATTTATTTTACACTTTAGGCACTTCAAAAAAGGTTAAAAGACTTGGATAATATGTAATTCTTGACTCAATATGGAAATGGGATGATGTTAATGCTCAAAAGTTATCTTACCTTAATATGTGCACAGCATTAAAATATATTATTCTGTATTGAATAGAATCTATTTTAATTGTGAATACAAGTTTTTAATAAATAATTTATTAAAGAATAAATAATTAAAAAAAATGTTAAATGCTGACTACATTTAAGCTTTGTCTTTACAATTTTCCATTAATGCAGAATAATTTATACTGTACGATTAACATAGGGATCCAATTTAGAAACAATTCATTTGTTAATATTGGTTACGAGGTACTTGCTGTTTCACTCCAGGTATTGGTTTATGAAATATTTAGACTTTTGTCATTTTGCCCATGGAATCTAATATTTAGAATATAAAATAGATTCAATAACAAATTTAAAACCCTTACCTAGCTTAGAAGATGTAAAATTGAAATATAGAATTGATGGTTTCCCAAAATAATATTTTGTGGTTGAGAAATTTTAATCACATCCAAAAGTCAAGGAAGAATTGAAAGAATATCATGAATATATTGGAAAATATTATGATCCCAATAAAGTTTACACTTTAAGAGAAATTAAGTTTGAAAGATCAATCAAACCAATTATACTTAATACTATGTATTTGTTGGAAATTTAAAGCTTTTATGAAAAAATCTTAGAGATGCTACAAGTTAAAATAATTCCCAGAGCTGTGTTCATTCATGAATTAAACAGAGTTGGGTACTCATTTATGGGTAAGATTTGTATAATATTGAACTCTAGGAAGTCACTTTGCAAGGCCTAAGACCCTAATATTCCATTTATAGAACAGCGGTTCTTGTTTTTCCAAGACTCTTAGAACAAATATAGTGATAACTGGATATGATGAATCAATTTTGAGAAAATAAAATTCTTTGAAAGTCCTTAAGCAAGGGGTGGCTAAATAAAATATAGAATAAAATGATAATTAGGATGACGTGAATAAGGAAGATAATGATGACTAAGATGAAGAGGAGGAGGATGAAATGATGGGATTGGATGATCCAATAGAAACTAAGGAGGGCGAAAAAGAGATTATTTTTCTCATTAAGGTTGATGATAAGAAAGAGTTGATAAAATCTTTTGCTTTAAAATTATAGGAAATCTTAACAGCATAACCAGAATTAGCTAAACTTACAGATATGGATGATTTCTAATTGGCAATAGATGAAAGAATTAAAGAAGAAAATCATATAAATTTTTAGAAGTAATAGTAGATTTTCCCAAATTTGCATCAGATTTTGACAATCAAGAATTAAATTTGGGATGAATTTGCTGAAGAACATGGATTTCAACACATCAAATTTACAAATTCAAGAGATTCAGGAATACCAATAAGTTCAATAGTGAAATATTTCACTCCTGAACAAAAGTTGGAATTAACTAATTATCTATAGAAACCAAAAATTAAATACTTTCTATGTTAATATTGGATGAGAGGCATTTGCATTTTCCAAAAGAAGGATTGCAGATTTGCTCATGGTTTAGAGGATTTGGAATTAAATTTCGATATCGCAAGAGATTTTGAACATTTGAACTAAGAGTAAAAGCCATTAAGATACAATTAGAAGCCATTGATTAATCATAGAACTTATTAAATTTTATTCTTGTAACAATATAAAATGATTGATTATGGAGTGTTGGGATAACATCAAAAGAAAAATATCTTCTAAATTGATAATTTGAAGGAATATAGAGATAAAATAAGGGAATTCATATAAAGAGAAATGATAATAAATTTATATAAAAGGATCTCAAATGGTAAACCTTAAAACAAAGGTGAGATAATGAAATATTACAATCTGGTTGGTTTTATCTAGAGAGGAATTGATCTGTCAGAATTGAAGATAATTAAGTTATTAATTAATAATGATGCAGTATTTGAGAAAGAATCTATAGTAAAAGTGCATCAGATTGAATAGGATGGTTTAAGTAAGAAAGAGAAAAAGAAGGTTACTTAAAAACAGATTCTATTAATTCCTGTATTGGATTATAATGTCTATAACAAATTTTATGAATCAATCATTTTCTAAGCCTTAATCAGTGTTTTGAAGAATAAAGTGGAATTGCCAGTTGAGGAGAGTGTAGTAAAGAAGGAAATCTATAAATTGGATTAAGTATTAGAGATGCCAGGACTATATCAATTTTTCCTCAGACATCCCAAGAAGAAATATACATTGATTGATTACTTTTAAGAGAATATCTTAGGCTAAGTTAAGAATAAATTGAAAGATCAAATACACCCAGAAGTATATGAGTAAATATCTGAAGATGGTTTTAATTTGATTTCATTTGAGGCTGACATTCCTCAATTGATGGCTATAATTCAAGCTATTTATGGAAATGTCTTGAGTCATAATCAAATTCCAATCAATTTTGATAAATTGATCAAGTAGATAGAAATGAAAGCAAGTGATAATGATAAATACAATTGTTTAGTAAATTATTTGCATAAGGACAAATTACATAAATTTTTCAGTATAAATGGAAGTCTTTATGTAATCAACTAGCATGGAAAGATAGTGGATAAAATTAAGAAATGCAAATGTGGGAAGCAATATCAAGCACCTGCAAAAATAAAATAAATCAATAATAATATGCTCATATAAAAAATAATGGAAGTCTAAGAATTTATTGATAAAGATGTAAGAAACACTATAATTGTGGATTCAGCAGAAAAATTACTGTTGGTATAAGATTTCATGTCTTTCGATGTTAATTACATTGGTATAGATTTAGAAGGATAATTAAGGAAGGGAGATATTTGGCTAGTATAGATGGGTGTAATGATTGAGAATTTGAGAATCATCTTCATTTTTGATTTAATGAAATCTAAGTATTTGGAAGCCGATTTAGTGTTTCACGAATAGATGATCAGTGTGATTAGATTGATTTTGGAAGATGAGGGGATTTGCAAAGTATTTCATGATTGTAAAAGAGACAGTTAAGCTTTGCATATCAACCATATATGTCCAAAGAACATTGCAGATACAAGTAGTACATATATATTTTTGGAATCTCTTAAATTGAATGATTAGGAATAGAAAAAAGTGAAAAAGAAGTAAGATAATAGATTAATATTATAGTCCAATACAAATATCTAAAGAAGTGTTATAAGTGGCGACTCCACCAATTAATAGTGTATTAACTAAATATGGAGCTTTGTATGGAGGAAATGAACTGAAAGAAGAAATGCATGCGAAATTCAATAATTGCAAAGCAGACGATTTCTTTGCTCGTCCAAATCCAGCCTTCATGTATTACAGTGCTAGGGATGTGGAAGATCTTGTTTAAGTGTATTTGCAGATGGAAATGCTCGCTTTGGATTATAGATACATCATTGAGAAGATGAGTAACAAAAATAAAGAGTATTTTCTTAAGGGTTAGGATAAAATTTAGGATAAGTGATTTGTATATATATTTATATATATAATAATATATAAATTAATAAGAATGTTACCTAAAATGTTAGGTAATATTTAAATTTTGATCATCATTAGATGCCTCCTTCTTGTATGGAGAGAAGAGATTCTTAAAGAAACTGAATAGACAACAAGATGAAAAGTATTATGTTATTGATTAGTAATGAGATTAATTAAAATCAAGAAATGACATTTGAGGAGGTATTATCTTCCAATATTGATTGTCGAGACAAGATAGAGAAGTTAGTTTCTGATCCCAATTTATAGAATGATTTTCTTATTAAAGCACACAATATAAACAAAGATCTAAAAGAGTTCTATTATTTGCCTTTGGTTGCATTGACTTTAGATCCTCCCAGTTATTATCCGGTAGATACAATTGATATTGAAACTATCTTTTAACACTTTGGATAAGTAACAAATCATTCAATTATACGAGATTCTTAAAGTTATCAATAAAGATAAAATAGCCTATATATTAATGAGAAGCATCGTTGAATGTTGGATTGCAGTCAAACTACTCAATAACACCCCAATTGAATTGCCTGGTAGATTTGGAACCAATTAAATCCATACTCTTAAAGTGCAATTATGTTTTGAGGATTCTTCTGTTCATCACATTTATCAATTTAATCATCGAAATCTAACTGAAGAAGGATTGACTATATAGAAGGTAAGAAGCATAAAATTTTAGGAAGACTCCAGACCTATTCGATAATTTAGAAAAAGACTACAAATATATATCTATCTTTGAAATTGATGTAGATGCGTTTTAGAAAGATTTCAATATCAAGTAAAGAATATTGGGATTGAAGGGTTCAAATATAATCAGAATATTGTATTTAGTGGAAAAAGCATTTGCATTTTAAAGCAAAGAGAATACAAGTACTAAATAAGAGTTGGATGTAAAATTATTGGTTGATGAATGTAAATACTTATTTTATTTAGAGAATCTGAGAATTAGTTGATTTTGCTTGGCAACTAATGGAATAAATTTGTATTAGCTTAAAAATATGCTAATGAATTATTTGCTTAAATCAAGGAAGAGTTCAAATTTTTCTAAGATTTTCAACTCCAAGGATTAAAAGAGTCCAGAGTAAGAAGAATAGATAAATTTGTTCAACCTGTAGAGGTTTAATATTCATATGATGCAGATGTGTGATTAATATTTTGAGTATTCTTCATTAATATCAAATTATTAATCTTTATTTTCTAAAAAATTAAATCTTCTGAAAATTCACTTAAAATCTCAGTTTAAGAGCATCCTAAGATTCTCGCACTTATACTGTCATAACACATAGAGAGTGAGAGAATTATAAGGTTGAGTATTCCTGAGAATCTTGTTTACAATCAATCCTTATTAGATCATATGAAATTCAAATAATAATTATAATATAAATTTCATTGATCTCTTGAAGGACTTCCAAATGTTTTTTTTCGATAGACTTGCAAATTTTGAACTTCCTAACATAATTACTAATATTCATTTTTGATGAATTTTATCATTTCCTCTTTTGAGAACTAATTCTATGAATTACTATTTATGTCACTTATATTCTGTCCTTATTCACCTTATTCATTTACAAGCTCTTTTATTTAGTTCAAGATTCGAGTTAATCTCTTCTAATTATCACCTAGATTAGCTCTTTTGTTCATTTAATTAATTTTGATTGTCTGACTAAGGGTTTTATGAATTAAATTTCCTCATAATATTTTGAATTTTAAATAATTTGAGCTGATCATTGAACTGATTAAATTTAATATCAATATTCTTGTCTGTAGTCATGTGATCTATCCCTTAATAATAATTATCATTAAATCTATTATATAGTTTAAATGTCCTTCTTTATATATTGATTATTAAATTAATATTATTCCAAATTGAAGTGATAAGCAATTTTATTTTGTGAATAATACTATTAAAATTATTTCATTTAATATTTATTTTGAATCCCTCTTAAATTTATAAGCTATTATAAATTATCTTAGGTGTTTATTTACATCATTTAATTTTTAAGCTAAATTAATTTCAAAGCAGATTGAGAAGAAATTCAAGTAGCAAATATTATCCTCACATAATGCGAATAAATTTTATTTTTATTATTCTATACAGTCCTGATTATAAAATCATTCTCTAAAGTATATAGAGATAGTCTCTTTATTGGCTTAACTTTCATTAATAAAAGATAATAAAAAGCTTTTAGGCTCATGATTATACTTTTTAGATGACAAGGTGTAGCATTTAATAATTTATATAAAATGTTAAGGGGTGGCGGGGCTTGTACTTCTTAAACTAAACAGCAATCTCTTTCCATCAGCTCATTATAAATTTCAAATCAATTTGAGAATGTTCTCTCAAGTAATGTCCTATTGTTATCAAAAAATGCTGAGGATTTTAACAATAGTTATTCATAACTTTACAATAGTCTTTAAATACTGCTATCACTTGATCAAGAACTATATAATCTCACCAAATCAAGGAATCAACTCAATAAATAGGTTGAAAATTTAGAGAAATGGCTTACAGAAGTACTTGAATCATGTTTGAAATTAAAGAATCCATAACTTCGATATTTAGCACTCCAATTTGCTCAAAAATTGTCCAGGACTATATTTTGGTATTATTGTTAATCAAAGTCAATTAAAGATAGAATGCAGTAATAATATATTTCTACTTTAAATAAAATTGAGACTCAAAATAATGCAATAGACAGTTTTTACAAAAATATGATTGAATATGAAATTATGGTATGTAAGATGATATTTGTCATTTTGCCAAATGATCTATAAGAAGGCTTGGAAGTTATGGCCTTATTTACAAGTTACAATTAAATTCTAATGACGACACTTCCAAAATCCACTCAAGATACCATTAAAAGTGGGGTTGTTTAATCAATTAGAGATGCTACCAAAGTTCAATACAGAAAAATCTATAAATAAATATTTAACATAGATACAATGAAGTGGTGGGCCATTTAAGAACTCCGATAAAGTAATCATTCAGCAAAGGAAATCATCACAGAATTACACAACTTCCACAAGGATATATCAAAGTCTGATTATTATGTGCATTACGCTTGGATTTAAGCTGTCAGTGATATTGTATCATATGCCCCTTTAATTTCTGAAGATCAGATGTAAATTATAAATTCAGATCTATAAGATTTGATTGACATGGGATGTTTGTAAAAAATAAAGAATGAATATCGTGTGACATTTAATTTCATTAAAATGAAGAATCAACATTGTTAATAGCTGTATGACAAAATACCTACTTTTACCATGCTTAAATAAATATAATCTTAGATTATTACTTAAGATAAGTTCTTCAATTCTCTTTATAAGAAAAAGGAAGAGTAAAAGGAATCATAAAAACAGGACTAGGAAACAAAAAATGTATTTGAGTATCTTTTTTAATTGTTTGTTGAGATAGACATTGAGGCAAATATCGATTTAATCAAAAAAGCAAATTAAAGTTATATCGAATTAAATGAGAATATCACGTTAATTAAATAATTAAGTTTAAATAAGTGGATTAGAATGTTGGAGAAGAAATCCTATGATGATCCTGTTGTTTTTGGAGAATTTGAAGAAAAATAAAAGTAAATTAAACACTTGATAAATTAAGTCAAAGGAATTTAAAGATTCTTGATTCATTTTGATTTTATACTCTTGCAATGGAATATGATGGAATAAATAGCCAATTCTGAAGGAAAATAAACACAATTGCAATCTATATTTTTAGAAAATCAATAGAATTATTTGGATTGTCATTTAATAAGTAAAGCAAATTTGGAGAATTTGAAAGATATCCAATTATTAAACATTAATTTCGATGTTTACTTCTCAATAATTACTGAATTTATTGAGAAACAATATTAAACAGTTTTAAAGGTTGTGCAAGCAACGAGATCAACAGATCCAATAATCTCTTTATATAAATAGAATAAGGATATTACTGATATTGTATAAAACAGTTTAAGAAAAGTAAATGATAAAATAATACAATTTAAAAATGCTTTTATGCGCATTTCTTTGAAATTAAAATAGGTAGACTATAATTGCATCTAATAATTTTATCTGGTCTCATTGAGATTATAATATCTAGAATTTCCAAATCAATAATTTGAATTTAGAAATCAAGACCACAAGACTTTATTTTTTATTTAAGGATATGAGAAATAAATAATTAAGAGTCAATTAATTGAATTGCACAAAGAATTTCGAGAGTTATTTGCAAGTAGTTAGTTTCAAGACTACGAACAAGCAAAAGTTTACATAAGATCAATTTAATTTATAAGTAAAACTATTGACAATCTAATTTATCAGAATAAGAAGATCATCTAACATATTCACAATTATAAATTGTCTTTATAAATAGATTATGCATATGATCATTATAACGATTTAATAAATTAATGGAATACTATGTTTTAAATGGCAGAAGAATTGGACTATCAAAAATATGACTAATCATTCATTTAGATAAAATATGATGAATTAAAAAAGATTTACGAATCTATTTGTTAAATTAATACATCGATAAGATGGCCAGTCAATCCTTAATTAGCTTCATACTTTAAGATGTAAAATTAGTTAGAAACATTAATTCAAGAACTCCAAATTTATTAAAGTTACAATCTTAGTTAAGATCTAAACTCTTAAATTAGGTATTAGAGCATTATAACAAATATTAAACAAATATGTCTAAGCTAAGTGCAAAAGGTCAAATCAATTCTAGAGTAATATACATAAGGAGTTGATCAATTATCTAATAGATTGGAAAATCAAACTAATTTTTAAATTGAAGAATTGCAAAACCTATTAATAAGCGTACAAGAAGCCTTAGATGATACCTTGAATTTGGTTTAATCTAGAATATTAACATCCAATCAAAATTCAACCAGTGGTTCGATAAATGTTTTATAAAGTAATAAAAAACAAGATTTTGAGACATTCTATAATTATAAATTTAACACAGAAACAATTATTGTTATGCAATTTATTAAGTTCAATTTCAATTTTATAGACTAGAATGCAATTTTAGAAATACTGAAATCAGATGAAAATGACTTAGAAAATCTACATATAGTATAGTCAGCCATGGAATCTCCAATAATAAGATCAATTATGATTGTTAATTTGATAAATGTATGGAATTGTTGTTTAGTTGAAGAAGATTTTTATACTCTTAGTAAATTAATTTTATAAATTCGAATAAATGAGACTAATGTATTGATTAAAAGAGAAATCAAATCCACTTACAAAAAAGAGTTTAATTAAATAGTTAATAATTCACTTTAAGGTGAATTAGCATAGTTTGAGTTTGAATTGAAATAAATGATTTAAGAGAGAAATTCATTGTATTTTTAAATTAAATATGAACCAACCTTCGAACTTTCTTAAAAGTTAGAAGAAAAGATAAACAAATTGACAAATCAAATATAAACAAGAATTTAAAATTTTTAAGAATTAGAATAAGATTATCATATTGCTATTCCATTTTGCAATTAATTATTATCAGATTTTGAAAAAAGCTATCAAGGTTCTCAATCATTAGAACTACAAGAGATCAGTTTTTATCAAGGAAACTCAATTACTGAACTATTTCTATTGAGAATGGATAATATTTCGAGAAAAATAAAAATTGCTCAAGTTAAAAATACTTATGTTGAGTTTGAGTGTTAAAACAAAAGCAAAAATTAAATCAGATCATTATTTTCCCAAAAAGAAAAAAGAAATAGTACTATGGATAGATTTTTAGATGATTTACAATAGGATCGATTACTATTGTTACAAGGAGAGTCAGGATCAGGAAAGAGCCTAGCAACTAAAATGATTGAAGAATATGTTTGGAAAAGAAATGATCCAATCAAAATTATTCCAATAATTGTAAAATTGTCAGAGTTGAAGGATCCAATTAACAATGCTATAATTGAAACTTTAAGATCCTTAAATTATAAATTAAATGTATCTCAAATTGAATAATTATAAGCTCACATTAGATCGAATAAAATGCAAATGCTATTTATATTTTAAGGTTATGATAAACTCAATCAAAATTAAAAAAGTATCAATTTTCTTAAATCAAATAATTTAATTTCATGGAATACACCTTGTTTACAGAATACACCCAAATATATTCTTGTTACCAGGAGTGAACAATTTAAGAATCCTAATCATTTGCGTTGGATTGATTAAAATGAGGAAAACTATTAAATCAAAAATTATTGGAATTTAAAGATACTTCCTTTTGATACTGATTAAATCAATTAATTTTTAATTTAATACTAAGAAATAAGTATAAGAAATGTTGTTATGGATTTTTACTAACTCATGTGTGAATTTCCACATCAGGATTTATTGATCTATAATTTCATCTCATTTTGGAAGAAGATTAATTTTAATTTTAATGAGTAGAGTCTAGGAAATATATTACTCTCTTAACCAATTATCAATAAATTAATCATTACATTATAGCAAGACACAAACATCAAAAATTTTAAAGGTTCTATTACTTAACAATTGTCTAATTAATTAGGATAGTTAAAATCAAGTTATTATTATAGTAGAATGTTAGAAACTCTCTCATTTGATCAACCAATCGATAACCCATAAATCTTAAAGGTTTTTATATACGCATTACCAAAATTAATCTTAAATTTACCTGACCTCCCTAAAATCAAAAATTAATTTTTCAATCTCTTTTTTACTTAAAATTATTTAAGCCTTTGTGATATTAGTGAAGCAACGATTGAACTGGAAAAACATTGGAATTAATTGGTTAATAGTTAATTTTTTAAAATGTATAACTTAGAGTATTCAGTAGCAAAAGCTAAATTAATAGTCAATTAATTATTTTTAAATGATAAGACACTGATAAATAAAATTATATCAGCATTTGAAAAAATACAAATCACTCATTATGATCTCTATGAAGAATATATGAATTACTACTTTGACAAGTCTGTTGTTAATTTCGATATAAATGAGTAAGGGGTTGATATCAAGGCATTTAGGCAAGAGTAATGGAACTTTTCTTTAAATTTAGCATAGTAATTAGCCTTTAATGAAATATTTTCAATCAAATTGAATAGTTAAAATTCATCAAAAGCAATAGGATCTATAAGTGACCTATAAATAATTCTGTAAGATGATATATATTAAATAAAAGATACTCTTATATCAAAAAAGTATTTAAGAAACTCAATACCATTAAGAGAACAATTTTCAGTATATTCTTTTGAAAGCAAGATAATTTAGGAATTCTTAGTAGCTAAAGCAATAATAAAATAAATAGAATCATTTGATGATACATCAAAAAATGAACTATTTGATAATACAATAATAAAAATGAAAAATTTATCAAATCCATTTTATATCGGAACTGTCAATTTTATTGTTTAAAAATTAAAATCAAACTTTCATTCAAAACAAAATTTAATGAAGATGATATAATTATCATCAAGTCATCCAGATTACTGTTAATTATCATCTAATGCCTTTTTTTTATTAATGTAATTGGATGGTTATATAAGGGGAGGAAATCTAATGAATGTAAAAATAAAGGATATTTTAATAGAGGATTGTTATTTATAAGATTGCAATATATCTGGGTCAGAATGGAATAATATAACTGTGAAGAATCTTACATTGATTAAAAACAATATGTAGAATATGACTTGTAAGAACCTCAAATTGGCTTCTTATTTTATAAAGAATAATTTAAAGAGCCCTCTTTTTGTTCGAATTTTTCAATCTGGTCAAATCATCATTATTTATAAAAATGCAATTCAAGATTTATATGGCAATTTAATTATCAATGGTACATTTCAAAATTGCTAAATATATTAAATAGGAAATGATTTTTATATTACAACGGATAACAAATTTTATCTTCTAAGAGAAACTAATAAAAAAATTAACCCATATTAATTCGATATTGGCAAGGTCATATCAGTCACATAATTTGACTAATATATTATGCTGTTGTAGTTGGTAGCACCTTCTGATGCTACAATATTCTAGTTTAATCCAATCAAGTAGGAAATCCAATTTAGGATTCCAATATTATTCTAAGATATTGTTAAATACAATATTAAATAATTTTATGAAATGCAAGGCAACCTGATTGTATTTTTAACACAGACTTAATTAGTCTAAAGCATGCATTATTAAATTGAGGATGGATAATTATCCTTTGATAATTTAACAACTCATACTACTCTGAATAAAATTGAAAGCATAAGTTCTATAAAATATTATTAGGACTTAGACATCACTGTTGTTACAAATAAGATTGTTGATACCAATTAAGAGTATGATGTTATTTATGGTACTTTTAATTAATTAATTGGAAAATTTATTATTATTGAAAATTAAAAAAAATAGTTTTTATATTTGAATAACGCAAACTTATAATTGATAAGCTAAGAAACTTTTAAGATGATCAGTGAGTGCGAATTAAATGAAAACACTCAAAATTTAAAAAAAAGTTAATGTTATTTAATTGATTATGAGAATATGTTGTTAACATTTTAAGATTCCTTTATAATTTTGAGTTTACAACCTTTTGAAGTAATCAAACAAATTAAAATAGAAGCTAATGATCTCATAATAAATTCTAAATTTAATTATATTTTAATATTGGCTGAAAGTGAACTTCTCTGTATTGATATACCTTATGCTCAGGATAGATAGGATAATATAATTAATTCAGCATTTTAACTAGATAGGGTCTATTTTATATAAAGTTCTTGTAATTTCTTAGGGAAAATGAATAAATCTTAGGATATTTATATTGGAACACTTAAAAACAACATTTTTGATTTTAAGAATTTGGGTTAATCTGATAATTCTTAATTTTATTTAAACAATGATGAAAACTATGCAATAATTAACAAAAATAATGAAACTATATGTTATGACTTAAAAACAAATATAAAGATCAATTATGTTGCATTATTGTTTGATCGAATCTTATGGATTAAGGATAACTAAAATTTTTTTTATTTTTAGCATGGTTTCATAGAGGAGTTTAGGAACTCTTTGATTATTGTAAAAAACAAGATTATTAATAAATAATCTTCTAGATAAATTAAATCAGTTTAGAGCACCGAAAAGAGATTATTTATAACTACAAATACGAATGAAACTATTGTGTTAAATCATTAATTCGAATAAGAATACGTAACAACTAAATAAATGATTAAGAAATACAGATAATTTTATATAACAAACAACGATCTTAGATATGAGAGTAATGTAAGGAATACCATTACAATTATTTATGACTCAAAATATAAAATTAAAGATTTTTGGATTTTTACAGAAACCATACTAATTAGAGAACAGGAGGATAATAAAGAAATGAGTACATTGGTGTTATTAAGAAAATCAGATAATTGCATCTTGGCCTCAATTTAAATTTAAATAGATCATATTGCTTATACAGATAATGTGATATAGATCATTAGCAATAGAGTTTTATGGCTAACGTATTCAGCAAAAGACTTTTATTAGCTCCAATCGAATATTTTGCATGTTAACCAAATTCAAATGTCATCAAATAATTTTGATTAAATTGCTATTGTTTCTGCTTTTTCAGAGATTACTATTTGGAGTACAATTACATATTAAGTTCTTCAAAGTTTGAAAAATGTAGAACTAATTTAATATTTTAAAATGATACCTAATAAAGATAGACAATTTTATGTTGCTGATAGAGATGTTTTAAAATTTTACAATCAAAATCAAGTTCGCTTTACAATCTAACTAATAAAGAAAAGAATTTAAATTGTTACTAATACATGGGGTACCATTCATCATATTTATCAAGTAGAAGAAGACAAAATCACATTAAATTGTATGAATGAAGATTCTAAAATAATTAATTGGAAAAAAGTTGTATTTGAGTTAGATTCAATTAGAGAATAAATAGATTGCATCGATAATAAAGATTAAAAGCTAATATATTTTAGTGGATAAAAACTATAACAAAGCAATTTGGATTCCTTTGATATAATTAAAAGTGTCCCTTTTCCAGATACTTTTAAGGCTGTTTAAATAAAATATAATCAAGATTGCTCTCTAATAGTTTTAAGATCAAATGATAAAATTATTATTGTAGAAGTATTAGAATTAAAAATTACGAATTAAATAACATTTAATGAAATATTTCCAACATTTTTTGATTTTGCATCTCAACTTGAACTTTTTGTTTAAGGACAGAACAATTTGATTTTAAAATAAATAAAAGATACTTAAAACTTAATTTACACCTATTCTTTAACTTCTAAGCGGTTAGATTTGATTACTCTGAGCAATAATGAATTGATGATAGGATCAAATTCATAGGGTCTGATCATAATTAATAAAAAAACAGGATCTATTTAACTATACAATCCAATAATTATAGAAACAAAATTTAATTCTATATCTTATATCAAATCTATGGAACATAATATATCAATGCTTGCGAAATGTTAATTATTCGGTAATTAACTTGATAATTGTAATATAACTCTTAATAATCAAATTAATATTAGTGATATTTGGAGAAATATCATATGAGATAAATGATATTTATTTATATTTTGCATATAACAATTCAATCATTATTGTTTCATCCCTCAATATAAATAACACTGTTAATATTAAAAATTTAATACCATTATTTCTACAATTTTGAAAACTTCAAGAAAAATGTCAGTATAAATGAATTGTTTTCTCTAAATTTACACAATCTAAGATAATATTGTCTTAAAAATTATGCAATAAGGCTTTTAATAAATACTTAATAATCTAAACGAGAATTAGAATAATATAATTTCAGCAGAATTAAAGACCATCTTATCCAAATAATATGTCAATTTAGATTAAATAAAACTTATATAAGGATATTATTGATATTTAATATGAATCAAAAGCACTTTGAAGCAAGCTAAAATATCCTCTAAGTTGCTTGTAATTTAGCTAACTAGAAACTTTTTCTAAAAATATCACTCCAATTTGAATAACCAATTTATGGATAATACCAGCAAATTTTCCACCACCTTCTACCTATGCATCTTCTAACCCAATGCAATGATATATGTTACCACGATGCATAAAGATCAAATGTCAATGCTTCTATTTAAAAATCTAAATAGACCATGTATCTATTAGGTACAATTGAATTGTCTGTTTAATTAAACTTAAATTAGGCAACCCCAGTAGCAGAACCTTTGAAGACATGTCCTTCAACTCCTGCTCTGATTTTAACTACATAAACTATATTTAACTCTCCATAGGCTGTGACACCCAAAGATGCATAAATATTTTCTGAAATACCAAGTTCACTTTCAGTTTTGATTAAGGATTCAGTAAAACCCCAAGATAAATTATAATCAGCACCTATAGTTAAAGGGTACCCCATAATTAAAATAACAGTACCAAAAATTCTCTAGGCTTTACTTCCTTTTAAATTAACAGGCTATAGAGGTTTTCCTTCATATGAAAAATCTCTCTTATGTAAAACAACCACACAATCACCATTAAGAGAGACGCATGCTTACAAATATCCTGAAGCGCCTCTATCATTTACTTTTCCTTAAAATTCTGCTTATAACCCAATTTTTTATTTAAAAACAGTGGCTTATTTCAGAGTTCTTTTTTAGTTAAAAGCATTAGAATTACATTCACCTTGTTAATTTTCTAATTATGTTTCAGAAGTTGAACTAACATCCCCACTTTCATTCTCAAGTAATCTACTACCTCCTTATGAATCTGAATTTGAATTTTAAGCTTATGTTTGATCTTACTAACTTTAATTTTACTCAAATTAATCAGTCTATCTTTATATTTTATCTTATAAATCTTAAATTGAATAGTATTGAAGTTATTATTTATTTTTAATTTCTGTAAGTGCATTTGTTAAATCCTCATCTGACTTTGTTTCTACAGTTATTAAATTTGAATCATTTGTAATTTCTGTTTCTGATTTTCCAGCTAAATCATCATCAGTACTTTCATTAGTATTATCAGATGATTCAAAATTACTGAATTTAGAATTAGTTGTTATATGTGAGGATACTAAATAATTATTATTGTCCAAACTGGTTTCTTAAGATTATTCAAACACGTCTAGTATACTTGTACCTTCAGAACTATTACCATCAATTTTATCTGATTTTGTTACTTTTTTAGTAATCACGGTATTGCCAAACCAGGATGTTGTTTTACTTTATTTAGGAATAAATACTTCCTTACCAATCAAGTAGGCATTTGAATAATCTTCCTTTAATAGTCTCTTCCCATCAGATCCAGTACTATCAGTGGATTCTCCTACAGTTGGAGCAATGTGTATCACATTCGAAACTAAAGGTTAAAGGAGTTCATCTGGAACTTCAGCTGGTACTCCAATTTATTAAATAGCTCCAGTTTATTAATCAGTTACTACTGTGATTAATGGTACCTCATTTACGTTTCCACATTCATCTGCTGGAATTCCTTCACACAAATTTTAACTTCCTGTCGATGAAGTTGCTTGTAATATCCTTAAGAGTTTCTTAATTTATTATTCTATTTCTGTATTTTAATCAATCATTTCATCATATTCTCGAGTTCCATTAGAATTTTATTTAAATGTTTAGACTTTCAAGCCTGTAAGAATCAACAAACTTGAGGCATTTTTTTCATTTACTTCATTGACAACTCTTTTGGTTCGCATTTGAATTTAAGTACAATTTTAGAATCCATTAGATTGATGTTACATACAAATTTCATCCACTTATTGGAACTCATCTCTTTAGAATTTTTTGAGAGTTGGGGCTGAACTTTTATTTTGACTTAGATAGATTCCCAAAAATATCCCAATACCAGCTAACACAAAGAAAGACACGCTGAAGGAAATCCATTTACATTTTGTTGTAAAGTATTTCTTCTAGTAATCCTTCTATTCACTTTGCTACATTTATAAACCAGGACTGTTGTCAGAAATTATTTCCTACTTTTCTTCTTAGTTGTTTTACTGTTCCATTTTTTTATTAATATTATTTAATAAGCTAGCTTGCTTAAATAGAGAAAAATAAATAGAATATTTTTTAAAAGCTTCTCGAACAATCTTTCCTTAAATAGAAACAAATTCTTATTAATTTATGTTTAATTATTATATCCTAAATTCATTAATATAAATAATTATATAATAATATATTTTTAAATTATAAAGCTTTTCAGACATGTCCCATACTTATTTGAATTGAAACTCTTTGATTATAAATTCTAATTAATTCAGTCCCTTCTTTCCCCAGATTGTGGTTAAATATAAATGAATAATTCTAAAATATCTTTATATCACACATAAGAATATAACTGTTAGCTTAAGTTAATTGCTTTTGATTCTCAAGACCCTAAAATAATAATTCCTTCATCTAAATTTTATTTCAGAGTCTTTTTAATGCTTTCTGAAAGCATTAGCATCTATATTTTGAAAATGGACTATTTTAAGCTACTTCAGTATTAATATAATAATATATATACTTCCAAGATTTTAGATCAATATATTCTATCATATTGTAAACATTAGAAGTTTATTAGAAATGAAGAAGAGGGCAAATTAGATGTTCCACTTGATTTCTTTATACATAAAAAGTTGAATAAAATGAAAAGCAAGACTTATTTGTCTTATTTTAATTTAAGTCTTTTCTATATTTAAAATATTAACTGTCTACTTTTCATATGGTTCATTTTGATTCTTAAAGAGATGTTGGTTGTCTAATAAAAAAAATAATTAAAAAAAATTTCTTCATACTATAAATGTCTCTGACAATATTAATAGATATATGACAGGATAAAATGATATAGGTAATTAATTGATTCTATTAATTTTTAAAGTATATCATTTCAGATTTATCCTGTTGGTATTGATCAAAATTTTTTTTCATTTTAACTCATTATTTTCATTGATATTAAAAGCTAAACATTATTTGTATTTAGCCTGATGAAGAAGATTTCAACCTGTGTCAGTTAGATAAGATTACCCTCAATATACTTTATATAACAATTCGCTTTTCTTTTTTTAGTTTCTCCCACTATTCGTATAAAAGGGAAAATAATTATAATTAAATTTTAGGATTTCAGAATTGGAATTTCTTTAATGTTATTAATTGTTTTAAATTTTATAAAAATTTTTAATATTTAATAATTAACTAAAATTATTATATCAAGTACAGATAATTTCTTCTAGTTGATGCTAAAATTAAAAAATTTAATACATCTATTTTATTCAGAAAATATTTATCTTGTGAACTTGTTGAATCTAAGATTAATTAAATTTCTGAGAATGGATGATCCACATTACTCAATATCAAAAAAGGACTTCACTAATTAAACAATTAAACCAGGGTTAATAGCTATGTAATCGTATGAATAAGGGTAACCTTATGAATTGCAACACCTTAGCTTCTCCCGAGAATAACTCATAAATACAATTTTATCATATTCACTTAAGGCTTCATTAATTCTTACAGTTTATAATTAATTGAATTCTGGAATCTAAAGATCTTTGTGCCATTCGCTTTTGGCCTAATTATAATTTCTGTCTATTTTTTTTAGGTCTGAATAGTTCATTTTATTATATAAACATGCTTTAGTATTAAGGCAAAATACAATGAGACAATTTTAATAAAATATTTTTCAATTGAAATCTAACAATAAGGCATTATTTAAGTAGCTTCTAATTTACCAAAATTAAAAGAGTGAAACAATGTTTAAACGATTTTATTAATGAATGAATTTAATTATTAAACGTTTTACTTAGTTTTATTAGTCGTTGGAAAAATTATTTATACTTTTTGAATATATTATGCTANTAAGCTACTTCAGTATTAATATAATAATATATATACTTCCAAGATTTTAGATCAATATATTCTATCATATTGTAAACATTAGAAGTTTATTAGAAATGAAGAAGAGGGCAAATTAGATGTTCCACTTGATTTCTTTATACATAAAAAGTTGAATAAAATGAAAAGCAAGACTTATTTGTCTTATTTTAATTTAAGTCTTTTCTATATTTAAAATATTAACTGTCTACTTTTCATATGGTTCATTTTGATTCTTAAAGAGATGTTGGTTGTCTAATAAAAAAAATAATTAAAAAAAATTTCTTCATACTATAAATGTCTCTGACAATATTAATAGATATATGACAGGATAAAATGATATAGGTAATTAATTGATTCTATTAATTTTTAAAGTATATCATTTCAGATTTATCCTGTTGGTATTGATCAAAATTTTTTTTCATTTTAACTCATTATTTTCATTGATATTAAAAGCTAAACATTATTTGTATTTAGCCTGATGAAGAAGATTTCAACCTGTGTCAGTTAGATAAGATTACCCTCAATATACTTTATATAACAATTCGCTTTTCTTTTTTTAGTTTCTCCCACTATTCGTATAAAAGGGAAAATAATTATAATTAAATTTTAGGATTTCAGAATTGGAATTTCTTTAATGTTATTAATTGTTTTAAATTTTATAAAAATTTTTAATATTTAATAATTAACTAAAATTATTATATCAAGTACAGATAATTTCTTCTAGTTGATGCTAAAATTAAAAAATTTAATACATCTATTTTATTCAGAAAATATTTATCTTGTGAACTTGTTGAATCTAAGATTAATTAAATTTCTGAGAATGGATGATCCACATTACTCAATATCAAAAAAGGACTTCACTAATTAAACAATTAAACCAGGGTTAATAGCTATGTAATCGTATGAATAAGGGTAACCTTATGAATTGCAACACCTTAGCTTCTCCCGAGAATAACTCATAAATACAATTTTATCATATTCACTTAAGGCTTCATTAATTCTTACAGTTTATAATTAATTGAATTCTGGAATCTAAAGATCTTTGTGCCATTCGCTTTTGGCCTAATTATAATTTCTGTCTATTTTTTTTAGGTCTGAATAGTTCATTTTATTATATAAACATGCTTTAGTATTAAGGCAAAATACAATGAGACAATTTTAATAAAATATTTTTCAATTGAAATCTAACAATAAGGCATTATTTAAGTAGCTTCTAATTTACCAAAATTAAAAGAGTGAAACAATGTTTAAACGATTTTATTAATGAATGAATTTAATTATTAAACGTTTTACTTAGTTTTATTAGTCGTTGGAAAAATTATTTATACTTTTTGAATATATTATGCTACTTTTTATCTAAACCATAATTTGAAGCACATAACAACTTATGGAACACATAATAAGCACTTGTTTCTAAATAATAAGGTTTTTATTAGCAGGATTCTTGATTTCTTCTAATGAATTGACAATTCCAACAAATTCAGATGCCTCATTCATTATATTTTAATCTTAAGATTTCTTATTGAGTAATCAATTTTAGACAAGAAATAATTAATCAATTCTGAATTTCCATCATAATTTCTGGTGATCCCTCTTAACGAAACTATTCTGACACATTTGACGTAAATTGTACAATAAATAGTTATTCACTTGATCTTTTAAAACAACATTTTGAAAATTCAATAGATATCATTTAAATTGAATTAAAATAAAAAAATGTTCATCTTTTAATCGAATGAATTTACCCAAAAGTGTCGTCCTACATAGAACTTACCTTTTAAAGTGTTCTTTATTACTGCTACATTTTGATTAATAGATTTAATTTGAATCTTTTCTCCAATATTTGATATTATCTATTATAAAATTTTTAAAGCCCTACTTTTGTTTGTGCAGCTAACAAACAGGTCTAGGATATGGCTTGTCGAAACTTAGAATGCCAATTCATTTATAGAGTTTGGTTAATTTTATCATAAGTAATTTAATTTTAGCATATAACAATTTGTGTAATTATTGGTTGTAAAATATTAAATTTACAATATTACAATTAACAATTGCCATTCAATTTAAAAGTATATTTAAAAAATGAATATTAATTTCAGTGCCCGTTTTGATTTAAGGATTGAAATGAATATATTATAATTATTACTAAATTACTAAACATACTTTCTATATTTTCAAATTTATGATGAAATTAAATGCAATTCTAAAGTAAAAGAGCACTTTACTTAATGATACATTATTAAATCTGTTGAATTACGAGATAAATTAAACTTTTTATTATGATTTAAAATGTTAAACTACAGTAACAACAGTTTAGCAAAACTAGTTAGGAGTTGCTTTCGTTAAATTTGAAATAACAATTAAGCATTCAATGAAGATTTTCTTGTTTATTGATAAGAATTATTTATTGGATTCAATCACTATCAATTAACTCTTTTACTATAACAAAGGATAAATTGGGTTGGATATAATATTTTATCTCTTTTATTATTCTAATCAAAACCTATTTTTAGAGGAGTTCAATATCGTTCAATAATTTCAAAAACAAACCACAGCAGTTTTGTTATGGTTTATTTCTATTTAAATTATATGTATCTACAATATTCAACTTCAACTTGTGAAACATTTAATACACTTAAACTATACTAAAAGTAAATTTAACTTATTTTTATAAAAAGTGCTTAAGTATTTAAAATGGAAGGGGTTGGAATAATAAATAAATTTATTACTTATCTGAATTAAATCTCTATGTTTATTTATTTTTTATTTATTAATGTTATTTACAATTGATTGCATAAATATAAAACAAAGTAAAAAGGTATTGTTGACAAACAAAGCAGAATTTCCAATTTTGGTTAGGATAATAGAAAGCAATTCTTATAATGTTATTCCATCCTTTTCATTATTGAAATCAAAAGAAAGAAAGAATTTTTAGATACTCCATAAATTAAATACTAAACCTGACAGCCTTATGAGGATTGAAGCTATAGAATTTGATGAAACCAAACTTGACACGTTCGTAATTTGATTATACTCTAATTGTAAGTCTGTTCCGCCGTTCTGGAACGAAAGTATTAAAGGTTCCTTGAAGACACAATCTCAATAACTGGCATTGCATATATCTGAGTCGAGCTCTTTTGTTTCTTACGATAGGCCTCCAGCAATGAATCAAACATTTCAGGATCAAAATCAAGTCTATAATAATACAAATGAATGCTAAAATAAACTTCAGACCCAGTGGCTTAAACAAAACAGCAGCATTCATTATAATCAAAGTGATTAATTCAACTCAAAGTAACACATAAACTCTTAATAATCAATACAAGTAATAGGTTCAACCAAAATAGCAGAAGAAAACAAATTTCATCAATCATATTAATAAGAAAGGAAACATTCCATAAGCAGTTTCGAATCATATGGATACATATCAACAACTCAAACCTAATAATAAATCCTCAAAATGCCGAAAGATTTGAATAATTTTTTGGATCAGATCGACTCTTCGAATAGTCCTTTTCAAATTTAAACTCCCTCTCAATAGTATTCCTAAACACATTCATAGATTAACATTCCTGATAACGCTCAGTAGGATGTGAGTATCAGTGAAACAACTTCCATTTAAAGGTGCGAGAATAGAAAATTATCATTCCTTTAACAAAGTAGATTACAATTTAATGAGAAACCTAAGTTAAAAGTTTCGTAAAGTTTTATTAACCATCCAAGATCTACAATCTAAAATTAATAAATTTTATGTAAATTCAAGGAACTTGAGAATTAGTTATAAAAATAAATTGTAAATTTTGATAAAATATATAGACCGAATTGCAACTAAGTAAAGAAGTGTTGCAATAAGAACTGAAAAAATTGGAATTCAAAGTCATGTTCAATAGTAAAAATGGCGATTCTTACAACCAATAACATTTCTTTATTTGGCATATACTTATAACCAGTGTTCTATGTCTTATACTAGGAAGCTGTCTGAAAAAATTTATCCCTTAATTTTGATCTATCTATCATTCAATAAGTATATTCTTTATATTATATATTTCTCATTTATTCTTCACTATTAAAGTTTGTATAATTTTATATGTATAACTATAATTTTTTCGATCAAATTAATCATATGATATTTTAAAATGAATAATTACATCTCAGATCATGCCTTTTTACTTTTTGCCTCAAGCTTTTATTAGAGATTCTTATATGCTGTAATTATTTAATAGAATGGAACGATGATCCATACGGGATTAGCAGCAACAAAAAATATCCAAAAATAAAATATATTGGAATGAGTATAAGTGAAGCAACCTTATTGGCAAACATCTTTAAAGTTTCTAGACCATTCATTGGCAACAAAGAATATCGTTCCCATAATTTGGATAGCTGAAGTAATACCAATCAAGTAATTTGTTAAAATCTCATTATTTTAATATTTTATTCTTAAAGCAATCCAAACACAAAGGGGACCCATAATAAAGAATTCGATTGCTGAAATAGTCATTAGTGTTGGCTCTTATAATGGATATCTCAAATCTAATTCGCTGTACTTTTGGAAAAGCCTTTAGTAATAATAATATGGGTTTACCATTCATTTTTTTACCAATATCCCACTGTGCCATCTAAATATAAATGAATCCAAATGCCATTAAATAAAAACCAATAATATTAAAAGTTGACCGGTTTTAAAAGGATAATTGTAAGAATAATGAATAGACCGAATATAATAGTTACCGAATTAACATTTTCCCAAATAAAATCCATTTAAAAAATATTATTAAAAAATAAAATCATTTATTGCAATAATATGATGATAAGATTAAAAAAAATAAATAATTTATTACTAGATGGAATTATTATATTTACTTCTAAGAAATAAATGATATGTCATTTTTTATGGCTTTTAACTTTAATTTCCTCTCTTAATTGTTCTATGAGCTTTTCTTCTTCCAATTCATCTTCTTCATCTTCCTTTATTGGCAATTCATCAAACATATCTTCGTCATCTTTAATTGAAGATTAATCCATAGAATGATTAGTGTGAGATTAAGTGAGTTATTTCTTTGGTTTGACTCTCACATTTCTTTTTAAGAACTCTTAATCTTTAATATCAGAAACTGCATTAATTATTGATTTATTTAATAAATCTAATTAATCCTAAAATAAAATTGAGTAAAAGTACTTTCATAGACAAATTTAACAATTTTTCCCTGACTGCATCAATGATGGCTTGAAATCCTTTGTTTTTTTATAATCCTAGCTTTTTTAATCCTCGAGACATCCAATTTCTAAGTTTGTTCTCTAATAGTCCAGCTATAGTAGCTTTTTCTTCTACTTCTTGAACTAATTTATCTTATTCGAATAAATCTTCCTTCTATCTATAAGTTTCGACTTAAAACTCTTTATCCATATCAGTATATTATTGTTTTAAATTTGAAAATTAAGTTTGGAGTTCTTAATTTTCATTCTTTAATGCATTAATTTTTTTTTCATAATCAGATATTGAAATTAAAAGATGTGCATAGGTTTATTCTCTCCCTAAAAACTTTTAAACAATATCATTCGCATCAGTAATGCCTGTTGATGCTTTAATTTTTTAAAATGTCATTTCTAAATCCTGATATTAAGCAATTCCTCTTTACATTTTATTTTTTAAAAACGAATTGAGAAATTTATGTACCAAAAGCAATTTCCTCCATTTTTTAAGTGCACTATCTTTAATATCTTTTGCAGCAACTTCAGCTATTTCTTATTATCTCTTAATTCTATCATCTCTCTTTTATTCAATGTCTTATCTTTATCTTAAATCGTCCTTAAATCTTTGCAAATTCTTCTCTCTGTTCTTATTTTGTTATTAGATCCCTTCAGTGACATCTTTAAGAGCCATTAATGTCTTACTATATATTTCTTGAATTTATTGTGTTCTATGATTTGATATAAGAATCTTACTTGTATGTGCTGCTATGATACTATTAAAGAGCCAATTGTAAATGTCTTTCATATTAGTTTGCCCTGAGTTAATAAACCAATTGATCTTTTTTCATTCTATTTAGCATATGTTCGAAGATTTTCCTATCATATTAACTCTCGCTTAAAAGCTTATGTTAGTCTTCTAATTTTTGCTGTAATTCCTTCTCTTTAGCTTATAAGTTATTTTAAGTCGAATTATATTGATCAACTTGGATTGTCATTTAATCAATTTCCTTTCTCATATTCTCGATATCTTTCTCCTTCCTATTTCCAGTTATCTTCATTGAATCACAGCTTTTTTTTAACTCTGTCAGATTGACATGAACTTCGTGTGCCTCGTTGACTTTCTACAATAACTAAGCATAAAACCTTCTAATCTTCAATTTATTTAGGATAGTAATCATCATCAAAACCCAACACCGATTAAAGATCATTTTTTTTTATTAATTTATCAACAGACTTAATCACAGCTAACTTTCGATATTTTTCGTAATCACTCTTCTTACTTTATCTAGTATTAGATTTATTTGAATATAGACGTATCTATTAGTTGGATAAATTAATACATACATCTGGAAGTTCCACTGCAGACATTCTAATATATCAAATAATATAAAAAATTATTTATATAACTAAAATGATTCATATCCAATATCATTGTATCATTGAATTTATTAATAAAATACCCTAAACTCTTTTAATTAATTCAAACTTATCCAGAATTTTATATTTAATTTTTACATACTTTTTTTGATTTTTATAAGATGGATAAGTCTGATATATCAGATAAGTCGGATAAGATCGAGAATATTAAATAGGATTCTCCAAGATTAATTGAAGCACTAAGATAAAAAAATTGGAAGTTAATTGATGTATAAAATATTACAATAGAATAATTGAAACTAGAACCTAAATATTCTCAATATGATGATAACATCTTATAACACTTATGCACTTAATTATAGGAATAGAGAGATATTAAGTCTAAGATTGTTTTGACAATTAGATAGAAGATCATGGAAGAAGAGAAAAATAATAGTGAATTAAGAAGAATGTAAAAAAAATAATCAGATATTTTAACTGTAGAAATGCAGGATTAAATGAAAAAGAAAAAATTAAACCACATTAATTTGTAAATGGAGTATGACGTTAAATTAACTTAGCTGTATAAAATGTTGAGTGAAAAAGAGTCATCTTTCAAAGAACAAGAATTTAAATTATAAAATTAAGCAATAGAGTAATAAAGAGAGAATCAACTTTTAAAAGAGCAACGAGAATTTCATCTTGAATATTAGGAGTTTTTGAGGTAGTAAAAAGCAAAAGAAGAAGAATATTAGAATAAGGTTAAAAGCGGATAATTCATGACAGAAGCAGAGTATAAGCAAAAGGTTAAAGATTTCGATAGGTTGAAGTTATAGAAGGAGTAGCAAAAATAATAAATTAAGGAAGAAAGGGAAAAATAATAGCAAGAGAGAATGCAGATGATGGAAAAAGTTTATGAAGAGAAAATTAAAAAAATGGTTGCAAAGGAAATAATTCGCTAAAAGTTAATTGTTAAAGAAAGAGCACTTCATAATTAATAGCTTTTAGAAAAATAAGAGAAACTATAATAAAGAATCAATGAAAATAAAAAGAGACTATCCAAACAAAATTTGGAAGAATAAAAAATGAATGAAAGAAAATAAATAGAAGCTAAATCAAGATTAGAGGCTATGAAATAAGAAATTGAATTTATGAACAAACAAAAGAAAAAGAAGTTTGAAAAAAAATAAAAATAAAAAGAGATATATAAAAAAGTAAATGAGAGAATATAAGAAGAGAAAAGATAATAGCTTCTTGACAAATTTAAACAAATTGAAGAAAAATTAGAGATCCATTAATTTTATAAAGAAATGGACTTTTAGGATTAAGAAAAATTCAGAGAATTTACAGAAATTGCCAGAATGAAAGTATTAAGATTAACTGATGAAAAACTAATCGAAAAAACTATTTATATACAGCAAAGAATGAAAGCGTAAGAAGAAAAAGCTAGGTAAGTGTTGCATTAATTTGAAATTGAAGAAAAGGAGAAAAAATTTGAAAATATTATTAGAAAAATAGATTAAGAAGAAAATTATATTATCTAATAAAGAAAGAGAGAAGTAGAAAAAGAATTTATTATGAACAAAATTCAATAGAAAAAAAAGAAAAATGAATCACTAATTAAATAAAAATAAGAAATGGAATAGAATGGTGTTAAAAATAGGAAAATGAACCTATTGAAAAAGGAAGAGATGAAGATTAAATTCCAAGAAGAGATGAAAAAGGAGTTAAAATAAAAATAAGAAAACTAATTGAAATATTAAAGTGTAAATCAAGTTCCTCTATTAAATATCAAAACCAAAGAAGAATTTATTATTGAAGAAAGAATTAAGTTAAATGTTGAAATTAATAAGGTAATCCTTTTAATTTAAATTGAAGTTACTTGATGAAGAACAAGAGAAAGAATAAAAAAGAATGGAAATGTTAAAAAATGCCAAAGGAATCGAAATAGATTAGCTGTAGGCATAGTTTAAAATTGAGAAAGAATAATTTGATATATTGATTGAAAACACAAGAACACTTCATCGGGAATTATCACACGAAAGATTATAATTGAATTCATTTTGATTTTGCTTTTATGAAAGAAAATATATTTATATTAAATGGAAAAGTTCGATTTCGAATTATCTTCAATTCATTTCTAATTCATTTAAGAATAAACTGTTGATTTTTCTATTAAAAAGTAATAAATTTATTTCAATCATCTGTGTTTTTGACCGAATGTTACAAGTTTGAATATTAAAATAATCTAAATATATTTTACAAACTGGAAGAGCCTTTTGTTTTTGCAATGTTGTTTTTAAAATTTGTTTTATAAATATTAATATATTTTTTTATAAATTTAACACTAAATAAATTAAATAAAATGTAAGAACGATTTAAAGAGGCCTTGCTCTCACCTTAATTTAAAGATTAAGAGTATGATCTCTCCACTTAAGAGTGCCGAAAATTCTCAAGCGCATGCGCTGCTGAATTCAACACTCCTGAAACAAAATACAGATCTACAATAGGCACCAATAGAATGGATATATCTAAGGATGCAAATTCGTTGCATTTTAGGAACAGAACAGCCAAATTTGATGACGAATAAAATCAATTATATTTAGAAATAAAGAATTTATATGAAAAGAGATAGTTTGACATTCCAACTCTCGTGGAACCAAAAATCTTATTTAAGACAGAAACTGTTCCCGCTAGATTTATGTACATTTTTATTATCATAGAAATTTAATCATAGCATCAAGAGAAAAAAAAATGAACCAAAATAAAAATCACAATTTAATGATTAAGTTTTGATAGACAAAATGCACTAAGCTAATTAATAAAGTCTAAAGAATTTATTTTCTCATAAATTTTGAATATTAATTTAGATATATATTACAATCTTAATTGATCATAATAGAAATAATAATATTCTATATTATACTTTTACAATAGGTATTGTAAGTTTAATACTTAAATTTATTATATGAACTATTTTCCTATTCAGAGAGAGGAAGATTGCATAAAGAAAATTTTGAGTTTAAACATTATAAAAGGATTTCTGGAAGGCTACAAAGCAAATTTCCTTCTCAGAGGGATTTTATTATTGTTTTTAAAAATAGCATCGGTGAGCTTTGAATACGTTCCACCATTTATCTTAACTTAGTATGAAGAATCAGCAGAAAAATACTTGCTAGTAAGTCTTGCATTGTATGTTGATTGTAAGATATAATAATAATAGTTTTTACTTAGAAATATTATGGAGTATACTTGTCTGAATTGTAATATCTGGTGAATGCTAAATTGTCATAAAAGCTATTTTCTCAGTGTTTAAAAGTGCATAATCAAACTACATTTTAAGGAATGCTAAAAGAATTGAGATAAGTTGAAAAAGCGATTCGCTCATTTTATGACTTAGTGGCAATAGCATTTGAATTACCTTTTGTATATCATTTGTTGAAGAATGAGAGTTTATTTGACTCAATCAAATATGGTGTTATTTTGAGTTTATTTGCCTTATTAGCAGCATCAGTGGCGTAAATATATGCCTGGAGAATCTAATTTTTTTCAGATAAAAGACTGAGACTTACTTAAGATATGCTATGTGGTATTAAAAGCATTAAATATTTATAATGGGAAAACGTTATGCTTAAACTAATAAATAAGGTTAGAGAGTAAGAGTTTTTAGGTAATAAAGGAATTCAATATGTGGATACATTTGTAACTTTTTTTAGAAGAATGACATAAATTGTATTGTTGTTTGTTGCCTTTTACAAACTTTAAGAGTTGGAAAAAGAACAATTCTACACTATCTTGATATTTTTTGATAAATTAGTAAGTCCTATAAATTCATTTCCCTGGTGTTTCGGCGAATTTTTAGGGAGTATTTTTTCCGTAATAAAGCTTTATGACTATTTTAATACTACAGAAGTTGAAGCTAAGCTTATTAAAGAAAACACTATTGAAGTAAGTTCAATCAAAAAAATTAGAATATTTGATAGGGTAATCAACTTTATAAAGGGAGACTCTTTTAATTAGGCAACATAAACAAGATTTTAGGTTACATTTTTATTTAAGGAAATAAAGAGAAATAAATTAACTTGTATAATAGGTCAAATAGGATCAGGAAAAAGCATATTGCTTGAGTATTTTTGCGATGGATCTTATGTAAGTCAAAATTCATGGTTGTTTACTGGGACAGTAAGATAAAATATTTTATTTGGATAAAAATATGATGAATAAAGATATTAATAATGTCTCAAATTAGCTGCTATAGATTTTGATGATAATAAATAAGTAGGTTTTAATGGAACAAATTTAAGTGGTGGATAAAAATAAAGAGTAACATTTTGTAGAGCACTGTATTACGAAGCTTAATCATATTATTTTGATGATATTTTTTCAGCTGTAGATGAAAATGTGGCTGACCATATGTTCAAATCTATCACTACTTTTTTAAAAGGGAAAACTGTAGTTTTAGTATTAAACTAACTCTAATATTTATAATATGTTGACTTTGTCATCAAGATTGAAAATAATATAGCAACACTTGAAGAAATGTAAAATTTCCAAGTTGGTAGTGTTCATTTTTCTCCCAAACCCATCACAGATGCAATCGAACCTGCCTAACCTGAAAAGGAGATTGATCAAGAAACTGAGTAAAATTTAAAAGAAAATTATCAATTTTATATAAATGCATTAGGTTTGAAGACTCTTTTATTTTTTGTTATATGTTCTTTACTTCATTAAATCATGAAAGGTGGATTTGAATTATGGATTCATAATAACATTTCTAATTTAAAGAATTTTGACAAATCAGAGTTTTTAAATGTATTTTTGATTTTATCAGGACTGACTTTGCTGAGAGGATTCAGTTATTCGTATGCAACAATAATATCTGCAAAAAATATATTTGATTTATTGATGTAGAAATTCATACATCTACCTACTAAATTTTATGATATTTTTTCAAGTTCCTTTTATATCAGGAGACTATTTGATGATATGAATGAAATTGATGATCTCCCATTAAATTATTTTTTCACGGTATCTCTAGAATTTTTGGGTTTGTTCATCCTTATTAGCTCCATGCAAATTGAAATAATTCCTTATGTTATAATAAGTGGCTATTTATTAGTTAAAAATTAATTGACACACAGAAAATTTATAGTGTCAAGATAAGTGGAAATTAATAGGCACTTTGAAACTTAAGACTTCGATTCCTTCATTATTGAGACAGAAAAAGGGCACAAGTTTATTAAATACTTTAGATAAGAAAACAAAATCTAATCTTAATTTTAAAAGATCCTTCTTTATAAATATGCTAATGCTCTATCATAAAGTTAATTAGAATACACTCTTAAATTACGTAATTTTATTGTAGAATCTACAGTTTTGGTGTTGTTAATTATCACAGGAAATAAATTAAGTTATACTTATGCTTATTTACTATTTGGCAATCAATTTTTATCTAAATCTGTTTCAAGTTGGAGAAGAATTACTATAGTCAGTCAATCATTATAAAGAATTAAATAGATTGTGAGTTTTCCTTAAGAATAAAATGCATCAATTCAAGAATATAAGGATAATTTAATTGTTTATGATAACGTTTGGCTTAGTTATGGAATGGCAAAGGGTTTGGCATCAGCAGATTATGCTCTCAAAGGAGTCTCCTTCCAGATTTCCAAGGGATAAAAGGTAGCCTTTTGTGGAAGAACAGGATCAGGAAAATCGAGTCTATTTAATTTGCTTGTCTCTTTGTATGAATTCTAAAAAGGGCAGATCTACTTTTTTGGAAATCCAATCTCCCATTATGGCACAACTTAGTTGAGATCCACAATGAGTGTAATTCCTTAACAAGGAGTTATATTACCAGGATCAATAAGATAAAACATTGATCCTAATTAACAATTTAGTAATTAGGAGATTGAAGATATATTCAAAGAACTAGATTTTTAAATCGACCTAAATAAGGATACTTAGAATTTATCAAATGGAGAGAAACAAATTGTCAATTTTGTGCAGTCTATTTTATTGAATAGGGATATCATTTTAATGGATGAAGCTACATCAAATATGGACATAGAAACAAGTATTATAATTAAATTAATATGTTAGACAATAAAATTATGAAGAAGTTATTTAATTTTGTATAGGATAAAACCTTACTCCTTATTTCCCATAGACTAGAAAACCTTTAATAGTTTGATAAGGTTTATGTAATGGGAGAAGGATAAATATAGGCAAGCGGAACTTATGAAGAACTATTAAAAAATGACAAATTCCTAGAACTTAAGAGCATTTTATGAAATATATAATATTCATTAGTATTTATCTTTGAAAAACCTAATTGGGATTCCTTTTTGTGGGTTAATCTAATTTAAATTTAAATTTTACTTTATAATACAATTTTTTACAAAAGTCTTCCAATTAAGAGAACGGAATAGAAATCGCTCCAAATCCAATATAATTCGCAACATTATTTAAAGCACTAGCAGGTAAGGCTGTTAACTATAATAAAGCTGATGTGACCCCGCAAGTAAAATCATAGCTTCCCTCAATTAAACCATATAACTAAATATCTTATTATTTATTACAAAGCCATTGTTTGAAATAAAGGGTTTACTAAACATATTAACTATGCCATCCGTAAATGAACTAGCAACTTTAGTTATGTCAAGAGTATTGTATGCTTAAAATATGATTCTAAAAGTAGATAATTATTAACTCATTAAAAATTAAATGAAATCTTTTTTTGAGGTTTAATTTTACTAATAAAAGAGTAAGACCTGATTAGTTGCTAATATTAAATTATTGAATGATCCAAGTTTTAAGACTTAGGTTTTAAATCCCTCAGCATCCAAACCTTCTGAGTCAAATGAAATTATAAATTAGATTGGGAATAATTCAACTTGTAAATTAAAAGGCTCTTCTTATTCTATAATTTCAAAAGATTCATCATCATCATTATTGGCAAATATAGTATTTTCTACCTTATCCTTTTTTGAGAAAGATTTTAGTAATATTTGAAATTAATATCCCGATAAACAAATCCTTACAGGTCTTAATTATAATTTCAATACAAGGCTATTTTGATCGAATTACATTAATAAATCTAAAAATGGACTCTCCTTTATTAAACCATTTTGGGTTTCTTCAAACTCATTCAAGTCTTCTTCATCAAGTATATACTTAAATTTACTCTACTAATGCAAATCTAATATATAGGCTCTACCCAATTTCAAATGACAACACTTATCTCCCAAAATACATTAAATGCATTGTAAGTTTAATTCAAAAGATTGAGATTCAGTTGTCAGAATTAATTAATCGCAGAATATTTCGAAAATTGTTGCTTTCATTTCAATTTTATCTATTTTCTCATAATTTTTCTTCTCATTAACCTAATTCTTTTTAAAATCTTTAGCTATGTGCTCAAAGTGATCTATGAGATTTACTACTATCTATTTAGAAATGTTGAAAAACTGAATAGAATTGATTTTCATAACTTTATTATTTTGTAATTCAATCTTTTGAATCTGTCCAATTTTCTAGTATTGATTTAAATTTATTAATTCATCATTTCGATTAGCAGTATTATTATTCTTAAAATAATGCTAAATTTCCTCAATTTGAATCAAGTCATCCGTAATAAGAGTGTTATTAATTATCAAAATTGATCTTGTCCAAGATGGATATTATTCTTTTGAATATCTTATTTTAGCTTGTCTTTTTTTCTATAGGATAATTTCTTCATTGTAGAAAGGCAAAGCATCAACCATTATTTATTTCAAGGAGGTAAAAATTTATTTTTTTTCGCCTTATGGTTATTAAGGAGGATTCATCAATAAGACCGACTTTATCAATCTTATTAAACAAGAGCTTAATACTTTAAAATTGAAATCTAGTAAGTTTAATTTGAGAGCTGAGAACTCAAGATTGATTATATTTTATTTCATTACTAGACTGAATACCCATTTATCTTAAAATTAATTCTGCAACAACAATTACGGGTTGTTATTATAAGAAGCATTTAAATCTTCTAATAACACAAAATGGTAATCAATAGTGAAATAATATTTGAGCTACTTCAAACGCAAAATTAAAGTATCATATATTATAGCTTCTATGGTTTTGATTTTAGTTGAAAAATAAATATTTTATTATTTTTTCTAATTGTTTTATTGTTTTTTCTAATTACCATTAAATACTTAGTTTAACTAGGCAATCATCGTATAGACATTATCTAAGGAATCGTGTTTTATATGAACACTCTCCAATTCCAATTCAAAATGTAAACCTTACCTTTATTTGCATTCTTTCAAGTATTTAAGTATTTATGGTTTATTTTATTCATCCAATTACATTAAAGTTTAAGTAGAAATTTTGAGTAATGATCCAAAATAACCACTCAAATTGTTTATTAATATTTAATTATCAACTCCACAAATCCTTGGACATCCAAATTTGAATTAATTTTTATATTAATATGGTGAGGATTGTTATTTATCATCCTCTGGAGTTGTAATGAAAAAATCAAGAAATGTTAATTCCACATAATCTTCACTTCCAGGTTGCAGAGTACTACTGATAATTGACTAAGATTCATTAACATGATAATAGGCAGAAAATTTGGTTTTGGATAGTTGAAATTTGGTCTTGGATATATTTTGACTTTTAGTTTTAGGTTAATTATCGTTTATAATATCAACAATGCTCATAATAAATTTAAGTTAATTTTAGTCTATAATCAAGTTAAAAGGTGCCATATCCATATTAATGGTTTAATCTATAATCTCTAGTTTAATCGGACTAACAAATTGAATTTAAGATAAAAATATAGTTGGCTCTTCAATTAGAATTTCACAACCATCCTTAAATAAATCCGAACTAGAGTACTAATCTTTTCCTGTTTTCAAGATAATCTTGCATAAACACTTTTAATCTCCAATGATATCAAAATCTTATTCCACTTACTAAACTGACTAATTTATACTTTTGAATCTAGGGTCTAATTTTTATAATTCATAAATTAATGCAGAATTAATAAATATATTTAATTTATTGTTATTTTTAATTGCTCTTATATCATAAAATGAAACTGAGTAATATTTTTCTAAATTAACCTTAAAGTATTGCTATTAATAATTAAATTCTTGATCAACCTCAGTAGAAGTTATATACACAGTTAAACCTAAAAATGAAAAGTTCAAAAATTCTTATTATTGATTCAATTGTTTAACTGATGAACAGTAATCTTAAATTTTAGAATCTGAAATATTCTAAACAATAATTCTGCTCTCGTCAATTTCTTATATGAATTTATACTTCTAATTATATGATTTCTTAAAGTACTCTACTAACATATATTTATTTAAATTTATAGTTTCTCTTTATTGTTCTTATTATTCATTATTAGGATTTCCTGCCTATTAGTTATTCGAGCTTAGTTTTAAAACTTCATTAATGACATTTTACCTTTATTCCAAAACTTATGCGCTCTAAGCCAATAAGTAAGAAATTTAATCGATTTAATTCAGGGACACAACTATTTGAAGATGTTCAGCTTAAATTTTTATTTTTGGTTCTGTATTTTAAGTTAAAAAGACTTCTAATTTTACAGCATTGTTTATTTACCCTATTTATTTATTTTCATTGAGATAAAGTTTTATTTAATCAACAAATGCTAAAAAAAGAATTTAATTGCTGTTTTAGGGCTTTTGCATAGTGCAATCAATTTTATTGATTTGAAAAGATAAATTAGATTCTGTGTCAGGTTTTATTTTACCCGTAAATTTTACCCTTAAATTTTTAATATCTATCTTAATATTCCCAAAAATGCTGTCAATTATTCTTAAAATCTAAACTATTTTAGATGAAGGTTGTTTTGTTTCATTTTATTGAGTTGGATTTATTATTTCTTCTTAAAGAAAGGCGTCCTCGTTTTAATTCTAAATTGAATAATAATTAATACCAAAAATTCACTTTTTAGTTGCTCTATTTATTTTTGAATACTTTTATTCATTATATCTTCAACTTCTAATGATTCTAAGGCTTCTTCTTATTTAATGTAAGTATTTAAATCCAAGGTTAGGTCAACATCACTCACTTGTAATTGCAATTTTTCAAGCTTTATAAATTCTACTGTTAAATAAGATTTAAATACTAATGGAGAATTCTTTTAAGGTATTTGTTTTCATCATTCCATTTAAATATTTTGTGTTTAATTTAACATTTGTAATTCCTTTATTTAAATCTTTTATTGCAATATTTTATTCAAAAATGTTTTCAAAATTATAGTCAATGATTGGTTGTAATGTTTTTTCTATAATCTTTGATTTTGCTTTGGATGCAAGTCCTCCAAAGAAAGAAAAGATGGGTTCAAACATTAGATATATGTAAAAATAATTAAAATTACAATTAAATAAATATACAAATTCTGCATCACATATATATTTTGAATTTATATATTTCTTCACAAATATTCAGCAATATAGATTTGAATTATGTTGTATTTTGTGCTAAAAATATTAACCAAAAAAGAATTAAAAAGAATTATTACAAGAAGTGTCCTAATTCTATTAGTTTAAATGATAAATAATGCTTACCGTATGTAAAATGAAATATAGTTAATGTATAAATTTTAAGTGTAGTTTTTATTATTATGCACATTTAATTTATAAATAACATTTGTAATTATGGATTATTTTAAGAGTTTGGAAATTCCAAAAAGTCCTTTAAAAAATAAAAAAACATATGTTTTTATAAATATATTTGATGTTTATTCATATACCAGCCAAAGACCTGTATGTTAGCGAACCTGATCCTCGCTATTTTGGGAACCCCAAAAACGATGATCCAAAGGTTAATTGGTTAAAGAGTAGATTTCACTTTAGTTTTGCAGGTATTATTTACAAATATTCAAGAATACCGTGATCCTAAGAATTAATAATTCGGAGTATTGAGAGTAATGAATGATGACTTAGTCTAACCTAACAGAGGATTTGGAGAGCATCCTCATTCGAATATGGAAATTGTTAGCTACATAGTTTAAGGAGATTTGACACATGGGGATTCAAAAGGGAATAAGGAATCACTCGGGAGAGGCTCAGCATAATATATGAGTGCTGGATCAGGAGTATACCATTCTGAATTCAATTTATCAAAAAATGAAGCTTGTAGATTCATATAAATTTGGATTATGCCAAGACATACTAATACAAAAGTTTAATACAAGAGTTATAGAGGCTAAAATGGCTAGGCTGATAACAAGTGGTTCCATTTAGTAGGAGATTTGTAATAAAATTCGGAAGCTCCTGCTAAAATTAATCAAGATGCTAATATCTGGATTAACGAGTTTACCACAGAATAAAGATTTGAAGTATTACTATGCTAATAAATTATAGATCAAGGAAGGCAGATAAGCTTACCTTCTATGTGTGGAAGGATCTTTTGAATTGAATGTTGATGTATGTTTACCTTTGCAAGATGTCAAAAGCTAATTAGTCAATTAGCATGATGGAGTGAAGGTATTCAAAAGCATCATCCTCAAACCAAAAGGCAAAGCTCATGTCTTATTGATTGAGATGACTAAGTGATTACACATCACTTGGTGATATATATATATATATAAGTATCAAATTATAAATATTTCATATTATATCATTTTACTTTTCTTCTTCTATAAAATAAAACATATGCTGCATCTGTGACTGGACTTGATCTTAACTCTTTTACTTGAGAATCATTAAAATCAAACCAAGCATTATACATTGGATTCTTGGCATAGGCAGTGTAATGTCCTCCTCCCATTCCTCCATAGTGATTGGAAACTGCAAATAAATCATAAACATATGGTTGTTGAGATTCCTTAATTTGGGATCATAATAATACCTTTTCTAAAATAAATGGCTGTATATTAAAGTTTTCAACAGGGAAATCTACATATTATACTATTTTAGTCACACCTCCAACTGAATATGTTCCATAAAATTATGTGACCCTTGAGGATCTAAATCTTTTTAGATGCATTATCATAATTTAGGGTGCCTGCATCAGATGATATATAATACCTTATATATTTGCATTTGCTTCTTTGCTTTTTAATGTTTCTTGCATTTAGAACAATACCACTCATTTCCAGCTCCTAAGACTTCTTCTTAACAAAACTGATTTAAACAATCATTCAATGTGATTGCTTACATAGAACTTTAATTAGGAAGTTAGAGTGTAAATTCTGCATCAACACATTTATTTAGTTTTAACAGTTCAGCACGCAACTTAAATTGTGCATTTAGAATTATTGGTTTCCCATTTCCTTCGATTTATTTATCTGTAAATGGTAAAAGCTTGTTGTTATCATCTTGGAGTTAATATATGCTCTCTTTTAATTTTAATAACTCCTAATATTCTTCAAATTCATCTTTGTAAATGCATTTTTTTACATTCTTTAAGAATTGTTCAAATTCCTTGTTCAGATTTAAATTAGAAGTGATATCACTAATCTATATGATATGAGTTCTAAAGATCTAATATATTATCAGGTGTAGTTCTTAATATGTTGTTTGACTATCTACATAGCAGATCCTCGTAAAAGATGTCCTATAATTCTATTGATTCAGTCTGTTCTCTTCGAATTTCCTAACATTACAAAGCACTTAATGATAGGGTGATTTGATTTTGGAATCATATTTAGAAATAGGTTTATCAATTTTTTCATCGAATTCCTCATATAAAAATGTTGTGGCTTAAGACTCTTTAATTTACTTGATAGTTTATTCTGACGAAATTCCGTTGTCAATTATAGCTGAATCTTATAATGAATAGAATTTTAGATATTCAGCTTTTATATTCTTAAGTTTTGAAATAATTTCTATAATTTCTCCAGCTGTCTATGTTGATTGCAATGTTTATTAAATTTTCAAAGGTGTTTGTTTAGAATCTCTGAAAATTAAATAAAATTGAAATTAAACAAATTCTTTACTGGGAATAGGCAATGAAATTGTAACAAAAGGATCAAAGGTAATAGATACAAAATTACACTCAGGACATTCTACTCTTGATTTAAATTATCCTGTAAAGAGGTCGGTAATTTTAGAATCATTTCTCTTTTTATGATTATCCCAATATAGATCAGCGAATTCCTAATCACTCTAACCCTTGTAGTCTACATCTGGAATGTAAGGCTTCTTTTTAATTCTATTCAAGTCTTCGTGCAATCCATCTAATAAATATGAGAGTAGTTCCTGAGAGTCCTATTAACTATAACCGTTAAATTGAGGAGCTTGTTATCCAATTATCTTTTTAACATTCCAAGGTGCTATACTAGTTGATGATGATTCATATAGTTCTTTTAATAATTCAGCATAATTGCATGCTAATCTCCCTCCTGTTCCCAAAGGATTCTTCTCATTTAAATCCTAGAGAAAAGTATTGTATATCATATATTCAGTCAATTCAGTGACATTACTCAAGCATTACAGACTCGAATTCATAAAACAAGTATTTCCTAAATTGCTTAATCCACATATTCCTTTGGCTGAATTTTTGACTATTTTAGCTGGAGGCCTCACTTTATATTTCTTAGCTAATTAATTGATTAAGGAATCCTTTTCAATGATTTCTAAATTGAAATGTAGAATTACTTTTGCAAATCTCTTAATGATTCTTTAAATCATGAGCTTGACAGGTTTCATTACAATATTTAACACTTCTGCATTCACATAAATAGAGTTGAGAATCTTGATTACCACAACTCATGCATTTATTTGGAATTGATATTGTTTATAAATTCTCTTTCTTTTCTAATCTATATTATTCTTATTCTAATTCTAAAAGTAACACTTCCTCAGGTCCTATCTCAGCTTACTAATGTAATAATTTAGAATACTTCTAATATATTATCTTTACTTAATTTTGTACCAACAACTGATTAACTTTTCATTAATTCCTCTTAGCTAGCTTCTTTAGGAATCTTCCAAATATTTCTGACTTTTTAATTAGTTATCCTATTTACTTTATTAACAAGGTCTTCCATTCTCTCGTTTCCATTAAATTATAAATTTATTATCCTTTATTATTGTTATGGGAATAATTAGCATCTAACTTGAAATAAGTGTGTTTCAACTGCATGTCTACTTCTACATAAGATGATTCGTTTTATTTCAACTCCTCCAAATAATCCATATAATAATCTCCATATCTGACTGCTTACAAAGATGAAATTCTAATTCTCTCTAATAGATTTGTTTAAAGCATAATTGGAATAACTTTTTGCCTTCAATGGATCCTTCTCAAATTAAGTTTATATATCAATTAAATCATCATTATAAATTGGACAGATATGAATGTCCATATTATTTTGAGTTGAATTCGACATTCTTTCCAATTCTTCATATGTTTATTGATTACAGTATTATTTAAATATTTCTACAAATGTTTCATCTTCCATTGAGTTCTTTATATAATATGATTAGATATACATTCTTTTTTGCTATGAAGCATTTCAATTGATCTGGGTTTTCCCTTGTTAATTCATAATATTTGGTGTATAAACTAAAACGAGCTATCCATTGAGAACTAATTAAATAAGCAGGATAACCTTCTTATTCAAAATATCGATCCTATTCCTATTTTATTAATAATTATTATAATTTTTTTGCTAAAGCAGCCTTCTCTTCATCAGTATACACTTAAAATTATTTCTATTTATTATCCACATAATCTTGCAAATAGGATTTCTTCTACTCTAAAATAGTCTCTAATTAAGCCCAGGTTTTTCTATTCTTGCTCTTTGATATTTAATTTTAAACAATCTCTATTTTACCAATGCATTCTTATAACTGATTCATTTTTTATAAGGATTGTATCGATATCCATTCTAACTCTAATTTGAGCCATTCTACCTAGTCAAATTCTTGTGAATCTATTGATGGAGTCTCTTGAGAACATCCGAAGTAAGAGATCAAATGACTTAAATTAAAATCATATAATTTATAGCTGCAAAGTGCTAGTAGTAATAATGCTAATGAACTGGTATCTGTTAAATATTTAATAGAAATTTACTATCCGTCTTTTTTTCCTGAACGTTTTGTAAACTTAATTGTGTCCTTAGAGATTATTTCAATTATTAACACACCTCTACTAGATTCTTAATTTAATTTAGTTTGTACTTGTTTACCCTCCAGTCTTTCATATGCTCTCTTTATTACTCTTTCATTGCAATTATTGATGGAATCCAATAAATATTATGGACATATCATTCTGATATTAACTTAAAGAATATATATAAATATTTATCATATAAATAATTCACACATTCATCTTTCTCCTTTTTTTTATTTATTAGGTGGCATTGATCGTGATTGCACTTCCAAATTGCTTTGAAATATTATATCTTCTAAATTTCGCTTTAGTTTAAATTCTAATCTTTTTCTTATTAATTTAACTATTTTCAATCTTTATGTAACCTTTCCCTTCATCAAAAAATAAATTTGGTAGTATTTTTTTTGTTTATAATTTATGTGGCTATAACCTAATTTCGGTTTCTCATGATATCTCCAATCCTGACATAACTTTTCTCAGTTATGGAATTCGATATATCTTTTAAATATATGACTTAATCAAATGCCAAAATCGCATCAGTTGATTCAGAGATACAATCTATCTTTTAACATTTCATTTCTATTTTCCAAACTTTTTCTATGTGCCTCTCAAACAAACAATCATTTGCTCTCTTTTTTGAATAGGCGATCAGAAAATTGTTTCTTTCTTAAAAAAGTATATTGAGAATAAATCAGACCTATTATTAAGAGTCGTTAAAATAAGAATTACAATCTCATTCAATATTTTTTCATAATCAGACTCTATTTAATTTACTTAAATTTTGAACTTATTCTCTTTCTATTAATTTTTTTTCAGTAATTTAGATCTGCTTTCTACTAATAATATAATTAGCTTTTTTGATTTTATTTTAGTTTCTTCTTTACTATATTGTCAATCTAACCCAGTTTTTTTTCATGCATTTTTGCAGCTTCTACAATATTTCTTTAATCCAATTTAATTGATACAACTTTGGATACTCTTCCTTTATCAATTTATGTTCTGCATTTCTATTAAATCTCAATCATGTATTCTTAAAGGACCATTCTTATTGAAAAAGTAATTATTAAGAGTGATAATCTGAGTAAATTTTATTATTGATGATTTTCAGTTAAATTATTCTCTTTACCATTCAATTGTAAAGGGAAAATCTTAAACGCAAATAGAGTTTCATGCATTATTCTGAATATAAGGAAGCAAAATATTTTGTAAAAATTTGTTAATTGATTTTGATATCATAATAATGTAAATGCATTTTAGTTAATATAAAATAAATAGAGAGAATTCATATTATGTAGAGGACATAATCAAATGTTTCTATTCTTAATGCATGGTTTAATTTAGAGAAGGCTTTGATTGATGCTTAAGTGCCTGAAAACGAGCAGGTTGCAATAATTTCAAGGCCACCTACATCAAAGATGATGAGAGATTATTCAAATTATCACTCAGTATGAGAATGGTTTGAACTTTAGCAACAAAGAGCTTAATCATTAAGACCTTTGACTGGACTGACAAGACCTTCAACTGCAATAACAATGAAGAAGCCTGTTGAATATTAAGATAAAACAGCAACTATTTAATAATCTCAAAGAAAGATGTTCAGAAAAAAAGTGAACCAAAGACCCTATAAAAAGTATGGTTTTGATAACATTCACATTCAAAAGTAATATTGAGTATAATTATAGGGAAGAATAGGAAGGTGATATGTCAGAAGAGGAACTGAATTCATCAAAAGTTATACACACTTTAGATGTAGATTAAATAATAGATTTATACAATAGTAAGTGTAAAGATCGAGAACTTGAATATTAACCAGAACATGCTGTTCTATTTATCGAAAAGTTCAAGAAATTATGCATAGATGAACAATTCATTTGTGAAGACAATTAATTAGGTTTGGAGAGTGCCAAAACAATCAGAGACATCCTGCTCTATAACAATCATTTCTCAACCTTGAGATTAGCAAGGAATTCAATTGGAGATGAAGGTCTTGTTGAGTTGCTTGAGATGCTGAAAGTCAATAACAATATTGTTCATTTAGATTTATCAAGTAACAATTTAACAGCAGATGGCGCTTTTTATTTATTTAATGAATTAGTCCCTTTACATTCTATAATCTCTATTGAATTATCAAGTAAAGACGGTTTGAATAGAAACAAAGTATCTGTCAAAGGATGTGAACCAATTGAAACTATTTTAAAATACAATCACCCTCTTCAATTTCTAGGTTTGAGAGGTACTTCAATTTAGAATGCCGGTTTTGAATGTATTCTATCTGGATTGTAAACAAACAATACATTAACTTATTTAAATGTTTCTAATAATGATCTAAATGAGGAGGCTTGCAATTATATGGTTTAATATATTTCAGTTTGTAACCTCGTTGAATTGGATTTAAGTTACAATCCTTTGGGTAATATTGGTATGGACTATTTGTCAAGGATATTTGATAAGGGTAGTTTTATGTTAAAAAAATTAAATTTGGCAGGATGTGAAATTAAATCATTAGGCATTTTGAAATTTTTTCAAAGTTTATCTGCAAATCGATTTTTGGAAAAGTTGATTTTAGATGAAAATCACTTTTCTGGAAATGGATTCAATGAAATTGAAAATGTATTAACATCCAGAATCCCATTAGCCTATTTATCCATGGCTAAATGTAGTATTAATGCAACAGGAGCAGAGTTCATAGGCAATGGGGTAGAAAGAAATAGAACACTTAAAACACTCATATTAAGGGATAATAGATTGACTGATGTAGGGGCTGAATGTATATTTAAAGGACTATTTTTTGAGAAATTAGATTTGAAGAGATGCAATCTTACTGATAAATGTGTACTGGGTTTGTGCAGTATGATTAAGCAAAGTGCTTAATTAACAACACTGTTGTTACCTGATAATGGGTTTCATGATTCCTCGGGAATTGTAATATGTGAAGCTATTAGAGTAAATTCATCAATGTAAATATTATGGAATACTTAGATTAAATTTAGATATTTGTGAAAACCCTTTGAGTTATAAATACATTGATTAAATTAATAAGGTTATAGAAACCAATAGATTGAAATATGAACTTGATAGAGTTCCTATGTATAAAAGAGAGATTGTTAAACTTAATAACATTATCCAATAGAAACCAACCTTGGAAAAAGATTAAAATGAAAATTAACAAAAAAAAGCAAGATCTCTTTAAACATTAGAAAAAACGATTGAAGAGAAAAACAGAGTCAAAATTGAATAAATTTAAAAGACTACTGACATGGATGCTAGATTATTATAAATATAATAATAATCAAGGTAAATGGATATTGACAAAATTAAATTTGATAATGAATCCAATATGTATTTGATTAAGATGGATGATGAGATGAATGAATATCAGAAGAAAATGTCTGAATGTCATTAAGTAATTACTCGTTTAGAAAAAGAAATAAGGGGTTTAAAGGATTAAAAACATGTTCGGAAAGGCCAAAGCGACTCTAGATTGGAAATGCTAAGACAATTAAACAGAGTAGAGGAAAGAGCACTCTAAAGAGCAGAAATTGAGAAGAAACAATTAGAAGAAAGGATAAAGTCCATGCAAGGCAAGGAATCCATTACTAGTAGAAGGAAAACTAAGTAATTGTCTTAAATTATTTAATAAAAATAATGAATAAAAAATATACATCTTCCAACTTAAATCCAAAGGTCTTAGATGATAGAGACGAAATTAATTTTGGAACTTCTCTTATTGATGCGATTTTTGATAAGAATCTTTTTTAATATCTAACATCCTTTCTTGATACTGTGAGTTTGATTAATTTTTAGCTATCATCAAAGGTGTTTAAGATCAGACATTGGAAGATTTACTTTAAGAAGGCTATATTTGGAAGAGTGTGCAAAACATTGGATCATAGATTAATCTCTTAATTCATCATCGATCAAAGGTGTACATAATTTATTTTCTGGGATTCGGTTATTGATTTTAAAAGGTTAAACTTATAATATTCTCAACAATATAAGCATTACTCATGTCAACAATCAGTTGAAGCAACGAATATATAAAAAGATATTGATCGAACCTTCTAATAACATTAGTACTTTAAACAAATTCATAATCGATAAAGATTGCAAAGAATTCTTATTGCCTTAGCTAAAATATAAGAACAGATTGGCTATATTTAAGGATTCAATTAAATTGCAGGTTGTTTCCTAATTAATGGTCTAAATGAGCAACAAACCTTTTGGATTATGTATTATATTTTAAAGAAAATGAAATATTCAACAATTTTCTAGGATTAATTTAATGAACTTAAATTTTTGAATTTTACTGTTGCAGTTTTCGTAAGGAATTATGCTCCATTTCTATCTAATGAATTTGTAAATCTTTTTAATTATTTAGTTATAAAACAAAATAGACGTTGGAATCATAACAACTAAATGGTTTTTAGTGATCTTTGGCTATGATTTACCTCAGTCATTAGTAATTATATGCAAATAATTCTAGTTAATTTAAGTTTGGAATATGTTCTTGTTAAAAGGGATTAAAATATTAATACGATTCTCAGTAGCTATTTTTAAATTAGTTTCTGAGTTTGAAGGAATTGATGATTTATATGAATTACTCAAAGAAAATCTATTTGATCTCTTAGATACTAATGTTTAATTGTAAAAGAAATTAATTGAATATTTCTTAACCATCAAAATAACCAATCGTTTAATAGAAGAATTAAGATATAAATTTGAGACTGGAGATGAATCCCTAACTCTCTCATTTGATTATGTCTAAAAAAAACATTATTGGAGAAAAGGTGGTGATAGTGCTCGAAGTTTAATTAGCTCCTTTAATGAGATAATAAGTGAAATATAAGATGAGAAAGATGCATGCTTTTAGCGATCTTAATTGCTCATGAATGCTTTTTTTCCTAAGTTGATAAATAAAAATTATTTAGAAACCTCAGAAGGTAAAAAGAACTTATCTATTAAAATTGAAAAAAAACCTTAGCTGATCAAAGGATAAATTATATCTTAACAATTTAATTTATCCATCCCATAATCTGCCAATGGAGATTAAGTAATAATTTTCAATAATTAGGAATCTAACATATATGCAGATGAACTCTAAAGTAGAATGAGTCCAAAAGAAGATGAATCTATAGAACTTGAATGCACTCCAGAAAAGATATTCAAATTTTCTAATAAAAAAAGATGAATTAATTTCATATTTTAATAATTTACTATTTCATTTCAATTATCAATCATTTAATTTAACTATTCAAAGGAAAATATAATTGTTTAGAATTATTTGGACTTGAAGTTGTATCTTTCTATTGTAAAATTAGAATAAAAGTGAATTAATATTTAAAATAATATGTTAATTTTGAATGATAATTAGAGATTACTTAATAGTGTTGAAATTAGATGGTTCCTTCAAAATATTATTAAAACAATGGCATTCTTGTTTCCTTTCATCAATATTTTATAAATGTGAAGAAATAGAATAAATTTAGCTTCTCTTATAGATTAAGCCTAAAGCTCTATTAAATTAATAGTAAACTAATTATAATAATAAGAAAATGATCCTATAATCTTTAAATATGAAGAATATTGTAAATATCCAAAATGCTCGAAAGTCTAAATAGCTAAAGGTGTTATTTTAATTTTAAAAATAAATATGCATAAACCTCTCATTACTATGAAGATTGTTGTTAAAATAATTATTATTGTTATGACAATGGGATTTTATATTGACAATCTTACTTTTTCCCCTATTCTAAGATGGTATGTTCAGTTTCACAAATACCGCATAATATTTTTCTATTTGGACTTAATCTTAAAGTCTTCTTACAGACATTTGATTTGTGTCCAACTTCCTAACAAGATTTACAGATGACTGGTTTAACATTTATTTCACTTTATTTGAATGTAGCTTATTCTTATTTTAATTTTGAGTAAAATTTTTCTGTAAATTTGAGTTCTTAAGTTCTATCATTCAAGTCGAATAATTTGACATGTTGCATTTTGCATTCAGGTCCATCTTTACAAAATCCATATACATAATCCATGCATAATTTCCTTACTATGTGTTTTCTAAAAGTTTTGATACAATTTTAACTTATCACATGAAGGACCCAAATAACAAAATCCTTTGTCATAATCAGGACATGGCCAATATTTATGTTCTAATGTACATTGAGGTTTAATGCAATTATCTTTCTAAAATTCCATACATAAGGGCTTGTCTTTCGAACCTGTAGGATTGAACATAGAAATATTAATAATTTAATTAGTATAATTAATCATTTTTTTTTTTTTACTTTTCTATCATTTAAAGAGCCCAATAACATCCACATATTCTCATCATTTGGATAACCAATGACTGGAAAGTCAGAATGTGTTTCTTCCTTGATTTAAGGAAGTTAATCTTGAATTAGAATTGATTATTACAAATTGATGGTAATGATTACTTATTTGGCTACTATTATGGGGGAAATAAAACATCTAGTGTTAATTTGAATGCATCATCTAGCATTCTTGGAATGTACATTTTTAATAATGGGCTTGATTCTTCTATGCATGGATTTGTATTCACTTCAATTAACCATACCTCCTGATCTGCATCCAAAATGAAATCAAATCCAAAAATCTCAAAGCAATACTTTCGGTCTTCAAAATTGATTTTGCTACGAACTGAATTAAAAACCATCCATATTCTTTCTTTCATTTTGTTTATAAGCTTAATATTATTTATTATTTTACATCCTCAACATTACATACAATGTTTTGCGACTTCAAATATTCTTAATAGTTTTTGAATGATAATTAATTACCATCCTCAAATTCTCCATAATTTTTGGAATACTTTTAAATAGCATTATTTGTTAAATGAACAAAAGTATTCTCTATGTTATAGGTGAAATCTTCAGAAGATGTTCGAATATATCCTTCTTAAAAGAAATATGCATCCAACTCTTGAGTCACTAATCCCCAAACTCTTATGTCAAATTTTCTTTTATTAATCAAAGCTGGTCTTTCTATATATTTTTGAATAACAAATGATTAAGATTTTATGATGCAAGGTCCTGATGGTTATTGTCTAATATATTAATTTGGATCTTTTTTAGTTCCTTAAGCACTTTAAACTTATTTTGGTGGATCCTCTTCCCCAGAAGATTCATCCTTTTAATTCAGAGTTTTTTCTTTTAAACCTTCTTAAAATTCAGATACTAATTTAACCAAGGTTTCTAAGTTATCAAATATTTAAATTCCTCTTCCTCTATTTAAAAAAGTAGGCTTTAATAACCACATATAAGTTGAATCTTCCGACAGAAAGGTATTATTCATTTGAATTTTTTGAAACTAGGAACTGGATTCCCTTTAATAAGAATTACTGAAATTTCCTCTCAATCTTCTTTTAACATCAAGCATTTATTTGGCTTATGGCTTTTTAGGGGCAAATTGTTCATAAGTCTTAAGGAATTAAGTTATATTGTAATCGCAATTCTCATCGCTAAAATCAATCACAAAGGTTAATGGAGTATAATCAAAAACATTCAGTTTATGTTTCTAAAAAATATACATATTTTTACTTCACAGTATTAGGATAGATTCTTAATTAGATATGATTTATTTGATATTTCTCTATGGTGTTCAAAATGATTAACAAGTTATTTGTAATTTTAACTAACAATCAATCTTTCATATCTGTAACCTCTTTCACTTTGTTGCCATTTAAAATTAACAAACATCGAACTAGAGTCAGTGGTTTCTTTCCATTAAGTCCTTTTAGACATCACTCTTTTTACTAGAGCCTCATTGTTGCCCCATCCGACATAATACTATTTGAATTATTTTTATTTATTTACTTTTAAACCAAAATCTTAAGGAGCTGGTTTGAACTGATTTCTTTTTTTGGAAAAACTAGTTGATTTAGGATTTAATTTTCTCGTCACATTAGGCAATTACTCTTGTTTTTATTACACTCTCTCTTTTGTTTTGCTTTTTTTATGCTGTAATTGTGATTAAGTAAATTGAGGTTTTATTTATGGGCTTTAAGACTTGAATTTCGTTTCAGTTTTATTGCATGGTCTCCTATTTTCTACTGTTATGGTTGATTCTTCGGACAAATTCATGATTATAAATTCTGAAAATAATTATTTATATAATAACTTCTAGCATATTAAAATTTAACATATGTAAAAGAATATGTATTTAGATTAATCAAGACACTCATTCTCCAATTTTCAGTCTTTTGAGACCCTATAATTTTTATACATTTTTTTAAATGATTTCCCTACAAAGATTAATTTTATAATTTTTACTTCTTTAGTGTTTCATTCTTCTGAATTGACCTTATAGTTCTACTAAATCCTTCAGGCTACTTTTCCAATAATTTATTTTGTAAACTTATACTTTAATTATATAATGAATCTACATTGAATTCATACATTGAATTTAAAGAATCATCCATTGATCTAGATGATTTTTGTGAGATCCCATCTTTTAAATTCAAATATGATTGTTTATGATATTTTAAGGGAATTTTAGAAATTTTATTGTGAGGCACTATCCCTGCAGAAATTAACAAAGACTTTTTCACTTTAGATTAAATCTCTTTATCATGAAAGGGGTCCTCAACCTGATAATCGGTTATATATTTAATCAATTCTAAGTCATTATTTATGTATTAATTTTTTAAGTAATTTTACTTAATAAATGGGACTATTTATTTAACATTCCCAAGACTATGCAAAGATTACGATTGCTAGTGAACAATATTTTTATATTAAGAATTTATGAATATCTTCTTTTTTGCTTTTTCATTTTAAATGAAGTCTCTTTATTGTAATTCATCTATATATTATTTGGCTTTTTAATTAATCTAAAACTTGATGGATGAAGTTTAAATTGGAGGATCATACTTATTTTTTGTTTCATTTTCATAAGTAGCTGTTTTGACAGTTTAATACGGATTTTAGTGTTAGATTAGTTTAAGACGATTTCCATTAACTATATTCTTCTAAATAATTTGAATTGATTTTTTTTCCATACATCTTCTTGATATCAGTTATATATATTCATCGCTAATATCGTACATTTATTTGATGACACCGACATTTTTTAATTCTCGACTTCTTTTGATGACATCTTCCTCCTCCTTTAATTTGATTTTATGTTCAATTAAATTTCTTAAAACATCAAACCTAGATTCAATCCTTGATTTCTTTGAGATTTCATCTGATTTATCTTTTAATAATTTAAGAAATCCTTTCTATTTCTGAGGATAATTTCTAGGGTTATTACTATCTTATTCAATTCTGAACAATTTAAACTTTTTTGGTGAATTGGGTCTTTGTCTATCAAGCAATTCTGACTAGTTTTTAAGTGTTAAAAACTCACAAGCTGATATTTCACCTTTGATGAATTTTTCAAAATTATCCCTTACTGAAGGACTTGAGTATACGTTGTTACCTAAAAACATTGGAGCTTCTCTCAAAAAAGCAGGATCAATGTGTTTATTTCTTTTCTTTTATCTGACAAGTCCTTCACCTAAGAAATTGCCAAACATAATATTCCAATTTTTAAGTCTGTCATCTTTTTATTTTGGTTCATCTTATTCAGTCTTATGTTCGCTAAACTAAAATTTGTCCAATTAATACACAAGTAGTTGTTTGAGTTGCCTCCCTTCGTCTATGTACTAGTCTTTTCATTAAATTAATTATGATTTTTAATCGAAGAATTTGTAAAGTTATATTTCATCCAACGCCTCGTTTTTATTTCTTTTAACCTCCATAGTTTGATATTAACAAGGATTATTACAAAATCTTAAACTGCTCATCTGCAGATCAAGAACAAAAGATAAAACTAGAATATTATAAATTAGCAAAAAAATACCATCCTGACGTAAATTAAGGAAATGAAGAGAAATTTAAATAAATCAATGAAGCTTGGAATGTACTGAATCCAAAAATTAATTAGGTTCTATCTGACAAAGATAAAAAATACTAATATGATTCTGCAAGGTCCTATAAAAATAACAATTATGAAAATAATCAAAAACCCAATTAAGAAAAAAGACAACAACAAAATCATGAGGATTTTTTCAATTAAAAGGGTTCTGATGGATTCTATCAATAGTATTCATAGAAAAGTAATAGTTTATTTTTATATAAGGCAGTAGTGATTCCTAATAATATTCTAAAAGATAAATGGAGGAAATGTAAAAATAAGCTTAAGAATATATGAATATGTTTTAGAATGGATAATTCTCATAAATGTCTAAAGCATTTCGAGAAGCCACAAAAGGTGATCCTAAATTTAATAGGATCAATACGTTTATGAATCTGGCAGAAATGGCAGGTAAATTTTATTAAGAAAGACAAAGGTCGAATTAGTAAAATCAATAAAAAAGATAACAAAATGTTTCATCTTTTAAAGACGAAGAGGATTAGCTCAAAGATTCCTTAAACAATATAAAAAACGGTATTAAAGGGTTATGGGATTAATTTACTAAAAAATGAATTTCTTTTATTCATGTTTTAATTTATGTAAATCTTAAGATTTTTTCATAATATGGCCTTTTTTTAATCAAACCCCTATCGTATATTTTATTGATCAGAATAGGATTTTCATCTAAAAATGATAAATCAAATAATTAAACTGTTGATTGAACAATGGATTATCATAAATAAAATAAAGATTTTTATATAAATTGATTAATTAAAATCATTAATTACTTCTGTTTGTATCCATTTTAGAACTAAAAGAGATTGACAAACTTTCTGAGTTTCGTTTATTTCTTCTTTAACTAGAAGCTCTTTTGAATTGAGTACTTTCAATATTTACTAAACTTAAAATTGTATTCACTCCTTAAGAAGTCTTTTCTCCAATTGAAAAATAGTTTGACTTAGTGACTGAATTAGTTTCCCTTTATCTCCAACTTAAATTACTTCCATATATATGTTCTTTTAAAACTCTCGAAGATTTTAATCTACTTGCACTTCCTTAACTCTATTGGAATATTAATATGAATTACATTGCTTAGGTCTGTAAACTGATTCACTTCCTTGAATTTACAAAAGTTTGGAGCAATCATATCATTTTTCTTACACCTTAAACATATTCTATGATCGAAAGGAGGGAAAATATCTTCATTTTATTACTCTGTTTGAACAGCGTGATCAGTTATTTATACTCTTCCAGAACTGCTATAGTTTTAAACGGAAGAAGCTTATTCCTAACTAGTATTATTATCATCCTCAATAAATATATGTTTGTTTTTTTTAATAATCCCAGTTGGCCTTTTTTGAGTATTTGACTCTTAAGAATCATCTAAGTCTTTTGAGAATTTAGCCACTTCTCTATAGAAACTTTATTATATGGAGGAAGCTGGAGAGTTTGTATAACAATTAGGACTCTTATGTTAGGCTCTTGGAGGTTTTTAACTATTGCGAGTTTATTAATAATCCAACCTATTCTAAAGGTTTAATTAGTCTTGCAGATAATTTATCTATTTATCATATTATTAAACTAAGTCTTAAATAATTTATTCATATTTTTATTATGTTTGAACTATTGATTTATTTGATGATTCCTACACTTGTTACATTTTTTTCTAAAAGGATTTTTCACTTTCTTTTATTTACTAAAAGCTCATAGAGGAATTTAAGACGTCCTTGACCTACTCTAATTCTTTTGCAAATTGAAGAGACTTTTTATCATTTTCAATTTTGTATTATAATAAGTCCTATTGTTTCTAAAATTCTAACTAATCAATTTATCTTTATAAAAGCATAATCTCATGCTTTTGATTAGAAACGGTCTATTAAAGTTATTAATTTTGCGATTATTTTTCCTAAGTTTATTATAACTATCTTACTTCAATAATTGAATTGTATTCTAATTGGACTTCATTGACTTATTATTCATATTAAGCTGAATTACTGTCTAATTCTTATTAAAGTTCCTAAATCAGAGCTTCTTTTTCCAACACAGCCTAAAATTAAAATAATAATTACTTATTCTAATTGAGAGGCTTAAAGTTTTAACTTGTCAAATAATTAATTTTGTTATTGATATTATAACTATGTTTAATCTAATGCTAGTTTGGTAACTTTAATTTCATTCAGATAATTAATTTCCTACTATTTCAATTACTCTTATAGCAAATCGAGTTTTTGATTTAAAATTTGATTCTCACTCTTCAGAGTTGTTTCTTTTTCAATCATTTTATGACTCTCCAACAGTTTTTCCTATTCTTATATCTAAACTTTTTATTATAATTCTTAAGACTATGTTAGTACTTTTTTTAATCTGTTTTCTGTTTACACTTTATATTCTTTATATTCTTTTTATATTTCATTGTATTTTATTTAATATTTAATTTCCTCATCAATTTCTCTTAGTTCAGAATTTTACGTATTACTAAGTTCATAACTTTCTTTCAATTATTTTTATAATACATCATTTAACTTTAATTATTTCTTAATTTCTGTTTCTTGACAGCTAATTTATTTTTGAAGATCTTAAACTTAATCTCTTAATTATTTCAACAAATCATCTTATTCCTTTTATTAATCTTATAGTTTTGAATGCTACAATTAAGTAGAATTTAATTCAGTTTCTAATTGTTAAATCCTACTTGATTGAGATTTGGATAATTGAATGTATTATTTGATTTCATCACTTTCATCATTTTTGGACTAGTACAAGATTGATTCTAATTCATTATTTTATTTATTGAGTCTTTCAATGATTGATAAATGTTTTTCGCATTGATCCTCTAATTTAATTCTGATGTCATTTAGTTCATCAACATCATTCTTATATTTCTGTAATTCCTTATACAAATTCGTATTGCTCTTTTGGAGTTGTTTAATTTGATGAGTATACATTTGCAATTGATTGTTGTATACTTAATTTTCTTTTTCAATTTCAATGCTGTTATTGAGAATATTCTTCATTTCATCTTAGAGTTGCAACTTTTCGTGATGCTTCTCATCGATTCTTTATTTGACTTAGTTTTAGATCTGTTTATTTTCCTTAATAATAATTTCGTTTTCCTATTTTATTTCATCAATTTCTTTCTAATATTTGAAAATCTAATTTTGTAAGTCTTTAATTTCACATTCTTGATTATAAAGCATTTAATCCAAATGATCGAATACATAATTAAATAAATTTCCATTTGATTTAGGTTAAGGAATTCGAAACCTCTCTAATTGATTGAATATCAACTATTCAAGATCTCTCCATTATTCCCATGAAGAATTGTTCTGTAACTATTGTATGATTTAATTTTTTTCTTCTAATTATTGACTCAACATCAAATTAATCTTCTACTCATTTTTAAATAGATTATTTTATTATTCGTAGGAATTAAGTTTCTATTCCTGTAATTGTAGGGTCATTCTATTATACTCACTCATGGACAATAGCTTAAAGTCCATAGACCCAAGATCTAATCTCTTCTCTTTCAAAGCGAGCACTTATTGTTCTACTTCTTAGAACACTTGAGCAGCAGCCTCTACCTCTTAAACAGACACGGTTTATTGACTAAATTGATATTGAGTAATAATACTTTTCAAACACATTTTCAATTTCAAGTGTAATCTTCTGATTGAATTCTATCAATTTTCTTACAAAAGTTAACATTTCCTTAATTTAATCTTCATCTTGTTTTTATAATTTATTAATCTCTCTTGTTATGATTGTGGCCATAGATATTTTGGATTCTTTGAACCTTGCATATTCCAAATCAATCTGATTTGATATGTTAACCATTTCTTATTTGTAATGGCTTAGCTTTTTGCTGTATTCCTTTAACTTCAATCGATTCTTATTATTAGTTAGTATTATTTATGGGCCAGTGCTTTCCTCTTTCAAAAAGGACTCATTAACAGATGACTTATTTTGAACAGCACTGACTTCTCTGAAATCCCTTAATAATTGATCCATGAATTGAACCTTGCTCATTTTGAATTTGTATAAATATTAATTTGTTCGTTAATATATATGTAATTTGTGAATTGCACTCCTTCTCCAAGAAAATCACCTATATCTATGCAGGGGAAATAGGGAAAAACTTACAAATAAAAAAAGTCGATGAAATCAACATCAAAATTATTAGAGATTCCTCCTATATCTACTTAGAGAACAATGAAGACGACAGACCAAATTTTATCCTAACGAAGTCCCATAACTGGTACCACAAAAACAACAAAATATACCATCGAAACAAAGCGAAGCATGTCTCCAGAGGAATTAAAATCTTTCAGAAAAAGTAATAAGACATAAAAAAATTAGAAAGACACAAATAATGCCAAACAAAGATCTCCTTTATCCACTGAAAAAAAATAACATTCCAACAAAATGTCTATACAATAATATATGAAGGAAAAGAAGAAATCTGAGCAGTTAAAAGAAAAGCTATTGTAATAGAATGTTTTGAATGAACAATAAAAAAAGTAATATACATAAAATTCATATTTGTTAGATTATGCAATCTCTAAAAATTACAAATAGAAACTAAATAAATTATTGAAAATGCAAAAAAAATAAAGAAAAGATCATCCAAAAGATTGAAATAGAAAAAATAAAAAATAGATTAAATTATCAAAAGGTTTGAAGAAATATCTAAAAGGTATGAAAAAGTCCAACTTGATTAGATTGACAAATTCTAATAAGAAGTTGCAAAACATTAACAATCTTATAAGACTCAAACTGAAATTGAATCCTAAATCAACTACAATTAAGAAGACTTCGATGCATTTAATGAATACTATTTACATCAAGCAGCTTTATTAATTTAAATTCATTGGAAAGAACACAAAAAGAGAAAGAACTAGTAAAATAAGAAAACATCGCAATCTAAATTATAATAAATCAGCATAGATTGGGAACCACAATAATTAGTCTCATAATAGACATCTCCTAGTAATTTCGAAGATGGCTTTCTTTTTTGTTAAGGAGGAGAGAAATAAGTTCATATCTCAAATATTAGAAGTTCAATCATTTCTGAAGAATCCTCACCCATTGTTAGTCAATTAAATTAAGAATTTGAAAATTGGAATCTATTTACTTAAAGAATAGTTAAAGATAAAGACATTTCAAGCATCAACAAATAAATGCAATAATAGATTATATCTATTGTCCAAAATCATTTAAAATAGTCTGAAAATATTTCAGAAAGAAGAAGCGAAAACGAAGTCCTATAGGAGAAAAGTATAAACAAGCATCAAAAACAATTGAGTGAAGATCTCTCTAAATTTAATGTACTGCAATTATAAAAACAATCATAAGAGGAAGAAAACTTAGTATTAAATTATAGGGAGGAAGTTCTATATTTAAGGTATGATGTTGAATAAAAAAATGCTATTGGCAAAGATCATCAATTGCTTGAAGAATGGCTAAATAGAGAATTAGAAGATTTATAAAATACGAGAAAGGCTTTTGAAATTGGTCATCGAAGGGAAATCTCAACTCTAAAAAAGATTCAAAGAGACATCCTTATTGCTTCTGCAGAGCTTTAATCAGACCCATAAGACAATTTGCAGATTTAACAGATATAGTAATAAATAGATGAATAATTTAATGGTCTTAAAGTTACTAAACAAAATAGTAACAAATTACAAGAAGAAATTCACTAAACTGTAGATTTAGTAACTAATGAAATTCTTAATGATATGATGATGGAACTATCTGAAGAAGTGTTGAATAAAAGGGAAGATCTTTATCTATTAATTTCAAATCTTGTGGTGAATTAAGATGAACCACCTTGTGTTCCTACTTCAATGACTGATATCTCATCATATATTGATAACCTATTTAAATATATTATGGAGAATCATAAATAGTCTTTGATATCAAATTTGAGTGTTCCTTTTGGATTTACACCTAAGCAGAGACTGAGGCTTATCCATGGAAATGAAGATGATGATATTGATAATAATAAGGAATTCTAAGACCAAATAGCATTCCCAATTGATGAGGCCATTTTTGTAGAATATGAGAACCAAAGATTGCCAGCAACTGATAATGATGATGATGAAATTGGATCTGCAATTCTGGAACTTTAACATATTCACAACAAAGCAATCTTTGATGCATGTAATGAGGTTTTAAACAGTTATAGGCCATTTTATTATAGTAATAATTTAATATTAAATTTAAGATTCCGGAATAAAATACCCATGGGAACAAAAGAGAAATAGATTATCAAAGATATCAAACTAAAGCTTGGATCATATAATGGTTGAAGTGAAATCCACAGTTTTGAAATAGAGTAAAGTTTTGTGTGGGTTTTATCCAACTGAAGAGTTTGAAATTATTAAATAGGAGAAATAAGAAATAATAGATGAGAAAAATATATTAATGCTTATGTAGCAATTAAATCTAGTGGAAAACCCATTACTAGTTGATACAAATATTTAATTTGATAATTTGGCCTTAATTAGGGATGAGTAACTATACAAACTACTTATAGAAGATGTATAATTTTTATTGAAATTGTTTTAGATAAAGGAATAGGAATATAAGTGGGCTTTGATTGAAGATGATCGAGCTGAATACTTAATGGAATTAAGTGATCAAATTTTAGAGAATCTTATCGAAGAAGTCTCGAAAGAAATGTGATTCTGCTTATTATTTGATATTTAAGTATAATAACGTTTATAAATTATAATGTGTTATCATGACATATATAATTTAGCTATATACAGATTACAAAATACTAGAATTCAAAAGTTAATAAATTTCTATATATATCCTATTTTAAAGTAATCCAGTAGAGTAAAGTTTTTAGGTATATCTAATTAGTAGATTTTGTAACTGCAGTCATAAGTGTTCCTTCTTCTTTTATTGTCACAACATAGTTATTTAAATTTATATAGTAGTCTTATATTGATTAGTATAAAGTATAATATGAGAATTTTAGTGTTAAATTTTAAGAATAAATTAAAATAATTAGTGTGAGTGTGATGTTGACAGAAAGCATATAAATAAATTCAGGACATGCAAGTATGATCCATGATATTAAATACGATTATTATGGTGATAAATTAGCAAGTTGCGGAAGTGATGGGTATATTAATGTCTATGACGTGTCAAAAAAATAATAAGTTGCTCAAATTAAGACGTACATAATGAATATTACATTTTAGTCGAGATTCTCCTTTATTTTCATTATCTTGGTCACATCCTAGGTTTGGTAACGTATTAGCCGCTTCGTCTTACGATGGAGAAATTTCTATTTTTAAGGAATAAAAGGAATGGAGTAAAGTGGCAACCTATTAGAATGAGGGCAGTGTGAATTGTGTTCAATTTATGCCTAGAGAATTATTTTTGGCATGTGGTACTTCAGATGGATTTGTAATTTTATTGGACAATAACAAAAATTGGGATGTTGATTATAAATGGCAAGCACATGAATCAATAATACATGGATTGTGTTGGAATTAAGATGGTTCATTATTAGCAACTTGCAGTGCTGATAAATTGATTAAAGTCTGGGAATTTACTATCAATTACAAGCCATAATTGAAATACACAATTCAATCTCATTTGGAAGTAGTGAAGGATGTTTAATTCCACCCTTTAGAAAACAATATTCTTGTATCAGGAGGAGATGTAAAAATCAATCACATATATAGGATGGTAAATTGAGAATTCATAGATTGGATGAGGATGCATTGGAAAGTCAAGTTATTGATGTTCACATGACCATTTGGAGAACATCATTCAATATGTTGGGCAATTTATTAACAATAAATGGAGAAATTAATGGTTAGAGTAATATTAAAACACTTAAATAAGAGAGCAATTTTTAATATAGCATTATTGATTGCAATTGAATAATGTATAGATGAAAATGAAATTATATCAACTTGTTAAATTTACATTTATATTTGCTTCTTTAGCTAATCTTAAAATTGCTGCCATTCTAACTGCCTTCTTTGCTGCCTCATCTAAATCTTCAGTAAACATCATATTGAATCCTGACTCGTCTATCAATTTCTTTGCCTCTTCTACTTTTGTTCCCTTCATTCTTAACACCATTGGTTTCTTCATTCCCAAAACTGTCAAACCTTTTAATAGTCCTAAGACTATTTAGTCACATCTTGAAAATAATTATCATAATGTTACCTTGCTATACCAGCAAATATATTGACAAGAATGGCTTCAACATTTGGATCCTTATCCATAATTTTGAGTGCAGATACAATTTCTTAATCAGTGGCTTTTCCTCCAACATCCAAGAAATTAGCAGGTGATCCGTCATATTATTTGATTAAATCCATTGTAGCCATAGCCAATCCTGCTCCATTAACCATACAACCTATGTTTCCATCTAAAGCAATATAATTTAATCCATGTTTCTATGCTTCGACTTCCTTCCAATCTTTTTACCTTACATCTTCCATATGAAAGATGGCATGTTATCTAAATTGAGAGTTATCATCAATATTAAGTTTTTGATCACAAATAATCAAATTTCCCTACAAATCAATTCCAAGTGGATTAATTTCCAACAATGTCGCATCTGTTTATAAAAAGATATCGAACATCTTCCTTAAAATCTAAATATGATTAGATAGATATTTACATCTTTCATCTAATTATGCTAAATTGGATTCAATTTATACACTTTTGAAACCTTTTCATAAATTGAAAAATCAATGGCATCTACATTGCTTGGCATTTCAATTGAGAATTTCTTAATATAATTGGGATCACTCTCTTCAATATGTATACCTCCCTTTTCAGAAGCTACAATTCCCAACCCTCCTGTGTTCCTGTCCAGGAGAATTGATAAATACAATTCTTTTCTTAAAAAGTTTCTTTCTACCACATAAACCATCTCACACTTCTTTCCTAAACTTCCAGTTTGTTTGGTTATTAATGTGTTTCCCAGCATTTTGCTAGCATATTCTTTAACATCTTCAGGAGTTGAGGCAATGTGTATTCCCTAAATAGATATTCACTGATACACTATTAAATCCATTCTCTTTAAAGTATCCTTTTCCTCTACCACCAGTGTGACATTGAGCCTTTACAACCACATCTGTGAATGAGTTTCTTTCTGATCCCTCTTATATAATTTTTTAGGCTGACTTATAGGCTTCATCTGGGGTCTTACAAATTCTTCCAGGAGGAATTGGAAGTTAGAACGACTTGAAGAACTCAGCTGTTTGATACTCGTGAAGAGAAAGGAAATATTTAGGTATGCGATGGAATCTAAACATTAAGATATTGATTTATATTATAGAATTTCATTACCACAAGCTATTGTGCATATTTTCCAGTTACTCTAAATCTTAATTATTATTATCTAATCTTTACAAAATTCTGTCAAATTAAGAATTAGATCCTCCAAATCCTGATTCACTCGCATTATTATCAAAACTTCTAACTTCTAAAAACCATCTCAAATGACTATTTTCACCAATGGTTGGTACTTTTATAAGATCAAGCAAATATTATTAAAGATTCATGCATCTAATATTTGGGCTGATCTGCTATAATGCTGCAGTAGTCTTATAAGGTAATTATGGAAGTAATGGATATCTGAAAATAGAATTTGTTTATTCCTTTACCTTTATTTTAATAAACTATGCAGATCATCAAACTAGCTGAATCTTTTCCAAATTGTATGTTTCAAATCTCCAGTTCAAATCATAAATGAGTATCTTATGAATTTCTCACCATCCTTTCCAACCACTTCTTCAAATCCTGTATTTTAATATGTAATTTCTTTATTAATTCACTCTCCTTAATTACTTTGGCTTATCAATTTTTGACTTGATCTTCTAAATATTGAGACATTCCTATGAATTTAAATAAAGCAGAGACATGATACTAACTATCATTGAGTATAACTTTCATAAATATTTCTAAGTCTTGTCTTCTCTCCTCTATTTCTTCGTTTGACATCTTAATCAATGGAAGTTTTTCACATCAATGATACTTTTCATGGTCTCACTAAATTCGTAGAATTCTTTGATTCTTCTTTAGACTATAAGAGTTTCAGCTTCAAATTATGTTATCATTGTATATTGTATTATTGTTCTTCTCGATGTTAATGTGCATTTAATTTACTATCAATACATATGGTTCAGAAAGAGTTTTAATAGTTTGAAATTCAGTAATTTTGAAATCTTTATAAGGCAAATATTAGGCTTATATATCCCATTTACATTTCTTTGGTTGATTCTTTCTTCCTATTATATATGATTTATGTAAATTTTGAGAATGAGTAGCTAATTTCATTTCTTCAATTAGTTATTTCTCAGAAGATTATAATTCGATAAAGTCAGCAAAACAAGGTGTTATCAATTCTAATTTGCTGGTTATAAATTCAAAGTATCTTTATATATAATGAATTAAGAGTAAATCCTAATTCTCTTATATCTATTTGATGAGGAAATTGATTTATAACAAGTCATTGGAGTGCTGTTCAAAATATTCATTATTTTCTAATATATATTGCTAATAATGTAGCAAGATTCTGAAATCTTTTTTTTTAGTTTGTATTGCTTATCTGCTCCATCAATAATACTTTAAAGTAATAAGAAATATAATTACATATCTAATTTAATTTCAATATCGCCATCAACAATATTCCATTATTTTTTCAAGACTATTTTTAAGAAAAAAGAGCTCTACGAATCTAAATTATATTATTAGAATACTGACAGTAGATATTCTGGATCTCTGAGATTCTGATAGATCAATCATTGGTAATTGGTTCCTCCAAAAACCTAAAGTTTCAAATTCTGCAAGGTCCATATACAGCAACTCTAAATAAAAACAAAGTGTATACAAGTCTATATTAATTCTATAATAGCAAGCAACAAAATACATTGAAAAGGATTAATACAAAAGTGATGGTTAAAATAGCCAATTAAAGGCCCAATAGATTTTGTGAGCAAAGAACATGGGAACTTATGTTTTGTATTCATAACTCTAAAATTAAATTGAAGATTACCATCAAAATGATTTGCATAATAACTGCTGAAATTGTTATGAAGAGTACTCCAGAGATGTAATAATTCTAATGATCATCTTAAAATATCATTAGAATAAATTCAATAAATTCAATGAATTCAGCAGCTCTGGGTAGTTAATAAATTTACTAATATCTAAAGTTAATAGTGTAATCCGCAAAATGATTGAATAATTAAAAGGGAAGAATCGTACTGGCATTCCTATGATAAATAAAACACTTATTTAGGAAGCAAATAACTAAAAACAATTAAAGTATTCTAAATTGGCATTTAATATTAAATATTTCTTTTGCAATTATTTAAAAATTAAATTATCTAATTTATGCTATCCACAGCTGCAGGTTTCCAATCTATGCTCAAAGAAGTATAATAAACAGTTATAAATTTCCCAGGGAGCTCGCCATTATTAAGGATTAGAAGAGGCCATCCTAAAAAATATTCAAGCATGCAAAGAAATTTCTAACATGACTAAAACTTCATTGGGCCCAAATGGAATGAAAAAAATGGTTGTGAATCATATTGATAAAATATTTGTCACAAGTGATGCAGCAACAATCCTCAAAGAAATGGAAATCTAGCATCCTGCCGCCAAGATGATCCTTATGGCAGCCAAAATGCAAGAGACTGAATAAGGAGATGCTACAAATTTTGTAATTACTCTAGCTGGAGAGTTATTGTAATAAGCTGAAAGTTTAATTAAACTAGGATTACATCCAAGGTAATACTCATATTTCATTCATTTAGCTAAATTGTGGTTGGCTATGAGACCGCATTGAAAAAGGCATTGGACTTACTAGACGAACAAAAAGTATGGGAAATAACAGATGTTGCTGACGAATAATAAGTCTTTTAAGCAATTAGAACCTCGTTGAGTAGTAAATTGTCAGAGTAAATTCCTAAATAAAAATTATAGTTATTCCAATCTGATTGCTGGTCTTGTAGCCAAAGCATGTATTAGATGTTTGCCACGAGAAAAGTCTAACTTTGATTCTGAATATGTTAGAGTTACTAAAATCTTGGGAGGATCTGTTTTGGATAGTCATGTGTTGTCTGGATTAATTGTAACTAGAAATGTGGAAGGACAAATCAACAGATTGGAGAATCCTAAGATTTGTGTATTTAATGCACCATTAGATCCATAATAATCAGAAACCAAAGGAACAGTTTTAATTAAAAATGCTACAGAATTAAAGAACTATACAAAGACTGAAGAAGACCTTGCTGAAAAGATCGTCAAGAGCATTGCTGATGCAGGAGTCAATCTCATTGTTGCTGGAGGAAGTATATCAGAAATAGTATTACACTTTGTTGAAAAATACAAAATGATGATTGTGAAGGTTTAATCAAAATTTGAATTAAAACGATTATGCAAAGCAGTTGGAGCTAGCGCTTTATCAACATTGTCTGCACCAATGCCAGACGAATTAGGAACATGTGATCGAGTCCATGTACAAGAAATTGGTAGTTAAAAAGTTACTATCTTCGAAAAACAAAGTGACACTTGCAAATTAGCAACTATTGTTTTAAGAGGAGCAACCTAAAATCTCTTAGAAGACATTGAAAGAGCCATCGATGATGGAGTTAGCTGCTATAGATCACTAATTAAAGATTCAAGATTTGTTTATGGTGGAGGAGCTACAGAAATTGTAATATTCATATATCTATCATTTTAGAAATTAGCTTAACAATTAGAATAAGAGGCAAACAAAATTAAATCTATTGATTAATATGCTTATAGACAATATGCCTAAGCCTTTGAAATTATACCCAGAATTTTAATTGATAATGCTGGTTTAGCTCAAAATGAAATGATGGCTTAATTGCATAAGTTGAATTCTGAGAAACCTCATTCATTGAACATTTCAGTATATCTTAATTTCTATTTTAGAATGGAACCTTAACTCCCTCAAGTGAATTAAAAGTTTTTGATCACCTTAAAACCAAATGGTGGGCTATCAAATTAGCTACAGATGCTGCCATCACTATCTTGAGAGTTGATTAAGTATAAAGATTCAATATTCATTAGATTATTATTGCCAAACCAGCTGGAGGACCAAAGATGCCAGATAGAGGACACTGGGATGATTAAGATTGAGTGTGATCAATAATAAATCATAGCATAGATATTATCAAATAATTTCTTTTATTTTCTTTAGGTGCAAGTTTATATTTGCTAACATCTAAATTATCGGAAAACTATTTGTATTTCTCTTATAAGTAACCAAAAATATTATTGTATTCTTATTGATAGGTATTTCATAATATAATAAAATCATTATTTAATTAAATTGATTTCCTCAACTAATATTGCAAAGTCTTATTAACTTTGCTAAACACTTTAATTTATGAATTTGATTTATTGATTTAAGGAATTCACCTCTGTAAGGACAGCATCATCTTTTTTTAATTCTTTTATTTTGAGATTCAGTTCGACAATTTTATTTAAATCTTCTTTTAAGGTCTTTTTTAATTGAACATTCTCTTCGAACAAAGTCTTATAGTTTTTCAATTTCTATTTTATTTGCATTTTAAAATCTTCTTGATTAGTTTCAATCTAATTTTTCAGATGATATAGTGTTTAATACTCTGTTTTGAGTATTTAGTGATCACATTGAATTTTGATTAATTATTCACTTTACGATCTGAAATTCTATAATACCTTCTAAACAGCATATACTATGGAATCACAATCTTGAGGAACATTTAGTAATAATGAAAGTTCTTTAATCATTTATTTGAATTTTATATTGCTATCTGTATTTTCTGTTTGCTAATATTGAGAACACTTATTGGTTACAGAATACCCAGCATAAGTAAAGTTGCTATTGTAACTTTCCCTTCCTTTTTATAAACTCACTCTACTCTCTGATAAATTTGGCATGCTCTAAGTTGGCAATTATATATTTTTAACGTGTTGTAAATCCTACAAATTAACCTTTTTGACTTCTTGGCGAGCTCTTGATTGGCAGGGTTAAGGACTACCATATCTTTTTTATACAATAGGCTCTGTTCTCAAAGATTTCGTCCATGAAATTTATGACTGCATTTGAACTGAATTTCTAGTAATCTCGTGGGGGTTGGTGCATTTTAAAAATATACTTACCTAATTTCCTTATTCTAAATCAATTTTGTATATGGATTCTTTTCCCATGATCTCGTTTAATTCTAACTTTGCATATCCTATCACTTTGATGAATCCACTTTCCTCATCCTGTATTTCGATATATATTTATAACTAAGGATCTATTAATTTATTACAAATCTTCCAAGATCAAATGAAGAAGTCCATGATGGAGAATATTTAATTATTTTTTGAGTGGTTACAATTCTTAGAGGCTCTCGTTTATCAGCTAAAATTACATATGAAAAATACACCACATTAGAAAGAGATCTACATTAATTATGTCTAGACAAGAGACTTGAAATGAATTTAAGAGACGCTTAATTAATACATTTAATTAAATAAAGAATCAAACAAAAGCCAATTATACTCAAGTTACTATTACTCCTATTTGAATTGTTTAGTAACTCACTTCGAATATTACTCTATATACAGTTAAATAGTTTAAAAGAATGACAAAGTAAATTCAAAATTTTTAGAATAATATGTAAAAGTATGACTAGTTAGAATAAGAAGTATAAATTAAAATAGAACTATTTTATAAAATACAGAAAGTAATGGCAAAGTAATTCTGTATTGATATATCAACAGCCTGATTGATTAATTTTAATAATTAAAATCTCTTTTATAAATTTCTAATGAGCTCAAAAACCCAATAAAGAGTTCTCACTTTCATAAAAAAATACAAAGACGAGTAAATGCTTCATATTTAAGTTTAGATTGAGTCCAACAACTGGTATTGATGAATTTGCAGATTTATTGAATGAATGCTTTTCATCGAAATAGGATGCAACAAGAAGAGAAAAAGTGAATTTAATTGTTGAAAACCTTGTTTTAGACGATGAAAGTAAACTAGTTGAAGGAGGTAACAAAAATCTATTAATAAAATAAGATTTATAAAAATATGTGGAGAGATTAATTGATTTCGTTGAAGGACCAAGTGATGATCCCTTAGAGAAAAACAACCTTAAGTAACGAAGCTCCTCTGGTAGTTCGGATGAGGAAGATAATAGAGGTCATAATAGATAACAAAATAAACATAAAAGAGATAGAAGCAGAGACAGGGAAAAAAATAAAAAATCAAAAAAAAATTAAAAAAATACTAACATTTTATCAGAATTATAAACAGCATTAGGAAAGGAAATGAATATAAAGGACTTGCTTTCATCCCTTACAAATAATAATAACCGTAAATAATAGCACAATAATAATAATAAAAATGTTGTCTTTCTATAAAATGTTCCAAGGGAAATGAGATCCTACACTGAAATCGAAGCCTTACTATAAGGGAGAGGAGATTTAATTAAAATTCAGCTATTAGGACGGTAATTTATAGATCTATTTCTAGAGTTCCTTCTGTTCAATTTAAAAATCACAGTGATGCCTAAGCTTTGATTGATAAATTTATTGTTCATAAAGGAGTTAAAATTGAATTTACATAAAGTTTAAATAAAGTATGAAAAGAATATAATTAAAGTAGTAGTAACACTAAGATGATCATAAGAATCATAAGATTATAATATTAGACAAAGAAGGAAAAAAGGTATCTAATCAAGCTAGTTAACCAGCAGCACTTCTCTAATAAACTTAATAATAATAAAAATAACAATAACAATCATAATAGTAATAATAATAATAATAATAATAATAATAATAATAATAATAATAATAATAATAATAATAATAATAATAATCAGCTTTATAGAAATAAGACTCTAAAATGGAAGAGGAAACTGATTAAAAAAAAACCAAAGAAGAACAAGAACTAAATAATTAAATTGATTAGATTAAAGGACAAGCTAAAACATTGGTTGTGGATAAAGTAAGATTAGCTTTATTGCTAAATAAAAGGAAGGACAATTATTCTCCTTAATTAAGCGCTGAAATTGATGAATTGAAAAAGTACGGTTATAATAAAAACTTAGAATGTTAACCTAAAAGAAGGAGGAAATTTCCAAAATGAATTCTCTGGAATAACTGAAAGCAGAATTACAATGGTTAAACGAAAACTATGATTACACTTTATTAATTACTCAAATCCCAGAATAATTATTTAAGGAAAAGACAGTTACTAAAATACTCAATGAGGAATTCCAAGTAAGTATTTAAATAATATCCTAGAAATATGGTAAAATTGACAATTTGTAAATAAAAATAAAAGATAAAGCTGCCCATCTTAAATTCTTTAGCTTTGATTCAGCAGAAAAAGTATTTAATTTTTATAAGTTAGGCATATTATCAAGCAAACGAAAATTCTAATTTCAAAGTTGAGTTTTTAAATTAGGGTATTAAAAAGGTGTTAATTGCTTAAAGTTGAAATATTATATATTCATAATATTTAATGTAAATAAAAAATATAATCAGTATACTCAAATTTTCTTTCTTTTTTATGGTTACAAAATAAATGAAACCAAAAATTCACTTTTAGAAATATTAAAACTTATCAAACACAAATTTAATATTAATTTTCATTACAATTTTTTAAATTGCTTTTTTCAAATAATATTATACTTTTCCTGAGTTATTAATAAATATCACTATTAGTACTAATTTAACTATATTTTTAGTTATGTTATAAAAATTTGGAAAAGAAGCTTACGATTTAAAATTTGAGAAATACTTTGATTTGATTGATGATACGTTTTCATTAAATCCATAGACTATGGCGATTTCATAAAATGGTAAATACATATTTTATCGGCATGGAACTTACACAGTTAACAGCTAACATACTTTTATTAACTCTTAAAGCAAAGTCATCTTAAGGATATCAGGTATTGTTTAAGCCTGCTTCTCCTCAGACTCAAAATTTTTACTTTTTTCTTAGAGATCTAATGAAAATATAACCTATCTTTGTCTCCTAAATTGTGAAGAAGAATAGCTGATTTGGAAAAAAGAACTTAATAAAAATGAGTTCGAAAAAGATTCAATATTTTAAATACAATTTAGTTATTTAAATGAATTTGCAATCATAAGCACTCGTTTTTAAAGATATTTTCAAATTTCTATTGATGGAACATATAAGGAATTAGTTTTAAAATAATATTAACCAATGAAATACTTTGATTAATTAAAATTTTTAGATGGGGAGTCCTTTATTATTGGGAAAATTGATTAAACTTAGAGGGAAAAAAAATATTCTTATTATTTTATTTACAAACAAAATCGTCTGATTTTTAGTTGGAAAACAGTTGCTTCAAAAAACCAAAGATTTGAAATCCAGAATAAATTCTTGATTGTTTTAAGAGATACTTCTAGATTTTCCTTAAGATTAACGACAACAGGAAAGCTTATAAGAAGCTTATTCATTCTTTCAGAAGAATCACTTAATTTTATTTATTTTAAGAATGTATTCTATTAATTAGGTTTACTAAATTTAATAAAATACGATTTAACCTAAGGTAAGAAAATTTAAACTAATTGCTAAATGCCTAAGAAACATTAAAATGAATTGGATCATTTGAGAAAAGATTAAAATATTATTCGAGTACATACTTTTGATGAAGGATTTATTAGAAGATTAGAATTTTTCAAATTAAAATAATATAATCAATGATTTTATCAATATATTAAAATAAATTAAAACTTCTTAAGAATTATGTATATTGATATTAATGAAAATCAGTTTAATTTAATTTTTTTATTATCTGTAGCTTCATAATGTTAGTATGATTTATTATTTTATAAAAGTTCAATAATTAAGATAAGTTTTTCTTATATCTTCTGATTATGAATTTAATGTATTAAATTTTAACATCTTTCTGATAAAAATACACTTTCAAATTATGCAATCTCTGTTTTGAATACATCTATAAGTTTATTATTCTTTAAAATTAAAGTGACTAATTTCATAACGCATTTGGCAAATTTAAGCTCAATTTGTTATTTTTATTTGAAGAAAACTGAGAGATGAGAGCAAGGCTATAATTTTTCTATTATAAACACGACTTCATCTAAATATTCAGGTAATAATCCTATTATATTAAATTGCTGTAATTTAGGAAGATATTCAGGAATAAATTTCTGACTTTTTATCATTTAAATTATAATCTTCAAAATAAGTGTTGTGTAAATTGGACTTTATGAGTTTTAGCAGATCTACATCAGCTTTTTAAAGAATTCATCATTAGCTATACAAAATGAAAATTACTTAATTAAATATTAGTAAATTTATAAAGTTTCAAATAATTTTAATGTTGAATCCTGGTCTAAATTAAGTAAAAGTCGATCTTAAAATACTTTATCTTCAATTTTTTCTTTAGGAAAATTAATTTTTTAAATATATTCTAAAACTATTTAAATTACACTGCATTCTAGATTATTTTAATGATCATCAACCCAAATAACTATAACTTCATCCCACATAGTCAAAAGCTATTAATCTATTACTGGGCTTTCAATTTTCATTAAATTCTTAATAATTGATATAGTTATTTTATGAATAAACTATTTTAAAGTTCTTAATGATAAATTTGAAATCTAATTTGTATTACAAACACTCATTTATTAAGTCTTTATTACTTTCAACTTGGTCTTGATAAAATCAAGCGTCATACTTTTATAACATTATGGCGCTTCCTTACAAAAGATTTTGAGAGCCTAAAGATAATTAATCGAATCATATAATGAGGTTATTTTTTCTAATCTTTACTGAATATTGCAACATTTGTGTAGTTGAAATGGGGTATTATTATCTAATTTACTTAATATACCAAAAATTATTATAATCTTATTATGAAATAGACCGGTTGCATCTTTATTATATATTTAGCATAAGCTTTCAAAAGACAATTTTTTAATCAAAAGTTAATGCTGGGGATCAAAAACATTTAACAATACGAAAAGAACATCTAAATTATTAATATTGTTACTTATAGCACAATATTAAAGGCATTCTGGCATCTAAACTTGCAAAATCTACTAAATTATTGTAATAAGATGCTCTTTTTATTAATCTCCAATATCCTCTTATTGATGAGAAAAATATTATATTGATTTTCCAATTGAAATTAAACCATAATGAATTAATGCGAAATCCTCACTCATTAAATTTTTAACCGCTTATTAGAATGTCAAAGTGGCAGCTAAACTATGCTATAGTAATATCGATAGAAATGACTAAGAAATATTTTAAGGGAATAATATTTCAATTTCTTGTTATTATGACATAATTTATAATTAATTATATTTTAGCATAAGAATTATTTGAATTGAACAATAAGTAAAAGCCTAAATACTATCGAAGTTTCGAAGCTATCTTTATTAAGTTTATATAAATTGTAATTTAATTTTTAATATACATGCAATGGCCAAAGTCTATGTATGAATGTTATCATTCTTTATAAATTTTAATGGTTTGAATAATTCTAAATAAAGTTAGAGATTTAGATTCATTATCAAGAAAATTTAACTGATATAATTTATTAAGAGGTATGAACATATTGCATACTAGAATTTGTACTATTGAAATTTATATAGTGTTGATAATAAACATGTTATAAATATAATATTTTTCAAATCATAATGGGATGTATTTGCTCACAATAAAGACGATTTAATTCAAGAGAACAAACCTTGATTCTCGAATCATTAACAGATATCAAAGATGATGATGATATAATGATTATGTAAATAAAACTAATATAGCCAAAATTTATCTATTAACAAGTACTAACTTAAATTCATTTTATATAATAGTTAAACAAAGAAAAGTCGTTAAAGATTTCAACTCGTTTTCTCGGCTCTAAGACCCCTTCTGAAGATGGGGCTCATCTGAATCCAAAAAGAAAACTTAAAGGAATCTTAAAACAACAATAAAAATTTCCAAAAAAAAGGCCTTATTCTTTTGATTAGGCTAAAAGTGTTCGGTTTAACCTTATTCAGTAAGGTTAAGAGGTTTCGGGATAGAATTTGGTAAAATTGTCAAAATTGGTTAACTAAAGAACTATATATAATGAATGATATTTAATTTTTTCAATTAAAAATAAAATCGATTAATCAAAATTAAATATCAAAGGAAGTTCATTTTGATTTTTGTGTTATTAAATGATTAAAAGAAGTTTAATAAAAAATTAAAAAGAAAACTATATACTTATTTATTAAAATATTTTTCTTGCCCTAGTGATTAAATATATTTATAATTGATTTTCATTAATAAAATAACATTACATATGATGAATCGGTACTCCTTGTATTTTAAAGATACAAAGTTGGAAGATTCATATCAAAAATATTGGTTAGACGTTAATAGAAGGCCTTTGTTGAAAAGATTAGTAATAACAACAACTTTAATACAGATCACAGATCTGATATAAATTATAGCTACACAATAATACGAACTACTTAATTGGAACTACGTCCTTGTTCATTACTTATCTCAATTGTTTTTAAATATCATCCTTATCTTAATTTTAATTTATAAACCTAAACATGTTAGAACAGGACTTTTAGTATATAATCACTTTTTTGCCACTGTATTTGTAATTATTGAATATCAGAAAGCTGCATATTCCATAAACTATTCAAAGATTGTTTAATTGGGTATAATTGGATCATAATTGATAATAATTTTATCATCTGACTTTATTTAAGCAGCTTATTAAGCAAGTGTTTTCCCATCGATATATATATTTATATGGTCATATGGAGAGGAATCAATTTATTATCCTGGATTTGTTGCAATGCTGTTATCAGGGTTAGTGATATTATAAGGTTTATATGATCATTAAGTTGCTTTAAGATCATAGTTTTAATTAGGTTTTATTGATAATCAATGGGAAAATATATTTACGTAGTTAATTAGCGAACAATATCTAATATTTTATTTTGATAATCCGACCTTTAGTTTTTAATTATCAAATTCTAAAAATTACATATATAAAATAGATACAACGTAATAACTTAAAACATATTTACGAGCGATAAAATTAAACAAAAAGTAAAATTTTGAATAATTTTGTTATGAATAGATTCAAAATCATACTAATTTTTCAAAGGATGATCTAAAATAGAATTTATCAATTTTATTTTAGGGTAAAGCTTAAATTATTTAATATTCAATATTTTATAGCGTTAGACCTATAATTCTTTTATAAATAATTTCCAAAGATAAATATAGTTATGAGACTGAACTACAAATTAATAAAACTTTAAGTTTAGATTAAAACTATTAATTTAAATATAAAAAGTTTATTTATTTGTTATATCAGCCACTTAAGAAAAAGTGTAATGATATATCCGCCTCTTTGAATCTATTATCAAAAATTAGAAAAATATGTCTATACGCCAATTTATAAGAATATATCACACCTCACAGCATTTTATCAGTATAAATATTTTAATTAGAATATTTATTCTAAAAAATAAGTTTTATTTATTAAGATTATGAGATATAAATTGATAATAAAATCATTTTAATCACAAACAATAAAGAACTATTGTTAATGTTTTTTATTGAAATCATTGAAAAAACAATATCTAAGCATTTGAAAATATCTACATTAATATTAGAAAACTCTTTAATTTGCATCAAATTTAAATGCTATTATTCTAAGAAGTCTCTAGATTAGTTGATCCACAAGATAAGTCTTTATTCGAATTTTATCAACAAGATTGAGTTTGAAGATCAATGTATAAAAATATTAAATTTTAGTTATTGGACTTTACATTCATAGCATTTCGTAATAAATAGGAAATAAATTGTCATTACTTCCATCAAGCCAAAATTAGTTACCTTAAAATATATTAATTACTGATCGCTGACCAATTCTTACTATAATTAATGATTATTTATTCTACATATCAAAAGTTATGATTTCCTTGATTTAAATATAAGAACAAATGATTATTAGAATGATGGCCAATTTCAAAGTGAATTTCGTGAATAAAGATTGACTATCAATCATACAAATGTGTTATTTAATCATAGTATTGCTAATATTCAAGCAAAAATTTAAGTCAATCTATTGACTTTCATAAAAATTCTGAAAATAGAAAATAATATTTATAATAAATATAATGAATGAAACATATTAAAATCTGGTGATATAGTATTTTGAAAAATTGAAAAAAGTGCTTCCCCAAAAGCTAAATTATTATAAAGAGACAATAAATAAGTTCTAAGGATAAGATAAATCCTATTTTGGAGATCATATAATCGCGTTCAAATAGGGAATGCAAATCAAATAAAGTAAAATTAAGGAATTTACGTTAACAACCCTAATTGTAAATTTTGATTACATTTTAGAACTTAGTATCAAAAGGTTATATTGATGGGGGCTTACAAGACAACACAGAAAACTTTTAATAATCTGATTAAATTGAAATAACAGACACAGCAGGTAAAAAAAGAGAACAACCTATGAATGTGATTGAATCACTAATCCATTTAGTTTAATAATGCTTAGTGGAAAAGGATGAAATAATTTCATTAGCATTAAAATTATTGATATCACTTGTGATGAATCCATAATGTAATATGTAATATCATGAGCTAACGAAAATTATTAAAACTATTGTTTATATTTATGCTCAATCAAAGTCTTAAAATATTGATAGATTATGCAAAGGGATTTTCTTATAAATTATTTTGATAACATTTCAAGGAAGCAATAGTGATGCCCTCGTAAAAATAACACTTGATAATATGATTAATAAAGTTTCTGATATTAAATAATGTTAATATTGTGGGAAAGAGGGTAAGTTTGAATGTAGATAAAATAAAGTAACAGTGTGTTCATATAGGTGTAAGAAATATATTCAAGAGGCATTGGAATTAAAATAAAAAAATTATGAAAATGCACAAAATCTGTTTGATTTACTGATCAGACTCTTATCTCCAAAATAGTAATTTCAATAACAAAGAAATTAAATAATTTTATTAGAGGGAATCTATTTCATATGTGATAATTATGATTTCTCTGTGGAGGCATAAAATATTTACAATTTGAGTTCATATTTATTGAAGTTCTGTTTACAAAATGAATAATAGTTATATTCACTCAGCTTTAAAATATTTTAAAGGTTAACTTTTAGTAAACATAAAGAAATGATCAACCAAATAAATATCTTTATTAATTAAATCTATATTAGTGTTCTCACAAACAAGAATACTACTGATTAACATAAGTAAACAACATTAGAATCGTTATGGAGAATTTTTCAAAGAAAGCATGCCTCGCTTGAATTTTATTTGAATTACGATTGCAGTATAAAGCATGAATTTTTAATGGAAAATATTATCAATACATTACACAGCATCTTTTAATAACATGAATAATTCCGACCAGTGATTACACAAATATATCAAGCCATTATTCTAGGTTTAGAATAGACCTTTAACGAAAAGGCTATCAGTAATTCTTAATAAGAGTAATAACAGCCTTAGGATGTAGATGAAACTGTATTTATAAACTAATTAGAGATGTAAAGATAATAAAAGTAAGAAATATAGAAAGGAGTCGATCTTTTTAAAAAGAATCCTGAGAAGGGAGTCTCATTTTTAATAAAAGCAAATATTTTATAAGATGACCCTACTTCGATTGCTCGATTTTTAATTGAAAATAAAAGTTTGCCCAAGGAATCTGTCGGATAATATCTAGGTGGTCATCATCCAATCAATATATAAGTGTTAAGTGAATACACAAACTTTTTGAAATTTCATAATTTATCAGTTGAATAAGCATTAAGATAGTACTTAGATTTGTTTACTTTACCACCTGAATCCTAATAGATTGATAGAGTAGTTTAAAAGTTTGCAGATAAATTCTATGAGGATAACTAAAGCAATACGAATTTCCACTTTAAATCCAGCAGCAGCATTTATACATTTACTTATCTCTTAGTCATGTTATAAACTGATTTGCACAATCCAAAAGTAGTTGAAAAAATGAAATTAACAGATTTCATTAAGTTAGCCAGGTAAATAAATGATGGAGAGGATTTACCATCAGAATATCTCACAGTAACTTATCACTCAATTTAAAAAAATCCCCTTGCTGTTAGAGAATCTAATACCCCTATGAATTCTCTCACGCCTAATTAATATTAAAAATAGATGGAAGAACTCTTAAAGAAGATTAAGGATTTAATCAAAAGATAATCTAATTCTAATTATATTTAAATTGATTAAGAAACAATTTTGTTATCAAAGGGTCTACTTGAATCATTTTCAGGAAAATTTTTAGAAATACTTTTGGTGACATATGAAACAACTCCTAATGGCGATTCTCTAATTAAAAGTATCCTATAATTAATTAGGTTGTCTTCAAAATTATCTATGAAAATAGAGAGCTTGGTTTAGGAAGTTATAAAAGTAGGATTAAATAGTTTAAAAAAAGGAAGTACTATGTTAATGATCGGTTTATTATCAATAATTCCAACTATTGGCAATTCATTACATGAATAAGGATGGAAATGTGTTTTAGAGGCTGTAAGTCAAATGGATGAATTCAGATTGTTAGATTCAGATCACACAGAAAAAGTGTTTATGTGTTCAAAAGATTTAGATAATTAATCTATTGAGGAGTTTATACTTTAACTATGTTAGTTATCAAAATAAGAAATCATTTAAAAACATCGTATCTACTCTTTATAAAAGCTTGTTGAAGTCAGTGATTATAATATGGATAGAGTCAAAGTAATATGGAATAGACTATGGTCTATTGTAAGTCAGCATATTCAAGAAACAGTTACATTCAGAGTTAAAAAGATTACTATTGTTGCTGTTGATTCTTTAAAATAATTAAATATGAAATTCTTATAGAAAGAAGAATTGTATAACATAGAATTTTAAAGAGAGGTCTTAAAACCATTTGAATTAATCTACAATAATAGTGATATTGAGGAAAAGGAATTTGTATTGTTATGCGTAAAGCAAATTCTTCAAAATAGTAAAACTTACATCAAGAGTGGATATAAGGTCATTTTTAATTTAATTAATCTTGGCTTAAAGGAAGAAAATGATACACTTTCAAAGTTAGCTTTTGATCTCTTAAGATTTATAGAAATATAAGAATTAATATTGATCGATTTAATTTAAACATATTAGATTCTAGGTAAAAAGGATAATGAAAATATGGCAGTTAATTCAATTGAATTTGTTAAACAATGTTAACGCTTTATGATAACGCAAGAGTAATAAACCTTGTAGGTTCCCCTCTTAGGAATTCTGTCAAATTTGGCAGGGGATAAAAGAATTCAAATATAAACTTAGGCAGTTGAAACATTATTCTACATTTTAGAGGAGAAAGGTAATTTGTTTAATGAAGAGTATTGGATAATGATATTCTCTTCTGTTTTAAGACCCATATTTGATGAAATTTAATTTACTTTAAGCTCGAATCCAGAGCTCAATTAATATTGGTTTAAGGATAGTTGCCAAAAAGTATTTCAAAATATTTCAAGTTTAATCAAGAAACATTACACTAAATTAAAAGGATAATTGCCAGATTTTCTGAAATTATTCTAGAATTGTATTTAAAATTAGAATGAAAAATTAGCACAATTAAGTATTTAAGCTTTCAAAACTATGATTATGGAGAAAGGATTATAATTTGAATAGAAAGATTGGGAATTAATATTGTCATTCATTTAATAGATGCTTAAATATACAATACCAACTAAACTTAAAGATATAGACTAATCTGCGATTAAATAAGAATAATAAGCTAGTCGTAAACTGTAGAGATAAAAATCACTGTAAACTGTTACAAATAATCTAATAAATGAATGCTACAGTCAATGTGCTGCTTAATTATTATTAATTTAAACAAGCAGAGACATTTGCGAACTTTATCATTAGAATTGGAGTCTAAGTTAATTAGATAATCTAGAAATCACATTCTATGAATCATATTAATTTGCTAAGTTATTCAATCAATAGATTGAACAAAGATACAATATTTGGAAGTCAGGATTCATGCAAGATATGAATGTGCTACCTGGTTTATTAAGACAAGAAAGAGAAGCATTTTCTTGCATGATTATGATAATTTAATTTAAAATAGAGATTTTGAAATAAGAATAATTGAAGGAACATCAACAAAACTAGGAATAAACTAATGAAGAATTTTCAATTAAAGAACCATATGAAATAGTCTTAAATAGATATTTACAAATATTATTGGACTCTATTAAGTAATTTAATTCTAAGCATATTTAATTTATTAATCAATAACAAGAAAGTGGAGAAGATCCTCTCTATAAGATTAGGCAATACGAAACGGAAAGAGATATTTAAAATCTCAGAACTCTATTAGATGTTTCTATTTTACCAAAAATTTTGTTATTGAGTGATTAAGAGGTAGTTTTAATTATTTATTTAGATAAAACTAAAATTAAATGAATTTTATGAATAATTGTTGAATGCATGTAGCTTTGTAAGTGAATACTGCATATTATAAATGGGATGTTAGGATTGTAAAAAGTGTGTTAGATGCTTAAATTAATAGAAAAATAATCTGTTTTTTCAAATAAAGAAATGCTTACTAAAATTGTTTGAGTTAAAATGATTATATATTATTATAAAAATGGATTAAATATTTATTTCTGGTATTGCAGGAGGCTCAGCAGGAATCATTACAGATTTTATCTTTTTTCCTATTGAAACAATAAAGACCAGAATCTAGGCATCCAATAATAAAGTTGATTATTTCAAAACAGCAGCCAAAGTAAATAAATATAAAGGAGTATAGCCATCTTATCTATTATTTGAAGCTTTTATCATAAATAACAGTCTCCTTTCCATCAGCATTCATATTCTTCTCCACTTATGATACATCAAAAAAATATGGTTGTTCACATATGATAGCAGGTGCTTTAGGCGAGTTTGTAACAAACATTTTCAGAAATCCTTTTGAAGTTGTCAAGAACCAAATGCAAGTAGGTTTAGATGCAAGTGTGAGAGATACACTGAGATCAATCTATTACGGCTAAGGATTTAGAGGTTTTTATGCAGGATTCACGACTATAATAATGAGAGAAATACCATTCAGTGCAATTCAGTTTCCAATATATGAAAATATGAAGATACACTTTGGAAATGATGGATTTGTAGACCATGCATTAAATGGGGCAGTGGCAGGAGGTACAGCAGCCTTTTTAACTACACCGTGCGATGTTGTGAAATCTAAATTAATGACCTAGAGGAATCAATTTTATGATTCTCTCAGAGGTTGTATTAAGTCGATTTATGAGACAGAAGGAATTCTAGGTTTCTTTAGAGCTGCCCATATTCGAACGATGTAGATCTCAACATCGGGAATTATATTTTTTAGTGCATATGAAAGATGTAAATTTTATATTTCATCATTCAATAATAGATCATGATTATAGCTTTTTATTGAGATATTCTAATAGTGAATAAGAATTAAGGACATTTTCCAATCTATCTACAAAAGATATATGTTTCCCATGTAATATTCTGTATGTCTTATTCTCTTCAACTGTAAGTTTCTCTTTTATTACATGAAATCCTCCATTCTGTAAGATTTATGGTAAATGATACTCGCTACTCATCTTGTTCTATAGTGTATATTTTCTTGAATGCTTTCCCTTTACTTATATTTCTAGTTTATCCCACGTTTCCTTTGAAATTGATAGAAACATTCCTTGCTCAGTATTTGTATGCACATCATAAATCTATACTCTTATGCCTATAGGTTTGTCTTGTATACCCAAATAAGACATGGTGAATGGTATTTTATACATGCTGTGTTGGTTGTCTAACTTTATTCTAAAATTTACTCAAAAACATTCTGCAATTGCATTCGCATGACAAATCAACTGATAGAATTGCATTCTCTTTAAATCTTTCTTGATCGTCCGCATCCAACTCCTTAGTAAAGGTCAATAATGTATAACAGTTGCATAAAATATTGCAAATCAGAAGAGAATCTGCTTAATCTAGATTACTAACGTTTAATCCTAATTTCTGGCATACATTATCATACTGAATTTAAGTATGTCCCATTGCTTTAACTTTTGATTATCTTGGACCTACTATTAATTTAATACTTACCATAAGTCTCATATGTGTTGCTTAAAAATAACTCAAAACATTATTCTCTAGAATTATCTGCAATAAAAATAATTCTTTAAAAAGTATTTTTATCCCATATTTTTATTAAGCACATTTAAACTTTCGCCTAACTTTTATTTGGCATTGTTATTTAGGTGCCACTCAAAATTTTATTGATTTATTGAAATTTTTGAACATTAAAAATTCTGTATAAAAGCTCTTCTAAATCATTTACTAATTTTTATATAAATTAAGTCAATTTTTATTAATTTTTAACAATATAACTTCTAATATTATAAACTTTATGTTTTGGTTTCACAGTGTCATTAGATTTTTCCAAATTCTCTTAAATTCTAATCATTTCCTAAACTTCCTCTCTTTCGTAATCGTCTTAACCATATACATCAAAGAATTGATCTAAAGAACTTTAATCAAACTATAAATCTAAAGCAATTGTGTTTAATATCAATCTAAATATTCCATCCTCTAAAGGATACAACTATGGAATGCATTATTCATCACACAATTAAATCTTGTCTCCATCATTTAATAAACTTTATGGCTATGCATATATTGATATTTTTTGCTCTCCTTCTTCTTCTTTAATTGAAATGAATGGAATTATCAAGTATTAAATAAACTACTTAAAAGTAGTAATACATTTCAGCTATTAAGTGTAAGGTAAGACATTCTTATAATCTATGAATTAAATTAAGTCTTTTATAATAGATAGTTCAACATATTCAACTTTAGCAGTTGAGTGTTACTATTTTGAATTTATTGAAATCTTAATTGACAATTCTTTATTCTTCTACACAACGCCACAAGATATTTCATATAAAACATTCTCAATGAGTGCTTTTTTCACAATCGTTTGATCCGTAGTTAAGTTTATACTATATTATTTTGATTAATCCATCTCTAAATTAATGTTAAAATTTATTACAATCTAAAATTGTTAAATTTAAATCTATTGTAAAATCAGTGTCGTTTATCATAGATATACTATTTATTTTCGGTTCATCGGTGTCTACTAATCCATTTATTAAGTTATGTATATCAATGGTACTTTATCGTTCCTATTTTTTAATTTATAAATTTTGAATCTTTTAAGATTGATTTGAAGCAACACCAAAGCTCATTCTTTCTTGCATTATTCCAGGCTAAAAGTCAGAACTTTAATGTTATTATGTTGAAATTTAAGAATTTTACAACTACTATTATTATTGTTATTATTGTTATTATTATTATTATTATTATTATTATTATTATTATTATTATTATTATTATTATTATTATTATTATTATTGTTGTTATTGTTATTATATAATTTGTTATTGTTATTATTATTATTGTAGCAACTTCATTCTTTCCTGAGCTGTCTCTTGTTCCTATAATCTGAATTTTATTTTTAAAGCCTCAGCACTTAACTATGTAATCTTATCTTTTAGTTCTTCAATTTCAACTTCTCTCTCCTTTCTTTAATTTTATATTCTTTTATTCTCCTTTGTTAGTTCATCTATTTTTTTTTCTAATTCAACTATCTTTGGTTCTTATTTCTTCTGACTTTAAGATTTCATAAATGTATCTATTTTCCTCTATATAATTTATTCAATATCATTTTAAGGTTATACTGGCTAGCTTTAAATTAACTAATAAAATTATTTATGATGATACTTTTGGTGATTATATACGAAAACTTCCTTTATGAATATTAGTCTATTATATTTTTTGCGATTAATTTAGATCATGTCTTTATGATTATGGTTTAACTGAATCAGGACGCTTAAATGGCTTAAACCCTTAGGCTTCACTGATCGATCTCTCAATAAATCTTGGATTTTTAAAAAGGGGTGTTTGCCCACTCTTCAAGGTTTTGAGTAATTGATGAACTTAAAAACAAACTTTTGATGTGTTCAATATTTTGCCGATTGGTTTTTTCTAAAAGCATGCATTTAAATTGATACCATGGGAATATAGTTATTGAAACTTTTTTTCAAATTAGAACCTCTTTCACTAAATAAAAATAACTTTGTAATTTAATGTTGTGGTCCCAAATACTTCCGACCAAGTTTGGCTCCATTTATAAAAAATTATTAAAAATCTAAATCTTAACAAAATCCAAGAACCTATAAATTTTGCACAGTTTTTGCATAGAAAATATACCCATTTAGAAGAAGAACAATATCTTTAGGTCTGCATGAATTTTTGATTTCCTTGAAAATCTGATCTAATTAAAAGGTAAAGCCTTACATAAGGTTCGTAATTGACTAAAGCCTTTTCTGTAATTGATAGACATTTTTTGAAATCTTACAAGTAATAATAAATCCTGGATAAGTTTAGATGTGAGATCATATGTAGTTATGGGATATCTTATTCAAAGTATTTCAGGTTAAATTTTGCTACCTTCTTTGCCAAGTCTATCATATGAGCTTGGAAAAGCAGGACAGTTAAATTATTTAATGATTGCACACAATAAAAAGGAGGAACATCTTAAGATAATGAAATGGTTAGGATGATAAGATCAGGACTTTCTGGATATTCCTCAAACATTTAAGCAAACATCTAAAACAGTTCGTATAAATTGGAAGCGTCCTTATTTAAATTTTTAATGAAATCGATAGGTATTGACCTGCCCTTAGCAAAATTTTGGAGTATTTCAATGTAATAATTATTCATATTAATAAAAATATGCAATAGAATCCTTTATAGTTATTATTGAGCCTATTAGCAGCAAGAGAAGAAGTTATATTTATGATCAGAATAATTGGCCATCAGATGCACGAGGATTGCAGAAATAAGCTAGGAACTTTAAGAGAAATTTCAGATGAAATCATGAGAGGAGAATAAAAAAGGGAAAATTTGGAACATTATTTGTTTTTAAATTTGAGTGAGAGTAATCGCAAACTATTCCTTCCTAAAGTAATTTAGAAATATATCAAAATAACTTAATATTATTTGGTCAAAACTCAGGTATATATTTTTGAATGAAGTAATAGATATACTTTCCAAAGTAAGGATAGGTAATTTGTTAGGAAGTAATAAATTAACCAAACTTAAGGAATTCCATCTCCCAAATTCTATAAGAATCACTTGTAACCATACTGAAACATATTTGTAATCTCTAAAAACAAAAGCTAAAGCACGAACTTGCTCAAATGTTCAATTATGAATTGTATAAACCTATTTAAAATCAAGAGAGGACCGTTGTAATAGAAATGAAAAGTTTTATTCTGAACCCCTTGTCCTAGGAGTAATCGGATTACGTTATTTGAATGAATTACACAAAAAATATTGTTATTCTGCATGCAGACATAGTAATCGAAATGTCTATGATGTTCTTCTTTTGGATGACAATACTAAACAATTATATCTATAAGGAGGAGGTAAGCATAAAATATAACAATAGGATTTTCAAGTCTTATTAGTAGTATCACAAAATTAAAGGATAAATCTGTTGATAACACTTAATCCGTGTATATACCAGTGGAGAGTACTCTTGAGATTATTACTTAGAGATATGAAAAATTATTAAAAGAAGTTCTGGATCAAAACTATCATGTTTAAAAATCTGTAAATAGATATTATGATTAATACAAAAAATATAAAATGAAGCCTTTGTTGATAAAGGGTTATGCTACTCCTAAAAAATAGGAAACAGATTTTAAATCTTAACGAATTTAAAAGAGATCAATTGAATCTGGTCCCATATTAAGCGATATGGGAAGATATTCTGAACCAATTAGTAGAAACCCTTTAACATAAGACTATTTAAATTCAGTAAGATCAAAACAAGCAAAGTGTAGAACATAAAAATAAAGCGACATTATTCTAAGTGGATTTATATCACCTAAATAATAAACTATTGTCAGAAAACATAGAAGTTTAAAAAATTATGATCCCTCATTGCTGAAACCAACAATCTTATAAAATTTTTATGATTCTAATTTACGGATTAATCATAGCACTAAAAAAGCGGGTTGATTTTAATAAATATATAAATACGTATGTCTCAAAAATGAATAAAATCAAATTTCTGTTAATAAGTTATAAATCATATTTTATAATATCCATCTACTTCTATTGTTTTTTTTATTTTAACATTTGAACTTACTTTTGATATATTTCATTATAATTATATTGTATAAAAGAACATATGTAATTAAAAAGTATTTTTAGAACTAATTTTATAAAAATTACATTTTATATAAATATTGTTATATACTATAATAAATTTAGTTTATGATACTATTATTATCTAATTTGTACATTTCATAATATTGATATGGATTTAATATTTCAGAAAAATAAAATCATCAAATTTGAGATCTGCATTTGATACCCTAAAAACTGAAATTCTCTTAAACTAGTAATGTACTAAACATAATTGTAACACGATTAATGGTTTACGAATTTTACTATATGAAATTATTTATGTTTAATTATCATTTTTTCATATCGCCATCAATGACAACATCATTACAATCAATTATTTTATTATATAATGATTGCCATAATTTCTAATTTGAGTATGAATTATATCATTTTTTCGATATAAAAATGATTTAATGTATTTCAAGACAATCAAACATCAAAGTAATTAATCATAAATAATTAATTGCGAAAAAAATAAAAAATAATGAATCCAAGTCGCAAATAGTAGAGTCTCCAAAAATCGAAGACTTAAAATATTTAAATAGTGAAGATGCACATTCGCTCCAAGCATTAAGAGAAAACATATTCAAAAGCAATTCACCCCTCGAACTTATAAACNGGAGAGTACTCTTGAGATTATTACTTAGAGATATGAAAAATTATTAAAAGAAGTTCTGGATCAAAACTATCATGTTTAAAAATCTGTAAATAGATATTATGATTAATACAAAAAATATAAAATGAAGCCTTTGTTGATAAAGGGTTATGCTACTCCTAAAAAATAGGAAACAGATTTTAAATCTTAACGAATTTAAAAGAGATCAATTGAATCTGGTCCCATATTAAGCGATATGGGAAGATATTCTGAACCAATTAGTAGAAACCCTTTAACATAAGACTATTTAAATTCAGTAAGATCAAAACAAGCAAAGTGTAGAACATAAAAATAAAGCGACATTATTCTAAGTGGATTTATATCACCTAAATAATAAACTATTGTCAGAAAACATAGAAGTTTAAAAAATTATGATCCCTCATTGCTGAAACCAACAATCTTATAAAATTTTTATGATTCTAATTTACGGATTAATCATAGCACTAAAAAAGCGGGTTGATTTTAATAAATATATAAATACGTATGTCTCAAAAATGAATAAAATCAAATTTCTGTTAATAAGTTATAAATCATATTTTATAATATCCATCTACTTCTATTGTTTTTTTTATTTTAACATTTGAACTTACTTTTGATATATTTCATTATAATTATATTGTATAAAAGAACATATGTAATTAAAAAGTATTTTTAGAACTAATTTTATAAAAATTACATTTTATATAAATATTGTTATATACTATAATAAATTTAGTTTATGATACTATTATTATCTAATTTGTACATTTCATAATATTGATATGGATTTAATATTTCAGAAAAATAAAATCATCAAATTTGAGATCTGCATTTGATACCCTAAAAACTGAAATTCTCTTAAACTAGTAATGTACTAAACATAATTGTAACACGATTAATGGTTTACGAATTTTACTATATGAAATTATTTATGTTTAATTATCATTTTTTCATATCGCCATCAATGACAACATCATTACAATCAATTATTTTATTATATAATGATTGCCATAATTTCTAATTTGAGTATGAATTATATCATTTTTTCGATATAAAAATGATTTAATGTATTTCAAGACAATCAAACATCAAAGTAATTAATCATAAATAATTAATTGCGAAAAAAATAAAAAATAATGAATCCAAGTCGCAAATAGTAGAGTCTCCAAAAATCGAAGACTTAAAATATTTAAATAGTGAAGATGCACATTCGCTCCAAGCATTAAGAGAAAACATATTCAAAAGCAATTCACCCCTCGAACTTATAAACGAAACCTTTCTCTTTAAAAAATTTAGATTTAGCCTTACCTGACAAGTATTCATATAGATAAAATTACATAGTTCCATATCTTAGTCAAATACTTCATTTTAAGATGACAAGAGTTGCTGCTGTATTGATTGTGGCAAGCTAAGCAAGAAGGTCAAAAATTTACAGAAGAAATTCACAGTGTTTAGGACAGAAATGTCAGTCCTGAAAAGGTTAAGATTAGTTAAGAGATTTCAAAATGCTGTTCGCTGCATCATATTTTTGAAAGAGAAATGGAAGAAAATAAGATAATAAGAAAGAGCTAAAAGGCTATTTAGGTTTAAAACCAAGGTTTTTGAGAATTAGCCTTTCTTTTAAACTTAAACACCATCTAATTAAGCTTAATTATTATTTCTTAATTCCTAACTTCAAAGCGAAGAAAAACAAGCTATAAATACATAACTTTAATCTATTTAAGTTAAAATTTTTGATTAAAAGAACAAATAAAGATAATCAGTAAAGTTATATTTACAATAAAAACTGAATAATAAAAATGAGATGTAGGAACTGCTTCCTAAATTAGATCATAATAGATAAAACGTATCAATATCCAGTTCAATATTCAGACCAATAAGAATACTTAAGACTTTAGGGGATGAGCAAAAATCACTTCAGAAAGAATAAAATTTATCAACATAAAATCCCTCAGTTGCTTAATCCCCTTATCTAAGCCATTTAACCCATTTGAGTGGAAATAAATAATAAGATCCCTAATTCTAAATCATCAGATCACCTAGATAAGTTATTAAAAGTTTTGCTTCGGAGACATTTTTTCCATAAAGTACTTAGAAACATGAATAAAGAAAATTAATTGCTCAAAAACTAAAAAGAATAGAATGACTAAATTTGATAATAATAATTAAAATTAAATAAATTAATGCATTTTTGTATTACTTTGTATTTCCTATTCTATGAATGATCTTTAAATAATTATTATAGTATAAATTAAATGTAATATTATCCAGTATGACAAATATAAGGTAAATAAAAAAAATATGTTTAAGTATCTCATAAATATATTTAATATAAATTCCATTCAAAAAATAGTTATGTTTTATTAAAATAATTTGTTTAACTATTTCTAATTCAAATGACATTAATTTAATTAACTATTTGAATATAAAATAAATTAACCGAGTTTATGTTAATGGAGGATCAACATTCTTCAAATTATGGCAAATTAATTAACTTTGATATAAAAAGAGCTAAATTTATATTAAAATTATTTCATTTGTATAATTTAAGGACATGGTTGAGAATCATCATAATGTAACGTAGATTTTGAATATATGCTGATAGATGATCATTCATATTTTATTATTATTGAATGATTAATTAATTTATTAAATATGTAGAGATCATATCAAGAACAAGTGAATTAGAAGGATTATCAGCATAAATTATATTTCAAAAATGGTTATCCTTAGAATTAACAGTTTAAGAGAGATCCAAATCAAATGCTAAGAGGATTAGTATGAAATAAATCAGATAATTAGGTTGTAAAAACATGCTTATATCACTTTATTGATTGGTTGAAATAGGGGTTTAATCTTTGGCTGTTTGTTGTAATAATTTTATCAGCCAGTTTCAGAGCCGATTAGTAATTGTTTATGTGTATAATTTAATTGGCAGGAAATTTATTCATGTCATCTTACAAGCTATATTAATAGATTTGTAAGGCTTTGAGACAAGTAAATGAATATTTCAATTAAACTGTATATGTGATTGGGTGGGATCCAAAATGCCATATCAGCAAATGTCCTAAAAGGAATGTGACAGTAGGAAATCTAATTTTCTTGAAAAGACATCAACCAAGTCCTATGAGCATATTAATTTTAAATTCTTAAGAGGAGAAATTTATGGTGTAAACATCTGAAAAGGAAGGCATGACTCATATGACTTAAAAGCAGTCAATTAAATTAACATCTACTTCTGATTAATAAAAAAGTCAAACCTTAATCTATTATAAGAGAATATTGACAGGTAAAATAGAATTTGATCATTTGGATACTAATGACAATTAGTTCAGAGGTTTTATTAAATTATAAAAAGATCCAAAGGGTGAATATTTGGACTATAGGAATATAGTGAATTAAAGTAGTATAATAATAAATACAGATTGGGTAGTAGGGATAGTAATCAGTCACGATGATGAAGATGTGATTAAAATGTGGAGTAATTGTTTTAAGAAATCTACAACTCATTTTGATAGATACTTAATGAAATTTTCTCGAATTTTCAGTCTTTTATACTTTATATAATTGGCATTTTGCATAACTATAATTATGAGATTTTAAAAGATTCCATCAGATTTTACAATCTATAATATTTTGTGTAGAATATTTTAAAGCATAACCTTTGTTCATCCCTGCATAATTACTGGATTGTGCGAATTGACATTTTAATTTTTTAATAACATTTTTGAAAAGAACAAAAACATAATAGTATCTCATTCATCAGAACTGTTAACCTTGACTAAGATAGATCATTGCATTTATGATAAAACTGGTACTTTGACAAATACTAATACAGTGCTTTGTGGAGTGATCTGTGGCGTTTACTTCTACAACCTCATTAATGGAGAAGGTATAAGAAATTCGACAAAGAAATATAGAAAATTAATGACTACATAACATCAACATAATAACATGTAAGAAATACAAGAGGAATAAGAGGAACAGGAGGAAAATAATTTAGGAATAGGTTCTCTATAGAAGAGTGAGAGAATGATCTAAAATCCAGGAAGCCACCATTCAGTAAAGAGCAGATTATAATCATAACATGATGAGGCAATTAGTTTTAATTAGGATGATGCAGTCTTTAATGAGGAAGAACCTGAGTCAAGAAACATGGTTTTTAATTTCAATCCTCATTTCATTAGATAACAAGAACAAAAAAGAAAACTAAAAGCTTAAAGTATTGATGAGGAGATCTCATCACCAGAAAAACCGATATATATGAATAGAAATAATAGAAGAACATTTAACAATAACAGTAGATTGATAACAAACATTAGAAGAGAACCCAGAATCATAGAAAGGAATTTAGAATAAACATAAGAAGCTGGCAATGGATCTCTCTTATCTCCTTCACCTGTATCATCTTAAAAAGATATTAGAAAAGAAGTGAAATTATGCGAATCTTAAATTAATGAGGATGAATAACAATAATTGTCAGAAAGTGATAGTGAAGATTAAGATCAAGAAGGAAGGAAGGATTTATTAGAAATTATAAGATTGGGTGAGAAATAAGCAGACAATTTTATGAGATCCTTAATTTTATGTTAGGATGTTAAAACTAAATATTCTAAACCACAAAATAAACCTAATAGAGATAAAAATAATTAAATGTTGGGGATTTCTGGAATTATGAATGAGCACCCTAGTATGAATCCTCATAATTTTTTGAATGAAAATACTGAGGAATATTAAGAATCCGTCATTAAATTTGCAAAGTAATATCAGTTTGAATTTAATTGTGCAGGCCTCTTAAATAAAAGAATCTGTTATGAAATTAGTGCAAAAGGTCTAAGTGAACGATATTTAGTTTATAAAAAGGTTAGCGATAATGAAACATTTGCTATTTTTATGAAACCCATTTAATAAAGGTTAAGGAATCAGGGAGCTTAATATGACAGATAAGGAACAGAGAGAACTTAAAAGGGAGCTCAATTAAAATTGTATGTTAAAAGTGAAAATCTAGGACTTTTGGATAAATGTAAATTATCATAAAAAAAAAGAGTTAATTTGGAAAAATAAATTACCCATCAAGCTCAATCTGGTTATAGATTTATAGTTTATGCTGGTAAAGATGTTCCTGAAGATGCTGTTAAAAATAAAAATAAATATCAAGAAGTAACTTTTGATACTATGGAAATGACTCATCACGATAAAGAACTAATTAGAGATTTGGATTACTACGGATTGATTTGTTTAAAAGAAGATCAAAATCCAGGAGCTTATGCCTAAGTTAAAACTTTCAAGAATCTTGGTATCTCTTAATGGATTTTAAGTGGAGATAAGAAGATGTAAACACTTTCTGCGGCTAATCATGTTGGAATTGTCAATAATAATAATACTTTACTACGAATTGATGAAGAAGATGAGGAAAGGTTAAAATTATAAATTAAATCCCAGTTACTATTTATTAGAAAACAACTATTAAAAGAAGATGAAAGTCAATAAAATGAATCTACTAAATCATTTATAAGTTAAAAGTCATTTTCTGAAATGAAAAGGAGTGGTATTTCCAAAAAGGCTACATTTGATGAAAATATGATCTTGAAATCAAAGAAGGGAGAAGAACCTTTGTAAAAGGTATTTCTATTGGTTAATGGAAAATCAATCAAACCAATTTTTAGCGATGATTATACGAAAAGCCATTTTCTTTTTATTGCTTTAATTCTTAAAACTGTAATTGCTTATGATTGCTCCCCTGCTGATAAAGAATTAATTACAAAAGCTGTAACTAAGATTATGGAACCTAGCAATACTCTACTTACTATTTCAGATTCAGTTGATGATTTTAATATGAATTCACATGCTAATGCTACTATTTAATTTTCAAGAGAAAAGAGATCATTAAAAATAGCTTATCAAAATATCCAGGTAAATGATTTATAGCACATTAAATAACTAGTATTATATTTTGCCAAGATCCTTCCAATGCATCTTAGTTAGCTAACTGTTATGTGTACTAAAATAAGTCTATATCAATTGATCATATTTACATTATTTGTTTGTGTAAGAAGAACACTTTACATAGAAGAACATGTTGTGTATCTATTGGCTCTGCAAATTCATATCATTTTTAATGGTCTGTTACCTTAATTTGAAGACAGATCCAGTCATGAGCAGATTGAATTGATGTTGCCTCAATATTAGCCTTAAGCTTACAAATGTTTTAAATCCAATTTTAGGTGGTTATAAGAATTGTTTTACGAAGTAGTTATTTCAGCAGTCGCGACTGGATTTATGAATACATATATATTTGCAGAGTTCATGATGTTTTATACATCTGACCCAAATAATCTTGCCCATTTGATGTTTTTATTTCAATTGTTTTGTGTTTTTGCTTTTGGTACATCCTAAATGATTCACCTTAATGTTCCATTTGGAAAGATAATTTGGAATTTTATTATCACAATAGGATTGCTAACAATTTCATTTGTTATAGTTGTGGAATCTGATTAGCGAGTTTAAATACTTAGGAACATATTCAAATGGCAATTTATTATTGGAATTCTAACTGCAATAGTTACTATAATCACAATTGATTAAATAATAAAACAAACAAGAGATTTATTGTTTACTCCAAGAATCATATTAAATTTTGTTAAATACATGGAGAATGCTATGAAGAATTAATCAGGTAAAATTGTATAAGAATCTGTTAAACAATTTTCAATGTTAAATCATATTAAAATAAATAGGTAATTCTTTAGAAAAATTAAGAAAGTATTTGAGAATGTATCCATAGATCCATTCATTAGATCTTTATTTGAAAGCGAGAAAACTTAATCATTTAATGGTGAATATTCTAAACTTTCCCTTGTCTTCAAGAATCATAACTATGAAAAGCAATTTAGACAATTCAAAGTTCAATACTATTATTAATAGAGAAGAGAAGTAGTTTTAGTTCTTTTTATTGTTTTAAGAGTTAGTAGTGTAATAGCATGGTCTCCATTTTTGACAGTTGAAGATACAATCCTAAATATACTTTGGGCAATCTTTATGGTGATTTGGATTTTAATATTCTTTGTTACTCACATAGTTGAAAAGAAATAATCAGATTTAGCAGCATTTCAAATAAAATGGGGCACAATCGAGGCCTACTTCTTCATTCCAGTGGTCTTGATCTTGGATCATTTTCTGAGTGTCACTCTTCCTGAAGATAAAAGCTAATACTATTTTAGTACATTTGGACAGCTCTTATATTAGTAGTTTTTGGCATGGGATATCTTCCCTCCTCCTTTATATTATCCAATAATTTTGACTTTGATATTTTTTATCAACTATACAATTAGAGTGGCAAACTTTTATGATATTCAAGTGAATTCAGATTCAGAAACCTCAACATTCAGAGTAGAATTTATCACCTTATATGTTCTTTTGTTCTTTCTGAACTTGTTATCTAATTATACTCATTATAATGTAAGAAATAATATAATTTTAGTTCTAACGATTTTAAAGATTAGTGTTTTTATTTGACTAAGCTTTGTAGACCTAATAGGAACAGACTAATTAGATCTTGAAGTCTTTGTTGCCTGCATTCATATATGAGAAGATTGAATAATCAGAGGAGACCGAGATAGAAGAGAATTAAGGATCAGTATCAATAATATTTTTAGAAATTTGCGAATTCGATAAAATCCTTTAATCTAAACAACGATAAGTTGTAACATTTTTGGATGACATTTTTAGAGTCTTGGACAAAATTTGTTTATAATATGGAGTGTAGAAGATAGAAACTGTAGGTAAGACTTACATGGCATGTTCAGGGTTGAAATCAACAGAGATTGAAAATAATAAAGATGGATTGAATCAGCAGAAGAAGAATGAAACAGCAATTGCATTAGAATTGTCATTGGATTTCTTAAAGGCAGTTTCAGAATTTAAGTATGAATACAAAGATTAAGATGTTGTTAAATTATTTAAATTAAAAATTAAAATCGGAATACATTATGGATAAGTGATTGCAGGTGTTATAGGATATCATAAACCTTAATTTTCGTTGATTGGAGATACAGTCAACACTGCCTCAAGGATGTGTTCGACTGGAGAAGTAGGCAGAATAACCATATCAAATGAAGCATATGAAAGAGTCAAGGATACTGAGTTTCTATTTACCACTAGATAAGTAGTAGCCAAAGGAAAAGGAATGTTAACAGTTCATCAAGTGACCCAAAGGAAATTACAGATGAGAAAGCATTAATCGTAAGTGAAGTTTTATGAAGGTTAGAAAAATGGAAGATCACTTACTTTTAAGACTCATAAAACTAATAATATTAGAACTACTTAATTGAAGTAAACGTATAAAGACATCTCTCCTCCATCTTCAGCTTATGATCATTTAACTACCAAAGAATATGGTCGCAGATCTAAAATCATGAATCATCCTATGCAAGGCTCTTAATTATTAAAATAACCAAGAAAGAATAAAGGAGCTGAACCCACAAGGGGAATCAAGAAGGGTACTATCAAAGAAGAATACACTTCTATGAGTGAAACGGTTTTGAGAGACAGGTCAAAATCCTAAGTCATTTAAAAAACTGATTATAATACCAATGATTGGGAAGAAATAAAGGAAGATGAAATTCAAATGAAGTAGGTAGAGAAAGACCCTGAAAACAGAATTATTGGTGTCTCAGACAATGATGTTGATGGTCCTGAAACAGAAGTCAATAATGAAAGAGCAAAGAAAGTAATGGATTTAGAAATTCTTAAATACAAGAAATTAACACTTGATTATGAAAAATGTAATGAATCCATTATAGTCATGCAATTTGAATAGTATTATTAAGAAGTTAGATCAGCTTTAAAAGATATCTTCTACCCCATGACTATTGTCTATACTTTGTTTAAGGCTTAAGTTTAATTGATAGACTCTGGATCAGATGGACTAACCATATATATTGTTAGAATGTTCTTAAGTTTATACTTAATAATATTGTATTTTATAACTAGTAGATTGAAGAAATATAATATGCATAATTTAGATTTAGCTTTAACTGGTCTCTACTATGTGAGTGCATTTTTAACAATGTTCTTTGTTACTTTTAACAATTAATAGAGATTTCTTATTTCTGATAATGCTGAAGCCTATTTCTTTGCATTTTCAGCTGTAAACTAATAATCCTTAAAATTCAAATATATGTTTTTCTATATCTTATTGCAATAAGCTGCATGGTTTGTTTAGCTCCTTCTGCATTAACATCATAATCTATTAGTATTTATAGTGCTATCAACAATTATCTTGGTAATAGTATCACATAACAATTTTGAATTAACAATTAAAAATTTCAATAGTGCTGCCAATGAAAATTTGAAAAAAGAACAAAGAGATTCCTTATTAACTAATTTATTACCATCTCATATTTTAACAAGATTCTATTAGAATAGCAAAATTAAATTGGAATTATCAGATGTTTTAATAGATGCAACTCTTTTGTTTGCTGATATAAGTGGATTCACAGCATACTCAGCAAAAGTTTCAGCAGAATAAGTTGTTAAGATGCTAAGGGAATTGATGACATCATTTGATAAGGAATGTTTGTAGTAGAACGTTTATAAGGTATACACTATCGGAGATTGTTACGTAGTTTTGGGAATAAATGACATGGAACAAAGACATCCTGGATAAGAAGCTAAAAATGTTCTAGAAATGGGATTAGAAATGGTAGAAATTATAAAGAGAGTTAGAAAGGAAGTCAATTTCAAAGATTTGAATATGAGAATCGGAATACACACAGTAATACTTTTCATTTATTAATTTTAGGGGTAATTCTATGGTGGCATTATTGGAACAGATATTGTGAGATATGACATCTTTGGTATTGATGCAGTGATTGCCAATAAAATGGAATCCTAAGGAGAAGCAGGCAAAGTTATGGTAAGCGAAGACACAAGAAGATTAATCAACATACATTTTCCTGGAGAATATATTTTCACTCCAAATAAAGAAGTAGACATCCCTGTTGCTAAGAAGAAAGTCTAGGCATATTTTGCAACAAAAACAGATATTTTAAATCGTCAAGACAACTCTAGATATATTTGATAGCATTATTTTTTAATATTTTTCTATATTTTGGTGTTTCTATAATAAATTTGTTGATTATTTAGACAAATAAATACTATATCACTTTTTGGCAGTTCCATCTATTTATGCCAACATCTAAGCCATCAATTTCTTAACTTCCATTGTTATCTTCATCATTAATAATGACTATTGTCTTGTATATTCCATGGATGCTTGCATTGAAGTTGAGATATACTCGATAAACTCAAACAATTATTGACTTTGCTTAACAGACCTATTGCAAATGATAATTATAATTACGCATATAATTCATCTTTATTTACTTTCAATTATCCCTTGAAAATCTACTACATAAATTTATTGATGTCTTAATCGTTCAATCTTTTGTTTAGGCCAATAGGTTTGTTTTCTCCCTTGCAAATTAACACTTTAGAGATTCCTCTAAATAAGCAATCAATAAAAAAGAAAAATTCATCTGAAGTAATATGATTTGTCTTATCCGAACCAAAAATCACAGCGATGTCTATTCATATATCAAAACGAGAGTTACTATAAAATATTTAACTAACTTCTCCAGTTGACAGAAGAAGCATAACTGAAAATAATTCAGTTGCATCGATTCTTCCTATTCCTCTAGAATCAAATTATTAAAAAACTGTAGCCAAAGCTTACTTTTTATTTGAGATGGAATCCATTGCTTAAGATGAATCAAAAAATAAAGGCAATGGAGCTTAGTTCTTTTTTGTTAATTTCTGTAGGATTGATTTCAATGTCTCTTAAGTCCCTGATATTATGAATAAATTTAATTACATCCTCCACAAAGTTCTTCTAAGGCTGGCAACAAACAAGATTATTCTCTTAAATTATTAAAGTATTATTATCTAAATTATGAGAAGGAAGTAGTTTCGAATTTTTAATACATACAATAAATAAATTAATGAATTAAAATAATCTAATAAGACTATACCAAAAAGAAGAATAACCAAAGTACTCATCATAAATTCAACTTACTATATTTCTTAACAGTATGAATTTGATATGATCTCTCTTCTCTAAATTATGATTATTCATTAAATTATAATTTAAATAAAATAATTCAATGGAGTGAGCATTTCAATTATAGTGCAAAAAAGAGAATATAAAATAATGCATTATTTCATTTAATAAATAAAACTATATTTATTCCAAAAACACTTTCATAATATTAATCACTAATGCGAAATTTTTGGTCCTTGATAACCATACTTAGCCCAAGGTGGCATCTAAGGCTTGCTAAATGCTTCAGAATTTATAAGAATATATCCCAAGGTAGACATTACCATAGCTAATATTAAAAGCAAAAAAAGAGAAGGTAAATAGTAAACATATTTCTAATCTGGGAAATAGTAGTACGAATAATGATCTTCTGGCAGAAATGGCTTATTTATCAAAATTATTTACTTTAAGTAATAACCATGAACAATAATATATATATGATCCTACTATTAAAACCAATGCTAGCAATCCTAAAACTCTCATTATATTATTTAAATAATAATGAAGATTAATAAATTCAATCTCGAAATTTATCAAATTATATTATAGTAATTAAGAAACTCAACGACCACTAGTTTTTGTAATCTAAATTCATTTCTTATTCCCAAAAATAATAAAAAAATCATTTTAATTCTTCGAATGCTTGTTACAATCTTTCATGATTAATAACTATAAATTTCTGAGGTTCGTTTTATTATGTTTAAACGAAAGTTTTTTTGTTGGTATTGTGATTAGATTAATTCTCAACTTAAGGTGTATTATTTCCATTTGGCACTAATTAATTTCTTCTCTATTTTAAATAGTTAAGCAAATTATTGATATTTGTTTTGCTTATATCGCCATTAGTTTCCTACATTTCTAAATAGTTTAAATTACTTATTATGCATATTTTAACATTTATTTGATAACATCCTCTTAACCTCTTTTATACTCTGAAATACAATATTAGTAACACTCTTACATAAACTCATTTAAGTCTTTTCTTGTTATCTCACATTAGGCATTTAATTAAGGGTCCATAATTTATAAGTTGTATATGTACTTATATTATTATAAACTACAAATTTAATTTTCTTATCAAACAAATAATAAAAAAGAATTCAAAGAGTATTAGCAACTATAAAATTTATGATTCTTGTATAAATGGCAATTAATAAAATGAATTTACTTATTTGAAAGAAATGAAACATCAAAAATAATTGATTTTTTCAGTTATTTTATTCAGTGTTTCTGTTTTCAATTCTAGAAATATGAATTAAAGTATTTATTAAATGATGTTTATTTAATACTTTAATTAACATAAATTATATTTGATCATTTTCAATGCAAATTATAATTAATTTGCTTAAATAATGCTAAATATTGTTTCTAAGTTTGTTGTTTTATTAATTTGATATCAATATTTTCTAAAATTGTTTTTTCATATTTCTTATATATTATGGAAAATAGTAATTAAGAACATCTTTGGAATTGAAAGAGAATGAAATTTCAATAAACAGCCATATAATTTCATTCGGTTATACATTAGGATCAAATGGTTATTTCAGCAGAAAAACGCAGAAGAATTCGGATATTTAATGTTAAATGTCAATCTCAATTGGATTATTTATATAAAAACCTACTCAATTATTAAATGGATTCAATTGACTATGCAGAAGCGAAATTCAAATTTTTAGGAATTAGAAAACACTTTTTTAAGGATGTTGCTTATCATATCACAGTTTTTGATGAGATAGTCATAATGGGCATAGTAGAGATTGTAAATTAAAATTAGACCGCTGATTGCTAAAATCCTAAATACAGAATCAAACTAAGTCTAGATACAAAAATAAATTGGGAGATTAGTAAGAACAAGTAGACACTGGAATGCTTTGAATTTCCATATCAAAATAAGAAAAAGGTAGTCCATGCACAAGCAAAGGATTTATAAAGGTACTTATGCATAGTGTTATATTAGATTCAAAGAACTATTAGCTGGAAAAGTGTTATTTGAAGGCATAGGAGACTTATTTCAACCTCTATTTTAAGTGGGTAAAGGAAGTTCAGCAAAAGTATGAATATCAACATATGTTTTAAGGTGTACAGTGCAAGAAATGTTTTGGATAAGGAAGTGTATGCTGTTAAGGCAATTGAAAAGTCATTTTTGAAGCTATCAGAAAATGGAAATGGAATGGTAATCAATTAGTATACTTTAGTAAGCTTTTTAATCTGAAATACAAATCCTAAGAACTTTGTCATAATATGAACATAATTTCTTGGTTCTAAGTGAAATCTATGAGGGAGACAGTACTTTTTATGTGGTCACTTCATATTTGGAAGGTTTGAGTTTGAGTGGAGAATTAGAAAAGGCAAAGGTATTATATCATAATAATTCTATAGACACTTCCTTAGAAAAGACTACCAATATAAAGTATAAAAACTATAATGAAAAAGCTACTCACTAATTTAAAAATTCTTCATTCCCATCGAGTATATTTAATATTAATAATAGATAATACATAGAGACTTAAAACCAGATAATTTGATGTTTGCACGAAAAAACGACTATTCTTCATTAGTTTTAGTGGATTTCGGTCTTGCAACTTCAGAACTATTAGATAAGTAATCAACTGGATCTATACAAGATATTTGTTTCCAAAGTGTGGTACACCTGGTTATGTAGCTCCTGAGGTGCTAAGTACAAGAAGTGATTCAAAGTACAGTTGTAAAGTTGATATATTTTCTGCTGGCTGCATTTTTTATAAATTGCTCACTGGACGGAGTTTATTTATTGGATAGAATTTTGATGAAGTCTTGAGATCAAACAGACATTGTCATATTGATTTAGATATCCCTTTTGATGGAAATTACATTACAGATTAATCATTAGTAAGTTATAATCAGTCTAAATTTAGGATTTATTAAAAAAGATGCTGAATAAAAATCCTAAGAATAGAATCACTGCAATTTAGGCATTGCAACATCCTTTTATAGACTCCAGTGGTGAATAAAGTACATAGGCTATATAAACTACTGGGTAATAAATGATAAAAAATGCCATTTATCAATTAAATTTGGCTGAATTCGAATCTAAATACAATAGTTAAAATGATATAGGGGAAGAGCAGAATTAAAAAATTAATGATTTAAAAAGATATTCCTTTATAACTGAGGTGTAATAATAATAGATGTCAATGTCAGCCAAAAGAATGAGTGGCTAGTTCTCAGGCACATTCTATTAGAAGGATCCATTATCGGCTGTGCGTACATTGAAATTATACACAGAAACCTCATAGCCCATTAAAAATAGTAGTCATTATTCACAAAATTCAGCTTCTTAATTTTGATTCTTTAATCTTGTATTTTAATATAAATTATTAATCATTTATTTGACAAAGATTTTTGGGATCCTATGCTTTTCTAACTTTACAATTCTTCCTAAGCAGCAGCCAAAGTAGTATAGTCTCCTTTAGCAGCTAAGATATATGCTGAAGCAGATGCTTATTATGAAATCCTTCTCATCATTTTTCTCATATCTTCTTTTGAGACAGGTTCCTTGCTGTCAATTGATTTAAATGAGTTTGTTGTAATAGGTGATACGAATTTATTAAGTGTAGCCTATGCTTTTTCTGTAGAAGTGGTTAAGGTAGGCACAATCACTAAAATAATATTTAGGTATAAAAATACTAGATTAACTTAATTTGTTTCCTCTTTAAAACGCTTGTTATTGTTATTGCTATTGTTGTTTTTGTAATTCAAATTGCATTTCTTCATTGCATATTGATATTCTGTTTATTTTTTAATGAAGAGTCTCTACTAGATCTTTCAATTCCTAAATTTATTAATCCTTTAGAGCTATCTCATCCTAAAGCTTTTGAATTTGATCGGTATCATCATGGATTGATGAAAACAAAGCAGTGCTACATGATAATTTTGAATCTTATAATTTGGTTTCTCCTTCTCTAAAGTCTTTAAGAGCTCCCAAAATAAGATCTCTTCTCTTTTTTAAAACAGGTACTCTCTTATCTATTATCTAATTTTAGCTTTCCATTATGGAGACTAATTCCTATAAGTCATCTTAATATGTTTCTTGGATTACACCTAATTAATGGGCCATAAAGTAAATAAAATTTAATTAGAGAATAATTTTGTGAGTTCACAAATTTGTTCACTTAAATTATTACATCAAACTTTTCAATATCAATAATGAGACTAACTAGTTTATTCAGTGATTCCATTTTGTTATTGCTTTCAATAAAGAATTTTTAGATAATTTGATTATTATACTTCGTCTCTTCTTGATTAATCATTAAAAATCAATAACCGTAAACAACATATTGATATTGAGATTAATTCATCAAAAGAATTATAAAATTATGTATGTAAATAAAAGATAATGAAACAATTAGATTATATTAGTAAATTTCATCAAACCATCGAATTATTATCATATCTTATCGATAATTAATATATGATTGATATTACTATATTAAACTACTTAATATATCGATATTTAACTATAGATCATTTAATAAATAAAAAAGAATAAATACGAAAGTAATGAGTTTTTGCAATGGAATTATTTTGACTTTGTAAGATAGTTAAAATGTAGATTTGTTTCAAAGGAAATCAATAGAAATAATTTGTATTTTAAGTATTGATTAAGTATAAATGTTCTCAAAATAAGAATCATTGTCTATGGTAGTATATATTCGAATAAATAATGAATTTTATTTGAATGTTATTAGATTATTTTATTTTATTCATTTAATTCTTATTCAACATAATTGCGTACATTATATCAGTAAATAACTAAATAGAATATTCACCATATTTTTGAATGTATCAAATGACAGAAATTTTTCAATAATTAAATTAAAAATGTAAATCTTCTCATTGCTAGCCCTCCTCTGTCTTCTAACCACAATTAAGGCAGCTTGCGAACTTGTAAATGGTGCATGTCCATCAGCATGTAATTTGGTCTAAGGAGAATGTGTTTCCTAAAACTGTTTAGATTTTACTGCTAAATTGGGTGACTCTTCAACCAACCCATTCAAAGGTACAACAGCTTACATCGATGGCACTGTTGATCTAAATATAACCATAACTTATACAGATCCTAAATTTACAGATACCACATTAAAGGGAATTACCAAAGGAGAAAATACAGAATCATGTTTATCCTTGAAACTCTACAATTATGAAGACAGCACAAATCTTATAAGAACAGAATCCAGTTACACAATCAATTACATTAATGATGGTTCAAGCACTAGAGCTTATTAATTCACAATTCCAAGCAAAGATTTCGTTAAACAACTCATATTATCAGACAATGGAACCAGTTTTGTATTCCATGGATACTATAGTTTGGATTTCATTATTGGATCAAGTTTGTAAAGAGTTCTTTATTTTGACTTCCTTGCAGGAATAGATAGAACATCAACAGACAATTTAGATACTAGTTTTGGAAGTTTAAGTTAAAAAGTATAGCTTGATTGCTCAGGAGATTGTTAAGCAACAGTTACAAGTTCACTCCAATTCTGCGCTGATGAAGCATGTACTCAAGTAACTGATAAGGCTGACTTATATTTGAATGATGAAATATGGTTAAAACATAGTTTAACTAAATCAGGAACAGAAGTTTATTACTTAACTAATCCTGAGATCTATTTTACAGGAGATAAACTTTTCAAAAAGGCAACTATCTAATAATCAAAGCTTAACTAGAAAGGATATGCTTTGTATTTGATTAAAGTTGAAATTGCATGGAGAAATGTAGCAATAGTAGCAAAAGCAACCTTATCTTTAACACCAACTTTAAGAATATTGGATGAATAATCCAGATTATTATAATAGACCTCATAAAAAGCTTAAGGGCTTACTTCATAATTAGACTGTGTGAAAGATAAGGATTCTGATACATGCATTGAATGTGATGAATCATTACCTGTTGATAATTATAATGAACCTTAAGGTGATGGATGTCCTACGATGGGTGACAGTATTTTGATCTTCTTAAGTATGATTTTGGTGGCTTTATTCATTTGATCAATTTATATAAATTTTTAATATTCTATTTGAATTGCTATTAAATTTTGAGAACATTAATATTATACATCATAAATAATTGATATCAGATAGATTAGTTAATTATTTTCAAGCATTTTATGATGGAATGCAACGGAGACTGCTTCTGTTAATTCCATAATCCATTCTTCGTTTAAAACTCAAGAGCACTCTATGCCAATTCTATTGATTTCAAGAACAAATTCTTGTTGATCTATGAAATGTCTATTGCATTGCCAATATATTCACTAACTGTAATCCTATATTGATCAGACCACAAAGCCAAAATTTAATATAAATTTGCAGCATTCTCATTAGTAAATTTAAGCTTGAGATATTCATCCTATGAGACTTCTAGTAATTCTATCAAAGGATTCAAAAACACTCTGATTTTTTGATTGCTCACATATGATTCTAATTTAGTTTAGCCTGTAATCCATGAGATAAGTAGTGTTATGATCTGTTATAAGTCCTTCATTCCTTGTTCGTAGAGATCCAAATAAAATTAATTCAAAGGCTTTTAACCTCTGTTTGGTCTCTCCAATTAATCCTACTATAGGAAATCTCTAATTTGCTATTAATTCCACAAAAAGAAATCTCTGTTCCTCGAATCCATTACAATAAATTATGTTCCTAATACACACTTATATGCCAAGAATGAAATCCAATGGTTTGTAACTCCAAGCATGTATGTTTGGATCAATTCTTCATTCTTTGAAGGCTTGAAGTCCTTGAATTAATCAAACTTTCTAAGTTTAAATTTTAATATTACTTTTAAAGGGCTACTCTTTCATTATATCCATTGATAACATTTCCATATTGAAAGAATATAGTGTCATTTGTCACTAAGTATTTGACATCTTGTACTATTTCATTCTAAAATGTTGTTTTAAAAAGGGGTTTAGCATGTAAACAACTTTTCAAGTAAGTTCTTTCGAAATCTCCACTTTCAATGTCAGAATCTCTCCATGGCCAAGTAGTTGAATCCAATTAGTATTTGTTTCGGTATAATCTCAAGAAATCTTAAGTTCTTCTAACATAGGTCCAAAATGCTGCTATATCATAAAATAAAGGGGGGATTCTAAAAAACAATAGATTTTGCATTCTTACCTATATTTAATACTTTAAACACATTGAACCAAATTAAAGGTTGCATGGTATCCACATAAATTAGGAACATTCTATTTATGAACTAAAATATGATGAAAATGCTATTTAATGGGGATGTATTCATTTTATAATTCGACCACTCTAATTGTGTTGTGAGTTATTGGTAAATTAGGTTCATTTTTAAAGTACTACTAAATCCACTAGCCTTATTTGATTTTTTAAGAGTTTGAGTTCATGTAATTGATAAAATCATGATGCTTTTGAATCTGTGAAACTATATTGAGAATGATTTCTTAGGCTGGATGTAGGTTTTCCATTAAATCAATTAATCATTCCAAGTTATCTATTAAAAGTATTGGACATCATCAGATTTTATTAGAATATGAATAGGAATATTTATAATATTAATTTCTTTTCAACACATAATCTGGAGAAAAATAAGTTAAATGGTGAGACGATGTTGAATATAAACGTTTGCAAATTTAATGAGAAATATATTAAAAATAATGATAATTTATCTAATTTTGTTACAATTAACATAAGCAAATTGGAATGTTCCCATCTAATATTCTTCATTGTGCACTTGCAGTTAGTTAAGTTAACCAAATCTATGTAGCTCAAGTCAATTTTGTTAACTTAATTTGGATTTTGAATGCACAGACATACTTAATTATAATTGTTCTTACTTTAATGAGTAGACTGTTCTATATTTGTGTTCATAATTGGATAGATGCGTTTTAAAAGATGGGAAGTGTACAGAATTGAATAATTGCACAGAACTTACTGGCTCAACAAATTAAGAATGCTTTTAATAATCTAATAGATGCGGAACATCCTAAAACAATATTTGTCAATTAACAGAATGTAGCAGCTATTTGAATCAGAATGATTGCGACAATTCTTTGTTTAACATACGCTTTGATAATGTAGGATATGGGAGTGTTTGCTATTGGAATAATCTTAATTCATAATGTAATAATTTGCTATGTGAAAATGTATCTGTCGATTAATGTTTATAATATACGAATTTATGCTAAATTGTAAATAATCTGTGCACATGGGCTACTTGTTAGAATTCAGAAGCTGAGAATTGCAATTTTGTATGGGAAGGTTCTCAAAGAAGTTATATATAACCATGTGTTTTAATAAATGGAATTTGTCAAAATGCAAACAATGCCTAAGAGTTGAACAACATACAAGATTGCACTTAAAATACTTTATATACTTATATCTATACATCTGAAAATAATTGTTAGTAATGCCAATATTCAAAACACCTTTATATGTAAATATTACTGTTCATCATATTATATAATTGATAATAATTTATTTCATATGCATTCAGCATCTATCAAATTAAAGTATTTCTCACTGCCTTATTTACTTTCGTCTATAATATGTGCATATAAGTTATCCTTTGATAAACTAAACTCCTAATCAATTGATATATCATCTAGTAACTAACTAAATTACTTTCCAAATTGATTTCTAAAATCGACTTATCTAATTCTATTTCCACTATATTAATATTTCATCAATTCCTCCTCCAAAAATTATTTGATCCTTTTGTATTTTGATTTCAGATATGCAAATGCAATTTCCATAGTATCCTCTATCATTTTATAGTTCCTCTTGATTCTATCCGGTGTAACGCTTAAGATCTGAGGATTGTAATTGATTTCCAATAACCAAATATCCAGATCATTATCAAGAAGGAAATCAATGGCCAAAAACTCACAAAATCTGGAGTCTTAATAGAATGCATATTATCCACTTCTGATGGTGTGAATTATTTTCACATAAATCCTTGGATAAAGGTACTCTTAAAGCCAATTCTATTTTTTAGGTATTCTGCCCTGCTCCTTCAATAACTCCTCAATCCCCTCTAAATTCCAATCAATGAACATCTCCTCGTCCTCCTCTTAGCTTTCTCCAGAATTACTCTGATTCTTGTGAGTCTTCTCTGTAATTGCGGTGTTGCAAATATGGGCAGGTATTGATTCTGATAATGGATTGTATTCATTGGCACATCTCTTAATCAAAGCCCTTTTATACATATACAATTGTAAAGGCTTGCTGCTTGCCAAATAAATGTACATTCTGAATTCAATCTTGTGTCCCTTATATAAAAATGGACGATTGATGTATTTCTATGCCACAATCTTCTCTGTGATATTACCGCACAACTCTCCATTTTCATACACAGTAGTTATGTTTTCAATTTGAGATTATAGTAATAATCGAATCCCCTCTCCTCTATGTTCATCAGTCTTTAGCAAGTAATCTGGACCATTATATTATCTAATGTTGCTCTTGTATTCCTCTTAGAGTTTGTTCAGTTATTTAAAAAATGATTAGCACTCTGATTTAACATTCAATCTCAAGGTTTCTGGAACATACGATGCACTTTCTATACAGTATGAACTAGCATTGCGTTTTTTCATGTCATAGATATATTTAGCATAATTATATATTAAACTGTTTTTGCTTGTTAAGGTATATAATCCAGGTATATGATTCAATTTCTAAAACATGCAACCTAATCCCTAACCAAAATGATAATTATCCTACAATCTGGGTTTAAAAGTATAAAAATATGATAATTAAGGAGGAATTCTATGTTAAAATTTAGTAGTTGGCTCTTTAGAAGTTAAGAAATATATTACTTTGCAATGGTTAAATATTTTGGATTGAATCAAACATTCGGCTTTTGATTATTTCCCTTTAGAGGTTTCCTTTGTCCAATTCTCTCATTATATATTTATCCTAAAGCAGTATGTCAGGGTGCATTAATTTCTAAGTTAACTCTAATTATTACTAATGTATCTGATTCTATGCAATAACTAGGTTCCTCAATCATGTTAAGATATGATTCCTATCATGCTTATATATAATTAATACATTGTAAGATTATTTGAATTTGCTGTAGTTAGTGTGATCCATCATGTAGGTTTACATTAATGGCACATAGTTTGACCTTAATTTTTTTGAAGTCGTCAAATGATAATCGTGGATCTGAGCAACAATTGTATAGATGAAACAAAAAATAATACTAGCAAAGGCTATTTTGTAAATTATCATTAAAATAATAATTAATAAAATAATTCAATCACTTTTTATATTTGATCCTCATAAATTACAAATGACTATTCCTAGAAACTACTACTTTTCAATCATATAATTATTATTCAGTATTTTATATTAAATACAACTCTTAATTTTTGTTCATTTGAGTAATTAGGACGATATTAAACATCTAATTTAATGGTAAATTGAATAGATTTCTAAATACTAATATAGCATAGTATATTATTTTAATTTAATAAAACTAGAATTCATTAGCAATAAGAGTGATTAATAATATGAATTTAAAAATTCTAACTTCATTTTTATTCTTAATTTATTAAAACACTATTTAATTTTCAAGTATGGGAAATAATCACGAAAAATTCTTCTCTAAAGAAAAGCGTAAACTATTAGTTTTAGGACTAAATGGAGTTGGAAAGTCAAGTAAACATACATGTTCCCTGTAGCTCTTATAAAAACACTCAACCAAGGAAATTATCAAGATAAAAAGGAAGATTTATAAATTGTTGACATTAAATTAAAAAACATTACCCTTTGTGTTTTTGATATGGGAGGCAGTGAAAGATAGAGAATATTTTGGAGACAAAACTTCTATGGAAGTCAAGGAGTAATTTACGTTATAGATGGCAACATTGATATCTAAAAGGCATTATTGGAATTAGAAAAAATTGTCATTGACTCTGACCTTAAGGATGTAAAAACATTAAATTTATTGAATAAAGACTCCAATTGCGGTATTTGTAAACCAAAACGGAAAAGACAATCCGTTAGAGAAGACAGAAGAATTTTTAAAGTATATTTATTTTATTATCCATTAAAAAGAAATAAGACAAGAAAAGTATCTGTTTTTAAAGGAAGTACATTAGAATATAAGGACATCATGAATTGCATAGAGTGGCTTGGCAAAGAAATGAAACCTATTTGAATTATTTATATTATTAATGTTTGAAGATGAAGACAATGAAGATAATGTTAATGTTGAAGAGTCAAACTATAGGGACAGAGCTGAAGAAAGAAGAAAGGGGATCATGACCCAAGTTAAGAATGGAGAATATGTAGAATTAGAAGGATTTGAGAAGGAGATTAAATTAAATGGTTTAGATTATACTCTGATATAATAACCTCAATCAAATACATTAAATCAAGAGAATAATAAGTCTAGCATCATTGCGAAAATAAAGAAAGACTTAACATCTGCCAAAGAGAAAATCCCTAAAAAGGCAACTCATCCAATGGCAATCAAAATAGAAGCTTTTCTATAAAATAAGAATTAAATTGTCCCTTTAAAAAACACCATGACCTATATTTATAAATATGATATAGATCCTAACTATGGAGTTTCAATGCCTTAATTTTTCACAAAAAAATATAATAAAGATGGAGAAGATCCAATCCAAGTTATTTATGATGAAAAATCTATATAAATGATTTCAGAAAGCATTCTCAATACTAATAATCTATCTATTAAAAGATATCAAGAAAGACATAAATTTGACTAAAATATTCTTATTTAAAGTGTTGATCAAGATGATGAATCTGATGATATCTTTAATGATGCAAAACCAGTTAATAAACCCAACGTTGATGTCAATAAGATCCTGAAGGTAGAAATTGAAAATGAAAATTTCGATATTACAGAATACTTGTCTAAGAATTAGTTTGATTAAAAAACATATAATTAATTAAAGCAAATATAAGAATAAGAGGAAAAGGAAAGAGAAGGTAATTCAATATGTATATGTTAGAGAAACTAAAGAGACACAAAAAAATGTTGGAGGCCGAGGATGATTATTATTATGAATGTTACTAGCCTGTAGGATTGAGTATAGCAGAGGAGAAAGATCATTAAGCAGAAGTAGAAGCAAAGAAACAAGTAGATCCAAATTTTAAGAACTATGACTTCATAAAAAAGGACCTAAAGAAAAAGAAGAAACATAGGGAAAATTATTAAAAACAATTGGATTAAATTGAAGATGTAAATTTGATTAAATATGTAGATTATTTAAAAAAAGAATAAATGAATTATAATAATATGCTAATAATAATATTATAACTTATATATATATCAATTTTTATAATTTTTTTATTCTTCTTTTATATGTACTTGCATTTAATTTAATACTTCTCTATACCCAATCTTAAATGTCTCATCATACTTCAGATTGTTTTATTGAACATGAGTAAATTTACAGTTCTTTACTTGATTGAATTTATATGTAAAATAAAGAAATTGATGATAATTTTTATTTATTATTAATTAAAATGAGTCTTACCAAGCCCATAAAAGAATATAGGTTGATTTAACTATAGAATAGTCTTTATAAAAAGAAATTTGAGTACAAAAATAAAGATAAATTTCTGAAGATTTTAAGAATTTCAATATCAGACGAGCATATTTTGAAAATCACCAATTTTGAGATTGACAACTTAAATACCTTAGAAATACCAGCTGAATGTATGTAGTATTGTATTATTATTAGCATCCATAACAATTCATATTACATTGTAAGCATCTAAGAATTCCAATGTGTACATGAAGTTTATCAGGTATGATACCGATTAAATCGAGGAGGAATTGGTTTTCAAAATAGAATTAAAATAATGATTATTGGCAACCAAATTTTTAGTTTATATCTAATAAAGCATTATTGATAAGTATTTCAAGATATAAAAATAATTTAACGATTGTATAAAATAATTAATTAATATATGAAATTTGAAATCAGAATAAACTATCTAAATGAAAGGGTAAAGGTTGTATATCACAATTTTTGCATTCATCACAACATCTGCACTTCGATGTGCATTTGATTTTACGTTTTTGGCACTCACAATACCCTTTAGAACAACTAGGAATTAATTTTGAGCTCATACTCTTGTTTTCTACAATTACATCCCAAATATTCAGATCCTGATTACTTTGAGATAGCGGATTTTGGCTATTTATTTGAGCAATTGTAGCATTCGCACTTGAATGAACATTCTTGATTGTTGGCACTGCAAACGCAATAGTTTTTGATGCATTTAGATTTTCTACATTTACACACTATGCTTTCATCTCTGGAGAGATTAAATAAATCGTCATCGCTAGGTTTCACCAACTTATTAACTATAACATTATTTTGGTTTAGTTCTATTGAATTTAATAGACCCAAAGTGTAGGATGAATTTACTATTTGATTGATAATTAATACCTTTATTTTCTTTTGATGTAATACGTTTACTTCTTCCAAGTATTCCATCTTATCTTATTATTAACTGATCATCATTGAATTCCAGTTTCTTAATGATCTTAATTTTTTTTAATTCTTCCTTCGCTTTCTTAGGTGAACTTTGTTTATTATATGTAATAGGTGATTTGCACAATTGCTATTTTTATGGAGTTTTAACTATATATAAATTTATTTAGAATTACAATCTGTATCATCAAGGTTCATTATAAATTGCTAAAAATACTTATAACACAATACTTCCATTTATCCGCCAAAATCAACAATACGAATTTACAATATTATAAATAATATATATTATAAATAATTTCATGTTTATTTATAACTACCCTCTTGATAACCCTACCCTCAACCTAAATTGCCCATCCAATGATAATCCCATTCAAATAATTTTCTTGAGCAAATTAAAACAAGTAGAAACTCATCAACATTTTGCACCTAGATCAAACAATATTTCATTCCTTAAAACATATACATACCTCATTTTAAGTCCAGTATCTCTTTTGTTATATCTATATAATATAAAGTCTAAAGACTGAATAATTAACTTCAAAATAATAGTTAAGTTCCAAATTGTATCTAAGCATAATATTATAGAAAAATTTCTTCAGAATGGTTCATTAATTAAGAAAGTCGTGAGTTAATAATGCTGGGAAGTATAATTATATCTTAAATCTTTGATTTTATTAAATTCAACACACCTTTTATTCAATATACTACCAATTAAGAGAAAAATATAAATTTTGATTAGAAAATTATAAAATTATTTAGATAATTATCACTTCATCGATTCTTATATATTGTGTTAATCAAATTTATTGTTTAAAACAACAATGATAAAGGTAAAAAAAGAGTAGAAAGATTTACAACCTTATTTTTTCAATTAATAAATTTGTTGATGATAATTATTCAAAATAAATCATAACTTTTTTTGTTTTTAAAATTTTTAACCTTTATAGATATCTTATTTCTTATTTTTTCTTTTTAGGTTTTCCTCCTCTGATGATTCCATCGCATTTTGAGTTAAGGGCTCTACAATTTTATTTTTTCCATTATTTTCAGATTATAGTTTTATTAAACCTTTCTTATTAACTTTATTTTTGTAGTTTTATTATTCATCAACTTTTATAGTGCATTTAGTTTTTCCAGTGTAATTGGAACAAAATTCAATATTGCAACTAGATAATTGTGAACCTATCAAAAAATTCAAACATTGAAATCTATACTTTTATTTGATATTTGAATTATTAATATTTTAGTGTTCTTTCAAGCATATTAAACATAGACAATTTTGATCTTCCTCATAAAAATATATAAATAGCTCTCTTTTACATTTAGTACAAAATAAATTCTCTCTTTTTTCTTAAAATACAGGTGCATTTTTTTAATTTAATGATTATAAATTTTGGTTTTCTTCAAATATAAATTATTGTAGTTCTGATCTAAGGTAGTTGAGTAATGTTTGATCCAATGAATTTTCATGTATTACCACATCAAGTATTAAATTGTTATATGGAACTCTGCTGATAAAATTCAATGCTGCAAAGTTTTTCTCTTAATCAATTATAGTTTTTAAGGAGTTTTCATCCAAAGTTGCCTAATTCCAAGAGCAACTCATGCACAAACCTTCACATTTTTGCCAACTATAGGTTCCAGGACTAAGAACAACTAAATCTCCTTCATTTTGAACAAAATATCTAAACGGTATGTTATTCAGTAAAAAGTAGTCTGCATCTTTGAACCAAACCTTATCTTCAATAAATATATCTATTTTCTCAATTTAAATTATCTTCTACCTGAGTTCTGCTACATTTTCTTTATCAATAGTAATCCATAAACAGGAATCTGGACCAAGATTTAAATTAACTTAAGTAAAACACATTTAGTCTTTTGATGGACTTCTCCAATTACAGCGATATCTAATTTCAAATTAAGGGATGTTAATGCCCGGAATTTCGTTTCTCATATAACTCAATACATCATTATTGCCCTAAGGTCTGATGGATTTTGGCAAGAAATTCTTAATATGTTTTATTTCTTTAGCCTTTTTATGAAGATTAAAAGTTGTAAAATAAGGAGTTCTATTTTAAGATTACTCTTCTTAGATCTTTTCTATTAATTGAGAGACTTGCATTTCCTGTATGATTTTTCTACTCCCTTCCATATTGGTTTCAACTTCTACTTTTGTGAAGCCATGACTTTATTTAACTTAAGGTAGAGAGAAATTCAAAGTCAGAATTTCTGCTAATTCAGTTGGAACACTAATTACGTAGACTTAAGAAGTGCGCCAAACTAGTGAATCCAAATTCCAAATATCTAAAACTTCAGTAACGGAACAATAATGAGGTTTCTATATTAATAGAGCATTGACAATCTAGTTATACTCGTATGATATTATTTTTGTTTTGTATAAGTCTACCCAGTTATCTTCAATCAAATATTATGGTAATTCTTTTTGACAATAGACCTTTTTTTATAATATTTTAATACTTTGATAAATCCTCCATCTTATTTGACCTTTTCAAAAATTATTTGACCATTTTTGTAAAGCATCTATTTTTCAAAGAGGGTCAACTACAAATTGTCTTGCACGTATTTTATCATCCAAATGAATTTTTAATGTATTTATCATTTGAAAAATATTCCAAACAAAAATTATAATTCATAACTTTCCTTTTAATTTTTATCAATCATAAAAACCATATCATTTTAAATAGAAATACACAAGTAACAATTAATTAACCGCTATTTCTATTCCGAAATCCAACTTCTACATAGGATAGGATAACATCTAATGAACTTTTAAATTACTAATTCTCAACATTTTTACAATAAAATTAATAGTAAATTTGAACAAGTTAGTATCAAAAGCTCAAAGTTTAAGTATTTATAATTTGTTGAGCTTAGAAATTTAAAAGTCGAAAATGATTGAATTAAATTTAGGGAATAAGAAATTAAAATATAATTATTAAAAATGAAGTATTTCTTATAGAAAATGCTTCTTTATTATCCTAATCAGAATATCTTGGGAAGTCAAAACAAAAGCATACATGTACCTGAGGCTGGCTTAATCCATTATACTACTCCATTTCCAGTTTATCAATTTTTCTTGAAGGTTGGAATTCTAATGTTGGATTCAATGTTTGATGCTGTGATTATTTCACCTATTAGAATAATACTATCAATTTTAACAAATAACATGATTTCGATATAATTCAGATTGGATTTAATTTAAACTGCAATGATTTGGTTGATAACATGGCTTTTTACATTCAATTATTTTGAAGTTGGATTTTGGTATCACATAATAAGGAGTTAATCTTAAATTAAGTTATATGGAATTATTTAGATTTTGGATTTGCTTGATAGATTGGCTTGTACTTAAGGGGATTACATTATAAGACAGTTGTATTGGTAAAATGTGTATAAGAATTAATCTGTTTTCAATAGATATTTGCCCTATTCATTTATTTATATTTTTGCACATGCATGCTTGTTGGGACTGCAGTTGACAGTTTATAATGTAATATTTAGTTAGAAAGTATAACTTTTATATCTAGCCTTATTCGTTTTGAGTTTAATTAAATTAAAGGGGTCAGTGTTCAAAAAACAGGATGAGAAGTCATGCTTATCAACAGCAATAAATGATGGAAGAGAATACTTCCAAAAAGCACTCTATATAATATTGATTTCTATGAGTGTTAAATTTACTCCAGTAGACTTTTATTACAAGATCGGGTTTTACTTTTTCATAGAATTGTTAGTCGATTCCTTTAAATACATTTCGATATTTCATTTAAATAGTGTTCCAATAAATGTGCTAAACGAATAAACAAAGAGTTTGTCTAATTTTATGTATGCTGTTTCGATATAATAAGATTAAATAAAGGAGTTTTCATTAATTGATCAGAAAGACTTATGCATAGTTTTATAAAATGTATTTCAATCTCATATATCCTAGGTCCCTCTTGCTTAAGCCAAAATCATAGGGAAATTCAATATAGTAATTTTCCCTTAGGTCATAATAATTCTGAAAATGCTAGCTTACAATTACCAAAAGCATAAGTCATCTTTGGATAAAGAAGATTATATATATATTGGATTCATCATATTTATTATGTTATCCTTCACTAAAATGATCATATTTTTCTACCATAGAAACAGCTAACTCTACTTGCATGTAAATAAATTAAAAGATTGAAAAATTAGATTTATAGATATATATTAATATATGAATTCAATATTTTCTAGTTCTGTCCTTGTTGGTATTAATTTTAGGTGCAAGTAGTCCAGTCATTTATTTGTTTAGATTATTGTTCTTACTATAAGAGGAATTACGTTTTTTCTCTTAAGATGTCTATTAAGTTATTTTAGATTAATATTGCATAAGTAAGGGGGCTCTGATGGTTTGAAAATTACTTTGCTTAGTGGTTGTGGGTATGTCTGTTGTTTTTTGGGGAATAGCCACTCCTATGAACTTCTCCTCCTTTATAATTTCATCTTTAATCCATTCGAATTTATAATCCCATTCAAAACCTTGTTTTCTGAAGGCTTCCTAAAATAGTCAGTAAAATAAATACTTTGAATAGATTTCTAATATAGTTATAATCAGGTTTGTCTTCGAATTTCAAATTTCTGCAATACTACAAATATTGAGTCAGTTCATAAGGAAAGCCTTTGCACAATTATTCAGGTGTTGTTTCTTGTTTTTTTTCCATAATTTTTTAATATTTCTCCTTTTAATTGGAGGCCTTCATATTTTGCCACGGCAATTGTCCTCTTAATAAATACATGAGGACATAGCCAAGAGATTCTAGATCATCCCTTCTAGATTATTCTAAACCCACATGTGTGTTAATGGAAGCATATCTGGCAGTTCCAGTTAAACTTTTCCCTTCCTTATAAGGGATGTGTCCTTCTTTGGATATATATCTTTTGGCCAAACCAAAATCGACAACATAAAGTCTAGAACTTTTACTGCCCACTCCCACTAAGAAATTATCTGGTTTGATATCGCGATGTATAAATTATTTTGAATGTATGTACTCAATTCGTTAAACCAACTAATCTGCCAGCATGAGAACTGATTTAAGTGATAGTTTCCTCTGATTTTTATTAAATAATTCTTCAAGGGATGGTCCTAAGAGATCCATGACGATGTAATTGTAATCGCCATCCACTCCTTAATCATGAATTTTTGGAATGCCTTCCTTTGAATTACACAATAAACTTACCTTTATCATACTAATCCTGTCCTTAAAGGTAATTGTATAATTTAGCTTCAAAGAATATTTGAGGATGTTTGTTATCACTTCTTTCCAGTTTCATGGCATATTCAGATTTAGATTAAGATTAGACCAAATATATTTCTCCAAAAGCTCCAGATCCAATTTTCTTGATTAATTTAAATTAACGTGCAATAGTATAATTAGTAAGGTCTTTTCCTAAAATAGAATCCATATAAAATTAATAATGATCTAAAGTTTAGGGATGCAGACCAAATTTCACAAATAGATGGAGAAAATGAAAGGATTTCTGGTCTCAGCCCATAACATATCTCCCATAAATGATGATGAGCCTATCAGGAAAACTTAGACTCCTTTGATTGGTCAACAAGTTTAATCAATATCTTTCAGTGATGACGAGATGGAGATTGAAGACTTCAAGCAAATAGGTGTTAAATCCACGAATTTCGAAGACGAGTTTACTTTAGGTAAGAAACTAGGCGAAGGCACTAATGGTGTCGTTAGAATTTGTTGGAAAAAAGACAATCCTTAATAGTAATTTGCAGTAAAAATAATACAAACACCAGATGAAGAATAGTTGGATATCGTAAGACAAGCCTTCATCAACTCTACGATCATCAAAAGTCCCTACATTGCAAAATGCTACAAATTATACATTGACATTAATGTAATATACATGGTAATGGAGTATGTTCCATTTCCAAACTTACAATCCATATTGCAAGAGAGAACATAATTAAAAGAACAAGAGGTTTAAAGAATTGCCTGTTCTCTATTGAAAAGTGTTAGATGTTTGCACAGTTGCGGCATTTGTCATAGAGACATTAAACCAGACAATGTGCTTGTAAATCAGAAGTAAAATAGTTGTTATTTATAGCGATTACACAGTCAAATTAATAGACTTCGGGGTTTCTAGAAGATTTGTTACATTCAATAATAGTACATTTAGGTATATGAGGAATTAAATGTTAACTGTTACTGGTAACCTACATTACCGAGCACCAGAAATCATGGGTAGCCATATTTATGGTTATAATCAGTAAGTCGATATATGGGCCATTGGAGTTATCATGTATTAATCGCTAACATCAGTCTTGCCATTCACTTCAGATAATACTGCTGATATTGTTGCTTTATTATCCAATAGGTATTCTATTTGTATATACACTCCAAAGTTAATCAATCAATGAAGCATTTCAAAAACCTTAGTTTCTGTCCTTGTCATCGAGTTGCAGAGACTTAATCAAAAGATTAATGATGTGGAATCCTTTAAAAAGATTAACAGCCTCTGAAGCACTCAAACATATATGGATTCCCAATATGCAAACTCCTCAAAAACCACTTGTAAAGAAAGTTACTAAAGATGATATGGACACTAGTAAAATTAGTTAAAATAGTGATCTTCTGAATAAATCTTTAATTAATAGTGCTACCATTCTGAATTTTGAGTTACAAAATACTCTTATCAAAAGTAAGCATATTGATTCAGTCTTGGAAACTTAAGATATCACTAAATCCTAAAAAAGTCTTGGTTTCTCCATCAAAATAAAAAGAGAAAAAGAAATTCAGGATTTTAAAGCTAAATTAAAGTAATTTAAATTAGAAACTTCAACTAAGATTTACAAGAGGAACAATTCAAATTAGAATAATGCAATTTAATTGGTCGGAGCCTTAGTCGATGATAAAATGAACAACTCAATTAAATTGGATGATGAAGATGATATGTTTGGTATCAAAGTATGTGGAAGTCATCACTCGCTAACATAAATTGATGAACCTATATAAACTGAACAACAAGCACAACATAACAAGTTGGATCCTCAATTACTGGAGCAGCTCTTAGAATTTAATTTGTGATTTAATATATAAATAATGAACTCTTCTAAAACTTCAAGAACTGTCAAAGCAATGCATTTGTTCCATTTGGAGTAAAAAAATTCAAACTTACATCATTATAACATTCCTACTTTCAGAGACCCAGCCATACCTACTATCCTGAAACCATTTAGATTGTCACCAACTAAATAATCATTTCCAACATCTCGACAAAATTAAGATAGCGGCTATCGAAAATTGTCAATAGAAAAGAAAGTATTATAACTAAGAAAAGAAATTTTAAATGCCAAAAATATAAAGTAGAAATAATTGTTTCAAAGCAATAAATTATAAATCAAGAACAGTTTCTCTTCTGTTGAGAAATTACTAGATAAATAACCTAAATCTATAAAACTTTTTGAAAGAAAGTCTAACTCTAAAATCAAACTCTTTGAAATTCCTATCACAATTCAAGAAAGGTAACTTTAATAATCAACTTTGTCAACTCAAATTACTAAAATTCCAATATTAAAATTATAAGAAAAATAAACTTCAACTATGGAGGATGGCATAAACGATATTCAAATGTTACCACAGTATTAATCATCTATTAAGTTGCCCAGTGAACCTGATTCTCCACAAATAATAAAAAAATTGCAATCCTATTAATTTACTTAAAGGAGTGTCAGTTAGGGAAATGTTGAAAAACCAAAAAAAATAGAATGGACACCATGGCCATAGAATTTTGAAGGTTGGCATGCACCTTAAGTTGATGAAGATTTACTACTTTAATATTAATAATATTTCTGATATGAATTTAATTTTGCTAATAATTAATTATAATGTAGCAACTGCCCGACTATTCAACAGAAGTTAAAGTTAATTTTGTTATTTTGATGAAGACATCATATTTTTATTCATTATATTATGCAACATGCTTCTCTTTCCTTAGGTGGTCTAATGTCCTCTTTGTTTCTCTCACTTTTTGGTTTGATTGGCTCATCCTTAAAATCCGATTTCGTTCCAATGCCCCTTGCAGTGACATATTGTAATTTAGGATTCAATTTAAAGGGACACAATAATTGTTCCATCTAGGCCAATCTTTGTTTGAGTTTCTCTTAGAATTTCTATGAAATCTTAAGTCGATAATTTTACTTCAATTAATCCACCCTTTAATTCCTTTTATTATTTGATTATGTTGATTCTGTCCTCATAAGATAATCTCACATCGAATCTTAGATTGATTGTGACATTATCTATATAGGGAGCATCCAAACTTTAATCCTAGTAATTTACTATCAAGTAACATTAAGGTATGGTTGGAAGAGCAAAATGTCTTGGCCTAATTTGTTGGTAGATATCCAAAATAGGTATTTTAATTTGAGCTAACTCTTTAAAGTCTTCACCCAAAGTTCTTGCATCACCCAGATTTTTGTCGAGTCTCTTTCCCATCACAACAATTGTTATGGAATCAATAGTATTATCCAAAGAAATGCAGGTTGATCTATTTGAATTCTCTGGATACAGTGGTTGATAATTTTGATGAATAGTTCCAACTTTGTACTTCAGTTTATAAAACTATAAAATAGATCTTGGGTTGATACTTTTTACATCTCACTTATCTAATTGACTTGATCTACAAAGGAAATGACTAAGGCATTTTCCTGATTATATTCAGGCTTATCTAAGATAGATTAAATAGTTTGTAATACTTGTTTCAATGACTTTAGAAAACTTATCAAAATTTGTCAGTTCATCTTTGAAATAATCAATATTTTTTTGGAAATCGAGGATTTTCAAATGTATCATTTTTGCTTAATCCAATAATTTCTACACAAAAGTTTCAATGGTTGCTTCTGATGCAAACTAGTTAAATGAATAAGCCTACATTCTCATCATAAACTTAATCTTATCCTATTGTATCACTAATCACCTTCCAGAGGATGTGTTCTTAGTCCTGATTGATTTCTGGGAAAAACCAGAGTTAATCATCAAATGCTGAATCTGCCTTGTATCCTTTCTGCTCAAAGAACTAAAGGATTTCCTCTTTCTTTGATTAAATAATATCCTCAGACTGTTTAATGAAGGAAGCATTCAATTAATCTGCCATTTTTAATAAAAATATATTATCGTTTTCATTTGACTCATAATAAGTTATAGTTATCTTATAAAATCATTTTTTTTTCTTGCACTTATTGCAAACATAGGTATTTTACTATATATGTTTGATTCCCAAGCATTCATAATGATACCATTTTTAACAAATATCACATAGTACATACTATTAATCGGGATTCAATGGTAATTTACATAAACAATGTTTTTCCCATTTCTAAATAGGCGGGATTATTTGCTTATTTCTGTAGAATGACCTAAATTACTATTACAAATGATTACCTACAATAGAAGGTAAAATCATCCACTAATTCCTTCTTGTCGAAATCCTTGAATTCTAAGACTTATGCTATAGATATGATTGTATCAGGCTATATTAAATCGTATTGGTCAGATAAAAATAATTCCCTCTCTCCAATGCAGCCTATATATTTTCCAATGATCTCTTTTAAGTTGTTCTTACTGTAATACCATTAAACTCTGATAATGGGAGTGTATTATTAAAACCTCATTACACCAATAATTTCAATAGTTTTAGCAACGCATTATCCATCCTCTTTCGTGTATATAACTATATCCGAGTTTAAGTTGATATTGAGATTGTTGATTTTGAGAGTTTTGAACTCCTTGTTAGCATAGACCAAATTTTTTGCATGATAAAAAAGGGTAGATAGAGATTTACAATGTCTTACCTATCCCACCAAATCATTAGTGTTTTTAATTGTTTTTAAAGCTTCTTAACTTTAATCGTACTCTAATTTAATTGAATGAAAAATTTCATTAAGCTTTTTTTCTGTCTCCTCATCCATGTTTACCTCGCTCATTAAACAATTAAAATCCTATTAAAATTAATATACTCACAATTACTATTTTCAGTTTTATTCCAATTTCATAACTACACAAGACTTCCATTGTTATTTTGATCACGGCATTTAGTGCTGTATTAGAATATCATTAATATAATGTTTATTTGTATGTAATTAATAAAATACTAAAAAATACCAATTTCATTTTTTCTAATCTCTAACAGGCAAGAAATATGGATGATCTAAAGCTTCTTTGGGTGTAATTCTTAATGCCTATTATACTCATTAATTTTACATGATCATACAACAACATTCTGGATAATAAATCAATTGCCTCTTCTGAGCACAAATGCTTATTATCTTGATTGATAAATTTGGACCATTCTCTTTTTGGATAACTAAACTTCAATTTTAATTCTTACTTTCCCAATTTATTGTCAAATACTGGATCTAATTTCAATTTGTACTTCTTAACGTAGGCTAACAAATCTTCAGTTCCCAATACTTTTGCTATGACTACTAATTGGTCGTAATTGTCATTTCCTTAGAAGAATGGCTCTTTTTTAAAAATCTACAATTATAATCTTATCGATATTAACCATTGATGCAAGCATGGCCCCACTACTCCAAATATCCAACGAATAATCATAGTAGACATTGTCAACTAACAATTCAGGACCTTTAAAATAACGAGATGCCACTCGAACATTATAATCCTGCCCCAGGTGATAGTACTCTGCTAAACCAAAATCCAGCAATTTCAATAACTTTTTTTAGGGATTCACTATTATATTCTAAGGTTTGACGTCTCTGTGCATAATACCTCTGGAATGACAGAAATCTAAAGCCTTCATTAATTCATATAGATAAAATCGTATCTCTATATCAGTGAGTTTTGGAAAGATGCTTCTAAAATCAACATGATCTATGTAATCAAAAACTAAACAAGGGGTTTTTGATGCTGGGTCTTTTACAATATCGCTTAACTCAATGATGTTTGGATGTCCTTTTAATGAAAGCAGAATTTTAGTCTCTCTTTTTATTTTTCTTTTCTTCACAGGTTTCAACACCTTGATTACCACCCTCTAATTTTATGGGTATCTGATCCCTTCATAAACATCGGAATATTTGCCTCTTCCAATCTTTCTGGCTATTTCATATTGGTCATTATCCTAACATTAAGGAAAGTCTTACACCCCATTCATTTTCAAAATTATCGTAATCCCAATACTCTTTAGGCTGATTCTTGTTAAAGTCAGCATAAAATTTTGGTTTTGCCTACACTATTTAACTCATATAAAATATGTTATAAATAAATTTTGGGATGAATTTTGAGCTTAGATAACTTTTAAAAAAGAAGTAAATTTTTTTAATTGTGAAGACTAGCTATTTTTAAATTTAATAATGAAAACATTATATCATTATGATACAAGAAATTCATAACTGTCAGTCAGTATCATTCATTAGTATAAATAAAATTCAAATTGAAGACAAGCATTCAATTCTGTCAATTATATGTAAATCATATTCAGAATTGATCTCATCAAATTAAATTTATCTTAATTACAATTTAATGACTTCAAATTTTAGATAAATTAATTAAATTGCTTAATTAACACACAAAATCATGATATTTTTACTCATAAATATGATTTAATATTTTGTTAAAATAATATCAATTTATCATTGATTGTTATTAAGAATTGTGGATAATTTTATTAATATAAATTAATAAAATGATCAATGAATCCTTAATAAATCAAGAACCTCAACATCTCTATGATTATTTCCCAACTAATATCTCATGTCCATAAGCAGAAATAAACTAAGATGAATCGCCAATTAGACAGCATTATATTAGTTCTCTATGCTTCCAACTTAGAAAGTACTAAAAATAGAATAAGTATTACCTAGAAAAATCAAACGACAAAAAAATCGACCAAGCCTTTTGAAAATAGAAGATAGTGGAAGAAATGTAAAACTATATTCTTGTTCGCTTTACAATAATACAGAGAAACCTGAAAATGATACTGAATGAAGAAATAAAGTAAGATTTGGAATTATTAATTATATGATATATAAACTTTATATAATTAGAGTTTAAAGTTAATCTTATTGAGCATTCTTACAAATGAAAATAAAGTATTAGAATAGGAGAAATTAATAAAATGATGGTTTTGAAAATAAATGATACGAGGGAAATATATCTCAACCTTGTAAGGTACACATAACATCATTATTAAATGCATTAGACACCTATTAGGATCATTGAGTAAGGGAAAATAAATTTAAATAATTTTCTTCTAATTTATATGGAAATAAATATTTGCTCTTTCTTGAAATTTATTTTACTTTAATATATGGAAAATAACACTAAAATAAAAAATCTGATTTTGTAGTGAAATTTTTAAAGGCAGTTGTGAAATAATAGGTATTACTGATAATAAATTAGACGATGTTTATAAATGTAATATAAATATATTGCGATCATTTTATTAACATAATTTAAATTTATTTTTAAATCTATTTACTATCGAGACTATAATCTATCCATTTTTCAATATGAAGAATTACTCTTTGCAAGATTAATTGAATTTTAACTTATGAATTGTATTAGCAACTCTAAAATAGTGGAACAATTTAAAATGAAGTTCAGAGTGTTTGATTATAAATTAATTAGTTTTTGAAATGTATTCTCTGATAAATTTCAAAGAAAATGAATAGTTTTCTTCTTGAAAATATAATTTATAATTTATCGTTTTTATTTTATAAATAATAAATGAGTTCACTCATCATGTATGAAGATGAAGCGATTGACCATTATAATGAGTATTTGATGAGCAAAAGAAAAGAAGTAACAGAAATAAAGAATTATAAATTCAACGGGAAATTCAATTCAAAGCCAACTAAAGCATTCATAATTAAAAATAAGAAAATACATTATTTAACATAATCGCAGATATTAGCTTTGGTAGTTTTAACATACGCAGTTGAGTATGGTATTTATACACATATAGTGAGGGTTTGCAATTGAGATGGTTTTCATCTCTCCTTTGTTTTTGAAATTAGACACTCCAGAACTTTTAGACTCTTCAATGTAATAAATTACAACAATATTCCAGTTGGTTATTTCCTCCTTTAATTAATTTATTACTCTATCCTTTTATTCGATACTACAGCGAAAGTAAATCACATCAATTAAAAAACGCTATGATATATTTCATAATAGTTTCTATCATGGGTATAGGACTATTAGCGGATACCAAGTAAATATTTCAGTATATTTAGATAATTATATGTGGATTCAATAAATAAAAAAACATCAGTTCTTATTATTTCAATCGTAAGTTTCACAGTAATGGATGTCGGTTTAGAGATGCTTGGAGTATGACTAACATTTTATATAAATAGTTTGCTTGTTCTGCTTTATTAGAAGATTATGTTAATCCAAAACAGACGTAAAAAGTGTAATAATACAGAACATTTGTGGATTCATTTGGAAAATTTACTGGATTCCTAGTTTCAAGTGTCTTAGCTTTCAATTTTATTTATTTAAACTTTGATAATTTCATCGAAAACTTATCATTTGCATATTTAGTAGGATTGATAATGATATTGATTGGCTTTGGAATGGTTTTGATATCATTTCCGCATAAAGGATTAGATTTAGTATAATAAAATCACAAGATGAGGTTTAGTATCAATTCATTTTTGCCTGGAATAACATTTATATCGTAATTAATTATAAATATAGGCTAGATAATTGCCCACAAAGATGAAAGTATTTTTGCTATCGCATTTTTTCACTTGCGGTTCCTAATTGTTTGTATCTGTCTATGCCACCCTGTGGTCAGGCATTACCATGTTGGAAGAGGGGCCTCAATAATACAATGAAGCAATAAGGAATATTGTATTTGACATAGGAATTAGCTGGGGTATTGTTTAAATGATATACAGAGGGGCTTTGGCATTGTGTATGAGTGCAATACTTCATCTATTGACAACCTTGTTTTTAAAGTAATTGGGAAATCGATACACTTGCACAATATATATGATAGTTAATGCTTTGGCTGGAGCTTCTTTATTGTATACTTGGTCTGTTAATGAATTTTATTCTATTTTTATCACACTTCCTTTTTGGGGAGTTCAAACTGCTGTTTTGAGTGAATTGCCATACAAATTAGCAAATCAGTTGGAGGATGATGTATTAATTCAGATAATATTGATTAGCATGTTAGGGATACAATAAAAGGACTCTTACCTTAGATGCTCAATTTAACAACCTTTTTTTCTTAAGCATTTATGTTTTTCATAATTCCCCTTGGTTTTTTGTTGTTATCTAGTGTTGATGACATTTCAGTAAGCATGTTCTTAAGTGGGATATTCAGTTTAATTGGATCGTTTTTGGTTTGCTTTTTATGAATAATATTATAAATTTATATAAATTCATTTGAAAAACAATAATCATTTTAATATTTTGAATGACCAAAATATTAACCAAATAACTCGTCATGCAGAAGGCGAAAACTGATGTAATGGAGAATGTTAAGTCTATCAACTTATGGGGAAATGATTTGGAAGATATCTCCTTTATTACTCAATTGATTAATTTAGAGCTAGCTTAGTTGGCTTCTAATAAAATAAATACCTTAAAAGATGTAGTCAAGTGTTCACAACTCAAAGACCTGAATTTACGAAATAATGCTATTTCAAATGTAGAAGAGTTACAGTTATTAAAACTATTGCCAAATTTAAAAGCACTAAATCTTTTATATAATCCTATTACTTAAAATCACAACTATAGATACTAAGTCTTAAAACATGCATCTTAATTAGAGATACTGGATGAGATAGGCATAACATAATAAGAAAGACGATAAGTATAATAAGAGGAGGAGAAAGAAAATTAAATTAAATAGAAAGTATTGGAAAATCATCAAAAAATTAAGAAAATTGAGTCTAAAATTTCCAAAAAGAAATCTTAAAACAAAAAATGGAAATATCAGGATGATGAAGATTTTGGATAGAAATTGATGAAGCAATAGGAGACTTATAAATAATAGAAAGAAATTGAATAATTTTTTAATGATCAATCAAAAGAATTTTTGGATTCACCCTTATAGGATTCTTAGGATATCCAATTTTCAAATGAAAACAAAAATATGTAAATGCTGGTTGGAGATAGGGCTTCTTCCTAATGTTAAATAGATGATAAAATATAAGAAGAAGAATTACCATTACAAATACAGAAAAATGAAAATGTTACTAAAGTATAGTAACCGAAATAAAATTCAAAAAAGAAACTACACGCTAATGGAAAAGCAGATTCTGCTAATACCTCAGATTATATTCTGTGTGCTATATTATCATTATTGAAAGGACTAAATCAAAGTGAGTTAGCTATTCTTAAAAAAAAGGTTTAAAAACAATTAAAGAAAGATAACACATGAATTATAATAAAGTGTGCATTATAAATACGAATTAATAAATATAATCTTTATATTTTTCAGTCACTTTTTGATAGTAAATTTGTCTTGATAATTTTTAATATATGTCCAACTCTTAAAATTGAAAAAGCATTTCATATTTTTTTTTAGAAAAAATTGAATAACATGTTATTTATATCATCTTTTTATCAAATAAAATTAAGGACTGAATTCTATTAAAATTTCAAATTATTTTTATAAAATATTCAAATTAAAATAATCATTAATATCAGAATAATTATCTAAATTGAAGAATAAAACTAAATGGATGATGATTATATTTTCTGATAAAAGGGTTCACAGAATTAATCAACTAAATGATATCCATCCTCGCATTCTGAACATTCAATGATACTCTTACATGATTTACAATTCTTAAAATATTTAATTTTATTACCCCTGAGCAAGTTAAACAATACATTGAATTACTATCAGCATAATCTTTTTCTTCACATTCAATCAAACATTTATCCTCTTTTCTAAAACCATCACATTCATTTTCACAGTAATATCCAGAATATCCATATTAGCAAGTACATTATTAATTTACACAAAAGCCTCTTGAATTACATTAATTTAGACAATCATTTTAATTGGCACAGATTTATTTTGAATCTTGGGGGCATTTAATTTGAAAATTGATTTCACTAAAAGTAATTGTCTCATTTTCAGGACAATGAACTTGGATATAATCATTGTCATTTTATTAAAAAATTATATGTATTTGATCATTTTTACATTTGAATCTATAACATGATTCCTCTATTTGACTTAATTTTTCAGACAGAGTTTCAACTTTTTCTTCTTTATAAGATATTTGAAAGCATAAACTATTCTCACTAATTGTACTTCTTGTCTTTGAGAAATGGTCTATTTATTCTTAAGTCTGAAATTAAAATGGGTTTTTACAATCCATTCCTTTAAATATGCTTCTATATGAGCATTAATCACTTAATTGATCCTAGCCACATTTACCAATTCCAATATTATTAAAGGAACATGTATATTCATTTTCTTGACAGAATTCATCTACTTCTAATTCCTTGCAAGGTTTAAATAAAAAGTCACATCCTTTTGCTCTGCCATAGGTCATAAAATCTCTTTTGTACTTTAGTAATCGATAATACCTAAGATAAAATTAATTTAGTACCCAAAATCTGATAGTAAAGCAAATGTAAATTCTGATAGTACAGATTATCCATTCATTTATGAACCTGTCATGAGTTCGTTAAAATAATAGGTGCGTTCAAAATGATGGTCTGCACTAGTATCCCCTCCTTAATTCTCCATTAAAGCCCCTGTAATTGAGTCACATTAAAAATATTCTTTTGATATATTGGTTAAACGGGGAGTAGATAGAATCAAATGGTTATTTTCGTCTTTTTCTGATGTTAAATTATAAAATTGTAATGTTTAAGGATCATAATAATATTAATAAAGTATTTTAATAAATCCAAGGGCATGTATTATTTCATGAATAGAAGTTTAAATATTTTATTAAATAGTGAATGAATTAACATTTTTCTAATTTTTAATTAACCATTAAATACCATTTAGAGTTATTTCAAATTCCAATTAATAACTCCAAAAATAGGCCTCAAATCAAATTTTGTAATTTTACAAGGGCCTGAATATGCGTAATAGTTGCTAGAATTATCATATTGGAATGAAACAAATATCACTAAATCTTAATTGTATTCTTTTTATTGGAATGCCAAAGGGATATCAATCCCACCGCATGTTGTCTTATTTCCAAAAACAATAGATTCTTATTAACTTCTGATCATTAAATGTCTCCCAAAAAATATCTTTGAAATCTCAAGTATTTTAGTAATATAGTCTAAGATGTCTTGACCAACCTCAGCATTCTCTAAAAATTAAAAATATATATTAATTGGTTTCCAATTAATGTCCTCTAAACTTAATGAGTTTAATTAACGATGTTTACTTTTATTCAATTCATTAAGTTATAATTCTAAGTCTTATCTAAATTCAACCAAATTCTATTACGAATACGAGAGCAGGGTTTAAAACAAAATAAAAATTGCATACATAATTGATTATATTATATAAAATTTGTATTACTATTACATGGACAGTTATATAGAATCATATGAAATAATGGATAATATATTAGGACGTGGAGCATTTGGACATGTCAAGGATGCCAAATTCAAAAAAGATAGGAACTTGAAAATTTGTGTTAAAATACTGAATAAGGAGTACAGCTTTGGGAAAATTGAAGCAACTCCTTTGCAAGTGGCAGAACTTAATATGTGTAAGTGGATGAAATCTATGAGACATGAGAATTTAGTTTAAATTTATGATGTCTATGATTCTATTTTGAATGATCCTATGGCTTATATATTTATGGAGAAGTGTGAATTAAATCTACATTAATTGAAGGAGAATACAAAGAAGTAAGGAGGAAAGTTATCCAAAGAAAAATTGCTCGACATAATCAAATAAATTGTGAAAGGTTATCTTTACTTGATTAGTTAAAACATCATGCATCGAGATCTCAAACCTGAAAACATTCTATGTAATATAAATAATAATGATCTAATAATCAAAGTAATTATATTTGATTTATTTCGAGATTGCAGATTTTGGCCTAAGCAGAACTTTTACTGCTTAAAAAGATGAAAAATTGACAAATAAGGTTGGAACACCATACTATAGGGCTCCTGAGATCAGCGAAACCCAAAATACTAGTGAAAGAATTATTTACGACAATAGGTGTGATATATTTTCAGTAATCTTTTTTCTTAATTACATAGTTAGGAGTAATAATATTTGAATTGGCCTTACTAGAAAAATAATTTAACTCAAAGGAGATTAGAAAGTTAATAAATAATACTTTCTCCAATTTATATAAGGATATAATCAAAGACAAAATAGGTAAATTATCTTTTATACTACATTTAGATCAAGAAATTATAACATTATTAGATAAAATGATAGTATATGATCCAACTTAGCGGATAACATGGTAATAGTTAGGAGAATATTTTTAAATTTCACCACAGCTTTAAAGTGCACCATTCATTATTAATGTTTAACAATAATAAATAGCTCCCATATGTGCTTAATTTAATAATACAATTTAAAATTAAAAACAAACTTCTCCAATAATCTAGAAACAGAATTCAAACTAATAGCAATTTGCAGCATAAGAATATACTAAACCCATTTGTATTTCAGGTAATAAGATGCTCTAAAAGTAAAATTCACTTGACACCAACTATCAATCAGTTGAGTTTGAGAATAAAAATTTTGGAACAATAAATAACCAACAAAAATAATAGAATAATTTTTAATAATAGGCTTAACAAAATAATATATTTCCTATTGCAAAGCCACAAGCCTAATTAGAATAAGGAGTTAACAGCTAACAAATGTAATTAGGATTGAAAGTATAACAACAATAACCAATAATCTAAACAAATTCATTGCAAAAAATAAAATTTTATACAATAATATAACCTTCATAATTTCACAATCAAGCAAAAGACGATTAATCAGGAGAGCAAAAATAAAGGAAACTATCAACATGTATAAATAATAATGCTACATAATTCAATAATAATGCTACATAATTCAATAATAATGCTACATAATTCAATAACAATGCTACATAATTCAATAATAATGCCACATATATAAATAATAATGCTACATATATAAATAATAATGCTAATTATATAAATAATAATGCTACATAATGCAATAATAATGCTGGATAATTTCAGAATCCTTAAACATTTAAAAATCCTTCATAAAATCAAAATTATTCATAAATACCATAATTTTAAATTACAAATGCCTAAAATTAGAGAATGGTGATGACCAAACAAATAGGAAATTGAATTAGAATATAATATTATTAAGTTGATATAATTTATTTAGCTTGTCTACAATATTATATACATTATCAAGTAAATTTAATATAATCATATTGGATAACCTTTTTAAAGTTGATCTAATCATGCAATTCATAGTCCTCATCTTGAAATGTAATCTAATGATATTTTACAATATAACCTTCTCTAATTTTAAATAATTTCTCAATTAATTTAATCTTATCGGGTTTTGTAATTTTTGAAAACAATATTACTCCCAATTAGTATCATTAAAAAATGGATGGTGTCTAATTTGTTCAAGATTTATTCTTTTTTCATAATTTTTATTTGTCAATTTATTTATCAAATTTATTGCTTCCTATTTTAAATTATCAATTTACCTTGTTAAAATACTAAGGGTAACTAATTTGACATGTCAAAATACTCAAAATTATTTAATTGCTCGTATTTCCCTCAAATGGATGACATCCAGATAGAAGCTCGTATGCTAATATTCCAAATTAATAATAATCAGTCCATTTTCCAATTTTCCCCTCATCCAAATATTCAGGAGTCTTATAGTAAATTGATTAAAAGCCATAATTTTGTAGACCTATCAATTTAATGCTTCCTTTCGATGTCAACAGAACATTATTCAAACAGAGATTATTATATATAATATTCTAGCTATGTAAATACTCTAAAGCTATTAAAATTTGGCTTAGATAATATTTGGCCTAGCTAATAGTAATTCTTTCTAAAGCATTCAAAATCGAGTATAAACTGCCACCATTACAATGTTCAAAAGCCAAATATAAATACTTAGGAGTTTGAAAGGCATACTACAATTGAATGATGTATGGATTATCAACTGAAGTTAAAGTACGAACTTCGTGTATAGCTTCTGCAAGTAGACCATTTTATATTAATAACTATTTGTTGAGACATTTCAGAGCATAAGTCGATCCATCTAATTCACAATAAGCCTTAAAAACACAGCTTATTTAATCACTCATCAAAAGAGATTTTAAAACGAAATCTTTGAATTTAGGAATCTAATGAGTTAATTTAGGCATCAAAGATGATAAATCAGAGATCTTACGTCTTATCGGAGTCTAACTATCTCTTTTTGGTGCAATACTTGAAGGAGGAGAATCTAAGTCGATTTCTTCTAATTTAATGAATATATTGTTTAGTTACAATCCAGTAGCAACATTTTTAGTATAGGTTATACCTTTTTTAATCAGATTCGACCATCTTGTTAAATGATCTATTGTTGGTAAACCTATTATTAAATCATGATGACTCTCTCCTTGCAGTTAAATATAAAAGTATCCTTTCTTAAGTTTGAAACTTGAATAATTAGAGTTGACTTGAGAAATTTAAGATAGTTTTATTGATTCTCTGATTTCAGTCTGACATTTATCCTTATACCTTATTAGATGATCACCCAAAGGATTTATTACTAAATATCTTTGTTTAATAGTCCAAGGGCTTGAACCAGGTGAAAAATAGGTTCCCTTTGCAATAAATGGATTGATTTGAGAAAATAATTAGATTTCTGTTACTAAAGGCATTTTATTAATTAGACCCAATAAAAACAACTGCATTTTCAAGGAGGCTATATTGAACACATTGTTATTTTAACGATCTTGAATCAAAAAATCAATATCTTTTTCTTAGAGCAGTTAGATGACTTAAGTGTTCTCCATTCTACAAGCCAAATGGAGAGCGCTACTTTATTAGGTGACTAAATTCGGATTGATGCTTTACTAATTTAGCAAATACCTAGTTACTAAATAATTAATTGAACATTACTTTAGAGATGCTATTATCTAATGGATATCATCAAAGAAGTCCATCCATCTAAAGTTTCTTAATTGATATCTAAGCAATAAGGTAAATAGACTTTCAAAATCTCTAATTTACCAAAATAACAAATCCAATGCAATAAGGTCCAGCCTTCTTTATTGGTTTGATTAGCAATTTCTTTATTTAAATGCTTTTCAATATAATCTAATTTATTAGCTTTGATTCTATCTACAATTGTATCATACAAATTTATTTATTTATTATTATGTGATTCTTCAAAAAAATATGGACTAAAATCTACTTCTGAATGTTTTTTCTCCTTCAAAAGAGAAAAATTTAGATGAGGATCTAGAACTTTTATTGATAAAATATCTAGAGGTTCTATGTTTTCACAATCAAAACCGTGCACTATACGAGTCTTTAATATATATAAAGAAAACCTGGAAGCCATATTTAAAAAGAAATAAAGTAAACTGTTCACATTTAAGTTAAATTGTTTTACTAACTGATTAGATAAGACTATCAGTAGTTGTAAGTGTAATAAATATGCTTATTTATTCGATATGCATTTATGGGGCTAAGTATTATAATCTTAATTCCACATCCATTATGTTTTTATATAAAATAATAATAATAATTATATAATTAATTATCAATTTTATGCTTTCACAAGAACTTTAATACGTATAGAAGACCTTTTTAACAATGCCAAAGTGGGATTCACAGCTTAAAAAAATTCTCCATCCACTTAGAAATAAGGAGAGACATTCTTTTTAAACGAGATCAAAAAAGGTCCTTCTCCCTATGCAATTCTAACTGCATTTCCATGAATGAACCTAAAATATTAGAAAAGTATAGAACCTTTCATTCGCCATTCCTATCATGGAATTAAAGCCCACAAACTCAATTTTCCCGTCTCCAAAATCCTAAGGGACGAATTTATCTTAGAGTTTCTAAGTACCTTCTTTGACAGCTACTTTTCCTCTGCAATTATCCCAAATGGCTCCAGCTCCACCAGAATAAGATTGTATATTTAGGCATAACAATGTAACAGGATCTCCACTTAAAATAAACTTAGATTCATTAAGAGGCTATTGATCTTCTCTTGTATTAACACCCTTTGTCTTAAACAATACATCAGTAGAAACATTAGTAATTTATTCAATTGTTACATTTTACTCTTTTAAAATTTACATTCCTGAGATGACTTAATTGGTAGTAGGATTCTTGAGACACATTTTTTTAATACCCTCACAAAAGTAGACACACTTATTACAACAGGCAGATTAAGTTCTTTTTTTATCAAAACCAAATCCTATACGAGCATCTACTCCAATGGAAAAATAATTTGACATCCTTTTATCTAGTTTTTTCAAGACGTCTTTGTCTTTTTAAAGAACTTCTTTTTGAAATAGATCTCCTTATTTTTTAATTCTCTTAAATGATCCGGTTTGTGCATCCACTGTAATATTAACTTCCCAAAGATCGAAATCATGTATTTTTGCAGCAAGCCACTATGATATTTGCTGTTTAAAGTTTCTTAGACAAGCCCCCAAATCTCCATCTGTATCTCCGCCCCAACCTAATACCCTTGAAAAATCATTTCCTGTTCCAAAGGGTATTATGCCAATAGGACAATTAGAAAAGTCAACATTATGTTTCTGCATTTCATCAACTACCCACATCACAGTGCCATCACCACCACAAACAATTGCTCTAACTTAAACATTTCGTTATTGGAATTCTTTAATTCTTCTTAGATTCATCTCGACTTAGTCTCTTTAATGAAGACTTGTGAAATAAACACTGATAGGTTTTTGATTAAGATTAAACTTGATTGTTTCAGCATCTAATTAAAGATACACGCCTGCCCGATTACCACCAGAGGTCGGATTTACAAAAAGAAAAAAAGCAAATTCCATTTATAAATTAATAATATGTCAATAACATTATAAAGCGTATATACAAATAATGAGCAATGAACTTTTGTCAAATATTCAGAATAATATCGAAAGTATTCAGATTTGAAATAAGTAAACAATAACAAGATTTTATCGGTTAAACTATAAATCTATTTGGCTGATGGAAATTATGGACATTGATATTTTGCTCCCTAATAGAATTGAGGATCTATATCTATCTCTTATTACTTATATAGATAGTAATAATTCCAATCTTAATAGGTATTTTGCAACCTACTTTATAGAAATTAGTCTAAAATTATGAGAAGATAATTTGAAATTCATTCTAAAAATGTAAAAATTATATTTGGAAGTGAAAAATAATTCTCAATTGAAACTGATTTCAATATTAGAATCAATATTAAGACTATATTTCTTATAGCTTATAAATAAATACGATTCATAAAAGTCTAAAATGACATAATTTAGCCTATAGATAGAATGCTATTTATTATCATCAAAGTCCTTAAGAATATTAATCAGAACTAAACTTTCGTTTAATAAATCTGAGCCTGTTGATTTACCCTTTCTTATACTTTATTTAATTAAATTATAATAACTTGTCTACCAATATTTGTTGTAAATAACAAAATTTTGGAAAATTGTAAATTTATAAATTAGAATAATTCTTAATTAATTAAGTGAGGTGAAGGAACAATTTGAAATATTTCTTTAGTTTTATTATGAAAATCTCGATTAACACAATATAAGTATGTTCAAAATTATTGATTTTATTCAACATTGTGATTTCATAACTATTTACTAAAAAGCATATAAATATTAATTATTGTATCTTAAATAGCTTCTTTATTGTTTCACTTCCTTACTAATCAATTCATCATAAGAATATAATTTTAATCTTGTATAGTTTCATATTAAGGGCAATGAATGGCTTTGGAATTTTAAGAAAAAGTGATGAAAATTAAATGATATTTCAATATTGTATTTATTCAAATTTAGATTTATATTATAATAATCAAAGCCTTATTGGGGATAAGGATTTTATAATAGTAAAAGCAGGAAATGCCCCTTTTGTAATTATTACTTTCTTTATGGGACTACTGCATGGATCAACAACTCCATTTGGTATCCCTCTTTTTACAGTTCTTTATTCGCTTGTTCTTTTATCAGAATCAAACTGAGAAACCTTCATTTGTCTTGATTCTTAAATAGAATGATATAATTATGATAGTATCTCTTTTTGAGCTGCCAATTATAATTTAATTTCCTATATATTTTATTAGGTATCTGATTAATCGTCAACAATGGTAACTTAAATATTTTCACTCATTTAATCTGGCTTTATTTAAAATTATTTATCACAGAAACTCATCTAACCTGGTAAGGAATGTTGTGAAGGGCAAGCCACAAACTTTAATTAAGTCAAGGGTATTTATTTCTGAGATTATTTTTTCATCAATTCTTCGATGGATTCTTCATTCCTACTTAGCAATTTATCTTGCCTTTTCTGTACAGTATTTTATTATTTCTATTTTAAAATATTATTATCCTATTAATTCAGTTATTGCTTTTTTACAATAGAGTCTTCCTAATTTATTTTCTTCATATAAATCTATTCTTAAGGAAGCTGGTTAGAAATAATGGAGATTTGTTATGAACTTTAGGATTAATCTTATTTATTATCATCGAAAGATAAATGATCCTATTTTTTATATGTATTAATTTATTCAAATTTAGTTTATTAAAAGTGACCTTCCGGATCTACCTTTTCTTAGATGATAGCTTGTTATTTCTATGAATAAAATTATTCTTAAGATTAATATTAATTAAATGAGTTTTGTTAATTTGAATAGTTTCGTTAGCTAGATTGGTGTGATTGAGATCGTTGCTATTTATTTTCTCCAGAATATCCTGATCTACGTGATTGTCTCGATTGTCTTGATTAAGCATCCTATATTTTATCAATTTATAAATCATCTAATTCACTGTGAGAAACTGGTTATTTTTTAATGTTCAATGAATCACCTCTTGACTTTTTACCATCTTCTTGTTATTGACTTGATCTTCTGTTATGAAGTCTCTCATCTACATTCACATTTTCTAAACTTTAAATGTCATTAAATAGCATAGATTGTTATTGATTATTTGCTATTTATGATTATTCGAAATGAGGTGAATTATTATTATTATCAACAATAAATGAATCCTCTTATTTCTTTTTTAATTCACTCTTTAATACATCACTCACTGATTTAATAAATTCTTATTAGAAGCTTTCTGAATGTTAATAAGGGTAACTCTCATAGGAATCAATTGAGGCATTTGTTTTTTATCCTGGCCTACTTTAAGAAATTTAATTTTCATCCTCTAATTATTGTTGCTATGTTTTCAGCAGTTCTAGTTCTCTTTGTTATTGTTCTATTAATTATTGCATATATAGTTATTATTATTTGATCAACTTCATTTGAGGATCATCATTAATGTCAAATTTATCAAAGTCAGTTTAAGATTAGCTTCTTTTATGTTTGTGAAATTTCATTTAACTTGATTAATTAGATTCAACTTAATTAAAAATTGCTGTGTTTCTCATATCTAAAGCAAAGTCCTACTAACAAAAACTTAATTTTTTGCTGTGATCATTATCTTCCTATTATCTTATCTACTATTAAGTTTAATTCTATTATTAAGACTTTTAAATTTATGACAATTCTTCCTAAATTTCCTATTATTATAATTGCGATTATTTATTTTAATCCTATTATTCCCTGTGTGATTATTATGGAGTTATTTATTGAGAAGCAACTTAGTTTACAGATTTAATTGATATTCTTTAAGAAACTGGTTAGGATGATTGCTTAGATCTTTTTGAATCTCGTGGTTATGAAAATTCCTTAATCTATCTTGATTCCCATAATTATTACGATTATTAAGATGTATCCAAAGGAACCTATTCAGTTTATTAATTGCCCTCATTATGGAATTTATTTCCTTCGCTTTTTGTTTTATTTTAATCTTCAACGTTATGTTACTGTACTAATTTTTTAGAACCTTCAGAGGATTTACACTTTGATTATTAAGATGTTTTTGATTGTTATAGATGTTAAGGACTCTTGGCTTATTTTGATTGATAAGATTACCTAGATTAATCCATTAATGATTTCCTCGATTACTCAACAGATTATTCTTTTTGATATTGTTTAGATTTTCTAATAATTTGGTCAATATGATCCTTTGATGAGGATGGTTATTTTCCTTAAAACTACTCACTCCTTTAACTAGAATGTTCTTCACTATCCAATATTGCTTAATAAATTTGACTTTATTAGGACTAAACACTTTTATTCTAATCCAGAGGTTTTATGAATTGAGTTTGAAGCTTTTTTATTTCCTCCATATATGCTGATTGACTTAACTTACTAGATGATTTATTATGGGCTGGATCTTTCTATCTTGAACTTTAGATTAGATATTATTATGAATTAGAATGAGACTTTCTTGATTTTTATTGAGGTTTATTAGATTTTTTATGTTAAGTTTGTTCATTTTAATCTAGATCCCTCAATTATCCTTTATAATAATTTATTAACTAGATGCTGTTCCTTTCTGGAGATGAATGCTATTTACTTCCATGCAGGGCTTCTGAGATTCTCTTGTATGAATTTGTAGTAGAATTTTGAAAATACTTATAATTTGAGAGTTTGCTCTTTTGTTCAGGACTTGGAGAGGCATTAGTTTATTTTTAGATAATAGGTTCCTATCTTTGAAATTGGATTTCAAATAAGTCTTCAATCTCCTTAATATTATTAAGGGTTATAGGTTGTTTAATTTAGATGGGATTTTTATGATCACTATATGGAACTAGTATATGATAATAAAATTAATATACACATTAAATCTTTTGGTGCAATGCAGTTTTTAACTAATCCATTTTGGAAAATTTCAATCAATTCTCCAAATCTCCACAATCCTTTAGCCCATTATAATTCATCTTCCTTAAATAAGTAAATGCCTCTGCCATGATACTTACCATTTTCAAAGAAACCTTAATAGACTTCCCCTGATGGTTGCTGCAATCTGCCTAAACCATTCAGGACTCCGTCTTTAAATTGTCCACATTGAAATAATCCATTTTTAGGTACAAATACTCCTAATCCATTAGGTGCAACCTTATTTGCAGCATTCTTACCTGTTACACCATAGAATGTTCCCTCTAACCAATCAATAGTTTGCAGTGCAGTACTATTGTAACATTACACAGTCTTCAAGTTTGGAATTTCGCATGATTATTCTCTTTAACTAAGACCTCGAGTTGGTTTGCCATCTTGAAATGTAATTGTAACCTCTCCTTACTTGAAATGTGCAGTCATGTTTCCATTAGGTAAACCGTTGAGCCATTTGCCATAATACTTAGCTTGTCTTGTTTAAATGAGAGAATTTCCGTGTAATTTTGCTGAGTTAAATTATCCTTGGATGGTTGTTTTGGGAGGCAGGAAGAGTATTCCATTGCCATCTATTTAATCTGATTTCCATTCACCAAAATAGGCAGATCCATTCTCCCATAAATAAACTCCAATCCCTTGTTTATATCTGGATTGCAATGTTTATCCTTGGTAGATTCCATCTTTGAATTCAAGTTGGGTAATTATGCTATTGCGCATTACCGTTAATATTATAATATTAGGAGGGGAAAATAAAAAAAGAAATATTTAAATTTTGTAATGCCTCGCGAAATCATTACACTTCAAGTTGGATAATGTGGTAATCAAAGTAAGTGTGTAATCAAACAATTTTAGTTGGTATTGAGTTTTGGAAATAGTTAATCAAAGAGCATGGTATAAATAATGAGGGAATTTTGGAGGAATTTGCACTCTAAGGAGATGATAGGAAGGATGTGTTCTTCTATTAGGCAGATGATGAACATTACATACCAAGAGCCTTGTTGATAGACATGGAACCCAGAGTTATCAATTACATATAGACTTCTCAATTTTCCACTCTGTTCAATCCTGAGAATATATTCATTTCAAAAGATGGAGGTGGAGCAGGCAATAATTGGGCATGTGGTTATTCATAAGGAGAGAGATACTAGGAAGAGTTGATGGAAATGATAGATAGAGAGGCTGATGGATCAGACAGTTTGGAGGGATTTCTAATGCTTCATTCAATTGCTGGTGGTACAGGTTCAGGATCAGGATCATACATTCTGGAGAGATTAAATGATCGTTTTCCAAAGAAAATCATATAAACATACTCTGTGTTCCCTAATCAAAATGAGACTAGTGATGTCGTAGTTCAACCCTACAATTCTCTACTCACTCTTCGTAGACTAGCTTAGAATGCAGATGCTGTAGTTGTACTGGACAACACAGCCTTGAATAGAATAGCTGTTGACAGACTCAAAATACCCATTCCGACTGTTTCTCAGACCAATTCTTTGGTGGCTATGGTCATGGCTGCCTCCACCACTACCCTTAGATATCCTGGATATATGAATAATGATTTAGTTAGTATTTTGGCTGGATTAGTACCCACACCTAGATGTCACTTTTTGATGACTGGATATACTCCTTTGACTATTGATAGACATGTACATTTCATATAATAAATTTAGATTTCATCTGTAAGAAAAACTACAGTCTTGGATGTCATGCGAAGATTACTCTAGACTAAGAACATTATGGTTTCAACATCTACCAAGAATGGGAATTATATTTCGATTTTGAACATCATTCAAGGGGATGTCGATGCTACTCAAATCCATAAAAGTTTATAAAGAATTAGGGAGCGCAAACTGGCCAGTTTCATTGAATGGGGTCCCACTTCAATTCAAGTGGCTCTTTCGAAGAAGAGTCCTTACATCGAGACTTCTCATAAGGTTAGTGGACTGATGTTGGCCAATCACACGAGCATTCATTCAGTATAATATTTATGGAACTGTTTTAGCTTTTTGATAGAATATTAAAACAATATCACAAGTTGAGAAACAGGAATGCTTTCCTTGATTAATACAAAAAAGAACCTATGTTTAAGGATTCACTCGATGAATTCGACGAATCAAGAGAGTGTTTGGAATCCCTTATCAGTGAGTACAAGGCTGCTGAATCGAAGAACTACTTGGATTGGGGAAATGATGACAATATGAGAATCGAAGAGTAACAGTGAAAATATATGTTTTTATTAATTAAAATAAATGGGTAATTGTACTAAAATGTGTTATGTTAATGAAGGTGTACAATAGCTTACTAAAAAGGAAGAATTTGCAATAGAGACTGGAATCAAGAGTGACGATTTGATTATGCACTCAACTCAAGGGAAATCCAAGGAGAATAAGGATGATCAATATTCATAATGTTCGAATAAAAGTGCTCTTCCTTAAATAATTTCCATTGAAGACGAACTCTTGATCCAATCTACTTTGAATTCAAGTGTTCCTATGAAACTCAGAAAAATATTGATGGAAGATGATGCCTACTATGAGGGAGAGTGGATGTAAGGTAAACGTTGGGGATAGGGAGAATAGAGATGGCCAGATGGGTATGATTTATCTTAATTTGAGTTTCTAGGTCAACTTACATCGGGGAATGGAAGAATAACAAGGCGAACGGATATGGTGTTTTGACCCATTCCGATGGAGATGTCTACAAAGGAGAATGGCTCAATGATCAAGCTCATGGAAAGGGTGTCTACATAAACTACAACCAGGCTAAATATGAGGGTGACTGGGTCAAAGATAGACAAGAAGGATACGGTGTTGAGAGTTGGCCGGATGGGTCAATTTTTGAAGGTAGTTTATGGATACATATTCAGGATATTACAAACAAGGAAAGAAGGAAGGACTTGGGAAGTTGACTTATCCAGATGGCTCTAAGTATGAGGGCAATTTTCAGATGAATAATCTTCATGGATAGGGAAAATACATTTGGCCTGATGGACGAATTTATGAAGGCGATTGGGTCAATAATTAGATGAATGGGAAAGGCAAGATGAAATGGGAAGATGGTATGGAATACCAATTATCTAGGGAGATAGTATGAGGGCGAATATAGGGAAGGATAGAAACATGGGTTTGGAACCTTGATATGGGAGGATGGTCATAAATATGTGGGTTAATGGGTGATGGGAAAATAGGACGGGGTCGGTGAATATTTCTTTACTAATGGTACTTCTCGTAAGGGAGTGTGGAAAGAAGGCAAACGGATCTAATGGGAATGATTATTTAATAAATACTATGTAAAATCATAATCCTAATGATGAACTCAATTTAGAGAATGACAAGTTTTCTAAGTAGTTGGATCAAGATGGTAATAGGCCTTGATAATCTATCTAGAACGCATTTTGTTGTCATGCAACTTGTTTAAGTTTAATGATTACAAGAAGAGACAAGAACGTAGTTTGCTGGTGTCCACAAAGAATGTCATAAACCTGAAAGGCACATGTATCATCTTTATTTATGTACACTCCCTAGCCATCAAGAGGAAGATTCCATACACTAAGATAAAGGCTATTACATTGTCCTCCATCGGCACAGAATTCGTGATCCACGTTCCAGACGAGTACGACTACAGATATAGCAGCTACGACAAGTAATTAATGACTTAGATCATTATAGACGCAATAAAATCGTGTCCAAGATCTTAGAAGGCTATTGTCTCTTCACCAAAGCCAAACTAGCAATGTATTATAATCATATATATTTTGTTTAGTTATTTTAAAGAGGATGTATCCTTATACAACTATGCCACTACCAAAAGTGATAAGAAGAAGCATGTCTCCAAGATCCCCTCAGAATAACCTTAATATATGGACAATGAGATTTTTGCTTAAATCCTAGAGGGAGAGACCAAGGAAAAAGATGATGCCAGGAAGAAAACACAAACCTTATGGGCTAGAGAGAAAGGCAAGGAAGTTACTTTGGATGACTTCTCAATCCTGAAAGTATTAGGTAGAGGAGCATTTGGGCAAGTGATGTTGGTCGAGAAAAAAGACACTGGAGAATGGTTTGCTATGAAGACTATCAGAAAAGAAGATATCATAGAGAAGGACCAACTTGAACACACTAAAACAGAAAAAATGATATTGGAACATGTCAATCATCCATTTTTGGTCAATTTGGCTTATGCATTCCAAACTCCATAGAAATTGTTTTTCATTATGCAATTCATGAAAGGAGGGGAATTGTTTTAACATTTGAGAATGGCAAGAAAATTCGATGAAAAAAGAGCTAAATTTTATGTGGCAGAATTATTGTTGGGATTAGGACATCTACATAGCAAAGATATTGTTTATCGTGATCTTAAATTGGAAAACATCTTAATGGATGATGTAGGCAATGTATTCTTAACTGATTTCGGAATGGCCAAAATTGTACGTAAAAATGAATTGGCTATGACATTCTGTGGAACTCCTGAATATCTTTGTCCAGAAGTCATTCTAGGATACGGTTGTGATAAAACAGCTGATTGGTGGAGTTTAGGCATCCTTACGTATGAAATGATGTATGGTTTACCTCCCTTTTACAATAAAAATTAAACCATTATGTTCAAATTGATTAAGGAAGCTGAATTAAGGTTCCCTGAAAGACCAGAAGTCAGTAAAGAAGCTAAAGATTTCATCTCAAGAGTAAATCTATATACTATTAAAAGTTACTTGTAAGAGATCGATTTGCGAGACTAGGAGCCAAGGGAGATTTCTAAGAGTTGATAGCACATCCTTGGTTCAAAGATATCAATTGGGAATAGCTGATTCAAAAAAAAGTACCCACTCCTTACAAACCAAGAGTTTAGGGAGAGTAGTGGTTGGATGGTTTCGATAAAGATTTCACTAGTGAAGGTACTATTATTATTGATATTCTAATGTAGATCCAAATAAGGTAATTGATGACGATCACTAGAAACCATAAAAAGATTACGATTAACAATTCAAAGATTTCTGAAATATATTCACATATGGATTAAATCATTTATTAATACCTTTATAAAACCCTATTTAATTTATAATTATGTTATTAGAACTGATTACTCAAAAGCATAAAAAATATAAATAAATATCAATATAATCACAAAAAAGCTTAGATTACCTAATTGTATAATTATTGGAATATACAGTTCCTGAACTTATAGAATAATTTCCTAATTAATTCTAATCTATCAATTCCCTTCCATTTAAATACAATCTGCAAGTGTTCTCTTTTGCAGCCTACAATATGATTTACTTGATTTCTAGTATTGTGGAAGTGCTTTAAGTTGAAATCTCAAAATCCTATGGCAATTTGCTACTTCGAACTCTCACCTAGATGGTTATCTAAATTACCTTCAAAATGGAAGTTTCGAAATTCAGTTCAAATTTGTTATTGCTGCAAAAGGTAGGCTCATTAATTACGAATATTGGGACTTGAAATATATGCTCTTATTTATATAGAAATTATACTATCTTAAACCAACACTTAAATGGAATTCCCAATCATTTTTAAATTGGCTTCCCCCAGAATTTAAAGAACCAAGGCTATAAAATGGCATGACTACTTTTGATACATTCATCATCGCACAAAATTGCTTTCTTGATAATTGCCCATTCAGAACAATCTTTACGGCTATCTGGATATAATTTGTAACTCTACCCCAAAACTATTTTTACATTAAATCCCATTCAATTCTGGATAATTTTGTTGTATATTGATTGGTTTTTTTGATTCCTCTTCCAATGAACTTATTTGGAATGAGTGTGAAATTATTTGCATATACATGATTAACATTCCTAGGATTATTAATATCTAATAACAGAGCAATATTCTATTGTTTTATCTTCAAAACATACCTCCTCTTTCTCATTCAAGGTCTAACTCTTATTAGAACAAACACCCATTTTAATTATATTTATACATATATATATATGTTTTTTTCAAAAGTCTGCATCATCGCCATCATCATCTAAATTCTCAATTCCATCCTCCTCATCTTCTTCCTCTTCTTCTTCATCTCCACCCTCACTTAGATCCTCTAAATCCTCTACTTCTCCATCCTCATCCATTTGCTATTTATTAAATCCTCCATGTTATTATCTCATAAATTCATTGTTTCGTTTCTCTTGATTGCTCGATTGCAACCTAGAGTCACCTCCCAATTATTCTAACTAATCCTCATTTCCATCATCATCTCCACCTCTCAACTCTTTTATATATGCATCCTAAAAGTTTATCCTCATTCCCTCTAATATTTAGTTCTTCTTCTTCTATTCCATTTTTTCTTATTTATTTTGAGCGTCCAAAACATGTTCTAAATATACAAGATTTCTGAATTTCTCAACATAAATCTAACATATATCTATATTCAATTTACTTAGTATAACTTTTCCAATTCATATTCCTATCTATCATATTCTTCTTAATAAGCAGGCTTGACACTAGTCATTCCCTTTAACCTTTTTTCTGCCTATTCTAGTTCCTTTGTCTTTCTCTTGATTTTTTCATCAATCTGCTTTTGATCCCTTTCTAAACCACTTACATATTTAGACATATCTAGTATGTTCTAATCTTATTATTTCAACATCGTTTCAATGCACTTTTAAATTTAAGATTGCTCTGACTGGGAGTTCCCACCTCTAGACACATTTTACAGGAATTATAATGCTTTTTCCTATGTATAGAATTTGAATCAATACTCTTGCAACTCTCACCTCATCCTCCTTCCCTAATTAATCATATAACCTTGTGGCTAAGTCAGTAATCTCTTATGCCAACACCTTATGACTCTTAATATTACTTAATTTAGAGGGGAGAGACTTGGATAAATCAGATTAATATGTTTACGAAATCATGCACTTCATCCTCCTCAGCAGGAGAAGTTATTTATGATTTATATAAAAAAGTTGAAATTTTCAAAATTTCTTGAACTGCATAAACATCTGCCATATATAATCTCTTTGGATTTATCTTCAGCCTAGCCTTACTAACAAAAAGAGTAGTAATCTGTTTTATAAATTCAACTCGATGTCGCTATTTTTAATTTTCACTCTATACTTCCTCATCAATATTGTCTGATATGTCCGTATTCGGGTCATACTTCAAAGCTAGCCAATATAAGATATCAGCAACCAATTCAAAGTTAGGCCTTCTGAAGTTTTCCATTGAAATAATTCTATGATACCCCAAAGCCCTCATTTATTCGCAGAAGTTACGAAGTTCTCGATATGACATTTTATAATATAAATATTTGAATTATAACATTTTTAGCTTTAGTGTCACTTACAGTGAGGAGAATCAAATTTATTGTATTACTTATGTCCATATACTTTTTAATTCTCCTTCTCAACTTATAAAAAGACAATTTTAAGTTTTTACCCTTGTAATTCATCTTAATCATTTACCATATTTTTTTAGTATTTTGAAACTTTATTTCTTCTTCTAAACCACCTAGATCTATACAAATCTCTTATTTTACTCTTTCAGCGACTTCATCGTTAGCCTAATTATGTAAAGGTGTGATCAAATAAACCATTAAAATTTATAATTTGGATTTGATAATTATTCAGAAGATATGCCTCAGTGGGGACTATATTCTTGGGATTTTAATCCAGTATAATATTTATTTCAAAATTGATTAAATTTCCAATAAAATAATCTTGTGAATTAAAGTGCTTAATATTATTCACAAATTTTTTTATTTTGGTTTATATTCTTTACACTTTTTAATTCTGAATTCATTTTTCATTTGATCTTCCAACCAATTCATTATTAATGTTCATAGATGAAATTGATGACTTATAATTTAAAATAATTTTATACATCTAGACAATAGTTTCCTCAATTAACAAGGGAATGGCATATGTTTCCTCAACTATAAATGTATATCATCAATATTTTAATAAATCTACCTAGGCTATTTAATTTTATAATCTTATCAACTAATGTAAATTAGATATACAAAAGTAATAATTTTGCATAAATATTTGCTTTTAAAACTTTACTTATAATTGTAATTTGCTAGAGATTATCCTTAAAATATATTTTTTATATATTTTTAGAATTAGAATGTAATTTTAATTCTGATTTTCAGTTTGCTTCATTCAATGAGTTGTTATTATAAAATTAATTATTATAAATACATGAGTAATGATTGTTTTTAGATAAAAACTAAATTGAATTTGGCTGAACATGATTGTTAGTTTCAAAAAGATCTCTCTTGATTAAAGTTATATACAAAAATGAAATTAGACAATCAACTTAATATTATAAAAATATTATTAATTATTTATTTTGAAATTGGCTCACTAGATAGCAGATCTATTTTCTTAACTTTATTTAAGTCAATCCACATTAAGCAAGTAAATTGAATAAATATTGTTAATAATTTAATAATAAGAACAATGAATCTTTTTTTGATTTCCATATTCATTTGATTATTAATATTATTGAATAAGATCATATTGCATGATTTATCAAATGAATAGTGGGAAGTTTTGGAATAACTAAAATATTCCTTAATTTGATCATAATGAGACTTAGAAAGTTTTAATCTCAACTTTCTACAAATTTGGTTAACGATTAGGTCAGAAATGTTTTCGCCAGTATATTCTAATTCGGCAATATTTGTTATATTCAGATGTTGGCAATTTTAAACACATTAAGGGAAGTGTTAAATTGGATGGTGTCTATGCATCATTTTAAATATCTAATTCAGAAAATCAGATATATCTTAAAAATAATGGATTTCAAATTGTTTTATGTACAGAGGATACAAATCAATACCAGTTATGGGCGAAACTCTTATCTAATTGTTGTATACTCACTACATTTAATGAGGATATGATCTTGGGAAAATTGATAGGAAATGGAAGCTTTTCAACAGTATTTATGCATATTAATGAGGTATATGAGGGAAGAAATAAGGAAGGCCATATATTTGCAATTAAAGCAATACCTAAAACGAAATCCAAATTATCAACAATAAACAAGTAATATGAAGAGCAATTGTTAAGTGAAATTTCAAGTTTAAGAGAGTTGGACCATGTAAACATTTTAAAGCTTCATCGAGTTTATGAGACAGCAGAAAAATTATATTTAGTTACTGAATTTATTCATGGTTATGAATTAATCTCAAAAGCTGCCAGCAAACCCATCTTTCAAGGATCTGAGTTGAAATGCTTCATTCACCAAATGCTCTTGGCAATTAAGGATATGCATCAACACAACATCATGCATAGAGATATTAAGCCATAGAATATCATGTTAAAAAATGGCCAGCTATCTTAGCCGTGTCTTATCGACTTCGGGTTGGCTGTAAGTACTAAGAAAAAAGGATTTCCATTTCCATCCTGTGGATCTCCTGGGTATAATTCAGTTAAATTTTCTTAGTTATTCAGCCCCAGAAATAATAAGATTTGATGAAACCAAAAAAGAATATGGTGGATAGTGTGATATATTCAGTTTTGGTGTAACATTAGTTGTTATGTATTTCTTTGTTCTTATATAAGGCTCTATGGATACAACCCATTTAAGGCGTAGGATTAAAAATAAACAATCAAGAGGAATGCTGAAGCATATTTTGAATTCCCTAGTAACATTTATCCACAAGAATGTATGAAGTTAAATAAGCAATATTTAGTAGAACATTTGATTTTGTAGATGACAAAAAAGTATCCAAAAGATAGAATCACAGCGGAGTAGGCTCTAAGCCATCCTTTCTTTTAGATTAAACTTAATCAAACAATTCAACTACCCAAGGCTATTTTGTCAAAATAGTAGTATGAAATGAACAAAAACTTCAATAATATAAATGTACATGCTAGTTTAGAAATGGACAGAGAGTTCGGATTGAATTATGCCATTCAACTCTGTAGTTGTTCTCCTTAAGATAATAAAAATCGAACTTGCACTTTATCAAGCAATCCAAATAAATTACAATAAATTGATGAATTTCAATTAGACTGTGTTGAAGATTCAATTGATAGTAATCATATAGATAAGCTTAAGATGAGTCAAAGGCATTTTTGTAAATAAAAGTCATAAATCAACAGTCAATTTTGATAAAACCTCATTATTTGTTAACTGCATAATACTATAATAACAGACATAATTAATTATATTTATAAATGAATTAACAAAGGGATCTTCTAACAATGCCTCTCGTGTTTAATGTCATCAATTTAAAAGAAAAGGATCCAACCATCTTTTCTTTAACAATTGAAGGCAAATTAACACTCTTACACAAATTAATAAATTCTGTTGATAATGTTAAACAAGTTGTTAATTCAAAAGATTAAGAAGGTAAAACTGCTTTATTTTATGCTTGGTAATTTTGATATTGATTTCTAGCTATTTTAACTTCCAAAATATTGTGATGTTTCTATTGATGAAAGGAGCCGATCCATTTATCATATCGACATCTGGTCACAATGTCTTTTACATTTGTGCTTATAGAGGACACATTGAATGCCTTTAGATCATATATTAAATGCTCAGGCACAATTTGAATATGAGTTCTATGGAAGAACTCAAACTTACGATGAAAAAGTATAGATTCAAAAAAACAGATTCTCATCATGGAGAATTAACATGCTCAGATAAGCATTTAAAATAAGTACAATAGAGATTTTAGGCATTTCAAACTGAGGTTCACGATCAATATTAAAAATATTTGGATTAGAATTTATTGCATTTGAATAAAGCTATCTATACAAATGATTAATACTAAAGAAACCCAATTCATTATGCTAGTCTTTCAAAATACACTAAATGTATATAATGCACCAAGTATTTAACTTTGTATGGATTAAAAATATAAGGCTGGGAATTCTTTTATGACATGTTTATGGAAGTACAACTATTGGAGTCATCTTCAGACAAAAAAATAGATCCCAGATAATATATGCATTATAATGAATTGGCATCCAATTTTATTGAAAAGTACTTTCTTGAATAACAACAATACAATTTCATGAAAAAAATAAAGAGTCTATAAAAGGATTTAGCAAATTAATAAGATAGTGATGGTTATGTATGAAATTATAATTAATTACAGACTCCTATGCATATTGCATCATTCGCTGGAGATTTTGCAGCAATTCAATTCCTTTTATCAATAGGAGGAGACCCAAAAATTAAATGCAGAAAAAAGCTATTAGATGTATTGGAGTATGCTTCAAATGATTCTGTAAGGAAATATTTGATGGATCTCAAAAATGCTGCTAAAGAAGGAGATGAAAAGAGCTTCACATTGTTAGTGAATTGCGGACAGAAGGTGAATGGAAAAGCCACCATCTATGGCATAGCTCCAGTTCATAATGCAATTGAACACACTCATAAAGTCTAAAATAAGGCGATGTTAGATAAGGTACTGGAAATGGAGGCAGATGTGAATGTTATCGACACAAATGGATGGACTCCCTTGCATCATGCTGCTTTTTATGGGGAATTGGATGCTATCAATACATTATATGAAAGAGGAGCCACTTAAACCATCTTCTCAAATAAGGGATACTATCCTTTGCATGCAGCAGCTATTAATAATTAAGCAAAGGCAGTCAAATTGTTGATAGAATTGAGCAAGAAATAAAAAGATAAAAGCATAAGTAGAAAAGATACAGTTTAATTTGATAGAGGAGGTCATACTGATTGTTAAGATGACTAATTATGTACTCCAATGCATTTGGCAGCAAAGAAAGGATTTGCAGAGGTTGTAAAAGTATTGTTTGAAAATGGAGGCAATATTTATGCATTAGACAATAGAGATTGGACTCCCCTCCATTATGCTTCATTTAATATGCACAAAAATGTAGTTCATATGTTGAGTAGATATGATTCTGATGAAGATAAATATAGTTCAATGCGTACTACAAAAGGGTAAACTGCTGACCAGATTATGACTAATTCTGATGTGAAATTTGCATTCAAAAGTAGAGCATTAATAATAATAAGGTAGCATTGTGGGGAGCGGCAAGAGATGGTGATCTAGATACTGTAAGGAAGCTTGTAACATTGAAACATGATATCAATGAATAGAGTTATGTTAACTAATTTACACCTCTGATTTTGGCAACAAGAGGGAATCATTTCCTTGTTGTGAAGTACCTTCTCTCTTAGAAAGTTGATACAACTCTAAAAGATAAATGTAAATGTATAATATATGTAGATGGTAACACCGCCTTGGACTATGCAGTGAAGCAGTAGAATTTAAAGTTAAGGGAGTTATTACAAGGATAATGAAATATAAATAATCTAATATTAATTCAAATTACTATAATATAGAATACAATTTTTATTTTTATGAAAATTTAAATTATATTAACATATCAATAAGTGTTGACTATTGATGTTTTTACGTCTAATAGATTTAAATTAATTAAATAGGAAGATACGGTAGTAATTTGAAAAGGGTGCAAATAATTTGGAGAGAAAGGTTGGATTGATTTTCTTTGGATTTGACCCTTACATTATCTCTTAATTTTAAGTAATCTGACTACTTATTGAGAAATAATTCAAGGACAAAAAGTAATATGGCAAAAACAATTATATAGTTCGTTTAACATTTTATTATATATATAATATTATCCAATTGGAGTCAGATCAGCCTAGAAGATTTTTTCTTTGTAAGAGCCAAAGAGTTTGGTTTAGAAGATTAGATTTTCAGGTTGAAAGCCGCTTTGCTATTTGATTTTAGATGAAAAATTTATTTTATATATGAATATCCAAGCATTTTTGGTTCTAATAGTACTGCTAGCAATTGGAGCGAAGACCCAATCTGTTTCCACTGATGAAAAGTGCACATGTTCAACTGTTAAATCGAAATTTGACTGTGTCGCGTTAGGGTGCACTTTCACTCCATCCACAACAACAACAGCTGCAACATGTACATCAACACCGACTGCTCTTGCTGTTGTAAGTGTGTATTGTGGTTCCATCTCAACACCAGTCACGAACTGTCCTAAAACTAAGGGATGTGCTTTCTATGATGGGAAATGCCAACATTTTAGTGGATGTTAAGCCTTTCTTAAAACAACAACTAAAGATTGTTAAGCAATCTCAACCTATTGTATATCCGATGGGGTTTCTTGTATTGACCCTAAACCTTGTGAAAGCTATCAAACTAAGGAGATATGTAATACTAATGTTAGTGACACCTCTACTTAACTTTGTATTTGGGATGAAACTGCCACTCCAAAATGCAGGGCACCGAAGTGTAGCGAGGCACCCCAGACACTGAAAACAGACATCGAATGTAATTTATTCAAGGTGGGGTGTGTTACAATAGGATTGGGATGTGCAGATTAAAAGTCTTAGTGTTCCTTATACAAATCCGATTGTTATAACATGATAGGATCTGATGGTATTTGCGGGACAGCTTCAGATGGAACATGCACTCTAAGAAGCTGTGATTCAGCTCCTTAAGAATATACAACAGATGATTAATGCAATTCCTATGTGTAGGGATGCATCACAAATGGATCTGGATGCTCTAGCAGTCCTTTGCCATCGTGTGCAGATTATAAAATTGATGCAGCTACATGTTTGAAGAGAAAAGGAGTCGATGGAAATTGTGTTGGAACATCTTAGAATGTATGCCAAGTAAGAACTTGTGACAATGCTCCAGCCGAATTTTTCTCAGCTATTTTATGCAATTAATATTTATCAGGTTGTAAGTATAATGGAATCAATTGTGTAAGTGATCTCCAGAATTGTTCTGCTTACACAGGAACAAAGGATACATGTGCTAAATACATCGGTTTAACAGGATAATGTTGGGGAGCAGCCACAAATGACTCCACTTCTAATTGTAGAAATAAGATGTGTTCAGATGGAGAGACAAGTTACAATACAGACAAGTTATGCTCAGATTTCTTACCCAATTGTTATACCAATGGGTAGGGATGTACAGCAGAGAAGAAAGCCTGTTCAACATATTCTGGTACTACTACAACTTGTAGTAAATGGATAGGATCTGATGGGAAATGTGAAGGAACTGATGCAACTACTGATAAACCATGTTAGGCTAAATTGTGTGTGAATGCCAAAGGAGATAATTATGCGACAAATGATAATTGCAAAGCTTATTAATTTGGTTGTTTGTCTAATGGTAGTGGTTGTGTTCAAAGTGACACTTGTTTGGCTACTATGAAATAGGTGACATGCACTGGTACCACTGACTGTTTATGGGGCGGTGTTTGTGTTGAAAATGAATGTTCTAAATTCACTTCAGTCAGTATGTGTAGCAACAATCTAGCAAAAGGAAGACCTTGTATTTGGAATGGTACTGTGTGCAGAGAGAAACTGTGTAGCGAAGCTGATAAGGCCACAAATACATCAGATGAATTGTGTGGCAAGTTTATGGCTAGATGTGTTTATTCAGGTGATGGTTGCTAAGATACTAATGTTGATTGCACTTACTTCAAAGGAGATAAGACTACTTGTCCTAATTTCGTAGCCAATTCATAGAAATGTTGGTCTACTAGTGAGACTAAGGCAGCTTGTTCGATTAGATTATGTACTCATAATACAACTGCCACTTCTGATTCTGATTGCTCTACTTTTCTTCCTGGATGTGTTACTAAAGGTACTGGATGTATAAGTGCTTCTGAGCCCTGTTCTGCTTATGTTGGCACTATTGATTAATGCAAATAATTCAAAGGCGAAAAAGGAACCAAAAAGTGCTATAAGGAGGATGCTAATTAGTAATGTAGAAATGTTAAATGCATTGACAATTTAACTGCTACAACTGATGGTGAATGTGATTCCCATTTAACAGGATGTTTGACAAAAGGAACTGGATGTGTTCCTCCTGATACTCCATGTAGTTAATATCCTGGAAGTTCATCAGATGTTTGTTCTAAGTTTACTGGTAATGGAGTTGCATGTTGGTGGGAAAGTGGCAGCAATTGTGTGGATAAGAAATGTTCTCACAAAACAACAGCCTCAGGAAGTGATGATTGCTCATCTTTTCTCAAAGGTTGTGTCTATAATGGAACTGGATGTTAAGATAAATCTTTAGCATGTAGTACATTTTCAGGAAATGAAACAACTTGTTCTCAATACTTCGGAAATGGATTACAATGTACAAGAAGGAATGCATGTATCGAAAGTGATTGCACCGAAAAAACAGATGCCACATCCCATTAAGATTGTCTTGATTACGCTCCCAGTTGCAGATATAGTGGTGTTAATAACTCCTGTATAAATGTGGCAGATAATTGTAGTTCTTATACTACTATGACTGCAGAACTATGCAATTCAACTACTAATTCAAGTGGTGTAAAATGCTATTATGCAAATTCAGCTTGTGCAAACAGAACCTGTGACTTATTGGCTGCTGCTAATTCTCAAACAGACTGTGATTCATACTTAGCAGGATGCGTGTGGACAGGTACAAAATGCACCAGCAAAGTTTCTGTTTGTACCAGTTATACAAACTTTACATAAGGTGCTTGTCAGGTAGCAAAGGATTCATCAAATAATCTTTGTTGGAAATCTACATCAGGCACAGGTACTTGTGAGGCGAGAGCATGTTCTCAAGTTTCAAAGACTAATGCTACAGATTGTTACAATCATCTCAGTACATGCACTTCAAATGGTACCACTTGTGTTAGCAAATAAGCCCTTTGCACATCATACACAACTACTTTCACTTAGACAGCTTGTAAGGAAGCCAAAACTACAGGAGGTGCTTTATGTTGGATGGAAACAGCTGGGCCAGGATCTTGTATAGCTAGATCATGTGATCAAACAATTAGTAATCCTAGTGTAACTGTTTGTGCAGCTCACATTCCAAATTCATGCACATTTAATGGAACAAACTGTATTGCAATTCAAAGTTGTACAGGTTACACTGGTCTTACTATTGCTTAATGTCAATAAATAGTTGGAACCAGTGGATATCCTTGCCAGAAAACAAGTTCCATTTTAACTGATAGTTGTATTGAGAGAACTTGCTCTGATGTAACATTACCAAAGAAACTTAGCGATTGCACAGGTTATTTATCGAAATGCACATTTGATGGTACAATCTGTAAGTTACTCTAATCTACTTGTGATCAGTATATAGATTTTACTTAAGCTGCCTGTTAGGCTACTGTTACAACAACTGGAGAGAAATGTTGGAAGTAATTTGATGAAGTAGGAAAATGCGAAGTGAGGACATGTACCAATGCTCCAACTTAAACTTCTGAAACCGCCTGTAGATCACATTTGAGTACCTGCACATTTAATGGCAGTGGGTGTGTTGATTAATAAACTACATGTTAAGGATACACGGACACAAATGCTTTGAATTGTTAAAAATTATCAGCCTTCAATGCTGGGGTAACAACTCCATGTTGGTTGGTTTCTGGTACTGGTTCATGCATTGATAAATAATGTGTGCATAATACAAGTGCAACAACTGATTAAGAGTGTGAGTCTTTCCTTTCTGGCTGTGTTACAACTGGCAAGGGATGTACAAATAATACTACTTTATGTTCACAATTGAGTGGAACCCAAGATGGATGTGCTGCTTTGATTGGTAATCTTAAGCGATGTAAGGGAGCATCTGATTAAGCAGGTGAATGTAGTATTAAATATTGTCAAGATAATTCAACTGCTACTAGTGATACTTAATGTACTTCATACATGGCAGGTTGTTTAACAAGAGGTAAGGGTTGTATTGCATCCACAGAGCCTTGCACTGCATACAAGGGAACTTAAGCTTAATGCAATAACTTTAAGGGTGCTGGCAGAACTTGCACTAATACAAGTCAAGCAACTAGTTCTACTTCATGTATTGAGCGTAAATGTAGTGATAATACGACAGCCACTTCGGACTCAGAATGCTCTACTTTCTAAGTTGGATGTATTACAAATGGCAAGGGATGCACATCATTAACATCTTAATGTACTTCATTTATTGGAACCTAATCATCATGTTCATCTTTTGTTGGAAATTCTGGAAAATAGAAATGTTATGGTACATAAGTTTCAACTCCTTCAGCTTGTGTAATAAGAGTTTGTACTCACAATACAACAGCTACAACTGATAGTGAATGCGAATCATTCTTGACTGGTTGTATTACAAATGGCAAGGGATGTGTGTTACCTTAAGCCTGTTCTGCATTTTAAGGAACACGAATATCTTGTTAAACATTTTCTGCATCTGATAAACCATGCAAAGGAGTGAGTTCAACAATTGTGAGTGCATGCAAAGCTGCCACTTGTTAAGATGCTCCAAATAGTTATGATACAGATGAGTAATGTGCAAAATTCAAAACAGGTTGTGTTACAAATGGGTTTGGATGTGTCAGTTCATTACTTTGTAAAAACTATTAATCAGAAAAGTCATGCTCAGCAAATTCATCTTGTTCTTTCATTAGTTCATGTAGAAGTGTTGCTTTAACTGCTTGTACTTTATTTACAGATGCCTCAACTTGTGTATCTACTCCAGTGAAAACCTAGATTGGAAAATGCGCTTGGGATACCACCACGAATGGATGTAGAAATTGGTAATGTAGTGATGCTCCATTGAGTGTCAACACTCATGCTGGATGTCAAGCTCTCAATTCTAGCTGTACTACAAGGGGAAGTGGTTGTGTCACTAAGGCTCAATGTAGTGAATATTTGGATCAATCCATTTGTCTATCAGCCAAGTCAATTCTGGATGACACTTGTGTTTGGGATACAACTACAACTACGAATGTTTGTAGGAAACGAAATTGTGCCGATGCTCCAAAAGCATTGAAGACTGATGAAGGATGTAATACATATTTACCTGGATGTTTAACTACTGGTTATGGATGTGCTGCTCCGCCTTTTGATTGCACTGCCAACATTACACAAACAAGATGTCTAGTAGATTCTGCTGGTAATCCTTGCATCTGGCTCAACACTTCAAATAAATGTTAAAATTACACTAAATGCACTGACATCCAAAAAACCACCTTCTAAGAATGTCAAGCCTATTCCTTGTTCTGCACCTCTGATGGAATTAATTGTGTGCCATTTAGTCTTTGCGCTTATTACACTACATCCAATAGTTGTTTATAAGGAACTGATGGTCTATGCGGCTGGTAAGCAGACACCAATAAATGTGTTAAATTTAATTCATGTGAACAATTTGTCTCCTCACTCACTACCTAATGTTCCACATTTAATTCCAATTGCATAAGCAATGGTAAAGCCTGCATAACAAAACTCAAATGCAGTGAATATACAGTCGAAATGGCATGTCAATCAGGAGGAACTGATGGATTTTGTAAATGGGAAAACAGCAAATGCAGAGTCAGACAATGTTCTGATGCCACCGAAGACACAACTGTGTTTGAATCATGTTGGAAGTTCAGTGCAGAGAAAGTATGTACTACAAATGGTTCTAAATGTATTGACATTACCAATTGCAGTACTTATGGCAAAACCTATTGCAAATTAGGAACAGATGGATATTGTACTTATGATGATACCAATTCATTATGTAGAACTATGATATGCTCGGATAACAAAGACACAACCAGTGCCGTATGTTTAAAGAAAGTAGGTCTTAAATGTGTCTCTGATGGAACCAAATGCATCGATATTGCTAAGTGTTCAGCCTATTCCGACAAAGAAGCCTGCAATGGAGGTGGCACCGATGGAGTCTGTGTTTTCTCCCCATCCCAAAATAACCCTTTAGTCGGAATCTGCAAATTGATGACTTCCTGTTAAAGTGCTGCTCAAGATCAAATTGCTTGCTCGAAAGCACCTTGCATTTTCAGTAATAACGCTTGTGGACCTTAAACTTGTGCTTCTTAATAGCAAGGTACCAAGTGTAATTCCATTCAATCATTTGATAAGAAAACTATCACTGTTTGCGTTCCTGATGGAAATGGTGGATGTTCATAAGGAGATGCCTCATCACTTTCTTCAAGCTTATGCTTTGAATTGAGTGGCAGAACATATTCTTGGAACCCATCTAAGAGTAAATGTGAAAAATGTGCTAAGACCACCAACAACAATTCCACAGATACTCCTGATGACGGCAGTGAAGAAGAATAAACAACACATGCGGTCTCTTTAACAACAGTGTTCCTTGTCTTATTTAGCTTTATTTCAGTTTGAGATCTTTGTTTTTCATTGATTAAAATATTCAATATAGTTTATTTAATTTAAGTATTTTTAAGTCTCTATTCAAAATTAATCAATATTAATACATATTTATGAATTCCATTTATTCTATTCTCTCTTCCTAATTAAGTTAATAATACAGTTATAAACTAATCCAAACACTATCTGATTTTATTAATTTTTAACAATTGAATTACATATGCATTATTAAATATAATCATAAACAAAATTTAATATTGATTTAAGATGTCATATATAAATAAATTGCTTGTTGCAAATAGAGGTGAAATTGCATGCAGAGTAATGAGGACAGCCAAGAAAATGGGCATCAAAACTGTCGCTGTGTATAGTGATATTGACAAAAATACATTGTTTGTTGAAATGGCTGATGAAGCCTACAACATAGGTCCTCCTCAAGCTTGTAATTTATGAGTTAATATTGCTTAGTGCAATCATACTTAAGGAGTGATAAAATCATTGATGTTGCATTAAGCACAAAGAGTCAAGCCATTCATCCAGGCTTTGGATTTCTTTCAGAAAATGCACAATTTTCCGAGGATTGTCAAAAAAATGATATTGTAATATATATCTTAAATCGTCCAAGATATTTGTTGGTCCAGGAGCTGATGCTATAAGAAAGATGGGATCCAAGAGCGAATCTAAAATTATAATGACAAATGCCTAAGTGCCAGTTGTCCCAGGATATCACGGTGAAAATCAAGATCCTAATTTGTAATCAATTGACTCTTACTAGGTTAGTCTACTTCAAGAGGCTGAGAAAATCGGGTTCCCAGTTTTGATCAAGGCTGTTATGGGTGGAGGAGGAAAAGGAATGAGAATTGTCAGATAAAAATCTGAATTTTTAGAAGCATTAGAAGGAGCCAAACGAGAAGCCTTAAAGAGTTTCAAAGACGAAAGAGTGCTTGTTGAAAAATACATTGAAAAACCTAGACACATTGAGGTTCAGATCTTTGGTGATAAGCACAACAATTATGTTCATTTATTCGAAAGAGATTGCTCAATTCAAAGAAGACATTAAAAAGTCATCGAAGAAGCCCCTTCTGCTTTGGAAGAGAAAATCAGATATGATATTGGAGAGGTACATTCTATTCTATAGGTTAGAAAGCCAAAGCAGCCGCCAGAGCAGTTAAATACTCAAATGCAGGAACCGTAGAGTTTATATTTGATTTGGATTCAAGTAAATTCTACTTTATGGAAATGAACACAAGATTATAAGTTGAACATCCAATTACAGAAATGATTACTGGGGTTGATTTAGTTGAATGGTAACTTAGAGTTGCAAGTGGAGAACATCTCCCCTTAACTCAAGAACAAATCAAAAGGAAAGGTCATTCCATCGAAGCTCGTATCTATTCAGAGAGTCCAAACAACAACTTTTTACCAGGGAGTGGCAAGCTTGATCATTATTCAGAACCAAAAGCGTCTCAAACTGTTAGAATTGAAACTGGTGTAAGAGAAGGAGATACTATCTCAATCTTCTATGATCCCATGATTGCTAAGTTGGTCGTCTATGGAGAAAATAGACAATTGGCTATCTAAACTCTGTTAAATGCCTTGTAAAACTATTAAGTAATCTTCATCATTATATTATCAGATTCATGGCTTACCTAATAACATTTCCTTTTTAAAAACTGTTCTTCAACATCCAGAATATGTAAATCAGTAATATGATACCTCCTTCATTGCTAAAAACTAAGACACTTTATTAAAATTAAAAGACCATTATAATCCTATCGATATTGCTCTGGCAATTGCTGGAAGACATTTTCTAAATTCAGTTAATTTACCTAAATCACTCTTAAATTTCAGAAATGGTGCTCAAATTCAAAATAAATTATCATTGCATGTTTAAAGTGCCTCATATGCACATTAAAAGGAGATTAAGATTACCCATAACATTAATGGAAACACTCACGAATTGGAAATTAAAGGCTAGAAGATTGTAGTGAATAAAGTAACGAAAAGTTAAGAACATAATAATTTATTAATTTTTGAAACTAATAAAGGAATATTCATCAGAACTATTAGAAATGGATAGAACTTATTGATTTTTGATGCCGAAGGTGACCCTATCACAATTGCTGTCTCTTCTGATGAAGTCAAGAAGGTCAAATCGGATCAACATGGACATGGCAATAATAAAGAAATTGTTGCTCCCATGCCTTGCACTTTGACCAAGGTTAATGTAAAGGTTGGATAAAAAGTGAAAAGAGGTATATTGTTTATTATTATTAAAGGTGACATTTTAATTATCATGGAAGCCATGAAGATGGAACACACAATTAAAGCTGCCATAGATGGTGAAGTTAAAGAGATAAGATACAAGGAAGGATAATTCATTGAGCCAGGAGCAATGATTGTTAAATTAGAATGAAATAGAAATTTATAAAGTTATTTTGAATATTCTATTAAACAAACTGTTGATTATATATTCTTTCCAAGTTTATTGCCTTATTTTTGCAATTTTTATAAGGAATTAAATTGAGAGAATTGAAGGGACTCATTAAAAAATAATTGCTTATCAAGCTCTAATTTTTCAAAAAAAATGATATCTGATAAATTGAAAAATTTCTTAAATTAACGAGATATGGATTCTACAATAGAGTAAATAGAACATAATATTACTAAACTGAGAGGAAAATTATTATCGTTGATCTGGATTGTATTAAAACTTTGAACTGTTTTTTGTCTAAGGCTTTGTTCAGAATTTTTTTGATTGATTTCAAATTACTAAAAGTAATGAAAATATCATATAAACTATATCTATTTATAAACGAGAATACCTTAAACTTTACTTCAAAGTTTTAATGGAGACTGCTCTTGTAAGAAATAGTAGTTGAGATGAACTTAAAAATAATAATTTATGTAAGAGCTATACATATTATAAATTATTACATATAACAGGACTTAGATTATCAATAACTAAAGTTAATTATAATAGTTTATAAAAAATGAAAATAGAAAAAACCCAGTCTTTGGAAGTTATAAAATTGATAATTTCATGCACAAATCCTATAATTATGTTTAACTATTTGAGATCTAAATTTAATATTAATTTTTTGAGATAAAATTTGGTTGTAGAATTAATTTTCCCAATTCATTATTATTTATAATAGAATGAAATTAATTCTCCTTTGGTTGTGCTTATTGCTGTTGACTCTTGAGCAAAATTGTAAAGACATTTAAAAAATTTAGGTGATTATAGCTGTTTATCTTGCGAATCTAAAGATTAAACAGTTTGTAAAACTTGCGATGAAAAAACAAGAATTTTGAAAGATGGGAAATGTGAATGCAAAGATGGATTTGTAGAAATGTAAACCATATAATCTCCTGAATGCCTACGTAATTTATTTTAGTATTTGAAGAGTGCTCCTAAAATTGCATCAAATGTGACATTACTCAAAGGGATTACTGTTTGAGTTGTGGAGATGCTACTTCGACTTTTAGAGAATTAAAGAACAATGATTGTGTGTGTATAGCAGGTTATCATGCGGTACCTTATTAATATGCATGTGAATCAGATGAATGGGATCAACGATTATATACTTTTAAATATAAAATTGACACTAAAAAAAAATATTGGTAGTAAGTAGTAAATTTTTTTGACAATACTGGAGTCTAAGATTAATTAATTAACCTGATAAAGAAATCATATTTATAGGATACTTAAGAAAGTTCTGTTTACAAATATTACTTTGATTTAGAAAATAATTAACAGAAGTTTTTTTACAAAGATAAGAATCCTATCGGTGAGTACTATTAGTAATTGGATTAGAATGTATTTGCAGTTGGATATTTATAACCAAAGTCTCCATAAAGCATATTATGGGGTTATGGTTAAACTGAAGTTGGATGGGAAAGCAATGTCTATTTTACCAGCAGGACTTTAGATGTTTAATGGAATACAAGACTTTTTTAATATTTAAAGTACGGTCATTTATTTATTCAAACAATATTATCAGAATAACTTTAAATCACGAGTAGACTATTAAGTGAGGATTATTCTAAATACAATATGATTTACTTTTTTTACATTGGTTACAGAATAGATAGATTTTTGAGCACTTATGAATTAGAGTTATTGATAGACAAATTAATGAATTTGGTTAATGGATGTAAGTCATATTGTTCAGATTGTTAATTCTATTAAAATCAATAACATTGTTAGAGTTGTGATTTGAATAGAGAAAATGATAGTGGAAATTGTAAATGCATATATGAAACAAAAGATTAAGCAAAATGTTTTCAGCCTTGCAATCTTGACAGTTGTGCAACATGTGTTAATGGAGTGTGTGTGAAATGTCCTGATGGAGAATCTCCACCATGCACAGCACCAATTATTTAATGTGATGATGGGTTTTATTTAGATAATTCTAAATGCGTATAATGCGAGAGTCCATGTATTAAATGTTCATCTAAAACACTATGTAATAAATGTATGGACTCTTATTATTTGGATTCTGCAAATACTTGCTAATAATGTAAGAGTCCATGCAATTTTTGTAATAATGAAAATGATTGTACTACTTGTGTTTCAAAATATTATCTTCTAAATCATTAATGTATTACATGTACAATGATTGATGGTTGTGAAGATTGTTAATTAGAAAACAAATGTCTAACATGTATCTAAGGAAAATATAGAGATGATTAATATTAATGCAAAAATTGTTTAAGCAGTTGTGTTAGTTGTACTGGATTAAACTAATGTTTAGAATGTAAAGATGGATATTACAATACATTAGGAGATTGTAAAGTATGTCCATCGATTTGTTCTAGATGTCTCAATAGTTCTTAATGCTCTAAATGTGTATAAGGGTATTTTTTGAAATAAATAAATTGTTACCCATGTGCTGCTGGTTGTGCATCATGCTTTGATAATAAAGATAATTGTTTTGTGTGTAAAAATGGATATCTATTAATGAATAATACTTGTGTAGAATGCTAAAGCCCGTGCAAATCATGCAATTCAAATATTAATAAATGTATTTCATGTGTTGATAAATATTATCTAAATTCGAATAATGAATGTATTGCTTGTGCTAATGGATGTGTAAATTGTTATTCATAATAATTTTGTTTAAGTTGCTAAAATGGATATTATTTAGAGAACAATTTTTGCTTTCAATGTCTTTCTGGTTGCTAAGAGTGTCAAAATAATCAAACTTGTGATTCTTGTAAGATTGGATATTATTTTGATTCCAATACCAAGATATGCAAATCATGTCCAACTAATTGTTAATCGGACTGTTCTTTTTAAAACGACTAAATTACATGTAATACATGTTCAAAATCCTATTATAAAAGTCCTACTTCTCTTTAATGTGAAAATTGTGAATCTCCATGTCTCAATTGTAAATAGACAAAATCTTCATGTGTTGATTGCATCAGTGGTTATTATTTGGATAATACTTTTTGTATTAAATGCACTATTGTGAATTGTAAAGAATGCTCAAGTTCCACTAAATGCAATATATGTAACGATGGATATTTGTTAAATGATAGCAATATATGTGTTTAATAAAATAGCACTTGTGGTTCCCATCAAATATAAGTGTAGATCAGTCAAGTTTGCTAAGAATGCTACTAGAATTGCTAATCATGCTATGGTACTGAATAAAATTAATGCAAATAATGTTACTAAGGAGATTATTTAAATTAATGGAATTAATGTAGGAATTGTAAATATCCATGTAACGAATGTACAGATGAACGTGTATGCACATCTTGTTAAGGTGGTATGTATTTAGATGACAGTAATTAATGTCATTTCTGCGATAGTAGTAAATGTAAAGAGTGTGATCCTTCAACTCTTGTTTGTAAATAATGCTTTGATGGTTATTATCTAAGCATTTCTACATGTCATTCTTGTTAACCTAATTGTAGAAGTTGCTAGTCAGATGTTTAATGTCTTACTTGTTTTGAAGGATATTATCTTAATGAAAGTTCTACTTGCATTAAATGCATTGATGATAATTGTAGTTACTGTCCTAACTCAGGTGTGTGTCTTTAATGCAAGTAAGCTTATCTCATAGACACAAATTAGAAGTGCTATCTGAAAGATAGCCCAATTCAGCTTTGCTTTAAGAGTTTCAATGAGGTTGAATGCGATATCTGTTCTTTAGGTACATACTTAGATACATAAAAAAAATGTAGTTTATGTAATGATAATTGTAGAACTTGTAAAGATAATTCTACTTATTGTTTATCTTGTAATTTAAGATTTTATGTATCTCCATAAAATAAATGTGAAGTTTGCACAGCAGGTTGTTAAGAATGCAAAGAAAAAGCAGATTTTTGTTAATCATGCGATTCTGGTTATATATTGATTGAACGTGATTAATTTTGTTAAAAATGTGTTGAAAAATGTAAAACCTGTGTAGATACAAAGGATAAATGCACTTCTTGTAAACCTTTGTATTATTATCAAAATAATGATTGCATATCATGTCCTAATGGATGTCAAACATGTGACTCCTCTACCAAATGTACTAGTTGCTTACCTAAATATTTTTAAAAAGATGTATCTTGTTTAGGATGCCCTTAATAATGCAAAGAATGCACTTCCTATTAAAATTGCACAGCCTGCATCTCAAATTTTTATTTAGATGTATATTAGTGTAATCCGTGTCCTTTTAAATGCAAAGACACTTGTTATAAAGAGGGCTCTTCTATACATTGTGACAATTGCAATATTGGCTATTATTCAAAAAATAATGATTGCTTGAAATGTAAAGCACCTTGCGAAACTTGTTAATCTAAAGAAGATGAATGCACATCTTGTATAGGAGGATATTATTTGGCAATAAATAAAGAATGTCCAAAATGTAGAACTGAACATTGTAGATTATGTTAGAGTCTCACAGGATAATGTCTAAAGTGTGATTATGGTTATATCATGACTGATGTAGAAATATGTTCAATATGTACAACTTGCACATGTGATTACTATAAATATTATGACTGGGATAATGGAGTTTGTTTATAATGTGATAGTACTTGTAAAACGTGCTATATTTCCCCAACCTAATGTACATCCTGTAATGTCAACTAATATTTGGAACCTACAGATAATACATGCCATGTTTGTGTAAATCAATGTAAGACATGCAAAAGTGCTACTTAATGTTCTTCTTGTGAGAATGGCTATTATTTATCAACTGATATGTAATGTTTACTCTGTTAATCCCCTTGTGTCAATTGTTTAGACAATTATAAATGTCTTAATTGTGTGAATGGGTATTACTTAAATGATACAACATGTATCTAATGCAATTCAAAATGTGAACTATGTTCTTCTGATGTTGAATGTTCAAAGTGCATCCAAGATGGTAGAACTTATTTTGATAATATTTCTAAATGTAAGAATTGTGAATCCCCTTGTTAAGAATGTTATAATGCAGGATGTGTCAAATGTCCATCCATGCATTATATATCTGGACAACAATGCATTCGATGTTCTGATAACTGTTTATAATGTTCAAGTTCTGAATGCCTCCAATGTGCTAATGGCTATTATATAAATGGGTAAGCTTGTGAATAATGTTCTGAAAATTGTTTATCATGTACTTCCACTGAATGTACAAAATGCAAGATTCAATATTTCGTAAATGGTGCATCCTGTGAGAAATGCATGGATAATTGTAACGTTTGTGATTCAACAACCACTTGTATCACCTGCCAAACTGGATATTACTTTGATTAAACACTTCTTATCTGTTAAAAATGCAATGAAAACTGCATTTCTTGCACTGCTGTTAGTTGCTAAAAATGTGTTGAAGGATACTACCCTGCTAGCACTACTTGTATTAAATGCTAAGATAATTGCTTATCTTGCACTTCAACTAAATGTAACTAATGTGTAGTTCCATATTAAATTAACAACCAATCTTGCATATTATGTAAATAAGGATGTAAAACATGTTCAGATTAAGAATGCTACATCTGTGATGACAAATACTATTTGGATTCAACATCAAAATAATGTGTGATCTGTAATTCTAACTGTTTAAGTTGTATTAGCACAGAATGTCTATCTTGCAACAATGGATATTACCCAAAAGGTTAAAATTGTGTTCATTGTGATACTAATTGTGTGTCTTGCAATGAATAGGGATGTCTTGAATGCAATAGCTCTTTTTATTTAGACTAAGGGAAATGCGTCAAGTGTCAAGACAATTGTTAATACTGCACTATTGATTCTTGCACACAATGCGGAACAGGATACTATCCCAATGGAACCAAATGTGAATAATGTAATGTGCCATGTATTGAATGTACAAGTTAAACGATGTGTACGAAATGCTCAAAAGGTTCTTATTTAGATTAAAATAAATGTGTAAATTGTGAATCAAATTGTGATTCTTGTACCAAAGAGGGATGTAACTCATGTGTTGCTACTTATCGATTAAATGAGAAGGATAAATCTTGTGTTTCATGTTCTGCTAACAATTGTTAAACCTGTCCTCAAGATAAGTGTTCTCTTTGCAAAACAGGANTACAGATAATACATGCCATGTTTGTGTAAATCAATGTAAGACATGCAAAAGTGCTACTTAATGTTCTTCTTGTGAGAATGGCTATTATTTATCAACTGATATGTAATGTTTACTCTGTTAATCCCCTTGTGTCAATTGTTTAGACAATTATAAATGTCTTAATTGTGTGAATGGGTATTACTTAAATGATACAACATGTATCTAATGCAATTCAAAATGTGAACTATGTTCTTCTGATGTTGAATGTTCAAAGTGCATCCAAGATGGTAGAACTTATTTTGATAATATTTCTAAATGTAAGAATTGTGAATCCCCTTGTTAAGAATGTTATAATGCAGGATGTGTCAAATGTCCATCCATGCATTATATATCTGGACAACAATGCATTCGATGTTCTGATAACTGTTTATAATGTTCAAGTTCTGAATGCCTCCAATGTGCTAATGGCTATTATATAAATGGGTAAGCTTGTGAATAATGTTCTGAAAATTGTTTATCATGTACTTCCACTGAATGTACAAAATGCAAGATTCAATATTTCGTAAATGGTGCATCCTGTGAGAAATGCATGGATAATTGTAACGTTTGTGATTCAACAACCACTTGTATCACCTGCCAAACTGGATATTACTTTGATTAAACACTTCTTATCTGTTAAAAATGCAATGAAAACTGCATTTCTTGCACTGCTGTTAGTTGCTAAAAATGTGTTGAAGGATACTACCCTGCTAGCACTACTTGTATTAAATGCTAAGATAATTGCTTATCTTGCACTTCAACTAAATGTAACTAATGTGTAGTTCCATATTAAATTAACAACCAATCTTGCATATTATGTAAATAAGGATGTAAAACATGTTCAGATTAAGAATGCTACATCTGTGATGACAAATACTATTTGGATTCAACATCAAAATAATGTGTGATCTGTAATTCTAACTGTTTAAGTTGTATTAGCACAGAATGTCTATCTTGCAACAATGGATATTACCCAAAAGGTTAAAATTGTGTTCATTGTGATACTAATTGTGTGTCTTGCAATGAATAGGGATGTCTTGAATGCAATAGCTCTTTTTATTTAGACTAAGGGAAATGCGTCAAGTGTCAAGACAATTGTTAATACTGCACTATTGATTCTTGCACACAATGCGGAACAGGATACTATCCCAATGGAACCAAATGTGAATAATGTAATGTGCCATGTATTGAATGTACAAGTTAAACGATGTGTACGAAATGCTCAAAAGGTTCTTATTTAGATTAAAATAAATGTGTAAATTGTGAATCAAATTGTGATTCTTGTACCAAAGAGGGATGTAACTCATGTGTTGCTACTTATCGATTAAATGAGAAGGATAAATCTTGTGTTTCATGTTCTGCTAACAATTGTTAAACCTGTCCTCAAGATAAGTGTTCTCTTTGCAAAACAGGATACTGTTCCGCTGATTCTGAATGCTAAAAATGTCCTAGTTCATGTAAACTCTGTACAGAAAACGCTATCGTTAAATGCTCAGAGTGTAATGAAATAACTCTTGCATGCTTAAGTGGATGGTATTTAAATAAGACAACATAAAAATGCGAAAGTATAAATATATTTATATTCTAAGTGTGCTAAATTAACAATTGTCAAATATGCTCCTCAGAATCTATGTGTGTATCCTGCAATTATGGATATTATTTGTCAGATGCTTAGGATTTATGCATAAAAAAAGAGACTTCATCAAAAAATTAAGTTATTGCTGGAGTCCTAGTAGGTGGTGTGTTAACCTCCATATTTGTAGTAATGGTAGCTTAAAAATTCTCTATGATTCATATTACTACCAAATTATTCAAGAGTGCATCTATTTAGTTTGATACAAAATTAGGGTCAACTGGAGCTGCTCCATCTAATTGGGAATAACTACCTAATTTGACTTCAGATTAATTGGATAAAATATTAAGGGATTAATCTTTTTAAATGGTATGACATATATTTAATCACTTATAATTTATATGTAGTTAATAATATCTATAATATATTTCACTCTAATTTTGCAATATCTTTTTGAGCTAATTTACTTGCCTCTATTAATATCTTCTCAATATCATATTTCTGATTCAATGTTTCCTTTGCCTGTTTCCAGAGCCTTCCATATTTTGGCCTTCTTGAAATGCATTGTTATAGGATTTCTTTTTCTATTAGGTACAGATAGGCCCAAGCGTCTCCCAATCTCGGTTCCAAGATTAAGGCTTTTTCTAACCATCTTTTAGCCTTCTCAATTTTGCCCTCATTCAAAAATACCTTTGCAGTTGAAAGATATACATAGGGATTATCAACACACAATGTTACTGCATCTGCAGATTTCTTCTTTCTTGTAGTCTTTGGCTCTAATTCAATAGCAAGAGACCATAACTCCCCATCCAATTAACAACATTACAATGCCTTACTTAACAAAAACTAGGCTGCCTTATGATTCTTAGCATCTATTTCTAATCTGATTGCTTAGGCCCAGAGTTGGGAACTTTTTGGGTTCTTTTCCCTTGCTCTATCGATCAACGGCCTAGCTCTTGTGTAGAGTTGTTATTAACATTCCATCTTGATATAAGTCAACCACACATTCAATGAGTTATTAAGAATTTTAATGGCTTCCTCAAAGATCTATCGTGCACCCTAATAATCTTTTTAATTGATTTTAGCCTATCCACAGAGAATCCACAGTTTATCAGATTAGGGATATTGTGCTAATATTTTCTCAGCTTACTCTATCTATTTATTCATCAAAAGCATCAACTTGAACATCTTAACCCAAGTTTTATCGCTGGGTATTAAGTTGTCTTATATATATTAAAGATATTAGTATGCTTTCTCATAATTACCTTATTGCTTTTCGAGTTTGCTCAAAGTTAATAATATATTTTCGGATTTAGGGGATTTCTCAAAAACTTCTAAGTAATTTTACTATAATTCTTATTTCCTCAAAATCAATTCAATCCAAAATTGTTCAATTTGAGGAAGATTGGTAACTGCCAATTCCAAAGCTTAATCAAAGTATTAAGAGTCTTCCTCCTTGTGTCTTCTTTCAAATTCAATGTATTCTTTCCATATTTCAAAATTGTTCTATCGTTCTGCTTCAACTGCAATAATTGCTCTGGCTGTATGCAATGAACCTCTTTATTCAAATTACGTGAAATCTTGTTTCCAAGAACAATCACTTTGTTTATCTTCTTCTAGAGTGATTGCTTTGACAATTGCATAACATGTATTAACATTAGAACATTTCTCTGCTATCTCAGCTTCTTAAAGCCAATCCTCTTTAACTATCTTAACTTAATTCTTCTTTAATATCTTAATGCCTTTAGAAAGAACAATTGCTATTGTTTATTTATTCTTGCCTGCACTCTCTTCCAACTTGGCTGCATTTATCCAAATAGTAGGTTCCTGAGGGAGATTCTATCTTGCTCTATTCAAAATGGCTTTTGCATTGTCATAGGTTTCTAACTTAGCCAATGCCAACCAAAGAGATAAGTTTTTTGGGATGCATTCAACAGCCTTATACAATAACACTAATGCTTCTGATTCACTTGATAGACTCACGAGTTCCTTCCATATGTCAACACTATTAGGAATAAATTCTAATGCTCTCTTCAACAATTTAATCTTTGCTTCTGTCTCTTACTCTTTGTTAACAGCATTCAACCAAATCTTGACACTGTGTGGTAATGTTTAAATAGCCTTATTGAGTATTAATTTAGCCTTCTCTGGAGTCTCCAATCTTGACAACTCAATCCAAATATCTTCTTGATCTTCTGCTTATTATAAACCCTAGGCTAAAATGGATCTAGCTGCAGCCAGCTTTCCATCAAGTTCTTCTATTCTAGCTGCTGCTATCCATCCAAATGAATTTTTAGGATCTGTTTATATAACACTCTTTAGTAACAATCTGGCCTTTTTGAAATCTCCAATCTCGTTTTCACTCAGATGAGGCAACGAAGCCAAACTTGTTAAATACCCTCGTTTATCCACCACACTTTATCCAGAAACATTATCACTGATTTTATCTAACTTCAAAGACAGCAAAGCTCCTCTTGCTTCTCCTATTTCATTTAAATCGTGTGCTTTTGTTTATAAATTCTTTTCTGATAGTTAGGCTGACATTATAACTGAATCAGGAACAGGAGTGATCTTATCCTGTTTCTTTTTCTTAATTGAGTAGTCTCCAATATCCGGAATTGATAACCATTCGTCAATGCCCACCTTTGCCAATTCTCTTTTTAAATCACTGAATTAATTAACTATAGATGGCTTTTCAGGCAAGTTTGTTGGTATTCTCTTCAGTCTTCTTTCCTCCATCTTTCTGTCAACACTATTATATGTGAGATCAGCCTCTCTGTCTTCATCATCATAATCCCCCATATTAAACAGTGGAATTGAATACCCATTCCATTCATCATATTTTGCATCATTATAATCATTTTGATCGTCATCCTACTCAATCCCTATATCAACCTTAGCAGGTCCTATATCACTTCTTGTAATAAATCCAACTGCGCCTCTTCCTCTGCCTGGTACATAGTTAGTTGGTTGATTTCCAGAATCCTTCTACCTCTAAAACATCAAATTTATAAATATATATATTTTAATTAATTCCTTTTTTTTAATACAGAAAAGCACTTTTATTCATAATTTAACTAAATTCAAATATTGTTCATTAATTTGACTTGCTATAATTCCTATTTGTCATTCTATATAGAAATTGTAGTATATGAAAAAATGTTTATTAAATACCTAATTATAATCTACTCTTAATGAAATTGTATTTATCAACCTAAACTAATCATATGAAAATTTTTCATTAATTTTTCTTTATAATATTAGTTATTTTTTGCCATCATCATAATCTATTAGTTAAAGAGAAAATATTTTATTAAAAAGTATCTTTGCAATAATTTCAATTTAAGCACTCAAATCAAAAACATATTATATCAAAAGAACTGCTCTTTTTTAGCATTGTCTTAATATTATTAGTATTATCACAATACTAATAATATTAACTATTAAGATATTTATATATATATATATTTTTTTAGATGATATGCCTAACTCAGAAAGGATGAATCCATTTTTAGCAGTTAACTATGATTAAAATAAATACTTTTAATACGCTTTTAATTAAATAAGTCACATTCTGAAACCCTTTGAGCAAAATACCAAATAAAATGCTGATATATAACTTAATTATGAATAAAAACCACTGATCCTTTAGAAATGCATCAATACTCTTCTGTATAATTCTATACTTTGTTTTATTTCAAATGAGATAAGTATATAATAGGAAATAATTGTATTAATATTAAATCGATGTTATTTAATAGAATTTAGGAGGATTGAAATGATCTTAGGAATCAGTCTTCAGATATATATTATAAGAAGAATATTTATTAATAAATTTTAATCAAATTCGTTAAAAAACACTACTATCTAATCTTTTTAATTAATTTTTTTATTTGTTTAATGAGAAGTGCCCACCAATTAATAACTCAATTTGAACTTAATGGTTTCACTCTGCCCTAAATGGAGAAGAATATGTGCATAACCTTTCTAAAGGATCTCCTCCAATAAAATCCTATCGATATGGAATTCATACTTACAAATACATCTCTATCTTAATCAGAAAGGAAATTACTTACATAAAAATCAAACATGCTGCAATTGCTTAACGAGAATAAAGATCCATCTGTGATCAAACCTATATTCGATTATAGTCAACTAGAGAATCTTATTCCTAAGAAAAATAGAAACAAAATCAATGAAATAAAAACAAAAGTTGAAACATTGCTTAATAGTAATAACATAGATCCACCCTTAACTATAAAAAAGAGGTATCTCACTCATTATTTATAATAGATGGTGGACGGAGGAAGAAGATCAACAACTTAAAGAATTAGTAACATAACATGGAGCAAAAAATTGGAAAAAAATAGCATCGTACTTCGAAGAAAGAACAGATGTGCAATGTTTACATAGATGGCAAAAAGTGCTGAATCCAGATTTAGTTAAAGGTCCCTGGACACAGGAGGAAGATGAATTATTAGTTAAATTAGTAATAAATTATGGACCAAAAAATTGGAGTCAAATTGCTAAGCATTTGCCAGGAAGAATTGGAAAACAATGTAGAGAGAGGTATTGATTTATGTTACTCCTAGGTTTCATAATCATTTAGATCCAAAAATTAATAAAGAAAGATGGACTGATGAGGAAGATTAAACAATTATTGAAGCTCATAAGAAATTAGGCAATAGATGGTCATTGATTGCTGGCCTCTTAAAAGGTAGGACTGATAATTCTATTAAAAACCATTGGAATAGCACTCTAAAAAGGAGATTGAAAATGTAAAATAGATGGGAAGATCTTTAAGTTCATCCAAGATAAGATGAAACCTCAGTTAAAGGAGTTCCCAGAAGATAAGTGTAAAGAAGAATTATGTATTATAAAACACCAGAAAAACTGATCAAGAGAGATCCAGTGTCTAGATAATTGAATTTCTAAACTCCTTACTCTAATACTACTCCAAGTAAATATTTGAATCACATTTTTAGAGTCTGAATAAACACCCAAAAATCTGAGTATTGTTTATCCAAACCTATTAGACAAGGATGCCTTAAAGATGTAAAATTCTATATAATATAAAATAGAGACTCTTGTTAAGTATTATTCAAATAATTGAGTGAATTAACTAATTTGAATCTTGATTTCAATAAATAATATAGTTACAAATGATAAATTTATAATCACAAATATTCTCTCTATTTAATTCATGAAAAGTATATAAAATATATATAGAATACAAAAAATATATTACTCTTTTATTAGTATATATAAATAGCATTAAAACTTATAATTCAATTTGAATCTAACCTAATATAAATTGAGTATTCATATCAATTTCTAACCAAATACCTCTTATTTTGGTAATAGATCGTGCTGATTTTTGTTAATCAAGTTTCATGGTTAACAGGAATTGCAGAGCAATCTTGTTTAAAAGACATGAATAATGAGGTAGGTTCAATAAAATCTAATATATGATTTAAAACTATGAAAAATTAAATAGAATAGTCAAATTATAATAGTGCTATTGGGATTAAATGGAAATGTGGTATTTCCTAAGTGTTATTTGTATTATTAAAAATATTTGATATATAAATTAATTATTTGAATTATGTATGACAGTTTATTTGCTCATTTTTTTCACTATTAATCTATTTCAATTATGTAATAATAGTAATAAAATATCCATGTTTTCAAATATGCTCTCAGATTCGAATTTTTAGGATGAAGTTTTTCCATATTAGAAATTCTCGTCTTCTCAATCATTTGAAATGGAACCATTTTCAGATTTTGAATAAAATTGCCATCGTACTATTTTTTTTAATTGACTTAATAGTGTCCATAAATACTAATGAAGGATCATAGTTTTAAGATGCTGAAGATAGAGAAACGATGTTTAAAATAAAGGAAGATGATACTTCCCTCAATGCTTTGAATCAAGAGCAAATGAAAAGAAAATAAAAAATTTGGAATGATGAAGAGGATTCAAGACTGAAATATTTATTTGTGGAGTTTTCAGGGAAATGGAATGAAATCGCAAAGCACATGCCTTAAAGAAACGCGTCTTAGTGTTAGCAGAGATGGAGAAGAATCAATCCACCAAAAGATGTATTGTTATTAAATTATAATTTTTAGTCAAGGCATATTTGGAAGCAGGAGGAAGATGATAAATTAAAATAGTTAGTTTAAGATATTGGTAAATAATGGATGAAGATCGCGAAATGTATTCTTATTGGATTATTTTAGGTTTTGGCAACATTACAGGGAAATAAGTTAGAGATAGATACATCAATAAATTAGATTAGTCTATAAATAAATAACCATGGACTTACGAGGAAGATATGCTTATTTTGGACTAGTATAACATTTATGGACCTAAGTGGACCAAAATTTCGAATCAACTAAAAGGGAGACCGGTAATTTTAAGTTTATTATTTTATAGGAAAATCATGTTAAGAATAGATTTTATAGCTATATAAAACGAAACTTTTTAGGAGAATAGAATAGATACTAAATAATCTATTCTTGAATTGCTTCTCTTTTTTTCTCATTAGAAAAATGAGAGGCTCAAATATCAAATTGAGTTATATATATATACATCGCGTTATAAATTATAAATACACAAAAAGATATTCAATTTATTAGGGTTGATTAAAATTTGAATAAATGATATCACCTAAATTTCGATATTATATATTCAGTTTTTTCATGAATAATAGTAATAATAATAATAATAATAATAATAATAATAATAATATAAAATAATCATTAATATTAACAGCTATTAATAGTTTAATAATTAAAATATTAAGAAACATAATTTATATCATAAATCATCATCATCTGGAGCTGGTTTGTTCATATTGATATCAACTTTGCCATCATCTCCCATTTTTACTTTCTTTCCATTAATAGTGACATAATCATCATTTTATTTTCTCTATCCTTTTTCAATGTCTTTACATGACTAATTAAAGGTAGAATAAACAGATTACATTAGTTAATTTGTAGCAAATTTCATCTTCAATTGTATCATTTCCTTTTCTGTTCATCAAGGCTTCAGTGACTTCCTCTGACCATCCAGACATAAATGCTTCACATCCTTTTTTCATATCAGGGGGAGGATATTCATAAACACTGAAGTTTTTCATTTGGCACATTTCAGATAAAGCATCAGTAATATCGGATTCCCTAGTTGATGTTTTAACTTTCTTTAATGTTTCTCGAACGATTGCTTAGCAACTATTGCAATAAAGTAAAGCTTCAACAGTTGTTGGTCTTCTGTCGTCAGTCTTTTTCTTTTTTTTAGCTGCCTCTAAGAGGAAAATCAATGTCACAAAAACGAAAAGAATTTTCATTTTAATTAATAATACGTGTACTTTAAAATATTATTCTTCTATTCAAAATTTATATAATCAAGTATAACATAATATTAAAATATTCATAAAATATATCAAATATGCATTGCTATTATGAGGTTTAAGATATATTTGTTAATGCATCTTTAATTTATATTATATTATCTTTAGTAGAAATGTTAGTTATTATTATTTAATTAATTTAAGGAAACTTAATTGTTATCTAAATTTATAATTAAATTATTAAAATTATTAATAATAGGAGTTGAAAATTATTCTAATTACCTACAAGCCGAAGGCTAAAGTAGTAAGATAATCAAAAGAGTATTAAATAAGTGATAACAATCTTTCAAAATTCCTAAACCAGCTACTTTTATTTGGATAATAATTTATGATTTTGGATTAAAATAATGTATTAATATTCTTAAATAAATGACAATATCACTCTTATTAACCAGTTCTTCTTATTTAGGATTAGAATCCAGATGTTCCCTCTTTAACAGATAAAGTATTACCTGTTCTTGATATAACTGTTCTTGAGATCACGACTTCTTCCTAGAATATTTTTATTTATAACTTTCTTCTATTAACTCTTTTTGAGAGATTCCAATTCTGCTTAACACATAGTTAACTCTTCTTATCATTTGTTATATTCATGATTAGATTTGATAAACTTTTATTTCCAGACTTCCACTTCCTAAGATAAATATGTCACTTTTTCTTAAATCACTGTAGTTCCTTGTGATTCTAATTGTGTGTATCTATATTTGCAAACTTCAAGTTCGGAATCTTTAGTTTATAATTATACTTGTAATCAATCCAATTCAACTTAAACCATGGCTAATTTATTCTAATCATAGCTATTATTCAGTATTACTTCTGAATCTCTCAATTGCATAACGAACTCATTGTCCTTATTGCAGGATTCCTATTCTATTNAATAAACAGATTACATTAGTTAATTTGTAGCAAATTTCATCTTCAATTGTATCATTTCCTTTTCTGTTCATCAAGGCTTCAGTGACTTCCTCTGACCATCCAGACATAAATGCTTCACATCCTTTTTTCATATCAGGGGGAGGATATTCATAAACACTGAAGTTTTTCATTTGGCACATTTCAGATAAAGCATCAGTAATATCGGATTCCCTAGTTGATGTTTTAACTTTCTTTAATGTTTCTCGAACGATTGCTTAGCAACTATTGCAATAAAGTAAAGCTTCAACAGTTGTTGGTCTTCTGTCGTCAGTCTTTTTCTTTTTTTTAGCTGCCTCTAAGAGGAAAATCAATGTCACAAAAACGAAAAGAATTTTCATTTTAATTAATAATACGTGTACTTTAAAATATTATTCTTCTATTCAAAATTTATATAATCAAGTATAACATAATATTAAAATATTCATAAAATATATCAAATATGCATTGCTATTATGAGGTTTAAGATATATTTGTTAATGCATCTTTAATTTATATTATATTATCTTTAGTAGAAATGTTAGTTATTATTATTTAATTAATTTAAGGAAACTTAATTGTTATCTAAATTTATAATTAAATTATTAAAATTATTAATAATAGGAGTTGAAAATTATTCTAATTACCTACAAGCCGAAGGCTAAAGTAGTAAGATAATCAAAAGAGTATTAAATAAGTGATAACAATCTTTCAAAATTCCTAAACCAGCTACTTTTATTTGGATAATAATTTATGATTTTGGATTAAAATAATGTATTAATATTCTTAAATAAATGACAATATCACTCTTATTAACCAGTTCTTCTTATTTAGGATTAGAATCCAGATGTTCCCTCTTTAACAGATAAAGTATTACCTGTTCTTGATATAACTGTTCTTGAGATCACGACTTCTTCCTAGAATATTTTTATTTATAACTTTCTTCTATTAACTCTTTTTGAGAGATTCCAATTCTGCTTAACACATAGTTAACTCTTCTTATCATTTGTTATATTCATGATTAGATTTGATAAACTTTTATTTCCAGACTTCCACTTCCTAAGATAAATATGTCACTTTTTCTTAAATCACTGTAGTTCCTTGTGATTCTAATTGTGTGTATCTATATTTGCAAACTTCAAGTTCGGAATCTTTAGTTTATAATTATACTTGTAATCAATCCAATTCAACTTAAACCATGGCTAATTTATTCTAATCATAGCTATTATTCAGTATTACTTCTGAATCTCTCAATTGCATAACGAACTCATTGTCCTTATTGCAGGATTCCTATTCTATTGTACCAGGATACGACACCTAAGGAATTTACGTGTTTAATCTTAAGAAATTTTGACTTTAAGTCCTTTATGATGATATTTATTATGCTTATTTCAAAAGGAGCTTCGTTTTAAGTTTAAGTTAGTGTTTATTTTTAAAAATATTCAATCACTGGTTGCTAAGAATAAATAGATCGTTTACTTAAGATATGGTTTTTCATGTTTCTTAAGTCGCTAACTTCATTCCTTAATGATCTCCATTAGACTACTTTTTAGTGTCAATGTAAAATTAATGTCTACTTACTGATCATCACTTTAGAAGATTTCTTTATTCATCTGATTTTTATTTGCAGATTAATTTAAAAATCATTTAATTATCACAAGTGTATATCAAATGAAATAAAAGTCTTTAATGATATTAATTTTATATTCTAAGATTTAAGAAAAGAATTTTTATTTAATCAAAGTAATATAGATAATTTCCAATATATAAGGGAATTAATTTACCAATAAAATTCTTATCTTGTCTTATAAAATAGTTGTATAGAACATACAAAATAATCTGACAAGAAAATTCCAAATCAAATTAGATTACAAATTGATGAGACATTTGAAAATTTATCTTTATAACATTTAAGTTGGTTGATAATTAATTTGAATTAGAATAATATTCACTAAGATTACATTCACAATAGGCTGTTTATAGATAAAATAAGATTGATTATTAAAGATGATTCTACCATGAATTTAATATTTATATTAATGTTTGAGGATAGATACTTAGAAACCATAAAACAACAACTACTTATGTCTAAAGTAGTGCCAGTCACAATAAATCCAAAAAACATTTTGAAGTCTCTTTTGGCCGCAGAGAACATGTTAGACGAAGAAAATCTCTATTTATCCATTTGTAAAAAGTAGGAACTTATTATAAAAAATTTGAATGAAGAAAATGCAGATGCTATTATCAACATTTGCAAGTTCATAAAGTTGGAGATTATGAAATAAAAGGAAGGATCAAAGGAAGAAATCAAATAAGGTGTTCTAAAGCAAATAGAAGTAGAATGCATTAATTGGCCTTAATACAAGAGTGCTAGATGGCTTGAATATTTGGAATATTTCAATGGTTTAACAATTCTATTGATAAACCACACCTACATGTTGATGGAACAAATTTTGATCGATTTAACAACAAAACCCTTTGCATGCGAAGAATTTCATCAATATATTACGGATAAATTAGAACATTGTATGGTTGTGTTGTCAATGGAAATAAGTGATTTTGCAAGAGTCCTAGAAAATGAAACATTCTATTGGGAATTAAAGAAATATTTTAATTCCATAATCCAAAATGTTCATTTATATATCAACAGAACATCCTTATTTTGCAATACTCAAATGGAATATTTGAATGAAACTCTTACAAAATATCATACTTTAGCAAACATTAGAACCTACCAGATATTACAAATCGAAACATCATAATACATAATAGATTAATGTCATATATCCCTAAGAGAAATGTTATTCCATCGAATAGAATTTGAGATATTTGATAAAGATCTTGTGAAATAAATAATTAGACATTTCTATGAATACAGTCCATTAAATCTGGGATTATATGAGATGTCTACATTAACAAAATCCTTTTAGGATGCAATTTAGATGTATTACATATTGGATGATAAATACTTTGAAACAGCAGATCTGGATTCTAAATTATTTTCTTAAGATGAGGAGTGCATCAAATACAAAATCTGGTTAGATGAAAAGCGAAAGCGGTAGTCTTCACTAGCTAATTAACCAGTTCTAAAGGGATCAGTTGGGGCAGGTTTGGGTTGTTTGATTGTTGATAGTGTCGATCCTAAAATTCCATGGGATGAGAAACTCAAGAGAGCAGGCATAAGTTCAGTAGCCACAGGTTTAGTAGGAGCAGCTTTGCGTATACCCGTTGTTGGAGTGATATTGTCTTAAGCTTTACTTTTTTATGCAATAAGAGTCCAAGCGAATAATAAAGTGGTGGACAAAAGTGAGAAGCTGAAAAATATTGCACACTTAGGATTTTAAAGTTCATTTGGAATTGGCACAGCTGTAGCCGGTCAAATATTGATACCAATTCCAGTATTGGGGGCTCTTATTGGAGGAACTGTCGGAGGAGTTTTTATGGGATTGTATACTAAATTTATTATCCCAAAGACGAAACCATCAATAAAAGTTATGATAAATGAATTAATGGGAAGATAATATGCAGATGGTTTATTTTAATATGATGACTCAGTTCTTAAGATTATGAAGATTAATCAACAGCATTATTTTGGTCTGAAACCCGATCATTTGAATGAGTGTCAATGGCTCACTATTTTAATGGTCTATATGATTAATGAAATCCATTATTTGACTAATGTGCAGGGGTTGGAGAAGATTAACGAATTATAATAGTAAATTGAAAAGAAACCAAAGGAGGAGAGCAAATTGATCAAATAGATAAAGGAGGTGGAGACTGAACTTGAATAATAGGAAATAATCAATGTCAAAATGGAACGATCAAGATACTATATACAAGAATAAGAAATTAACACATTATAAATAGTAGACAAGGTTGGTGAATTTATTAATGGTATGATTGCCAATTTTAGATTGTGATATAATTAATCAAATCAATTAACAACATGAACTTCCCCCTTCTTCTGTTCCTTTAGCTATTGACTCTATGAATGGATTCATTGATTTTGACATAAATCTTGTTGCCAAGAAATATTTGCTATATGTTTCTCTTACTTATTTGATGTTAAACATGTCCTTAATATAGGCCTTCATAGTTGGAAATTAGCTGAAATCAAAATCCACAAAGAACAAGGTTGAAACTTCGCCAATAAATCTTAAATATTATAAATAAATTACGATAAATCTGCTATTGTGGGTGTTCTGGATCCCATGATATATTTGTATTTTCCTCCTCCAAAGAATACATTCACTATAAAGTGTAACAATTCATTCAGTTCTCTTACTCTTTCATCATAATTTTTTGGCATTTCCTTATTGAAGAATTTAGGACCGACGAAGAAATCCATTGTTAACAAACTCAGCTTTCTGATTTCCAAATGATGGAAATCTAAATAGGAATCTATCTTTGCTCTTAAGGGAAAGTTTGGATATAATTCAGTTAAGTTGAACTGAATGCAAATGAATTTCATGATAGCATGACTTTCAAATAAATTAAAGTTTCCAAATGATAATGCAGGAAGACTTTCATTAGGATTAATATCAGTATATGGTTTTTTTTTGTTTTCTCCTGATTGAATATCAATAACCTTTTCTGTGTAAGGAATGTTTCCTAATAATAACGCTGTTTTAACTGCTTTGGCTGGTCCTGAAAAAAAGTTAAAATATAAGGTTATTCTTTCTTAATTTCTTACAGGCTATGGTTGACTTATTGAAAGAGCAAATTTTCCTACTTTTTGACTTTGTACAAACCCAAACAACTCAACATGAGATCTTCTCATTTCAGGTAATTCAAATAATCGTTTTATATAAAGATCAAAACCTGGAATCTTTTCAAAAGGAAAGTCTGTTATGAATAATTAGGCTAGATCACTCCCTACTTTAATATCTGCCAAAGTAGGTTATGGGGAATCATTGATAAATGTCCATTTGCCATTATTCATGAAAACCCTCCAGAAGAACTCCAAAGTTCCTATCACATTCTATAATTATTAATCCTTATCTGCAGGAACAGGAAGCTTCATCATTTGAGGTCCAAAAAAGCAATTAAACACATAATTTGGGAGTGAACTCATTTCAGTAAGATGAAAATCTAAATATTCATCCACTTTTGCCTAGGCTTTGAGTTATGTTGGATACAAATTATATAAATTAAACTTCTTTGCTAAATACTTCATAATGGCTCCACTTTCGAACAATTTGATACTATCATTGGCAATAGCAGGTATAGTTTGATTTGGATTGATCGCTGTGAACTCTGGTTATTAGTGTTCTCCTGATAATAAGTTAACAATTTGTTCATTAAACTCAATTCCACTATATAATAGAACTGTCCTTGCTGCTCTGGATGGAGAGGATAAGGGATGAAAGTATAGTGTGAACTTCCAAGATTATGACTTGTCTATTCCATTGATAATGTATGAGATTTAATCATTTGGGCTAGAAGAATTGATCATTTATAAATATTCCGCATAAGCTTCTTTGATGGCTTAGATTGAAAACATCTCCTATAAATACTCTTTAATTTTTGGGAACTAATTGAAATCCAAATCAGATATCAAAAGTTAAGATAAATCAGATGTGGCTCTAATTAATATTAAAGTGATATTTACTTAACATCTGCAAGAGTGATTGATGGCTAATTAAATATGTACCTTCCAGTTAAGAAGGTGGATTCAAAGAATTTGAGAGTATCTATTACATCTTTGTGTAATTCTTGTTTATTATCAGGGACTGGTTTATTCATAAATTTAGGGAATAAGAAACATTGATTAACATATTTTCCAATAGCTTCCAGACCGGTTTAACTCCAATCTAAATAGCAGTCGACCTGTGCTTTGTTTCTCAAGTTCTAATTTTATAACTAAAGAATACTTTAGGATAATATTGATATAGTTATTTTTTAACAGCAATGTATTTCAAAATAGCATGACTCTCAAACATTTTCAGGCCACCATCAACTAAGGCTGGCAATGATTAGTTGGGATTGATGTTTTGGAATTCAGCAGATTTGTGTTCTCCTTTCAATAGGTCCACAACTTTTCCTGAAAACACTGCTTTGCTTAGTAATAAAAAAGAGCGAACAGCTCTTGAGGGAGGTGATAGAGGTGAAAAGTAAAGAATTAAAGACATAATAAATAATATTTTTGGATGACTGCAAGTTATATTTGTTTTATTTTGGAATTTAGAATGTTCATAAAGATATGATAAAATAATTGTAAATTAATATATATTAATATTAATAAATATATTTTATCCATTTTTATCCATTCAATAAATCAAGAGCAATTGTTATCGTGTAGTTTAAGACATTATATAATAATTATGTAGACATAACAAATGATCCTGCTTCTAATTGACTTTTTGAAATTCATGAAATTCTCAATTAGAATTAATCGTACATTTGACTTCTTTCTAAATACTTAATTTTGATCTTAATTTGGTTTTGAATTTTTGTTTTTTCTTCTCTGATTGTATTTGAATAATAATTTATTAATGTAATATATAATAATGACTAAATTAAATTAAACATAATATGTTTTGAAGACTTATTTAAGAATTATACAACAACGATTATTTTTTAAAATAAAATTGATATTGCTCGAAAGGAATCAAAAATTAGGATTCAATTTCTTTGGCATGTTTTTAATAATTATATTTATTTTTAAAAAAATGAATAGAAGATTATCATCTGAACAGGATAATTTAAGAATAAAAAGAGCCTTAATGAGGCAGTAAATTAATCAATCGCATCGTGTTGATAGAGAATTTGAGATCGACGAAAGATTTAGCTCTGTTTCCATGTACATAAAACATGATGAACTTGAAATTGATGATTCTGGATATTATGATCATTAGACATGGGAACGATTAGATAGATTTGATTAAGTATTGCCGAATCAAAGGAACAATTGTTCTTGGATTGCATATGAAGATTTTTTGTATATCTTTGGCGGTTTTACATTCAATGGGAGATTGGATGATGTTCACAGATATTCCTTCAGTTCTAATTCATGGTAGCGTCTAAATACAACAGGACAGAAGCCAAGTGCCAGAGAGAATAATGGAGCAACATAATATAAAGATCACATGTATGTGTTCGGTGGCTGTGATGGATTATTATGGTTGAATGATTTTTATTCACTTAATCTAAAGACTCTGCAATGGAGAAAAATTGAACCTACTGGTTAATGTCCATCTGAAAGATTTGGTATAGCTTGTGGTGCTTATTAGACTAGAATGCTCATTTTTGGAGGATGTGATGGTAATCATTATCTAAATGATGCATATGTTTGGGATTTTGAGGAATAAGTGTGGAATAAATTATAATTAATAGGGGATATCCCCTCTGCTCGTTCTTGTCCTTCCTATAGTACATTCAATAATTACATATACATATTTGGTGGCTTTGATGGGGTTAATAGATTAAATGACTTTTATAAAATTAATATCTTCTCAGGAAAAGTTAAAAGAATAAGTCAGCATGGTACAATTCCATGTCCAAGATATGTAATATTTTGAGATTATTTGTTAGTTTCACACATCGGAAGTTTATTAAAATAAACTATTACTATTTGGAGGATTTAATGGTTAAGCAAGATTGAATGATCTATATGAATTTGAATTTGGGAGTAAGACTTGGAAGAAATTAGAAGTTCAAGAGCCTCCAAAAGGCAGATCTTCAATGGTTTTTTAATTGTACAATGATTCCCTCTATGTTTTTGGAGGATATGATGGGGATGAGTTATTGAGTGATATATACAAATTAGAATTCAAGAATGCGTAGGTTCCTAGGTCCAGTTTCATATAGGATTTGAGATCCTTAATAAATAATCCTTAAATGAGTGATGTAGTATTCATTGTAGAGGATCAACAAATATATGCCAATCGGTGTATTTTAGGTGCTAGAAGTGAACACTTCTAGACTCTATTTTTTGAAGAGTTCAGAGACAAGGAGTAAATCTACATAGAGATTACTGAGTGTAGTCATCAGACTTTTATGGACATGTTATAATATGTCTATACTGATTAATTGGACTCTTGTTTAAACACGACCAGGTTGTTGAATCTGATCATGTTATCTGACTAATACCTGATGCAAAGGTTGAAATATTTATGTGAAGAGTAACTAATACGAAAGATAAATTGCAATAATGTCATAGAGTTAATCTTGTTTTCCAAAAAGTAAGAAATAAATAATCAATGTTATAGATACAATTGTAGATTGTTAAGAATCTAAACTATGAAATAATTAGTGGATAATATCACAACTATAAAGAGAAGAAAGGATTTTATAAAATTGGCATAGGAGCCAGAAATACTATTAGAGATAATATAAAAAAAATGTTGATATATATTTTTATTTAATCACTATTACTTTCTCTTTAAATATTCTTAGTATACTTCTTCCATTCTATTTTGAGATGGGAAATATTGCTCATCTCTAGTGATAAAACCTGCCCAAATTCCAAGGGGGACTCCAATGATTCCTGATATTCTGGAAATAATTTGAAATGCTCTTGCCATATGTTTTTTTTATTTATTTATTGCGTGGTTGCACATTAATTTAAAAGTGACTCCAGAATTCTCTAATTGAATGGAGAACAGCTCGAATCAGAATTATAGAAGCCAGAACCATTTTTAATGATGCTATATGCTCCATGGTGTGGTCATTGTAAGCATTTGATACCAGTATTGGATTAATTGGCAGATTAAGTGGATTACAAATTTATTGCGGTTGATTGGTATATAAGAATATCAAACTAGTGTTGCAAATCCTGATGCAAAGAAGAGATTTGGAGTCAAGGGTTATCCTACCTTATTATACGTAAAGGATAACAAGACTCATAAATTCTAAGGCTAAAGAACACCCGAATTAATTACCAAGTTCATTCAAGAAGATTATGCCCAATCAAAGGAGATAAGTGATGTCCCTTAATATGAGCCTTACAAAGAGAATTTTATTGATAAATATTTCAATAATATTTGGATATTTGTAAACAATAAAATGATATCATTATTAGATAGCAGTGATTGTGTTGTCAGTCTTAACAATTGTTGTAACTCTCCTTTGTATCAATGATTACAAGGAGAATAAAAAGTTGGACTAGGTGGAAAGGAAATTGTAGGAGAAAAAGAAGGAAAATTGAGAGCGTATAATAATGTATATTGGATTGGAATCATTAATAATTACAATTCATTCAAATTTTTGAATATTTCCTATTCCTACTTCACCATCTCAATTTATATTGTTACCAAAATTTCTTAAATATTTGTTGAAACTGATCGAGCTTTCCTAAATAATTACTAGATCCAAATATAACATACTCTAAAAGAGTCTTATGTATTCTTAAAGAAAATATTTGTGATACCTTAATAATATTTTAAGTATTTTTTGTAAATTTGGAATTTGCTTTCTGATCATTAAAAGAAACATGAGCCTCCTCAATATAAATCAATGATTTTGCAGTAATATGGCCTTTTGGTTGAGTGATTTTGTCATTTTGTACTTCTTTCTTCTTTTTCAAATTGATTGATGGGTTGAAATTACAATTTATTATTTTTGGTATTAATATTTCGGCGTCTCTGATTTGCTTTTTATATGAATATTATTGTGATTCAGACTCATTAGGCATTTCATTAAAAGATAAAAATCACCCAAATAATTTAGTATTTATTTATGTGTGCTTATGTAATTACATTTCCTATTTGGAAAGGATAACAGTGGTCAGCATTCCGTGGTCATGTTAGATTGTCGAACGAGTAAGTGTTGATCGCAAGATTCAATGATGCAGCCTATATAGAGCAGGAACTCAGATTTTTAGAATAGCATTAGAGAGTGAAATCCAAGATTGAAGGGAAGTACATCAGACCTGTGTACAACTTACTTCCAATGATAGTTCAGATTATAAGAACACCTACGTTTACGGACGTGTTATTTGATAATTGTGTAGATTGGTAACTGACAGGGGGAAACTTGCAACATCTTCTGAGAATATATTTTGCTTATGACCTATACAAAGGTTAACCACCAAGAGACTGCACTCTTGAGAATGTTATGCGTAACGGGGATTCCATAGTTGTATTAGACTTCGGATTGAGAAAGAGGACTGAGAATTATTGTGCATATTGGAATCCCATGATTCTAAAAGGCAAACAATGCTTATCACAATATTAATGGTCTTTGGGTATCATGTATTTAGTGATGACCAATGGATCATTTATAATAAACGAGATTCATAAACGCATTTCAATATGGGTGAATGGGGGCAAATTGGATCTCGTTTCATTGGTAACTACTAAAAAGCAATCTGTCATCTCTTTATTATCGCAATTACTAAATCCTGAAAATCCTATTCCTTGGGACTAAATACCTCATCATTCGGCTTTCAGGGATGATCCTAAATGCAAGGCAATCCTAAAATTATATGAAGTAAGATCAATGTCAGATCTCAAAATTAGATCTGCTTCTCGACTAAGTAGTAAATAATCTGGTAGAAAGACTCAAAGAACTTCAATAGTATTACATGAAAGCACTTCAAATAGCAATCAATCAACCTCAAATTAATCGCTAATCAGCAAAATTTCATCTTTGTATAAAAATAAATTTATTGAAGAGCATAAACAAAGATGTAATTCTTCGGTCAAAACTACTAAACAAATAAACAACTTCTTTTCAAATAATAAAATGAAACTTAAATTTGCTACCAAACAATCAGATCATACTGTCCAACTAAGTTGTGATCTTCGAAGTCTTAGAACTGGATCAAATCTATCCAACATTGGCCTTACATAAAGGATAGATGAGTCAGAAGATAAAAAACTCAATCGAAGACTCTCCCAATAAGAAATTGACTATGATAAAATAAGATCCAGGGTTAGTTCTATTAGAATGGCTATCAAAGAATACAAGGCTAGAAGTTTAAGGCATCTATCTTAAGATTCCAATGCTGTTATTTAGAATTCAGATGAAGCAGTTCAACCTGATAATTATATCTAATTGATTAAAAGACCTCAAGTTGAAATTGAGATTCTTACATAAAAATACTTGAGATCACTTGAATGCATTAATATAATCGGTTAGACTGTAGCTAAAGCAATCGAATTTTTAGATGCTTTGCAAAACTTCTGGATTATTCCTCTATTTTTAGTTTTCAAGAGAATGCTTCAATTGAGGTTAGAAGTTGAGAAATTTCTTGAAGCACAAATCAATTCATTTAATATCGATTAATGGAAAGAGGTATGTAATTCTAGGGAATATCTTTAATTCTTGAGCCGTATCAAATCTGATAATTGTCTAGTCAAAAATGAAATGATCCTTCTTATGCAAGCTTCATAAACCAAAGCGGATCAACTTGATAAAAATAAGAGAGAAAAAGTCTTGTGGTTTCTAAATGATAATTTAGATTCTAATATTCAACCTATATGCTTGTCATATATGAAAGACTAATTACTTGTGGCTGTTATTGATAAAAGAGGATTGTCAAGAGAACCTATTGAATGGTTAAAACTTTAGCTCTCTTTAAAAGCTTCAATCGTAATAACTCAATTACCTGTACTAGGTTGCGAAAGTAACGAATTTAGTTATGAACAATACTTAGAATGTCAAGATTCATAAAATTATACTCAAATACAAAAATATTGTGAGCAACTACAAATCAATATTTGATTTTATTTATTTTAGGTCATATATATATATTTTAATTTCAAATCTATATTAGCTATGCAAAAATCTAATGATTGTCTAATAATGTTTATCAAACATCTTTTTCTTATGATATACTATTTAAAGAATAAAGCATTAAGGGAAATATAAATTTTTTTGAGTGGTTATATCAATATAATAACATTAATAATAATAGATATATTATCAAAATATTACAATTTGTTGAAATTATTATTTCTGCAGAATTTTACTCTGATGATTGAGGATTGTTACTTTCTTCATTAATATATGTATAAAAATACCATTAAAAAAATGAGAATTTGAGGAACCCAATTCTTTATCCAAAATAAAATTATCACAAAACCCTTCTCTTAACAAGTATCCAGACTTACATTTAATGCATTAATTATAATTTGAACAGCTATCACAATTCTAAATTAGACATTAACTTTACTCCAGGACATCCTATACAAAATTTAATAGAGTCTAAGGGATATGTTAGATTTGGACAATTTTCCAAGCAAAATCCTTAGTACCTGTAACCATCACATATTTATTGGCAATCTAATCCTGAATAACCCTTAGCACAAATACACTAATTTAGTTAAAATAATATATACTAACCTATCTATTGATACAAAATCCATTCATACCACATGAGTTCGGGCAATCATTTCTGAATTAACACACTTTTTCTGGATTGTATGGACATTCTAAATTTCCAAAGTACCCATTTGGCAATTAAATTTAGGCTGATTAAGAGCAATCAAATTCTAAATCACCAATAATGATTTTCAATTTATCATTTACGTCGCAATAAAACTTTTAGCAAGTAAATTTTTAAAAGGATTCTATTGGTGAGATTGATCCTTTTATGCAGATACTATCATCACCATAGTAAGAGATTATTTATGATGATTTATTTTAAATCTAATTTTAATCATTCTTGCACAATTAATCAGTGTAAATCTATTAATACATGCACTATCCACTTAAAGTTTCTTACATACATACTGATTATCCAGTTCTATCATATGAGCAACTCTCAGCATTTTTTTCATAGCAGAATTCAGTAAAATTATTATTACAATACTTGTTAACAAATTCACAACCTTTATTTCTTCCCCATTAAGTTTAATCTGGACTATAATCTGATAAACGATAGAACCTAATTATAAATGAGTTTTACCCAGTGTCTTACAATAATTAGAATGTAAAATCAGTTATTAAAAGATTTCCAGTTAATTGTGAACCAGTCATTAGCTCATTATAAAGTAATAATCTTTCAAAATGATAATCACTTGTTCCTGGACCTCCGTTGTCCTCCATTTAAATACCTGTTAGATTGGAGCAATTAAAGTAAGCCCTAGCAAAATTAATTAATCTTGGAGTTGATAAATATGTAACATTGTTTTGTTTATAAAAATTAGGAAGTTCATAATTTTTACCTGTTACTGAATCATAATATTTTGAAAAGTAGTCATAGGTGAAACCTAAGCCATGAATAACTTCATGGATTGCACTTTCTAAATTACTTTCATATTATATTTTATCATTTCTATCAATTTTTGTGTAGTTCATATTCCAAGACATTAAGCCCATAATTGGTCTTAAAGATTACTCATCATAAACATTTGGACCACAGTAGGCTTTATAAAATTTAGCTGAATTTTCAATGTTTACAAATATAACCTAAATTTCAATACAAGTATACTAAATCTGTATCATATGATTAATTCATTAAACTTTAATTTATTTGAAACCCATAAAATGCTTTTGGATAATTTTTTTTAAAAGTAATTTTTTCATTCATTCTCTAAACTAAGAGAAATCTATAAAAAAATGTTGAAACCATTTCAAGTATTTCTGTTATATATTTTGTGTAATTCTGATCATAATTAGAGGATAAATATTCAAAATGTATTCTCAGTGGCTCCCATTCCTTTTAATTTAATTTTTGTTGAAGTTCTTCTAATTTCCTTTTTGAGTCAACAGAAAGCCTGTAAGTAAATTATTATTCTTAACAATCAACTGAATAGAAAAGGATTGCTATAATAATAAAGCATTTCATTAATTTAATAGTAATTGAAAAATATACAATTTAGTTGAATTTTTTTCGTGAGTGAAAATAATTATTGATAAATCGAAATGATAAAATATTTTCATCCAATTAGAGTTCAACTTTCATCCATAGAATCTCTGACTGGAAATCTGCTTTCACACACACTATCCAGATCAAATACAGGTCTTACATCCTTAGAATCAAGGGCTTTAAAATTCTAAACAAAAAGCTGATCAAAAGTACATTTGATTTCGTCATCTAAAAACTCTAATATTTATTTATCTGTTTTAGACAAATATGCTTTTAATTTTATATTTTAATAGCTTTTAAAAGCATCATTAATTTTAGTGATTTCAGATTTCTCATCATCTAATATTAATTTGTATGATATTTTTTTCTCTAAATTTTGTATGTTTTCTTGAAATTCCTATTCAAAAACTCCAAAAGGGATTAATGGCTTTGGAATATAATTGAATAGATTAATTTAATCATTAGATAAAAGCAAATATTTCAATTTATCCAACTCTTGTAACTTCTATATAATAAATGATACATCTAATTTAGACATAACTTTATCAATAGCATAATGAATTTATTTTTTCTTCTATCTATTACAACAAATTGTAAGTTGAAAAATAACTTGCTTAGACATTTTTTAATGTAACTGCTAATAGTTTAAGAACTTTTAAATATCAATGCTGTTTTCAAGCCGATTTGTTTAAATGATTTATTTTTATTTCTCTTTTTGCATTCTTCCTGAAGTATTTGGCAACTCATCTTCAACAATTTCTTAACATTAATTTTATGGTATGAAAAAATTTGTTTGTTTCTTGTTTAGCGTGCCTTTTCCTTTCTTATTTGATTCAAATCTAAAATATTCATTTGCCATTTCGATTTCTGTTAAAAACGATGTGAAGGGATTTAAAAATATTTAGGAAACTAAACTTAACATTTGAAATAGACCTCCTATACTACTAAAGGCATTTTACAATTTTTAATAGGTTCTAGTGTACTAAGCCATCCTTTAATCTATAATTATACCATATTTAAAAATATATTCATTATTGTACATTTCTGATGTTTCCTTAACTGTCAATTGTTAAAAGGAAAAATCTTTCTCATTCTGTGTAGTAAGTAATCCTCCATCTGATATGACTTCTATTAATTTTAGTTATGATAACATAGTTTTAGTGATGCTGACAGAATAAAAATAATATTAAGCAGAAATGATATTTTCGAATGAGTTCTCATACTCCTACATCTTAGTTAGACTATCAGATGTGTGTATGACCAAATAGTTACCTGATAATTTTGAATTTATTTGTTCATTTGACGAACAATTCTGAAATTCAGTCGTATTTTTGCATTTTGATATAAATACATCAATATACTAAAATAAATCTGATTATGGAGTTCCTTAAAGTCTTATCGGTCTTTCATTCCAATCCTTACTCTTTGCACAATATAATCCAGATTTGTTAAAACTTTTAAAATATTGTTGCTGGAAGTCATTTGGAAAATGTTCATCTTTACATTCTTCGACCTGGTAATAATAGCAACTAAATATGTAAATAATAATACTCTAATTTAGATATTCTCTATCCATTTGTTTCGTTTAGGTATCTTTATCTTTTACAGTTCATTATCGAGATATTAAAATATTGGTTTTACCCTTAAATGGGTTAAAGCTTGCTATCTAATAAGGCTATTGCAACTGTATAATTATGGGGATGCAATTAATATTCCTTTCATTAACATTAAATATACATCTGTATTGAATAATTGAAATTCAGAAGTGATTACATTAGGATGATTTCTAGCAAAAATATCCTAAATTTATGAAATAAGCTGAATAACACAGATTGTGATTATACAACATGTAATAAATGCTCCTACAAATGTAGAAAACTTTTTTTGTTTTTATATCCTTAGTTGTGGTTATAAAGCAAAATAATCCGATGTGCTAATTAATTTTTTGCCAATAGAGTTCACTTAAGTAAAAAATTTCAATCTCAAAGACTTCATTGATTTTAAATATTTATAAATCACATATCATTAGATTGTTTGAATATTGCAGAATAATTTATAAATCTTTCTTAATAGTTGGCACTAAATAATATATTTATATTCAAATAAAATCATATACTAATTATCGGTTATCTAAAATTCAATACATAATTAAAATAGAAGGAAAAATCTCTTTTCTTTAGATGAAAACTTCAATTATAAATTGATTAAAATTTTTCCTACTGAAATCAAATGCGCGTTTTTGCCATTAATATAATAAATCAGATAAGAATTAGACAAATCCGCTATTTTTATTTTAAATCAGTATTAAATTTTTCATAGATATTTTACTATCTATTTAGTTTATTTACATCATTAATTAATTAAATATATCATTAATTTTTAAAAAATAATTAAGTTTTATTTTACAGAATNAAGTAATCCTCCATCTGATATGACTTCTATTAATTTTAGTTATGATAACATAGTTTTAGTGATGCTGACAGAATAAAAATAATATTAAGCAGAAATGATATTTTCGAATGAGTTCTCATACTCCTACATCTTAGTTAGACTATCAGATGTGTGTATGACCAAATAGTTACCTGATAATTTTGAATTTATTTGTTCATTTGACGAACAATTCTGAAATTCAGTCGTATTTTTGCATTTTGATATAAATACATCAATATACTAAAATAAATCTGATTATGGAGTTCCTTAAAGTCTTATCGGTCTTTCATTCCAATCCTTACTCTTTGCACAATATAATCCAGATTTGTTAAAACTTTTAAAATATTGTTGCTGGAAGTCATTTGGAAAATGTTCATCTTTACATTCTTCGACCTGGTAATAATAGCAACTAAATATGTAAATAATAATACTCTAATTTAGATATTCTCTATCCATTTGTTTCGTTTAGGTATCTTTATCTTTTACAGTTCATTATCGAGATATTAAAATATTGGTTTTACCCTTAAATGGGTTAAAGCTTGCTATCTAATAAGGCTATTGCAACTGTATAATTATGGGGATGCAATTAATATTCCTTTCATTAACATTAAATATACATCTGTATTGAATAATTGAAATTCAGAAGTGATTACATTAGGATGATTTCTAGCAAAAATATCCTAAATTTATGAAATAAGCTGAATAACACAGATTGTGATTATACAACATGTAATAAATGCTCCTACAAATGTAGAAAACTTTTTTTGTTTTTATATCCTTAGTTGTGGTTATAAAGCAAAATAATCCGATGTGCTAATTAATTTTTTGCCAATAGAGTTCACTTAAGTAAAAAATTTCAATCTCAAAGACTTCATTGATTTTAAATATTTATAAATCACATATCATTAGATTGTTTGAATATTGCAGAATAATTTATAAATCTTTCTTAATAGTTGGCACTAAATAATATATTTATATTCAAATAAAATCATATACTAATTATCGGTTATCTAAAATTCAATACATAATTAAAATAGAAGGAAAAATCTCTTTTCTTTAGATGAAAACTTCAATTATAAATTGATTAAAATTTTTCCTACTGAAATCAAATGCGCGTTTTTGCCATTAATATAATAAATCAGATAAGAATTAGACAAATCCGCTATTTTTATTTTAAATCAGTATTAAATTTTTCATAGATATTTTACTATCTATTTAGTTTATTTACATCATTAATTAATTAAATATATCATTAATTTTTAAAAAATAATTAAGTTTTATTTTACAGAATATTTTACAAACTTACTAAATGTATTCATTGATAATTAAGTAGATAAAACATTTAAGTTATCACAATTGTAAAATATAGCACTTAAATTGGCAAGAGTTATCAAAATTTCCATAAATATTTATAGAATATTTCTAATCAGTGGGAGCAATGAAAGATTGAAAAATAAATCTTAATATTTAATTCAATACTCCAAATACTATCTGAATATAGACAGGCTAATTTCTAAAATTGAGAATGAAGTTTGACAAGCCCAAATCAAATAACAATTTTTAATACTAAATTTAAGTTAAATTATTGAGTAAAACAATACCATTTAATGTATCACCACATCATATTGATACTTGTTATATACTCTATTACTGCAGGAGACAATTAACCTCAAATTCCCATTTAGGAAAATTTCAGAATCATAATCCTCGTAGTAATAAATTACAAAAAGAAGGTTAATTCTAACCTATTAAGCGTTTTTGTTAAGGATTAAAAAAAGAACCAATTTAATCATACTATATCAACTGTAATCTTGACTTTGTTAAGTAGGGTATTTAACTGATGAATATATTAATTTATAATGTGAAATAGATGAAAATATAAGGGTATAAAATGCATCTGAGATGATTGTCATTATTATTTGAGGATTTAATGTATGTATTAATCTTGGCCTCAAGAATTAATGAATTAATCCTTATGACATAATTTATCTATTTACTTTATCTGATTTCTTGATTAATAATGCAAAATAATTATTTGAAATAACTTGATATTTATTAAAATATGATTAAAATAAAGATTGTTTCAATTTAATAAAGAACTAAGTTATTAGTAATTATGGATACAAAATTTGAATTCTATTTATTTAATAATTATTTGAAAACCTCATAAATTTCTCAATCATTAATTATAAATCACTCAAAATCTGCCTTTTGGTATCCTTTAGTTATTTATTGCACACCAACTCCAACATTGGCCATTTCCATTTGCAATTTGTCTAAGCAGTGGTCACTTTTAACTTCCTAAGTCAGAAATTTGATGAATATACATACTGGATTATTAACAAAATTATCTAATTAAGCAAAGTTAGTTAATTCTTCATCTACATACATCTCACTTAAGACATATTTTTTTTCTTGTATTGTGAATTCCGTCTTTTTTAGAAAATTGTCTTAAATCCAAAACTAAAATAAATCTTAATTTCCTTACTTATAAACCATTCATAAACACAGGGATAATACACATCACAATAATCAATTTAAAGGTTGCCAAATCTGAAAATGGAGACAATATGAACTAAGAAATGCTCTCTAAAATGAAACCGATGACTAATTGCAACAGAAAAAGGAAGAATTTAGACTATGATAAAATAAATGTATTTTTACAATTGACACCACTAGTATCCACAAAATTAATTGAATGAACCATGCTTTTAAATCAATTTTAATTATAGGCTTGATGAGATTAGTACCAGCTGGCACTTTATCTTTATTATTCATTTCATTTTTTTTAACTTGGTCATCTGGCATAATAATTAAAAAATAGTTTCCTGAACGATAATTCTAAATGATTGTTATCTTACTGCCATTTAAAAATGCTCTAATGTAAGTTCAACTAATTTTAGGATTACATAACTAAATAATACTCCAATTGTTGTATCCAATAACAGTGTGGCCAAATACCTTTTAATTATAAAATCTTAGCTACCAAACACACTCATCAGAATCCCCTGACAAATGTATAGCCAATGCCACATTCAGAAAATGAGCAAAGACTTACGAACACCCTTGTTTTGATGTATCTAATCCCCAAACTTTCCATTGTCTCTTAGGTTTTTCAACAATTCTTTTATCTAAACTTAAGATGTTAATTACAAATCAAAATAAAGAATGAAAACACACCCAGTAGAATTTAGATTGAAAATCCAAGTGGTCCCAAAATGTCACAATCATCCGACATTTTTATTATTTATATAATTAAATAAATTTGTTAAAAATTAATATGAATCAAATTAAATGCGAGAAATGCTAATTTGTACCTGAGAAATTTGTCTGTTTGGATTGTGAACATTCATTTTGCCTTTCCTGCTTAGCTAAACTGTTTAAATAAGTATTAAACCTTAATAACCAATTGATAGCATGAGAATTCAATTCAATGTATATCATGTTATGACATAACAATGTTAGATGATGAAACTATTAATGCATTAATTGAAGTGAAATTGCAACAATTATAACCTCCAGTTATCATTCCATACACTACTTCTAAAAAATAAAATAATCAAAAAGACTTAATTTAAATTAAAGGTCACCCTTTTATTGAAAAACTAAATGTTTCTATTGAGACATGTTTGGATAATATTCGAATCATTTAGTTTGATAAATAGAAGATGAGAGAAATTTCAAATAAAATTAAATCTGATCTTGAATCTGAATTTAAATCATTGCATATATGTTTGGATAATAAATTAGAAGCATTTATGAATGAAATTTCTAGAATTGAAACTCTAAATTCAACTAATTTACAAAAATAAGAAGAGGGATTTTAGATTGATATCAAAGAAATGTAAATAATGAAGGATGAGATTAAAAGTTTATTGTAATCGCAAACAGGAATTTAAGATGATATTGAATAATTTAAAATTATATTAAATCAGATTCATGAAATTACTTTCAAAACAAATGAAAAATATAAGACTCATCTCAAATAATTTTAAGATGAAATTTATAGAATACCAATAAAGTGGACTGATTTTTCAAATTCTTATTAAACATTTTTCAATAACTTCGATTCAATATAACCATTATAAACATCATCTTAATAGTAATAATAGTTTATAACAGCAGATCGATTAGAAAAAATTTAATAATCTTTGGTTAAGTAAACTTAATATTAAATTATAGCTCAATCTCTCATACAAATGTCAAACCTATTAAGGCATCTCATTAATCTCATTTATCTTTATGTTCTCCTCCTAGAAATAGTTTTCTTTAAGATGAACATTAAATACAAAGGAAATCAAGCCGAATTGAGTTAATAAGTAAATTATAAAGCCCAGGTGAAATCAGAGTTAGTTCGATGAATAGAGGAAATACAAGAACATTGGTTCCAAATCTAAATTTGACAGGAATTTCGAGTATAAAATGATATTTAAATATATATATATAATTGTAGAGATAAACAACTAAATTTTATTAATAAAATAAAGAATTAATGTAAAATAATACTATTTATAACCTAGAAAGCTTCAATAGTCTAATAGCAAACAGGAAGGATGATGTTTTTGACTGTAAAGGGAGAGATCTCAAGGATAAAATATGATTTGATTTCACATTCACTTTAATTTTCAAAATTTAATAATTGAATAAGAATTTAAGTTCAGGTTAAATGTAAATTCTTATATTCTTTATGATTAAATAGTTGAAAATTGATTTTATTTGTATTTTACCTTAACTAAATAGCTCATAAAATAATTCTAATTAAATAATATTCTTATTTATTATTTCCATATTTAATACAAAATTATATTATTAATGAACTTTAAATCATATTGATTTATTTGAACTATCATCAATTTATGATTACAATTTCTCATTTTGATTGGCTGATTTATCAATGTCTTGTTCTTATTACTTTTAACAATCTGTTTGAAGATTAATTCCTTAAATTTAATTATCTTAAGGGAGAGAAATCTATCCATTTTATTGTTCAACTTGTTCTTCAATGATGAAATTTCCATCTTTAAAATTACCATCTTGTATTTTTCCATCTATAAATTATAGATAACCCTTCCCATGAGGCTAATAGTTTTTAATCTATCCTTTTTTATTAATCTCTTATTTTACCTTTATAAATGCTGTCATTTGGGAATTTAATAATAATATCTTGATTTAAGACAAACTCATCTTATGAAAATTATCCCTAGTACTTACAATTATTATCTTATAATGTAATCACTCCAAAGCCATCCTTTAAGTCATCCAGCCATTCTCCTTCGTATGTGTATGATTTGGCTATAAATTAAATAAAATTATGGTTACTTTAATAGATTCCCATTCCATGTCTCTTTCCTGCTTTGTATATCCCTTTATAAATATCTCCATTTGCCCAAACATATTAACCTTCTCCTTAAAACAACCCTTCAGTAAATTAACCAACATAGACATCTTTGTTGGGCAATATCAATTTTCCAGTTCCACTATAACATCCATTTTTAAACCATCCTTCATAAATTTAATTTTCCTTTTACAAATTACCATAACCATTAAATTGATTATTTCTAAATCAAACAAATATTTACTCAAAATGGCCATCATATTAAAATTCATTGACAACAATCAATATGCCATCTCCATGAAATTTATTATGTTTGAATTGACCCTTGTATTAAAATTTCTTATCCATTAATTTTTCATATCTTCCCTAACCATGTCTTAGGAAGTCTTGGATTTACCCTAAATATACTCTTTTTTAAAACAATTCAATCATTCCTCCATACTACATATTTCCAATAAAAATGTCAGCATTTTCAAATACTTTGTAGAATGGGACTGATGAATTTTTATCAAAACATTCAGAATTAGTAATTATGGAATAATCAAATGATTTTAGCCATTTGAGTCCGTTCTCTGTTTTTGTAATCCAATGTATGATTCCTTTTCTATTATGTTTTCTTATCACTCTCATTAAATCATATAGCAGATTACGATATTCCTTAATTTTTAATTCATTAACCAAATCTTCTTTATGCTTCTTTATTTCTAATTTTTACTAATCCTAAGATGCATTATCATCATCATCAGAGCTCTTTTTATTATAGATTCTAATATTACATCTTATGGACTTATTTCTTATTTAATTATCATACTCTTTCTTGTTCTTATTGCAGTCAATTTATTTATTCTTTCATCAAATGTTTATAAATTGATAAAAAAATAGCTAATTTCTGATAACAGTTTTATGTAATGATCATGAATTATTTTTCTGATCCAATCCTCACTTCCCTGAAATGTTATCTTCTGACTTTGAATAGGAATCAATCTCTTTAACAAATCCTATTAGTTCAAATCCAATTATTTTAAACAATCTGTATTTATGGCACTGTATAGTTATTTTTCAATTAATTTCAAACTTAATTAAACATATACATTACTTTAATAATTTCTTATGCTATTCTCTTAAGATATTTAATTCTCCAGTGTCAACATCTATTATAATATCCGGGTTCAATTGATTGAGACCCTTGATAAATTTGTTTGTAGTCCCAATCAAATACCCTTTAAGATTTTTACTTTGCAGCATATTGATATCAGTCACACTAAAATGCATAAATAATCGATAGGTCTCACTAAATATTTTAAAGGGCAATCCAAAATTACTCAAATAGCTTGCCTTGAAATATTAAAATTGGTTACCTATATTAATGATTTTTTGGTTTATAAATTAAAATTTAACAAACCTGGAATCAGTGAAAGTAAACTGATTATAAATCTAGAGCAAACACTCGAAGATTATGAGTATATTATTATTTTCATCTGATATTAAATTGCCTTCAGGATTTTCAGTATTTTATCTTTGAAAATCCAAAACACTCCTATCAAATTAGTATCGGTGTATAAAGCTGAGATCTCCACATTCCTTAAATCAAAGGTTTATTAAATGCTGTCAAATGCATAATTTAAAATTGACATATCTTTAAAGTCCTATAATTGAAAATAAGCCTCTATTGTTGGCTCCAACCTGCTCTTGATATATCCAAAGAGCGGTACAAAGGATAAAAGGCAAATGGCCTTTTAGATATGTCCTCTTGTTAATTCTGGGTTCTACTTTTTTAACTCTTCTGTCACTTTAATCTATTTGAAGCAGGTTACACCAAACAATTATTTTGTCTGACCATTGATTTATGCCTCAAAATTAAAATACAAGTAGTCTTCATTTGCGTTATGAACTGCATCTGGCAAAGCACATACTGTCACTGTGTTGATGATATTTTCAATATCATTTGTTAATGATGACAATTCAGGATAACAGTATTCAATTTCTGACCCCCTTTTATGATGAAATCCAACTGCAAATATTGCTAATACTGGTGTTTATTCCTCTTAGAGCGCATATAATTCCATTAATTTTTATTGCAATTCAAAATCAAAGATTTATTCAGGACTTTTAAAGATTTCGGATATTTATTTACTAAATCCTTATGAATCTCTATTTAGATTTACTTAAAATAAATTATTGAAGGTCATTATTTCCCAATAATTATAACACTTTTCGGAATTCAAATATTTTCTCATATACCTTTCTTTCCTGGTAAGTCTATGCTTATTTTAATCATCTGAAAGGTTTTAATTCAATTTTTTCTACAGCCACTTTTTCATTAAATTAATTAAGAATTATTATTTGTCTAATTTGTTATTAATTAAAATAATACTAATTAGAATTATTGATACATTAGATATAATATCATTCCCTAGTTTCTTATGTGAATTTTTAGGGAATAGATATATAGGAATCACAAAAAGCTAGAGGCATCTTTGAAATCTAAAAAATTTGTTAAACAATGCAAAAATTTTACAATATGAATTGCAATTCGATTTGATTTATCTGAAAACGATAAGAATTTGAACCAATAGAGGATAAATATATTATGAGAGCATATAAAATATTTAATAATTTTCAAAAATTTGTCCTTCAAATTAAAATGTCACTTAAACACTTACTATTAAAGACAAAATTCTTAAACTAATAAAAAATGAAAAGGACCTCTATGTAAATTGAAGACAACAAAATTTTGAGATTTTCATTTCCTTTTGGTGAAGATTTTAGGAATCTTTTAATTTCTCAAACCAAAATTCCATAAGATTCAATTAGCAAATATTTTTATTAAATTAACAATAGGAGTAAAATTATAACTATAATTAATTTAATTTAGTAACCAAATTTATGTAAACTTAAGGCTTTAAAGGAGATGAATATATATCATTATAACACTTTATAGTCATTTTTACGAATTATTTGAATATTCTTAGATTTGAAGGGATTTGTTCTTATTCATACAAAAAAAAATAAAATACATTTAATTATTTTCATTGTTATTAACAAAATTAAAGGAAAATATTTATATCTCATAATTCACTACTTAACTTTGACACTTTATGAATAAATTTATTTGTCTATTCCTTTCGTGCTCTTTAACTCAAAATTTCATTTTTATCAGCAACTTAATTCAAAAGAAAGCCAATTAGTTTTCTTTTGAATTAATTTTCACTTTAAAATTTTTTAAATTCTTCATGTTGAATGGTTTGCTTTTCTTCATTTTGAAATTATTCAGACACTGTTCTAGCTGACCTTTGTATTTCCTTATTCATTCTTCTTATTTTTCTATTAAATGATTTTTTTTCCTTCTTTTGTTCATCTTCTAATTCAACACAATATCCTATAATATCTTGCATTTAATGCTAAGTATCTGGATCTACACCTTTTCCATTCCATTTTTGTTTAGTTGTCAAGAATGTCTAAGAATGCGTATGTGTATTTAAGGCAGTTTGAGGCCTTGATTCAAAATTGCTAATTTCAGGAGATTATCTATGAGACAAAGGTTTATTATAAATTCCAAATTTTAATCTCCTTTTAACTTTATTTTGTATTTATTGTGGTGGCGGAGTTCTGTAAAATTTTCTTAGATCTGCTTTTTATGTTATATTTTAAACTTCATTTTCAAAGATTTAAGCAAAAAGTTTATCTTAGATTTCTTTTTATTTTTTAAATGTAATCATTTTTAATTTATTCTTTTTACTATACTCTGGTTCAAATTGATCAAATCTAGATTCTTTATACACTTTGATCAAATTATTTTTCTCATCCTTACTTAGGATTTAATCAAATTCTTCTTAATTTATTCTCTTTTCTATCAATTCATTTAATTTGTCCTGATGTTGAGTCATAGAAATCTTCTCAACATCTACATTTAAGAGTTTACCAATATCAACTTCAGGATGTTATTTACATAATTCTGTCAGAAAGTAATTAATCTATTCATCATCAGACAATTCAACATGATTAAGTTCTACTAGGTTACATTTTTTTTGAGCTTATAATTTTTAAAGGTTAGCTTTGAGATTAGCCATTTTGTATTCCTGATATAAAGAACTAGTTGAATTCTATTTCATCAATTCATCATGAATAAGAGATGCAACCTTTTACTCTGGCTTCGGTTAAACTTTATGTGATTTTTTATGATTAGAAATTTTTGGTCTTGATTAACTTTCATCTTATGAAATCTCTCTCTTTTTAAATTTACTAATTTTATTTGGTGTATCAATATTTGTTTAAATGTTTAAACTAACTAAACTTTATGCATTAACAGTTTTTGTGCCATTCGACACTAGTTTATAATTTTTATACATCTCATATCAGCAAGTTTTTTATTTATATAAAGAGTCAAGTTCTATCTCTAATAATCCTAGTAAAACCCCACTTGTTGTCTGATTGGATGATCTTGTATTGTTTTTTTTACAAGAAATCCCGTAAAAGAAGACATTAAATTTAATTATAACGAGTTATGTAAAAATATATTATTTCAATCTTTGGTATTTTGCATATCACATTTTCTCTTGTTTTTCCATTTTAAAAGTAGATCATGTTTATTCAAAAACTAAAATTGATTATCCTTATAATCTAAAAATTAATTACCGATTGATCTTGTTCCAATATTTGTTCGTATTATTAAACACACTACAATGGAGATTGCAAAGGGGTCAGAAGAGGAGATTTTCCTATAGATTAGGAGTTATAAAAATATAAAGGAGTATGAACAATAGATGCTGATTGATTAAATTCAAATAGATTTGGAAAATGATCCTAACAACCCTCTTCCACATTAATCCCAACATCACTTGAATGATATTCATTTTTTAAATCTAACACAGAAGTCTGTTCTTTTATTTTGCTGTTCTATTAGCATTATTCAGGATGTTCTAAAATTTAGAATGAGTCATAAAATATTTTAGTTGAGATTTTATTTTACTCATTGCAGCTGTTGTTAATTTCTTGTACCTTAAAGCTTCCGTGATAATTTAAATCAGATAAACTGCTCCTGTTTCCTAAGCTTTATGTATCACAATTTCCTTAAGTTGAATAGCAAAATTAATTCTTAACTTATTAAAGTAAGTAGATATATTGATTTTCTTAGTTTACTACATTCTATTCATGTTTTTCAATTTCAATTTTAGTTTTTTTTGATTAAATAAGAATATCTTCATTCAATTCTTATTTTTCCTATTTTTGAGGGATGGTTTTCTGAATTTTGTCTTTCGATGTTTCTATTAAAATACTGTCCTATTGATTTTTATGATCTGAACTTCTTATGGGTCTTTTGGAGATATATTATTTAAGTGCAATAAGCTCATCAATGTCATCATCATCTTATTCTTAATATATTTTATGAAGTAAACTTTTAAATCTATTATTTTAAGGTTAAAAACATACCTATTTTTCACTTAATTTTCGGTTCTACCATCTAAATATTTTGAAATCATCGACCACTTTTTGCCATTCTCAATTACTAAAGATAATAATTAATGATCTTCTCTATCTGTCCAGCTTGACCTAATATAAATAAAATATTTATTAAACTTTTTCAAAATAGGATTTAAATAATTCATCCATCTTTCTCTGACTTGTTTTGGAGTTCTAACATAGAGACCATTGTTGTGATTATATAATTCCAAAGCTATTTCAGTCCATATATGTTTCCCTTGCTTAACACTATTAAATAATTTAATAATAACTCCTACTTCATCTATGACTTTATGATGTCGTCCTCTTCTTTTTCCCAAATTAGACTTTTGGCCATTGGGGTTATTAATGTTATCCACCTTTATTTTAAAGTTTATTCCTCTTATCCGAAAATACTTGTTAATTCTTTCCATTCCTCAGATGTGGGATTGATAGTTTTTTTATTTTTCATCTGAAAATATTTGATCATAACCAAAATGAATGACTATTTACACTATTAGTCCCATTTTTTATTTAATTTGTGGTAATTTTGGGTTAAAAGCCTTACATAAATTTATAATTTACTTTTCTGAAATTTCATAAAAATTAGGATTGATAAGGCTTTCCTTGGTTTTAAATTGATTTCTATAATAACAAGGAATGTCTATTTCTTAGTAATTTCTCAATTTATTCAAGAAGTCATGGAAATTTTGCATTATAATTTATGTTACTAAATCTTAATAATAAATATTTAATTAGTTATTACACCAGTTAGTTGTAATTTAATTTCAATTAAAAATTCTATACAATAATAATCACCAAGAAATATTCTCTGGTTTTATAAACAGAAAATTCAATTTAATTAAAATGATATAATAATTATTTTACAATCAAATCACGATTAAGTTTATAATAATAAAGTGTAGATCATAATTTCATTAAGATATTTAAATAGAAAAATAATGGCCAAATTTACAAAACTTTAGCTTTTTTATGGATAAATCAGATGAGTGAAATTACAAATTTATTTCTTAAAATATCTAATCATTCAAATAAATAATTATATAATAATATTTAAGATGCAAATTAGATTAATTGGAGAGTGACATTAAATCAACAACTACTAATCTCAAATATTTCCCTACTCTCATCATCTGTTTAATCATCCAATTTAATTTCTAACTTAGGAGAATTAAGATTTGCATCAGCTCTCAATTCAATTTCCTCTCCATCACAATAATTAGCAGTGTGAGTTCTTTATATTTGGACATCAACCTTGTTTTTTTTGCTCTGGTTGTTTAAAATCATAGTTTAAGAAAGTATCAGTCTTTTTGAATGCTTCTTTTATTTCAACTCATTCATAGCATATTATTTATATAATTAAGAGACTGGACGAACATCACTTTACTTAATATTTCAAACATTAAATACCTAACTTAACCAAATAAGAAATGGTAATAGAGACTCAAGTTCAGTATCATTCTTATCTGTAGTGAAATCTTTGATCAAAAATCCATTCTCTGGTTAAAATATAAATGACATCTATGAATTCTAAGATATTATACAATTATGATCTTATACATCAACAATTAAAACATCTTTTAAATTCCTGCCCAATTTGTGTAAATTTTTTGTTAGCCCCCCTTAAATTGAAGTACAACTTTATCTATACAACCTTGTTAATGCTCTTCGTTATGGATCTATAATATTCATCACCGGATCTGCATACTCTTTCAAACTTGCAGTCCACATTATTATTTCATAGTATTCGCTTAAATTTTCGATGAAGTTTTCTACTCCCGGTCTTAGTGTCACAAATACTTTAAACAATTAACTTTAGACTATGATCTAATATATTCTGCATTCTTACATCTATTAAAAAATCATAGCCATTATCTGGCTTAAATTAACTATGGACCAATGTTTCATCTAAATCTAAAACACAAACCTTTTTACACTCATATATATATATTTCGATTTTACATGTGATTTTGGGGAATCTATTCCTAGTTGATACTTTTAATTCGTTTTATGGGTTTTTTTATGAAAAAAGTAAATACAAGAACATAACTTCTCTAAACAATTCGGTTATCTTTCTATTTGTTCTTGCTACTGTTAATATATAATGTCATTTGTATTCATTCTTTATTATTTAAATAATGAATTAAATTTACATATTACTTCTTTAGAGATGAATTTTCTTACCAATCTTATTTTAATCATTAATAAAATGTAGGTTAAATTTACAAAAGGTGACAGGCACTCTTTAGATCTTAGAGAATCAACAAAATCAACAAAAATTCTTAATCATTTCAAAAATTAACTTTATCTTTGATGGATGTATATTTTGAATTGATGTGAAATGTTGATTCTTGGGAATGAAAAAATTTGAAACTGAAAAATAAGGATATATTGATGAAAAATTACAATTAAGTATGAAAAATGGCAATGATAAATATAAATGAAAATCAGGATTTATCTAGAAGATCTGCAACTGTGTACATTCTTCTAAATGTTTTTTAATTAGATTTCGGTTTTTCCTCATTTGGATCAATAACTTTGATTTAAATTTGTTTATTAAATGAAACTATTTTCTTTCCCGGATTGATTTGAGGAGAATGGACTTCCTTTTCAATTGGTTGAAGTGAAACTTATTTACTGTGCTTAAGTCTATTGAAATTTGGCTTTTATTATTATTATTTTAAATCCTAATTATCTAACTCAAAGAAATCAAAAATATCAGCATGTTCTCTACTGTTAGAGCTTTTTCTTTTTAGAATGCTTTTTAATTAAGTCTGCTAATCTTCAATTTGATCATCTTTTCTTAATCTACTTCGATGGGTAGATTCCTATTATTTAATTAAAGGTTTGAGCACTGTATGCTTCTTGTCCTATCTAAATATTTCTCTAATGAGTTCTTTGCGCTAGATTTCCATACGTGATGTAATATGATCAGCATTGGATTCGACCTATGAGATTTTGAATAAGTTAAGCTAATCCATTCCTTTTGACGAGTTGAAGATTGAGTTGGATTACTGTTTTTGAAACTAATTCTAGGATGGAGTCTAAACTATTTCAGGCAGAAAACTATTATTTCTGGAGGAAGGACGAGAAATGTGAATCTATTTTTTATTGTCTTATCTCAGTTGTGCTTGAGAATTCATTAAATAAATTATAAAACTCACTCAACATTTCAATTTAGAATCTAATGGATTTTGCGAATACTAATTCAATAACATAAAAAACTTTGAAAAATCAAGACCCTTATAGTAATAAATCTAAAATGTAAAAACATTCATTTTTCTGTAAGTTCCCTATACCCTTTCCAATCATGTGGAGCCTTTCCACCGCTGGAATGAATCACATCTAAAAGAGTATTGGAAGGACCGTCCTTATGTTCAGGAATCATGTTCTAAAAACTCAAATTAAATAGAATACCAAGGTTTTTTAGAATACTAATTGAGCCTTGTCCCATGTGCCTTTAATATAATGTTAGAACCCTTCTTTCCAAGTTTGATAGAATTCCTAAAATGTAAGATATAAAAATAGATTACTTTTGTAAAAGGTTCTCTAGCATAAAGGAGTTCTTCATCAGTAAGAAATTGAGTTGCAACATTAACTTTGTCTTTAGAAACATCCTTTTGTAATTGTTCCCTTTTGAATCGACTTAGAACTCGAAATTGCTTTTATTCTTTCTGATTCATCTTGGTAGTGTCAAATTTATCCTTCAACTCCTTTGATTTTTGGATCAAATTCTTTATTGACATATCGATGGTGTGAATTTCCACTGGTTCTACACTACCCTTCACTGTGACAATGTCAATCTATCTTAATTATTATTAGCATTCTTAAGTCAAATATTGTTTTAAGACACCACTTATTAATATTATAGAACCAAACTATTTAGTCGCAGCTTCTAATCTAGATGCCATGTTGACATTAGGACTCAAATAAGAAGCATCGATTTTGAAAGATGAACCAATTGCTCCTTCGATACCCCATCCCATATGTAATCCAAATCCCATCTTCACTGAATAATCTTTCATTCTTGCATTCAAACCTGCATGCTTCTTATACTTCTCCAATTTCTTTGAAATAGAAATTGAAGTTATTATCTTCAAGAAAGCCAACACTGCCATGTCTCCTTTTTGCTTGATATGATGATCAGTTTTCACGATCAACTTAGATGGATTTTATGGATTGGGATGATATTCCATTGGTAAATATTTCCAAACTAATAGGAACGCATCACCTATATTCTTATTAGCGGATCCTCCATATTGATCAACTGTTGAATGCACAATCTCAGCAATTTCATTCACAAATACCATTACATCTTCCTATAAGACTTCAGTTGCATCGGTGAAATTTCTAATATCACAAAAACCAAATATAGCCATTATCTTCTTACCTGGAAGCATTGGATCTACACTCCCTCCTTTCTTAATATTTTCTGCAATGATTTCAGAGCCTGCCTCCCCAAATCCTACTGCCAATAAAGCTCCCACTTTCATGATCAACCTTTAAAGAATATATGTTTCCATTTGCTTCTCTATATACTTCTCCTTTATCTTCTCATGATCCTCATTCTATTCCAATTGCTCCATTATCAGATCCTCTTACTCCTCTATGTTTACTGCCTCCAAAGGATTCTGAGCTATTAATTCTATCTTTTCCATCATCCTCTCTATAGGGTCTATAACCAAATCATTCACGTTTTTATTAAATAAAATGGCACTAGAGGCCAGAACTATGCAGACAAATACTGTCTAAAATATTGAGAGAATGGCATTTGTTTGATTGTAGTCAACTAAATCACCAACTGAACATGTTATTAATTTATTATTTGTATCCACAGCAGCATAATATTGTTTATCAGAGAATCTGTACTCATCGATATTTTAGTTTGTCGAAGAAAACCAATCAGGGTTTTGAGAATAATTGAATACTTAAAAATTTGTCTCGTTTAACTTTGGGAATTAGTTTGTTACATTATTTCTTAATACAAACACAGCCAAAATTGGAAAAATCTCATCCTAATGAAATTGAACATATTGCCTTGTTAGGATCTGTACAAGTTTTTGATTATTTCTAAATTAACCAATTCTAAAAATACCAGAATCATAAGAGTTTATAGTTTCTTAATAAGTATCTAATGTTAATACCGGTATACTTATTAATATTGCTAAAATAATTGTTATTACTCTTCTCATTACTAAATCAGATAATCGAGAACCCACATTGCTTTCATGAACGACTTCACTGAGCTATAGAGATTATTGACTCTACCTTATCTAATCATTACTACTACTTCCTTAAGCATTTTGATCTGATGGTTATCCTTATTGAATAGATAAAGCAGACAATTACGAACTATTTATTAAATTATTTTATTAAGAATTCTATTATTATTATTATTATTGTTATTATTATTATTATTATTATTAAATTTATCCTATAAATGGTTTGCAAGTCTCCTTAATTTGTTATTACAATTCACTTTGTTCTTACTTATCATCAATATTTTTATATTATTGGGCACGAGATGGAGGAGGAGATGGAAAAGATTAATTCCTTTGAATATAAATTTATTTTTGAGATTATGAATTGATTTTTTATTATTATTATTGTCTTTAGTTCTCATCACTGATTAATCTATTTTATTTTAATATTTCTTGAAGAATCTTTTTCTATTAATCCTTCTCATATTATTGTCTGGCATGTTTATATAGTTTTACCAGCCTTACTAGACGAATAATCCTAATGACTCTGGCTGCTTTTCTTGCAACCCTGGATGCCCTACCCAAAGCCTTGATTGTTGCAGCATTACCGATATCCCCTTCATCTCCATACCATAAATCTGTTATCCATCCAATATCTAAAATCATTGTTGCAGTCGATATTACATCAAGAAAAAAATAAAACTAATCTTAGCGCTTAATTAATTACATTTAGAATATAATTTGGATTTGCTATTGATGTTAAAATTATTTCTATTGTAAAAAAAGACATGCTTATTATTGTGAGAATGAAGAAGATATCATCTTAATCTTAATTGACACTTAAGATTCTTATATCATCTCCAAAAAGTGCATAAAGTGTAACTATGGCCATTAAAATCGAGAATGCCCATCCTTCAATAAATTAAGAAACGAATTGTTAAATTGCAGATGTTTATCTTAAACTTTATTTTTTCTGAAATCTAGCTTTAATTTTGCTGTTCATTCTCCGTATTTATTTCTTCTTAGGCTCATCACTGATTAATTGATTACTCATAGGCTTTGCGCTCCTACTACTCTTGCCACTTTTACCACTCTTGATGCTCCTTGCGCTTGATTAACTTTTATTTGATTTTTAATCATAGATTTCTCCTACGCTTGAAGGACTCCTTACTTTTCTAACTTTTCCTGCTTAATCTTCATTTTCTTCTCTACTCAATTCTTTTTTTACCAATGGTAAACATTTTTATTTTTCAGTTGACTTTTTATAATTGTTTACTTTTATACCAAATGGGCATATTATTATTCCTTGTCATTTAATTTTCCTTGGCTAACTGCATTGAAATCTATGTTTTTTGCATAAAAAATAGCATTGTAATATATACTGGATGAGGTTAATTTATAACGATATTCATCATCGCAAAGCTAGGCTTTCTTTATTCATCATTTTCAGATTCTCTTGAGGGATAGTATTTCATAGATTCATCTCTTTCTGTCATCTGATTAAATTAATTTATCAATTAATAATTAATAATAAATAAGCTTGAATTTTATATCTTCATTCAATATTGTGAATACAAATAGAAAATTAATTAAGAACAATCTACATCCTAAAAATTGACTAAGTTAAGTATCAGGTTATTTTCAAGTATATAATTAACTTAGTAAATCAAAGTAACTGCATAATTATTTGGTAATCAATTCATTTTAAAAAGTCTTTGGAATAATTAATCAAAATAACTTTAAATTCAAACATAATTTCTTAAATTACAATTCATACTAATCAAAAGTTATCCCAAAATTCTAAAGTTTGTATATTAATTAAATTCAAAATGAAATGATCATTTTCTCAAAAGTTTAAATTTGTTTATCGGTATTTTTTAAGAATAAAATCTAAAAGAAGGATAAGATCGTAAAAATTTGAATATTAACCATTAATAAATATTAAAGATTGTAAATTTTAAACAAATGAAGAAGTGAAAAGAACTGATTTTAAGAATAAAAAATATTAAGTTCCAATAATATCAACTTTTAAATTTATGATAAGGTCAATGCCACTTATATGTTATAATAACAAATAAGCAAAAAATTTATAAATTGAAAAATTTGCCAGTTACATTTTTGAAATTAGAAAAATTATTATTCCAGTTACACAAGTTTCAGAATATACTTGTAGAATTATATTTAATGAAGGTTCAATTATATTAATTATTAAAGATTGAAATCAAGAAATTTAATCTACATTTTCAGATAACCAATTCACAAAAATGTTATTTAAGGATCAAATAATAAATATGACATCAATTTAAAGAATATGAATTAATTCTATTTTAGTACTCATGAATCTTATTTCTTTATTTAATTAAGAAAAGAAAGTGAAAGTACTTTATGTTTAGAACTTCTATAGTTATTAAATTAAATTAATTGAAATAATTCTTGAATTAATTTAAATATATATTCAATATTGTGTAATACATTTGTATTCATGAATAATATGATATTGGTAGAAGTATTGTAGAAATACATCATAGAATTGAGTTACAAATAATGATAAGAATTCAAAAAATTTTTAATTATAAACAACATTAATTATAATGAGAATATCAGTTTTTATAAATTAAATAAGTAATAAAATATTTTCATTCTGCAAGCAATTGAGTTGCTTTATTATTTTTTAGTGCTGAGATTATTTTAAAAGAGTTTTCAGCATAAAAAGTTTATATAATTTCATCACAATATTAATATTCTTTAATCGAAAATTTTACAATTCGAGCGACCATTATTGTCCTTCGAATTAATCTCAGTAGAATCATAAGCTCTATTAAGATGAGTATGGCTAAAATGAAATAGAATGGAAGTTCAAGGTTCATTGTTATCATAATGGCCAATTCAACGATTATTATTAATAGTAAAATTAAAAAGGCAGATGCATATGTGATCTACTACTTTCTTGTTAAGTTTCGATATGATAAGCTAACTTAAATTGTAATATCTACTTAGTTTCTAAAACTGTGGGGTAATACAAATTGCAATAAGGGCACTACATAATTCCGTTTCCTTATTTATATTCTAATTTTATGTGAGTTATTAGACATAATAGATGATATTACCTGTCCTAACAAGCACAATACTTTGATGTAGGTGTTGATGTATGTTTATTGCAGAAGTGGCAGAAATGGTTCGCACCATTAACTGATGAATTTAAGATTTTATTCAGATGAAACTAATTAGCAGTAGTCTATGGATGCAATGTTTTTCGTAAACGGTATAAGTGTTCAGCGGGAAGAGAAGAAGTTCCTTGAACTGTAATCAATTTTGACTCAAATGTTTCAAATTAAGGTTAGTTATGTGCTGTAGTTGTATCCATATATAAATAAATAAATTAATTTGGTCATTTTCGAGCTGCAGTGTTGTTATTCCTCATAAGAAAGAGTAACTCCTCCTTCTCTTATTTCAATCTTGCATTCTCCTTCTGCATCATTAAGATTTTTTCTTCATTCTCGTTTAACACTTCTAATTTTTGGGCATAAGACTTCAATTTCTCTACCAGATTTTCTTTAAATAAATCAGTTTATTTTTAAAATTTTATGAAATTTTTTTCACTTATTTCTAGCTATCTTGTCAATGTTTAGTTTTGTTCTTTCAACATTTAAATCTCTTGATTTTGAATGAGGGACTTTTCTTGTTGTTCTGCAACTAGAGATTAGAGTTGTTTAATGGTTTAATCTTGATCTTGTATTCGACTTGTATTGTTGTCAACTTTAAATTTTGATAATCTTTAAGGCGATTATGTATTAAAATAAGATATATTGGTTGATGCTGATCTATTAGTTTTATTTGATTTGTGAAAAACAGCTGATTGTTCTTAAAATGATATTGCTGATTATTCTAAAGTAGGCATTCTTCTTGATGAATATTGTCTTTAATTTTAGGTGATCAACTCTTAATCTAAAATGTCTATTAATTCAGTCTTTTCATTTTCCAAAAGGGTTTCAACTGTCTGTTAATTTTGATTTTGCAATCTTGATAATGATTTCTTATGAACAAGTAGTAAGTCCTTTTATTTCAATTGATACTCCTATTGTTTCAGATTTTGACGTTATTCTAATAATAAACTCAATTTTGATTGCATAGTCTATGGTAATTCAGAATCCCAAGTTTACATTTTATAAATAAATAATGAATTTACAACCTGTAAGTTCTGGTTCAATCAATATGTCAGGCGATAGTAATCAGAACGGTCTTGATCACTATCTCAATGAACTCAACAATTAGAACTTGATGTAAGTGAGGAGACCGAATGAGGAGTAGATTTTGGCATTTATTGATTTTGAAGGCATTAAGCCAGATCAAGTGATCCAACACAAGACTTTCCCTGATAGTCACAAGGAAAACAAGAGTAAAGGAAGTAAGTCTTCTTAATAGATTCGACGGAATAGTGTAGACATGTCTGATGTATCACCTTTGAAACAATCGCTTAGGGATGATTTGATTCCTTTAGATAGTCCAAATATTGAATTAAAGAAATTGGGGGAACCAGAAGATCATAGAAAAAGCAAGACTATGAATAGTCCAGCCATTTAATCATCCAAATCTCCTAAACGAAAAAGCAAGCATTTCTCAAAGATCTTTTCCAAATTAACAAATCGAATGCATTTGGCGAGGAAATTCATACAAAAAATTAAGTTACTATCTCCATTTGCCAAGAAAATTTAGAAATCGCAATTGTAATTAATTCAAGATTTGAGTTCTGATATCGGTAATAGCAATGAGAAATATAACAATATAAGTTTCATTAAGATTAGAGATAAATCTAAATAGAAAAAAGCATTGAAGAGGATTGAGAGCATGAAGGCATTTATTGCACTCAAAACTTATTTTAGTGTTTGCAAAATTTAACAGATTCTTGATAAGTTGAAAAATGAAACAATAGATCCTCAAGGGAACTTTTTATTCATTTGGGAGTTATTAAAGTTTTTTGTGACTTTGGCATCACTATTCCAATTATCGATTCAAATATGTTTCAATTTGAATGTTTTGAATTGGTTTTTCATTTCTGAAAAAGAAAATTCCTAAATTATTCTGATTTTGATGTTTTTATATTATTCATTTGATATCGTTTTAGGATTTAGAACAGGGTATTACGAAAATGGAGAGGTTGTAACTAAATAATAAAGAGTTGCTAGAAGATATTTAAGGAAATACTTTTTTGTTGATTTGATATCAATAATTCCAATATTCGCAAATCTAATATTAATTTAGTCTTTTGAAACAGATAATACAGGGATAAAGATAGTGAATTGTTTATCATTCTTAAGATCTAATGCACTTAGTAGAGTCTACCATTCGTTAGAAGGGAGACTATTAAGTAATCCAAGATTCGTTATTGGATATCGTTTTTTGAGTGTGATAGGGACAGTATTTTTATATGCCCATGTATTTGGATGTCTGTGGTATGTTGTAGCTTAAAACAATTCAAATAATTGGATCAATAAAGCAGGAATAGTTGAAGATTCTTGGTTCGCTCTCTATAGTTACTCAATCTATTGGTCTGTTATGACAATGACTACTGTGGGATATGGGGACCTAACACCAGCTAATCATGAAGAAGCCTTATTTTGTGTTTGTACTATGTTTATAGCAAGTGTTGTCTTTGCATATTCAATCAATACAATAGGCATGATCATTACTGAAATGAATAAGTTTGATGAGAAAATCAATGAAAATATGGCTATTATAAATAGATACATGCAAAGAAAGAATTTCGAGCAGTCTTTGCAATTTAGGGTTAGACAATACTTATAGAATGTATGGACTTAGGAAGAGAAGTTTCGGATTGTTGATGAAAATAAGATTATTAACTGTTTAAGTCCGACTTTAAAGGAAGAAATCTAAATTTGTTTATATGGGTAATTCATTACTAGTATTCACATATTTTATAGATATTTCAGTTAAGAATGTCTACTAGAATTGACTAAGAATGTTCAAGAATATAGAGTGGCTCCAAATTCGTATGTTATTGAAAATGGGACGTACGATGGAATTGCTTTATATTAATTAGTGAGTGGAGAAGCTGAAATGTTTGTGGATCTTTAAGATAGGAAATATTACATAGGGAAGATGAAACAAGGAGACATATTCGGCCATGGTCCATTCTTTATGAACAATGTTCATCCTTACAGCATCAAAACTGATACTGCATGTTCCTTCTCTTACTTATCTAAGCAAATGTTTTTAGATATTCTTCAATCTCACCCTGGTGATTATGTAATATTTTAAGTAATATAGTAAACCTATAGAATGATCATTGATTAATGGACATTCGAAAATTAGAAGCTAGATCTAGGTGTTAAATGTTTTGGGTGTGGAGAAACCAATCATGAGATAGATTAATGTCATAGATTACATTTAATTATAAACAAATAGATTTTATTAGCAAAACATTTGTTTTCAGTTCCTAACAAAAGAATTTAATATCAACGCAATTGCAGGAGGACTACTAATGCTAAATTTGGATAGAGATTATTTGAAGATGCTGTATCTTTATTCTAAGAAAATAATTACTCTTTTTCATCTGAAGAAGAGGAACCTAATCCTAGTCAAATTGAAAGGACTCATTAAACAAAATAGACTCAAGAGGTTAGATATTAGGAACCTACTCATAATACTCATAGATCACAACAGCAATAGCATTAGCAATCAAAAAATGTGAGATTTAGGAAAAGATCAAGGTCTCTCAATTCTATTAGTGTCCATTCTGATGAAGAATCGAAATTTCAAAAATCCATATCAGGCTATAAATCCAATGATTCTTAAATAGATAAAATAAGTGGTATTCCAGTTAAAGTACAATAACTGCCAAGTTCGTAATTATCATAGAGTTCTTTTAATGTATTTTTAAAGGAACATCCAAAACGAAAAATATCAAAATAATAAGACTCTGATAAATATTCTAATCATTCTATTGGATAAAGATAATAACAGTAGTAATAGCAATAACAATAGCTATATTAATAACAATAATATTAGCATAAATCTAGTAGTCAATCAAGTAGTGGCAATATTCCTTAAAGTAGTATTGGAATATCTCCTTTGCCAACTGGATCTCCTCCTTTGCTTTATTAAGAAGAGAAATAGCCATTTTAAAAAGGGTTTGTAGATGATAGTTTATTTGTTGCACAAGAAAGAAAAAAGAAGTCTTTGATCGGTACGAGTTATACGAATACCAAATCTATAAAAAATCCACTTTAAGCTATACCCTCTGTTAGTGAAATGAATGAGACTGAGAAAAACAATAACAACTTAAAGGAAGGTTCATACACTTCTAAATAATTATCAATGTAAAGTAGATCAAGGAGTTAAAGATACACAATTTCCATCCGAACAGAAAGTTAAAAAATAAGAGAAGACACTAAGCACGATGCAACTTAGAAACATGAGAAGCATGATTACAAGTTAAAAACTGATACTTATAAATAATATCACGAGAATAGTCCGTTAAATGAAGAATAATTTCACAACACCTTTGAATAAGCCTGCAATTTAAATTCCTACTACCCACAATATAATAAGGATAGAATCATAGAAAAATATAAGAAATAATAATGCAGAAAAAATATTTACTTATATTAATTCAAGTCTTGATATATATAAATTATTTATTATACTTTAAGTTTATGAAAGAATTAAATAAATTGATTCACATATCTTTGAAATAGGGAAGAATTTGATTAATATATATATATATAAACAAGCTTCAAGGAGTCTCGACATATTAAAATAATTAAAGGCAAAAATCAAATTATACCCTATAATCAAAGCTACCAGAGGAAAAACTCATGGTTTAATAGTAGTTAAACAAGAAGAGAAAAAAACCAAGAAAAAGGAAATTAGAATATAATTAAAGAACCAAATGTACATAAAAGATTTATATTGATTAACATATATTTATATATTTGAGATAGTATTAATATTTAGATATTAAAATAATGAATAGATAATAATAAGAAGCTGCAAATATATGTAAATAATTCAATTAATTAGACAGTGTTGAAGAGAGTAAGAGATGCTTTGAATGCAAGAGGAACAAAGACAATTAGGAGTTTGGGTATATGCTTCAGGTGTTTGGACTCATATGATGGAAATAGAAAATTGGACAAGAATGAATTAAAGGTTGGATTAGCTGAAAATGGAGTTCAACTCTCTTGGAATGAAATAGATGTAGATAATTAAATAATGTAAGATTTTATTCGCAGCCATGGACAGAGATAGAAGTGGAACAATTGATTTTGATGAATTCCTAGTTGCCATAAGAGTAAACCAGATAACTATTAATTTAGGGCTAACTCAACCCAACTAGAAAGGCTATCGTTGATTAAGCATTCAAAAGGTTTGATAAAACAGGAGATGGAAAGATAACTGTTGATGACATAAGGTATTGACTTGCCTAATAATATAAAGAGGAGTATACAATACTAAGTTGCATCCAAAAGTTAAGAATGGACAAATGTCTGAAAACTAAGTTTTAGATGAATTTTTAGTGAATTTTGGAGATGTAGACAGGAATGGATAATTAAGCTATTAGGAATGGCTTGATTATTATGCCGCTGTATCAGCCTCTGTTGACAACGATGAGCACTTTGTATTGTTGATGAAAATGGCATGGAAGTTATGAAACAAATAATAAAATATCATAATAATAGATATTTTTGTAATAATTTTATTACCCTTCTGGATCAAATTTTAATTCAATATTATGAGAATTAATATATGAATGAACGACATTTAGAGCATAGGTATGAATTAAATCAATACTGAAGAATTTCCTAGTCTAACATTACTTTTATTTTCATTCCCTCTTCCCTTCTTAAACACCTTAGGAATGGTTTTCTTAATAGAAATTCTACAGTTTATATTTTCATTTTTTTGGTTTATGTATGTTTATAATTTAACAATTAGGATAATAATATTATCAAATTAATTTATCCAAACTTTCTTAAATGCTTTCTAAATTTTCAAATAGATCTTGAATCTAAGCCTTCTAAAACTTTATACTAAATTTCTCAACTTTATTAGATTCTCCAGAGGGTTTAGTTTCGAACACAAAGGTTGTAGCTGGATTTCTAGCATCATATGAATATAAATCATTCGCATCTTCAATTTTACCGTCAACATTCATAAAATTAGCTACATCTGTAATTCATACTTTATTATAGAATACTCTTTTATGGTAATCTTGATTCATCAACTTATAAACTGATTTTCCAATTAAAAGAATGTAATACGTCTTGAACAGCAATTGGCTTCTCTCTTATTCTAATAGAATACTCATTTCCATATTGTATCCATTATTGTCTAAAAACCTCAATATGATCTTAGGACTATTAAATATAGAATAGTATAATACCATTCCATTTTATGCTAGTACTTCTTCAACTTAACTCAAATTTCTTTCTGCAACAACATGCATTAATACAAATGTAAAGGCATTAACAATATTTGCTAATTGCTATTCTGCAATATGCAGATTATTCTGAAATTTCTTAATCTCATCCTCTGTAAACAAATCTTTATATAATTATCCTGGTTTGCTAAAGATTCTTCCAATAACTATCTCAGTCCTTGGAATACTTAAAGAATTCAGATTAATAATCGCATCTTACAAATTCTTATTAACCTTCATTGATAAATTATATTTATTTATAATGAAATCCTCATAATTAGAATTGATTAGATTAGTATGATGGAACTTCATTATTTTTTAAATGTGTATCCCAGTAAATGAAGTAAAAAAGCATTTCAAGTCAGAAAGGCCAGTTATGTCAAATATTACCCATAAATCAGATTAATGGAGTCCTTATCATGATAATTCAGGAACTGTATTAGGTAAGACATCTAATAAAAATGGCAAGCTGTTGGAATTCCTGGATCTGTGTTAGTAGCAGTAGACCCTAGATTGAGCAATGGTTATAATATACTCACTCGAGATGCAACTAAGTTATCATAATTGACTGATAAGTGTGTTTAAGCTACTGCTGGTTAATATGCAGATTTTATAGCCTTAAGGAAATTCTTGTAATAAAGACTGCAATTATATGAATTCTAAAATGAAGTTTAAGTATTTAATTATAAAATAAGCAAGGCTTCAACACAAACTGTAGCTCATTTGCTATCTAGAGAACTTTATTCTAAAAGATTTTTCCCTTATTACACTTTCAACTTATTGGCAGCCTTGATGAAAATAACAATGGAGTTGTTTATGGGTATGATGCAATTGGTAGTTATGATTAAATGACTTATGGTGTTTAAGGCGGTGGACAGCTGTTTTAGATAATTAACTCAAAGGTTACAATAAAATCAATAAAACTTTCCCTTAAACTCAATAAGAAAATTTAGATCTCATATTAGATTGCTTCGGTTGTGCTGCTTAAAGAGACACACACACGGGTGACAATGTTGAAATTCTTATCATCACTCCTACTGGTACAGAGAGAATTGTTAAACCTCTCAAAAAATAGATTATTAATTGGGTATCTTTGAATATTATTATTAATTAATATCAACATTGCTTTTTTAGCATTTTCAACTTTGTCTATAGCCTCCATTGATAAAACACATTGAATTCTAATTACAATAATCTATAATTAAATCGAAATATTTATCATACTTTTTCTTTCCTTTTCTCAAACTTATAAGATATGCTCTCATTTTTTTGAATGAGTTCTTTAACAGTTTAAATTGCTTAATTCCTAAATATTTCTCTAACTTTTTCTTATTCATTTTTATTTTCCTTTAAGATTCCCAGTGTGATTTCAAAGCACCAAATGTATAGATAATTCTTCTTTAGATGTAGAATTGGGAACTTAATTTCAACTCCCTTTAGTATTATTTTATTACTCCTTTTATAAACAACTGAAAGTAATCTCTTTATAATCTTTCTAAATATTATTTTATATATACTATTATAATAATTTTGGGCCTTCTCATCTTTTTACTTTATCAAATCGTAATCATATTTTAATGAATTAAATACTTTGCTTAGTTATTGTAATCTCTTTTTATTTTAATAATTTATTAATTATTCCATCTTCATTTTCGAAAGATCTGTAAAATATTTAATTGAATAAAAGATCATTTAAACAAATTTAATCCTCTTATACTATTAATATTTGTTCAATTTCCAGTTATTTTTGAATGATCTAAACCCTTAAATTAAAAGTTCCAATTTTCTTTATTTCAACTTTGCTTGTAACATTACTTTATTTAACCCTTTCTTCTCTATTTTGCTTTCATAAGCACGTCTCCAAAATATCAAATATCGTTTTTTTCTTTTCTTCTCAATTTAGACTGTCAGTATTAATTCTTTATCCTACAACTTCAATTATATTTATTTGATTTCTTCTATATACTATTTCCAACTCTAAAAAATCTTGTACATGTAGAATCCTTTCGCTAGTTTATCTTTTTAAGAATCCAAAGTTGCATCCTTCCAATAATTAAAAAATGTTTGTTTTCTCCATTTATTATGTATTGGTTAGTATTTAGAATTTCTTTTATTGTTTTATTCTTTTGTGTAATTCCTCCAACTCTTAAATATTTTACAAACCTATTCCAATTGAGTTTAATATATCTTTGAATCTAACATATGTCTTTTCCAACCTTTAAACGCTTTTTTTATTAAGACTTCATTATAATATACAGTAGAATCTTAAAGTAATTAGAGGTGTAATCTATAATTTTACAGTTCAATCACCCATTTATCAAAATATAATTACTTCTTCTTTTTTATGATTGTTTTTTCATTATTCTTTCTCTTTTTCAAAATTTTTGATGCTTTCCTTAATTTTAGAAACCATTTCATTAATAATTTATCGTTGTAACATTCAATAATGGCATTATTAACTTCTCTGTCCTTTATTTAACCTTATGCTACACTTTTCATTTTTTCAAAATATCTCTTCAATTTGAGAATTTTGATTTACTTAAGAATAACTTGTCTCTATTGAAAGGTAGAATGAATGGGTATACATTTTAGATTATGGTTTTGAAGGCTTTGAAAACTTTTTGTTTCAATAAGGTTTGATACTCAGTGTGTCTCTATTATTTAATTGCTTTTATCGTCTATCAAATATTTTAGTTTTAGTTACTTTCCGAAATAGTTGTTTGTATCTGAAGATGGTGGCATTGATCAAAAACTGTCTCTGGTTTATTTTTGATATGTGATATTCTACCCATTTATAAAAGTATCTCTTTAACATTAAATTTATTTACTATTAAATTCACCAATTGAAAAGTGTCATGGAATAAATACTTTATGGGAATGTTTCAGAATAGAAGAGTTACATTTATCAAAAATGTTTCTTATTATGTTGAACTCTCTATTTCACATAAAATAGGATAAGAAGTAAAGTTAAATCTCCAATGCACATTTTTTTTTCAAGATTTCCTGTAGAAAGACACAACTTAAAATTCCTGGAGCATGCCCTATTATTTAGATTATCCATATCAAAAATAATCTCAATATGAAAATCTTAATCTAAGACACTTGAGCAAATGAATTATACTATTTTAAAAATAAAAGACTCCATATCTTTCAAACTGCATCAAGGAAAATAGAAAGATTTTAGGTTAATTAAATGAAGTAAGCATTAAAAGCAAAACTTGAATAGTAAAAAGCTATGTTCAGAAAATCCTAAAATTTAATTGAAATGGGATTCAATTTATTTTTGGTTTTAAGAAACTTTACAAAGATGGAAAGAATACAGGAAGCGTGGTATAGTTTATTAATATCTAGAGCTTGTTGTATATTATCCATTTTTAGGAGTATGTTAGGATTATGAAATTAAGACAACTCCAGAAAAACACTTCCAATATGAAAATTAATTTTTTGCAAAAGAATAAGGCTCAGAAAAGGAGAACATCATCTATGTAATGGGAGGCAGAGTAAAAAATTTGGAATCAACCAATTTATTTGACAGAATCCTATTTCCTAAAGACCCTTTCACTTTAGAAAAATAAGTTTCTGTCGATTATCTCCCCAATATACCAAATGATGCATTCAACTATTTGGGAGGGTGCTACAATAAGTATGATTTTTGATTAATTTGAGTAATATCTATATCTTTTGTGGCCAAAGAAGAACTCTAGATTAATCAGGTAGAATAACTGATAAAATTTTTGATGTTGGGTATACATTNCATTTCATTAATAATTTATCGTTGTAACATTCAATAATGGCATTATTAACTTCTCTGTCCTTTATTTAACCTTATGCTACACTTTTCATTTTTTCAAAATATCTCTTCAATTTGAGAATTTTGATTTACTTAAGAATAACTTGTCTCTATTGAAAGGTAGAATGAATGGGTATACATTTTAGATTATGGTTTTGAAGGCTTTGAAAACTTTTTGTTTCAATAAGGTTTGATACTCAGTGTGTCTCTATTATTTAATTGCTTTTATCGTCTATCAAATATTTTAGTTTTAGTTACTTTCCGAAATAGTTGTTTGTATCTGAAGATGGTGGCATTGATCAAAAACTGTCTCTGGTTTATTTTTGATATGTGATATTCTACCCATTTATAAAAGTATCTCTTTAACATTAAATTTATTTACTATTAAATTCACCAATTGAAAAGTGTCATGGAATAAATACTTTATGGGAATGTTTCAGAATAGAAGAGTTACATTTATCAAAAATGTTTCTTATTATGTTGAACTCTCTATTTCACATAAAATAGGATAAGAAGTAAAGTTAAATCTCCAATGCACATTTTTTTTTCAAGATTTCCTGTAGAAAGACACAACTTAAAATTCCTGGAGCATGCCCTATTATTTAGATTATCCATATCAAAAATAATCTCAATATGAAAATCTTAATCTAAGACACTTGAGCAAATGAATTATACTATTTTAAAAATAAAAGACTCCATATCTTTCAAACTGCATCAAGGAAAATAGAAAGATTTTAGGTTAATTAAATGAAGTAAGCATTAAAAGCAAAACTTGAATAGTAAAAAGCTATGTTCAGAAAATCCTAAAATTTAATTGAAATGGGATTCAATTTATTTTTGGTTTTAAGAAACTTTACAAAGATGGAAAGAATACAGGAAGCGTGGTATAGTTTATTAATATCTAGAGCTTGTTGTATATTATCCATTTTTAGGAGTATGTTAGGATTATGAAATTAAGACAACTCCAGAAAAACACTTCCAATATGAAAATTAATTTTTTGCAAAAGAATAAGGCTCAGAAAAGGAGAACATCATCTATGTAATGGGAGGCAGAGTAAAAAATTTGGAATCAACCAATTTATTTGACAGAATCCTATTTCCTAAAGACCCTTTCACTTTAGAAAAATAAGTTTCTGTCGATTATCTCCCCAATATACCAAATGATGCATTCAACTATTTGGGAGGGTGCTACAATAAGTATGATTTTTGATTAATTTGAGTAATATCTATATCTTTTGTGGCCAAAGAAGAACTCTAGATTAATCAGGTAGAATAACTGATAAAATTTTTGATGTTGGGTATACATTTAAGAATGGATAATGGAATAAATTAAATGAGAAAGTTGAGAAATGATATGATGGCAGTTCTACAATAATGAATCATTAAAACTCGATGGTAGATTTGGATACTATGTTCAATAATTATAACATATAGTTCAAGTATTCTAATTTATATTTGAAAAATTCTTAGGTAAAGGATTCAAATTGAAATTCTCAAGTTATCTCGAGAATAATTATTAAAAATATATGCCTCAAGTCCAATATTCTCAATTCCATATGGCACTCTTAGTGAATTATTGATTACTGGAGAATTATTGAAAAAAAATTTTAAAGAAGGAAGAGAAGTCTACATTTTTGATTGGTTAGATGGCACAATCAAAAAAATTAATTACAAACATAATATCTAGAATATTATTACTTTCTCATATTCAAAAAAATTACAATTATTCAGCTCCTGAAATTCTATAAGCTGTTTAAGATATTGAAGGTGATTTCTTGATTGGCAACTATTGTACAATTCATTAGGAGAAACATAAGTAGATTCTAGAACTACTATTTAAAACTTTATGTTATTTGAATATAAGACAGCTAGTGGATAAGGTATATAATGAATTATAATTATGTTAGTATCAATTCGACCATTTTTGCAAAGAGTAACTTCAATTTAATAAGCAATCGGAGCATTATAAACTTACCAAATTAAGAAAACAAAAATTAATGAATGATATAGAAAATGCAAGGAGATTTCCATATAAATCAATTTAGATAAGATAAATAAATATTTAAATAATCAAAAATTGTGATAATATATATCTTTTCACTCTAAGCTTAAATGCAAATGAGGATCTGATATTCCAGCCTCTATGTTTCTTTGCATTTGGTCCCTGAACTTCCTTAGAGCATCCCTTACATCTGGAATCTTCTTCTAGACAATTTACATTAATAATGGGGACAACAATAATAGAGCTTGATCATCTAAATCCCCGTACCAACTTTAGATTTGTATTCCATTGTCAGGTTGCAGTTAAAAATTTTCAGCCAAATTATCTATGATTATTGTTTTCTTAATATCTCTTCCAATCTTTTAAATATCCTTTACATATGTATTTTTGACCAAAGTGGTATGTTATCTGTATAGTCTATGGGTGATGGATTTATCTTCATCAATAAGATCTAAAATGAAATCTGCATAATCTTGTTGTGCAGCAGTAAAAATAACAATCTCATAAAATTTGGACATGTCCTTCAGAAATTGCTATGCAAAAGGTCTAACTAAGAATTGGCCCTCATCTACTAACTATATACAAAATCAATTGTTACTTCTTAATAATGAACCAATGTCTCATCTAGATCTATTACTAAAGTGTATCTATTCGTCTTAGATAAATAAGGTATCTAATAACAATCTATCACTTCTTCATAGTCAAATTAGAAATCTTATGAATCCATTGTCAATCTTAACTATTCAATATGAGACAACTACAAAATAAGGTAAGAAATCATACAATTTTTTGATATTCCTGCTTAATGAATTCGGTTCCCTAATGTAATGTGATTCTATCTAGGTTTGCCAAGGTTTTTTCTAAAGAGCTAAGTTTATCATCTGTTGAATTTTCAATACTAAGAAATTTTGATAAAATAAGTACAATAATACGAGGAGTGAATAAACGACATTGCAATTTTTACGGATTAAATTGATATCTAAAAATTGATAGTTTTTTTATGGTCTGACTTTATTTAATCTGGCTTGTATTAATGCCCTTTGAGATTATGAGAGAGTATTAGATTGATTGATTAATTGAAGATGCAAAATCATACTGTTGTGTATATAGAATAACAGGTTCTTTAAATTCTATTGATCTTCTTCAAAAGTATCTGATAATGCTTTGTATAGAATAACCAAGATGCCTATTCTCTCTAGATGTATTTACTTAGATAGTATTTGTTATGTAATTTTATCCTTTTCTTCCAATATAAAGAGAGATATTCGATTAAGATAATTTTTACATTAATTGATGACTTTCTTTTTTCTACTAATAACTGCCATGATGGTAAACACGATTTCCTCTTAATTAATGAAATTTTAAATTTATTCATCTGAATCATTTATAGTAGAACTTGTTGATTCATTTTTATGAGACTTTGATTCTTCGGTCTTATATTTTTAAGTATCTTTATTTTTGTAATTTTGTTATTATTTTTATTAATCTAGTCTGTGATTAATTTATTAGTAGATTTTTTTAATCTCAAAGGGCATTTAATAAAGCAATTGAGGTGAAATAGATCGTTATGATTTATTTATAGATGTGTTGTCTAGTTATGATTTTGGACTGGAGGTTCTGTTAAATAATTGCTCTTGAGAATTTTATCTTTTGTAAAACAACTCTTGTAAAATAGCATGTGCTTTTGGAATAGATTTTTTTTTATCATTAAAGGACTTATTTATTGAAGACTTATCTGCTGATTACTCATAATTATTTCTTGACGATCGAATATCAATAGGAGGCTTATTAGTTTTGAGTTAATTGGAAGTTTTCAGTTGCTATTGATTGTTCTGCATTAAAATTATTTTAATAAATATAGAAATTTTTAATTAAAATATTATAACATCATCAATCATCTTTTAATTTTTCACATTAAGAACCATCAATTTCGACATTTTTCATCATTTGTTCCAATAAGTATTCTTATCTTTTCAAGACTTTTGTCACCCATCCTGGCTCATCAGGAATCACCGTTTCAATTATAAACTTAAGCCCAATTACAATGTGTTCTGCAGCAATAAGAAGTAAGAAATTTCGAAGAGCTTGCTATCAAATTAATGCGAATATTACTGATGATTCATCTGTTTCATCTACTTTGCCAATCAAATTGTTTAATTAATCTTAATTTGCATAGTAGATTGTCAAACAATTAATTATTGTACCTATGTATCCAACAATGAGTAATACACTATTCCATAATCCAATTGATTTCTTAGCTTCAGCTCTGGGTCTCTTTACAAAAGTAATGAAGCCATAAAGGAGACCATCCAAATTGATAATGTTAAATATCAAAATAGCAATGGGTATTAATTGCGAACTGGCACTAAACATAGTAACCATGCAAAATTGGAGAATCTAAAATATATTGAATAGCCTTACAAAATAAGTAAATTGATCAACATGATTGGGAGTGGGAATCATAATCTTATTCAACTCAACCGATCTAAGGAACTTTTTATAGCCCATACTTTTTCTGTCAAAGCTTTTATTGGTCTGATTTTGAGTTTCATTATCTAAAATGCTGGCCATTTATGACGTGTACATTTTTCTCCATTTTCCTTCCAAAAACAATTCGAATTCTTTATTCAAGAAATACTTCTTGATTGAGTAATGAATCAAAGGGATAATCGTAAATCTAAGATAGTGCATGATGGCCCACACAATAGTAAATGTAATAGACATGATATTTAATTCATCTGCGTCTGGATCAATGACAGATTTGTAGAATAAACGACCAAATGAATTCAAAAAAGCAAAAGAGAACACTTTTATTATGTAGACATCCTCCAATTCATTTTGATACTAATGATTTTCATATTCAAGCGATAATCTAGCAAAATAGTTAAATATTTCGTTAGTAATTTTTATTGATATGCCCAAACCAATAGAACACAGTATAGTAAATTCAGTGGTGCGTTCTTTCAATTGAATAATATAATAGTAACCAATCTACTCCCCTGCTATCAATATTACAGCCAAAAGCACCAAAGGTGTAACTGATTTATAGTATTTCCATCTGTCTCTAGTAGAATATTTAATCTCAATCTTGTGAGTGACATCTTCAATCCAAAATTGTCCTTTGAATGATGGAATTGTCTACTTTTCTTCAGTCTCAACATGCATGTCGAATTGAAACATCATTTCGCTTTGTTTTCTCTTCCAAAATTCAAAAAAGATAGTTGCCCAAACAGCTAAAGCTATAGTGTATATCGGAACAAATAAAGAGTTGATTTCATTTGTTGCATAGACATAAACACCAAGCATTATGCCTGGTACAGCTGGAATGAATAGCCAAGTAGTGAAGAAACTTAAAAATACAAAAAAGAATCCAACTTCTGCTCCAAAATATGCTTTAATTGCACTTGGTGTTCTACATTAATTTGATTTCAATGATAATGGTTCTTTGAGTAGTTCCCATTTCTCTCTTTTCCATTAATTATAGATCAGTACCTTCTCCTCATCATCATGTAATGGGAAGTGATCTAATAACAATTTATCATGAAGAAACTAATCCAAATCAAATTCGTCATACAATAATGACAAAATAATCTATTGATCATGATAATGATGAAAATTCTCATATGTCTCTGCTTTGCTTCTGTCAAATTGACAAATTATCCCTTCCTTAAAATTATAGATCATCATCTTCTCATAATCAGCAACTAAATTTTTCAATTCATTTGAGACCTTAATGATATAATAGAAACAAGATTCATCATAAGATCGTATAGGCACTGCCTTAAATTTACCTACTTTCACTTTAGTCTTAATATTGTCCAATTGCTATTTTACTAAATTTTCACTTGCATTGGTTCCGACCAGTACATATTTGTAACCACTTTTAATTAAGTTCTTCTCAGTTTTTAATAATGTTTATCTCAATTCCTTGATGGCTACCGATCTTGAAGATGCAAAGGCTGTTTGATTTCTAAAATTATATAAGTGATGATCTGCACCTATTTTAATTAAATACCTCACAATCTTTTCATGTCCCTAAAATCAAATCAATATTATGTTTAATACTTATTCAACTGCAATATGTAGGGCTGATTACGGCTTTTCTATTGTCATTATGTTTACCAATTTCTTAACATTAAACTTTTTCATCTAATTCTCAGATTCAAAAAAGAGTTCTATCAATTTATCATGTCCATGGTAGGCAGCTGCATGAACTGCATTTCTTCCTTTATATGAGGGAGCAAATGGAGAGAATTATTATTTTAATAATGGCTTCACCAACTCCAAATCACCTAAAACACTTGCCCAAAACAAATAATTCAGACCAACCATTTCATACTTGCGTCTGTCTACTGTATCCTTATGTATTTCTTCCTAATTGAGATCGAATTCGCTCTCTTCCATATTTTCATCTAAACTTTTTAACTACTGAATATGTTGCTCACTCTTGAAGAAATGAGCCAAGAATTTAACTATTAAGTATTTCACTACCTTTTTCTGAGTCTCCTGATCTTTTCCTTTCATTAATGCTACGTCGATTGGAAACTATTTTCTATCGTTCTTCTTCAGCACTATCTTAGAATTATTCTTACTTAGATTAGGATTTTTCCATAATAACAACTGGGTTAACTTAAAATCACCGTAAAAGCATGACCAATGTAATGGATTATTTATATAGTCTTTTAAATATTCGCCTAGCGTGGCTCCCCTTTATAAAAGTAATTTAGCTATTTTGTATTTCGTTTCTGCTATCAATTACTTATCCCTCGGTTTAATAGTAGATTCATCAATGTCCTAATTGTATCCTCTTACACAAACCAACATAAGAGCTGAATTCCCTATTCAAGAGTTTAGAAAATACGATTATACCTTAGTTATCCTTCGAATTCAGATCAAGGCAATGAAGATCGAGAAAATACTCTACAACATCGTAATGTCCTCTATAAGCAGCCTTTATAAAGTATTTATTTACATAATGTAAGGCATTTCTTCCATAATAATCAGATTTCTTACATGCATCTTAAAGGTGTTTAGATGTTAATGAATCCTGTTGTTTTGAAGTTAAAGAGAGCAATTGTTTTTTAATAAAATCCAATTTTCCATCCTATGCTGCCTTTGATAATATTAATCATAGTTTATTACCTCAAGAAGGTTAATTTCTTCATGAACAAAAAAATGCATTAAATTTAATAATATAAACAATAACTAAGCTTCTCTTATCTCCATAATCTCATAACACAAATTTCCTTCCTCCCATCCCTCATGTTCCAACCACTATTCTTGAATTCTCCATTATAAATTGAACTGTTCAAGATTCTAAATTTGTTCTTCAACTCCTATTGTTTAGAATATTTTCAATCTTAAAAACTTTAAATCGTTTCGACACTTTGCTGAAGATGGCAAATGAAATTAAAAAAGTAAGTATGAAATTTATAGGAATAAATAACTTAAAACCATGATAACATTTACTTAAAAAACTTGTTATTATTAGTACATTTTCCAAAATATTATTAAAATAAACTATGTATTCTGTCCTTATAAAATTTAGGAACTTACTTTACAGTTTTATTGTTATTTTTTTTACTTCTAATACTTAAGTTAAACTATAACGGATGGATATTTGAATTAAATCTTAATTTAAATAGCCATAATCTTATATATTTTTAATTCATCCTTAAGCTCATGTTTTAAATAAGATATTATTATAAAATATTATTATTTATTAAAGTTTAATCATTATTATTAAATTTAGATTGTCGCACAAATTTACTCATTTTGAATCATTTTTGAATCTAAATATAATAATTGCAATTTTCTTCTGCTGACTACTAAAAATTTTAATTTATTCAATCAAAGATCTAATTTAAATATTAGCAAAATCTAATACATTCCTTTTAAGCTTCGTCTCTGGTTTCTCCCGCATTTAATTCTTCTATGAATAGGATTTTATATTTTTGCAAAAAAAATACATAATTTTAATAGTAATTTTATTCCCATTTAATCTAAATTCAATATTGATAGACTTTAGAAATAAAGAAGAATCTCTTAGTCCTATTTGATTATGATTTATTTAATAGACTGTATAATTAGGATAAATTACTTACTAATGCTTTAATACCTCCTGAGATTTAAAGCATATTAAATATTATATATTAAAAGTTCCGTTAATGGAATAAAATATTTCAATCAAATGTCCAATTCATAGAAGAGAATTAATAGTAACAGGGTGTATTAATCCAAATTGTAATCGTTCACCTTTAATTTGTCAGATGTGTCCAGACGCTCACTCTGAGCATTATTCAAATATAGTTCAAATTTCAGAATGGCTTTAGAAAGTAGCCAAGACTATCTAAGAAGGTTCGAAAACCTTAAAATAGATTAGAGATATCAATTAGATTGATTCTGTTTTAAAATGGTGTGAAGATAATGAGATGCATCTCAAAAAGGTTGATGAACATTGTAAAGCTCAAAAGGCTTTAATTAATGAAGATTTCAATTATCTGAAAGATCTCTTTGTGGAAAAATGCAATTAGGCACAAGCATAATTAGAATAAGATATAGAAGACTTCTATACAAAATATAAAGAATAATTTAAAATCTGTAAACTGATAATGGATGACTCTTATATTTTATAGAAATAATGTAATCCTTATAGTAATGTGCATAACTTAATTTTTAAATTACAGTAATCAAATTCAAAAGAAGCCTAAGAATTAATTAATTCAATTAGAAAATTAATTAACAAGCCATATGATCCAATAGAAAATATCAAGTAATGCGCAGAATCAATAACTGAAATGACTTATAACCTCCCGGTGTTTGCATTTTAAGATGGCATAGATAGCTTCGTAAATTAATTGGCTGATTAAATCCACAACCATTTTAAAACAAAACTCAACATTACCTTGCCCAGAAAGATAGTATCCCCCATTAAATATTAACCCAAAAATCTTCATAAGTAGTATTCCTTACCAACTGAAAATATGGCAAACAATTACAACAGCAATTAAAATATATCGAAATCTCCCCGTTTAAATCAAAAGCTCACATTTTCTCCTTAAAATAGCATAGCAATGCATTCAAAAACTATAGTAGGGCAATGCAGTGATTTTACATTAAAGCCTTTAAAAAAATATTAATTAGATTTTAATGTATCAGCAATTGAAGTTGTTACTCCATAGATATTTGCAATGACATGTAGTAATGATCCTCATTTGAGAGTATTTGATACAATTTAAAAGCGTATTCATACATTGTCTACCCATACAACTCCAATCATATAATTACACAAATCTATTGATTAGGTAGTTCCATTACAGCAACATAATAACTCAAAACCCTCATCTTACTTATTTACATTATCAAATGAATAACTAGTTGTTTGGGCATTTGATTTTACTAATTCATCAATGATTGTCCCTTAAATCTATCATAAATATCTATTCAACAATTAAATTACATAGACTTGCTATTTGTAAGATAATTCTTGTCTTGTACTTGGAGATTAAGCTGGAACTGTGGAAGTTTATAACTTTTAGTAATCTAAATTGTAATAGAATGGGATCAAGGGAAAACATTAGAAACAGATATCATCGATTTTATTATTAAAAAAACATGATAAGTTTATTTGTAGTTCTTACGATTAAACATTATCAATTTGGAAAATGTTATACAACCAATAGTCTTTTGAAAATACTTACTGTGAATCAATCATTTAATGTGGGAACATGCTTGGATAGATTTAAATAATTAATTAGTTTTAATCAAATCCAAATTTATTGTTAGTTGGAAATCTAGAGGGTATTATTGTATAATAATTAAAGGGTCATTAAAGATTGTCAATTTGATGAATTAATGTGTGATTTTAGAATCTGACATTCAGAAAAATTCTAATTCGATCTGTGATTTTATCATAGCAGAAGATGCCAATAAAGGTACTTGAAAATAATATCAAATAGAAACAATCTCTGTGATAACATATTTATAATCTAGTAAATCTCTAAGATTTTGGAGATTGTAGAACAACGATATGGGCTGGGCTTAAAATGAATAAAAGATCGAAGTTGCCTTATCATTATCTGAGAATATGATCAGATCCAAACTTCAATTAGTTCAAATGCCTTCCAGTACTTAAAACACTGTAGTGTTGATAGCCAATGAAATAAACAAAGAGTTGTTGGTTTATGAAATTATTAATAAATAGTGATTGTTTAAATATTAATTATATAAATCAATATTTTTAGACTAGATAAGTAATAAACTCTTCGAATTAGATTTCGCCATCTCCATTTCCATCACATGTCTATAAGATTTCTTACCACAATTGATCATCTATTCCTCCCATTATTTCTTATAATTCATCCTTACTTATTTAACCATCTCCATTCTATAAAGGTAGTTATTCAATTATTACAATATCAAAGATTTTGAAAGTTTGCTCCAATTTAATCTTATTGAGTATTTTTTCTTATTAACATGCTGCAGACACAAAAGCAGTAAAATCAACTGCTCCAGTTTTGTTGATATCAATTTTCTCAAATACCTCGTCAACCATTTGTAAAGCTTTTAGTGGATCATATTGTTAACTGTATACTAATCTATTTTTAATTATATACCAGCTAACAGCTCTTCTTTACTCAATAATCCATCTCCATTTTTATCAATAGACTTAAATAGTGTTATCAACTCCTCCTTTTCTTAGTTTGTCATTATCTAGGTCGTAATGAACTGCATCAAAGCTGTTCTTACTTTATTTTTACTCTTTATATGTTTGTTATAATACGTAAAAAGATTATAAATTTTTAAGTTATCGAGCATCAATTTTGGCCACATGAACATTATTTTAAATCCATGGATCCTCATATGCTTATTTTGCTGTAATTCTCTTACTAGGTTCCTTTTCCATCATTTTCTTAATTAAACTAATTGCTTAATCTGATATTCCATTCCAATTTTCAGCTAAACGGATTAATATTATTTAAATTACATGGAAAACTGTAATTGCCGATATCAATTTTTGATAAAATCTCATCAGATTATCCATCAAATGGCAATTAACCACTCAACATCTAATATAATATGACACCACATGACCAAACATCGCATTTTTCATTATATTTCTTTTTCAAAACTTCAGGGGCAATATAATAAGGCTAAATGATTAAATATAGAAATTTACAGTTCCTAATTTCTTTGTCAAAAATTAATTCTCTTATATTCGTCTTGATGTTCCAAAATCTATTATTTTTATATTTGAATCTTATTTCATTGATTCTAATAAAATATTTTCTGGTTTGAGATCTCGATGAACAATTTTTCTCTCATGGCAATACATGACCGCAGATAATATCTATTTTAAAAATTCAGCTGCAATTTTTTCAGTAAATGTCTTATACTCCGAAATTCTTTACAATAATTCACCACCTTCTAAATATCTAAAATATTTGCATTATAATACTCAGTAATTAAGTAGAAATTATTTTTATCTTGGAACAATTCGTATAATTTGACAATATTTGGATGATCTAATTATTTTAGTATTGTGACTTCATTTAATAAGTTTTCTTCTTCCTCTTTTACAATTTTGTCTTTCTTTATTTGCTTCATAGCTCTTCTTTATCCTGTTTGCTTATGAATGACTAATCGAACTTCTCCATAAGCACCTTCATTATAATTTGACCATGTACCTTTTCCAAGAGATTTTTCAACTCTATAATAACTTGTAACTTAGCCTTATTTTAGTGTTGCAAAATTGTCTGGACCTACTTCAAAGGTTTCTTGCTTTTTTGTGGTAGGTTGTTTTGAAAATTCTTATTTGTCTTGTCTTGCCTTGGATCGGCAAAGGCCCATTTAATAAAATAAATATTTAATTAATCAAAGAATCAGGATTATTCACAATGATGATGATTTATGACAAAATATCATAATTTTATTTTTCATTTTATTAAATGTATTATCAAAAATTGAAAAAGTTAGGTAATATTATTATTATATTATTAATTTATATGTTATCGTAATTGACATTAGAACAGAATGTAATAATCTTGAAGCTTTAAGGAATCTTAATTTTTCGAATTAATAATTTGATTATTAAAGAAATTGTTTTTGAACTCTAATAATCTTCGTGATTTTGTTCAAAATAAATGATATATTAAAGTGATAACCATAGGAATTTCATATATTTTAAGACATGAAAACAATAGTTTCTCAATTAAAAGATATGTTTATTTAGGATATTTTATTAATCATCAATACTATGGTTATCCTTGTTTATAGTTTTAAATAAAAGATATAAGTATTTTAGATACAAATCAAGTGATTGTTTAATTAATAAATATTATTTATTTGGAATGTGGTATAAAAACTTTTCAAAACAAAGTTGGAATCTTCGTGTTTGGAGGTACATTTAAGTTCTTATCATAATTAGAAAGGCCAATATATTGTTTAATCAGGATGATATTGGTATGTTCAAAACTAAAGGAGTTTTGAGATGGAAGGATACTGTATTTAGAATGGCAAGAAGTGAAGCCTGTGTAATTAAACTTATTTATATAAAAATTAGCTAAGAGGATTCAACTTTTTTTTCTTTGCAGGTATGATTGGATCATTCATTTGGGTTAAATCAAACTATTATGATCCAAAATATGTTGCACCCAAAAAGGTGGAAAGCGAAAAGGAATTGGAAAGATTGGATGCTGAAGCTGATAAAATATTGTTCAAAAATAGATTAGAGGCTTATTCAAGACCACATAGAAGTTTGGAAGATTTGATTGCATTCTTATCTGGGTATGAGGTTGAATTAAGCTGATAGTTCAAAGACCTTTGATTAGTTTGCTGATTTCATCAGTTATGAAGAAGCAATGAATAACAGTATGGATCAATAAAATGGTTTGGATTCTTGGATGGATGACTAAGATTAAAGAATGCTTAAATATTACCAAAGAAGTATTGGACGTACCCCAAAATTTGATTGATTTTGCAATACGATCACATAAGCATATATAAAATATCTATAGATTGATAATTATAAAATGGACTTAATTTTCTTATGAGGTAATGATTCAGAATCTAAGTTATTAATATTGAAAATTTCGATAATTTTTAACATTTTTATAATTTAAAATTCAAATAAGATGGACCTTTTTGATTAGTTTTAGAGATTCAAGACTACGTTGAAGACTCAAATTGAGCATCGACCTCATTCTCAACAAAGGAACACTGTGCTAAAAACCAAATTTAATTAATCAACACTTTAGACATAATAATAATAATAAGTATAAGATGTGCAAAGGAAAAAAACATTGTAACATCATAGAAGTTCTACTCTATTTAGTGCTGCTAAAGAGAATTAGGATAAAGTTTAAAAACAACAGTAACAATAACAAAGATTTTCAATGGTGCACAAGTAGTTGCCAGAAGTATTACCGATGTAATAGATATAACAGATGTCCGATATTTTAATTGATTGCAGTGAGGGTTAAATAAACTCGTTATCAACCTAATATGTCGAAGAGTTAGTTAAATTATCAAGCATTATTATGTATAAAGTGAAAAATTCAAAATTCTACTCATGATAATTACACTCTCTTTTATTATTATATTTAAAATTCACTTAATCTTTGTGCCTCATGCAGATTAATTTCGTAATTCATACAGCCTTCACATTTGCAATCAACCCCACATTTTTTCCCTGCATTATAACATTCACAGTATTTTTTTAAGCATTTACTTTTTTTGCAAAAGCATTTAACTTCATCATTTAGATTTCTGTTTATTTGACTTCTTGTCTATTCAATTAACTCTTTATTCTATTCATTATTACAGCAATCCAGACATTCACAAGTCTCTCCACAAAATTTACCTTATTGGAAACATTAACAATAAAATTTCAGACATTATGTCTTTTTACAAATACACCCTTATTTAGACAGTGGTATTAACGATAATCGATCAGGGATGATTTCACATTATTTCTCCAAAGTTAATTTGTTAATCAAATCTTCTATTGCATTTTGATTATTTGATTCGTCTTACCATTCAAACACGATTTCTAATTCATTTTCTTTTGATTTTCTATTTGATATATTAGATGGTCTGAATGAGGAGTTTCTTTGTTCAAGACTTTGCTTTTCACTCTTTTCACTTTTTTCGCTCTTCTCACTTTTTTCCAAACTGAATTTTTATTATTATTCAAATGTTTAACTAAATGTTAAACTATTTTTAGGTTATTAATCATTCATGTTATATCCAGAAAATCGATTAAATAAATTAAAATTAGATCCTCTTGATTAAAACGATTAGATAGATTACTTTTATAACATTTGGTCTTCCAGACTCATCAATGATCTATATTAAAAATCTAATAATTACTTTTTTTCTACGAACTCTTCATCCTATTGCTTTTATTAACTTTCTCTATCCATTAAGTATTACATTCTTGGTGCTTATGAATTCCTTTAAAATGATTATCTCCCAAAACCACTTTCAGCCAAATTCCATTCGTTTAAATTATCATCTAGCTCGTTCCCTCCTCTGATAAAGCAAATATTATTTTATTTCTTATCACTTCCTCTCTCTTATGTCATTATAATATATTATAATGAAAAATAAAAATATTATACAAAATATAGAATCTAATAATAATTAACTCTTATCTCATCTAATTCAATATATTTTATAATCCTTCCAAATTTAATTTAGAATATTATTGACATCAAATGCATAGATTATATAAATAATTAAAATTTTTAATGAATACTAGAGCTTAAAAGAAACAGTTTTTACCTTCCCAAATTCCTACAGGTATGAAACATAAGATAGTTTAATGGATATAATAAGCTATTTTATCTATATTTTAAATTATTTATTTATTATTTAGAATCAAAAACAAAGTCAGAAGAGCTGATTGGCGAACCAGTCATTACAAAAGTAAATATTGATAATGAGGAATCTAATAACAAGATTACAAATCTGAATTTTAGATTCAATCCTGGTATTAAAAAACTATAAATCACTAAAACATATCCTAATGAGAAAAGTGGTAATTGCATTAATAAATGTCAGGTTTTAAGGCTCAAAAAACTAGGAATAAGCCTATTGTTTTGAACTTATTAAATTGTCTTAAATAAGGTTATGATGGTAAACTCTATGATGTCATGGATGTAAACACTTATATTTAATTGGTGAGTGACTAATAATAATCGTAAAACATTCCTAAATCATTAAAGTGTAAATGTAACAAATCAATGTGTTTGAAACAATATTGTGATTGCTTTGCGAATGGCAATATGTGTACTGTCCAGTGTTAATGCCAGGGGTGTCATAATACTGAAGATTATGTAGAGGAGAGAGATGAAGCCATAAATAAATTGAAAATGTAAAATTTATCAATTGAAGTATTTAATTAATAATATTGATAAGAAAGAAGTTCCTATTGGAATTAGTTGCAAATGCAAAAAATCGAAATGCTTAAAACGATATTGCGATTGTTTTCAGAACAATTAGAAATGTCATGAAAGTTGTCTATGCTCTAATTGTTCAAATTAACAGGAAAAAGTAGAACAGGGTGATCAACGATTAATGATGAATTCCATCTCATAATTTGATGAAAATAGCAGATTGCCAAAGTCACCTTTAGTGTATAACAGACAAGGGTTTTTCAGAAGAAATGATAGTATGAACTTTTCAAATTCTTTTGGATACTCTAGAAGTATATAGAATAATTAACATTAATTAATTAGGAATGCTAGTACAACATGATGGACCATACTTTTTAAAGTAAGACTCGTAAGGTTTTAATTGAATAACATAATAACTGTAATTATAATTCAATTTTGTAAATTGTATCACGGAAGACTCTTTCTAATGTTCTCGAGGGTTTATGTAATATGATTGACAGAGGTAGTGAGCTATAGTTTTATTGAGTTGATAATACTTGCTCAGCAGTACTTTTGATGCCATTTATCTGAGCCTCCAATTAATTGAGTTTTTCTGGGACAGCTTTAAGAGTGACAGCATTTCTTTGAATAGCAGCAAAATCATCTTCAATTTATTGCATTTGAGGTACTTAACATTGACCCATTGTATAAAAATAAAATTTAATTATTAATAAATAAATTAATTAATTTAAGGATGTCAATGAGTGATTAGAGTAAGACAGAAAATCGGATATTTGTAACTGGATATTCAACAAAAGATAAAAATGAAGAAGATATCAAAACTCTTTTTTCCAAATACGGAGAAATTAGTGAATTTTCTTGGAAGGGTCGTTTTTGTTTCATTGTATTTTAGCATATATTATTTAGGCTTATTCAAAAGCTGAAGAAGCTACAGAAGCAGTGAATGAAATGAATTAAAAAGACTTAGATGGGAACACATTCGTGGTTGAGATCGCCAGAGCCAAGAAAAAAGACGGTGAATGCTATCAATGCGGCAGAATAGGACATTTGTAATTAATATGATGATATGAATTAGTGCTCGTAATTGTAGATAAAAAAGAAGATCTTCAAGCTCAAGTTCAAGGTATGTATTAAATACTAATTAGACGTCACAAAAGAAAGAGTAAGAAGTATAAAAAGAGAAGCCCCTCCAGCTCATCAAGTTCATCATCTTCTTCATCTTCAAGAGACAGGAAGAAGAAATAAAAAACTAAAAAAAGAAAATAATCCTCATCTTCAAGTGATTGATTTTAAAAGAATTTGGATATATATCAATGATTAAGAATTATCGTGTTTTTGTTGTGAATAAATCTAATCATTTTTTCAATGTTTATTCGTTGTCTCTTAAAATTTAAAAGGCAGTCTTTAACGAATTCAATTGTCCTTCTCTCTTGCTAGCATTGGATCTGAAATTTGAATCATATAAATCTTTTTGAACTCTTGTGGTTTCCAATAATTATTAAGTATTGTCTTAATTCAAAAACAATTATGTATTCCTTCTCTATGTAATTTTCTATATGTCAATAAGCTATTTATGCATACCAAATCGTTTTATTTGTTCTTCAAAGAGCTGCTTGTCTTCTGATTGTCCTATCCTAATTTCTCTCTTAAAATTGACACTTCATTAATTAATGAATTAAAATTTTGTTCTGCAGCTGTTTGATTTTACTCCCTGAATTGCTAATCATCCTTAATTGATGCAATTATTTATTCAATTAGTTCAATAGCTTTTCTAGCTGTTACTTCATCCAATCTTAATTATCCAGAAACATTTACTTCACAGATAAATCTAATAATAAAGCAATAGGATGATTAAGTCCCAATTCTAATTTCACTTATTTTATTATTTCTTATTTTTCAGTCTCCTCAAGAAAAGAACCTTGACTTGAAAGAACAGCCTTAACCAATCGATCATGAATTTCTTCTAAAGCTCCCAATATCTTTTAAGCAGCAGTCTATTTAGTCTCTACAGATTAGATTTCCTTTGCTCTATTATCGCGAATTTATTCTTCTCTTTAATTTATTGATTCTAATTATTTCTTAATGGAAACACTAGTAGATGTAAGTGTTGAAATTGATTATGTAATCTCTCCTATTTTTCGATTTGTTGTTTAAACTTCATTTTATAATGATGCTAAATTTGCTTCTAATTATTCTATGCTCTATTGAAATGCAGCTATTCTTGAAGCATATTCCAAATTTGCAGAATTAATTTACCCAGTTAAATCATCCATCATTTTTTATAACAACTCAAAAACACGATCTAATTATCCTCCTGCCACACTTAATTCCAACATATCAATCAATTGAGAATTGTATTCGCTTTATTCTAATTTTTTTCTTAATTGCTAAAGAGCAGGACTCTCTGTAGCAATTGCCATTGTTATTAATAGCAACATAAATAGAGACTTGTGTGACATTTAATCCGTTTTTATATTTATTATTAATAATCATTATTGTGGTTTTCTTTAGGGAATCTATGCAGGGGATTATTTTATATGTTATTAAGGCGAAGCATACTATTTTATTTAATATAATTTCTTACTGATTCCTTTCTAATACATGGTGTAGGATGAATGGCTTCCAATGTTAATTCACCATTTTGTCTTAATAACAATGCCCTGTCTTATTCACTTAGTTTTTAAAGTTTTGGATTGGCTTTCAGGTTTCCTGAAATTTATTTAAATATCTCAATTAAATTATCTTTTTTGTATTGAACTGTTGCCTTTCTTATTGGTGATCCCTGAATGTCTTTACTTCCTCTATTATTGATTATTTTGTTATTAATACTTATGTTTAGCTGGTTAAATTTATTCTGAAGTTTTTCTTGAAGTTGACTTTTTTTCAACATACTATTAATAAAATTAATTAAAATACTGGACTCTATTACACCTTAGGAGGCTTCTCAACATTTTTTACGTTTTACTCCTACTTTTCTAATGATTATTTTTCAACATAAATTTCTTTGGGTCCTGATGTTGGAGTCTTTGTTTTTTTATCTTAATGCTCGACCTACTCGCTTCCCTTTCTTTCTTACCCTGATTATTTTCTGGGATTTGATTATTGCTATTGAACAGGAGGATAATATGGTTTGGCAGTTTTTTCAGCTTGAGTCTATCCTGCAACATCATCTGAAGCCTTTCTTATATATAAATTTTAGAACATTTAGTTATCTACATTACTTATACACTATTACTGTATTGATATAAGTATTGTGCTTAATTGTTGAATCCCAAACTCTTTGTAAGTGATTAGTACACATTTTCTGGTTCAACATATGCCTTTAATGGATCTTTTGGATCATTCACTGCTTAATCTAAAAACTTCAATCCAATTTCATCATCCTTAAATGTCACCCTACAACATCCGCCTTCAAATGCTATCTCACACTCAACGTTCTTCAGATATTTTTCAATCAGGTAAGCTTTGAAATCTGCATTTGTTTAGCTGATTTCATTTATTATAATATTCTTTGTGTGTGGAGGTATCAAGAGAGTCACATATCCTTCATGCAATTTGCAATTTTTACATTGCTTCAAAGCCTATCATATAAATATATTATCTTACTCCCAAAATTTCTTCAATGGTATGCTTTGCTAATGAGTATTCTTTTTGAAGTGCCACTATTGGTAGATTCAAATTTGGATCCAAGTTTTTTAGAAGGTATTTATTTTTCTCTAGGTGTTCTCTTGTGAACATGCCATCTAATTGTTTTATTAAATCAGTCATTAAAAATTTAATGAATAAATAAAATATAAAAAATACTACGTAATGCCCTTCTTAAACTTATACTTTAAGATTATAATATAAATTCAACCTTTTATCATTTCCTTAACTCTAATAAAACGAGACTTTTATGAAGGACAAAATATTGTTAAGAGTTTATTATTAAATTAATATATTTTTATTAATAATATATTTTATAAATCCTAGTGTCTAAATAAAAATATTAATTTACTTATCTAATTAGACAAGTAACAAATTTCTTATATGATTATTTCGAATTGTTTAAATATTTATCAGTTTGATTTCAAAACAGATATTATATTACAATTTTGATAATACAATAAAATTTTTAGCTTAATTATGAAATTATCAATCTATAGATGCAAAAGATAGCAAAGAATAATCAATAGAACTTAAAATCAAAAGGAAAATTTAAATTATGTAGGATGATAAGAAGTCTCTACATTCTCACAATGCAGAAATGAAATTCTTTCAATTAATAAAATTTATTTCCTGTAAGATATTATCAGTGAACATTTATCCTTCTAAAAAATAATATCTTAATAATAATAGTTACAAATTTGAATTCATTATTTGTTTTAAGGGATAACATTATCTTAACAACTTANTATTTTTCAACATAAATTTCTTTGGGTCCTGATGTTGGAGTCTTTGTTTTTTTATCTTAATGCTCGACCTACTCGCTTCCCTTTCTTTCTTACCCTGATTATTTTCTGGGATTTGATTATTGCTATTGAACAGGAGGATAATATGGTTTGGCAGTTTTTTCAGCTTGAGTCTATCCTGCAACATCATCTGAAGCCTTTCTTATATATAAATTTTAGAACATTTAGTTATCTACATTACTTATACACTATTACTGTATTGATATAAGTATTGTGCTTAATTGTTGAATCCCAAACTCTTTGTAAGTGATTAGTACACATTTTCTGGTTCAACATATGCCTTTAATGGATCTTTTGGATCATTCACTGCTTAATCTAAAAACTTCAATCCAATTTCATCATCCTTAAATGTCACCCTACAACATCCGCCTTCAAATGCTATCTCACACTCAACGTTCTTCAGATATTTTTCAATCAGGTAAGCTTTGAAATCTGCATTTGTTTAGCTGATTTCATTTATTATAATATTCTTTGTGTGTGGAGGTATCAAGAGAGTCACATATCCTTCATGCAATTTGCAATTTTTACATTGCTTCAAAGCCTATCATATAAATATATTATCTTACTCCCAAAATTTCTTCAATGGTATGCTTTGCTAATGAGTATTCTTTTTGAAGTGCCACTATTGGTAGATTCAAATTTGGATCCAAGTTTTTTAGAAGGTATTTATTTTTCTCTAGGTGTTCTCTTGTGAACATGCCATCTAATTGTTTTATTAAATCAGTCATTAAAAATTTAATGAATAAATAAAATATAAAAAATACTACGTAATGCCCTTCTTAAACTTATACTTTAAGATTATAATATAAATTCAACCTTTTATCATTTCCTTAACTCTAATAAAACGAGACTTTTATGAAGGACAAAATATTGTTAAGAGTTTATTATTAAATTAATATATTTTTATTAATAATATATTTTATAAATCCTAGTGTCTAAATAAAAATATTAATTTACTTATCTAATTAGACAAGTAACAAATTTCTTATATGATTATTTCGAATTGTTTAAATATTTATCAGTTTGATTTCAAAACAGATATTATATTACAATTTTGATAATACAATAAAATTTTTAGCTTAATTATGAAATTATCAATCTATAGATGCAAAAGATAGCAAAGAATAATCAATAGAACTTAAAATCAAAAGGAAAATTTAAATTATGTAGGATGATAAGAAGTCTCTACATTCTCACAATGCAGAAATGAAATTCTTTCAATTAATAAAATTTATTTCCTGTAAGATATTATCAGTGAACATTTATCCTTCTAAAAAATAATATCTTAATAATAATAGTTACAAATTTGAATTCATTATTTGTTTTAAGGGATAACATTATCTTAACAACTTACAACTTTTGTAATTTCTATATTTGTAATACATTCAATATCTAAACTAAAATTGGTACAAAAGGCATTTAATGACCCGGTACGATTTCATGTAACAATTTATAAACTTTGATAAATAGTGACCTTAGATCAAAATTACTAAAGTGGAATTATTTCTAAAATATAAGTAAAGATTCACGCTATTTTGGATTGTTTTTCATTCCAAATTACCTTAATTATTAATTTTTTAAACGTATTTCCTTTTTATTAGCAATCTCTTTTACAATTATGAGCTGAGGTTATAAGATAATTCTATAAAGCCCTTTAAAATAATTTAAAAGATCATATATGTATTCAGTTGAGAAACAAAAAAATGAGACTTCATTAATAATTTGTATTTATAATAATTATTATTAAATGTACAACTATAATGAATTAGATTAATTGGTCATTAAGGGGAGTACAAGATTTCAGGAAGTTAATTTCAATTAGGCAAGACTCTTTTAACCAAAGTTGAATATTATCAAGTTAAAAGGATTTCAATAATTAGTAGATTTAATTAAGCAATAAGAATCGTTTTCGAAACATAACTAGATTCCATAAATAAATACACAGAAAAATCTGCCATCAATTTTGCCTTATCCTCCTAAAGCAGAATTAATTACTACTTCAAAAAAAGAAATTTCAATAAGAAAATATAGTGAAACAAGAGTTTATGGCAGAAAAAGTTTTACTGAAACTGCTGAGCCTCATTCACTTGAACCAAGAAGAATCAATACAATAAGAAACAAATTCGCAATTAAAAAGGCTCTTCCAAATAAATAAGAAGAATAAAATATGTTTGAAAATCCTTCAGACTTTGCTACAATTATAAGTTTCTCAAATTTATTAATGATAATTCCTTAAGAGAAGATAGTCTACAAGGCATTTATAACAAAAGGGAATAATGGATAACTTGTTAGACAACTATTAAAGTCTCGATCCTGGTGGATTTTACTGGATTCACCTTAAATTGATGTGAATCTTTATTGGACATAACTCAGAAAACAAGGATTTTATAAGGATTTGATAACATTAACTGGGAATTAGTCAACATTTACAAAAGCTTAGAAAAAATAAGTATATGAGAAATTTAAGCTGAAATTGGAAGATGAAAAGTATACAAATTTCGTTTCGAGTAATATCCTAAGAGTACATAATCACTTAGAAGGCAATTTTTAAATCTCAAATAAGAAGGCATTGTATTACAATATGAAATCCTATTATGAGTCAATAGGACAAGATCCATTTAAATTTATACCATTAACATTTCATATTTAAGATGGTATAAAGGATCCTGTGTATTAGTAATTTGAAGAATATGCAAGGAGGAATAATATAAATGTGTGGATTATAAAACCAGGGGAATAATCAAACAGAGGTAATGGAATAGAAGTAGTCAATTCTATTTCTTAAGTCAAAAGACTAGTGTCTTATAGGGAATTGCATTCAAATGGTGTAAAGAAGACTTTTATTGTGCAATAATATATAAATAAACCATTATTATACAACAAAAGGAAGTTCGATATACGATGTTTTATGTTGATAACCTGTATAAATCATCAATTCAAGGCTTACTGGTACTAGGAAGGATATATAAGAACAAGTTGCAAAGAGTTTAATTTGGATGACACAGACTGTAAATACACCCATTTGACTAATGATGCTGTTCAAAAGTACAGTAAGAACTATGGGAAGTATGAAACGGGAAATAAAGTAAATGAATCATTTATTTTAAGGTTTCTTTTAATGATTTTTCTAAGTATGTTTAGGAAATCTATAATTTAAATTTTAATAACACGATAGAACAATTAAAGAGTTTATGCACTGACATTGTCAAAGCATCTTATTAACATCTAGATCCAAATCGCCATTTCTATACTTTTGAGTTATTTGGATTGGATTTTATGATAGACAGTGAATTCAAACCGTGGCTGATAGAAGTGAATACAAATCCATGTCTTGAAACTTGTTGCCCTCTATTATCTAGATTGATAAATCATTTAGTCGAAAATACCATTAGAATTGCAATAGATCCTATGTATCCTCCTCCTACAAAGAAAAAACCACTGCCTGAATTCAAAAACAATTTTGAACTTATTTTCTATACTTCTCTTAAAGAATAATGTGGGAAACTACCAGAAATTTAATAAGATGATGACGATCTTGATGTAGATGATGATAATTGAATTAATATATATATTTATTTATCATTCTTATTCCATACTCATTTTACTTAATTAATATTGTAATTATAGGTCTAAATTACCAATATCGCTGTCTGTTCTCAAAAATAAAGATGCTTTCTTTGATAATGATTATTGCTCTAATTGATCATCAAGTAAATCATGATAAGGAAGTTATACATCTTGAAATATATTGGATCCTTATTGATTGATATCTGTCCCATAGAGATGTTTTTGTTCTAAACTCATTTAATGCCCAAATTACAAGAAGTCTCCATTAGAATTTAGAGAATCTATGCAATTTATTTTATTATCACATACCTGCTTTGCCAAGTCCATTAAATGAGGTTTACATATAATGGTTATGTTATTATAAGTTGTTTATTGAGTTTTCTTGCTCAAACTGACTCTGTATTGTATCTAGTTTTTTATCTTCATTTTATATTTATTCTATTAAATAATCTTTTCCTCTGAAATCACACTTTGTATATTGCTATTGAGGAGTAATCTCCTTACCATCCGAATCGGATTCCTTAGTTTAAATATTATAGTGCTTCTTTATATGAGAGTAAAATCGATTCTTAACCGAGTTTTCCTTTATTATTTGATGAAAAGATTACAGGTCTTCCAACTAAGTTCTTAGATATTTCACTCCATCTTGGACCCAAACTTATATACAACTTATAGATTTCTTCATCTTCCCTCTCATCATATGGATCATGATTAATGGTTTTATCTAACTTATTGATAAATCTTTCTCTTATCTATTTCCCACTTCTCCCAGTCATCTCGTTTTCAATTCTCTTCCAATTTTTTCCAAACTTTTAAATCAAACGTAGCACCTGTCTATCTTCCTCTTCTGTCCATTGCTTTCTCATTTTAAGCTTATAATAATTCCTATTATACTCTATTTGGATTTATTCTTTTCCATCTTTATGAACACTGTGATTAATTTCTTCCAGGTATTGCTTAGGCTACTTGTGTCCAATTTCCATTAAATTTTTCATAAAAGTCTTACAGCATCTCATCTTCTTCAGGTGTCCATATTTTTACAATTCTCTTCTTAATCATTGGTTCGGAGTCCGATACATCTGAGTCATAGTAATCAGAACTGTATTTCCGAATGCTTTTTTTGGATATCTAGCTCTGTTAGCTATTGGCTCTATATTTACATAAATAATATATAAATACCTAGTTCTTGTGCTTGAACTCATTTAAAATATAATATAAGTGAAAAATTAAAAAATGTTATTTGATAAAAAAACTAATTCGATAGTGGTTTAAAATTATTTATTAGTTATATGACTTTTTAAGTGTCATCAAACATTATATATTAATTCTTATAAATTACAATTTATTCAGATTAAATTGTCAATTGAATTTACTTTGAAAAAGATGCTTCCTGCTTTGAGTAAAGGATTAAAGGGATGGTAGAGTTTTTTAAATAGGAGTAATATTTGTTTTAACTCTTGTAGTTATATGATACTGATTTACAAAATAATTTTTCTGTGTAGGAAGATATTACTTTAGTACAACTGGTTTCGGAGTTATTTTCTTTCTGAAATCTAGCTTTAGATCAACCAACGGAGGTTCTACTAAAACTGGGGTTTGATTATATTGAAACTGATTCTCCATTTGGGTTGACAAACTTGATATATGATATTTTTTGCTTTATAATTATTTTATTTTATGTATTCTAATTAAAGATTGCTACTTGATTTAATTTCTTGTGTTGTATTTCATTATTCTCAATTCCGAATTGATTTGATGCTGGGGTCTTACTTAAAATGTATTCGACCGTTTCTCAAACTCACTTTATTGGCCACAATTAGAACAAAGACAACTCTTCCTTCTGACTGTATTGATCACTCTTTGAACTCTTGCTTCAATTTATTAGTCCTCACCAAATATCTGTCTACTATAGGACATTATCCTTTGAATTTTCTCTTATTTCAAGATATCTATTTTACTTAAAAGACTGATTGATCTCTAATCTCTTAAATAAATTAGTTGGTTTACCTTTGATCATTGAAATATGGATTTCTTTTGTGTGATGAGTGTTTTGGATATAAATTTGTTTCGGTTTCTTGAACATACCTAAGCTCATTATAGAATTAGAGAAATCTATTGATATTTTTTCCTTCTCATAACATGCAGGTTTTTTTTGTTTTAAAATCAAATCAAGTAGTGAATCCTTAATTCACAATTTTAATGTACTTTTTAATATGAATCATCCTGAGAATTACTTGAATCCATTAATTAATATAATTTTCAATTTTGTTATTTACATTTATATGAGTGATATATTTAATTTTCTTACTGAGTCAGTTTTAAAAAAAAGATTTTAGATTTATTTATTGTTGTTTGCCCTTATGAAGGTTTTTAAAGTGGAAATTAATTAATTGAAATAAGAATTATTAATTAAAGATATAATGTATTTAGATTCTATTTATTATTGTATGGTATTATATCATTTATTTTGGGTATCTAAATTTTTGTAGACATTGTTAAATCTCCAATTATGATAATAATGAGCAGGAGAATAGTCTGAATACACATGATTGGGATCCTTCTTAGAATAAATGATAGAAGGAACGAATTCCTTTCCGACTTCAGTTCTGTCTTTGAGTAATAGATGAACACCATCATACATAGATAAGAATCTCAAATAAATATAGTAATTACTTAGTGAATCGGCTTGCAAAGACAAAAGATTGATCTTTGAATTCGTAAATCCAATGGTCTAATTATAATTCATATTTTTACTTAAGGTGTTATTATCTCCTTAAACAGAATGCACATCATGTCCAAAACCTCTCACTTATGGGCATACCTTTAACATTGGTAGAGTATTGGTTCCTAAATGCACCCATCTTGAAAATTCAGGGAATGCAAAATGAGCTCTGCCTGTATAAAGACCAGCTTTGACTGGCCAGAAGGCAAGAGAGTCAGCCTTATTGAATGAAATATTGTCATTTAAGAATTTCAGAGAAAACTTCCAATCCCATTATCCTGAAGGTAATTTAACAAGGTTATCACTGAAAATAGATCTCCATTTAACACACTAGATAGAAATATTTAAATAATTTAACCTCTATGTTGTCCTTGAGAAATGCCTCAATTTATGATTTGGTCATTTCCTTAGTATTAATTTCAGATAATTTCTTAATGAAGCCTCTGAATTCTGTAAATGCCTCATGATATCTTTAATCCATAGGTGAGTAGTCAATACAAAACACACCTGTTGTTCTTTCAGGATGATAACATCCAGCAGCTAAGGCAACCTTTGCTCCAAATCCATGTCCAGCCAAAGTTGCCATGGTGATTTTGTTATAATACATGTATCTAACAACATCATTGGCTAGATCTTCAACATCGAATGAGTAATGTTTATCTGATGTACCAAAATTTCTTGGACTCAAAATATGCACATTTCTATAATCAAGAATCTATCAAATTCACACACTTTTCTACCTTGTTGGCTGGGTCACTGAAGAATGGGATCCAATTTTCGACAGGATCACAGGCCTCAGGAAAGAAGAGCATATTTGGTAAATCATTATATCTGCCTTTGAGAGTGACTCCTCGTAGGACTACATTCTAGGAAACATTCTAGTGCTCACTAACTCCTTTGTGGAATTAGAGTGTACTGAATTTCCAAAGTTATCGAAATCTGTACATAGATATTTTAATTAATTAATTTAATCATATACTGTCATAGCCACCATGTCTAAATCTCTGAACCTGAGTTTGCAATCTATCTACACCAAAATGAAAGATTGCTCTGGCTTAAGGAATAAGAGTTTTGATTAAATGAATATGAGGGATAGCTTCCTCTCCCTCTATTTGCAATTTCTTACGATTGTATAGGAATCGACCCCCAAAATATAAACAAATAATAAAAAGGAACTTAAGAAACCAATGAGAACCTAAATTATTGATATGGAATAGATACTTGCATTTCTGCAACCAACATGATGTCGAATTTTGAATTGATCTATGCATTCATTATCTGGTAAGACTGTGAATGTGGAATCATCATCCCCACATTCAATAAAAAAATGAGCTTGTCTAGGTTGCATAACCCCTGTTGGTTATTTTGGATCCATACATAAGTCTCCTTAAGTGTACTTTACAACTATGCCTTTATTTATATCTCTTTCATCTAAATGTTCGAATGTTTAAGTTTCTACCAATCCTGCTACATCACAATTCTCTGTTATTTATCCCATTACTGCCAATGCTTCAATAGCTCCCACCTATCTATCATGACATTTAATTGGTTTAAAATCACAAAAATTGAAAATGTAAACCATACTAAACATCCCCATACCACTTGTTTCGTCTTTCAATTGCCATCCTCCATCTTTATCTAAAGACTTTAAATTATAAGTGTATCCTGACTCATCTGTCCAAGTGCATTGTTAAGATAAACTAAGTCCCAACAAAGTTAACAGCATAATTAATGTCAAATTAGGACACATATGTTAATTTATTTTATTATATATTATATTTATCAATATATCAATAAGCTCTAATTGATTGCTATTGCATTTTAGCCTTTAAATCTTGGTTTTCACTTTCCAATTCTTAAATGTGTTTGTCAAAGTTATCCAAATCATCATTTAATTATCCAATTATATCATCTTGTTCTTTCAATTTATTTTCAGCAACTTAGTATTTGTATTTCAAAGCTTCAATCTAGGTTGCCAACATAGCTATCTTGCCCTCATTATCATACTAATAGCATTAACATCTTTGTTACCTTAATCTATTCCAATTATTCAATTTATTATTATAATTATCCAATCTTTTCCTTCAATTATTAATTTTCATGATCTCTCTATTGCAATTCATTCTCTAATTGTTATTGATTTATCAATTATTCATTAACCAAATTTAACTAGTTTTAAAGATCATTAACACTAAATATATTAAATAATATTACCTAGCTTTGGCTTAGTTCAATTCATCTGACTTGGCTGTCAAAGTCTAATGAAGAGTAGAGTTTTCTTTCTCTAAATTTTGCACCTTCTCTTCAGCCTAATTTAAGGCATTATCCAAACTTTAAAGTTCCTGTTATAAATGTTCATAATCTTATAGCTTTTCTTCAAGTTCCTTTATTGTATTTTAAGCACCATTGTATTTCAGCTTAGCTCTTTCTATTTCTGGTCCAAGTAATGCAACTTTATTTTACAATCCATAAACCTCATTATTCAACTTATTAATTTCATCATCCTTCTTCATTAGATCCAATTAATCTTGATCTGCTTTCTTCTTCATTTCTTAAATTTATTCTGATAATCTTGTATTTTCTGGATCCAATGGCTCAAGTTATGCAACAACATTTGATAACTATAGTTAAATACATATTAAATTATACATCTGTATTTTAATTAGTTAGTTCATCTATTTTTTCTTATTTATTTTTATTTAAATGTTTTTATCTCTCAATTTCAGCAGCCAACATTGCTATTCTCATATCTAGATTTTCTTTCTCCTTTGTCACTTTATCCAATTATAAAGTTGTTTTATCTAAATCTTCCTTTGTTGTTCTCAAATCTTAAGCTCTAAAATTATGACAAATATTAATACTTTTCGGCATAATTTGCTTACAATTTTTAATAGTCTTTTTCCATTACTTCATATGCCTCTATTTTTCCTTCTAGTTCTTTAACTTTACTCTAAGCTTCTCCTAACTTTTTGGCTAATTATTTGTTTTCACCTTACAATTTATTGACTAATTGTTATAAATCATTAACTTATGTTTATAATGGTTCAATTTAAGCAACCAATTATTCTAATTCTGCAATTCTCTATTTCAAATCTGCAATCTGATGCTATAATTCTTCTTCCATTATTTACTTTTCTAAAGTTATTGCTTTCAATTATTTTGTTAATTTATTGAAATTATCTGTTAATTCGTCATTAATTAATCTCATCTAAATGGCTTCAGCTTTATAAACTTACAATGTCTTAACCTCATTATCTTTTTATAAATATTTCGCCTTCCATTACTCTAATTCTTCTTTCAATTAGGCAATCTCATTTTTCAAAGACTCATTTTCTTATCTTACTTGATTGAGTTTAGTATCCAAAGTAAGGTTGAAACCCACTGCTTCTTTTAATTCCTATTCTAATATTCTATCTTTAATTATTTTTCCTTCTAATTCTTTAATATACTTCTCTTATTATTCTATTTTATTTTTCAATTGATCTAATTCCTTAGTCACTTTTTTTAGTTCGTCAGCAGTCTTCTAATGCTATTATTATTCATTGAAAAATGCTTATTCTAATTTTGCAGATTAAAGTCTTTAATCATTCAATTATTACACTACCAAAGAATAATTAGATTCCAATTATTATAAATTTGATTTTACTTGGAATAAGGTTCTAATTTATAACTCTTGTTAACTCAATTACTCATTTTAAAGATTAATTTAGTCATTATAATCTAAGTTTTATTTTGCCAATTTGTCTACTTGATTTTGTAACCTATTAGCCTTTTATTCTAATTAAGGAATCAATTCTTATAAATGATTCAATTCATTGACTTTTTATTCTAAAGTTTTATTCTTCCTCTTAAGTTCTTCAATCTCTTTTAATAAGTTTTGTTTCTCTTATCTCAATCTTTCTACCTCATTCTTATAAATTTAGAATTATTGATCCGTTCTTAATAATTTCTTTTCTAAATCAGAAACTTGTTACATATAAGTTGGCAATTAGATATTAAGTTCAGTGATTTCTTTGCTCTTTAGTGTGTTTTCTGCTTTTAACTTTTCAATAATTGCTTCATATTGTTTATTTTAATCTTCAAACAAATGAGTTTCTTGAATCTTAATTTACAATGATCTAATCTCACTTTGTAATTTGCTTATTTAATCTTGATAATTTGTATTTAAATCAGCCAATTAATTCTTTTAGATTGTAACATCATTCAGTTTTCTTTCAAGACCTTTCAAATCAGCTAATTAGCGATCGTTTTCTAAATACTTCTCTTTGTACTAATCAGCTAATTTCTAAAGGGATTTGATTTCCTCTTATTTGCGGAGAATTTCTTCTCTCAATTCTTAAAGTTACAAATGATGATCATTTTTAAGAGCATTGTTTTAGTCTTATAAGCTTTGAACAGTTTTTTTAAGATTGAGTAATTCAGATTCCAATTCTTTGATCCTGTCTTATAATTTTGCATTTAACACTATTTAGTTATCTAATTCTTACTGCTTGTTTTACAATTAATTATTGAGAGTATCAATTTATTATTCAGCTTTAGCCAATTTCAATCTCAAATCTTCTATTTATTAAGATTTTTAATTTAATAGAGTGTTATTTCTTTATAATTCGATATTAATTTAATTATCTCTTAAATTATTCACATTCTTCTATTATTAGATGTTCTATAATTATTATTATAATTATTAATTTCTTGAACTTAAATCAGAATTAATTTTAAGTGTCTATTCATACTTTTATTGTAACACCTTCAATTAGCTTTGTAATTCTGCTAATCCATCAACTTAGGATTATAATTATTAATTTTCAGCTTCTAATTAAGCTAATTATAAGTTAAGTTGATCATTCAATGATTTATAAGTTTCACATTATTAGAAAATCTTCAAATACTCTGTCTCCTTAGAGATCAATTCTTTCAATCTTTATTCCAATTCAAAGTTTTTAACAGTCAAATCTTTAATTTGCTTTCTCAATTCTGCAATGTCTCTGTCTTTCATATCTAATTAAGACTTCGCTCTGTTTAATTCTAATTCAATAATTCTCAATTATTATAATTTTTCTTATAAATTCTATAATTCCTTTTCAACATTAGCTAATTGTTCACTCTTTAATTTGAGTTCTTTGTCTAATGATGACAATTCTGACAACAAACTTTACTTTTCAATTTATAATTCATTTATTTCCAAGACCTATTATCTTAAAGTGTTATTATCGTTTTCTACAAACTTTAATTTATTATTTAGTTTATCATAAGCTTACTGTTTATTTTCAAGTGTTCTGTTTAATTGATCAATTTAATAATTCAAAACACCATTTTGCTTTTGCAAATCTGTATTGTAACCTCTAATCTGATCCAATTGCTTTTTCAACTTCTCACTCTCTAGAATTTATTTGGCTTGTTCATCATTTTTTCTTTTTAATTCATCAATTACTCTTTATTTTTCTTAAACTTGTTGTTTCAACCCCTGCAATTCTTTTATATGATCCTCGGCTTATTAAAGACTAATATATTATTATTTATTACTTAGTCTTTAACCTTTCTATTTCTTATTGTTTTGATGCTAGTTATTGATTTAATCTTTCGATTTCTTTTACCAATAACTTATTATTGTTATCTTAATCAGTCACTTGAACCTGGAGGTCAAATACTTATAATTCTAAAGTCAAAGCTTTCTTTCTCCATTAATCTAGATCATTTAATATTTAATTAATTTAATCTCTCAACTTCTTATTCTCATCTTCTAACAAATCCATAGTCGATAATTGACCTCTCTTAACAGTATCCAAATTCAATTGATTCATTCTTTCCAACAATTCTCTTAATTCCTATAATAATCTGTTTCTATCCTCCTCAGACAACTTGAATTTGTCTTTCCACATAGCCAATTCATTTTCTAAATTCTTGATCTTACTTTATAATTCAAAGTTTTCAATTTCTTATTTTCTTGCATCTATCAAAAGTTCTTCCAATCCTTATAGTTTTCCTCTTAACTGAAAATTCAAATAAATATTACTTCTAGGTTTTCATCTTGTTTTTTCTTAAGCAATTCTTGGAGTGCATCATGTTCATGTTAATTTAATTCAAGTTAATAAATTTTATTATCTCTTTAAGCTATTGCTAAGTCTTTTTGTTCATTTTCATTGATAAGTTGTTTAATTAATGCTAACAACTTTCCATTTTCATCAGACAGTATCTTTAATCTCATTTCATACATTCCAGTCTAAAATGTTTATTTTCATTAAATACTAGTTCTTCCAATCCTGTGCCACCGCTTGTAATTTAAAGAGCAAAGAATCTTGCCTTCCATTACTCCACTTCTATTTACAGTTAACTAACCTTATCCAAGTCAGACCCATCTCCATCTTACTTAATGATAATGGCTAACAATTATCTCGATATTCATTACTTTATTGGGGTCTAACGAGTGTGGGCACTATTCTTGATGTTATCATTGGCTATATGGATCCATTAGGCATTTAGAAATACTCTAACTGATTTACGACAGCTGATTGTGTCATGGCAACAGGAGGCTAATGGATTAAGATCATTGATTACTGAATTAATTACTCTTACACTCGACCCTGCACTAGATCTCTTCATCTTGTCATTAGGAATGATAACGTGACTCTCAGAATTGACTCTTGATTGTTAATTTCCTTGTTAAGGTGATAAAAATCTCCCTCGATTTGGTGTTTATTATTCACTCATTTAGATTAAATTAATATCTTTGCAATAATTTTTATATCAATATATATATACATATATAAATAATTAATAGTACTTTAGGCTGCTACTTGATTGATTGCTCTATCAAATTCCTTTGATTGGGATCATGAGAAATTTCTAATTAATCTCAATCATTATGTATAAGGATTTAATTTATTTTTCAATATTTAAAGTCACTGAGACTTGTTAAATTTTATTTAGTAAATAAAAATTATGTCTGAAGAAAATATTAGTTAAAGAAATTAGTTTGAGCTTGCCAAGCATGCAAATGCAGTTAAAAGATTTGAGAATCTTGAGAAGCTTAAGTTAATTGATCGTTTAGAAACATTACAGAAAATCAAAAAATCTAATGATAGATTAGAAATTAAGAAATTTATGTTTCAATTATAACAGAGAATGTTTGATGCACCTGATTAGTTTTCAATTATTAAATTTTCAATAGGTCTAAAACCAATTTTAGAGAATATGCCTAAAGAAGTGTTGAGAAATTAAAGCGTGATTCAAAACTTTCTCGCTCTCCTGATTCACGCCAGACTACAGCAGCAGAGAAACCAACAGAAATAAAAGAAATTGAGGTTAAACCATTTAAGGTGTGATAGTTTTAATTAGTTAAATATGATTGCGATTATCCATATAAATATTAATTATTCTAATCAATAACTGGATCAAATGATATAGAATTTTTATTATTCAAAAATTATAGAATAATTCTCATATGATTATAATGAATGATCAAAAATAATATTTTAAACTCTTCTAATTTTTATTCAGATATCAATTTATTATTTAGGTCTTTAAAGTAATAATATTTATCTGGCCAAATAAAATCATTTCAATTTCATGAATTTATTCATTTCCTAGATATTGAAATATTTTTCTATGATGATCATGTAAAATAATACAAAGATTATATGCAATAATTATTCAGCTTTAAGTTATCATAAATATGATCTTAAGAATATTTTTCTTTTCATTACATTTACCTTTCTATTAATAGTATTTTTAGGACTCAAAGCAACATCAAAATGAACACTTTTTATTGATTTTTAAACGTCCGATACTTGTTGAAAGTATTAGGATTTATTATTGATAAGTTCTTTTTTTTTCAAAATGCTTCTAATTCCTTAGCTTTAAAAAGAAGTAGATAACTTTGTAGTTAATGATCTTGTTTTTTTGGAAGGTTTTTGTTTGCTTTTACTTTTCAGGTAATAGGAAGTAAAATTTTCTTTTGAAACACTCAAAATATCAACATTAGGTGAATAAGATTTAGACTTTCGTTTAGTTTTTGTGATGAGACGGTCATATTGTTCCATGACCAAAAATAGTGCAAAGTCATCTTCTTCTTGAAGAGGCAGAATTTGTTCTAAAGGAATAGGTTTCTTGAGATCTGCCACAAAAATTTAATTATTGATGTTTCTTTGTTCCATTTTTAGCTTCATTTCTTAAATTGGGTCTTAAGGAGTTTTGCAACAGCAAGGTTATGAACCCATAAGTTCTATAAATTCTCTTTTATTTTTAATTAGGTTCTGAAAAGCTTCTAATTAAAAATAAAGTTTTCAAGAATCATTCAGAATTTCTCTTTTTTTCAACTTGACAAAAGAAGTATAATATGAATGATTATATGAAGCATTACAATATTTCAAATAAATTTGTCACTTTACTGATCCAATTTCTCCTATGATTAAATTGTGTTATCAGATTTCAAATTTAATCCAAAATAATAATGCATGATTTTTTATTATTCAACAAGCATACTGTTAGAAATCGCATAAAGCAAGTCTGAAATAGCTATTGAGGTATTGTTTGAATTTTCTTTGAAAAATTAATGAATATGTATAGTTTAATTACTACATGTTTGTAGTAATTATTATAACAAAATAAAATTATTTTAATATAATAGATTTGTTTACTTCATTCTTCATATTATGCTTTTGTCTATGATCTTAAATTTATTTCGTAATGGCAATTAAAAAAATTGGTTATTGAATGAATATTTGAGGTAATGATTAAATCATAATATTTAATTATGATTAGAATGAAATTTACATCTCATATACACATAAAACAAGTAGTATAATAACAAATCAAATATATGACACAATCTTGTATCCAGTTTACTTTGGTAATAATTTATTCTTTTAAAATACTTTTTCTGAAAACCTAACTCTTTTTTGTTATTACAAATTTCTTTTTTACTAATCCTAAAGCGCTTCTCTATTTTTTAGAATGCTCTTAGGTGGTATTTCTGGGAGAATATTGTGAATAAATAGACTTTTTGATCTATTTTTAATTCCATCAGATTTGTTATTTACATTTTAATCAGTTATTTCATCTAGTTCCCTTTGAGATAGATTTCTTGTTTCTTACTTGTAGAATGAATCAACTATACTGATATTCGTTTCTACATCTTAATTCTATTTATCTTCATCTTAAGGGAGTTATAATTTAAGTTCTTATATAGTTTCCGTTATCACTGCACACTACTATTCATAAGTTTTCTTAGACCTTTTATTTTTCAAGTACTCTCTCTTAATTGTACGTTCTTTTAAATCTGTAATTGATGAATCACAATTTGAAATATTTTTTGCACATATCTATTATATTTGCCCCATTTAAGTAATTATATTTATATATATATTTATAAAGAAACTAATAAAAAGAAATGAATATTTTAAATTCTTATCTCTTCTGTAATTAATTAAATTTTTATAATAAATATACTGTTTTTCAAATATATATCATTCAGATTTTAGTATTACATTATAAAATAAAAGGCAAGAAGGAAACTTTATTATTTTTAAATCTCTTCTATAATTGAGAATCCTGAGTATAAGATCTTTTTTTCAATATACTGCTAGGCTTATAATTTGTGTTTTGTTATTTCGATCCATTATTAATAAGTTAGTTGGCACTTAAAGACCTACAATACATTAATTTTTTCTTTTTGGAGTGCTTCGCATTCTTAATAGATTCTTTATTCATTTATTATTTATTATCAGCCGATATCGAACGACTTCTTTTATTAGAGGAGCAATGAAAGCTTGTACTTAAAGATTTTCGATTAATTAACTATTCATATGTTGCCATAATTTAGAGTAAAGAAGTATCATCATCTGGATTGATTTGAACAGCTTAATTAAAAATTGGTTATTTAATAAAAGTCACATGCGTTTCATTATCATTAATATCTTATTACCCGTTAGAATAAGATTGAGGGCAGCAAAAACAACTTGGATATGATCCCATTTTTATATAACTTAATTAATTTAAAGAATATTCATATGAACTTAATTTTTATATGAGAGCAAAAAAGAAGAATATTCTTGAACTTTTTATATAATTATTAGATTCAAGAATATTTTTCTATTCAAATCATCTATTTCTTCATTTTATTAAACACTACTCTTAAGATATGTAATAATTATTATTATAATCGAATTTAGTTACACTAAAAGTCATTTGTTTTTACAAAATAAAATTAGAACAATTTTTTGGTTTCCCTATTTTAATTGACTAAATTTTGCAATATCTGAATTAATTACACTTATTGGAAATATTTATAATCAAAAAGAATCTTTACAATCTATTATTATAAATAAGTCAAAATTAATATTATTTTGTATGGTTTTTCTTTATCCACAAATAGTAAAAGGATGGAGCAAATGTAGTTAAGTCTTATTAATAGTAATCTAAAAAGCACTGTTTAGATTAATCCTCCTCTATAAAAATTAGGCTTGTTGTATATGAACATTTAAATTTCTTTAAATTTTTGATTAATACATATAGTTTTTATTACCTCTTTATCATTTTTCCATAATCTTAATCAAATTTGTACTGATTATATTAAAAACTATTTATCTATGAATTTTTTTATCTATTTTATTTTGCTTTAGCATTTTCATAATACCATTGATTACTAAGCTAAGCATACGCCTATTAATTGGGTTTTAATTTTTGCTAACAATCAAAGAAGGAGTTAGATGGCTCACAGTGTCATAAGTAATAGGCTTTTAATATGAATAATAATAATAATAATTTAATATGCAAGGATTGAACAATTAAAACTACAATCCAGGAGTGAGACCAAAAACCTTAATTTGTTATATTTGTGGAAGAGAGTATAATATATTACTAAATTAGATATGGAACAAAAAGTTTAGAGATTCATCTTAAGACTTGCCAGGAGAAGTTTCTCATGGAGGAAGCAAAAGTATTAATTTCCCATATTTCTTCATTAGAAACCGAAGAATTAGAGGAGACCCTTGCCATAACCTCCAAAAGCAATAGGGGGAAGTGGAAATTATGATACTGAATCGTATAATGAGCAAGCATTTAGTGCTTATAAAGAATAGAGTCTGGAGAAATGCGCATACTGTGGAAGAACGTAATAGGATTTGAATTATCACTAGTTTCAATAGAGAAAGTTATCCTATCCATTTAAAAATTTGTAAGGCAGATAAACCCTTTAAACCACTTCCTGGATTTGTTTAGAATCCAAAAGAAGTCCAGTAATAAATGAATAGGGATAATGGAGGAGGTTAATAGGGAAAATCAAACTCTAATGGTTATTCGGGAGAATATAAGGCTCCCGTTCGACCAAAGACTTTGGTATGCTATATATGCGGGAGAGAATATGGTACTAAATCTTTGGGAATTCATATACCTTAATGCAAAGAAATGTTTATAGTGTAGGAAATGAAGAAGCCAAAAGCAGAGAGAAGGAATCCTCCTACCACTCCAAGAGGTCTTTGGGATTTATTAAATAAAGAGGACATTACAATGGAAGATATTATTGCATATAACAATGGAGTAATTAATATATGTTGATAATTCATAGGCATTTAATAAATACAACAAGGAGGCCTTGGTTGCTTGTAAGAATTGTGGCAGAACATTTAAACCAGAAGCTTTGGAGCATCATACCAAGGCTTGTACTGCTGATAACCCTTTCAAAGCTCTAGATGCTGTCGAAGAGGGAGGTACAGTTGAGTTAGTACCTTGCAAGAAATGTGGAAGGAAATTCTTGCCATCTAGAGTTGAGAAACACGAAAGCAATTGTAAAGATATAAAGGGAGCATCATAAACATAAGCAAATGGATTTTAAAAATAACAGTAACAATAATAATAATAAGAATAAAAATATGAAACTCCACAGTAGAATCAAAAATAATAATAATAAAAATAGGTTTAAAAATAATAAAGTTTCTCAAAGACATCAGTTAATTTTAATGATAAGAGTTTGAAATGTAGATATTATATACATTATTTTTAGGTTACAAATGTTTTTAAGATTGTAATAATGTATAAGATTTGAAACAGCATGTTTAGAGTTGTAAAAATTAAGGAACGAAACCTTAAATCTATGATGATTTAATATAAATACCAAATCCATCATAAGCACTCCAAACAATTTATATGAGCTCAGTATTCGAGAATTTCTAAAAAAATGATAACAGCAATTAGAAGGTGACTGAATAACCAAAATAATTTTCCAATTAATAATCATAAAATTAAGAAAAATAATAAGTGTAAAATTAAAATAATTATTCCGATGAAGATCAATAAAATTAAGAGGATGAAATTGATTTAATTACATGTGAAAAATGTGACAGAAGGTTTGCATAAGACAGAATTAAAAAACACATGAAGGTTTGCAAAGGCAAGAAGTATTTTGAAAAAAAAGAACATGTAGTTGAAGTTCAAAAAGCTCCTAAAACAGGATGGAGGAAATATCATGAAGAATTTATTAATACCGTAAAGTATAATAGGCAATTGAAAAAAATATAAGAGGAAGGAGGTGATATTAAATAATTGGGACCTCCTCCAGTATCTTCAAATAGTAATTACGTTCAATGTCCTTATTGCCAAAGAAAATTTGATCCAAGCAAGGCAGAAAAACATATTTCTATTTGCTAAAATGTAGTCAACAAACCAAAGACAATTCAAGAAAAGAAATAAAATTAATAACTACCCATTTCATAACAATATTAATAGCAACCAAATCAATAAAACAATATTTAGTAATAAAAAGTTTAACAAAATAATTAACCACAGTAAAAAACATCTAACCCAACCTATGGAAGGGTATTTTAATTGAATGATGAAAATCCTTAATAAAAACCATAATAGTAACAGTAGTAATCAAATAACTAATAATTGAAATCCTCTTCAACAAGATAATCAATTTCTTCATAAAAAACTCCATAACCTCCTTCAAAAGCAGTAGGTCAATAATAGCAATTGTTATCTCCACCCTAACCTGGTAATTAATTTAGAATAAGGTCACCATAAACAACGTAAAAAACCTAATAAGTGAAATAATCATAAAATCCTACTAAAATTGATAATAATATATTCAGACCTCCAACTTCTGGAAGAACTTAAGAGTTAACAAAACCTAATTCCCAATTGCATTTAAAGCCATTAGGTTAAAATTAGAATATGTTTAGAAAATTTTGAATTTATAGTAATTTTAATAGCCTATTTTTTAATTTTAACATTTATACTTTCTAGACTTCAATATCAAACAAAATTTTCAATTCTAATTTAATAGTGTTGAAGCTAAAGAGGAAATATAATAAATGAAATAATTAATAGGAGCTTAATTAATAATTCATTATTTTGTATTGTATGATCCACAGTGATTGCATTTTAGATAGTAGTTAGAAGTGATATCCTTCGAAATTTCTCTACAATCCAAGCATTTGATTTACACTTTTAACATCTAGGCTTGAGGAGATAATAATTTTTTTGCATCTTCGGCTAATTTATCATACTATTCAATCTCATTTACAGACATTTTCTTTAATATATCTAATATTTACAAATATAGGAATGCTACAAATTGGGCAATTTCTTTAATTGGACTAAATTAGTTAATTGAAGCATTTTGAATGAATGAAGTGCGCGCAATTAGGTAATTACATAATATAACTTGTAGAAGCCTTTAAATTTTACAAACAAATAGGGCAATCGTTCTCGGCTGCTTGATTTAAACATTTATGTGAATTTTATATTGATTTAGATAAGCAGATGCCGCATGTATTACAATGAAAATTGTTCTCTTTAACTCCCTAAATTAGTATATAATAATTACTTTTCTGCACATATTACATTAATCACAATGATAAATGTCTTTATTAGGATCGTCATCATATAATTTACAAATGGAACAAAAATATTTAGCAAATTTTATTCCGCATTATATACACTTATTAGTTGGGGGTTGTTCACATAAGCATTTACGACATCTTATTACGGTGACATTGTATCGATCCATGATTTCTGTATTGCATCTATCAGAAATTGATCCCTTCTAATCCGAGTCGTGACAAAGCCTGCAAGGGTAAAACTTACCACAGCAAGGAGCTTTCTTATCACAATTTCTTTAATAGTGCTGGCAATTAGGCACTGGAGTTATAATCTTTTTTAAACAATTTACTAAAAACATAATTTTACAAATGACACATCATTAACATATAATCTTTATATTCATTTATACTGAGGTTTATATAATTTAGAAATTTATGTAATAGTAGAATCAATTGAAGCTAGCTTTTATTCATACTGGAATGTAAGTAGACAAAAAAATTAAGACTTGGGGATCGGATGATCAGAATACTTTAGTAGAGCAATCTTACTTTCCCAACAGAAAATCATTATATTAAAATCAATATTCCACATGATAATACTATTCTCTTTTCCAGAAACAAATGGTTATATGCCTGTAGAATGTGAGGTAATATTAGATAAGCTAAGGAATTTGCTAATTAGTTCTGTTTAGTTTAATATGATAATTATACAGCAATGTATGATTATAGTAATGATAAGAGCATCTTTTTTTATTATTGGGCAGAAGTAGGGACAATACTAAATAAAATTAATTAGGGTCGTATTTCTGTCTAAAATTAAGATCAAAGAAGATGCATATTCAATAGATTTTTAATTCTTTAGAAAATAATAAAAATAAGATTATTTAAATGACTTAATCAGTACTGATTAAGTATCTGATTGCTTTCCATTATTTAGCTGTTTGAACTAAAAACTAATTTTATTTTGCTTTCCTGTTTAATTATTATGTTTTGAGATTAAATCAATACTCTGTTGAGGAAATTAGCTTGGTTTTTGCGATTTGTGTTAGAAGAAAGTTAAATTACTAGAAAGATCGTAAAATAAGCATTCCCTCTAGATGGTAAATTGGGAGACAAACAAGAATTTTTTACCCATTCTTATAATTTTCAAATTAGAATTGCTTCCTTGTCGAAGTAGAAATGATAGCAGACTAATTAGCAATTGTTATAATATCTTTAAGTAGATATGGAAGGGAGATGAACATTTCTTGACTTGACTGTTTTTGTTATGCAAATTGATAGTTATGTAAGGATGGTAACGAAAAAAGGATAATAAAATAATAATGACTATAAAAGGTTATTTTGGAATCATTTTATTTTATATTACATAAAAAATTGCGTAATAATTTAGAATTAAATCCAACTTACATAAAATGACATCATTTTTAAAATAAAACATCTTTTCTTCTTAAAACGCTGAACAATTACCATAGACTATCTAGGTCATTAAATTAAACCATCACATACGCTTTTAGATTATACTTTTTAAGAGGTTGACCTATCTAATTCATCTAATATTAGGTTGTGATAATAGAAAGCTCACCATATCATAATAGAAAGAATTTCTCAATTATGCTAGAATTGACCCATTTGGTCATTCATTCTTGATATATAATTCGAATGAACTTAAGAACAAGATAAATTAATGGAAACTAACTCTCCCTTGGATTACACCACATTACGCAATCAAAAGCAATCCTATTGAGCCTTTAATATATGATATTATTAATGGACCTTATGGAACTTTTGATTGTGCCTCAAAAGGAGTAAAATATTGATGTTATCTTTTCAGGAAATCTAAATGGTGATGAAATATGGAGTTCCTGCTTCGAAGCTGGTTTATAGTAATCCTGTAAAGGAAGAAAAGGATATCATCTTTGCAAAAAGCAAAGGAGTTTAAATCACAAGTGCAGATAGTATAGAGGAACTAATAAAGATCCAAAAGATAGCTCCATAGATGAAAATACTATGGAGAATATCTATTGTTGAGGAGAACCCTGAATAAATGGCTACTCTTTTTTCTGGTAAATTTGGAGACGATGTTCCAAGTTTAGATGCAGCTCATAAAAGATTTAAGCAAATCCAGCAAATGGGAATTCAATTACGTGGTATTCATTTCCATTGTGGAAGTGCTATCTAAGGATCATCCTCATTTGGGAAGGTATTAAATGTTATTATCTTTAGGCCATAGATTTAGCCCAAGATTGTATGAGAATTGGGAGATAGTATGGACACAAGATGGAAAATGTTAGATGTAGGAGGAGGATTTCCGACGGGAAACATTCATGAAAATGCTATTAACGCATTAAAAAGAACTGAAAATGATCCTTTAGGATACGAAGTAATTGCTGAACCAGGAAGACACTTTAGTGCTAACTCATGTTCACTTTTATTTAGAATTTTGACTAAAAGAATAAAGCATGGTAGATTATGTTATCATGTTAATGAATCACTGTATCATTCTTTCAATTGTATTCTGATGGATGGAATATCATTTGAAAATCAGAATGACCAATTTTATAGTGTTCTTAATTCTGATGAATCCGAGAATTCTAAAATTTCTGACTAAGGTAATGTCTCAATCTTCGGAATGACATGTGATGGAGCTGATGTTATTGCTAACAATATTACTGCTCCTACTGACATGAATGTAGGAGATTGGGTATGTATGTAAGGAATGGGAAGCTATACAATTGGACCTAAATCTACATTCAATGGAATGAAATCAACTACCAAAATTTATTAATGGAGTGGCTAACTTGAATAATAAAGTGAAGCATAACCATAAATAGCTATAAGTTAAACTTTTTGATTTATTATTTTTATATATAAATTTCATTTAAATGATGTACATTAATTTACAACTAAATATATAATCTATTCAAAAAATAATAAGTGGTTGTTGATTGAAATTATAAAATGGTAATTTCAGTTAGTTTTATTCATCTCTTCATCAGAATTTCCATTGCCCTTTGAATCTCTAAATTAGTATCCAATCTTGGAGCTATCTATTTCTAATTGTAATTTTCACCAAGTTTTCTTTCAAATTTTTTTTCCGCTAATTTTGGCCTCAAATCATTTTCAATTTAAACTATATATTAGTAAAATAATGTACTTTATTTTGTTCTTTTATACAAATCATTTATTTACTTTTACTGAGCTGCTTATTCAACATTATTCTTTTATTATTCAGCATTGTTTATTTATTATCCAACATTATTTGCTCTTTATTGCAGTTTTGATTTTTTGAACTCTAAGAAATCTTAATATTCGTTGTCACCAATTATTTTATGTTACTTTTTTGCTGCCTCTTTAAATCGAATGAATTCTTGAAATTCTTAATCAATTTATTAATCATCACTTTTTTATAAATTTAGTTTCATTTCCTCCTTCTGACTATTTTATTAGGGCAAAGGAGGTCTTGAAGGTCTTTATTATTATTAATAAAAATTGTTATCTTGAGACTATTTTGCGTAATTATACTATTAATAATGATCGTATTCATCTTGGATTGGTTGTTAATAAAGAAATTAATGTGGTTATTAAAACCCTTATTTCTGTTGAGGGGCATATTGATTTGGGGATGGATTATAATACTATTATTAAACTGGATAGTGAGGCATATGTTAATGCGGTGCTTGGATGAAATTTTATTCTTTAAATGAGTTTCTTCTTCTCTAATCATTATATTATTCCAAATATGGGTTTGGAATAATTTCTTCATGTGATCTTTTCCTTTAATATTATAAAGAAGGAGGAGGAGCTTGTTAATAATAATTTGGCTAATGATGATGAGCATTTGGTTTAGGATAAATAGAAGGACTGTGTTATTATTCTGGTGGAGGATAGCTCGGTGCTGGTGGGGGATAGTTCTCATAATAATTGTACATTTGCATTTTTGGTTTTTATAACATCTTAAGTTCAAGGTTAGCATTATAAATTTAATATTCATGCCTTTAAAGTCTATCGTGGTAATTAACTTCTGGTTAGTAAGGTATTGGAATATTATTTTAATAATAGTATTCTAATGGGTTATGATCATTGTATTGCTTTTGTTAACCTCTGTCCAATTGCGCATAGCTTGAAAATGCATTATACTTTCTAAATTCATTCAATTCATCCTTTGGAGGTTATTTTTCCTGCTATTCCTATTCTTCATATTCTTCTTCTTCCTCTTCTTATTCACTATCCAACTCTTAACTGTCTTCTTCACTCATTTATAATTCAAAATTGATTAAATTTTATAAATAAATGGAAAGTCATGAAAATTACAGAAGTTACTACAATGATAATTTAAGTTTTTTTGAACCTAAGTACTTCTTAATGTTCATGATATTGTTATTCGTCCCTTATTTTACATGGAAAAATAGCAATGCTTAATAAGAGCCAATTAAAGTAATACTTAGTTGTATTAATATAGGATAGAGTTTGGAGAAAGTTTGCATTTTCCTTTTAGGATATGATGAATAAATTTTATATTACTGATAAGGAGATTCTAAAAAATACTTTTCATAATACAATCTTTAATCCAAAACCATCACTTGTTAGGAATAATGTGAGAAAACTCAATAAAAAAAAACTTAGCGTGTAATTTGATTTGAATAAAAATATAACACATTTGTTTCAATATAATGGTTGATGAGAAAAGCTTAACTAATTGAGAATTTTATTAATTAAACAAACACTTAACTTATACAATTATCTTCATTGTTAAAATGTTTATATAATTAAAATTTAATTAATGTTCTAATTAGTATTACGTATATATTTTGCTATTCAATTTCATTTCAGCATATTAATTTGAATAGGATAAAAATGTCCAAAGAAGTTGTAATTATAGAATACAATCCAAAATAAATTAAGTCTTCATTTCAGAGGTGGCTGGTCCTATTCTCATATTCAATTATTGCGTATTACAATTTATTAGAGGTGTAGAATGGCTAATGTAATGTAATTGGTAAGTTACAGTCCGATTTGGGATTAGGCAGCAATATATTATGGAATTCCACCATAAGACTTGCAATGGATAGGCAATATGTATTATATCACTTTTTTTGTTTTGGCTCCTTTTTGTATAAAACCATTATTGGTAAGACTGGATTTAAGTTTGCATCTGATTGGAGTAATAAGTGCTATAGGGTAATAGAGTTGAATAATAAAATTGAAGGGCATGGATAATTTGGATTGGAGGATAATCATATTTAATGACAATGATAGGTTTATTTATAATCGGAATTAGCGATGCTATGATTTTAATAGTTCCAGTTTGTAATTAAAATGTACATTATGAAGTTCTCTCTGAAAAATGGTTCTCCATCTTTGAAAGATTGTTGGCAACTAGTCTAGGTAGTTTCTTTCAGTATATTGGAATGGCATTTGCGTACGGATTTTCATCTTTTTATTTTAAAATAACGGATGAACAGAGTGTGGTGAACACAAAAATAGAAGAAATGAATCTAATGATTGCCATATTTAATACAGTTGGAGCAATTCTTCTTTTGATGTTTTTGAGGAATAGACCTCCTCATCCAGCTTCAAATTCAGATGTAACACATATAGATGTAAATAAAGAATATAGTCAAAGACACAATTTGGAAATCTACAGTAAAGATGTTAACAAAAGAAGAATCAGTAATTGATTTAATGGCACTTGGAATCTGTAAATTTATTAAATTATAAAAGTCATTGGATTGGGTTGGGTGTATACTACTATCATATCTTTTGAGATGTATCCTTATGGTTATACTCAAGTATTTCAGTAATTAGTAAACTTTAGGCTGAAGTTGCAATAAATGGGACTGTTTATTAGATTTCTGGAGTGGCAGTTGGTTTGTGGGCTTCGATGAAATTGGATTCATAAGCTAAATAGGGAATACAACCTGATTATGATAGATACATCAAGATCTTCACAACCATAGGGATGATCACTTTGATTTTCGAAGCATTCGTCATCGAATATCTAGGATTCTGGATGTTGCTTTTCGTTAACTTTGCGATGGGTGTGGGTCTAAATTCGTTTTATCCTATAGCTATATAGGCTTACGTTGAAAAATTGTACCCTGCCACAGAATTAGTATTGGTTACTGGTTTGTTGTGTTTGGCTAATGTATTCATAATTAAATTAAAGTGAAAGATGGTTGGATTTGTGTTAAATTACTTAATTGTGCTACCTGAATTCGAATAGTTTGGATTATGGATTGGATGTTTAACCATTACTCCAGGGTATCTATATATTTTGTTAAACTATAAAACAAAATATCGAAGATTTGAATAGGAAATTTGATGTTATAAATTATATATATATATAAATACATTAATTGGTGTTCTTATGAAGAATAAGACCATGTAAATTTTCGGAATGAGCTTAAACGTTCTAATCTCTATTTTCCTTGCTCTCGCAGAGTGTTTCATCAATGATCTCTCAGATTCAATCATAATGGACATTGTATTTATTTTATGTGGCACTTTTTTCTCTTGGATTTATATCACTCAACAATTAGGATGGAATAAGGGTAAACTTCAATATTACCTTTAGGAGATATATCACCATTTTTTTATTGGGCTCTGGCTATTAAAAGAATAACTCTTGTCGGAATAAACAGCAGTGAATTCATTTATTTCTTGTTTGGTTTTTTAAATGGAATATACTCAAGTAAATTAATTGTATAGGATTAAAAGATGTACTATAAGAAGACTAGAAATGCTTTTTAAATTATTTTGATATCAGTTTTAATAGTTTACAACTTTTTAACAAATCCTTGCAATCATCAAATAATTTTAATCATCTCCAATATAATTTTATTAGTTCTCTTGGGATTATAGGATAATTTTGAATTTTAACTTATTGGTTCTAAATAGGAGGATTTCAAAACTAATTAAAGAAATTCTTAAGCAGAATTGAAAAAGTGTTAGACAATAATCTAACAATCTCAATCAAAGAAATCAATTTGGGAACAATTTAATTAAATAACTGATGATTGGATTTGTAAAATTGACATCATCAAATTTAAATTTAATCGAACTTGGGAAAGCAAAGAACAATCTCTCGTTTTATAAAATTTTTTATCAGAAAACAAAACTAATTTGTGTTAATTTTTTAATCATATGATAATCGTTAGATAATCCTAGAATGCTTCCATTATTGCATAGTTTGAATTATAAGACAATAATACTTTTTTATAATGGTTAGAGAAAAATTATTTATAAGAAACTCCCCAAAATATTATAAAATAGAAATAATTTAGTGATAGATAGAATGTAAATTAAGCTGAAGATGATTAAAAATCTATGCTATCCCCTGATAGGAGATACATAAATCAAAATGATCTATCTCAAGATTTCTCTGGATTGTAACCCTCTCCTCTTAATGTGGATATTTAAACGCCTAATAATAAAACATTCTTGTAATGTTATCTATGCCTTAACTAAATTGTTTACAATCTGAGTTTATCAATATTTCTAGTTGATGATGATAAAACTAATCCATAAAAATAACAGTCCATTATTATTTAAATGAAAAATGTTGACAAGCTAATTAAAAGCGAGATTCTAGATTAATAAAGATCTACATTTTATAGATATATTGGTCGATTGGCTACTCATTCAGGAGAAGTGCTAAAATCAGTTAATGTTCTAAAAAAGACTCTATAATAATAATTAAAGTATATATCATAAATTAATTTAAAGAGAATTCGATTATTCTTTGTCATTTAATGACACCATATTTAAAAAGTCAGAAAGACATATCGGAGGCATTAGTAATCCCTATTAAACAGTTCTCTCTCATACTCCGGAATGCAATACAAATTAAAAACTCACATCCACTCATAGTAATCCTCATGAGAGTTAGATTTTGAACTTGTAATAATTATAAATTGCATATTACTAACAATCTTTGGAAATACTTAAATAAATAGAAAAATTAAATTTCGATCTAATAATGATGAAACAAAACAATTTTAATTTCTTTGTATTATTTAGTCATACTTAATTAGATATTGAATAATTTAATATATTAAGTAGTTTTAATATTGTCAAAGATATTTTTTAATAAAATCCTATCTTAAATCAACACAACATCATAATTACTTAGGAGGTAAATCATTAAACTTAAGTAATCATTTAATCTGATAAGTGGAAAATTAAATAAATTTTAATCAATATCATTAACAACTCAATAGAAAACTTTGAACTCAATAATTAAGGAATACAAAACGAAAAAAATGAAAATCTATAAACTCAACAACAAATGAGCTAGAAATAGGATCTAAAACAATAAAATATGATCATCTTTAAAGCACACAGTGATTAAGATAAGATTATTATCGAAATTTCAGATAATGGTGGAGGTATAAAAGAAGAAATGCTTAAAAATAGATTGAATGATTGCAGATTTGGTTTAGCAGCCACATAAACACTATTAAGATGTTTGGCATATGATACTTAAAAACCTATGGAAATTATTAATTATGTTGCCTCCACTGGAGTTTAAGGCACTGTGATTAAATTTGTTCTACCTATTACACGAGATAATTTTTAATTATACGCAGAAAATAAGCAACATGAATCACTAATTATTCACAAAAGAACAGATAAAATTTGATCATATTATTCTTTATTAATTTAGATAATTCCTTTTATATATATAATTCATAGCTCCTATTTTATAAATATAAATTCCTGATCTCTTCAAGTATATTTTTCTTATTACAAGATTTCATTTATTATATAATTATAAATTCATCAAAATCAATAATTGATATCAATTTATTTATTTGATTCCATGGAAATTTTACAATAGAATTTTATTACCTTAATAAAATAAATTAAAAATATAGGTTATAATATTAATTAATTAAATCAAAAGCAAAATTTGCTCTCTCAAATTGTTTCAATATTGCACGTTTTGCAAATTTGAAGATGGTCGCTTTTCTATTTTAATTTTTGAAACCTCCAAATATTTTGGTAAGGAGAACTTTTTTCTTAACGAATTAAATTGCTTCTTATCTTGGCCTTGTAAAAGATTACACATTTCTTTAGCACATGTTCTGATTTCAGTTTCATTTAAGCCAGTTATTGAAACCATCTAATCTTGACTCCAAGAGGGATGAATTCTTCTAATTTTATTCACCAGATAAATAGCAGCACTTGCTAACACATTATTTGAATATTGAATCATAGAATATTCCAATAAGGAGAGTTCTATTAGATATCTAAAAGAATTTAAATGAAATTTACCTACTAAGCATTAAGTTTTTCAATTCTAACTTAGCTGTTTCCTAATATACATTTAATAGTCTGTAGGGACTTGTCGTTAACAAATCAAAGGAAAGTATTGAAATAATTTTTCCCTCTGCTTCCAAGATTTCCTCTTTTGGATATGCATTATCACATACATATACTAAATCCCTTACATGAGGTACAGAGTATACTTCTTCATATTTGGATGCTATAAATAAGGCTGCAACTCCGTAGAGTTAAAATTTAGATTTCGGTATCTGATGCAACTCAAGTACTCTCAAATTTAGGTAATAAATACCTATCAACTATTGATATTGTCAAAAACAGGGTTTCTGGGTCTAATTTGAATTTATGATGTACATCTACTAACCAATCTAGTAGAATACTACGCATTTTTTCTGTAATTTCTGTTTAAAATTGGAAAGCGGTCATTTTGAAAATAGATTTACACTAAATTAAGAATATTAATTACACTTCTATCTTTCATGTATGTAACAATTTCATTTTTATATGTATTTACCATTTGTGGATTTTCAATTTTTGAGGGTAATTAAATTGTTTTATTACTTAAAATTGAAGTGATTCCACTAGTGATACTCAGATTTCTTCCATTTCTTAAAGGCATAGGCATATTTGAGTCTGTTTTTACTCTTTAAAACCCTTCTTTTGTTCTATAGCTCTATTCATCATTTAATTTCATTTGTGGTTTTTGAGGAGGTATCATAGAATGAAATGAATTTGATGTCTTCTCTCTTATGGCTAAGGATGACTAAACTCTTTAATGTTTAGGCGCACAATAAAAATTTTCATTTTAGTAGTCTGCAACACAAAATAGTCTTGGGATTTATTGTGCTTTCATTTTGAATATAAATTATTTAACGGAAAATATACTATTTAATTTAAAGAACAATATTCATTTATTTTTAAGTGAATTTATTATTTCTAAAGATATATCTTTTTAATAAGAATATCATTCTTGTTTAAATATTTATAATTTGATATTGGGCCATAGATAAATCTCAAGATGAAATGATATTGAATACGAGTATGATAGTAAAGGTTTATTGAGATTTATTATTTACAATTGTTCAACTATTTTAAAAACAGATCTTAAATTGCCTCATTTTTATCTTAAAATTGTAAGTTATACGTATAACCTCTTGATTTCTTGAAGATAAGCCTAATTATGTAAGAATAAGAAAACCATAATTTTAAGTTTAATTTTGGTCTACCCTATAATTTAAGAAAAATATCTTTGTTTTTTTTATGAGAATCCAAAAGTTAGCTACATAATTCCAATAACATCCTAAATAACATTGTTTATTGGGTTTATAATTGAAAAGTGTTTAAAAATTACTGAGGTTTGATTCCTAGATTAGTTTTTAAAAGTGGATTATAAGATTGTTGTTAAAATGTGAAAGAATTTGAGATTAAATTGTTTGTTGTAAACCTGGTGAGTATCCTCAAATAAAAATGTTAATTAATTATGTAATAAAGCGAATAGGAACAATAAAAGGAGTAAGTAATTGCTCAAAATGAGATTCCTGATTTAATTATCAATCCTTATGAAGTGGTGAACAATTCCAAGAAGTAAATTGACTACGATAAGTTGATCCAATCCTTCGGGTGCTAGAGAATCGAGCAAACTCATCTTGACCGCATATAAGCCTTAACTTAAAAGCCTGTTCATCATTATCTAAGACGTGGCATTTTCTTTTCACATCGAGACCTAAACCAGGTATTAGATGCCTATGAAGCTGGCAAAGGGTTCTATTTGTACACAGGTAGAGGACCATCTGGAGAATCAATGCACGTGGGTCATTTGATGCCATTCATATTTACTAAATATTTATAGGAAGCTTTCGATGTGCCAGTAGTGATTGAATTGTCAGATGATGAGAAGTTCTTCCATAAGAGTGAAACAACATTGGAAGAATATCAACGATATGGATATGAAAATGCTAAAGACATTATAGCATGTGGATTCGATGTTAACAAAACATTCATTTTCTTAAGTTCCTAATATGCAGGCCACATGTATCATAACATTTGTAAATTCCAACATGCCATAACCTATTCATAATTGAGAGGAATATTTGGTTTGAATGAATCTGATAATTGTGGCAAAGTAGCCTATCCAGCAGTTTAAGCAGCTCCATCCTTATCCTCATCATTTAAACATATCTTTGGAAAGGATGAAGTGATGTGTTTAGTCCCACAAGGTATTGACCAAGACCCTTACTTCAGAATGACAAGAGATGTGTGTTATAAACTTAAGGTTCCTAAAACTGGATGCATTCATTCCCAATTTTTGCCAGGTCTTCACGGATTTGGTACCAAAATGGGAACTACAGATCCAACATCAGCTATATTTTTAACAGATACTGCTAAAGAGATTGAAGAGAAGGTTAATAATTAATTAATTGATTTTAGATCAAAAAGCATGCTTTGTCTGGTGGTGGTATGACCAAAAAGGAACATCAAGAAAAAGGTGCTGATCTTACTGTTGATGTCCCATATCATTATTTGAGATTCTTCCTTGAAGATGATGCTCGTCTTGAAGAAATCAGAGTTCAATATGGAAAGGGTGTCATGATGACAAGTGAAGTCAAGAAGGAATTGATTAATGTGATTACTAAAATAGTAACAGAACACCAATAGAGAAGAGCTCTTGTCACAGACGAAATTGTGTAAAAATTCATGGAATTGAGACCCTTAAGCAACTATCCACCTAAAAAGAATAATTGAGATATAATAAAATAAAAAAATAATTATTAAAATGCTCACTGGCAAAGAAGAATTAGATAAAATCAACACAAAAGTAACATACTGATTTATTATTTCTAAGAGTGGTAAAGGGAATGCTGAAAGTGAAGAATTGCCTTAATATCTAAGATCTTCATATTCCCAAACATATTAATAATTGGAACCAACCAAAATTCTCAAGGGGAAAAAGGTAAACCTCATAACTATCCATAATTAGGTGTTTCCATAATTTGCTTACGGGAATTCTCACGAGGCTCCTTCCTATTTTAAATTATCGAACTCTTTAGTCTGTCGAGAAAGTTACGACAATCCTTATATAAAGACTAAAGTGCCTCCATTAAGCAAGTTAGACTCTCTCAAGGGAAGCACTCTCAATAATTATGAATTTTATAATATTTCTGATTAGAGATTCACGAATCGAAAACCTACAGGTTACATTACTAATAAAATAACAGAGTATAAAATTAATGTCAACATTAAGTACGATTACAAATTAAGTTAAAATTGTATAAAAACCATTCAATGATGACAATGGCTAAGTCTTTACTTTTGAAAGTGCTTATAAATCCATCCAAGATAAATTATTCAATAAAAAAAGAGGTACTCCTTAATCTTTTAAAATAAGAGCTTTTCACAGACTTTGTTGAGAAAAATGATTTGCTTAATGTCTATGGACCATTAAATATGAGAACTAGACCAAAAGAATTCAGAGAAGTCAAAAACTATGCTTTGGATTCTGAATAACTCAAATTATTGAAGGAACAAAGATCCAGACAACAAATCACTCCCACCAATAGAAGTGGGTTCACTGATCTCATTAAAACTGTTAGATTGCCCACAATTTCTAAAATGCAAGGATTGGATACAGATAAATATTATAACAAAGACTAAAATTATCTCAATTAATTATCTAATTCAATTATCGTCGAAAAAATCGATGAGAATATCAAACATAAAAATAAAACTCTCTAAAGTTTCAATAAAAATAAACGGTTTATCAAACACAACACAGAAGACACTGAAAATATGTAAGGAATTATTGACATATTTGAGAAGCATTTAGAATTTGAAAAATAATACAATGGTTGAAATATAATTAAAATTATACATTTAATTCAAAATTGATCAGTGTAATAACTTAATTGCTCCTTTAATTTCTATATCTTAAAGTCCTTTTTATTTAATGCTTCTTCCACTATAGATTCAAATTTTGTAATATCAGCGAAATGTTACTATTTCAAATTCTATAGCTTCTCTTCATAATGTTATTTTAGCTGTTGATTTTAAAGTTTTAGGTATTCAATCTTATCATAAGCGGATTTCTTCTCTTCCTCTAAATTTAATAAGAGAGTCTCTATTTAAACTAATTTATTGCTAAATTCTTCTGATTGTTGGAGTGATTTATAATTTTCTTCCTGCAAAAAGTGAAGTTGCTCAATCAATTCATTTTAATTTTCTTGAACTTCTTACCTTTAACATTATGCTAATTATAACTATAGATCCTTTTTATCCTACAAAATCTTATCTATGAAGGCTACATACTCTTGTAATATAGTTTAGAATTCATTTTTTTGTTTCAATAGATCAGCCTCTAATTTAGACTTCCTAAATAAATTTGTACAATATACATTTCCAATTTCATCTAGATTATTGTTTCCTTAAGTTTACGATTTTCTAGAGTCAAGTTATTTTCTTCGGTTAAATATGGTTATGCTCGTTTCGTTTGCATCTACGGTACTTCTACAGATGTTTCTAAATTTTCGTCTGTAGGATGAGATTCCCATAATTTTTGGGTTAACTCTTAGTAAAATTTTTGGTCATTTGAAAATTAACCTTTAGAAATCAACGGGTGAACATCTGGAGACTTATTCTTTTTCAATTAGGAATACATTTATTTATTTCAGTTAAAAAAAATTATGTATAATAATATCATTTTCTTCTCTACACATTTTTCAGAATTATATAGATCTACTATTTTTTCTAATCTAGCTCTGCGTTACGAATTTTTTAATACTAATCTGTAATCCACATTGTTATCTTTTAAGTACTTACAAAATGAATATGTTTCAATCCCATCCTTTTACTACTTTATAATACTCATTATAGAAGCTAAATACTCAGGATTCTTTTTTCCAATCTGTATAGCGAGATTCGAATTCAGAATAAGATTTAAGACACCATGTCTATGATATCTTTCTACTTATTATAATAGTCGACCACCAAAGATCTAAGCTTATAAATCTGTTAAGTTATGCCTATTTGCTAAACGATAAATATCTGATTTTTTGTAGGAAAGACAATCCTTTAGAAGATTTAAAGATTTAACATCATTCAATAATTTAAATAAACTTGGCAAGTACCTTTCTTAATAATGAATCTTTTTCATAAACTCTATTATAATAATGGGAAGCAAATCTTTGAAGATTTGTGAATCTTAATATTGGAAACTTAACATTTCATTTATCATTTTTATTGGATTATCTTTAATTTTTTTATTTAAGTAACCACTCAATTTGAGTTTAAGTTTTTCATTCTTGGTTACCGCATATGAGTGGAGAGGACGAGTAAACGCATTCTCTTCAGTTACAAGGGAATCAACTTCTTATCCACATAGAAATCTTAAATATAGAAGACCATTTTCGGGAAAGGAAAATTTAAAGACCTATCTTACATAATCTGAAAAGGTAGTCAATTTTTATCTAGAGTTAACTGTTAATGGTAATTTGCTTAAATTTAAAAACATTTGAGACACTTTATTAGCTTAATGGAGCGAATGCTGATGAATTTCTAATAATAGCCTTTAGATAATTTCATCAATTAATTTTTCAACCTCTTAAGTCGTACAAATTGGTTCTAAATTAATCAAAAATAATTAAATAAAATGTAAGGATATTTTTTAAGGTCTCAAACTTAATTGTTTAAACAAAAATTCCTTAATTTTGATTTCTAATACTGGAGTAACTCCAGCAGGCAAAAATTGGTAGTTACCTATGATTGATAAGATAGTATGTTCGTCCATTACGTTGAGGCTATCGATTAAGAATTACCTCATTTTGATAAGAATAGGATGTGACCCTAGGTAAGGGTTCAAATATTAATATTTCATTTTAAGTAACATAATGTAAAATGAAGTAACTTGCTAGAAATCGTAATAGAGTGAATTAGCGTCATAATGAGAAATACAGAATTCAACTAAATTGGAATTTACATATTTCTTTTTTTAGGATTTCATCATTTCACATCTTATTAAAAGAATCACTTCCATTGAGGAAAGAGGTTCAGCCTATAGTCGATCTTCCACCAGTTATTGAATTGATGGCAAAAACATGTTTAAGACTTAGGAATCATACCAAATATTAATGTAATGTCTAATACTGAAATCAGAACAATTTTTTAATGTCTAATTAAGAGTATTTGCTAATATTTTATCATCCACATTTTGGAGTAATGATGATTGACCTTTGACCTAATATTTAGATTTGAAGCAAAGTAATTCAAGCAAATCAATTGGTGTAAGTTATTCAAGTTAGTTATTTAATAGTTTTGATATTTCTCCGATTCCTTGGCGAAAAATAGGTTCATTTTCATAATATTTTACAGAACTCAAGAAATGAGCGATGATGCGAATTGTTAGTAATGAATGTTATAAGCTAAATATATATTTATTCTTGTTAAATATATCTATCAAGGTTTTAGGATCTACATGTTAGCTAATGAGTGCCATCAATTCTTATTCATTTTATACAACTTTGATTTCCTCCTTTGGAGAATCGATAATATCTATGTCATCCTCTGATTCATTCTCAAAACCATCGCGAATTGAGAAATTTATAAAACTAGTTTGAGTAGAAAATCTCTATTTCAATAATGTTCTTAAAATTATCATAAATATTTTTAATATTGATTTTTCATTTTGTAACAATTGTATTATTTCTAACAAACTCTAAAACTGATTCAACAGTTCTACTTTCTCCTTTCCAAGGAATAGCCTTTCTTTGTTTATCTGCAGCTCTAAACAACACAACATCAGGATATGAATGAGGTTGATAAACATCAGAAATTTCATTGTCAGGAGCATTTATTTGAGCCACAACGATGTTAGGATTATCTCTCAATTCATAAGCTATTTAATCATAGAGTGGTTTAAATTGTTTGCAATGTCCACACCATGTAGCATAGAATTCAAGTAAAACATCCTTCTTGCTTTTGATAACTTCTTCCTCATAATTCAATGCCACAACTTTCTAAGTGGATAATAAATATAATATGATACCTTAACATAAGTTTTCTCTTAAGTGTAATCAGGTATAGGTTCAGATTTGATGAATTTTTCAATTTTGCCTTATCTGAAATCAAAGATGAAGTTCTTGATTCCTTTGACTGTAAAATCGGGTCCATTGTATTTGTATTTTAATCCTTAATTCCAAGCTATGATCTTAGGGAACACATTGTCATCTGCACCAAGTTAATTCAATTAATCGAAAAATTTTTCATCTGTAATTTTGGTGAATGAAAATTGATATGTCTTCTTAAACAACTAGGCTGTTTCAAGGAATGCTTTTTCAGCTTTGATGGATTGCTCATCTAAACTGCTGAATAAAATAAAGGCAGGAGTAGCTCCAGAATAAACTAGTTTTTCTGATTACTCATTTAATTATGGTACATCAGGCAATTAATTTTGTAATAAAAATCTTTCAATATTTTGTTTTGTGAATGCTTGATTGAATTGCTTTTTCTCTGAGATTTCTTTTGAATAATAATACAATCTTCCTGGTTTACCAATAGGGAACAGATATGAGAAGGCAAATGCGGCATCTGAATTTGTCTTACTCATCTCGAAGAAGGTCCAATAATTAGGATCGTTGATATTGTTTTCTGATCCTTAATAGAAGAGTACTACATCATTGTCATTCAAAAATTGATTAAATTGATCTTGTGTCAAGATTTCGGTGGGATTTGGCCCATTGACCAACTAAAATAATATAGTTTATATTTATATACCTATAACATCCATTAAAGTATGGAATCAGCACTTCTTTACCCAGTGAATTGAAAAGGCTTACCATCAATGAAAAAGATGAAAGTGGGGAAAGATGAGATTTTGAATTTTTCAAGAGCATATCTATCTGGGTCTCTCTGTGAATCGTAAGCAGCACAAGCAATAGAGTGCTTAGAAGCTTTTTCGGTAAGTTGTTGATATTCAGGAGCAAACTGCTTGCATGGAGCACACCAAGATGCATAAAATTCAATTAAAATTAAAGGATGGCCTGATATCAAGGCGTCAATGTTATTGGGCAAAGCAGCTATTGGCTAAACCACTGGCTATGGTGTCTCAACAGGTTATGGATTCTCCTCTTATACTGGTGCTTCTGTCGGCTCTTATGCTAAGATTAAAGCAATGAAACAGAATATTAGGCTTAATTTCATTATTAATTATTAATTCATGAACAAAGAAGGAGATTAAAAATACAAAATTATTTCAAACAAAGTTTCTTTATCTAAGGTGAGCAAAGGGAAGGATATAAAGAGAATAAAAAGGAATGTACGGAAAGAAAACTAAAAAAATATGTATGTTAACTTTATCAACAAAGAAATATAATAAAATAAAATATTTAAATATTGATATACACCTATGAATTAATAAACTATTGTGAATAAGAATTTGAAATATCATGTAGACAACAATTCTACAAAAAGTTTTCTAATATAAGTTTCATCATATTCATTAACATCCTGGAGTGACAATCCTGTAATTCACAGTATCATTTCTGCTTTGATGACAAGATGACATAAAAATTGTCCAGTTGTAAGTAGCAATGATCATAAAAATCAATAATCATTAACATATACCAGTAGGCTTTTTGGTATTTATTTGTACTGATTAATTGGATGGGATACAGTATGAAAATAAAGTAGATCAATTTAATTTAATATAGTTGAAAATGAAGGGTAGGAAATTTATGGAATTTGAAAAACTAACTCATCGTCATAAAATATCTACAGATAATTTTAGACATAGAAGAGTATTAATTACTGATAAGCATGTAATTAAACATAAAATCATATGACTTTCAAGGAATTAGTATAAAATAAAACATATATATGTATGAAAACTATGTTAAATTAAAAAGGGCATATAGATTAATTTGGATATTCAAAAGTTATAGGAGAATTCTATCTTATCACTTGATAAATGGAATTTTTGGATATATATTCTAGTTATTGAATAATTTATTTGATGCCCATAATCTCATTTGAATGGTTCTTAATGTGTAAGTAGCCAAATTTGAATGAAAAGAATGTGAATAAGAGGTGAAAGAGAAAAAAAATAATAAAAACAAATCTAATCACTTGAATTCGATTTATATAATTATTATATTATATTAACTATTTTTGAAAATAATGGTATATCATTGATATTATTATTTCTTAGAATAGCAAACTCAGTGGGAAGATTAAGAAGCCTCCAGTTGTTGAGGAAATATAAAGTAATATTATCAATTTAAATTTAGTTAAGCCCAGAACCGAGGAATAGATATAATCAGTTGCAAAAAATGTTAGGAATGGAGATGTGTCTAATCCGGAAGTTGTCCTCATAGGGGAAGCTGAATTACAAAGAATGAAGGTATTACTTGTATTTTATATATTTTCAGAATAATGCTATCATAACGACCAAAGAAGAATAATTATACTAAAAAAAATTGCTTGAGGAATAAAAAGAGAAGTAGATGGCTGCAGCAAAGGCTAAAAAGTAAAAAATGTTACAAATGGAGGAAGAAAAGAAAAAGTAAGTGCCTCTTTCAACTCAGTAAGAAGAAGATAAGGTGGTCAAAGATTCACTTCTTGCAAGGGTAGATTATGGTTTTAATTCTTTGTTAGGCAGCAGAGATCATGAATGAATAGATGGATGATGTAAAGGAAATGAACAAAATGGTTATGTATGCAAAATGTGTAACTGTTCGAGATAAGCAATTACATGAGAAGAAAGAGCTTCATGAATAATATAAAGTATAAGAGAAACGTAAGGATTTGATGATGGAAATTGAAAGGCTCAAATCTATTAAATACCATGAAGAAAAAGATAAATAAAGAAAAGTCGAGTAAAAACATGGTCACGATATTATAATTGAATAAATAAAGGAAAGAGAACTCATTCGTTTGAAAGATAAAGAAGAATAAGAAAGAGAAGGTTAGGTCATGCTTAAACAAATCAAATAATTGCAAGTCGAAGAATAATAGAAGGCTATGCAGAAGAAGATTACTTAATAAAAGGTTTAAGAAGAGATCTTAGAGGCTAATGATAGAGCTATTTTGGTTAAAGAGAAGAGAAAGTTGGAAGAAAGAGAAGAGGAAGAAATGATTGTTAAATACAATTTGTAAAAGGCATAGAAGGAAGCAGAATTGTTGGAAGAGTAAAGAAGAATCAAAGAAGAAAAAGAAAGAGAAGTTTAGAGATTGAGAGAAATGCAAGAAAAAGCATAAGATAGATAAGCTGAATTAGATGCTTTAAGAGCTAAAAGAGCAATGGAATAAAATGAAAGATAAGCCAGAGAAAAGGAAAGAAAGGAAGCAGAGTGGAAAATGAAATTGAATCATGAAGTTCATGAAGCAAGAAAATTACAACAATATGAAAAACAAGAACGATTAGAAGAATAGGTACATTGCTTAATTAACTTTTATTTAGGCTAGATTGGAAAGAGATGAATTTTAGAGAGTCATATAGAAACAAAAATAAGAGAGAGAAAATGAATTAAAATTACATCATGAAAAAGAAGCATTAGTAAAGAAGCATGCAGATGAACTCAGAAAGCAGATATCACTCAATGAGGAAAAAAGAAAACAAGAAGAAAGAGACAAGTATTATAATATATCTTAATTTTTAGATTGGAAGAAGGTAAAAAAATTAGAGATAAAATGCTAAATGAGAAGAAATTATTGGAGAATATCAAAGAAACTAAATTAAAGACATTAAATGATAACGCCATTCCAGATAAATATAAAGCAGAGTTATCGAGGAAAAAAATTAATATATAAATTTGAACAAATTCATTATTCATCAATTTAATTGGGTTTTTGCACTTAAATTTCTTCAGTGCATCCACAACTCTATCAATTATTTTTTTCAAGGCTATTGTTTGTATGATTATGATTATGATTAATAATAGTCGCATAACCAAAATCTCCATAATTTTTTTAGTAAAAATTATAATTTATTCTCCCTTAGTCAATCCTTATCCTTATCTCTTTTTTTATTCTTCTTCTTAGTATCGTTTCCTTCTGGATAGACATTAACACTAGTTTGAACATTAGTAATTTCTCCATTAAGTCTTCTCTTTTTATTTCTGTTATTTTAAGTTTTTTTCTTTCTTTCTACCCATTACATTCTCTTTATATGAGACTAAACGAGATGAAATTACTTTTGGGATGCTTAATTAAATATTATTATCAACTTTCTTGAATAAATATTCTCTTATACTTAAGCATATATAAACAATATTTATTAATCACTTTTGGTTAAGTAACTGTTCACTAATCAAATTAGAATTTTACGACATCATATCAATTGCAAATTACTAAAATATTATTCTTTGCTTATCCTTTAAAGGTATTTTATATAGTTTATTCGTTTGAAAATTAACAAAATAAGTTCATATTCAGCTTTTCAAATACTTCAAGTTATTGCTTAATATAAAGTAGATGAGAGAATTTTTAAGCTCCTCAAATCAATTTGACTGACAATTGATGAATTAAAAGTAAACCATCAGTATTCTAAAGATAAATAGATTACATTAATTATTCAATCTGTAAAAAGAATTAATTTTATTATTTTTAATATAATATTTTTATTTTAATGACTTATCAAATTTTTATAAACCAGTATATTAAAAATATGTTTAAGTTGTTCTTTCAGCTTAATTTTTGGGTATTCATTTCTAAAAATTTTTGATTCTCCAAAGCTAAAATTGCTTTGTATAATGTATTTTAGTTTTATATATTTCTGTAAAAGCTTTTCTGACTTGATTTCTATAACTGTTTGTGTAATTATGCTATCAATATACTAATTTATGATTTTTATCTTATCTTATTTAACAAACAAACCACTTTTAATACGTGTATGATCTATTTATTTAAACTTAAATTTGAATTTAGCACAATTCAAACAATTCATCTTATCTACATATAAACATCAGATTTAATTTGGCAATTTCTAGTTCAATAATTTAGAATTTAAGAAATATTTTATCCACAAATAGAAATTCATGATTTTCTTAAATTCATTCCAAATTCTTAATCATTGCTTTCCTTCCACTTTTAAAATTTTTCCTTTGCTTTATTATTTTATAGGATTAAAATTTTGTGGATCAATTTATTTTTGTCTTTTAGAAGGCATTCTACAAAATATATTTATAAAATGCTTTGCAGCTAATTTATCGTATCTTTCAAATCTTTTAAAGTAATCACTCTTAATAGAATATTTTTTATTTCATTGTTGAATATTAATTATGAACTAATAGGCAAATATCAAGCAACAAGTTCAAAATGTTGCTTATGAAATATATAGTAACGAGATTATAGTGCTTTTTATTATTGCAAATACTTATGTGACTATGTAATCAATAAATGAAGAAGGTAGGTTATTTTCAATTTACATAAATTTAATAGAATTTGAGATACTTGATGATTTTACTATATATTTAGTAAATTGTATTTCCAATGTTGATGGATTATTTTTTCTCTTCACTTTAAGAGAACAATCAAATTATCCACGTTTTAACCAAATTTTGAGAAATTAATCTGGAGCTATTGAAAATTTATTCAATATAATGGAAATGAGAAAAGTCAATAAATTATGGTTATGTTATTAATGGATGGGTTTTTCTTAAGTGGATTTGATACCGATCATAGAAAAAATATAAAATGCTCATAACATTATAAAAGAGAACTGGATGAGATTGAAGAATATTAATTAGTCAGAGAATCCTGAAAATTTTAAGTAAGACGTATCAATTTTTATTTCAATTCTCTAACGAGTACTCGAATGAAATCGTTAATATTTATATTATTTTCATTTCATTTGTTTTAACTTTTCCTCAATCACTGTTTATATTGATAAGGCTTAAAACTGTAAATTGGATTCTAGGGTTTGGATCAACTCTTTATTGTTTATTGTCTTGCTAAGAATTAATCAAATTATCATTACTTTAATTGTTATCTAATATATTATGGGAGCTCGTTCTTAATAATCATCAATTATTGTGTGCCTGATTGTACCAGTTCATCTTTAAGAGTAGTTAAAGTCAGAACTATTTGCTTATGGGCTTTCTCTAAAATGGTCTTTGAATCGCCCTAAGCCTTTTTTTGGAGTGAAAATAATTTTTATTTTATTTCAGCTTATTATTTTATAAGGACTATCAAAACTGGTAAGGTATGTTTGTAAAAGCGATTCAGAATTCTGACTGAGTTTGTTGGCATTTCTTAACCATTTAGTATTTTTTTTATGATCTTTTATAAATCCTATAATTTCGATAGATCAACTAAAAAGTCATTTGTAGGGATATCATTTTGAGGTTGAATCAGCGAAATATAGAATCTTGCTATCGACAATCGAAGTTCTCTCTCTAAATTAATAAACCTAATGATATTAATTTTTCTATTTACTCATTGTAATCTTCTAAGTACTTTATTTATAATGATTAATTTTCCAATTTATTTCTGTAATTTAAATCAACTTCATTATAATTTTATTGGACATTCACAATTTCTTTGTACACATTTACCAAACTTTAAATTTGTTAGATATCGTTTTTTAATTCATTCATCTCATTATTAAACTAATAGAATAAAATATTTAATATACCGTTAAAAACAAAGTTTCTAATAACAATTATTTTTGACTTTTATATATTCCAATATAATTATCATATTTTTAATTTGAATTGCTAAATTCTCTAATAAAATAGCTTTGGAAATGTGTGTCTTAAATCGAAAAGGTTGATGCGGATTTTAATTTATTTTATATCTACTAACAAAAATATTCGACATTGCTCTATTATTTCTGTCTCTCATTAAATAGTGTGCATTGAACAAAATAGTAAATTAATTTAATATAAGAGTTTGAAATCCAATTTTCAAATTAATGAAATGATTCAAAGGGTACATAATTCTTCATTTTGAATGATGTCAATAAATTCTTCTTAGATTCTCTTACATTTTCTAAATAAAATATTAAAGCTTGTTAATTCTTTCTCTCAACTTAATCTAAATTACCTCCGAATTCAAGGAAGGATTTTGCAAAGGTCATTCCCAATGTATCAAATTACACTCCCTTTATATCCAATCTTGTTAAGGATTCAATAGCCTACTCCACCTATCCTAATTCGCATAATAAGATGATTTATCTGAACAAGAAATCAAAATTATATGGAGAGTTTTTTAACCCTAAATCTATTAATTCTAAACTTCTCAAAATCTTATCAAAGTCGTTTACATCATACAGTATATCAATGGCAATCATCAAATATTCATCTTATAATAACCTATCACCTTTTTCAACTTTTTCTGGAACTGGATGAGATTGATACAACTTTACTAGTTCATCAAGATACTTTGTAGGATCCTCTGAGATGTAAATTTCTAGCTTCTTCAAATTGATATGAGCTATTGTTTCTGCCTCTTTAGACTTAGATTAGGTCTTTACTTTTTGAATAGTGTTGTAAATTTCCTTGTGCAGTTTTAGTTTTGGAATTGCCTTAAATAATTCAGTGCAAAATGTATATTTATCTCCTTATTATTAAAATAATAATTCAACTAACTTTAAGATCTCTTCAGTGTTGGGATTTTAAGATAGATTTATTATTTTTAATGAAATGAGTAAAAGTTGTTTTAATGCTAAGCTATTTTTAGTTGTTTTTAATAATAATTAACAACTATTGTAAATATGACTCAATAGTTTATCCTTTGGAACTATTTAGAAGGGTTTCTCGATTTATTCAATTTCTAATTAGAATGGTTCAGTGTAGAAGGCTAATACTAGTTATTCTTAGCATTCAAAATTTATAAGAATTTAATCTGTGGCCAAAGAATTATAGACTTAATAATGGTATTTAAGAGTTTATTCGTAAGTAAAATCTAAATTTCATTTATATCATATATACCTGTAGGATTGTTTTAGTAAATCCACAATGATATTGTTGCATTTTATTAATATTCAACAAATAGCGAACCATGATTGTCCAATATTTATTATACTTTATCTACATTTTTGTTTTTGTTATTCTAGTAGAATTTCAATTAAAATTTAATCAATTAAGCTCCTAATTCTTCATTAGTACAAAGCTTCAAATTGCTAAATCATTTACAATTTTTTTACTTCTCTAGTTTGATGTTTTTTGCCACCTTATCAACAAACATCTCTGTAATTTTCCCTCCCATATCTTCCTTTTAACTCAATAGTACAATATATTCCATCATGTATTCTTAGTTTTTTTCTCCTTCTGCCCTGAAAATCTTAATGGCATATGTTGATGCCTCTTAAAATCGATGGGCTTATATCGATTGAGAATAAAATTCCTTTGTCTACTCCAAATTTTATGGTTTGAATTTCTCAAAATAATTATTCATCATGTTTAGATCCTTACATAGATTAGAATACAATTAGAGGACTTCTAATTCAGCTTAATTTAAATTGTCATTCAGTATTTTTGTAGCATCGCCCAATGCTCCAATCTACACCAATATTGATCCTTTTAACAATTGCAATTATTTTTTTTCAGTTTGATTAAACTTGGTCTTTTTCAATTATCTATCTATTTCAATCAATGCACTCTAACTTTCTCCTCTCTTCATTTATCCAATTATATTTTCAAAAAGTGACTAAAAAGGTGATTATTGGTTCATCATTAATAAAAAATTAATTTTTATTTAAATTTCTTGTATTATTTTTAGAAAATGGATCGTCTCGTATTATGATATAAGAAAAACATTAATGAATGCAAATTTCAATTACATCCTAAACTCCCTATCTTATAGGCAAAAGCTTAATAGATATTTTTATTCTTAATTGGTATGATTAATCTAACATACTTTTTCACTGATGGATTTATATTATTTAGTTTAATTTTTTATAAATTATGGATTAATAATAGCAAGACTAAGTTTAATATACAACTTATGAAAATTTGCAAGATTAAGAGATTTAAAAAAATGATCTGAGTGATTGGAAATAGCAGTTTTTATTTATCGACAGCTTACGAGCTTAAAACAAATTTCACAATGATTAATTTAAAATTTAGGAATGGTGGGATTAACTTTAACCCTTAACTGATAGTATAAGAAGTAATGTGTCCAAAAATGCTTTGATGCTGATTAAAGAAACAAGTATTTATAATTAAACTATAAAGTCTAACACAATAATGTTTACGATGAAAAAATTCTTCATAAATTATTTGAAAAATGTGAAAGTGATTTTAAGTTTTTAAAAAATGAAGCATTGCAAACACTTGAAATATTATCACATAAGCCATACTCTGATGAACTCATCTAGATCTTGTGTAATATCACATTATAGTCCAATTATGTAAAATAGAAGATTTAAAATAGAAATTGCAAACACATTCTTACCCTACCTTGGTGAAAATAGTATTAGCCTCAGATTTTAATTGCGATTGGGACAATATAATCAAAGCTACTGTACAAGTATACAATGGCAAAAGTGTTGAGTGTAAAAAAGCTAGTGATTAATTATACTTGGCACTTTAAAAGCAGAGACCAGAAGTATTAGAAAAGGAAGAATAACTTAAACTCATAGGTGAGAGAACAAATAAAAAAGGGCCTTAACAAGGGTTTAAAGATTTCTTATAAAAATAAAAGAAATGATTCTGAATTTATTTATTTAAATAAGTAAATGCTTACCTAAGATAGTTAAATAATAATTAATATAATATATAAATAGATCTTATAAATGATCATATATATTTTTGTTTAATAATTTATCCTATTGATCATTTAGAATGCAAACAATATAGATAAAAATATTTGCAAGGATGTTCATAAAATGTTCTGGTTTAGAGCCAATCCTATTATAAACTTTTAAATTTAAAACTTAATTTTTTACATTATTCTGTATATTTAATTCCATTTTTTAGTGAAACCTAATGATTCATATTTCATGTTAATCTACAAGTTGAAAATAAGAACAATCATTTTTTGGAGGGAAATATGTTTATTTTAAAAATTAGTTGGATTTTATTGTTATTTTTTAAAAATAACCTCCCTTTTTGTATTGCTAGAATTATATTAATAATTTGAGTAAGGCTTCAATTCAAATTGAGATATTTGAAAAATTATGAACTTAAGTATTAGTTGGTTTTAAAAATATTCTGCCAAATTTTTATTATTATTTGAACCTTCTTTTGTACTTAAAAATTAGAGGAAATGTTTCCAAATCTAATAATGAATGTAGCATCGCCCATGATTAATATTAATAATATTAATTAAAGCTAGCCCAAATTTTCCACTATGGATTAGATTTAAGTCATATTAGTGAAAGAGTCTTTCGAAAATGATTGTACAGAGATTAGGTTTCTAGTCAATAACCAAGAGATTTTGCCAAAAATAAGCATCAAATTAACAGAAAATTATTCTGAGGAATTTTCATCTGCTCTATATTAACATCTATCTAATCATGTTAAGAAGGAGTGTCGCTATCTATACTTTGTAAGTTAATGATAAACTATTAATTTCATAGAACGAACCTTTGGAATGCATGAAACAGAAGAGGTTCAATTTGATCTCTCAATTAGGAGTAGATGTTATACTAAAATTATTAAACTTAAATTTTATACCAATAATTCGAACTAATTATTCTCGTTATATCCTTGACGACGTAGTTTTTATCACTTAGCCTTTTCAGAAGGGGAGAAAATCAGCAATTGAGAGGCTGAATTAGAATTGGGAAACATAATGCAGATTGAAATCTAAAATCACAAAAGAATTCATTTAAATCATTGAAGAATTCAAATTTTACTACCGTATAGATATACTAATCACATCGAACTTAAAGCCAATAAAATAGGAGAAATATTCAGAATATGATGTTCTTTATGTACCTACAGAAGAGTTGATATTTTTAAAAACCAATTAAAAATAATAATTATCGCTCTTATTTCAGAATTTAGAGCAAATAATTAAATAATACTAATTAATTTGAATTGATATATTATATTAAGGCACCATATCTAAAATATGTATCTAAATATTTTCGATTTACATTAATCTCATTAAATTATTCATTTTTTTAAAACATCTAGTATAAACTTAATAATTAAATAAAAACTTATTTGCAAATGGCTTAATAAACTCCAAAACATAATAATTCTAACAAGATTAATTCCAATTTACAATTATCTTCTAATTAAAAACAATGTGTAAATGCATAGTAAACTATCGATAATGATGTGATTTCTAGTAAAAAGAAGGTAAAATAAAATACTGAAATTTAGGAAGTTTATGACCGATTGATGAGTTCTCAAACAAATAGAGACAATCAAACAGAAGTATCATAATACTTTGATCATTTAGGAGGTAAAGTTGATTGAATATAAAACAAAAAGGTAAATGTCTATGCGCATTGTGTAACTGTGGAAAACATAAATGTAATGGCAAAAATTGCATACATAAACCCTAATTACATGGAAATTACACTATTTATTAAAAGGAATATCAGAAGAAGACTCCAGAAACCGGGTCTCGATATAATCAGAATATATTCACACAACCTAAGGCAGAAGGAGATCTAGGGAATGTGACAACATATAAAGTATTTGTCAACAATCTACTTAATTAGCACGATTTTCCAGGGTATGATAGCAAAGCTGAACTACACAAGAATTCATAGAAACCTACAGTAAGTGGAGTCCCTTTTTCTGGATTGTCAACCTACAACAATATGTACTTGAATTGGGGAATGGGTGATACACCTCAACTACTACCTTAAAATAATCCTACTATTATTAAGGAAATGCCTTTTATGGGAAGGAGCATATACAAAGATAGCTATTAAGGAGTGTAAGCTCCTCCAGCATAGAGTTGTAAAAACATGAACAAAGCTACTAAGTATATTGTTTAACTATGTAGATCCCCATTATCTCCTCCCGATTTGCAATTCTCTGCTGAATCTATAGCTAAATCTTCGTATAAACCCTTTAGAACTGACAGAGTGCCCACAGCTAAAAGCTAACAAAATGTACTTCTCCATTTTTAATTATGTAGGCAAACTTAAATCCCTCATATAATGGCCAATATAATAGTGAATATCGTAAGGAATTCGATCCAAAAAGTTTGAATTAATGTCCAGCAAAGGAGGTTTTGGAGGAAGTTACTCGTAATACGTAATTTTGAAGATTAAAATGATTATGATTAAAGATAAAAAATAAACCTAAAATTTTGACATATTATTATTATTATCAAAGAATATAACAACTTTCAATGAGCGGAAGAGAATTTCATTTTTATAGAAGGAGAGATAAATATCCTAGACAAGACTCTTTTGTTGAGCAGTAATCAACTCCTAATTTTGTTGAAGATGGTTCTTTTGTGGGAACCTTAGAAAGAAAAATTCAACATTAAAATTAAACAATCAATAATCTAATTAAAGCATTTGAAGATTCAAGATTGGAATAATAAAGATAGATCTAATATTTAGAAAGATTGAAGCAAGCTGAAGAACAAAAATACAGTATTTAAATTTTAGAAGAACTCAAGACCTTGAAATAGAAGATCAAAAAAATTGAACAAAGTCCACCCGTTCTGTAATCTACCCCTTAAATATATTAATAACCCTTCTTCCCTCCCTTACCAGGTTAATTTTAATAGGGATATCCGCCATAATAATATAATTATGCTTAGGTTCCATATTCGTAGAATCCATTTCATCAACAGAGTCAACCCATTTAACCTTAATAATATTTAAACAATCAACAATAAGTTAAGCCAAAAAGACCAAAAGAAATGGACACATTGCATAAATTTTTGTTGAAAATGCTACATGAGAAAGAACAGTAAAAGAATAAGGATAAGAAGCCAAAAGATAATTCAGATATTCGTTATGTGACTGACATTGAGTCATCCTAAAATTACGCCTCTAATAGACAGACTCAATAAACACCTTTATTAAAATCAAGATCATAAAGAAGATCTTAAAAACTAAAGCAAGATGGTATTCGATAAGGCCATTCAGAAAATTCTTAATATAAAATTCGAAAATAATCTTAGTTATCATAATAATAATCATTAGGAGCAGGTTCATAAAAGCCATCTTCAAAAAAGTTAGTATTATCTTAGCTAAGATTGAAATAACTGATGAGAAAATTTAAGGGAGCTGTTATATATTTTTGGGTAGCGTTGACTTATTTAAAATTTTGTAAAAAGATTTGGAATTAAAAGTTGGTCTCCTTTAAGCAATATTCTTAGGATCAGATAGGATCTTACGATTCATAGTTTGTAAAAATATTGATATAACCATATATAGAACTATTTGTCAGTCATATCATAGTTTTATAGAGAATGCACGCTCAAGAAACAGTTGGATAAGTCATGGGTCTTTACTTAAACTATAGACATTCAGGCAAGATGTCAGACTATGCTTAACGCATTGGAGATATTTTTTAGATACTTGATAGTTTAACCTTTGGACCTTACGAAGGAACATATTGAATTCATGAGAAAATTTTCACTTCCAAAAGGATATATGTTAATTGGACACAGTAAATATGTTACTAGCAGAATGAATTTAAGACCAAATAATACTTTAAAGTAAAATTGTAATTTAAAAATTTAAGTATTGAAACACCTGAGCAATCTTAAATGTTACTTATGGAGTACTCTTTCATTTAAATTTTATTGCCTTAAATAGTTGAAGCTGATTTTTGGAAAAAGTTGGTAAATTATAAGGAAGCCTTAAAAGTGTTTGTCTCTGTTCTCCATTATTTATTTATTGATAGATTTTACAACTTACCTCTTAGTAAATAATAACTACCTTTTAATGTACATTTATAAAATACTATTTAAGAAAGATTACGTTCCTATCTTCGATTTTACAAGAAATCCAGTTGAAGGATTCTACTAATTAATTGATTCAAATAATCCTTAATATGTTGAATCTAAAGAAGAAGTGATTTTAGGCTTGTACTCTAAGGCTTAATTGCACCCTCTAATTTTACATGTTGGATTTAAAAAGGTCTAAGAAAATTTTAAGTAATATTGTGATTTAATTTATTCTTTAATAAAATGAATACTTAAGAAAATTAATTTCACATATTTTATAATGATGCGTTATTTTTGGTAATTATAAGTATCATTTTCTATGAACAAATTGATTAGGTTCTGAGAATTTGAAAAATTCTTATTTTAGATGTTGTTTAACAGTATAGATTTATTTTATAAATAAGCACTTAAATACTTTTTAGTATATTTTAATGGAAAATAAAAAACTTTCTTTTTAAATTTAAATAGGTTGGGATTGACAAGAATCATAAGTCAATGTTTTTTTTTAATTCACTATAGAATATGTTCGTGCCTGTATGAGATTCTGAAATTTATTGGATATTTTTTTTTTCTTATAAGTTAAAGACACATGCGGAATTCAGTTAAGCTTCGATTATGTCTATTAATAATTGTAGATATTCGATGAATGGAGCCTCAATACTTGGTTTCTAAGGTTTCACATCCATTTTGAATTCCTAAATCAGGACTCGTTTTCTTATTTAGAAGTAGTTAGAATTCCACCATATTTCTTGTTTCGAATTTAAGGTTCTCATGGCTAAGTATGATTCGATTAGGATCTACTTAAATAAAGATCTTACTTTGACTACACAGAGTTCGAGTATCGGAAAAGCGAGATTCAAAAAATTTTGTTGAAATGGTATGTAATAAGAATTGATCAAAATCCTTAAGTATTAATGAAGAGTATTGTGTGCAATACTTCTATCACTTTCGAAAAGTAGTTTCTGTTTGATTATGGACATCTATGAATCTATTATTTGAAAGAGATTCAAGACAGAGTTCCTCAATTAGATTGAAATAGATTCTAGATTCTTTCTGGTATCCTCCTGGTCAAGAATTTTCATAATTTCTTGTGAATTGTAAATTTTAATTTTTATTTTCTTACCAGTAGAGCACAATTCTCCCATTTAATTAAATAATATAATTAAATTATTAATATTAATCTGCTTCTAAATTATAAAACGTAAGAAACGAAACTCAATGCCCTTCATTATAAGTATGTCTATAAAATAATTTAAAAATATTCAAAATATTTAATTTTAAGTAAATGTTATTTTTAGTTTTAAGTAAATTTTAGTAATAAAGATATGTCAGATAAATCTTATTTTGAATTTATACTCAATCAATAAATCAATATAAATTTAATTTGGTAACAATAACTACTTTACAAGTTTAATCCAACCCGCACAAACAAGCCAGTCCTAAAATTCTAAAATTTCATTTACCCAATTTGTCAGAATTCCAATCCAAAGAAGAAATTGGCTATTAACATACATCCTATTTATTGAGTAATTCTAATTTCCCTATAACTCCCTTAGGTTTTCCTTCAGCATCTTAGATCTACCTTTATGATGGATATGAATATTTATAAATATTTAAAGCACCATCTCCGCCTTGGGTTGCAAATACATCTCTGTTCTAAGGTAAATGTTTGACTCCCCAAATAGTGGACTTTTATCCTTCATGTGTTAGTGATGCATATCCATTATTGAAAGTTCTCAAATCGAAAACATTAATTTTGCCTAAATTTAATCAATAATTACTTTCTAGAGTAGTAGCTATTAACTTATTCATTTAGATATCCTTTCTATCAAATTCAATACCGCAAATTCCATTTTTTACATTAGTATCCCATACCAACTGATTTTATTTTAGATCAAATAGTTTAATATCTCCATTATCATAACCACAAGCAATAACACGTTCATCATTATATGAATTACCAAATGCAACGCTCCAAGCATCTGGTATAACATCTTTTTCAATGGGCTCTAATGATACAACAGGTGCTGCTTATCTTGGATCCCATACTCTTACACATCCATCTCTGGAACCAGTTACAATTTCAGGTGCTCCAATATTAAAGCAAGTGTCTATGGAATTAATTATTTGATCATGTGCCTTAACTTCAAATGTGGTCTAATATGTAATTAAGCTATACTTTTTTAGTTTCTAGATCTATAACTTTTAGTTTTCCATCAAAATCACCATATGCAAATAAATTATCCAAAAATTATCCACATTTTATTCCTTTTGGTTATTCTATCTAATGATATAAGTATTTATAACTGATGATAAGGTTTTAAGTTCTGTTTTATTCAACTGCAATATTTCAATAATTCCGTTTGCTTTAGGTGGTTGACCACATAATACAAATTTTGCAGTTCCTGGAATCCATCTTGTGACAAAAGGAGTGAAATTTAGTGATTTATTGAGATGCTCAATAATTTAAGGGGCATTTGTTGTGTCCATTATTTATTTATTAATTATTTAATTATCATTTTAATATATGCAAAATTAATTATAAAATTTTGTGTTTTCATTGTAATTCCCTTAATCTCTTAATCATTGTTGAGTGCAATGAACTATCAAGATACTTATTTATATGATTTAATAATCGTATTTTTTTAACATAACCACAACTCTCTGATGACTCCATTGAAACTGATGTTGATACTTCTGTGGGTTCCCACACTTATTTTACATATTCTAATCCATTTTTATCGCCTTCACTTAATAATTCTTAAAATATTTATTCATCAAAATGTTTAGATGCAAGTTTCAAGCAAACAGCTTCAGAATTCATTAATTATTTATGAATTAATATAAATTTTTATTTACTATCAGTTCTAATTATAAGTTATCGAAATTCTACTTCCATAGAGCCTGATTCTGCAAACCATTATCAATTCCAAGGTGTACAGTTACTTGTATTAATATTTACTTAACAATCCTGCAATTTATTTGAATATTATCCCTTTAATTCCGCATCTCATCAAATTACTAGATAATTTTATAGTTATGGTAGAATAGTTATAAATGAATTTACTTTCTATATAAAGTAATGACAATCAAATAAAGAATTACATTAAATAAAAATAAAAATCAATTCCTCTTTATTCATTTATTCTATTTTTTTAAATATGTAATGAATTGTCTATTATTTTTTTTCGGTTTTTAAAAGCTAAAGAAGCTTTTTGATTTTCTTTCTCTAACAGTCTAATCTGTTATGATTTCATTCATCTCAGTACTAATTTATGTACAAAGTCTAGTCGATAAATTTAACAAAATTCCTTGCGTGTCAACTAATTTGCACTCTAATTCACTTAGTTTATTTTTTAAAAAGAGGATTTATTCAGATTTCTTAATTAATTCCTAGTCTTAATTCTAAATAATTTGAACTTGCTCCTCGTAAAGTGCATTATAGGTTAAATTTGATTTGTTCATTAAAGGAGTATGAATCATTGATTAAGAAATGAAATTGCTTAAATAAATTTAACAAATAAATTGTAAATAATTTCAATTGTAATTCAATATTCAAATTAAGTTATTCTTAAGAATCCTTCAATTGTAAATAAAGAACTCTAGAATGAATAAATTCAAAATTCAAGAATAGTAATTTATAATTTATCCAATATAAATTATAAATAATTAATACCAAAATGTGTGACACAAAATGTGAATGCATACCTTTGTAATTGATCAAATCTCTTTAAAAGAAATAGAAGATTTCTGAAATTGATTTACAAGGCTGCAATGTAGAGCATTTAACATAATTAAACCAAATCAAACAAGAAGTAGAGAAATTATATTTAGCATCAAATCGAATTTAAAATTTAGAATATATACCCTTAAATATACTTTATTTGGACATATCCAATAATAGTATTGCTAATGTAGACTATCTATAGCAATTATAAAAATTAAGAGTGCTGAGGTGTGGAAATAATTTAATTGAGCAATTTGAAATTCATTTACCACAACTTGAGATTTTGGATATATCAAATAATTATTTAGATAAATTGCCAAACAAAATACCAAGTTTGCTTTCTCTGAACATCTACGCTAATTCATTTAAGAATTATGAGAATGATGCTAAATTGAAATACAAAAAATTATAAATATTGGATGGTTGCATTATTTAACAGTCATTGGAAACAGAGTACATAATAAAACTGCAGGAACAGCAATTGGCATAGAAATTTTAGATGAACATAGATTATTTGAATAAGTGGAGACAAGAGGTTTTCAAATAATTGGTTTAAAATAAATAATACAAATTGCTGACTTATGATCATTTCAAAACCATATAGTAATTAGTTCTAAAGAACTTTGGACAAATGAAATATCTTTAGATGATTGAAAAGAGAACCAGACAATTGTAATAGTTATAAAAAAAGTTGTTTAAGTGTTCAAGTAAATTAAAGAGATAATAACAATAAAAGCAACATGAATAATAATTTTTGATTTATTCCCTTAAGCACCTATTAGAGGAGGAAACTTAAGATGAAAAACTAGATGTTTTAATAAAAAAATGTTCAGAATAAATAACTAAAATGAAATAACAAAATTTATCAATCTAAATATAGATGTAGGGAATATAATAAGAAAATGAACATTTAAAGGCACAAGTAGATCACTTTAAATCTATGTATAATTAAATAAGTAAGTTTATTGATTAAATATCTATTAGAGTAGATCAATTTAAAGAATGAAGATTCAAGTAATTAAGATAAGAGCAAAGGTTTTGTAAATTTGTATTCATAGATAAAGAATTTAGAGGAAGAAAAATTGAAATTGCAATTTGAATTAAATAGTTGTTAAGAAAGATAGAATGTTGAAATATTGCATATTAAAGCATAATTAGAATAACAGATAGCTTTATTAGGACAAGAGAATTAGTTTCATAAACAAAAGTTTAATTTATAATAAGAGGAGATTAAAATAAAAATGGATTAAATTTAATAGCAATATGAAAAACAATTATCATTATAAAATGCAGAGCATTAAACACAATGTGATAAAATAAGAAGTGACTATCAGTAAATAATAGACAATTATGTACTTAAGGATTAATAAAAAAATTCTGATATTTTGAAGTTAAGAGATTTGTAAAATGATTTAGAATTACAAATAAGATAAATTAGACAAGAAGGAGATTTCAGTTAAAGAGAATATTCAAATTAAATAAAAGAATTGCAATTATAAATTAGATAATAGAAAGAGAAAATAGTAGACCAAGAGAATTTAATATTACAACTTAAATCGGAAATGTAGAAGCAATAAGAGAATATAGAAAAGTAATTAGAATAAACTAATCTTGAACAACAAGAAATCTAAAATTAATTATAAAAAACTATATTTGATTAGAGCAATGAAATCTAGGAGTAGAAAGCTTCTAAAAATAAACTCTCAAAGTAAAATATGGATTTGCTAAAAATGATAGAAATGAAAGATGGAGTAATTAGATCATTAACACTTGAGTCAACAAAAAAAATGGACTCTAAATAACTCTAAGCTACAGGAGAACAGAAATATCAAACCATCCCTGATTAAAAATTCAGCACTCTATTCAATTAAAGCGAATAAAAAGTATTATCAGCTTAAAATGAATTAGAAAGAAAAGCCTTATAAATATTATAAGATGATGATTATTGAAATATCGTTAATTTTATAAATAACAACTTTTTATCACAACTCTGGATAGTAGAATACAGAACCACAGGAAACCAATGGCTAAGCAGAAAACTAGGAGTCATTCTATTGTTCCTCTATCTCTCCATCATCTTAACTCAATTTGCAATTGCAAGTTCGAATTTATAATTGCTCATCAAAACAAACTTTTAGTTATCCTAAGAAATACTTCCCTGTCACTTCTACGGCGAATTAAATTATTAAATACAATCTTTGAAACAAGAGAAGGTAATTTTAACATTGGAACCCAATACTGCTGCAAAGGCATTTCTTACATCAGATTCAACCAACTGTCTACTGTCATCAGGATAAATTCCAGATTTAGCCAAAATCGAAAAATAGTTGTATTTTTATGCTAATCCTGCTGCTGTCTAAAAGAAATAATTCTATGAGACTTCCCCTGGGTAGCAGGTACCATGTTTTTCCCATTCATACCTCCATATAACCTATATATATACCCTCTAAAAGCTTCGGTGTCTGAATATAAGCCATTCCAAACAACATCCAATACATCTTTAGTATTTTAGTATATTTTAGAGGAATCATATGGATCTGTTCTACAATATTGGATTGATCCACAAGATGAAGCTAGTTAAGTATTTGGCCATAAACCATGTACATTCCAGCGTTGTCCATCATATTTTCCCATATACGGACAGCTAGGCTCAACATTGCATACAGATCCAACCCATTCTTAAGCTAAGATGTACATATAGGTTGTAGCTTTGTATGAGTATGAAGCATTAATCAAAATACAGAAAACTACAAAAACTTGTATGTTTCTTCCTTTCATTACGTATTTGATCAAATATTGTTTAAATATTTATAATTTATTCGTGTAGAATAATGGTTGTTATTATTAAATTTTATAGAAGATATGTAGTATCTGAAAAAGGAACCACTATCTTAGTATTTTTATTTGTGTAATTATTATTGGTTAAACTATTATTGAAATTATTATAACTCTATGGCAATAAGTAATCATATACATTAAAAAACTTAAACAGATAAAGTGACTTAAAAGTTTTGTTAAATAGGTTTTTCACCTAATAAAGTGTCTAATGTCTTGTATTTTTAAAAATCTTATTCTTGTTGTTATCTACTGCTCTTTTTGTGGAACTACCTAAGAAGAGGATTTTGAAGGTTTTGAATTATTTTGAAAATGAATTGGGGTGAAGAGTTTTCGTGATTTAAGGGGAGAAAGTTGTGTGAAATGGAAAAATGAGATTATTTTATATACAAATATGATGACGGTATCGTTAATTTTTATTGACTTTATAGTAATTTAATTTTGATTAAATATAAATCAATATAGAATCGAATATATTATTAATTTTAGAACAATGACGTAAAAGTTTATATTTTAATGACTTCAAATCTAGTAATTTAAATGCTGTGATCAAATTGTTTGACATTAATAATAAATCATGTCCAAAACAATATTAGCATTGGGAACTATAGCTTTGATTGGAGCTCTATTAATGGCCAACTAACCTTAATCTGTTGATTATGTTTCTAAGTTTGAAACATTCAAGTAGAAATTCGGAAAAAGATATGGATCAACAGAAGAAGCATACAGATTGGCTGTGTACACCCAGAACTTATTATATGCTGAAGCATACAATGTATAGAAGGGAAAGAGAGTATTTGGAGAAACTATCTTTTCCGATTTGACTCAAGAAGAGTTTGCATAAACATATCTCACAGCCTAAGCAACTGAAGAAGACTTGAATGTGAAAAGAGTCTCTGCTAGATCAAACAACCTCTAAGCTTCAGTAGATTGGAGTACCTAAGGTGCTGTGAGTCCAGTCAAAGATCAAGGATAATGTGGTTCTTGCTGGACCTTCAGTACAACAGGTGTCCTAGAGAGTTTCTTCTATCTCTAAACTGGAGAATTGCCAGATCTGTCAGAATAACAATTATTGGACTGTTCAACAGTTGTAGATTTCAACAAGGGTTGCGATGGAGGTTTACCTGCTAGAGCTTTGAACTACGTTAAAAGAAATGGTATTACTACTGGTGCAGCTTATCCATATGTACTTAATATTTTTAATTTAGACTGCTGCTTAAGGAACTTGCAAAATCAAGGGAGGCGCCTATCACATTAAAGGATCTTAAGTTTTGGCCAAGGATGAGCAAACATTGGTTGCTTATTTAAACAAGGGACCAGTTTCAGTCGGAGTAGATGCCACCAATTGGTAATACTACGACCCAAAGGTAGAAAGAGTGTTCAGTGATTGTGATACTAAAATGAATCACGTCGTATTGGCTGTAGGATATGACGAATAGGCATTCAAGCTCAAGAATTCTTGGTCAACTAGTTGGGGAGTCAAGGGATATATCTTTTTGGCTAGAGGATAAAACACTTGTGGTATCTATGATACAAATGTTGTTCCAATTTGATTAACCACATTTATATTTTATAAGGGCATTAAATATCAATTATTACATTTCATTCTTAATTAAACTCTATTGTTGGATTGACTGAGCATTTATTAACTCTTCATAGATGAGGATAGTAATGATAGTTCTTATAACTTCAATTCCTTACTTAAGTGTTATACTCAAGATAACTTAGATAGTTTCTTAGGTTTCTATAGTATTTGTACATTTGAATAGAGCAATTTTGATTAAATGTTAGGTTTTGAGGATGTATTCAATTAATTTATAATAATAATTTATAATAACATTTGATGAGTGGATCACCTTAAGTTAGGAAACTAAACTTCGGCCCTTTAGTAAAGATTAAGAAATAAATAAACTTACCTAAAATAAGAAAGTAAGAAGAATCGTTTTAGGCTGTTTTAAATATTTCTGATTATGATCCATAATCTGCTAGAGACAGATCGTTTAATAATAGATCATTTAGGAAATTAGTTCACACAACTAATATAAATTTATCAACAGATAAAAAAATATCAGAAGAATATGCAGTCTATGGACTATCAAAATTAAAAATTGAAAGAAAAGAGCAACCTTTTTAAAGTGAAAGAACAATTTAGCATCTATATTATACGCAATAGGATGAAAATACTAATAGGGATTGGTTTGAGATTTGTTTAAAGTAACCACCACCTCATGCCTAAGCACAATTTTATAAACAATCTGAGAAGTATATTTTACATCTAACCTTAGATAATATGAATGGTGTGATGTTTAAATTCTAGATTACAATGAATAATCGGAGAAATTTTTAATTCAATAATATCCCAAAGGCCCCAAGAAACAAGTAGATCGATTGCAAATCAAATTCAATAACTAAAATCAATAGTTTTTCGAAAGCATGATTTAATAAGAGTAACGAATTCTATAGTATATAGGTAACTTTAGCTTCACGAGAAGTAAACTGAACTAGCTTATGTTAACAAAATCATGGCTGTGGATTCTAAATTAGTTAATTCCATTTCTGATAAATTAAAATCGAAACTTTTGATTCGCTTCTAGAAGTATAAAAATTAGAATCTAGTTATGAACCTAATTGCTTAAGTGGAGGATATGTATCAATAAAACATGAAGAAATGTGTGTATTTGAAGGACTTGACGAAATACAAATAAAAGTTTGTGCCGATCCCCAGAATGAAGATATTTTATACTTCATAATAACAACTAAAGAAGAGTCTCATGTTTGTGAATAAGGCTGTGATAGATTGTTGGTTATAAATGATTCGATTTATGAATAATTTCTAAGTGAATTTGTTTGAATTTGATAAAGTGCATTTGCCTGTCTCTTGGGAAAAGTTTGAATAGCTTATTGATGCCAATATGAATAAAATTGAATAGCAATTGAAAAAATAAAGATTCTTTATTTATGCTTAGATCCAAGAGAACTTATAGAACACATTCAATTTCTTCAACATCACCATGCCTGAATATGTGGCAAGTGATCTCAAAAGCGTAGTCTAAAGATTTGATTTACATTATACTGAATACCTGTATAAGTTATTGAGGGATGAACAATAGAAAATAATCAGATTTTATTAAAAGTTTCAATTGGTTCAATAGAATGTCAGATTGGTTGCAACTTCCTTATTTCAATTAAGAATTGTTGGGATGAATAAATCCAAATTGGAAAAGTATGAACAAACCAGGAACTCAATCAATGATGATTTGGAATTGATAACCTTGGATACTTCTTTGAGTCAAGTGATCAATATAGCAACATATCCAAACAGAAGTTTATTCAATATCATTTCTTAATTGTATAAAATTGAAAGCGAAATAGTTCCATTGTTGAAGATTCCCTAACAATACTCAATCGAAAGAGAAAACTTGGCTTTTTTTGAAGTCTTAAAGTAAGAAACCGCTGATCTCATTGAGAAGGAATACTCTAAATGTTAATAGTTTTGCAAGAAGTTTCTGCCTTATCAATATTTATTGATACCGATGAAAACCAAAGCCATTAATAAAATCTTTGGGATCGAAGGGAAAGAGAAACCTACCTTACATTAGATTAGACTCTCTGTTATTCGAGAAGCCTTGGACAATCTGAGCAAAGCCTAAAGGGAAATAAACTATAACTTTATTGATACTTAGGTCATTGGACTCTTTACTTTGAATTCTAAGGAAATAAAACAAATTTTAATATAGCGAGCACAAGAAAACTATTAATTGATTGTGTAAAAATTAATCGAAATAATTAAGCACAATGTAACCAATATAAAAACACACTATTAAGAAATGTATGCTAAAACTTCAACAGTTCCTTAAACAGAAGAAGATCTAATTGAATTAAAGTTATTTCTTGATGAAATTAAGATACAATTCTCTAAATAATTTCTAGAAATTTCTTAAATGTAATTATCATCTATAATTCCTTATTAGAAAGAAGTTTATCAACTACTTGGATGAGATCTTTTAGGAGTACGATTTGATGTTAATGAAAGAATATTACTACCTATTGTAATGGCCTAAGGAAATTAAAAGAAGCATTAAAACTAATAGTCGACAGATAGAATCGATTGAGAGACAATTCTTCTAAAAACTAGAGCACGATAAAGTTGAATTCACAGAGAAGTTATTTTAGATGAAAGAATAATTCACGAAGATTAAAGGATTCAATTAATTTGGAATTGTGAAACAATAAGCAAATGAAATGAAGATATTGGCAGATTGGATATTTTAGGGACAAGAATAAATAAACTCATTTAACCAAAGGGAAACTATGTTTTAGATTCCATTATCCTAATATAGAGAGTTCCATTAACTAGTTACAGAATTCAAACCCTTCTAGTATTTGTGGGAATTAGCAAATGAATATGAATTTTAAAAGGAATCATGGCTTTATGGTTCATTTAAAAATTTGAATCATCAACAAATCCTATAAAAATTGACATATTATGTAAATGAAACAATGGTCTTATCGAATACATTTAAAGAAATTACTGATGAAAATGGATAATCAGTAACAAGAGGTTTTAGAAGAGCTTTAGACGCATTTAAAGATAATTTATGGGTTGTAGAGACTCTTGCAATAGAGGCATTTACAAAGAAGCCAGTCTTGTGGAGAGAACTCTTTAAAGAGTGCAGGATTTAGAATTTCGACCCCAAGGAAGATTTTTCCTTGTAATCACTAATCTAAAGAGGAATTCTCAATGTTAAGGAATAGGTTGTACAATTATCACAAAAAGTGGAGAAGGGTTGGAATATCGAAAAAAGATTGAATGAAATGTATGATAAATTAGTAATCATTGAGATAGAATTGCAAGAATTTAGAGATACATTCATTCAGAAAAATTATGAAGAAGTTCAAACATTATTGGATGAGTAACTGAATGTCTTATCAATGTTAAAGAGTTAACAGCATATAAAAATGGTGTTGGGGAAAGCAAATTAATTGGAATATAAGATTGTATTGATTCAGGATACATTAGAATTGGGAATGAAATGCTAAAAACATTGGATGTATTTGGATCCAATATTTGCAAGTGAAGATATAAAGAGGAAACTAGTGGAAGAGACTGAATACTTTAAATTGGTTGATTAATCATATAGATAATAGATGGCTATTTTAAATAAAAATAAAATATTATGGGATTCGATTGATAATGAAAAGATAAAGCAAGAGTTTCAGAATAATGTGCAATTATTGGATTCTATTCAAAAATCATTGTCAAAATATCTGGAATAAAAAAGGACCTTATTTCCAAGATTCTATTTTGTGTCAGATGAAGAACTCATAGAAATATTGGCATTAGTGAAAGACCCAAGATTACTACAGAAACATATCTTCAAATGTTTTGAGGGAATGCATGAATTAAAATTCGAAGGCAATCATTCTCTATTAGGGATGATGTCATCCTAATAGGAATTAGTAATATTTGACAAGAAGATAGAATTGTTGAAAGGAGAGAAGTAAGGAAATGTTGAGTAATGGTTGTGTGAGTTGTAAAGAATAATGGTTCAAACATTAAGAACTCAATTGAATAAGACATTGCAAGACTTAAACTCGTAGAAATAGGATTATATTAGCAAATGGCCAACATAATGCATATTATTAGCTGATCATATAAAATGGACAAGAAACACTGAATCAGCAATAAGGGAATTATAGAAAATGAATTTGCATATCCATTTGGAAATCCTGACTAAATAATTGTAAGAGACAGTGTAATTGGTCAGGAATGAAGAGAGAATGGTAATGAAAACAACATTGGAAGCTATGGTAGTAATGGAAGTTCATTGCAAAGATATTGTGCAATAATTAATACATTAGGATGTAAAAAGTATTTATGATTTTGCCTGGGTTTCTTAATTGAGATATTATTTCGAAGATGAGGGAGTGAATGTGAGGATGGTAAACGCATAAATTCAATATGGGTTTGAATATTTAGGGAAGGTTACTAGATTAGTAATAACATCATTAACTGATCGGTGCTAAAGAACATTATTGAGTGCCATGCATTTGAATTATGGAGGTGCTCCTGAGGGTCCAGCTGGAACAGGCAAATCTGAAACTGTGAAAGATTTAGCAAAGGCAGTTGCTATGCCTTGTATTGTATTCAATTGTTCTGATGGTCTCAATTACATAGCAATGGGTAAATTAATAATAGTATAAATTAAGGTAAATTTTTCAAAGGCTTGTCTTCGTCTGGAGCATGGTGTTGTTTCGATGAATTTAATAGAATTGATCCTGAAGTCTTGTCAGTGGTTGCTTAATAGATTTTTACAATATAGAAGGCAATCAAAGAAAAAAGAAATAGATTTACATTTGAAGGTGAAGAAATCAATTTAATTCCTACGTGTGCTATTAACGTAACTATGAATCCAGGATATGCTGGTCGATCTGAATTACCTGATAATCTAAAAATTCTATTCCGTCCATGTGCCATGATGGTACCAGATTATGCAATGATCGCAGAAATCTATTTATATAGTATTGGTTTTGAGAAGGCAAGAGAGTTAAGTCCCAAGATTGTGACATGTTTAAAGTTGTGCAACGAATAACTGTCTCCTCAAGAACATTATGATTTTGGTATGAGAGTACTTAAGGCAGTCTTAAGCACAGCCAAATAATTGAATACTGGATCCGAAGAAGTCATATGCTTAACAGCCTTGATTAATGTTAACAAACCTAAGTTTACTTAGAGTGATGTCCAACTATTCTTGGCTATAACTCAAGACTTGTTTCCCAGTATTAACCCATTAAATTAAACATCTCAAATATTGGTTGATTACTGTTGTGAGAACAATTACCAACCTGACATAGATTTTTAAGAGAAATGCTAATAATTGCATAATACAATATCTGTTAGAAATGGTGTAATGTGCATCGGGAAGACATTCTCTGGAAAGACAGCAGCGATTTCAACTCTAGGGAAATCACTGGGTGCTCAAACACTAAAATTGAATCCGAAAGCAGTAACTACTGATTAATTGTATGGGAAACTCGATCCAGATACCAAATAATGGTCAGATGGAATATTGCCTATATTAATAAGGGAAAACCTCAATAAACCAACAAAGATCTGGATTTGGTTTGATGGACCTGTAGACTCATTGTGGATAGAAAATTTAAATACAGTTTTGGATGACAATAAAAAGTTGTGTTTGACATCAGGAGAGATCTTAAAGATACCACAGACCATGTGCATGTTATTTGAGGTTGAAGATTTATCTGCTGCATCTCCAGCTACAATATCAAGATGTGGTATGGTATACTTCTTATAAATTGATTGGTAATTGATTTGATTAATGTAAGGTATTTGTAAGTGCAGAGTATTTAATTACCAGGAGGTTTGGAAAAATAGTATTTTATAAGAAGAATGAGATTGTAAGTTTTTGTGTTATCTAATTTAGTTTGATAGATCATTCCTATGCATGGGTGAAGGAATATGTATAATTTCCTGTATATGATACTATAAATTTGATGGTTTCGAGTTTTATTTCATTGTTGGTTTAGTTATTGAAATCTCTTTCCGAGAATCAATAGAATAGTAATAATTGGGATAGTTGTTTGATATTCGCATTGGTTTGGTCTATTGGAGGATGTTTAGAAGAGAAAGGAAGGTCCTTGTTCAATGACTTTTTACACAAGTTATTTAGAACCAATAAAAGTGGATTGAAAACTAATTTTGGAGATGATTTGGAATTGAAATTAAATTTTCCAGAGAAAATAGAGTTCTTTTCTTGTGTGTTTTAGGATGGACAATGGATCAAATGGACAGATGTATTTATAATGACTTAATAGAGCAGTAGTTAACTGAAAAATTTGAAGTGTAGCCAGGGATGCAATTCCATGAGATTATTATACCTACTGCTGAATTGATGAGAAATGACTATTTTTGTAAAATGGGATTGCATTTCCTATTTTGTGGTCCAACAAGCACTGGAAAATCATTGTCGATGAATAAGTTCTCGAAGTTTCAGATTACTTGTTCAGGACAAACCACAAGCAATAGTTTACAACGATTAATTGAAACTAAAATAAATAAAAGGAGAAGAAAAGGATACTATGGAGCTGAAGAAGGACATATAATGATATTTGTTGATGATCTAAATATGCCATTTAGAGAACCTTAGGGTGCATAACCAGCAATTGAATTATTGAGACAATGGATGGATTAAGGTGGATGGTATGATTTAGAAAATAAGGAATTTAAATACATGTGTGACATCACTTTTCTGAGTGCTATGTAGCCAGCCAGTGGAGGAAGAGACTAAGTGAGTAAGCGATATCTCAGATATTTTAATCTATTGTACATAGGGGGATTCGATAATTAAAGCATCTCAAATATATTATAAGTTTTTGTTGAGTGGGTATTCCAAAAGATACAACCCTCATAAGATATACTAAAGATGAAGAATGATATAGTATTTCATACTATCTAAGTCTATGACAAGATTTAATTGAGTTTGCTGCCCACTCCTGCTAAGAGTTTGTACATTTACAATTTAAGGGATTTGATCAAAGTATTCGAGGGAATGAGCAAAGTGGCCAGAATTAACAATCAATACAACTTAGTTAAATTGTGGACTCATGAATGTCTGAGAGTGTTCAGTGATAGATTGATAGATAGTTATGATTTGAAGATCTTTGAAAATGTACTCAAAGAATCCACCACTCAAATTGGTTATCAAATATAAGATTACAAAAATCTAATTTATGTATCTTTCTTACATAATGCTTACGATGATGCAGGTAATGTCGTAAATGTTAAACTAAAATTGCAACAAGTTCTTGAAGAATATAACTAAATGAATCAATAACATGCATTGAGTCTCATCTTATTTAACAATGCTGTCCTGCACATCTCCAGAATTGCTAGAATATTGTTAGCCATCCAAGGCCATGCTCTATTGGTTGGCATGGGTGGAACTGGAAGAAGTATTCTCTATATTATTATTATTATTCAGCCTCTCTCTCCAAATTAGCCAATTATATCATTTTCAGTGAACATGTCCAAACAGTCGATCCAAGATAATGGGATGATTAGCTTTTAGGTATTTTGAAACACATAGGTTTGGACGATCACAAGTCTACTATTATATTCAACGATTCCCAATTTCAGACTGAATCCATGTTGGAAGATGTGTGTAACATTATGAGTCATGGAGAAGTACCACATCTATTCCCTCCTGAAGAACGAATTAAAATACAAGAAGAAATGACTTATCCAAAATTTGTTTTGAATTGCAAACTAAATACTCATGTCATACTATGCATGCAACCAGTAGGTACCCAATTTAGAAAACGCTTAAGGATGTTCCCTACTATCATCAATTGCTCTACCATTGATTGGTTTATGAGTTGGCCTGATGAAGCATTAGAATCCACTGCTAGCTAATTCCTACCTTAAAATCTAGTCAAAATTGCTGTAGATATTCATCACAAAGTCCTAGAAATCAAAGAAAGATTCACTTAAGAACTTAGAAGGCACTTTTATGTAACACCCACCCAATATTTGTAATTATTGGCAACTTTTAAGAAGATTCACACTGAAAAAAATGAAAATTCAAGAATTTCTATTGATAAATTTGAAACTGGGGTTGAGAAAATCATTTAAACTGAAAAGGAAGTAGATAAAATAAGAAAAGTACTATTTGAATTACAACCAAAACTGGAAAAAGCTACAGTTGAAAATCTTGAATTACTAAAAAATATCTAAAAGAAATAATAAGAAGCTGATTAAACTAGAATGGTTTGTGAATTTGATGAATAATAATGCAGCTTGAAAAGAGAGGAAGCCAATTAATTAAAAGACATCTGCTAAAAGTAACTAGACAATGTGCTTCCTCTGTTATCCAAAGCAACTGAGGCTCTTGAGAAAATCACTAAAGATGATATGATCTTATTAAAGTCGTTTCAAAAGCCTCCACCATCTGCTGCTGTTGTTATGCAAGGATTGTGTTATGCCTTCCAAGAAGATGAGAAAGTTAAAGGCAAAAATAATGGCAAAGAACCACCACAAATGGAAGACTTTTGGGAATATTCCAAAAAATATGTTTTAAATGAAAAATTAATTAAGAGAATTAAAAAAATGAAAATTGAAGAAATTAGAGCTATTCATCCTACTAAAATTCAAAAATTATCAGTTTTCATTTAAAATCCTTTATTTGAAAGAGAAAAAGTATTTAATGCTTCAATGGCAGCTGGCAATCTTGCTGATTGGATTAGAGCTGTCTATTCAACTTATGAAGCTGTTGAAATTATTGAACCAAAGAAAGCATAATTAGTTGAGGCTGAGAAAAATCTTAAGTTGGCTGAAGAATAAGTTGAAATCAAAAGATAAGCATTAGCTGAAGCTATGCTTGTTTTGAGTGTATTATCAGTTGAGTACTAAAAGGCTAGAAAAGAAAAAGAAGAAATCGAAAAGAAGGTTTCACAAATTTAGGCTCAATTAAATAGAGCTGAAAAGTTAACCAATGGATTAGGTGAGGAGAAACAAAGGTGGAAAAGAAAAGTCATAGCCTATAAATCAGAATAATCAAATGCTGATGGCGACTGCTTAATCAGTGCTGCCATTATATCCTATTTAGGTGTGTTCCCAATCTAGTATAGAGAATAGTGTCTACAATTTTGGAAATTAAAATTAAAGCAAAATTAAGTGAACTTCTCTGATGATTACTCATTGTAGGCTTAATTATGCGATCCAATTCAAATAAACAAGTGGATTCAATAAAAATTACCCAATGATTCCTTTTCTATTGATAATGCTATCATATTAAAATAATCAACTAGATGGCCACTCATGATTGACCCATAATTGTAAGCTAACGAGTGGATCAAAAATATGGAAGATATTAAAGTATTACTAATACTTAATTCTACATAACCACCTCAATAAGTCTAATTATAATTAGAACATGCCATCTAAATTGGCTATCCTGTCTTACTTGAAAATCTAGGATAAAGTATTGACCCTCTCTATGAACCTATTCTATAGTAAAAAATTATTAGAAAGCAAAATAAATGTTCCATCAAGTTTGGTGAAAAATTAATTGAATATTCCAACGATTTTAGATTTTACATGACCACTAAACTTAATAATCCTCATTTCCAACCTCAAGTATGTGTTATGGTGAATATGTTGATGTTTCAAGTAACATAGGAGGGATTAGTAGATTAACTATTAAATATAGTTGTTAAAATTGACGAACCACAGAAAGAAGAATAACGCATTAAAAATATTCAATCCAATTTTATTAATAAGAATAAACTCATTTAAACTGAGACTTTAATTTTAAAATTACTCTCTGAATCAAAAGGAGAATTATTAGAAAATGAAGATCTTATTTAAACACTCTAAAAATCTAAAGATGAGAGTCTTTCAATTGAAGAAAAATTAAAGGGCTTAGAATATGATAGAGTAAATTTCAATTAAATAAGATAATTTTATAAGCCTGCTGCAGAAAAAGTAGCAAGTTTATATTTTATTTTGAATGATCTTGCTGTCATTGAACACACATATCTTTGGTCTCTTGATTTCTATTTCTCACTCTACACAAAATCAATAAAAGAGGCACAATATGAAAAGTCTAAGAGAAATTAAAACATTATTGAGAAGTTCATTTTAACCCTTTATACATAAATTAATAGGTCTTTGTTAGAGAAAGACAAATTAATATTTCGATTTTTATTGTGTGTCAAAATGATGAATGTTCCTACAGATCTTATACGAGCCACTGTTATGGGTTGCACCCTTACATCAACTGATATTTAAATGCCCAAAGGATTTCCTTGGTTAACGAGTAAAATGTGGTTAGAACTTGTCGATTTAACAATTTAATTTCCATAAATATTTGAGACTATTTGTTCAGAATTTGTTGAGTAGAAGACTTTTTGGGATAGTTTCTATTAAAGTCAAACCTGTTATAAGATGCAATATAAAGAATTGGATTAATATTAGGTAAATATGCTCATCAAGATCATTAAACCTGAGTAGTTTATATAGGCTACAAATGAGATGATACGAAAATAAATCGGAAGTGCATTTTTAGAGAATATTCCAACTACTTTTGAACAATTCTATTTAAAATCTGATAACAAAATACCATTGTTGTGCTTGATTACTCCAGGAGCAGATCCTAGATAAGAAATCATCAAATTGGCTTCGAAGTATGAATTTGAAGATAAATTCAATCAAATTTCATTAGGTTAAGGATAAAGTCAATTAGCTATAAAAATGATTCTCAGCGCGATGTCTTAAGGTTCATGGGTTTTACTGTAAAACTGCCATCTAGCATCTTCTTTCATGCCAGATTTAGAATAGCTGTTTGAGACCCAATATAAGAAAGAAATAAATGCTGATTTTCGATTGTGGCTCACTTCTTAGCCAACTTCAATATTACCTCATAATGTTATATTAAAATGTATATATGAACAATAATTTTAGCTTTAAAAATAACTTATGAATTACCAAGAGGATTGAAAAATAATATGCTAAGATCTTACTAAACATTGGACACTGATAAATTCGAATAATGCAAAAAGTTAAAAGAATGGAAAAATCTATTTTTTTCACTTTCTCTTTTACATGCTTGTTTATTAGAAAGAAAAAAGTATGGTCCATTAGGATGGAATATTGGTTACAATTTTTCATAGCATGATTTGGAAATTTCAAAAGAACAAATATTATTCTTTTTAGATCAATATTCTGAAATCCCTTGGGATGCTCTCCATTATCTAATAGCAGAAAACAATTACGGAGGTAGAGTAACAGACCCAATGGATAGAAAACTCTTGAAAATCTATGTAGAAGACTTAGTGAATCAGAAGACAATATCTCAAGATTATATATTCTATGACATTTATTAAACACCACCTTAGATGAATCTAAAAGGTTATATCGATCACATATCATAATTGCCTTTGAATGACCCTCCTTAACTATTTGGTTTACACGCAAATGCAGAGATATATTCAGCAATATTAGAAACTGAGAATTTAAGTTCAGTGATACTATAATTATTGCCTAGAACTTAAGGAGATTCTGCTCAAAAACATACAGATAGTTTAGTTTGCAAAAAAAGCTAAGAAATTCTTAAAAATTTACCACCGTAATTCAACATTGATGAGGTACAATAACTCTTTCCATTAACATTGGATAATCCTTTGAATGCTGTCATCTAATAAGAAATTACTAAATATAATAGACTCTTAGCAAAAATATAAGATTCTTTAAGTGTGCTTGTTTAGGGTTTAGATGGATTCATTAATATTTCTGATCAATCGTTAGAGATATACAATTCGGTTTTTGATAATAAGATCCCTGAATAATGGTTAGCATTATCTTATTTAACAACGAAATCTTTGGGTTCTTGGGTGACAGATCTAAAACAGAGAATTGAATTTCTAAATAAATGGATTACAAAAGGACAACCTAGAGTTTTTTGGTTAGGTGGACTATTCTTTATATAAGGGTTCTTAACAGCAATTCTTTAACAATACTCAAGAAAATCTAAAATTCCAATTGATCAGTTGAGATTTGACTTTAAATTTCATCAAGATGAACCAACAGTAAGTGGAAATGAAGTATATGCAAACGGGATTTCTATTGATGGAGCGTCTTTTGATTTTCAGGAATCAACCTTAACTGAGCCTTCAAGCAGCATTTTATTTTATCCATGTCCTATCATATAATTTTGTCCTACCTAAGAAATCGTCAAAACCTATAAGTATTATTCATGTCCACTCTACAACACTTCCCAAAGAAAAGGAGTGTTAACATCAAATGGACTATCAGTCAATTTTATCTGTAAAATTAAAGTACCAATAAATAACAATAAAGAGCATTGGTCTAAGAGAGGAGTGGCTTTGATTATTCAAGCTAATTGAAGACTATAATTAATTATTCAAAATAATTACCCAATTTAAGACTATAATCAATTATTATTCTCCGTTCTAAATATATTGAGCATAGATTCTTTAGTTAAACATTTCTATAAACATTAAATCATAAGACACAGAAAACTGAATAATAACAAAGCAATATTAAATATTCATAAATTTAATATAAAACTCATGGCTAACCAGATTATTTCCTAAGATTCATACAAGTTTATCCATCGCAAAATGGTACACTTTTTGTTAATTTGCACCCACATAATTCTAATGAATCTGTTTCTTGTTCTAATGTAAATCTGTATGGCTTAAATGATGTTCCTTAATGAGAGCCATCACATAAAGGCTGAATTAATTATTATTATTTACTTATTTCTAACTCAATCCACATGAGCACCATCTATAAGTCTTATTAGATACTTTAGGATCCTCTATTTTTATTGGGCCAAGAACAGGGGATGTTGGAATTGGAGTAAATTATTCAGTTTCAGCTTTCTTATTTTGCTTATTCAATCTAATCACTTTTGCTGTCTCCTCTAAATCTTTCAATTGGACAGTGAAACACCTCTTCATTAACATTCTTATCATTTTTCTGATTTTATATTAATTTAATTCTTTAAAAATATTAAAAAATATTCCCATAATGTTCTATCTCATATATATCATACACATTTTTTTCATAATAACTTTATGTTTCTAAATGAATTTTTAATAAAATTGAATATATTGATTGATATTCCCTGTTAGAATCGTTTTGCATATCTCATTTGAGCATACCCATTCGCTTACACAATTGGGACATATAAATACTTATATCTACTGCTATTAAAAAGCTCATTACGCGTCATATTATTCAATATACATGTTATCTAAATCTATAGAATAATAGAATTACTTCAACAAGCAATTCAAAATTTAAAATAAATGATAACCCTGTATTTATTAAAAATATAACTGATTGGAATCTGCTATATTAATCAATCAGGAAAAATATATTTGGAATTACAATAGCCAAAGAATTGATTCTGTCATAGTAATGCAAAAAGGTAAATAAAAGGTGAAAGTCAATCAAGATTGTAAATGAAAGAACAAATAGAAAATAAAAAAAATGGTTAGTTGAATTAATGCATTTACCAAAAAATTTAGAATGGAAGTGATAATCTTTAACCTAAGTCTAAACTCAAATAAATTACACACATATTGCAGCTTGAACAATGATAGGTTCTAGGGAGCTTATATGAAAGACATGTGAAGCAAATTCTATTCCAATCTATTCTGTGCAATAATTTAAACCTATTTGTCTCAAATAAAAAGTAGACAATATGAATTATGGTAAATCCATTATACCATAATGGATCATTAATTTCCAAAAGAGAATTTATTTCTTGCTTAAATTAATTGATTTTATTAGCAAATTTAAAATAGTAAGAAGGTTTTGTATGCATTTGATCTATTAAGTCTTCAACTGGCTTATAATTCAATTATAAAAAATCTTTTAGAGTAATTCCTTCTAAAAACGAGGGAGTCATGTCATTTTGATATAGATTAAATTTCAATCGACTTTCTTTTTGAAATTTCTTCAAGAATTATTATTTCTCATTTAATCCTTCCTCTTCTTAATTATTAACTTCAGTTTCCTCTTCCTCTTCCTCCTCTTCATTCCCATTCTCTTACTGCATTTTTCCAGCATTCATAACCCCAGCCAAGGGCATATATTCGTCAGCCTAGAATTGTTGGTATCTTAAAGTTTCCTTCTATTATATTGGCTTTATTTCTATCTATTTCGATTCTTCCTCTTTTATAACAACATTAACCTCAGATGTATCCCTGTTTTAGTTGCTTAAATCTGGCAATCTTTTTTAGATTAATTTAGTTCCTTAATTCTAATTGTCAGTAGTTTTCAGCATAAACCACACAACATAAAATATCAAATATAACATTCCAATTATAAAACTAATATCAAACATCAAACCTAAAAATCCATCATTTAAAGTCTAAAATAATTAAATGAATAATGTACTTTCTAAACTTCACTAATAATAAATAAAATTAGTTCAAAAAATATGAATAATACCAAACTGACTATCAAAATATGCTTTTGATAGGTTTAAATAATTTTTGCTATTTTTTAATAGTTTTGACTCGACTCCAACATTTTTTAGATTTTAGCTTATCCTATTAATTATTTAATTCTCTCATTTGATTTTACTACATCTAAATCAATTGCATATTCGATTAGCTTTGGATTTTCTCTTAATAAAAATTTGATACTATCAATAGCACAACTATTGATTGCTTTCGTTAAGGGAGTTTATCCTTATTTATCAAACAGATTATATTCTAATTAAAATGCATGATAAAATTAAAGCATAAAAACATCATTTTCCATAGCTGAATAATGAACAAAGGAATTTCCTGATGAATCTTACAAATTTTAAAACTATCCTTTTGTTAGAAGATAAAATATTAAGGCGTATTTTTTATTCTTTATTGCGTATGTCAAAGGAGACATATTTGATAAATTTAAGTTATCCAAAGAGCAACCTTAGTCAATCAAATATTTTGCAATATCAATATAACCAAAATTACAAGCAATTGCCAATGCATTTTGTTTGGTTTAAGTCATTAAATCCAGATTAGCTCCTCTCTATTTCATTAATTTTAAACCATCTAGCTATCCTTAAGTTGCTAGATAATGAACAATGCCAAATCCTTATTGACTAAATGAATTGTAATCTAAGATGCCTTCATAACTGTAGACTATATCAAAATTTCCTTAGATTATCGTTTCCCATAAATCTATTACAAATTCTTTTTCTTTTTAATTTTCTGTTTCTGAGTTACTTTTTTTGTCCTTTTCAACTTCTACTTCTGCTTTCTTGTTTTATTGATTAATCTCAGATGCTTCATTTTATTCTTCTGATTATTTTTCATTATTGATTTTAATAAAATCATCAGCCATTTATTATATAATGAATATTATTAATTTTAGTATGCCTCATAGAAAATAATCATTATTATCTATAATGAATTAATATTTTGAAAAATTAATCAAAAATTGTTATGAATGCATATATTTTTTGTTTTTAATGAAAAAGACACAATTTTTATTATTGAAAATTGAAATATAACGAGCATCCGCTTTTTTTTGAAGGAAAGCTAAACAAAACAAAATTTAGATTGTTTTTTCATACTTTAGATTCTAAACCACTATTATGTTTAAATTTATTTTAATAAATATTATGAAATTAGAGAAATATTATATATAAAAATGAGCGTAAAAATTTGGCAAGTATTTTATAAATTTAAATAAAATCTAACTAATAATCCTGAATCTAGGATTTAGATTGTTTTCTAAAAGTAAGTATTTGAGTTGGTTATAGATGTTTTTTTCTTCATATTTGAATTAATTATTATGTTAATTTTTTGGCACTATGTTTACTTCTTTTCTAAAGGATGTTCCTTGTATATTTAATCAATCTATGACACTTAGTTTTGAAGGGAAATGTCATTTGATACAATCAGAATAGTCATTTTGATTTCTTCCTAATTGTTATACTTCCTTCACTGTTCTTATATTTATGCAATTCCTTCTAAGTTACAACTTGATTGACACAGTCATTTTACAATGATTCTTCAGTTTGTATGCTTATCATAAATAGTTGATGCAAATCACTATATTTAAATTTATTCAATTATATATTATCTAAATCATATAAATTTGATCCCACATTATTTGTTTGTGTGTTCAATAAAAGTACTAGCGAGTTCTTTCGAAATCTGAGTTATCCCAAAGTAATTGGCAAAGTTCTACTCAATCTAATGTAAGCTTAATTGTTGTCTGTTTACAAAATATGAAATTATATATCTTTCAAAAATTTTGTTTTTCGATTTGACTTCTTATTCATATTTAATTTGTATTTAAGCATTAAATTTCTACCCATTGTAATTAGTTAAGGAAATTGACATAGATTTGGTTTGCATTGCGTCTTAATATAAGCTGTAAGATTTAAGACCATCTGCAATCCAACCTATTGGGAATGACTGAGACTATTAAATGTAATGGATAATCATATCTGAATTTATACCCAACATTTTCAACCACCATTTATTTACTATTCGATTGCATCCAATTACAATTTAATTATGATCAACAATAAATTCAATAATTTCTTGTGGTAACTCTAATTATTTTGGTGAAAATATATTTTTTTAATTCTCAAAACATACTTAAAAGTTTGAAACTTACTCTAAAAATAAATAAAAAGGAAAATTTATTTTTAATTCAAATATTTTATATTATTGAAAAGGCAAGCCGTGAACAATAAGTTCATTTTTTTAGTTTTGCATTGCTATTATTTTGAAATATTAAGAAAAAATGTCCCTAAGCAAATACCCAAATGTCTGTCTAGTTTTTTCGTTTGTATTAGAAACTTCCTGTTACTATTTTTCTTATTCAGCCAAAGGCCTTATTAATTCACAAATATATTTGGCTTCACTTTTAAGCTTATTTGAACATTTCAATTCTTTGTGAATAGCTTTCCTGTGTTTTTTTGAATTCACTCTCTTAATTTACTTATTAAGGAGGTTGTTGAATTGAGACAAATCCATGGAAGGATCGATGGGATAATTCATTAAAATTTTTAATTATCATCATCAAAAGTAAAAGGCAATGATTTTTATACCAGAAAAATTGATAATATTGCATCATTTTAAAATTAAGATTCAGGATTTTATAATTCAGGTAAAAAAGATTAAAAAAATTTTTAAATTAATCGTATGAATGAAGCCTTTAATTAATTAAATTTAGATTATAATTATATGAGCAATTAGTTATTAAAAAATATTAATCATCATATTTAATGATCTTAATTATTAGGAACCAAGTATTCTTGGGATTAATGCATAAGCATAATTAAATTTGAAAAGTTTGACTATCTAATTTAATTGATAACAATTAATAAAATATATATGATCTAACTAATATTGTGATGATTGAAAAATAAAAATCATCATCACTTGGGATTTTTGAAATTTAAAGAAAAATGATCTTTAAAAAATATGGTTGGATGCTAATAATGTTCCTAATTTCATGTGAACCTTGTTTCAAATCATAATTCTCAATTCATTTATTGATTCCCATTCAAACAAAAAGATTAATGGAGAGAAAAGACTCTGTATTTTCATAACAACCTTCTTCTAGCTTTGACATTATGAAATCTATTTGTATATTTAATCTTATTTTCTATCCTAATGAGATTCTAATCATATTTTCATCATTTTAATTTTCTTAAGCTACTCTATTTTTCTAAGAAAGGCTCTAATATAATCAGATATCCATACTTCACTTTGGATAGGTAATTTTCAATATAATTATTGTATCACTATAGTTTCTTAATAATTAATAATTCATCATCAATTTAAGCGGCTTAGCTTGATTATAGCTCCAGATATAATAATTTGTTACCTTCTTGTTATATTATAAGCGAAGCTATCAAAATTTGAAGGAAAACAAGAATAATCAAGATAGCTTTACAAATATTCAGTCATAAAATTTATTAAGAAGAGGATATGTATAGAAATATTTCATTTAAGCAATTCTTTTTGGATAAAAAAGAACTTATATCTATTATTTTTAGAGATTTATTATTCTTATACAGGTTTTCAATAAATTTAAAAGTAAATAAGTAATTATATTCTCACGTCAGTGAACCATTTTACATTACAAATACAATTTTTTTGATCCTCTTCCATGAAAATTTATCATAATTAGAAATTTGATTTCGATAAATTATTTCTAAACTGAAAGTAGATATTCTTGTAATAATAATATGTAACAAGCTAATAAAAAATATATTGGAGATATGAATAATATACTCATTTTGTTTAAGATGGATTTAACAAAATAATCCAGATTTATGTAATTCTTTTGACTCATAAAACTTGATCTCCTTTTTTAAATAAATCACAAAATGTAAATAGATAGGAAAAAATAAATTGCTGAATCTTGTAAATATTTTTCATCATATAATTGTGAAATTTAAACATATAAATTAATGAAATTCAATAAATGATTTTATATTAAATTAAATATAAAATTTATAATTATATCATTCATAATAAAATATTAATATTTAAGTTAAGATATTCAAGATGAGCAGATCACAATCAACTGAAATTCTTTTATAAGTAAAATCTATTCATTTTTCAAACATATTAAGTGATTTGAATTCTTCAAAGTTGGATTGGTTTGAATATTTTTGTGATATAAATGTCTCCTACTTCTAAATGTGAATCTGATTAAAATTATGAAAAATAGAATATATAAGAATGATTTAGTGTAATTGAATTAGTTTTAGGGTGATTTTAGTAAAAAACAGAAAGTATTCTAACTAGCATTTTTACATTTAATATTGTAATTTTTATTATTATTAATTATGTAATAATAGGATTTAGATTAGTCAAGAAATTTTTTATCAAATTCTGTTTTAACATAATTTTATAAACTTCTATTGTAACTTTTATCTATTTATCGCTTAATTATGGACATTTTTATTCGATTGTATTGAAGTGAAAAGTTAAGATTAAATTAACATTTTTGCAAAATAGGCAATAATCAATAATCAATAATTAAACTATAAAAAAATTTTTATTGTCCTAAACTTATATGCTTTTATAAGGCTTTTTATTTTGAATTTAAGTATTTTCTTTAGAATATTGGTGTGTGAGACACAAGAATGTTTTATTTAATAAAATTAAGACTTTAGTAATATATATAATTTATAATTAATATATATGGATTTCATGATCTCGATCTCAAATAGGGAATCGAGTTTGGCAAATCATCTGAACAGTCAACATCAACGATTGAGTGAGATCTCTTATAATCAGGTTCTGAAACTTAAAGATTCAAACTCAGCTTTTAATTAAAGATCTAGTCTAATTTGGTTTGATCCTTATTTAATGTGTAGAACAATTCAATAATATCTTCATCTAAAATTTCAATAATGTTTTTATCTATTTAGCTTAATTCCTTTTTCTTTTTTAATTTTGCAAAAGATATAAATGCCTCTTGCAGTTTTAGGAGATCTGACTTTTCATCTTGCAATATAAATTAATATGCTTTTTTTGATTCAATTTCTTTAACTTTCTTTTCTGCATCATTTCCAAATAGTGCAGAAGGAATCACAGGTTTTGGTAAATAATTAAATAATTACAATTAATCTTCATTCAATAAAACCAATTTCAATTTGTCTATCTCATAAATTTTAGATATTATATATGCAACATCTAACTTAGACATAAATTTATCGGTTGCATATTGGATTTACATTTACTCTTTTTTCTTGCATCCAAAACTCATAACAATCATGTCTCTTAAGGTTAAATTTAATGATTATTTTTTAGACTTCAAAAATTAACTCATAGTTTTAGAGTCTTAAATTTTATCAAAATTCTTTGACTTGAGAGATTTTCCTAAGGATTTTGAAAATGAAGATTTTTTCATGTCAAAATCTAATACTCGTTGAGATGATTATTATTTAGGTGATTAAATAATAAAATTTTCTTAAACATTTTGATCATCATCAAAACAATCATCTGCATCCTCGAATCTGAATAATTTGTTTGCCATCTGAAGATTCATAAATTTTTAAATCAATGGTCTTAAAATAGAGCAAATAGATAAAAACAAAACCTAATAGAGTCCTCCTATTGTACTTAAGATGGCTTATACTTTAGCATAAGATCTAGAATATTCAGCCTATCTTTGATCCAGAGTGATATAATGAAGAACTATAAATTGATCGTTGTATTCCTCTTGCGACTCACGATTAGTGTACTAAATCAAACTTGAAGTCTCAGTCTTATCATCAGTAATAAGTCCATTATCGGTTATGACATTAGTGACTTTTAAATTTTAAATTATGGTTTTTGAATTAGCTATTGACATTGTTGTATATTAAAGCGAGATATATTCTGAAAACGGATAACCGGGCTGTTTCATTTGCACTAGGTTATCTGACAAGTGAACCACATAGTAACCTGTTTTCAATTCTTTTTAAATACTTTCAATGGGTGCACATTAATTATAAGTAGTAGAGTTCTTGCATTCTTAAATCATAATTGTGATATATTAATAAGTTTTGCCAGCAATTTGGCCTTACAGAATCTAAGATATCAATAATAAGTTACTGGAGGGGATTTTTGCCATTATTCATAGTTTAGACATTGGGTATAACCTAAATTGATGGATGAAAAATATTGTTTTTAAATATTTGTAACAAAGTGTTTATCGCTGCACGCTTCTGTTGGATATTCTGTACAACTTTGATACTAAAGTCATAAGATACTTCTGCTATATTTTAGTTTTCCCTGTTACTTCATCAATCACTCTTAATCTCATGCAGTTTTTCACTGTAAGAGTAAAATGTGTATTTAAAGTTGAAAGAGCATTCAAACTAAGATTTGCCACTGAAATTGCCATCGTAAAGTTATTCATCAATAAAGGAACAGGCTTAAATAATTAAAAAGTCTTACAGCAGTGTCAGTCATTTAATACTCTGAAAATACAACAATCGGGCTTTTTCGATCATATAATTATTTGATTTAATAAATTAAATAAAGTACACAGATTGTGGTGATGGCTGATGAACAAAAGAAGCCAGTTGATGTAGTGAATTTATTTTTTTTTAAAATCCTTAATACCGGAGGTTGTCCAAACATATCTAATCCACTCAAAAATCCCTATACACTATTTTTAAACATATGTGAATTCTTTTTTTAGTACTTTAACATAATTTCTCTATTTTATATTCTGAAAAAGCAATTATTTATTTTAACTTAAATTCCTTTGATAATGGATTTTACAAAGACTAAAACCAAAGATCTCGCTAATCCTAATCAAAATGAAGATGATTCCTATGTTAAAGAGATGAAATGTAAAACTACACCCTACTCATTAAAGCTAGATTGTTGATTAAAAAACATAAGGGAACATTAGGTGAAGAAAATCTTGGAAACTTCTATATCGAAGATGAATAAGACACTGATAGATAAATAAGGTTTAGAATTGAGTATTCAGTTAATTTTTGGGTAAACAAACAATCTTATCAAAATTAGAGTGCTTTACTTTTAGCAGCAGCTCTATCAAGATCTATTTACCCATTTAGTGTTAGATTCGTCAAAAATAGGTTGAAACTTGAGGGCTTTCTCAATATTCATATGGTTTTAACTCCAACTCTATTTTTAGGCAATATTACCTTTTATTTTTATATCAAATGGACTTGTCTTAGGAGTATATGAAGGTTTATGGGCTAAATATTGGTTCGATAAAGAAGTGGAGTTTAAAAGAAAATAATACACGAAATTATGATAGTGACTAATCATTGCTTTATATGTTCTTTAAAATTTAAACTTTTTAACATTATAATAATTTAAGAAACAGTCTAATTAATTTTAATAATGCAAATACTTCTATTATTGTTTTGGTATTCATTTTAACCAGGTATCATTTCCAAAATTTTCTATATACAATAAATTCAGAAAAATATGACAATTGTTTTTCAGCCTAAGACAGTCTAAAGTTCATCAATGAATATCTTTAAATCCTTATTTTCAATGGGTTTTATTGAATGATTCAACGCATAATAACAGTCTTTATTGGACATTAATTTTAATATAAATAATTCTGTATAATCAAGAAAAAGTACAGTAGAGCGAAATTTCACTCTAAAGGGCTGTTCTAGATTTATTATTATTTGAGAAATAAGGAAATATTATTAAATTGTTTCTCAAACAAACAATCAATAATAGCAACCATGATATTTTTAAATCTAAATTTTAACAATTTTTTTATTAATTTTCATATTTCTTATTTTGCTCTTATTTAGATTCGTCATCATTTAATTCTTTTTTGTATATAGTAAGTTTTATATATATATGATTTTTAGATTTATAATTAATTCAGTTGATTTATTAAGTTGATGTGATGTATTTAGACATTTGCGAGATGGATGTTTAACAATTATCTATTTTAGACCCTAACTTAGGGATGGAATCTGAAGAACGCTTAAACAAATCAAGCGGCTTTGATGTAGTGGCTATTACGTTTATTATATTGGTATTTTTCATCATATTCATTTTCTTTGATATTATAATATAAGACATCATTTCTAAAAGAAATTATGATTTTTTACACTTAATGTATATTTCAGATAGAGTTGCAATTAAAAATCAATATTGATTTTATGTCAATTTTGAATCTATCTGTTTCTAAAGAGAAAAAATAACCAATTCTATTATGATTTATAAGATTAGAGAAGAAGTCAGTGGTAATTGATTAAATTTTTAACAGGTTTTTAATGGAAACACCCGTTTATATTGATAGAATATCTTGCTTAAATATCAAAGCTTGATTTGATGATCATATTAGTATTAATCTAAATAATTGCCATTTAAATATGTTAAGTAGATTTCTGCGTATCTTCCTCATACATATGTAAATTTGTATTTAATATATATAATTACTTAATGATCTAAGTATAGTTTTCAACATTCCCTTTTTTTGCTTTAATACTGATCTAACTCATGCTAATCAGAAAATATAATTGATAAACTTTTTATACTTAATATAATTAGTTTATCTATCATATTTTAGCTATGATTTTTAAAGTTAAACATATATCAATGTTTGTAGTAATTACCAATAAACATAGATGAAAAATAATTTATAAAATATTATATAAATGAACAAATTCTTTACAAATCACAGAAAATTGCACTCACATATTAACACTAAAAGTATTGATTTATGAAAAATATATAGTTTAAGTATAATAAAAGATAAAAAGAAGGGGAATGTAATTTCCTCTCTGAAAATAAATAAATATAATTGATTCATTTTTTAAATATATTTGTTGAATTATAGAGTTACGATTGACACTCTTATTGTTTAATGTTTGATACAAATAAACCATCTGATTGTTTAAATTGATCAAGAAAGTCCGAATTATTTAATTAAAGTGAATTAAATAAATTTAAGTTTTGTTGTTAATTCGATTGAAATGGCAACATAAATTAGGCTGAAAATTATAATTATGGATTTTATTAAAGATTAATTGACTAAAATTATTAGTCTTATTGATAAATTTCTTATTATTGTTGTTGTTGTTGTTGTTATTATTATTATTATTCTTTATCTTGGAGTTTATCATTCTTCTTTTAAGTTTTAGTATCATTACTTTGGTAAGGAGGAGATAATTAAATGATTGAATCGACCAAGGCGTTATAATCAAGTTGAAGGTCATGTTTACCATCCTTTGGCATTCGCATGAGTTTACAAAATAGTTTATTGATAATCCTTGGAGCAGTTCTTAATGCTCCGTTCATATAGGTTTATCTCCAATTTTCTATGAACTTTTTAAAACTACAGATATTGAAATGTATTTACTCATCATTGCAATATGACTGAATATGTTCGGTTATTAGTAAAATGTCTTAATCATTGGATTCATTAAAAAAACATTTAATTGTGTAGCCACAGCATACTAAAAATAGTAAAAGCTTTTTATATCCTTCTAGGTTGTAGATCTAAAATTTAAAATAGAATTACTTCAGAATTACATAAAAAGTCTTACTTAAAATATTATATGAAATTTTAAATGAGAGGGTCATCGTCAAATCTCCACTTCTATGATTCAATAATATGGAGAAAGAAAATAACCTCGAGTTCGTTGAACATGAACTTTTTTGTTACTCCTCTAAGCATTTTGAATAAGGGTTAAGCTGTGGCAGCTTAAGAAGCACTTTCTAAGGAAGCAAAACGACTTAGCATTTAATTAATAAGAAATGAGTAGCATTAATCTGTATATGCAATGCACTTAGTATCATATTCTTTTTGTAAAACAAATTTGTTTTTTTTTTATTCATTTTTTGAATGAGTTTGCTAGATATCCTTGTATGATTAATTAGTTTAGTCTTGAGTCACTAAAAATCGTTTATTAAGAGGTTCTTCAAATTATTGAGTTGCGTTGTCTAAACAGATTCTCGGTGTTTCTTTAACTATGTATGTAGGGTATTGTTTATTCATATAAATTGTATTTATAAGTATATTATAAAGTTTAAGTTAAAAGTAAATCATTTTTATTATATATTATTTTGTTCTAAGAAATGATCAGAATGATGATTAGTAGTACCAAATTAGGTGATCTAAAATCTAATTCTTTCACAAAGCTAAATTGATAACTTTAAACATTATTGATACTCTTTCTATTAATTCTAAGAATCAAAAACATAAAAAATATATATTAGAATATTAAAATAATAATCTTTTTAATAAGTATTCTTCATAGTCACTCTTGATATCCAGACATTGATTATAGATATTATGATATTGAATCAAATTCTTATGCCATCTACATAATAAAATTATGACATACTTGATTAAATAGTTGATTTAATTCATCAAATGACTTCATTATATCACTTACGAAGATCTCTTCATTAAAATTTTACACATCTTGATTTTGAGTATCAGTTTAAGTTACTTGAGGCTTAACAGGTTCTTTTACAAGATCTATTTCTTGATATTGACCATTATTTCCTACTTGTTCTGTTGCTGGTGCTGGTGCTTGTGCTGGTGCTTGTGCTGGTGCTTGTGCTGGTGCTTGTGCTGGTGCTTCTGTTGTTTGATGAATTTCGTATTTTTATTAAGGGAATGTATTTTTGTTTGTACGAGAACAGCAGATACCCATTGATTTTATTTAATTTAAATAATGCTATCTTTATTAGATATTTTAAGAATTAGAAATAACTAGTTATCTCTATTCTATTTAATTTATATATATATATTTGATAATCATTGTTACGAGCCTTCCCTTAATTCTTTAATCATCTCTTCTATATCTTTATCCAACTTTTTATATTAAAGAAATTTTACTTCATTTATGGATTACATTAATTCATCAAAAACAGTCTACACTTATTGTTCCATAGGGTCCAATTCTGGGTCACCTTTTTTAATCTATCGAATTTAATCAAACACCTACTGGATCATCAATATTGTTTTCTGGAGGATTCGGCTTTCCTACTACTACAGGCTCAATAGGTTTTGGTTATTCTATTACTTATGGCTTGGAGTTTCCCATTGGTTTATGAAAAATATATAATTATTATTATTATTCAATTTTTTGTTTAAGTGAATCAGTATTAGTAATCTATTACTTAATATTGATAGATTATAGATTCACATATCCTCATCACTACTACCCTTGTCTTCTTCTTACATTGATGATTAATTGTTACTCATCTACTCTTACCTGGCGATTCTCTATAAAAAATTTAAAATTTATTGCATCCCCCAAGGATGTCTTTGGAATTAATGTCTTTATTAAAGGAATTAAGCCCTAATGTCTTCAGAAACCGACTGTTATTAAGAAGATTGCCTTTCCACATCCTTTTGTTAATAAACATATAGCTAGTTTTAGGTCGGATGGAACTTTAAACAGGATATCTCTTTTTATTATTCTGATACCTTTATTTTAAATTTTATTTACTTAATATGTTTAAATTGGTTAACTTGATTTCTGAATGTGCCAAACTAGCAACTACCCTGAACTATTTGCAGCAGCTATTAAATTACTATTCAGCCATCCAAAGTCTAATTGAGTACTAAGAGTAGTTGTACTCGAAGTAGGTTGGAATACTTTAATCAACAGGAGTTCTGATATTGAATATAAATACAGTTATGATACAGTGTCACTTACGAATAATAAAACAAAGTTAAAATCTTTATCTACAATTGAATTCTAATTGTTTTTGATCGTTGAAGTTTAGGAGATTTATTTTTTTGTATATAATTGATACAAACTGATCTTATTTTGACTTGTTAATAATAACAGCTCCTTTTATTAATGAATATGTAAATTCAGCAGTTTTTCTTCAATTTTTAATCCTCCCTTCCTCTCAGTTTCATTCCATTCATAAAGCCATCCATCTTTCGATATCGTATAAATGTCATATTCGTTTTTCTACTTCTTCTTCTGCTAATCACATAAAACAAAGTTGAATGCTTGAACTATAGCATTATGTCCTTCTAGTTTATATTTTTTTTCTGTTTAGATATTGTAGACAAAAACTGTAAAATCTTCGGAGGATGTTCCTAAGTATTTGTTGCAAGGAGAGAATACTATTGATGTTATAACACCAGTTTGGCCTGTTGATATTTTTCTTGGCTTTTGCTAATATTCTTTGATTTAGTTAACAAATTAATATAAATAAATTGAGAGACCATGAACTAATGCTTTATATTGACCATTAAAGGAAAAGAGGCAAAAACTAATGTTTTTCTTTTGTTTGATGATATTGAGTTGAAAATTGCAAGAGTGCTTTTAGAAGATTTTGTAATCTTTTTCTAATTTATTATGGAATTGGCAATCTAAAATTTGTTTGGCTTACTATTATTGTAATATGGTCACCAGTCTATTTGGTTCAATTAATCCAATTTATTTATAGCACAACTACATAACTTCATCTATCAATTCTTGTTCTTATTTCACGTTAAGTTCTGGCAGATAAATCATGGAAGCATATTGATACTTTTAATCTTCATCTAAACATTGACATATTGAATTGTACCTTTACAAAATTTTGTCATCTAATTTCTCAATAATTAGACTGCTTCTTAAACATTGTGCAATTTAAGTAATTTAATGTATTTTTATTCTAATACTTTCAAAATGCATTATTATTTTGTGTTTTCATCAACATATTGATTCAGAATCTATTCTAATTATTTAATGTCATCGTTTTTTATTGATTGAGTTATTAATTCTAAACTGTAAGGGTCAAGTTGAATTTATGATTATTCTTAGAGTTTCTAAAAAGTTTGATCATATTTATATTATCTTAAAAATTAGAGAATTACTTTTATTTTTTCTTCCTTAATGTTCATTTAATATTTGATTAAAAAAAATTTCTTTTTTTAATTGACCATAAATAATGGATATCGTTGGAGTAAATCATAATTGTTATCATAGAACGTGTTGCCATAAGTTTTGAAAGACGAAGCTACTGAAGATAAAGGAGAGATGGCCAGATTGGTAAATTATTGATTATTAACATTCAAAAGTAAAGCTTTGTAGGAGCAATTGCAGTTGCAGATCTAGTAAAAACAACCTTAGGACCAAAAGGAATGGTTAGATTTATCAATTAATTTCATAGGATAAAATATTGAAACCAACAGGACCAGGCTAAGAAATGACTCATATCACTGTAACCAATGATGGTGCTACAATTCTGAAGTCAATGTATGTGGAGAATCCCGCAGCCAAGATTCTTATAGAAATCAGCAAGACCTAGGACGAGGAAGTAGGAGATGGGACTACAACAGTTGCAGTGTTGGCAGGTGAATTATTGCGGGAAGGAGAGAAATTAATCTAAAAGAGAATTCATCCATAACATGTTATAGCTGGTTGGAGAATTGCTAGAGATGTGGCCTTAAAGAGACTTAGAGATATTTGTAAGGAATTGTATAATGTTGATTAGCTAGTGAAAATGATATCAATTCTTAAGAATTTCATGATGATTTGGTTAAGATTGCCAGAACTACTTTGAGTTCAAAGTTAATCACTTCAGATAGAGATTACTTTGCAGATTTATGTGTGAAAGCAGTACTTAGATTAAAGGGATCATCCAATTTGGACTACATTCAAATAATCAAGCTTCCCGGAGGAACAATAAGAGATTCCTATTTGGATGATGGATTCATTTTGAAGAAACAGATTACTATTGGATGCAAGAGAAGAATTGAAAATGCTAAAATCTTGGTGGCCAATACTGCTATGGATTATGATAAAATTAAAATTTATGGCACAAAAGTTAAAGTCAATTCAATGGACAAGGTCGCAGAAATAGAGGCTGCTGAAAAGGAAAAGATGAAACATAAAGTTGATAAGATTCTTAAATATCAACCGACAGTATTTGTCAATAGATAATTGATTTACAATTATCCAGAACAATTATTGGCAGATTCTGGAATCACTGTTATAGAACATGCTGATTTTGAAGGAATGGAAAGAGTTGCTGCAGCAACAGGAGCTGAAATCTTATCAACATTCGATGCCCCAGAAAGATCAGCATAAGTCTTAGGTCATTGTGATTTAATTGAAGAAATTATGATTGGAGAAGAAAAAGTAAACTATTAAATATTTATGATAGATGATCAAATTCTCAGGATGCAAGAAAAATGAAGCATGCACCATCGTGTTAAGAGGAGCTAGTACACATATTTTAGACGAAGTGGATAGATCAATCCATGATGCATTATGTGTTCTAATTACTACAGTCAAAAACAAAAGAGTTGTATGGGGAGGTGGCAATTCAGAAATGCAAATGGCAGCTGCTTGTGAAGAGGAAGCCAAAAAAGTATAAGGAAAATAAGCATTTGCAATTGAAGCATTTGCTAGAGCTTTGAGATAGATTCCAACTATTATTTGCGATAATGGAGGTACTTATTCTTATGGAATTTATTCAAGGTTATGACTCCGCTGAATTAATATAAAATTTCAAAGTTGAATTATAAAAAGGCAATTAAAGTTGTGGTTTAAATATGACCGATGGAACAATTGGAAACATGAGTGAACTAGGTGTTAAAGAATGTTTGAGAGTTAAAGAACAAGCATTAATGGCTGCCAGTGAAGCAGCTGAATTAATTATGAGAGTTGATGATATTGTTAAATGTGCACCAAGAAAGAGAGAAAGAGCATGAAATTATTATAATAATACAAAAATTAAAATATATATCATAATTCATTTTCATATGATTAAATTTAGCTCCACACCCTCCTCACTATATTATTATTATAAAGTAGTATGATAATGTATTATATGTTCTTTAGATTAAGGTTAAAAGTAGATCTCATCTGTTTCAATTATATACCTAATGTATGGATGATAAGCTTTTATTGATATTATGCAAAGAACACAAAATAAGAAGATAAACATTGGTAAAATCAAATAGATTAAAAGAAGATATCCAATCCAGTTTCCTTTGTTTGTCTCTCCTTCAATATTGATAATTGGAAATAGCTCAATATCTGTCTAAAAAAAGATAAACGGATCATCGTCAATACTCTTCTTTAAAATTCCACTCAATTCATAATAATATTAAGCATTATTCTTAAATGGCCAATTTACTTAAAACTAAAACAATGTACTATCATAATATAAGCAACTCTAATCGTTGTTCACTTCTTAGAAATAGCACTCAAAAAAGGTTTCTTATTCTTCATTCTTCAAATTAATTTTTGCATTCATTAGACTTAGATTTTTGATACTTTAATAATAACTTTTTGGTGATACTGTAATTAAAGCACAAGTGGTATTAATTGTCTATTAAACTTCAATTTGTATTCTAATTTAATTTCTAGGCTTAAACTTTGTTTTAGTTAATGTATCTTAGTCAGGAAGAGATGAAAAAGTATCATCAATCTAAGTAATTGTTTCAAATTCTAGAGTCTTATAATCTTCTGACCAATGATAATATTATTGTATTTGATATTAAATCTTGATAATAAATTCCAAATTATTTAAATTTTAATAATGATTTGCTAAAATAAAGCTTCCATATATCATAATATTGTTAGAATCTAACTCTAATATGGTCAAAGGCAAAAGAACTTTATTTAAATATAATTTAAACCAATGAAACAAAGAATAAAAATCTTAAGATTTCCTCACGGTTGCTTAAAAATGCAGAGTACCTTTTTTAATTTCCTATTGTAAACTTAAGTGAAAATCATAATAAAATGTATCTTAACTATTAATATAAGGAGGTTATCCGGCCAACTGAACTTAATCAACTGTATGTGTTCGAACTTTTGTTATATAAAAAAACAATAAATTTATGGAAACATTAGAATTCAACCAAACTTCAAGGTAATTCTTACAAGTTAAAAAATGATATTGCTATATTTAAACGAAAGGCTAACTATTTACAATTTTGCTCAAATTATACATCTTATTATCTAAAAAGATGTATAATTGATCTTAATTAAGGGGTCTATTAAAAATGAAGGTATAACTATAAGTATTGTCTTCATCTAATGGTAATTGATTATTCAGGTCTAAACAAACCCCTTTAGCTTGCTGTAATCTTACTTATTATTATCCATCTACATCCACTTGCTCTTTGGTTTCACAATCTATCCATTTCAAAAATTAGAATTATAAATTTTCTTATGGAAAGACGAGATCTAGTATACCTTCAGCAACAAATTAAATGCAGAAAAATAATAATGCAATTGATCCTAGCATTTATAAAAATAAATTTTTTATTTATTTCTATCTAATTTAATATTGATATAATCTAACTGTTGAGAGCATAATTAAATTATGACAGACATACTTTTCAGTATGTTACAAATACGATAAATTAATAATAGTATAATCAAGTTTTTAGAGCATTCTATTCATAATTGTAGATCTCCCTGAACCAGCTATTGTACAAAGATATTTTTAGAGTAGAAGTGGATATCAGAAAGCAAATCATAGGCATACCGAAGTATAGAAATATAAGGATTGCTACAAAAACAAAGTTGTAATCTTGTTCTTGAAACACTGGACCACCTTTTAATTCAACATCAATTAAAACAAATTGAAAATTTGGATAGCTGTTATCAGTCCTTTAGATGATTGCTGTCAGATTAAAAATATATCCAACATCATCCTTAAAGTCGAAATCGACAATAAACGAACATTTATTATAATTATAACTTAAGCAGTTATTATTATTATATAATTCGCATTTGAATATTTCTCCCTGGTTATTTTTTATTGTAAGAACTGCCTCCTCAAATTGTTCTACACAAATTTAAGATTAATTGAGATTTAATCTTATTTCTATTGGATTTTTTTCTTGATTTATTTGAAGTTCATAATTTAGATTGATTTGATGCTACATACCAAATTTTTATTCTTGTACATAACTAGCTATCGAGAAATTACTCTCAGATATTTATTAAATTGTTTAAAATACCATTTTTTAATCAAATGTATTGAAACAAGGTGTGTGAAAATTAAATGTATATTCTGATAAAATTAGATTACTTAAGTTTTTGATCTAACTATAACTTTCTGTTCTAGCGATATCTATTTTGCATTCAAATTCAATAGTTTCTCCAACTTTTGTATTATAACAATTCATTTTATCATAAAAATTGTATGCATCGAAATATAAACATGAACTGATGAATTCAAGTCCTTAAAATGATAGTACTCCTTTATAATATAAAATAGAATTAATTATTTCCTAATTCTTTGTTTATAAATTATATTGAGTAATTTAATATTCTTTTTTAATATCGAAATATTATTATTATAATAATAATTATTATTATTCTCGTAAAACTTAGCTATAGTCATCGGCACTTTAGTTTTATGATATGAAAATTAAATAGTTTATTAAACCCAAATCCTTAGATTTTGATCGCAGCTAAAATTCAATACTATTATAGCTGCATAATCGTTTATGTCTTATAAGTACAAACTTATCAGTGGCAGTTTCTTAAGTGACAGTATAACTCTCTCCATCAATATTTATTATCAACAAATCATCATTTTCTATTGTTCGGTTGAACGTAAAATAATAGAAACTCATGGGTTCACTTAGATCAAATAAAAATATATCATATAGGCAGAGTGGTTTATTATACGTAATAGGAATCCGAACAGGTTCATCAAATTATGGTTTAATAATATCACTTGTATTTTAACAGTTGACCCATTGTTATTGAAAAATCTAGAAACTATTTTAAGGAAATAAAATTGTATTCTTTGTGTTGACAAGTTGACAATCAAGGACTATAAATATCAAAATTAAATTAAACATTAAATTTATTAATAATGAAAATTGATTAGCAAAAACTAAATATTTTTTATGATGACATGTGTGGAATTTGTGACAAATTTATAAAATTCATAATCTGTTTGATAAATCCAAGCATTCTTGAATTTTATTCCTTACAGAATGCAGTTTAAGATGAAAAATTAAGATAAGAATATGGATTAGATCTAACATCAATTGTAGTGATAACCTAAAATAAGAAATTAATAAAATCAAAAGCCATTTTTTATTTACTAAAGTAGACAAAATTAAAATATTTTATTAAATTGATTGAATTTATTATACCATTGTGCTTGTCAGATTGGATCTACGATTTTGTCGCAAAACACAGAAATAAAATATGCAAATTGAAAAAAAGATGATTGATTATGAGATAATATTGATATCATATTTCTAGGTTCATTGCTCAATTATTCTAATCATTTAAGTATATATCAACTAAGTTACTATTATTTAATAAGTTACACAAGGCATTTTATTAAATCGCATTTATTCTTAAAAATATATGAGTTATTTTATTAGGTTTCAACTTCTTTTAAGGTAGCAATCTTCAGATATTAGCTTGGTTTATGTAAAATTTATATTGAATATTAACATATAATTTGATAAAATTATGATTCAAATATATTTTATACTCTAAAATAAAAAAGGACACATGTAGTGCTGCGTCAGATTTGATAAAAAGATGAGCTTTTTATATAAATATTCGAATTTAAAATTATTTTATAATAAATAAATAAATTTATCAGTTTAAAGCCTTAAATTAATTATAAAATCAAATTTCTATAAATTATTTTCATCATTTAAAAAATTTCGATCAATTTCAGATGGGAACAGAAGAATAAGATGATAAGGTAGAATTAGTAGTAATCTGAGAAAACTGCTTCCATTAGTGATGCAATTTTATTGATGATGGCTTTGCTTGTTCTTAACCAGATTATTATAGATCTATTCAACAGAATTCAGAAGTCAAGTCCAATAAAAAAATTTATCAATCCCCCTATGATTACAACAACTATTGGAATCCTAGCGGGTATTGTAATGAATGAAATCGAAGCAGATAATGCTATGAATTAAATCAGAAGAGGATTTAGTCAACTCTTTTTGATTGTTCTTCTCCCTCCAATACTATTCGAAAGGTATTTTTGATTATCATATATTCATAAGCGCTGTCAATATGGAAACTGTAATAATATTGTATATATTCTCTAGTAACCATTTTTTTAGCATTTTGGCACTATTCACTTATATGCAATATTTGGTACCCTTATAGCAATTATAATAACAACAGGAATGATTTATTTAGGAGGTCTAACTGGATTTGTAACTGCTTTTCCTTTAAATCTTGCATTTGTATATGGTTCATTGATTTCTGCAACTGATCCAGTCAGTGTGATCGGTGCATTAAAATCAATGGAAATTGAAAAGATGCTGAGCATATTAATATTTGGAGAAAGTATTTTAAATGATGCTGTTTCATTAACAAGTTATGAGTAATTTCAGTTAGTTGATTAATTTAAGGGCTGCTTTGGATTTTTATAATGATTCTGACTAGGGTGTAGGTTGGGTCATTTTAGGATTTTTTCTTGAATTCATACTATCAATAATAATTGGATTCGTTATCGGTTGTTTAAGTGCTTATGTAATTCAATTAATAATAGTAATAGATCCTAAAAAAAAGAAATGAAGATTCCTAAGATTCAATAGCAGAATTAGAAAATATTATAATGTTTATTGTTCCTTGGGTTTCTTATTTGATTGCTGAGGCCTTGGAATTTTCTGGAATTGTCAGCATTATTTTCTGTGGAATTTCAATGGCTAGATATGCTATTCCAAATTTAAGTAAATCTGGAAGAAAAGTATAATTGATACATATGTATAATTAGAGCATTAGTAAAATATATCATAGTCTGTCCTCTATTTTTGAAAATCTCACTTTTCTATTCATTGGTATTGGTTTAATAGGTTTTGATTTATATTGGAATGAAATGGGAGCGGGTTTGTTCTTAATTACATTTTTTGCAATCATAATTGCTAGATTAGCAAATATTGTATCAATGAGCTTTATTGCAAATTGGTTTAGATCAGCAAATAAAATTAATAAAAACTAGCAAGTATTTTTATGGTTTAGTGGATTTCGAGGAGCTATGGCATATGCATTATCTTTGGAAAGTTGTTTATAATTTGAATATTTTGGAAACATAATGTTAACGATGACAATTTTGATTGCAATTATCAATATTTATTTCTAAGGAGCTTTCATCATACCTTTAATTGAAATATTGAATCTTAAGTTACCATAAGATGCAAATGAAGAAGAAAAACCTTAGGTTGGATGTTTAGCAAGATGTAAATATGCAATCGGCTAGTTTGATTAAAGATTTATCTCCTCAAATTTAATAAAATCGTATTTTTTAGTCCAATATTTTTTAGGGAAGAAAAAAAAGATATTGAATTGTAAGATATAGAAAAACAATGATGATGTAATTATTATATATTTATAATATATGTTATTGAATAACTATTCTAGAAACAAAATTTAATATAGTATTTCAGGTAGATTATCTCATGAAAAAACATATTTTTAATTAATCTTAGGGTGAAATGTACATTATTCTCTTTCTTTTTATATTGCTTCCTCTTCTAGTTATCTCTTATTAGCATTGTTTTATTAAGTTATTTTAAATGGCTCTGGCTTAGTTTTCTCTAAATGATTTTTAAAGTCGTATTTTAATTCATAATGAAATAGCTCTTTTTCTCTTTCTTATTGTTAATAAGCTTTTTTTTTCAAGTTCTCCTTGTTTTAGAAGAAACCATCAACTCCTTTGACCTTTTAGCTCAATGGTTCTTCATCCTTCTAAAATTATTTTGTAATTGGCTTAAATGTACATTCCTTCAACTCTTCATATTACATTTGCCTAAAAATTAATAATGTTGTAGTACCTTTTTAAGTCTTGGATTTTTCTTTCTTTCAGTTCTTTTTCTATTTCCATATTTTATCTAATTAATTTTTTATCATATTTGGATTTTACATGTTAATACTATTGAGATTTTTTAGTTTAAGGATAGTAACTAAATGATTATTTGGATTCTTATTCCTACAGAAATGAATTAAAAAATTACTTCTTTTAATCTATTTAATTTCTCCTATCTTTCTGGATTGTAGGCAAGATCATCAAGCGATCTTTTTTGAGCAATGATCGAAGAAATGTGATTGATTTAGGGTTTAAAAGTGTATTATTGATAATATGCTTATTAAATTTATTCTTTTAGTATTTGATTTTTCTCATAATCTCTTACTCCAAGTCGATTAATTTTATCTGACATGTTCTCTTAAAGTCTTTCTTCATTGCTTTCCATCATAAGTTCACTTGTTTTATTAATTTAAGGCTTGAAAGTAACATCGGAATTTTTGATAAATTCTTAGATGAGTTTTTCTTTTTTTTCTCTCATAAAATCAGCCATCAGATATTAAGTTTGATATATTTAGTTAATTTATTATACAGGTTTAGTAGTTGGATTGATCTAAGGATTGAATGTGCATTCATCTTTTTCTTAGATTTCATTCTTTTAATTCATTTTTTTCTACAATTTCATTGCTGCATCTTCCATTAATCTTTCAACAACTGACTTCGATGTTTATTTCTGTTCAGCTATTAAAGCAGATCTTTGTGAAATCTTAGGTTGATATGTAACATCAGATTATTACTAAAGTTCTTATTATTTTTAAAGCAATTCCTCTTATTTTTTTTTCATAACTTCATCTATTCTTTCATACAAGGGTTTGGTAAATTATTTTTCTCCTTTTAGCACTGCACCAATCTAACTAATCTCTGGCTTAAAAGAGAACTATTCAGAGTTAATATGATCAAATTTTAATTATTCTTTCCTCTTTTTCTATTCAATTCCATCTTAATATAATCTTTCAACTACTGGCTAATCAGTGTTTCTTCTTGATGCAATATCACTTATTACTGGCTTAAAAGTACAATGCTATTCTACCAATTCATCAATATATTTTCGTTTCTCGTTTTCCCTCTACTCTACCTAATTTCGTTTATCTTCCAATAACCTTTGCCAAACTTCTTCTTTTGAATATTACAATGGCTTTTTTTATTGTTATCTAGGCATGTCATAAGATTTTGGTTAACAACAAGGTCTTTTAATTTTTGGACTGTAAGTTGAATTGAATTCTTCCATCAATTTATTCAAATATGTTTTCTATTATTCTACTTCTTCGCATTCTTCTTCATGAGGTTCGGAGATGTATTGTTCTCTATGATCAGACTAGCTTCTTTGGATTCTCATCATATATTCATGATTGAATTCTTTATTTTTTTCTAACTATTATTAGAGTTTTTATGCTGTAAATTCAAGTGTTTAACTTTAAAATTTAGACTCTTTTTTGCTACTGCTCAGAATCAAATCATCCCAATATTGTGGAGATTATTACTCAATCATCATAACGAATTTTGAATTAAATTAATAAATAATGCAACCCAAATTTGAACATAAAGATGATAATTACAAAATAAAGGAAAATTTAATCAATATTATTCAAAAATTGAGATCAGAATTTATATTTAATCCCTTTACCCATCTTTGCTAATTCCAACTTTTTAAGCTCAATATTATAATTTTTAACGAATCTTATATAGTAGTACAAAAAATTGTTGAACCTTTCCTATAAATGGAAGTTTAGGAATCAAACTTAAATACTAAATCAGTCAAGAATCCTAAAATAATAATGAGACATTCCAAAGCATTAAATAAATAAACCTTTTATGTTCTAACTATTATTTATTATAATATTAATGATTCACGGCCCCAATTCCCAATTTTCAGGAGCATTTACTATTGGTAAACGATATGAATGTATGATATTTCTCTATTTCTTAGCTGCCATTTACTAAACTAATCCAAATCCAGGGTAATGTATGCTATTGACATAGTCCAAATCACTACTCTATTAATCCAATTGATAAACCCATCGGGTTCAAATTTTCAAAATCGAATAGAAAACCTTTATATTAACCTAGTATAGCACCAGATCCTGGAGCATATGATCTAAAATTTTAGGTCTTTAAAAATATAACTTAATTAGACCATCTCCTAAAATTCACCCTCTGCTGTATTTACAACTGCCAAAGATCAATAGTAGCGAGTTTTCGAAATTGGTCCTGGATCTTATAATTGGACGGATTAAAAAAAGGCTCCAGCATTTACCTTTCAAAGCAAATTCGATTCTATTGGTAATCAGATACTATAAAACCCTGGTCCAGGAACTTATGAAACTAAACATTACCATACTCACTAGCCATAAAATAAGGGTTTATCAACGAGCAAGAGGGCTAACCATTTAACATCAAGTACTCCAGGACCAGGATCATACGATGTCGAAATACCCAAATACTCAGCTATCATCAAGTACAATCAATATCTAACAGATTTCCAAAATCATAGAGAAGTTTAGAGTAAAGTTAACTTGGACCTGGCCCAGGAGCTTTTGATTTGAGTTTGCCAAAACAATAAGGGATAACGTTTGGAGTAAAAGGGAATCAATAAACTGAAAAATAAAGTGTTCCTGGCCCTGGTAGTTACAAATTAAAATCATTTGTTGAATATGATGAAAGAGATTTAAAATAAAATAAAGTAAAAGGAGCCAAGTATAAATAATTTACTCAAAACTAGAATCGGTACTTCAAAAAGAAGTAGTTAAAATTTTCTCAAGTTTGGACCATCACCTCTAGATTATGATGTATCCAATTACAAATATCCTACCAGACATGCTAGGTAAAAACATATAAAATAATTGTAGTTTTGGAAGTGCAGTTCGATAATCAATAATTCAAAATGAGAAAACACCTGGCCCTGGATAGTATATGGTTGATTCCAAACTTAGAAGAAATGGACCTGTCATACCAAAAGCCGCAAAAGATTTCAGCTCATTAGATAATAATCCTGTATTTTGTACGATTTATACACTTTAGGGTCCTGGAAAGTACAATCCTAACATATCAATGTCAACAAATAAAGGACCCAGCTATCACATTGCTGGCAAATACGAAAAACCATAAGAAGGCAGTTTGGTTGGACCTGGAAGATATAATATTTCAAGGAACATCAATGATGGACCTAAATATACATTTCCAACGTTAGAAAAGAGCATGGACAATAAATCACTAGATATTAATTAGTAATTTCCTTAAGTTTATTTAAATAGATCGCATTGCTATGAAATCTAATAAACCATTGGATATATACCTCCGTACAACTTACAGAATTGAATAAAATCAAAACGGATTAATTTAATATATAATTATGAAAATTATTGTCTTGATATTCTTGTTAGGGGCCTTTGCTTCAAACATCAGACATAAAAAGGAGAGGTTTTTTATTATTCTTATTATTTAGACACAACGATTCTTAGACATTATCACATCAACAATAAAACACTAAAGGTAATTGAAAACCAAATAAATATTTTAGAATTATTGTAAGTCACTGATATAGATAACTAATCCGAGACTCTTGTTGAGGAAACTCTCAATGAATAATAGAATCTAGAGGAACCAAAACCAATATATAATAATGATGGCAGATCACCTGATATGGGTTTGAGCGAAGTAGACAATAATGATGCTCCAGAAGCCCCTATGATGGCAGATAATGTATTTGATTAATCAGCCCAAGAAGAAGTGATAAAAGGATTATCACTGATATAAGTTGGAGAAATTGATGCATTAGCTGATATTGATACTAGCATGCCATTGTTAGATGAGGATTTTAAATATGATGAATAAGCTCTTTAGGAAACTCCTTTAAATGTTGATATCATTGAGGAAGTACCTTAATAATAAGAATAAGAAGTCAATGAAATCGAAGATTAAATGCAATAAGAAATCGAAATCGAGGATTAGCAAGAACAATTAATAAATGAGGTTTAATTGCTCTAAATTGGAGGATTCTATTATTGATTTATTCAAAAACAAATATAATATTAATTTAATTATTCATGAATAAATTCAATATTTCAGCTACATCAATAAATTTTAGAAAGTAGAAAACTACAAACAATCAAACCAAAATCGATTCATCAACATCCGTCAGTCAAAACAGCTCTACGATATAAAGAAAGGATGATAAAAACTTGCAATCACACACAGAAAGAACAAAGATTAACTCCATAAGCAGAGAGAAAATTTAAGGAAACAAAAAGTAACAATAACTAAATTTTATTTTAGTTTAGCTCTTTTATTAAATCTAAAGTAAATAATTCTAGTGTAGATAAAATTTTAAATAACTAAAGAACATTATCATCAATATCTCGTTAATCGAATAGCAGTCCAACCTCGAAGAGAACAGCTTCAAAAAATAAGTTATCTGTCACCCCTTAAAGAGATAAGTCAAAATAGAAAACTGTATAAGAATAAAAAAAGCAGTTATTATCTTAAACATCAAGATAACAATAATAACAATAGTAATAACAATAACAGTAATAATAACAATAATAATAACAATAATAACAATATTAATAATAATCTAAAAATACAGATAGACAACATACTCCAAAATCAACAAGCAAATAAATGTTTACATCTCCAAATGTAAAACCACTTTCTGGTAATGTAATAAATAAAATGAAACCAAACTTTGAGAAGGGAAAGTCTTTACCTTTTAAAAAAGAGAGTGCCCCTGTAAAACTAATTTCTTAAAATACTAATTTGGGATATACTACTTAGAAGTCAAGTAGATAACCAAATAAAAATTTGAGTTAAAATAAGGAAACACCTGTTCATTATGAAGAATTCACACTACAAGCATCATAAACTAAGAATGTTTAAACCGAGGCATTATCTGTAATTTTTAGGTTTATTAATTTAGTGTATAGCGAGACCAATATTTGAAGGGTCAAAATATTATTAATCATCATTAATTCATTTTCATTATGAACAAATAAAACAAAAACAGTCCTCATATAACTATTATTTTCAGTTACACTACCCAACTGAAATTCTGAAGGAATATTTTAAAGAACTATTTCAAGAGCATTTTTCATAAAATTATAACTGTCTGTAATATTGCAAGAAATATACCTAAAATATACAAAAGAATAAAAAGTATGAATTTCTACCTGGTTAATCCCAAGAGACTAAAACCCTAGTGTTTGATTTGGATGAAACTTTAATTCATTGTAATGATAATAATAATGATCCAACTGATCATGAAATATAGATATAATTGCCAAATGAAGAGACAGTTGAAGTACTTAAGTTTATGAAATTTAGGCTAGAATTAATATAAGACCCTATTGTTAATCAATGTTAAAACTATTGTCCAGCCATTTTGAATTAATGTTATTTACAGCCTCCTATTAATATTATGCAGACAGAGTACTTAAATTGATCGATCCTGATGGAACGATATTTCAATATAGGTTTTATAGGGACAGTTGTGTAGAAGTTGAGGAGGGACTTTTTGTTAAAGATTTGAGGATAATTGGGAATAGAAAATTAGAAGTAAGATTAGTACTATATCTAGAATATTTTGCTAGTTGATAACGCATCTTATTCTTATTGTTATTAATTAGATAATGGAGTGCCTATAATTCCATTTTATGATAATAAATATGATATGGAATTGTTATTTTTGACCGACTATTTAATTAGCCTGAAGAAATGTGAACAATGGACTAAGTAAAACAGAATGCATTTCCGAACTTATTTTTATTAGATTTGCCCTAGTATAGAAGAATGCTTGAAAGAGTTATTTCAAGCGCATGATATTGTTTAGGATTGATCTATTATATAAAGTATTTAAAGAAAAAAAAATTTATTTTGTTCGGTGTGAATCTGTAATATATATAATAAATAAATTAACTGTAAATCAAATGAATTACGAAGCATTACTTGAGGAACTGGGATTGGATGGTACTCCATAAAAATAAACAAGCAAATCACCATAGAATTAAACAAGAGCTACTGATAACACTTACCTTACAAAAACACCTGAAACCACAAAACAAAAAAAAATAAAATTAATATTAAATGTAAATTTGAGTTCCAATCAAGTGGAATAGTTAATGATATATTAAGATGATGATCCAAAATTGAAAGTATCAGAATTTTGTCATTTGCACTAATTAGACAAGAATGCATAAAATGTACTAATAAAGCAAATCAACAGCAATACAAATAGTGAAAATTATCAAAGTTAACATAAATTACAATAGTAAAATTATTACTCTAAAAATTTGCAATCATATTCAACTAAAGAGTCAGAATAACCAGGTGAGAGACTCTATTAATTGGCTTAAAAGAAGAAAGAATAAAGAGAAAATTAAATAAAATAGTATTAAACAGAAAAATAAGAATAGGAATAACAGCAGTTATAATAAACTCCTAAACTAAGCAATCAAACAAAAATCTATTTGGTATTTAGTAATTCATTGACTTATTTAAGGAATAAGCTGGGTATCGTAAAAATGGTTATATGAGAGAGAAGGGTACTCTAAAAGATAAGCAAATTCAATAGGTATTTTTGGATGAATAAGGGAAGGAGTATAATTTTGTACCTCAGATAAATGAATTGTAAGATCATATAATATCAATTAGATCTAAATAAATGAGTCATTATATTAGAGAGAAACAACATTATGAGAACGTATTTGATGAATTATATGAATAAGCAAGAAACAGAATGTACTCACAACCAGAATATGATATTCCTGAATGTACATTCAAACCTTCAGTAAACTAGAATATTAAGATTGATGAAGATTTCTTAACCAGAATGGAAAAGAAGTAGGAAGAATAGAAGGAAAGAAGGGAATTAATTAAAATGAAGTATGAAAACGTTGACATCAAAACTCGGCAATTATTATATCGACCTAAAATATGTAGAAGCCCTTATGCTTAAACATCATCAGAAAAACGTATATGAATAGATTAAATCATAAGCCGTTCATGAGAAGCTTTATTTATAGTCCAAGTTAAAGTCAGAAAAATTGTAGTTAATGTCTGAATAAAAAATCATGGAAGAAAAGGAATCTTAAAATGTGAGATTGAAAAACGAATTATCAGAGGATATCGTATTTCTCTAAAGGAAGAAGATCCTCAAACAACTATTTGCTGAAATGGATTCAAATTAAGATGGTTAAATATAATGTTCTTATGAAGAAATCAATAATCTTCCTCCCAATATTATATAAACACTTTGGCCTGTATTAAAATTATTATAGGAGCGAAAAAGATGTTTAGATTTTGATGACTTTTTTGAAAATGTTTATGAATTTTGTATCAATCTTCCGTAAATCTAAAAAGATATCATCTTCAAAAAGTCAAAGAATAACTATCTTACTATGAAAGATTAAGATTACACTTTCACTCCAAAAACTAATAAGAAGTCTAAATCAATGAATATTGTGCATTATCCGAGTTGTAAATGTGAAATTTGCTCAAAAATTGCTATTATATAAAGGCAATTAAATGATTAATGAATAATATATATTACACGATTTAAATAATATCTTATAATTAAATAATTGTTCGTAAATGCATATTTAAAGATAAAGAATACATCAAATAAATAAAATATTAATATAATTATATGTCTGCTAACTGTATTGAAGAAAAAAAATTTGCTTAGATCAATGATGAATTAACAATTGACAATATGGACTAATCTACGACAAATTAATCAAAATAAAGCAATGCTACACTCTCCATGGCCTTTCCAAATGCTGAAAACAATTACAGGTACAAGCCAATAAAAACCCAAAGTATTTTTAAACGTTATAATAGGAAGTCTGTTGACATTGACTCCATAGATCAGTTAAAGAAGAAGTTCAAGATCTCTGATTGAACAAACTTACGTAATTGAAGAAGAAGTATTTAGAATATTTAAATATTAGCCATAAATTTAAGGATAGAATGAAGTATTTCTCATTTATTGGTATGATTAAAATATTGATCATAAATATGAGATGATTATTTAAGCCCATAATAACATTACCATCGGTGATCTAATTCAACTTTTTATCTAACAATTCAATGACCAAAATTAATATTTACAGACTCCGTTTTCCTCTGATGTTCATAATACCAATATTTATGAATTATACATACCAAAAAAGAAAAAAGGTACTCCAAATGAAGATTTTCCAGGTATTGTAATTTAAGTTATTTTTAGCTTTCGCCAATTAAACTATGCTTAATTAAACCAATTTAAAAGAATTTTCCTTAAAGATAACAACTAAATAAATAACTAATTATTCGTCAACACTTATAAATTCCTAGAATTCATCAGCAGCCAAATCTAATACTAAATAGAGATAAAGCCTAACTAATTCTAGTTAAAAAAAGAAGAAAAACTTTTTTTAGAAATTATTTTTCTGTTGCAATCATCAGGCAGAAGAATTTTGAACTTAATAACTTAAACTTGTTTAATGCATTTACATAACAAATAATATTTAAAATCTAATATTATATATGTAATATATATGATTAGTTCTGATATTCTAATCAATAATACTTCTAAGATTAATATCTATTTTGAGAATAAGTATATATATATAATAAATGCAGAAGATGAGTCTTTCTAAATTACAAAACTATTTCTTCCAAACTTTTGCTTAATTCTTGTTGATTTTAATCGAATTGCTTTGTAAATTCGATAATGAATGTTTAATATTAAAAACAAACTTGAAATAATAAAAAACTTAAAGGACTAATTTAAATATGATAAAATAAATTTACAAGCTATAAAATAAAATTAACCTTCATTTAAATATATGTACATTATTTTCTCTGAAAAATATAAAAAAAAAGACCATTTTTAGCATTTTTAAGCAATCTTCAGTGCAAAAAATTTTTACAATAAAAATTTAAATAACTTACATAAAATCATATACTTTCAACTATTTTGATATTTAGTGATTGTGGGAATTTTATTCTAATTTATTACAGCATTTTTATTTAAAAACGATGATATATCAGAGATGTTCATTTTATATAAATAGTCTTACTTTTTATTATGGAAGTTGGAATAAAAGAGAAACTACAACTAGATAATTGCATTCTGCATTTAATGCAAATGAAAAAAATGTTTCAGAAATGAATTCCCAATATTGATAATAATTATAATATTTAAAATTATACTAAAGAATATATGAGTCGTGTGCTTAGATATTAAAAAAAGAAGAAGGATGATGGTAGATACTTAATTAATTGAATAGGACCACTAGTGAAAATAAACTTCGCAAAATTTCCTAATTTACCAAAAATAAGGGAAGAAGAAGATAAATTATAAGGTTTTATTAATTCTTTTGAATCTGATAGCTAGTAACTTTTAATCATCAAAATAGGTTGTCTTTATAGGAGAGATCATGTTAATTGAGAACAATGACTGCATCTTTTTCTAGAGGGTTAAAAACTACTTCAAGTTCAAGGGACAGAAAGGAGTAAAAAAAGGTTGATGAGAATTATACAATTTATGGATTGTCAAAGATAAAAACAGCGAGAAGTCCATTATAAACATAAAGATAAACTCCGAATCCATATGAAACTGAATAAAAATTAGAGCGATCAAATGAAGAGTGGTTTTAATAGTCTCTAATTTCAGAAGCACCTTAAGCAAAAGTGTTGTTTTTTAATTAAAGAAAAAAGTATACTGAAATACATATATAGATCTTTCTTGTGGGAAGATGCAAAAGTCATAAATTATAATCAGGATACTTAAAGATTTCTAGTATAAAAATATCCCGATGGATCAACGAAATCAGTTGAAAGACTATCAATTAAATTTATTAATTAAGATGAAGATTTATTTAGAGCAGCAACAGTAAGAAGGTTTTTATTTAATTTTATAAAATTATAGTTAGAATATTAGATAACATTAAAAGGAAGAAATGAAAAAGCTTAGGGAGATTAATGCAATAAGTGATAATGAAGTCAATAAAGCCCCCCAATCTTTAATAAATTCACTTGTGAGTAAATTTTAAAATACTAAAAAGCAGAATCTAGTTGAAGCTCTGCTTGAAGAAGTTAATTAAAACTATTTACTTTTTTAAAAAAAATGTTCATTTATTGGAGATACCGTTATTTATAAATAGATTTCTAGAGTTGAACAAAGATATCAATTTTTCTCTACTTTATAAAGTAACCTAGAGAAAGAAGCTATTCTAATAAGAAAGGATGGTTACAAAGCTATGAAATAATTGCTTTTTAGATTAAATTAAATCAATATTGAAATAATTCATGAGAGAGATTTTAAGTTCCCAATTATACTTAATAAATTTGATGCTGCTCTTGAAATGGAAGGAAAAGAGATTAAGAAAGAGGTTAGAAGGGAAAAGTTCTATATTTAATCAGATTTGTAAGATATTTTAGGTTAAAATTATAAATTTGTGGAATCAAATCGAAAACGCTATTATGATTGTGGGTTGTCAAAAATATTAACTAGAGTTGATCTGATGTATTAATAAATTATAAAAGAAAAGGTTCTACATTAGTTTAATTACACAAAAGAATTTTATGAAAGTTTTTTACTAAATTCTCAATTTCACAAGCCTTTAAAATAAAAGCCATTGCTTTAATTGCATGTGCAATGTATAGTGCAAGTACCTGTAAAAAAATCAATGAGAAAATTAATAAAAGATTCGATAAAAGGAGATGAGGAGATAATTTATATTGAGCCAAATTTGTAATCAATCTTAACAGCCTTCATGAAGCCATTTGATTTCCTTTATCAATTAATAATAGAAGGTTGTTGTATTTAAAGTGAAATCATGACCTTATTATTACTGGAGAAAAAAAAGATATCCACTGTGATGGACTTTGCTTAACTGAACTCAATCAAAGAATAAACGATTAATCTGATTTCAAACGAGTATAAATCTTGTGATGATATTGCTAAATACTATACTAAATACTCTCGTTACCTCAAAGCTTTCCGCTCAAAAGATTTATATGATGTATTTGGCTTGGATCCTAAGGAAGCAGCCATTCTAAGTTAGATGAATTTCTCATCGATTGAGAGTTACTTGTATGAGTTAAAGGAGTCCAAATTAGACATACTTTAATTCCATTAGAATCAGAAACGATTTGGTTTGTTTTCTTTGAATATCTATGAGCTTAAACACACTTTGGTTGAACGGATTAATGATTAACAGATATAGATTTTTAATGTAAATTCATGTATTTAATTACAATAGAAAATCCAAGAGATTCTGAAACATAACATCTAATAAATTAAAAAGTAATTTTAGGTAATGAGGGAAAAGAGTCAATAGATTCCACAAACAGAATAGGAATTGATGGAATTAAAATTGTTCTTAGGTGAAATTAAAGTAGATTTCTCAAGAATGCAATTTGAAGTTCAATTTGTGTAAATATCTAATCAATATTCTTTATAGAGAATAATACATAAATTTATTTGAAGAGTTTTATATACCTTTTGACTTTTAGTTGGTAATCGATTATTATGAATTAATCTATTTACCAAAAGATATTTCTGACATCATCGAAGCTAATAAAGCAGTTCTGAAATAACAAGAAGACATCTTTTTAAGAAGATTACATAATGACAAATAAGAATTCATAGCCAAGATTTTATAAATGCAAACAACATTTACAAAAATTAAATCATATTGTTAGTATGAAAAGCTAAAGGAAAATATTATTGAGATCAAAAGATTCTAAGAATAAATTGAGAATTCCAAAGAGATAATATCTGAGTTCAATCTCAGAGAGCTTACATTTCAAATAGGTGTAACAATTTACAGAGAGTTTGAGAATTTAGTCCATGAGTTCTAACCTTACTATCAATTTTGGGATTTAGCAGTATAATTATTATATGTTATAATTAGTAAAGATTTGATATTTAAAAAGAGTAATGGTTATCTATGTCAATTAAATAATTAGATCATCTAGATATGTAATTATTGATGTAACAATTCAATAATGAAGCTATCTCAATTTTTAATTACTTTAGTGATATTCTAGATGATAATGCACAGAGTTTGGTAAGAAATTTAAGAAGATAACTGGATTAATTCAAGGATAACATTTGGATAGTTGAATCGCTGGCTATTGAAGCATATAAAAGAAAGCCCATTTTCTGGAAAGATCTATTTAGAGAATGTTAATTTCCTTAATTGGAAAATAAAGAGGAGATTACCATATCTAATTTACTGAAAAAGGGTATTTTAAATTATAAAGATGTTGTATTGAAGTTGTCTTCTTAGGCGGAGAAGAGTTGGAGTGTTGAGAAGAGATTAAATGAGATGTTTGATAAATTGTCAATAATAGAGTTGGAATTATAAGTTTATAAGGATACATTTATTTTTAAAAACTATGAGGATGTAATGGCTTAATTAGATGAACAATTAAATGTATTGAATATTCTTAAGGCTCAACCTCATGCTAAGTTTGTTATTATCAAGGCTGCTTAATTGGAAAATAAGATACTACTCATTTAAGACACTCTTGATTAGGTTATGAAATGTTAGAAGCATTGGATTTATTTAGATCCAATATTTGCAAGTGATGATATTAAATTAAAGTTAAAATAAGAGACTTTAGATTTTAAGAGAATAGATCAGTCATATAAAAATTATATGATCATCCTGAATAAAAATAAATTGCTATGGGACTAGATTGAGAATGATAAAATGAAATAAGACTTTGCGTACAATGTATAAATGTTGGATCAAATATAAAAAAGTTTAACAAAATACTTAGAATCCAAGAGAATATTATTTCCTCGTTTCTATTTTGTATCAGATGAGGAATTAGTTGAAATTTTGGCTTAAACTAAAAATCCATAGCAAGTATAGAAACATATATTCAAATGTTTTGAAAATATATCAGAATTGAAGATAGTAGATAATGAAGTCATTACTGCATTTTATTCAAGTCATCAAGAGAAGATATTATTAGATGATGTAATCAATTTGAAGAAGGGAAACAAGATAGAAAATGTAGAGAGCTGGCTATCTGAATTTTAAACAAGAATGCAGAAAACAGTAAAAAAATCTAGTTGTAATGCTTTGAAAGATTTGAATTCAACTAAGTTGGAGATTATCAATAAATGGCCTGGTTAAAGTGTTCTATTGAGTAACCAAATAAAATGGACAAGGAACACAGAGGCTTCAATTAGATAACAATAGAAATTGAATTTAAAATTGTTACTCTAATTATTAAACAAGGAATTATAGACAACAGTAGATTTAGTTAGAAATGAGACCAGGCTGATTTAGAAAACAACTTTAGAAGCGATGGTAATTTAAGAAGTCCATAACAAAGATGTTGCTTAATTATTGTTAAACTAATAGATCGAAGTCATTAACTCATTTTTATGGATTTCTTAATTAAGATATTATTTTAATGATGAGAATTCAATTTAGGTTCGAATGGTTAATTCATCTTTTGAGGTATTTCATATTATAATATCGATTAGTATGGATATGAATATTTGGGAAAGATCTAGAGGCTAGTCATTACGGCTTTGACTGATAGATGCTAACGGACATTAATGGAAGCTTATAAAATGAATTATGGAGGTGCTCCTGAAGGTCCAGCAGGAACAGGTAAAACTGAAACTGTAAAGGATTTGGCAAAAGCAATGGCAAGACCATGTATTGTTTTTAATTGTTCAGATGGATTGAACTATATAGCAATGGGTAAATTCTTTAAAGGATTGGTTACATCTGGATCATGGTGTTGTTTCGATGAATTTAATAGAATTGATCCTGAAGTTCTATCCGTTGTTGCATAGTAGATATTTACAATTCAGAAGGCAATTAAACTAAGATAGGAGGCATTTATATTTGAAGGGGAAGAAATAAATCTAGTACCTACTTGTGCAATAAACGTGACTATGAATCCTGGGTATGCTGGAAGATCAGAACTACCTGATAATCTGAAAATACTATTCAGACCATGTGCTATGATGGTTGCTGATTATGAAATGATTGGAGAGATATGTCTATATAGTATTGGATTTGAAAGGGCTAGAGAATTGAGTAAGTAAATAGTTACATGTTTAAAGTTGTGCAATGAACAATTGTCATCTCAAGAACATTATGATTTCGGAATGAGAACTTTGAAGGCAGTATTAAATTCGATTAAGAATACTAGGAATGGAACAGAACAAGAGAAGTGCCTGACTGCTTTGATTATTGTTAATCAACCTAAATTGGTGAAGAATGATATTGAATTATTCAAGGCCATCACTCAGGATTCATTCCCAAATGTTTAAGAATAGGAGATGGATAAATTAAATAATTTTTAGTAGTAAACTGAAAATATGAAATTGATATATTATGAAACTTTGGCAATCAAATGTGAATAGATACACAACAGTATTGAAGTGAGAAACGGAGTAATGTTGGTTGGTCAAACATTCTCTGGTAAATCAACATCCTTATAGATATTATCCCATTTATTGAAAGCTACAATTTTAAAATTAAATCCAAAGGCTATAAATTCCGATCAATTATATGGCAAGTTGGATCCAGATACAAAGTAATGGTCAGATGGAGTAGCTCCCATATTGATGAGAGAGAATATTCAAAGAGAGAAATATGTTTGGATCGTTTTCGATGGGCCAGTGGATTCTATATGGATTGAAAATCTTAATACTGTTCTGGATGATAATAAAAAGTTATGTTTAACATCAGGAGAGATTCTGAAAATTCCAGAGAGAATGTGCATGATTTTTGAAGTTGAGAATCTGTCTGCTGCATCACCAGCCACTGTCTCTAGATTGGGTATGATCTATTACAGTATTTTTGATTGGAGATACCTTATAGATAATGTAAGATTGCCGAATCATTTTGATCACAAATACTTCATTAAGAGAATCAAATAGTATTATTAATTTATATTCATTATAGTCTCCTAGAACATTCATTGGCGTGGATGCAAAAATATGCCTAATTTCCTGTTTATGATCAATAAAATATATTAGTCAGTTCATTCTTGAAATTGTTCTAGAAGTTGATGTCTTAATTGGACTAAAATGAAAGTGATACATTTGTATTTGATAATACAATAATCTTTTCGATTACTTGGTCATTGGGGGCTGCAATTAATGAATAAAATCGAAATCCCTTTAACACATTCTTGCATAAATTATTAAAACATTAGTCCACAGGTTTAGACTTAGAAATCAATAGAAAATTGTAATTTCCAATCAATGAAAGAATCGATTATTTTTTATTTGGATTTATCAATCAAAAATGGGTTGAATGGATTGATGTATAATATGTTATTATTCCATGTAGATCTCTGAGTAATTACAAATAACTCTAAGCACTGATTTTCATCAGATAGTTGTACCTACAAGTGAGTCAAACAGAAATGACTTCTTTTGTAAATTGGGATTGCACTTTTTGTATTGTGGACCAACAGGCACTGGTAAATCTTTGTCAATGACCAAGTTTTCATAATTTTTAATAGCATGTAGTGGCTAAACAACTGGAAATAGTTTGTAGAGGTTGATAGAAACCAAGATCAATAAAAGAAGAAGAAAAGGATGTTATGGAGCTGAGGAAGGACATATCACCATCTTTGTGGATGAATTGAATATGCCATTTAGAGAACCATAAGGGTCACAACCAGCTATTGAATTATTAAGATAATGGATGGATCAGGGTGGTTGGTATGATTTAGATAATAAGGAATTCAAATACATGTGTGACATAACATTCTTGTGTGCTATGTAACCAGCAAGTGGTGGTAGAAATTAAATTACAATGAGATATCTTCGACATTTCAATTTATTGTATATTGGTGGATTCGATAATGCCAGTGTCACCAATATATTACAAGTGTTTGTCGATTGGGTGATGATCAAATTTTGTGCTACTGATGAAATCAAATCATTTAAACAACAATTAGTGTAGAACTCATTGAACTTGTATTAGTAGATCTAAGAGAGTTTGTTGCCAACTCCTTAGAAATGTCATTATATCTATAATTTAAGAGATGTGTTCAGAATTTTTGAAGGCATGAGTAAGGCTTCGAAATTGTAAAGTAAATCTCAGTTGATGAAACTCTGGGTTCATGAATGTACAAGAATATTTGGTGATCGTTTGGTAGATTTCAATGATATCAAGATATTTTAGAATATCATAAAGGACATAGTTGTGGAGGATAGAATTAACTTAAATAACATTCTGTGGATTTAGGGGAATAGTAATTAACAGTATGATGAGGTTCTGAATATTTAACATTTGAAGTAGAGAGTATAAGGAATGCATGATGACTTCAATGCTTAAAGGTTTCAAAGCAAGTTGTCATTAATTTTGTTTACGAATGCGATTATGCATATATTTAGAATAACTAGGATTCTACAATAGACTTTTGGTCATGCTTTATTAATTGGAATAGGAGGAACTGGGAGATGTAAATCTAATAATTAATAATATCTTTAGCATCCCTAGCCAAATTAGCAACTTTTATAGTATTTAGATCGGAACCAATAATAATCGACCCTCGTTCTTGGAATGATGAGTTGTTGAATACTCTATTATAAGTTGGCTTGGATAATTAGAAAGCCTCCATAATATTCAATGACTCCTAATTACAATAATCTTATATGTGGGAAGATATTTGTAGTTTGTTGAGTCATGGCGAAGTCACTCATTTATTCACTCCAGAAGAAAGATTAAAGATATAGGAGGAGATGCCATTCTCAAAGTTCTTGTAGATTTGTAAATTTAATGTTCATGTCATTTTATGTATGCAACCAGTTACAGAGTTATACAGGAAGAGATTAAGAACATTTCCTACAATCATTAATTGTACTACAATAGATTGGTTTATGGATTGGTCAAATGAGGCTTTGGTGACTACAGCTGAAGAATTTCTACCCAACAATTCTCTTGTCAACGTAGCTGTTAACATTCATTGCAAAGTATTATAAATAACTCAAAAATATAATTCTGAACAGAGAAGACAATTTTATGTTACGCCAACCCAATATTTATAAATGTTGCAAACATTTAAGCGACTTCAAAGAGAAATAAGTGAATAATCATTGGCATTAATAGACAGATTTGAATCTGGTATTGAAAAGATCATTAAGACTCAAAAAGAAGTAGACAAAATCAAATTGCAACTATTTGAATTATAACCATAATTAGAGTAGGCAACCATCGAAAATTAAAAGTTATTATAACGAATTAAATTAAAAAAAGAGGAAGCAGACTAAAAAAGAAGATTGTGTGAATAAGATGAAATGATATGTTAGAAACATAGAGATTAAGCAACTGAATTGAAGAATATATGTATAACTGAATTGAATAAAGTGCTCCCCCTTTTGGGTTAAGCAACTGAAGCATTAGATAAAATTACAAAAGAAGACATGATCTAATTGAAATCATTCACTAATCCTCCTTTATCAGCTGCTGTTGTTATGGAAGGTCTATGTTATGCATTTTAAGAAGATGAAAAAGTGAAATCCAAAAACAAAGAACTCCCCGTTATGTAAGATTATTGGGATTATGCCAAAAAGTATTTATTAAATGATAAATTAATAAAGAGAGTCAAAAAAATGAAACTAGAAGAAATAAGATCCATTAAAATACTAAATATTCAGAAACTCTAAGTTTTTGTTCTCAATCCTCTTTTTGAAAAAGAAAAGGTATTTAATGCATCAAAGGCAGCCGGTAATTTAGCATAATGGATAAGAGCTGTTCTAGAGACATACTAAGCTGTTGAGATCATTGAACCGAAAAAGGCCCAATTACTTGAAGCTGAAAAAAAGCTTAAGGAAGCAGAAGCTGATGTTTAAGTCAAACGAGCCATCTTAGAACAGTAGTTGAATGAACTTAAATAATTTGAAAAGGAATTCGAAAGAGCCAATTAGGAAAAACAAATAATTTAAGCCGAAGTGGAGACGATTTAAAAACAACTTAATAAAGCTGAAAAACTATTGTTTGGTTTGTAAGATGAAGCTTAAAGGTGGAAGAAAAAAGGATAAAAAATTAAAAACGAATAGATTGCAATCGAAGGAGACTGTATTTTGAGTGCTTCAATAATTGCATATTTGGGAGTATTTCCTATTTAGTATAGAGATGTCTGTTAAAATTATTGGAAAAATCTATTGAAACAAAATAATGTCAAATTCTCAAGTGATTATGCCATCTCCAAATAATTATGTAATCCAATCATAATCAACAATTGGATTACATAATAATTACCAAATGATTAACTAAGTATTGAGAATGCAATCATACTTAAAGAGTCTACAAAATGGCCATTAATGATTGATCCACAACTCCAAGCCAATTAATGGATTAAAAATATGGAAGATAGCAAATACTTGCTTATCTTAAATGCTAATTAGCCAACTTAATAAATTTAATTGCAATTAGAACATGGAATATAAATTGGTTATGCAGTTCTATTAGAAAATGTTGGTCAAACCTTGGATCCATTATTTGAATCATTGTTGTAATAAAATGCAAAATCTAGATCAAAGAGAGCAACTATGAAATTAGGAGATAAAATAATTGATATATCTTCTGATTTCAGATTTTATATGACAACCAAATTAAATAATCCTCATTTTTAGCCATAAGTTTGTGTTATGGTTAATATGCTTATCTTTTAAGTCACTCAAGATGGCTTAGTTGACTAATTGTTAAATATAGTTGTCAAGATTGATGAACCACAGAAGGAAGAACAAAGATTGAAGAATATCCAATAATATTTTTAGAATAAGGATAAATTGATGTAGACAGAGACATTGATATTGAAATTACTTTCAGAATCCACAGGAGATCTATTAGAAAATGAAGATTTGATTTAAACACTTTCAAAATCAAAAGATGAAAGTATAGCCATAGAGGAGAAGTTAAAAAGCTTAGAGTATGATAGAATAAACTTTATGCAAATCAGACAATTCTATTAATAAGCAGCTGAAAAGGTTGCCAATCTTTACTTCATATTAAATGATTTGGCTGTCATAGAACACACATATATATGGTCCTTAGAATTTTATTTCTTTCTCTACACTAGATCTATAAGAGAATCTTAAAATGAAAAGTTAAAAAGAAATTAGAATATCATAGAAAAGTTTTTATAAATTTTATACACTTAAATTAATCGATCACTTCTAGAGAAGGATAAACTCATATTTCGATTTCTATTATATGTAAAGACAATGAATATTCCATCTGAATTAATTAGAGCCACTGTTATGGGTTGCACCTTGACATCATCAGATGTGTAAATGCCCAAAGGATTCTCATGGTTGACAAATAAAATGTGGTTGGAATTAGTGGATTTATCACAATCCTTTCCTAACATATTTGGCAGTGTTTGCTAAGATTTTATATCCTAAAAATAGTTCTGGGATAGCTTTTATAACAGTTCTAATTGTTATCAATTATCATTAAGAGGTTTAGATTAATTTTAAATGAATATGTTGGTTAAGATAATCAAACCCGAATAATTTATATCTGCAACCAATGAGATGATCAAATAATAAATGGGTAATCTCTTTCTGGAAAATATTCCAACAACATTTGAGTAGTTCTACTTTGAGTCTGATTGCAAAATCCCTCTATTATGTATCATAACTCCTGGAGCAGATCCGAGATAAGAGATCATTAAATTGGCTACCAAATATGATTTTAATGATCGATTTAATCAGATCTCACTAGGATAAGGATAAAACCAATTAGCTATCAAAATGATTCTAAGTGCCATGTAATAAGGGACTTGGGTTCTGTTATAAAATTGTCATCTGGCTGCTTCATTTATGCCTGAACTTGAAAACTTATTTGAAGTGCAATACAAAAAAGAGATGAATTCTGATTTTCGACTGTGGTTGACATCTCAACCAACATCCATATTACCACACAATGTGATATTAAGATGTATTATATTATTTTATGATAGCTCTCAAGATCACTTATGAATTACCTCGAGGGCTCAAAAATAATATGTTAAGATCATATTAGCAATAGGAGCCTGACAAATTCGAGTAATCCAAAAAAATAAAGGAATGGAAAAATCTATTCTTTTCATTAGCATTATTACATGCATGCTTGTTAGAAAGAAAGAAGTATGGTCCTTTGGGTTGGAATATTGGATACAATTTCTCATAACATGATTTTGAAATTTCAAAGGAATAAATCCATTACTTTCTAGAGACTTATTAAGATATTCCATGGGATGCTCTAAATTATTTAATAGCTGAAAATAATTATGGTGGTAGGGTGACAGATCCAATGGACAGAAAGCTTCTAAAAATTTATGTCAATGATTTCATCAATTCCAAAACCATCCAATAAGATTATCAATTTTATGATATTTATTAGATTCCTCAATAAATGAAACTTAAAGCTTATATGGAATCCATTTCCTAATTGCCAATCAATGACCCTCCTTAGTTATTTGGTCTTCATTAAAATGCAGAAATCTACTCTTCAATCTTAGAGACTGAAAATCTTAGTTCAGTTGTTTTGCAATTGCTTCCCAGAACTTCAAGTGATTCAAATCAAACACATCCTGATCAGATTGTCTATCAAAAAAGCAAAGAAATCTTGAAGAACTTGCCTGAACAACTAGATAGTCAATTAGCAAAACAGAAGTTTCAATAAATTTTGTAAAATCCTTTGAATGCAATCATTCATTAAGAAATCACTAAATACAACAAATTATTAGGAAAAATTTCAGAATCTCTTAGTATTCTAATATAAGGTTTAGATGGTCTTATCAATATCTCTGATTAATCAATAGAAATATATAATGCGATTTTTGATAATAGAATTCCAGAACAATGGCTAACCTTTTCTTACTTAACTACTAAATCTTTAGGATCCTGGTTTAGTGATCTAATTAAAAGAACTGAGTTCATTTAAAAGTGGATAAATTAAGGTCAACCTAAGGTTTTTTGGTTGGGAGGTCTTTTCTTTATTTAAGGATTCTTAACTGCTGTTCTGTAGACATATTCGAGAAAATCAAAAATTCCTATTGATTAATTAAAATTTGAGTTCAACTTTTTTTCTTAAGAACCATAGACCATAACAAGGGGTGTTTGTGTCAATGGGATATCAATAGATGGAGCTCAATTTGACCTTTAAGAGTAGACGCTCGTAGAACCTTAAAATAATATCCTGTTCTATCCTTGTCCAATAATCAATTTTTGTCCGACTCAATAGAGAAAAATAATCAAAAATTATTCTTGTCCCCTCTACAATACAACTTAGAGAAAAGGAATACTTACTTCAAATGGAATATCTGTTAATTTCATTTGCAAAATAAAAATACCTATTAATAACAATAAAAATCATTGGTCAAAAAGAGGAGTAGCATTTATTGTTTAAGCAAATTGAAATTTTAATTAATAAATATTTGACAAATTAAATTAACATTCACATTTAATAATTATAATGTATTTTTATATATTGTTTATTTTCATTCAATCTCAGGGTTTTGAATTGTTCATTGAAAAGGACAAGTAATATCTCATAGCGAATGAGAATAAAACTGATATTCGATTTAAAGATGAGTCTTTGGATTAAACTTAATGTCACCCTTCAAAATAATATTTAGAAAACTCAAATGAAAAGCATACCAAATTTATATTCAATAACAATCATTAAAAAGACTAGATTACTATAGTAATGCATCCTTTAGTATATGATACAGATGTCCTTAACATTTTGTATACTCCCAAAAAGAAACCATCTGAAATAGAGCCAAACTCATCAGAATAATTTATTATCTCTTATGAATGCAAAGCTAACAAGGATTAAATTTCATGGAGCTTAATAGTATTAGAATTTTAAGTATTTTTCGATCAAAATCATTCCTAATATTACTCAATTTTCTTTTATAAATAATGCTAATAGACAGAACTATAAATCCATCCATTAATTATATTGTTAATTTTAGCAGTATCATTAATAATAATAGGCACCAATTATGGATTATAAGAAATTAAAATGCTTGAATAAATTAAGACTGATGAATTCAATGCAAAGACATCAGTGTTATTTATTTTATCTGCAAGTGTATTGTTATTTTGTCTCTTTAAATTTCCATACATTGGATAAATGTAAACTATTATATTTATATAATAGTGTATTGAGTGTAGTGATATTCTTTTTAGCAATATTGAGTATTTAAATAATAATAGAAGATTAGTTACAAAAAATGATAGGAAAAAATACATTAGTGAAGATTGTTTCATATTTAATTAGTTTTGGTATTGTATTCTTGTATTTCTATTATAAACATTGGATAGTAAATAACATAGTGGCATTTCTAATAACACTTTTAATGTTCAAGGTAAGAAATGTAAAAATAATTTAAGATAATTGAAATAGATAGCTTTAAGACTGCCACATTATTATTGAGTTTAGCCTTCTTTTATGATATATTTTGGGTATTCATAAGTCCTTATTTTTTTGGAACTTCTGTTATGGCTTAAGTAGCAACATCAATAGACTTGCCTATGAAATTTATATGTCCACCTTTGATGATATCGAATACTTCTCCTTTAATGAAATGTTCCATACTTGGTTTAGGAGACATACTATTACCAGGAATAGTGATCAAGTATGTTCTAAAATTTGAAAATTTGGTGAACAAAGGTTATTGTATGTACATTACCTCTATAATTGGATATTGTATTGGATTGATTGTTTGTATGTGTTCCTTGGTTATATACTAATAAGCATAGCCAGCATTATTATACTTAGTTCCTATAATATTGATACCTGTGATGATAATGAGTGTCATAAGAAAATAATTTTATCAATTATGGAAGGGATAGATATTTAAATCATAGAAATAAGCTGGTGTTTATGAGTTACAATAGAGTGAATAAGTTTGATATATATATTATAAAGTGTATGGATAATATTATAAATTATTATTATTAATATACAAATTAAGAATGCTAATAGAATAAAGAAAAATGATTCATCTTATATTATTAGATCTCTGGAATGAGTGAGTGGAATATTAATAATCATAGGATAGATAGATAAATTTGATGAACTGACTAAATTTACAAGTTATTAAATTAAACTATGAAACTTTATATTATCAAATGAATTACTAAATCTTTTACAATTATTTATTCAATTATAATAGTTATAGTAATAATAATATTATAAAAATATAAAAGAAATTAATCATTGATAAATTAAGCAATAGACTTAGATTAGGTTTAGTAAAATTAATATTGTAATAGGAATAATTTTATCATTGTGAAAAAAATTTAAAATCTGATTCTTCCTAAGTAAAGTGATTGATAATAACATACATCTGATGATAATATCTAGAATAATTTAAGAGAACAATGAAAAACAATGATTGAAAATTATTATAAAGACAACTCGAAATTCAGAGATACAAAAACAAATAAAGGAATTGAGAGATAAATATCTCTTCTTAACCAAAATCTTAAAATGCAAGCATTAAAGGTTATGCTTTAATAAACAATTGGAAAATAGGAAGAATTTTATGATTACCATAATCTCAATATTTCAAAATTTTAATTGCATACAAAATTATTTTAAATATAGCTCGGACCCTATCAGAATCCCCAAAAAGTAAATTCTCATAAATATAAGAGATGGATATTGGTTTCAATAATAATAACTAAAAATTCTGAAGTTAATCAATGCCCAGACTTAAATTTTTTAGATTGTCTAGTAAAATACCTCCTGAAAACATATATTGTTGTATTATATTTTATTATTATATTTTAATTTCCTACTTAATTCAATGTAAGCCTAAACTTTACCCAATATTACTACCAAATCACCATAATCAAAACTCAAAACTCTTGATTCGATGTTAAATGCTCAAATAAAAATCAGATAACCAAAAGACATTGGTTTCAAGACTTTACCAAATAATAAAACCAACATTTCATTTCTCAGGAATGAAAAATTCGAAACTCGTTAAGATGTAAAATGACATATATTTTTCAGCAATACTATAGCTCACCCTTATTAACAAAGTCTTAGATAACAGAAGTTGAAGTATAAAACAGATAGAGTAGAAATGATTTCTATTCTTAAATGCTCAGCGATAATCCCTATAAATACAATGAATATAGTGAGATTGATCAAGACTATAACAAAAGTATGAATCCATATTGAACCATTAGAAATTTCAGATATCAATGTCAATTTATTGGATATGAGAAACAAAGATAAGATTAAAGAATTCCTATAGGAATCTGCTTCTTTTTCCAATCATCTCTCTACTCATACTTAAAGGTTGAAAAAAGTAAATGTGCTCACTCAAAGGCAAGATGTTATCAAATTGGCTTAATGGCTTGATTATTAGATGTAACAGGTAGTCTCTAATAAGAAAATGATGTAATAGTAATAACTAAGAGAAATTGAAAAGATATTTAACCTAAGTTTAAAAGAGTTGGTGCGAGAAATATCATTAGATTGTGTTGAAAAAAGGTATAATCTCATCATTAGGTAGTGTACTACTAGAGAAAATATGGAATCAATATGTTAATTACAATACATTCCTACTTAAATCATTAGATGATGAGAAGAACAATCAGGAAAATGAATATCTATAGCAACTCAAATCAGTATTATTAATATTTTAAATAATTTAGTTGCATTAAACATATTAGAATTCTGTTAAATTTTTAGAGGATAAATTAAAATAAATAGATGATGAATTTAATTCATTAAGCACTAAATTTGAAAGAAAGAAGTTTAAACTTAAAAATATTAAAGATAACTTCTTTAGCATATAAGAATAAAAGAAAGAAATTGAATAAGAAGTTGAGTATCTTAAGAATTAGAGAAGAGATTTATTGGAGATTAAAGAAGCACTCTAAAATTAAGTTGAGAATTTGACCTAAGAAAATGAAAGATTATAAACAGCAATCTATTAGAAATCCTAGGAGTTGAGAACAGCCAAAACAAAGCGTTACTCTCAGATATCTATTGATAGTTGTTTGAGTGAATAAAATCACAAAGGGACAACTATGGAAGATTTCTCTGAAATGATGTCAATCAAAAAAGAAAAATATACTTAGACTTTGGATCATGATAAAATAAAAATCTCAACTGCTAATCAAACTGACATCAAATTCATTTTTCATCAAGGCACTCAAACTGGTTTGCATAATGAAGATGAGTATTACGAACCACACACTTCCGATAATCATGATTAAATGAAAAGATTATTAGATTAAAAGTATGACTTAGAAGAAAAACTGAAGTTATCTAATAACATAATAACAGAATTACAAAGAACTAAACAACATCTAATCAGAGAACATGAAATAAATTCTCATAAAATCTCATCATAAGTAATCAATCATACATTATATATAGGAAATATCTCTATCAGCTCTCTAAAAAGAAATAGAAAGACTTTAATCTGAATTATAATCATTATTACAAAGCAGACAATAAAAAAAGAGGATTATTGTCTCCCTTGAAGAAAATAATGGAGAGTAAATGTCATTAGGACCAGTCAGAGAATAATAAAGGACTCCTTAAAACACAATGGAAAAATTAGTAGATAAAAATAATCTAAATAATAATTAGAAATCAAAATAATAAAATTAACTATAATAATAACAATAAGATAATAGTATAAAAAATGGGAAAAATGATAAGACTGAAAAGACCTAGGGATAAAACAGTAATTTTACAAGCCATAATGCGAGTTAAACTAATTCGTAAAATTAAACACCTTTAAACAAAGAATTATCTAATAATACAGCTTCAAAAATATAGACATCCAACTCAAATAACTAATAATCATAAGGCAAATTAACACTCCATTAAAAGAAACCTTCAGATAATGTAAAATCGACTTCTCATAATGTTAACTCAAACTAAAAATAATCAAAAGTTTAAAATTATAAAAAGCCAAACGGTGAATAAATAAACGCTTAGTAAAATGGTCAATAAAACAATTAAATTAATTAAGGAGTCTAAAAATTAAGTAATTAATATGCATAATAATAATTAGGATACGATACAAATTAAATAGGATAAGTAGATAAAGTTTAAGAGTCATCAAATAAAGAATAGGATCAACTTAATTCATCTCAAATTAGAAATACACTATTAAATTTAAATGAAGTGAACAACGATGATGATTAATTTGGAGAAAATCTAATTGATTAAAATAACTAAAATGAATAAGTGTTCAAGAGATCTAGCACAAAGAAATTATCATATAAATTTAATAATTCACAACCAAATTCTTAAAATAATTCAATTTATGTTAATCAACGTAATTTTACACAATATTTTAGTCTAAAGAAAAGGATCTTATCTTACCCCCCCTGCACCTGAAACAAAAACTATTAGAGATAAGGAATAACAGTTAAAAGAAACTGCTCTAGAATTCATTAAATAATTTGTTTAAACAATCAAGTATATCATTTATCTATTTAGTTTATAACATCCAGAGAATATTGAATAGACAATGCAACTTTAAAACGTTTTTAAATTGATAACACAATTCTACAAAGAAAGACTAGAAAGAAAATAACCAATTTATGTTATTTGTTATGAATTCTATATGAATACTTTTGGATTGAAATAAATAGCTGAGAATAAGTTAACTATGCTGTGTTAGGCAGTGATATTTTATAGAACCATCCCCAGAGTTAGACTATTTTCTAGGTTTCTATAAATTTAGGATCCCATCAATGATGAAGATTTGGATTTCTATTTCTCAACTCTATAACATTTGGATGTACAATAGAAATCAGAAAATCTCATCTCATGCACTCAAAACTATGAAGGCGTTCTGGTTTTATACGATAAAGCTTTGGATCAATTAGCATCTTTAGAAGAACATATAATTGAAATCTAATCAAAATTTAAATCTTAGATCTAAATTCTTAACGGAAATAGATACATAGATTTAGATTTATTTTTTATGGAATCATTACAATAATTCTAATTGATGAAAAAAATTCATTAGGATAACTTTAAGGAATTATTCTAAGCAGTTGATATTAATGATGATGATTCAATAAGTATCGAGGAATTTACTATTTTATTTAACCTAATAGAAGAAGGATAAAAGGATTAACAAATGTTTATTTAAAAGTTTATCGAAACTTGTGGCAATTCAGATGGTCTCTCTTTCTATTAATTTGGCATGTTTTGTATGTCAAATTAATTATTTCAAAAAGATAAATAAGATGCATTTCTATAATACAACAATGAGCAATTCAAAATATTATAGAGTAAATGGAACGAGTAGAGAAAATAACTAACACAGAGATTAAAAGAAAATCTAGTTTTTACAGAATATTATTAGAATCTAGTAAGAAAACTGGATGATGTAAATATTCCTTATCTAATATATAGTCACTTAAAAACAACCATCCCTATTCTTGGTTGTTATGGAGAATATTAGAGGAACAATGCAAAAGACTTACTGCTTAAAGTAAATGATGGGATTTCTAAATTACTTGAACCCTTTATTTGTTTCAATAATAATATATACTTTGTTTTATTTATGTTTATATTTACTAAACTTAAAGTTACTTGGAATTACTAAGATGTCTCGAGTTGTTCAAGTGTAATTAGAGATTACTTTAGGACTTAAATTAAGAAGAAGTGGTGATGTAATTGTATTTTTAGGTCTATTAATTTAGTACTACCTGAATTAATAATTACATAAATATAGTATAAGAACAGGTTTATAAATATAAGAATTTATTCATATATCTACAGTCCAGGGATCTAATGCGTCTTCATTTACAGAGTGTATTCGAAATCGGGGCTGTCGGTCGATTTAATTAAGTTTTGGTCTGCAATATTTTTACAAATAAGTTCTTCTTAATTCGTTGAAATCAGAATTATCAGAAGAATCACAATAAATAGAATCATTTTATGATTTTTTGTTAATGATCGATGGTCTTTGTAATTTAGGTTCATCAGTTGATTATGTTCGAATGTTAATTGTTTTCATTATGAAAATAGGTGGTTACAAACGCATTGACGTATTAACAGACGAGCTTTCATGAACAATTATATTTTTGGTTTTCTTTTGATATAACTTATTCAGGTTTAGGGGTATTTTTATTTATTTTTAAAGGCTTTAAGTAAAAGTTAAATCTGGAGTTTTCCTCCCAAAGGGATTGGTATTACAAGTCTGATAGTTTCTTCTTAAAGGCTCTCTTAAAGGGAATTTTTTGTATCTTAACAAAGAGTCCAAAGGGTGATCGATAGAAAACATATGAATATTAATATTAATAAAATCAAAAATATAATTACTACTTATTTTTAGAGCAGAACTGAATTTTTTATTTATGAATGCTATTAAAGATGTATTTCAACAATATTTTGTCACTAAAGATATGTAAAACCTTAAATATATTATAAAGATTTTTCACTATTTTTTATGGTAGTTTTTATATGTTAGATATTTACGATCTTTTTTCCATTCATTTAGAAATAAAATTGACTAGACAAACATCTATTAAAATATAGTATCATGTTTCTAGTCTTTAAAACAAATCAAAAGATAATATATGATTTTGATTAATTTATTTGAATTTAATTATTAGGTATTGAGGAGGCTTGGAAGATTAATTTACAAATTCAATGATTTTGTAATTTTTTAAGATATCTCCTAAATGTGATCTTATTTTATATAATCAGTTTAAAATAATCTTAATATAGCTTTTAACTCAAAAATTTATGACGGAACTAAGATGCTTTATTCATATTAATTAATTGGGTCTTTAATTAAAGAATTTAAATCATGTTTTCAAATGACTTGAAATGAATTTTATTTAATCGATAAACTTGATTTTAACTGACAGATATTAATAGATCAAATTCAGCCCAGTCATGATAAATAAACAATTTAAAATTATTGTCGATTGAGTTAAAAATTATCAATAACATTAATGAGTAATATATAGAGTTGGATTTATTAATTAAGTTATTCGTAAATTCTGAACGTTTAAAGTTTTAATAAAAAATAAGCTAACTCATTCCTTATTTTCAAAAGAATAATAATCAGAGTAGCAATTATAAAATCTTCATCCTCCAAGAAGATTTTTTATTTTCAACATTATTTTTTGTAACAATTATTTTAAAAGATAATTTTAGATTTTTTCTTTTTATGAATTAAACTATAGATCAACCAACATCATTAAATGGATAATAATATTTTCTTATATTTGAGATTAGGTTAATGTAGTTAAGATTTTTAAAATTGTTTTCCTCTTTTTGTAAAGGTGCAATTATAAAAAAAGCGCAGTTTGATTTAAGAAAAAAATCTCCTATTGGCTCTTTTGGGATTTATTGATTAGAAAATAACTGAGCTGAGATATATTGAAACTGAATAATAGATAAAAAGGAATTAAGGAGAAATGACAAAATTATTTTATATAAAATATTAATGTAATTGAATTAATTTTTTTTTCCAGCACCTAAGCCTTAATACAATTAAGGGTCTTTTGGAACTAATTTGATATTCATCAAAAGCAGAGATAGAAAAGTTCCTTGCTACATGACGAAAGGCACTTCTAAAATTTGGATAATATATTTTCACGGAAATTCTCAAGATTTGTATATAGACTGATTAAAAGAATAGATATGGAGCATCTTAATTTATGTAATAATTAAAAGGTGCCACTGAAAAAGATTTCAATATATTAGCAATAGAATATCCTAACTATGGCCTATATAAGGATGCAGAGCCTACTGAAGAAAATATTTAGTAAGATGCACTTGCTGCTTACGAGTATATCGAGAACACATAAGAAAATGCAGAGATTTATTTGATGGGCAGGTAGAATTATTGGAAATATTAGGTCCATGGGTACAGGTCCTGCTTGCTATTTGGCTAATCTCAATAAAGGAAAAGGTTTAATATTAATATCAGCATATGCTTCATTCAGCAAAATAGCTCATGAATATGCGGGTATTTTTGGAGCCCTAGTAAAAGATAGATTTTAGAATGTGAATTATGCAAAAAACATAACAATTCCTACACTCTTAATTCATGGCCTAGCTGACGATATCATTAAGTATACTTAAACAATTGAAATATATGATAAGTATAATTTATTGTAGACTAGTTTACGCTCAATTGTAAAGCCAATATATTTGAATCAGGACATGACTCATACTAAATACGATATGATCAAAGACATAAGCGAACCCTTAGAAGATTTCTTTAATTTAGTAACAAATAAATGATCTAATATTATAATTTTATTTTATGAGTTTGAAAAGGTAGGATGGCAGGAAACTCTAATAAATGAGAAATATCGAGTTTAAACTTGCCATTGATCTCTCTGTTGACGGGTCTTGCTTATATAAATAAGGACTCACTGAAGTCATTTGTTTAGTCTAGGGACCAAGAGCTGTAAATTATGATTTTATATCAGAAAACATAATCAGAGTTATTGCTAATTGAGTACTCTGTTTCACCATTCAGCAACATAGAATCGAAAAGAAGTTCTAAATTTGATAAGGATTACTCAATGTTTGCTGAAAACCTTAAAGAATCCTTTGAAAATCTCATCATCTTGGATGAAAATGGGAAATCAGAAATCTCAATTTCAGTTTGTGTCATCTAAAATGATGGAAGTTCTAAAAGTGCTGTTTTCAATGCAATCACTTTGGCATTATTGGATGCTGGTGTTTCTATGAAGGACTTTCTTGTCTCAGTCACAGTAGGTCTGGACCAAGGCAATTTAATTGTAGATCTGACATAAGAAGAAAGTAAAACAGCTCAAGGGGAACTTACTATATCGTATCAATCGAGAAAATAGAAAATCGACTTCTATGAATTAAAAACACTAAAATTACAATAGCAGGAAATGGATTAATTAAGTAAACTGGCTGTATAAAAAGCAGATGAAATCTATCAGTGGATGAAGGAAGAAATTTATTAAATCAAACAAAAATAGATAGATTAATGAATAATTGTGTATTTGATATAATTAAATATAATTATTATGCAATAAGCAATCCCCAGTTTAACTCCTGAAATCAAACAAAGACTTGAGGAATAGGGATTTTAACCATTCTAATATAGACCATTACCTGGTTATGCAAATCCACATACTCTCTCATGTACAAACCTCATTTTTAATAAGATTGGCTAACAAATGCTGGCCTTGGTGCTCTTTGTCTAATTGGAAGACATTATGCTTCCCAATAATAATCAGTCAGAATTTTATGGTCTACAGCTGCGGTTGCAATTCCTCTTTATGCCATAGCCACCAATGCAAAATTAGACGGCTTAAGATAAAATAATTTTTACAGGTTTTATAAATCATACATTTCTTAGAAAAACTTTAGAAGATAGACTTGAATTACATCCATTGACTAGAAGGGCTTGGGAGAGAGCTTAAGAAACTAATAAAGGATATTAAGATTAATTAAGGGAGCAAATAGCTACTTTAGAGGCTGAATTGAGAAAATGATAAATCAAAGCAAATAAAATAATATTATTAATAATATCCATAAACTTTAAATTATCATCAACTAATATTGAAATTCCTTCATTCAATTAAAACATCTCCTTAATTTTAAATAATTTACTAACCTTAATAGTATAATTTCAATTATCCAAGTTTTAAATATAATATAATCATAATCACACAAATGGACCATTAAACTAATTACAGTTCTTATTAGTACTCATATCGTTCTATTTAAAATTATCATTCCTTATTGATACCCAATTTTTCATTGATTTAATTAAAATTGATTCAATTTCACTATAAGTATGTCAAGATGGCATTATTATCTAAACTTTTTACAATGTTATGTAACCTCTAAATTGAATTCTCATTTTTTCTGATTAAATTCAATAGAGAGCTTTAATTTGATATAAAATAATATTAACCATAAAAACTGAGAAAAATCCTTAAATGTTCTAAACAATACACAAGCTGCTGCCAAATTTATACCATAATCATGAGTACATTCCCGCAAAATTAGAAATTGATAAATTGACATAGTTGGAAGCAGTATTTTGACAATCTAATGACTAGTGTATGAAGGAATTAAAAATTATTCAAACAAATTAAGAAATTTATGCCAAATAAATTATACGTCGATAATCAATAGAAAGATATAAGTAAAAAAAACGATTTGGAAATGCGTTTAAGATATATTAGATACGCAAAGTTATTGCAGAGAGGAGATTAAGAATTAATGGGTAATTTTTAACTTAAAGTGAATCTGAGAAGGTTTTGTTAGCTAGGAACATTCTGGGAAAAAACAAAGTTCAAATAAAAAACAATAATGTGAAAATCAAAATTTCGAATGAAAGGCGAAAGGAAAACCTTATAAAATTTATTGATAAATTAATGCCTAATTAAATTTTATAGAAAATATAGAATAAATAAAGAATATTCAAAATTAAATGAGTTTCTATTTTTTCATAACTAAAATTAACAAACTATAATCCTTCACTATAAAAAATTTATACTTATTAATCACTTTTTTCCATAAATTAAATTTAAAATAAGGCTAGTTATTCATTTCGTATTTTAGAGCCTTTAATACAATAATATATGGAAATTAAATATCTCAAAAATTAAATTTCAATTGCCTTTAATTATCATTATTAGAAGATGATCTTATTTTAATGCTCTAAGATAGAAGATCTTGAAATATTTAGACGAATCACTCTATGATTTCGGAGTAAATGTTAAACAATTCAGCGCTTTGAATAAACTATTAAATATATGTTAATTTATATAATTTCTTCAATATTGAAAATACTAAAATGAAGTGTTGAGTATTTCAATTAAAGAAATTTTTATTATTAAAAAATCTTATACTATAATGAAGAATTTTAAATATTAATTATAAATATTTAATCTCAAAACCATTTACCTTTTATTTTGTATATTTGATAAATTTTTCTTTTAAGACCTTGATTTCAAAAATTCTAGAGCTAAACTCATTAATAATTTCAAACACCATTAAAAATAAAATCAGCAGGTAATTATCGACCAAAAAATTTAGAAATTGTTGTATTCGAATTTCAGAAAAGGTTTATGCCTTGAATTTAATCAAAAATTCCTAAAAGCCCATTATGTAGTTTCCTTTAATTCTAATTTCTAATTCATCATTTATAGTATTATATTATGCTTCATATTGATAGAACACATACTTTTTTCCATAGAAATTACTTGAAATTTTTAAATCATCTCAGCATTTTAGTTAAATTAATAAATACCAATGTTTTACGCTTTTTTATCATTAATTGATTAGAAAGTACAGTAAATTAAATTTCCAAGTTTATTTAAAATTAAGACTGCTATTGACGTTGAAAAATTTGGTTAATATTCTTTAGTTATTTAATTTATCATTTTTAAATTCTTAATGGATAGAAAAAGGTAGTGATATTTTTCTTCATCCAATCAATAGATAGTATTGTAAATTCCACCTCCAGCTACTTAATATTCTCTTTAAATTTTTGGAAAAACATAGTAATTACAAATTATACTAGTTGTATTTCCTCCATTTGTTCCTTTAATAATCAAAATTTACGATATTTGAAGAATTAAAACCAGGTTTACTCTGAGCTAAATATTTAGATGCCCTTTTAAAGCTCATCTGCAAAACTAGAATTAAAGTAGATAACATATATAATTATAAAGGCCTAAATTTATTGAATCAAAAACAACATTGACAGAAATTTATATATATCGAAAGATCAGTGTTATAGGGCAGCATCTATTTGTTGATCATAAAGGAATGAATTTAAAAATGAAAATTGATTAAATATATATTATTCTAATTCTAATGAATTAGATACTAATTTTATATGATTGTCGAATATAAAATCTATGAATTATGCTATTAAGACTTTTTAAAAAAAGTTTTAACTTAAGTATATATTTTTTATTTGAAATATAAAATACTAATTTCATTTCATTTTATAGGTGAAAGTATAGAAGATAGACTGAATTTATATTTTTTTTATCCTTTCTTTTCTTTCACTTAAAAAATTTGACATTTTATTATAAATTCGACTTATTTATTTAATAATTGGCCCAAATATACTAATAAGCAAAATTCCAATTAAAAAAAAGCCAATGAATAGTTTTGTTTGTTGATTAAAATACTATAAAAAGTCCGAGCAAAATGCTGCGTTCATGAAAGTAAACAGCATTATTGGAAATTCATTCAAAAGGATTAATATAAATTCGAACTTTGAATTTGCTAATGAAAAAAACCATATGACTTAAATAAATAGTAATTAGCAAAAGGATAATAAAAAACACTGAAGCAGAGGTTCGACTTAAATCTTGATTAAAATTAATAGAAATAAAAACTTTTTTAACAATATAATCGACTCAAGCTATTATTCCTTAAAATTTTTAATTCCTCCTAGTTTACTCATTCTTTAAAATGGTATAATTAAACTTTTTATCACTACAACAAAAAGCATCAAACAAATTCCAAATGATATTTTTGATCTCAAGTTAAGTAATACATTTGAGTCTAAAAAAAGTAGTGTTTTGAAAATTAGGTCAAAACTATTGCTTTGAAAAAAAAAAATGAATTCTTAACTTAATTTCTTCTAAGTTAATTTATGGATTCTTCTGTTTAAATAATACAATTTAATTGCAATATAAGTTACGATTTTGCAATTTATTATTCTAATATTATACAAGTACCTAGCTGTACATTTAGTATTCTTTGTTAAAAAAATATAAAACATAAGTAACAAATAGCAAAAGAAAATTACTAAAATTTAGACTACCTATCCATAAATATTGCTCAATAAATCGGCATTGAGTTGATATTCATAAAATTTGCCTTTACTTTGAATATTGTCTTAATAAATAAATAAATTTAATGTTTCTTCTATTCTAAAATTTATCAGAATATTTTGTATTTGTACAAAATCTGATGACTAAAAATAAATATATAAATTTTAAGGAAATTCTACATTTATGAACCTAAGGTAAGATTGATATTATAGGATATCAAGAATTTCTAAAAATGATGCTAATTATCCAAATAGTAAACATAATACTCCAAATCCAGATAGTCCCATCATGATTCTCTATCCAACAACCTTAAGTCTTTATGTATTTTGCATTTGCACAACATCCATAACTTAAGGAATTTTGAGTTCAGTATCAGAAGAACTTGGAGGAACTAGGATATTATTCTCATCCAATAATATAGTAGTTAAAGAGACTGTCAGCGTAGTTTTATTTTCTATCTATTCAAGAAAAGTAAGTTTAATAATATAGTTAATATCTCTTACTAATTCAAAAATGATTTCGGTTACAGGTTCTATACTTAGATTATATTAATCTGAATCCAAATCTTTAATAAATACAGAAGCCTAATCAATGAAAGTTTGATTAGACTGATTCAACCGAACTTTTTTTGTATATGTGAAACTTAGATATTAAGTATTATATGTTTGGTTAAGGAAATTTAGAGATAACTAGGTTATTTTATAACATTGACTAAATTGTTCGTTAGGAATATTGCAATCCCAACCTTATTCAATATTGCAGTGTTCTGAACATCCATCATTATTTATAGTATTTCCATCATCACAAAATTCATCTTCCTATATTATTCCATTACCACATTGAACACATTATTCATTCTAAAGTGTTGAGATGTTATCACAATATTAACACTTCCCTTCTAAACAAAATAGGCATCCCTAACTGCAAATTTAATCTATTTATTATATGATTATTGTAGTATCATTTGTTATCGGTTCTTCTGGTTTTTAGTACTCAATGCATTTTCCTTTTATACATGTTTAACAATTAATTTCACACTGAAATTAGCATTCATGGCAACCATCATTAGAAATTTGATTTCCATCATCACAATCCTCCAATCCTTCAACTATATATAAATCTCCACATATGGGTCTACATCCTTTTTTTATAAGTTCAAAGTGATTCTAACAATATTAACACTCATTTTGATCGATACAATAAAGACAATATGGACTGCATTCAAATTAACATAAAAAACAACCATCTCCATCTATTTAATTACCGTCATCACATTATTCATTTGACTAAATTGCTATTAAACCATCTCCGCATATTTGTTAACAAGTATTATTGATTAATTACCAACCTTCAGGACAAATTAAGCATATTCCATTGACACAATTTAAACATTCTAATTAGCAACTTTATTAACATTTATAACATCCATCTTATTGCAGGTTGTTTGAATCGTCACAAATCTCTAAATTTTAAATAATTCCATCACCACATTTTGGAACACATTATCTATGATTTATGCTCAATTCATAACCAATTTCACATTCTAAACAAATTTCCTAAGCATTCTAATTACATTATTCAATATAATTTTTATTTATTTAATTCACTAAATAAATTACATTGTCTCTGACAGTTTAATAAATTTTCTGCCCAACAAATTATTCAATAAAAACCTTTTAATAAATTAGTTCTTAAACTAAAGTATTTCTTTATAAATAGCAACCAAAATTTTCAACAAATCTATCACCTTCAAAATCATAGCAAGCCATTACACATTTGTCATTTTATAAAATAAGGATTGGTTTGCAGTCTTGAAGCACCTAGATGGAATGAAATGCTTACATTTTATAATTGTTATTAATTTGATTGGCCATATTAAAGGCATAATCCAAATTAGCATATTTCACAATCTAAAGGACATGAAAATTTGCAATTGTGGCATCCGTCATAAGCAATTTAATTTCCATCATCACATTCCTCGTATGATTTCAAAATAAGATCTCCACAGATTGGCCTGCAGCTCTTGTTAGCATAATACCATCCATTTTAACAGTTAATACAAACTCCTTTTATACAATTCATACAACCCTCAACACAATCATAATTGAATGAAAAGCACCCATCAAAAGCGTACATATTTCTATCATCACAAATATTGACGGTAGAAATTGATATAACGAAAAGTTGAAATTCTCGAATCCCAATCCATGGAGCCCAAGGGGTATAAACTGAATCTGTTGAGGCCACTACTATTGTGATTTTAATTGAAGGATTGGAATGATAATATTTGATAATATTATGTGTAATGATACCAGTATCCATCATAAGTTGTATCAGTATGAATATAATTTACCCATTACTATTAATATGACCATTATTGTACAACAATGTCATCTATTTTAAGAGTGATGCTTGTTTAGTTAGAATTGAAAATCATAACTTTTAATTTCAAACTAATAGCAACATGGTTTGGTAAAGTAATTTATTTTTCAAATGATAATCCCTACGATTAATGGTAGTAGAGGTCTATTTTATTTGTTTAATTTACCATGGCAAAAATCTACACGGTTGGAAGCTGTTCCTTAATATTCCCATTAATCTGAAATATTTATGGAAAAAAACTAAGTTGAAGTGAATGATTGCATAAACAGCTTCTAAACCAACAAAGTATTAAGATCAAAAAATGAAATTTCGGTTATGGCTTCTTCTATGTTTAAGATAAATTCTGAAATGCCCCATTTTCCATTTTAGCCAAGCATTACTATTTACATAGAAGGGCGATCGTGCACAATAGTCTTTGATATGAATGTAACTTCGTCATTTTGTGAATCACCGCAACTATTTATTGCATTTGACGAACAAGATAAAATTTCATTATAGATGATTTCATTATCTATATAAATTAGAAAAGTATTGCTATTCCAGTTATCAATTCTATATTTATTAATATTATTACTTCCAAAGTTTCAACTCAATCGAAAGTTGATCATGAGAATCTAAACCAAATGATTTATGAACTAAAACATTATATTGCGTGGCCATATTGTCAATAAATAAAATTCTTGAACTTCCACAAGACGTAATATCATATTGATAATTTAAATCTTTATTTATCTTCTTCCAATCTATTATTTTTCTAATATACTACCATTATTTTAGATGAGTGGGTTGCTAAAAAAATTCCTATACACCATTTTTGTCTAATTTCCATTGCTTATCATTAGACACAGGATCACTAATTTCAGTAATAGTATTCCCTTTTAAGATCTTATTAAACTACAATTCACAAGGGAAGCCATCATGTAGTCAAAAATTCCAATTTTATTGTTTTACATATTCATTTAAACCTACTTAAAAATATCTTTAAATCAATAATTTAATTTCTAAGAAAGGATAAGCATTAAGTTAAGATTACATAAATTAAAATAATATACTCTCTTTATAAGTGGTAAACATACTTCTACAAACTATAATTTTATTGTTTAAATCTTTAAAATAAAATATAAAAAATGAAAAATAAATTAAATTAGATGAAGATTTTTTTTATTATTAATCTATTAAAGTAATCTAATCGATCAAGAAATTTATATAAAATGGAGAATTAAGTAATTTTATTGCTTAGTTATGAATTATCTAGTTTGTCTTAAAAAAAATCTTATTTCAAAATTCTTATCTGTTCTTTGATTTTCTAAAGAGATAATAAATTGGGTACTCTAATTTATGATATAATCAATGATTATTACTAATCATATTATTATTAGCGGAATCTTGCTGTTAATCTTATACATACATTTATGAACTCCATATATATAAAAATTATCCATGACTAAATAACTCATAAAGTTTAAACTTACTTTTCAATGAACAATCTAACGAGTATGTGTTTTAATATACTAAAATAAACCTTTGAGAATAATTTGGGATTTGTTTATAGATGACTAGAAAATGTTTATTTTGGTGGCTAATTGTGTCATGATATTTTGATTCTTAATAATAAAATTCAAATTTTTAACATAAAATAAAGATGAAAGTGATTCAAAATCCAACTCAATATTTTTTTGAACAATCTAATAATCCATCAGATGAATATCTCAATAAGATTGATGCCTTCATCGGAAAATTGATTAATCAAAAATAGTGTCTATTATGCAAATAGGATTATAACATCAAAGATAGATTACCTAGAATACTTATTCATTGTGGGCATACTATTTGTACATAATGTCTAGGTAATTTTTATAGGTTAGTTTTATTTTATTTATGAGTAGAAACAGAAGAGTTCGATGTCCACTCTGTTTGAAATTAGTTAAACATCTTGATTCAATAGATAGATTACCTGTATCAATTTAGTATTACATTTAGATTAATCATACAATCTTTACAAAGATGGCTGAAGAGATTAATAAAAAGAGTAGATTTCATGGAGGCACTGACGTGATAGATCCACAATAATATTTATTCACTCAATTTCAATAATCGGCAGTCTAAGCATAGAAAATAAGACAACAACAATAGAACCAATACCCTTAGATTGATCCTGATTCAGGACTTGAATATTGTGAATTTCATAATGATAGGGTAAAACATTTCTTTTGCATGAAACATAAAGTCACTTGTTGCAGAGCCTGTTCTGAAATGATTCATTAAAAGAAAGTAATCATTATTTGAATCTCGAAGGATTGCATTGTTGTAGATCTTTATGAAATTGAGGATGTTCCAGCCTTCTTGAATGAAGCCTACAAATTAAATCAAGAAAAAAATTGTGAAAATCAAAATATTGAATTTTTACCAGGTATTCTTTTCTTTTGATTAGATGATGATAATAATGTTAATGATGATTATTTAGAGGGTGAGTTTGCTCAAAATGAAAGTCTATAAAGCATATGAATATAATTAACTATAAATTTATCATGGATACTAAAATTAAGGACCTAAGCATTTTTATTAAACAGNGAATCTTGCTGTTAATCTTATACATACATTTATGAACTCCATATATATAAAAATTATCCATGACTAAATAACTCATAAAGTTTAAACTTACTTTTCAATGAACAATCTAACGAGTATGTGTTTTAATATACTAAAATAAACCTTTGAGAATAATTTGGGATTTGTTTATAGATGACTAGAAAATGTTTATTTTGGTGGCTAATTGTGTCATGATATTTTGATTCTTAATAATAAAATTCAAATTTTTAACATAAAATAAAGATGAAAGTGATTCAAAATCCAACTCAATATTTTTTTGAACAATCTAATAATCCATCAGATGAATATCTCAATAAGATTGATGCCTTCATCGGAAAATTGATTAATCAAAAATAGTGTCTATTATGCAAATAGGATTATAACATCAAAGATAGATTACCTAGAATACTTATTCATTGTGGGCATACTATTTGTACATAATGTCTAGGTAATTTTTATAGGTTAGTTTTATTTTATTTATGAGTAGAAACAGAAGAGTTCGATGTCCACTCTGTTTGAAATTAGTTAAACATCTTGATTCAATAGATAGATTACCTGTATCAATTTAGTATTACATTTAGATTAATCATACAATCTTTACAAAGATGGCTGAAGAGATTAATAAAAAGAGTAGATTTCATGGAGGCACTGACGTGATAGATCCACAATAATATTTATTCACTCAATTTCAATAATCGGCAGTCTAAGCATAGAAAATAAGACAACAACAATAGAACCAATACCCTTAGATTGATCCTGATTCAGGACTTGAATATTGTGAATTTCATAATGATAGGGTAAAACATTTCTTTTGCATGAAACATAAAGTCACTTGTTGCAGAGCCTGTTCTGAAATGATTCATTAAAAGAAAGTAATCATTATTTGAATCTCGAAGGATTGCATTGTTGTAGATCTTTATGAAATTGAGGATGTTCCAGCCTTCTTGAATGAAGCCTACAAATTAAATCAAGAAAAAAATTGTGAAAATCAAAATATTGAATTTTTACCAGGTATTCTTTTCTTTTGATTAGATGATGATAATAATGTTAATGATGATTATTTAGAGGGTGAGTTTGCTCAAAATGAAAGTCTATAAAGCATATGAATATAATTAACTATAAATTTATCATGGATACTAAAATTAAGGACCTAAGCATTTTTATTAAACAGTATTTATAACTTCTTGTGCTATATGTTATACATAAATGCCATCTTATTTTATTGTTTTTTAGATTTCTAATTCTATTTAACCAACAACTTATTGCTTATAAAAAACATCTGTCTTAAGAACACACCCTAACAAGTCTTTGCTAGTTAGAGTTGTTTCGGCTATTAATTCTGGCTCATCTCTTGAATTAAACTAGTAGTATATATAAATTTATACATCTAGTATTTATAACTTGACATTCTCTCCAATATCAACTTCAATTAATTCTGTGTCATTCCAAACAGGTCTCTTTTCAGCAGCTTTACTAATTGATGAACGATATTCTTATTTTTAGGTGATTATTTTTACAAATGGATTCTAAAAATCACAAATATAAATTGTACCATTTTGCTAAAAAGTTTTGTAGATCTAGATAGATTAGCACTTCTTATTACAATTTTTCTTTTTTTCTCATCCATTTAAATGTTGTTTATATATTTAATAATATATTAATTAATTTCTTATTCCTAACTTTTCAAAAATTTATTCATCTTCGATATCAAAAATCTCTCAGTATGTTTTAACATTCCTTTCATTTTTTTTGCCCCCCTTATTTCTATCAATCCCATAAAACTATAAGAAAATAGATTTTTTTTCTATTTTAGGTTGAATAAGTTCTCCCATAACATGAATAAATTTTATTTATTTCATATAATGTTCTAGAATAGTTTGAATAACTATTGGTTATTAAAATTGAATTTTTACTCAGCTTCTGCAGAAGGATGTAGTTTAACAAAGAAAGTCATTTTTATAGAGCCTTCAACTTCACTTCTTAATTAAAAATAGTTCTTAATAAATCGTGAATCAGAATTTATTGATCTTAAAAAGGTATTTAAATATATTTATATCGTTAATATTTTATATAATTGTCATTTGACAGTGGTTGTAGGGACTCCATCTCCCAAAGCTTTAACCTTTTCCAATAATGAATCATCTACAACAGTACCATCTACATTTTTTAAGGTATTTATCCTTTTGAGAACAAGCAATTTAGGGTCATCTTTCTAACCATCATAAATAGGGTTTCCTTTTGAATAAATTGATAGAATTACCTACAAAGAGTACATTGGCTATTTCTGGGAGATCTTTCAATTTGTCAACTTCATCCCAGGCCTTGATTCTGTTATTACCAATATAAAGTGTATGTAATTTTACGCATGGTTGTAGACCATCAAGTCTTTCAATGTAATTATAACTTAACCAAAGTTCTTTTAAAGTTTATCCTATTTCTTCTAATCCTGCTATTTTCTTTATATTGTTTCTTGATAGCGACAGTATTTCTATTTGCCTTAAACCAGGCAGATTGACCATTTTTTCTATTGCATTTGATGAAAGGGACAAGCGTTTTACTTTAGCCAAAGTATTTAAAACCGGAGGATCTAATTTGTCAAGTGGTGGATTTTAGAATATCAATCTAATATCTTCTGCTTCAGATGGTTGTTCACCTGGATGTTCTTGTTCCCAGTTTTAAAGAGCTTTTGCACAAGTTGTCTTTGCCATTTGATAATTTATATAAAATTTATTATTAATTTTGAAGTTCAAAAATTCTGTTTAAATAGGCTAATAGTATGTGCTTAAAAGATACTCATGGAACAATTTAATCTTTGGAATTGAAAACTGAAGTTGAAGCTTTTCTATTATCACAGTATTAATTCCATTTTATTCTTAGAATATAAGTTGAACGTCAATGTAGATGATAATTTAAATTCAACAACAAGACATACTGTTATTGATTTGGATATCAATATAGTGTAGATTCAACAATAAATACAACTTATTTTATTATGAATAACACCCATGGTTAGAGCGAGTTTCGAACTTTGGGTATAGTTAATTTTAAAAAGTTTGGTAGTTAATAATGAATATATATAAATCTGTATTATAACTAAATTGTGTTCATGGAGGGGAAGGAATACTTTGATTGTCTAAGTGTAAATATTATTGATTAATATAAATTACTAAAGAATTCATTATTTTATTTATTAAATAACACTCTTTTTTGGAGTGAAGAATTTAGAGGAAGGTATGGTTTCATTGCAAGAATATCTCTTAATATTATTCATTATACTTTTATATTTTATCAATTCCTTAATATTACTTTAGGAATGAGCGAAGAAAATTAATTGAATGATGATAAAAACTAAAACAGAAATAATCTTGAGAAAATAATAAAGTTAGATAAAAAGAATGGGAATTTTGATATTTATGATAAGTATTCGAAGTATATTCAATTTTCATAACAAATAGACGGAAACTGAAAATTAGAACCTCTTAGAATAATTCACACATCAACAGTTCATACTAAAATGAATACATTTTATGTTATTTTTGGAGACACATCAATTAAGTATACTTCAAGAAAATTGATGAACCAGAATAAGAAAGACTTGAATATCTCAAGGCCATAAATGAAGACGTCTTACATACTGAATTTCCTGTGAAATATACAGATTATAAGTTTTATTAAGCAAGACAAATCCTAAATAAGTAGTAATTTAAATCGGAAAATTCTACTTATAATGAAAATATTTTAAAGCATATTAGATTAAGTGGACTTATTCACAAAGCCAAAGATTTGAAAATACCTCAGATTGATAAAATATATTATATGAAATAGAAATCCATGGTCAAATTTAAATAATAATAAAACATTAGGTATTAATTTATTAATAAAAGTTCGTTAATTTAAGAAAATGCTTAATTAGACAAACTATTAGATATGTTGAATGAATAAATAGAATTAAGAACTGATTAAAAGGATGAAATATTTCAATAGCTTTAAGAGTACTCTTCAGAATTATAGCTAATCAACAAATAAAATAAAAAAGATTTATAAAATTTAAATTAAAAAATTAAGTCCGACTAACCATTAAACGTCTTTGGCACTTAGGTTCATATTTATAAATAAGCACGTAATAACAATGGGCTAAGTAAAAGCCAAATTATTTACAACAACGAAGCTTTGCTCGTTTATCTAAGGAAGAGCTTAGAACAATTGGATTATAGATAAGCTGCTGAATCCATTGTTAAAGTGATTGGTTCGACTCATTCAGCTAATGGGTTCACATTTTGCGTTGCATTTGAATAAGCCTTAAACTCAAATCATGTGAATATTGAGGAAGACATAATGTATGAACTGGATAAATTAAGAGATACATCATTATTTAAGTTTTACAATATTCCTCAAAAAACTAAGTATTCTCACATAGCTTAAAATGTAATCACAATAATTTATTAAAGTTCATTGGCATTAACTAAGTATCACATAATAGATAGAAACATAATCCTTTAATAAATAAAAACCTTACAAAAGAGTTTAAAATAACATCTTAAAATGAGAATGATTCCAATTTATCTCGTTATGAAGCATGTCATCATTGCAAAATGCTATTTAGGGAAGAATACTTAATATCTTGTAATTATCGAAGCGGAACTATGGGATTGCCAATCATAAATTCATCAATAACTGATTCTTATATATTTTCATAGAGTACAATTACGATAATAATTTAAGTTGATGATGAAGGGATAGCAAACCGAAGATAAGTACCCAACAGAAAGAAAACAGCCTATAGTATTTATTCAAAGAAAAGTATCAATCTATTAAACAATTAGATGGTGAATTAATTTGTCAAAGGAAGTTCTGTAGAATGTGCTTGAAGTAGAACTATGATATTAAAATTGAAGAGGTTGCATAGAAGACGGATTGGGTATGTCCCTTTTGTTAAGTATATCCCAATAATCAAATAAATAGGCCATTTGTTTTTGTTCGAGATGCCAAAGGAATGATATAATGATCAAGTTGAAAGATTTGTTTACAATTTGTGGTGGAGATCTCGAGTAATTAACCAAAGATTCAATTTTTGAGAAATATGTTAGACCTTTGACTGAAGAGTAAATATATAAAAGGAAGCCAAGCTAATTATAAGTAGATTCTCTTTTTATCTTTTAGAGAACTGGTTAATCAATAGTCAAATAACAATTAAGCAACTTTAGAGATATGTAAACTATAAGGCTTGATTTTGAAAATCTAAGATTGTTGTGCTCTTAGATATTGAGGAGAGAGAAAATGAAATGGAAAATATTAGAATAAGATATTCTTATGTGGAACGATTACATCAAATCAAATTAAAGCAAGAATCATAAGAAAATTCAAAAGAATAGCAAACTGTAATCGAAAACTAAGTAAATCACAAAGAAAATTTAAAAGTATATACTATTTCATATCAAAAAAAGGTAGGAGATTGATTAAGAATTTTCATCATCACCCTATTCTAGCAGTAGCGAGTATTTATAAAGCAGCGAATATGAATCTGGAGAAAATCTAAACTAAATTGAGAAGGAGCAATAGATAACTAAATCGAAATAGAAAATGAATATAAAATCTAATTCAAAATAGAAAAAATAGAAATAACAATCAATAAATTAGATATTATAGAATTATAAGTCTTTTCCAGCTAAAAATCTCAAGAGAGAAGTTGCCTATCTTTTATAATTTCAAGATACTGATACTTACAGTTTAATTCTTAAAAAAATCAAATAGGATCAAACAAAGAACCCAACCAGGAGATGATAATCAAATTATTAGTATATAATAATAATAATAGTTATGAATTATCAATCAACAAAGTAGACATGACTATTAAGCGTTCAATGTACATTGTATGCAGACATAGTGTCTATTGCATCTAGCCTTAACTTGGGCATCTTATAATGTCATTAGACATTGAGAACATAAATTATTGTTGTTTTTCATATCATCCTGAGTAAAGTGTTTTTCACCGCATTAATACTCGATAATGTTTCTTAATTAAATAAATTAAGATTCCAAATAATTAGGTTGATTAGAACCAGTAAATTTAGGAGGCCAATTCGGATCCATTAATAAAGTGGCTGCATTTGGTTCAGCATCTTAGATTTTAGGCTATTTCTTCTCTCTCTCTGCTGATGAAGGTCTGAACTTTTAAGTTTGATTTTTCAAAGTGATCAATCTTCTAATTAATTTTGCATTGCATCCCAATACTGGACAGACTATGGAGTACTTATTTCTAAAATAAATCTTTAGACAATGTTCACAATATCTATGTCTACAAAATATATTGTTGGCTAAATCTACTTTTGCTATCAAACAAACAGAGCAGGCCTTTAATGTTATTTATATATCCAATTCTCCATATTGCACTTCACCAGAATAATTGATGAATCCATATTATTAATACTCTTCTGTAATGTAGACTAATTCTTTAGATCCTCTTCCAACTTCTTTTGGATAATAATTTTTTTTATAATTCATTTTTACAAATCTAAATCCTGCTTTCACTATTAACATCTTCTTACCGAGTTGTTTATAAGCTAATGCAAACCCCTCCAAACAAATTGATGTTTTCTTATAAAATATAGACATTGCCATATGAGGACTTAGACCTGCTTTTAATTTGAATATCAAACATCTTAATTAATATACGGTATGACGAAAATAATATATCTTAAGAGTTTCTTTTTGGTGAAATGGATTTTTTTCTAAATATTCATAAATCTCAGTCAACATTAAAATTTACTTCCATATTGCTAATTGTTCAATTAACAATAAGAATTTGGCTGACTTAGGATTTTTGAATACTCTCAAGTAGCCTTTGCTAAAATTATATTCAAGGGATAATTTAGTCACTGGCACTATCGAATATACACTGAGTACCATTCTTTTTCTGTTATTATTTTAATTAATGTCCAAAAAATAAACCAATGATAATGCAGATAGATATAAAGGTGATGCTGGCAATTTTCAATCTTTAGAAAGTGACGATGGTCCAGGACCAATGAAATGTAATCATCAAAATCTAATTTCTAGCTATTGAAGGTTGGATTGTCATTGTAAAAGGCATACATGAAGAAGCTCAAGAAGATGATGTATTTGATGCATTCAGTAAATATGGACCAATAAAAAATCTACATTTGAATCTAGACAGAAGAACTGGATTTGTCAAAGGGTACAATACCTAATAAAGTTTCTAGTTATGCATTAGTTGAATTTAATGAATACACTCATGCTTCTGATGCAATTAATGGGATCAATAAATCAGAGGGTATTTGTGGTAAAAAAGTTCAAGTTGATTGGGCATTTAAAAAGCCTCCAAAGAAAGGAGCATTAAAATAAACTAAAAAATAATGATTTAGAATTTATTTGGTTTTTAATAAATAAATAAAAAGGAGAAAAATTTTGATAAAATCAGTTTTTGCAAAATATTGATGTTTCCTTCAGTTCTTTATTAATTATCAATTGATTATTAAATATCATAGATATCTAAGTTAAAAATAATAATTGTTTTAATAAATATATATTTATATGGGTAGGTAATATTAAATTTAATAATAATTAAGATATTTGATTTATATTTTGAGTAAATGTAATTATATATCATTTATGATCGATGTACAATCACATTGATTCATTATCGTTTTCTAATAAATTACGGCCTAAAAAGGTAGTATAATCAATTTAAGTATTCTGTTTACTCTTCAACCTCCTTTTAAAGATAGGGTTCTTATGAATGATGTATTCTTCGTCTAAATCGAAAAGAGTTCTCCGCGAAGTATGTTTAGAACTTTGTTCTTAATCTAATTATTCAAAGGTGGGAGTGGAAGGAGTTTATGGACTGGACGGCAGATGGAGTGTACTATATGTTAAATTTTACATTGTATTTTTAATTAATAATATATATAGTTAATTTAAATTCAAATTATTGGAGAAACATAAAGGTATATTCCATCATCGATGATTATGAGGAGATCAAATCATTGTAATGAAAGACCTATCTTCCTTAATAGAAATTAAATTGGCAATTGAGACATTAATTTATATATCAAATTGTAAAACACCTAGAAATAACATTCAAATTTTAAAGATCTTGAGATAACTGTTTGTAGTTTTGATAAGAATCTATATGATGAGAAGATTATGAATTAATTATTTAAATAAGTCATCAGTCGAATGAGTTTAAATCATTTTGGTTAATTATTGATTAGGAATTTTTGGAAATAAAATTATGAAAAGAATATTTATCTATTTTTAAAATACTATTTATTCCGAAATTAATTCGGATGATATAAATATTTAATACAAATAAATAAATCATCACCCAGAAATCCATATTTTATTTACAGGTTTATATTAATTAAATTTAAAATGAATATTTGATAATTGGATTATATTAATTATTTGACTTATTAAATTGATAAAAGGTTGAATAAATTAATAAAAGTAATTTTATTCCTTAAATAATATTAAAATAGTTACCTACTAGAATCATTTTGCAGGTAGGAAAAATTAAAAGTTTTTCTTAGGAGAACTCTCAAATTATCATATAAAGAATAACGCTTATGATTTGAATAACATTATTAGAGAATTAGAAAGACTACTTTGCTTAATTAGTTAAATGCTTAACTAAAAATTTTAAGATTAACTTCTCGGAAAAACTCTTCAAAAATATTGAATTCATGGGTTATTTTTATTATTTAACTTTGCATAGAGATTAATTAAGTATTACTTATAAGTTTTCTATAATGTAGGAGAATTCGACTTTTAGTGAAATGTAATGTATTTTCAGAATATTAATGGAATATTATAAATAGATAATGCATTCAATTAAAATATAATTAAGCGATGAACCTGAGCTGTCAGGAGTGTGCTAGGCTTTGTTATAAGCATTCACTGAGAATTCTCGAGTATTGCGACATTGTTCAGGAGGAGGCAATTAAACATAAACACAGAATAATTTTGGAGATCATTAATTAGAGTCTGATATCTAGTGTGAAGTGAATATCAATAGGGAATTATAGAAGTCTGGATTTGTGAGTCATAGTGCAAACGAAGAGAGTCCTGAAGTAAGAAGAATGATTATAGTGTAGATGAAACAACAATGTGAAGGAGGTAGATATATTGTGACATTTGATCCATTGGATGGAAGTTCAATAATTGGCACCAATTTTACAGTAGGTACCATAGCTGCCATTTGGAAATCAGATGATAGTCTATTGATAGGGAAGAGTGGAAGGGATATAGTATCTGCTTGTTGTTGTTTGTATGGGAGTAGAACAACTGTAATCATTTATAATCAAAAAGAAGATAAAGTTTAGGAATACACGTTATTTGGTAATAATAATTTAGTAAACATTTAGATAGTGATAAGCAAGGACATTGGGAATTGACAAAAGGAAACATACAAATAAAATAGAAGGGAAACATCTTTAGTCCTGGGAATCTGCGAAGTATCATTAATCACAATGCTTATCGAGAAGTGCTTGAGTATTATTTTCATAATGGATACACTTTGAGATATACAGGCGGAATGGCTCCAGATATCTGTTAAATATTCTTAAAAGAGATTGGGGTTTTTTCTCTTTTTGGGGATGCCAAAAACCCTTGCAAATTAAGATATTTATATGAATGTGCTCCATTAGCATTTTTAATCGAAAAGGCTGGTGGGAAATCATTCAATGGGGAGTCCTCTGTATTAGATACAGTGATTAATGGATATGAATAAAAGAGTGAAATAGCTGTCGGGAGTGCTGAGGATATTGAGTTCTTTAGATAAGTATGGAAAAAGCATGGATTATTGAAAAATTGATTGTGATGACTTAATTATATTGATAATGATTAAATTGTATGTATGATGGATACTCAGAAATATCATAAATCCTTTAAGAACTTCTCTTCATAAAGCTTAATGCTTTCTGCTATAATTTTGTATGCTTCATCTTTTCCTTTGAATTCCTCAACAACCACTTGTTTATGTTCAAGTTTCTTGTAATCTTCAAAGAATCTTTGGATTTCTAGAGTGGTATGCAAAGGAATATCTTTTAAATCATTAACTCCCTAAAAGGATGCGTCATTTTTGGCTACTGCAATTATCTTATCATCAATTTCTCCCTAATCAACCATGTGCATAACACCAATCACTCGAGCCTCAACTAAACACATTGGTTCTATTTCAACTTAACATAACACTAAAATATCCAAAGGATCTTTATCATCACAATAAGTTTATGGGATGAAACCATAATTGGCAGGATAATGAACAGATGAAAATAGGACTCTATCCAATTTCAATAGACCACTATCCTTATCCAATTCATATTTCGCTTTGCTGCCTTTTGTGATTTCAATGATAGCATTCACAACTCTATTGTTAAGGATATATTTACTTTGGACTATCATTGCCATAATGTACGTGATGCCATGGATTCTTAGCATATTTCTGGATTAAGTGGGTAGATTAATGATTCATCAATATATTAATAATAAAATATTTTAGATAATCCTTCCCAAAATAGTATTGTATCATATATCCATAATTCAAGAGGAATATAATAAGATAAGCACTTCCTACCATGGCTGTTAGAAGTCATTACTCTGAATTCCTTATAATAATTGCAAGATGAATTGGAACAATAAGGTTATATATATCCCTATTTATTTTCATGAAAATTGAAATTCAGTCATTAAGCAATTATAATTAGATAAATTATATACTTAATTTAGTTTGATTTTGATGTTTAAAAGTTAGTAGAAGATAAATGTGATGCAGTAATAAATTGTTCCCTTATTTTAATAGTCCTTTGAAAATTTTTAAATTTAAGGTAAATGAATTTAAATGACTATCTTTAAAATTATATCAGTTTACTTTTTCATGGAAATCGAAGAACAACTATACTATATCAAAAAACAATACCAAAATTCATTCTTAAAATTCAATTCAACATTAATAGAAGACATTAATTAATCTATTTATGATACCGTAAATGATCAAAAAGATTGATGTTATATATGAAGTAACAGAGATTAAATCAGAGGAATAAATTAATATAAGTAAAAGTGATAAGAGGAATAAATGTAGCTTACAATTAGAAGAAAAAAAAGTGTAGAACGAATAATCAGGATATATGAAAGAAAAACAGGAGAAGATAATAAAAAAGAAGAGAATAGGGAGTTCAAAAGAAGAAATTGACACTCATATGCCAGTAATCTTCTATTAAATAAAACGTATCCTGAGTTACATTATTAGGTAAACTAGAACTGAATTGTCAAAATGAAACAGAAGAAGAAATTTAATTGAACCAAAGAACTAGACATTGATAAGCTCTGCCAAAGAAAATGATATGAAGTTATAGCAGATGTAGATTAAGGTTTTAGATAAATATAAAGCGGAGTTATCTTTACAGAATAGCAAACTGATGAAATATATACTAAAGTTAATGTCAAGGATAAATGGGGATATTATGAAATGAGAACCAACTGATGTATAAGAAGAAGATTTAAATAATGATGTTAATGATGAAAAATCAAGTAAGGTGAATATATTTTTAATAGCTAATAGGATTAAAAATAACTAGGATTCTTTGAGGGATTCAGATAAGCACTTAAAAGATGTCAGTTGATTAAGGTTTGACTAAATTCTTAGTGCTGAATAAGAAAATAATTTCAAATTCTAGGGAAGTGATGCATTACTTGGAGAGAAACATAGAGAACCTAAGAAAATTCTGGATAAAGTTTATGAGTATTTGTTTGGAATCTACTGAATCAAGGGTAGATTTAAATAGTATGTTAAAGGAATAATTAAATGATTGCTTATTTTAATATATAAATTCATCGATAAAATAATTGAGATATTTAATATTTAAATTATTAAACTAACTCCGACTAGCATAGAAAAAGTAATATCTCCTCCTTCTTCTCTCACATCCCTCTCATATATTACAAAGTGTTGATTTTTTTATTCTTAGTGAATCCGTCGAATGATGAATATGCTTGGAATTAACATTAATAGGATGGTAATAATTTTCTTTTTTGATTTATCTCCCTCTTTTAGATCTTCCTCGGAATCAATTCTTCACGCCTTCTATACCACCCGAGAAGAATATGGAGAAGAACAAAAATTGCAAATTGCACATTGGAAACCTCCCTCTGTAGATTACAGAAGAGACATTGCATCGTGTGTTCTCCAAATATGGTTAAATTAAAGAAGTTAAGATCATTCGCAAAAATAGTTAAGGGGTTTAGTTTTTTATATATATTTAAATAAGTAACCACTAAAAGATTACTGCTATGGGTTTGTTCTTATGTGCGATGGTGATGGAGCTTAAAATGCTGTCACAGAGTTGAAACAAAACAGTCCCTTGGGAACCACGTGGACAGTTGCTTTTAGTAAAGATAAAAATGATGTATGCTTCTACGTTTTTGTATTCTTTCTTAAGGATTCTGCTGGTGCCGGTCATTAGAAATCTGATAAGAAGAAGGATGACAAAGTGAAAAAGAAAGAGAAATCAAAGGAGAGATTAAAGAAGGATAAGTCTAAGCCAAAAAAGAAAGTTGTATTTGTTAATTAATAAAAGAAGAAGAAATCGGAATCATCGTCCTCATCTGATTCTTCAAGAGCAAGATCTGCTAAAAAATAAAAAAAATAAAAAAAGCGTAAACATTCTAGTTCATCTGAATCATCTTCTTCTAAATTGCCACCTAGAAGTGCTCTTGTTAAAGTTGAGAATAAGGACATTGCAGAGATAGTATTTTCAGGTGGCGATTTGTAGTCTCATCTAATTTATTAATAAGTATGTTAATGTCTAAAAAATAAAGTAGCCATAGTAGCAATATCAAATAACTCATCATGTGTATGTAAGAGAGTTGTTTATATCTGGAATACCTCAATCTAAGATTTCTGCTGACATACAAAGGATCTTTTCTGCATATGGCATAGTTGAGAGAATCGACATTGTTCCTAAGTAATTGGTCAATTATGCATATGTGAAATTCAAGAGACTAGAATCAGTCCTCTAAGCTATGCAAAACTCATCCTTGATAGCAGAACTATTGGAGAGTGCAGGCCAAGTCAAAATCTATTAGTCTGATCCATTTCGAAGAGTTCAGATTGTGGGCAATGCTGAAGATAGCGAACGAGTAATTTTACATAAAAATACATTAATAGGAAGAAGAAATGTGGCCAGTTATGTTCATTGGATTTCCTCCAAATTAAAATTACGTTTTGGATGAAAAGTTCTTGAAAAAAATGGCTGAGAAATTCGGAGGTGAAGTCAAAGGAATCCAACATTTCCAACCAGATTCTCCTTAATTGAGATCCTATGTCTTAATAGAGTTCTCCTTTCTAAAGGATTGTAAAAAAGCCAGAAGGAAATTCTGCAGATATAAAATACAGATCTTGGGTGATAAAAAGTGTGATGTGGCTATCTTATCCAACTATCCAGCTAATGTTTAAACCAAAAGATAAAATAATATGTTTATGCAATAACCATATGCAATGGGTAATACATTCATTTTATAATCAGATTATATGCAAGTTAATTAATAAATACCTATGCATCAATAGTTGGTATCTAGATAACTGCCATAATAAGTTTAGATGTTGGCTCCATTTCCAAATTAACCTCTACCTTAATAACATATAGCCCCTCCTAATTTACAAAATATATATGACTACAACCAAATGCCTATGTTATATCCTCAATAACAACAAAACTAATAGCAAATGATGTTCATGAAAAATCAATAACAATAACTTTAAATGCCTACCCAAACTTCTGTTTAACCTCAATTCAGACCACAACCTCAACCAGTTCCTCAAACTTAGTAGCCTCCTCCACAATTACAATATTACTAATAGCTAAATCCTTAAGCGTAGACTCAAAGTTATTTACCATAACAATACTCAATGGATCTCATCATACCTCCTCCAACTATGAAGCAAGACGAAATCAACTCACCATTCTGGTGTGGTTATATGAATAGAGGCAAATAGCATCGCGTTGGAATAGATGCAAGGATGCACAAAACTAACATGGATATCAAGAAGAGTATTATTGATTTCCTATTTAGTCAACTTGCCGTCTAATTTAGAGATGAGTTATAAATGCACTTATTAAGATGCCTATTAGAGAGCAGGATAAGAACAGTCAGCTATTTTAATATTTAGTCCTGCTCAAGAGACTGATGTTCCAAAATTCACTGAATATGTACAATACTTAAGAAATAAGGTATTAATTAATTGTAATTTAGTAACGTGCTGGTGTGATTCAAAGTGAAGCATTTACAATTTATGTTATTCCTCCAGGAGTATCAGAGGCATAACTAATTTGCAATATCAATTAATAAGAAATGATAGCTATTTATTGTCATAAGGAATAAAAGTGATCGATTTATTGATAAATTAAAAATAGAATATTCAAATCAAATGTTTTGTTTTTCTACTTTTTCAATTCTCTTCTTTAATTAATTTCTAATGCTTTTTTTTATTTAATTCTTTTCCTATGTTGCTCCTTTAACATCAATTATGTATAGGGTTATTGCATCAAGTATTAATTCTAATATCACTCCAAGTAAACAAGTTTCACTCATATTTTTAACCAAATATTTGGTAACCTTTCTTTCTTATTGCTCTTCCATACTAATTTTAGATCTCATAACTTCCTCAAATGTTTAATTAGTCTCAAACATCATATCATGACTTTCTGAAATACTTTAGATGAAATATTTCTTTACATTCCTTTCGAAATTCTTATCGTTATGAATATTTCTAAACCTAAACTCGTTCAATCCTACTTATTCTATTTCCATGATTCCTAAAGTAGCCTAGACTTGATCTCCAGCAGCAGAGATCAAATTTAATCTATAAAGACCACTAAAATCATATATCAATAGTTTACTATGTATTGAATTATTTCTTCATCTCTGCTAGTATTTGCTCCTCAGTTTCTGGTTATTCTGTCAGATAACTGTCGTTCAGCACCTAATCTATGTTTGGTCTTTTAGATGGAACAATATTAAGCATATTTTCTATAAGTCTTTTGAATTTTGGCTCGATTGTTATTTTTATTTTGCGGGCTTGCTCAACTGACTACACCGCATTAGCCCAAAATTTTTCGGGTTATGTTAGGAGTTCCACATAATCCGGATTATTCATATTTACATAGCGTTCCTATATATATGTAGAGTTAATACCGACCCAAATAGACATAATCCTGTTTTAAGATAAAGAAATGCACATCCCAGTGAAAAGATATCAGCCATTTTTGGACTATATTTCTGGCCAGTCTGCACTTCTGGTGGCATATAAGATTAAGTTCCATTAATTAAATTTGAATCAACATTGGCATCTACTACTAAACCAAAGTCAGTTAATTTGAGGAGAAAGTTTTCGTCTAAAAGCACGTTTTCAAGTTTTATGTCCATATGAGCGCAATTAAAACCATGCATTATTTTAACAGCTACATTGTTATTGATTTTTTACCCTTAGCCAGTTATATTATGTATCCTTAAGCTAATTTCTCTGGAAGAGGGTATTCGGTAAGAAAGTCTGATAAATTACCTATTAAATTCATTTTTCATAAAGTACCATTTTTAGCTAACTATAAAACTATATAGTGACTCACTTCAGTCGCATCCCACTCTGATAAAATTTCCCTAATAAGGGTAATGTATTTAAAATACTTAGATAAACTGATATATTTTAATTGGCTTCTAGAAGTAATGCCACTCTCTATCATATAATTTATTAGATCGAAAAATGACTTTTCATTCCTAAAAAACAAAGCCACAGGATGATTCTATTGTTCACTTAATTTAATCCGTGGAAATTCTTTGATTGCAACATATTCATTCTCAAGCCTTGACTTTGCTAACCAAACACTTAAATTGATTTATAGTATTACAAGGAATTGCGTCCCACTCCTAAATCTCTACTTATTATGTATCTCTTCAATATATCACTCATATTTTATTTATTCAATAATAGAGTTAAAAAAGAAATTTTTAATACTTATTGCAAGGAAATGGTTTTATAGAATGATAAAATTTAATAATAAAATTTAATCGTTAAATGGATTACTAACAAAATCAGTGTCAGCATATTGATCTTATTCCTTTTAATAATAAGTTCTTTTGTAAATCATGCGGAATTCATATGCCCGAAGATGGCAGTGTTGGAATCAAGGCTATCAACTTTTGTTTCCCAGGTTATCTGAACCCAATACAAAATCTTAAGAAATAATGGAATCGCGCAGTTCCAATAGGATCATTACCTAGTGAATATTAAAAAGTATTCATCACTTAAATTTGATAGCAACGCTTATCTCTAATAGATTACATGATAGAATGGAGTGAGAAACTAAAACTGTCAATGAATTCTTTATTTCTAGCAGTCCAATTTTTAGATTATTTTGTATCATAAAAGAAAGTGGATCCTGTTTAATACCGATTGTATGGTGCTACATGTCTTATGTTGGCAGGTATCCATGTCTTAATATCGTAGCCAAATCCATTGAATTAGATGAAAGAATCCCATTCATAAGTAAACTTAGAAGATATACCTATTTACCTTATGCAACTTTGGATTTCAGAAGATGCGAGTGTCAAATCATTAAGCAGTTGAATTGGAATCTGCAATGCACTACTTTAATTGATTGGGCTGAGGCGGTGATCTCTTTGGGAATAGTCTATCAATAGGATGAACTAACCCAATCAGAGAACATCTTGAAAGAGAAAAGCACAAACATTCTTTAGCAATAAAACAATCAACAGATCAAATAAGATATTTTCAAAGAACATTTGGATACTGTGTTTAAATAGCCTACTACAGCACCTAAGTAGATTAATGAGAAGGTTCAAGAATAGTTAATAAGATTATGTGTTTCAGTATTGAAGGATGGTTCTTATTTGGATAGGGATCCAGCAGAATTGACAGTTTCAGTTGTTGGTTGTGCTCGTAAAGCTAGTGGATTGAAAACATCAATGTAAATTATGAAAAATAAATTAGACCAAAATGCTTGTTCGAATTATTGGAAAATGTAGAGCCTAAGTTTTAAGAAAGTTTAACTGATCACTTTATAAAATAAGTAAAATAGCCAACAAGCGTCTTGGGACGAGCTTTTACAACAGATTTAGATTTTTTTAGTCTGTAAAATTACAAACATAGAATAATGTGAAATATAATAGTTAATTATAATACTACAATGTATAAAATCACTTTAATTCATCTATTGTGTGGACAACTTTGCTAAACTAGCTTTTTTTTAAAGGATCCTCTCTCATGGATTATACGGATTTTCTATGATGGGGTATAATTTCCTAATGTGGGGATATGCCTTCGTGTTTGGGAGATGTAATTTTCACTTCTTTTAGTTCATTCTTGAAAGCCAAACCATTATTGGCATCAAATCTGGGCGATATTTGTATGTAGCATCCATTAAATTTATTCTTTGAGCTTTCTGAACCCTGAGATGATATGGATGATTATCTAGAATGATTTGCTGATCGTAATGTCATTTACTTTTAATGTTTCATTGTTATATATATATATTAGTAATTAATTTATCTTGAGTTAAATTCCTTATTTCATCATTTGCATGCTCAATTAATAAGAAATGGTAATGTTCTTGTTTTTCTATGAAAATGTTTTTATCATCAGATCCCTATTCTCTGGCATTGGTGTTGATTGGATAGACAGACAAAACATATAAATCTTATTTTGTCTAAAAATAAAAATTTTATTTTCTCCTTATCAAATATTATTTATTATATTTATATCAATATTTTGTTTTGTATTTATATTAATATATAATGCCATTATCATTCTTCAAGCATCTTTTTCCCCTTCTCTGCATACTCTTTATTGAGTTCTTCCCAATTTTCCAACACCATTTCAAATTGTTCAAAGATCATTGAATGTGTCAACCTATTTCTAGAAGGTCCAACTTCCATTGAATAGATCTTATGGGATGTATTTGTTTCAATTGTTCTATTCAAATAGACTCCGTAGCTAATGTGATATCATCGTTCATACACATAATGAGGAATCCAAATAACTGCTGCTAAACCAAATGAAAGTCTTGTTTCTCTTCCAATATAATCATCATACAATCCTCTGAACCACCAATGTCGATTTCTTACTGCAATAGCTGCTCCCATTTTTAATTAAATATATTTAATTAAGATTTTATTGAATATATATATATAATATGATTATACATGTTGGGCACAATCAACAAAGATCTCTGACTGTTATTCAATCTGCACAATCCAATAATTAGATATATTAGTTCAATACAAAGAATATAGGAATGAGTAAGGAATTGCGATAGAGTAAATAACAAATTTATTAAGTTTTTAATTATATATTATAAAATGAATACATATGAGGATGAGAAGAACAGAATAGCACTGAAAAACATCATTGATGAAAGAAATAAGAAAATTGTCAAGACTCCATTGCCTCAATTCTATTTGGATTAGGTTTGTGGAATAGCAGACAGGCCAATTAGCAATCAGTTGACATTCATACAAGGAAGTATTGGAAGTTATATTAATTTGTAGATCTAATTGTGTTTTATGCATCTAATATGATAATAGTTCAGAATGTGGAGACAGGATAATAATAATTTATACCAGGAAGATATAAAAATGTGACTGCAATTGCTGCTGCAAGTAGAAAGGATGGTTTAATGATTGCTGTTGGTGAAAACTTAGAATAATCATCGAATTTAGTTATTATAATAAAGGATAAAATAAGAACTATCTCATTGTAATGCAAAGGAGCTATTACATTAATTTAATTGAATGTAGAGAAGTAATATTGTGGATTGCAAATCTCAAATTAAATCTAAATTTGGAATTATGAAAAGGAAAGACTCTTGGCATCAGCCTTCGTTAAAGCACCTTTCGATAAATTTAGTTTTCATCCCTTGAAACATAAACACATTTTGTTATCTGGTCACAATTATTTAAGATTATGGGAAATGTAATTCTAGGAAAAACAAATCAAAGAAACCCATGAGACTCTGATTCCACTGAAAATAGAAAAAGAGAATAAATTCTTAGATCATGGATGGGTTATGCTCTCAGCAAATTAGGCTCTGTTAGTCTTATTAGCAGCTGGCAATAAGATTCTTATTCTAATTAATGATCATTTCAAAAAACCTATTGACATTGATCCTCAAAATCTAAATTTCATTGATGCACCTGTATAAGATTTCAATGCAGAAGATAATGACGATGTGATGGGTATTAACTCTACACTTGAAGATGTAATTAAAGATAAAGTAGGGTAAATTGTAATGAATAATCAAACTAAATTAACTCAAAATACAACAATAATGACTTAACAATAATTGGAATTCTAATGCTTATCAACTACTAAAAAAGGATTCATTTTAGGAGGTACAAAAGGAGCAGTGTGTATTTATGAATTTGATAAAAATTATAACATTGTTAGTGCTATGTCTTTTAATATGAAGAGCAATCGAGGAGAACATAAAGTTATTCAAATTTCTAATAGTGGCGATCAACTCATTTCTATTATCAGTTTATTTGGCAATCAATTGTATTATAGTATTTTGAATACTGCTCAAATGGATACAGAAATTAGTCCCATCTAGCCATTCTTTGCTGCAGGATTTCATAACAAAAGAGTCAATTCTATCTCACATGCTAAAATTAAATAAGTGTTTGTTACTTGTTCAGAAGATAATTCTGTTAAAATTTGGAATTATTATCAAAATGAAAATAATGACAAAAAAGGAGTCTTAAGCAAATATTTCAAAGAAGAACCAGTGTGTGCTTCTATGCATCCATTTGGTCTGTTTGTTGCCGTGGGATTTACAAATGGGTTTAAGGTATTTGCCATTCTGAATGAAGGTTTCTTCCCTCTTAAGGATGTCACCTTAAACAACTGTAAAATTGTTAAGTATAGTCATGGTGGTCATATGCTTATTACAAATGAAAAAACAAATGTATACATTTATGATGCCATTTATTATGAACTCATTCATCAGTTTGAGTTTCATAATTCACCTATTAAAGATATTGCCATATCTCTAAATGATCAATACATAGTTAGTACTTGTACGAGTGGATATGTATATTGTTATAATTTAGCAGAACTAAATAATAATGTTATTAGAGAGTAAAAACATTAAGAATAAGGAATTTTTAATTCAATCTAATATGATGAATATTTTATCGGTTGTACTAATGAGAAATTGATGGTGATTTTTGATAAACATTTCAAATTAATTACTGAATTTCATGTAACTGATTGTTATCTAACCAAATTATTAATGACTGACTAACATATTATCGCAGGTACTTCTAAGGGAACTGTGAGAATATATCCAATTAGAGATGAGGATAATTTAGAATTGGAATTAATCAATTAAAAAAATGAAACTATGTATAAAATACCTGAATGTTATGAAATTTCAGTTCATGCAACTGCTATCACTTGTATTGATTACGATGGTTAATATATATTCACAGGATGTGAGGATGGATCAGTCTGTTTGTTGAGATCCAAAAGTGAGATTTCAGAAGAAAGACAAAGGATGGCGGCTGTCTCAAATGATCTATATCTAGAAGTCATATTTAAGATATAAAAAGAAAACGACAGAATATAATCAAAGAACTTTGAAGTCATCAAATCTGAGTAAACTGTGAGGATTGAAACAGCTAAATTGGAGACTTAATTTAAATAGAAAATTGATCAAATGACTAAGAAATTTTAGTAAACTATGTCTGATGATAAGAATTTAAAGGATAAATTTGTTGAGAAATCAGAATAGGATTATGATCAATTATATAGTTAATATATGGAGGAGAAAGTCAAATATGAAAATGAAATTAATAAACTTAAATAATAACATATCGAAAAAATAGAATATGAGGAATCTAGAAATCAAGAAATTGAAGATGAAATTAAAAAAGTATAAGAACAACATAAGGATGATTTACAATCATTATTAGAATAACACAAATAGGAATTGAAATAAATGAAGTTATAATTCTATGAAAAATGTAGAAAAGTCTAGGTTAAATACTCCAGCGTTGTTGATAATGCTAAAAATTATGGAACTGCATTTATTTAGAGATTAGAAAAGGAAGAAGCCGAATATGAAAAGGAAATTGATGAATAAATCAAAGATTTAGAGAATCAAATTGCAAAAGTCATTTAAGATAATGAGAAATTGGAAAAAGAGAACAGAGAATTAGCATCTCAATTTGAATAATTAAAAAAGGATGATGATGATTTGCAAATTCAATTCAATGAATTATTTGATGAACACAATAAAATAAGACTTGAAAATCTAAAAAATGATGATGACATTTTGAAGATGTAACATCAATTGCTCGAAAGATTATAAGTTATTGATTCAAAAGAGGAAACGTGTAAAGCTGCTAAGGATGAATAAATCAATTTGGAAAATTTCAGATATATGTTGGATCAAAAAATCAAAAGTCTTCAAAATGATAAACAATTATTGCTTGACAAAATTACTGATAAAGAAGTAATATAAAGTTCATTATTTATAGTATAAATTAAGAGTAATGTTCAAAGAATTGATAGATGAATCTAATAAAAATGAAATGAAGTACTAACAATTAGTTTAGTTAAGAGGCTAATTAGAAGTCATTGAAACATAAATAAAAAAAACTGAAATCTAAATCTTCTTAAATGCTAATAAATTGAAAAATTACGAAAGCGTAACAATTCTCATTTATTCATAATTAGACCTTATTATCCATCATGAAAAGCAATGATCCACCCAGTCTCATAGCTTAGAAATTGAGATAAATTATTAATGATAAGGGAGAAGAAAATGAAGAAATCGATTAATTATCATAAAAGAAATCCATTTCCAATAAAGATATTAAGGACATTATAAAATTGAAACAAGACAAACCTAATGAACTAAATGAAGAATTGTTAAGATAAGGTTAGTGGATGACCAAGAAGTTATACCTTATCAAAGTAACCTCAGACAAGCTAAAGAAGATCAGAGATGACAATATCAACACTATTTTCAATTAAAACACAAAACTCATTGAAGAATGCAATATGCTCAGAAGTGAGAATGACAGATATTCTAAAAAGATTAAACATGTTGAAAAATTAGTAAAGGACGCAGACAGATTGCTATAAAGATTAAAACCTAAGTTAAACAAGTAACCTAAGCTAAATCAAATTGAAAAATAAATTGAAGAATAAAAACAAAAGGTTCTAAGTCAGAAAACAAAACTTTCTAATTTAAAGGATTCCATGAGTTAAATCTTGAAAAAATCAGTTGTAGATTGATATTAATCAAAATAATAATTATTAAAAAATAATAAATTCTGGTGACAAGTATATTATTTAATTTTGATTCTATTCAATCTTTAAAATATGTTCTGTTACTCCATTATAAGCTATATTAAAATGTCACAAATTCTGTACTTAATAATTTATGATTAATAATTTACTTTGTTAAGAGTAATTTAATTTGAAAAATTGGCAAATAGTTCATCAAATATTATAAAATACATATTGACGTACTATAAATCACGTATTTAAATATTGGTTATTAGTCTAAAGTATTTTAAGAATTAAATTAGTTCTTTTATTCATTAAATGTCTTAAATCATTCGGAATATTTCAAGCTTAAGAGAAGAATGGAAATAATTGGTGAAAAAAAGGATAAAGAAGAACAAAAGAAGGAACTAATATACTATACCGTATTAATTCAATAACACTCAAAACAAAAATATTAGGAAAGCTGATTTACTTCTGATAGTAAAGAATATTCCCTACACTATACCTAATAAAAATGTATTTAAACTCAAAACAAACATCCAATTCTCTATGAGCATAAATAATGACTACGCTTTAGGTTCGCTTTCAATCGACCCTCATTCGAACAATTATAAAGTAGTTAGAATTGATAAAAGAAAAAACCTTACTATATTAACATTAGATGAGATATATAGACCTATAACACCATCGGATGTTCTGTATTAAATCTTTAAAACCAGAAACGAATAATTAGCAGAAGCATTTCACCTTTATGAATAAAGGAATCTTGAGCCTTCAAAATTTAAATTAAATTAAAATTCAGAAATGATTGAATTTGAATCAACTATCAAAAGTTCTCCATATGCATGTTATATATAAATATATGAGAATGGAATGTGGAGAACATTTTAAAAGATATTTAATTAAAAAATGCTTTAAGTATTAGCAATTTCTGAAGAAATGCTTATAAATTACTGTAATGAAACAAAATTGATTCCGTTGAGCGCATATATGGATGCGTCTGATGAATAACTCAAGGTATTTTAGAAAATTTTCTCTGGAAGAGCTGGATAACTTGAGTCTAAAAGAGACTATATAAATTATAATGGGGATAGATTCACTGCTACTTTGAAGATAAAGAGTTTTTTCATAAAGGATGAAAATAAGGATTAGTTATTTGAGTATACATATTGCGTAACTGATTGCGAAAATAAATGGATTTCTGAAGATAGAGCAAAAAGGAATGAAAGGGAATATTTCAATATCAAACCAAGTAATTCTACGACTGATGAATCATCATATATAGAGTGTTAGAAAAGATGTGGATTCAAGTAAATGATTTGATATTATAAGCAGTTGACGGTTGTTTATTACAATTTATAATTTATTTTAAACTAAATTTAATTTATTTTTAAAGACTTTATTAAAATATATGCATAATTAATTTTCCTTCCATTTAATCAAGTTTATTTTATTTAAAATGTACAATAGGCTTTATTAGTACAAAAATAAATTATATTTCATAAAGAATATTATCAAGATTAGTTGCACAAAATAAAAATTTATAGTCTAAATTCTCATAACTGTTAGAAGATTCTAAATGAGAATACCTTACCAAATGATAATTGATTTATATGTAATAGATTTATAATAATTCATTAATCGTCATTAGCTTCTTCTTCAGGATTATTCCATAAAGTCAAATTGTCTCTTAATAATTACATAATGAGAGTGCAATCTTTATAATTCTCTTCATTCACTGTATCTACTTAAGCAATAGCTTATTCAAATGCATCATTGGCTATTCTTATAGCTTCAGTTGCATTTTATAGGATTTCATAATAAAATACAGATTAATTAAGATGTAAACCCAATCTAATAGGAGATGTAGTTGATAAATTTGACTTTGCCAGGACATCAGCCTCTCTAGAAAGAATAAAGATTCAATTACTTGTAAGCCTGTGTTGCTTATTCAACAGCAGCATGATATTCATTATCTAATAAGAATTCTGCCAAATATCTATTATAATCTCCCTTCATTTTTAAATAAAAGACTTTGCTATCAACTTATTTTGCATTTGGATAGAGAGTGCTATCAATTAAATTGAGTATTTCTGCACATGAATTCTTGAGTTCTCCTTCAATTTTATGTTTGTAATTTCTGATATAATTTAATGTGTATTGGTCAGTTTATTTCCTTGACTCTTTTTGTTCAATTGCAGTGAGAACTCTCAATTCTGCTCTTTTATTCCCCACCTAAAAATTTGAATAAGCAATTTGATGATACCACATTTTTATAAGCTGCAGATAATATGCTTCTTTCTTCTTTGTTTAATTCTTGATCCAAGAAATGCTTAATGAATTCAATCATATCATTAAAGCGTTCTGTTTGTTAAGCAATTTTGGCTAAGAATAAAAATTCTTCTCTGCTAAATTTATTCATTATTAATTTAATATATTCATTTCTAGATTAGTTTCCTATTCCCAAAGTTGTATGTTATCACTCAGCAATTGTAACAAACATTAGTAATCTTTGATATTCTCCTCTTTGACATGGTCCAAAAATAATATTCCTTTTTCAAAAGACTCCTTTGCTAATTCTTTGGCTCCTTCAACATCGGATAGAATATCGCAAATAAATACAGAAGTATTTAGCATTAACCTCAAATACAAAGGCAATGTTGGAGACAATTTTGTTTATGCCATGAGAACGGCTTCTCTAATTCTAAATGATCAATACTTATAAGCTTCTTTTGCTTGATCAATTGAATTGTGTTAATCATTCTCCAAATGGAATTCTGCCAAATACCTATTATAATCGCCAATCATTTTTAAATAGAACACTTTGCTTTCAGTTTATTTTGCATTTTATAATAATTTATCTCTGACCAATATAATTATCTCCTGGCATTTCTACTGCAACTCTTTTTCTATTTTAATTAGATAATTCTTAATATATAGTAAGACTTATCCATCACTCTATCTATTTGATTCTCTTTCTTCAATTTCCTAAAGTACTCTTAACTCTGCTCTTTTAATACCAATCTAATGCTAATTAATGATTTCAATACCACATTATTATAAGCAGATTGGAGAGTATTACGCTCCTCTTTAGTAAGCTCTAATTCATCGATTTATTTAACAAATTCAATCATATCATTAAATCTTTCCGTCTATTAAGCGATCTTAGCTAAAAATAAATACTCTTCCTTATTAAATTAATTCATAAAATAATTTAATATTCTTGATATTTATAATTCTCTCTCATTATATCTCTAATATCGATATAATTGCTACCTTTAAGATTTATTAATCACAGATATTATTAGATATCAATAAAATATCAGTCTATATTTATATTATAATTATATGTCTACTTGGGATAAATATCAAATTTTCATTTTATATTCCCTCATTAAGAGAACTTTAATTGCAAATATTAGATCATTTTATGTTTTTAATAATCTTTATTTCAAATGGTCAAATAAGTTTAAGTGTAGAAGAATAGGAGCATGAAGAATGTAAAAACTGTTATAAGGTAAGCATAAATCAAAATGGAATAATATATTCAATAAATCATAAATGATAATACTATCTTATAATAATTATAGTAATGTAGATTAAGAATATTAAGTAGAATTCATTTGGAGAATTCTTAAGATATAGATATGCTTCTATTTGGTTCGAAATTATATTCTTTTGAGATCAAGATAAGAAGAAGAAAAGCAAATATTGATAATCAATTAGATATATGAAGACATAAATATTGACCAAAATATTATTCTGTTTGAGTTCATGAAAAGATAAAGAAGATGAAATGATTACATAGGAGATGAAAATGCCATACCAATATCAGGATTGTGATATTCTATTAAGATAATAAGATCTATATTCACTGAAGTGGTCTGAAGGTTGAAAGGTAAGAAATTTATCTCACTGAAAATTTCAAATTCTTTAACATTATCAAGTTTAATTGATAATACAGAGATATTCAATAAGTAAATTAATTACATCCAATTGAGTAGTTTCGAGATTAGCTTTGAGTTTCTTATGAGTGATTGTAAAAGAATTTATTTAAAGTTGTTTATATTTAAATTAATATTAAAGAAATGAATTATGATTACATAGGGGCTATTAAAATTAAAGATGGGCTATTTCTAGGAGATTAATTTGCTGCATAGGTATTCTATAATGGTTAGATTAGGATCTTGAATTTATTGTTACTAATAAAGTTTCAAGAATTATTAACTGTGCATCCAAATAAATACCAAATCACTGGGAATCTATTGGGATTATTTATATGTCGTTCCCATGGATGGATAATGATTAATAAGTAAGAAACCATTAAATAAATTATTAGATCATTTTACAATAGGATGAGATAATTAATAATATAATGAAATTTATAGATGATGCATTAAATAATGGGGAGAGTGTTATTGTCTTATCGGTTAAAGGACACAATAGATCAGTGGCAACATTATGCGTTTATTTTATGAAGAAATATAGATGGACCCTTTATAAAACTCTTCAATATATGCATAATAGAAGACCTGATTTAGAAATCAGAGCTCACTTCTTTAATTAGTTATTATCAGTTGAAACAAGATTGTAGAAATAAGGTTATGGCGCTAAGACCTATAACTGGGATGAGATATACACATAAGGCGAGAATGATGAAATTCTACTTAGAAATACTTACTTGAATTCTCAAGCACAAGGAGTAGCTGAATTCAAGGATCATGACCCAAAACCAAAGGAATCTAAGTTTATTGATTATGATATATATTAGATTGAAATTCGCTGAAAAGGTTTCCATGTATATTCCTCCATATGATAAAATAGTATTCTCCAAAACAAGATCTTTGCCATAAGATGCAAAACCAATTATAAAGATGTCAGGCTCATCAAAATAAATTGACCCTTCATTTTAGCAATAAGCTTAAAAATCATAATCTATGAATATATAGGATCAATCCAATTAATAACCTTAAAAAGATTCGCAAAAATCTAGTCTACAATAAATTTAGCCTTAATACCCTTAGAGACCCTAATCATAGGGTGCTCAATAATAAAGGTTAACCAAAAGTGATAGTGGTAAATCTGGATCAGTGTTTGATAATAGTGCTGCTTGTAAATATCATTTATGATGTATGATAGAGCCACAAAGAGTTCAAATGAATAACTTCATGGACTCAAGAGATTAATTTCTATAGAAATCCCAACAACAAAATGGTACTCGTAGACCCTAAACTGCTCCAAATTAATTGAAAGCTCCTCGAGTTCAAACGACTCCATATAAAAGAAACACTAGTTCTGGTCAAAGACAAGAAGCAGGATCATAACCAAATTCTTAATTTAAACCAATGAGATAAAGAGCATAATCTCCAAATTCTACATATAATTCATAAAATCCGTATGTTCAAAGATAATTCAAAGCCAAAGCATGGAAAAAATGAAGCTCTATTTATTCTTATTTTTGTTTGCTCATCAAATAAATTTTGACAAATTATTAATATAAAAATAACCTGTCAATTTCCATTTATTTTGTTATAAAAATAAGTCATAATAGTAAAGAATAAAATAAAAAGAAGAAACTTTCCTTTTTAATTTTTATTGAATCCATCAGTAAAAACTATTGACCTACTTAATGATGATTGGATTATCATTACAAACTAAAACTAATAAATTAATATAATTTGTGAAATTCAATTTCTATTTCGTAATTAAAACCATTTCAATATTTTTATAAATTAATGTTTAATTCATTTAACTGCTGCTATGATATTTCCCTTAAGAAATGCGTTTTTCAAACTCTCTTATGCCTTAATCATTTCAAATGGAATCATATTTAGCATACCTTTCGTTCTCCAAATTTACCTACTCATTTCTTTGTTATAAGGTGTCCAAATGAATAAAAATATGAATACTAGTCCTATGATAAAGACAGAAAATTTAATTTTCTCTATTTATTGTTCAGAATCCACAAAATCTGACATGCCTAAAGAGTATTAAGCATTTAAATAGACGATAGCTTAATCAATATAGTAAACTTATTCAATATAGTTTTTAACCTATTAACTATCCAAAATCTTAATATCTGTGGATATTGTATTGCTGGCCCACAAAGCCAAGGAGGTGATTGAATTTCTCAAACCTCTATCCAAAATACCTCCTGATAGAATAGAACACTGATTTACATCTAATGTAAATTAATCTGTTGAAAATGATTGGAGACATAAGCTTTGTAGGTTGAACTAATTATAGAGAGATATATAGGGATCAAACTTTGATGAGAATGATTACTGTAAAGACTCCAAGCAGAGTCTTTCATTTTCATATAAAGCCTCTATGTATTGTTCTTTATAATTGGTGGCCTACAAGATTTATTCAATAGTAAAATAAATAGAATACTTGAGGTTATAAGCTCTGATAGAACTATATTTCAGATGGTTATATATAATGACAGATTGATCAGTCAATTACTGTTCTAAAGTAATATTAACTATGAAGTAGGCCATAAATATCATCATCATCAGAATAAATTTCATAGATACAGAAAAAGTATTTGAAGCCTTAGAGTTCAATAGTTTCTATTATCGCATAGCTTCTGAGTCTAAAATTTGTTATTCATCATGTTCTTATTGCTATTGTAGTTGCAATTTGTCAATATTCTTATGAGTTGGTAAAGATGAAGGTAAAGGCTATTAATTAGATGATAATGGAGCATCATTTGATGGCTGCGGTTACTCGTTATTAATCTCTACAATCACATTTGATTAATCATTCAAATTCTAATCCTAATTCTTCAATTTCTTTTGCTTTTCTTACAATTTCTCCAATTCTGCTTTTGCTTAAGCTTATTCCTTAATGGTATTTTGCATGTTTGATAGATAAGTATTCTTGAATTATTCACTTCTCTAAGCCAGTTCTTTGATATCCTTTTAAGTCAATAGTCCGAATAAGGACATGACTTTATTATTAATATTGTGAACTTTTAACACAATGGGAATTAAAAAGAATTAGGCAATAACTAAGGATGCTATGGCTAATGATAAGACAGCATAGAAGATTGAATCGTAGTCTCCAATTATGAAAACAAAAAAGTCATAGTAGATTTCAGAGACATCTTAAGATCCTTATCTTAGTAATTGATATCCATTTCTAATGATAAAGAATACATTTTTGACTGTATTTTCGGTCTATTTGATAATATAATTAGATTACACTATTGGAATCAATGAAAGATGATAATGATGCATTTCTTATAATAGAGGCAGATGTAACTAATTAGAATATAGCATCACTTAAGGAACTTGAGTAATTCTATTCTACATTCTCATATAAGTAAGTCACATTGATAGTAGTATCTGAAAATACATTCTTCTTAGCTTCCATATCAATTCGAGACTTTATAAGAGAATATTATATCGACTTAAGCTGATTGACTTATTAACTTAACTAAATAATTGTTACAATAATTTACTTTGTCTCTGAAACTTTGATCATATGTAACATTTCCATAAGCCATCAATTATAAATATCTGGTATAGAATACCACATCAGCCATGACTCCAGTTCTATAGTAGGCCATTGTTATGGCCGAGTGACCATTTAGCAGTTCATCATTTTATTGTAATCGATATCCTAATTGAACTGATGATAAAACAATTAAAATAGTAGATAATAAAATTATTATTCTGTTTAACATAATAATTTTAGAGGCTTCTGATTTCTCACCCATCTGTATTTTGAATTCTTTTATCTATCTAATTTCTTCATTCACAGACAGACCTGATCCTCCACTTACTTCTGACTAAATTACATTCTCTACAACATCTGGTTATTCTTCTTCTAATTTCTTGTCCTCAATTACTTTATTTAACAATTCTTCTTAAGACTCTTCAATAAATTATATAATTTTTATTTTAGCATTGGCATATTCTGAATCTTCAACGAGTAATCCCTTTACTAAAGCACTTTTGTATTTCAAAGACTTGTGATTAATTAATTTTGGGTCTTGTGTAATAGTCTTCTCATTAAACATTGATTTATCATTATTTGCAGTCTTTTCATTTATTTGACTGTATTCCTTTCTCTCGAGCAGTACATTTTATTCATATGGATCTCTTGAAATACCATAAAAAGCAGATTGATCTTCCTGTTATTATATATCATCCAGACTTTCATCCTGTGCAATCTAATAGTTATTTGATAATCCTGTCGTATCAATTGTAAAATTGAAGGCTCCTTGTTTTTTACAGAAATCAAGTAATTCAGGTGCTATGTCAACGATTGGTAGATCTAATTAACCGTTGGCAACACCTGATGGAACTCCGAACTTATCATATACTGTTTCGCTAAATCCTAGTATAGAATGTGATAATTCATCAAACATTAGATAGAAAAACCTATCAGTATTGTCACTTTTCTTTAAAAATCCGACTATTTATAACCCATTCTTTAAATTTGGTAAGACTCTTATCATTAAGGAACATGGAACTAAGAATCCACTTTTATTCAATGCAAATACTTATCTCTCTATTCCTAAGACTTTACTTTAACTTGTTTAAATGAAGTTTCTGATAAAGTCATCATGAACACTTGCCAAAATTCTAGGCATAATTCTTGATACATTTGATCTCATTAGATCAGCTTTTTTATAGCCTAACAATTTTTGTATTTCATTATTGCAATTAGTTATAGCACCTAAATTCTCAATATTAACTGAACATGTGATTATGCAAGTGTCACTATTTTAATCATACTTGAATTTCTCACTATCGATAATTCGATTAATTTCTAGATTCTTACTAATTTGATCTGATTTATCAATTATTCTAGTCCCTTCAATGTCATTATTAACTACATGAGTTAAGAAATTTCCATATATTTCTAATGTCTTTAAATGGATACTATTTATTTTAATCAATTTATCATAAAGTTGTTCTGTCTCATCAATTGATGATGTTATTGATGCTCCCAATTATTGCAATTTACCAATATCAGGAGACTCTTCTTATAATTCTCTCCAATATTCTAAATGCAAGTTCACTGATTTCTCAATTGCTGTTTCGAATTGGATGTAATAGTTTTAAAAGTTTACTATTTATTACACATCTATTTCCTAATTCTTATCCTATTCAATCATCTCCAATTCAATTTGATTCATCACTCTGTAAATACAAAACTCATCCTAGAATTATAGTCTCTATTTTTGGGCTATTGCCAACTCATAAAATGCTTTAAATTTATTTTTTAACTTTTTTTATAATACATACGAACGAATTATTTATATTCTTGTTGTCTGAAGTCTATCAGACGAATTCTATATAAGGGCTTAAACAAAAGCATACCATCTGATTGTCTTGTCTAAGGATTATTTATCATTTGTTTTTTCATCTTAATTTCTTAAAGTATCTTAATGTATTGAGGAACATGGACATTATTCAACAGATTTTAAACAATCTTTTTAATGAAGCTTTACAAACCCTTCTAATTTCATTCGATTAATAGGCTTTTCTCTATTTTCTATCAAGAATATCATCTCTTAAACAGTTTCTTCTAACTATATATCTTTTTTCATATGAGTTATTAATTCAGGGCTTTTATTCAATTTAAAACAACAGTAGACAACAATAGGTGAACATACTACTTCATAAAAGAATCCCATATCATCTACCTCCCCTTGATCTAAATAAGCATGGCAAACTGATACAAAGGATGTCCAAAATAATAAAGAAGTCTAACTCAATTTACTTATGTTAACACTATTTTCAATGAATTACCTTGTCTTTAATCTCATAGTGATCATCATTGCATACATGATACATAAAATTGTTATAAATGGTTTTTCAGCATCTTATTATGGATCCATTACAGCAAAAAATGGCAAATAAATTTTGAATATCAATTCAATCCAATTTAATTTTGTGTATTTAGACGCATAAGGAATTGGAGTGAATGGGCTAAATAATAAGTAAATGATACTTGTAATCCACCAGGAAGATTTCAAAAAATATTAGACAAATTAATAGCAAGACAATTCCCAAAGAAGATAAAATTACCATTATATAATAAAGGATTGAATCGCATTGCATTTATCCTTCACACTTAAAAGCTGCTAAAAATACACTTAAAAATGGCATAACGAAGACGGTAACTAGCATCACCATAAGGAGGTTATATATTCTAATTGAATAAATTGTGAACATTGACTTTTCTGCTAATAATACATAAATGAACAATGCCACTGACAGAGATATATAAAAAAAACCCTAATTTTAGATAATTTATTACAAATATAACAAATACTGAAAATAGTGTTGAATCTATTGTTGTTAAGTATTTCACAGGTTGAAAATATGATATTGCTTCGACAAAGTAAACAAAATAATTTGTCTTAAATAAATATGTTTAATATACAGAATAATATAACTAAGAAACTAATTATTTATCAGTGATACCATCTATAAAAATTCAATGAATAATAAGAACTAATAGGACAGGGTTGTAATAATCTAGGTTTGGTACATCATATCCATTGCTTCGAAAATTTTCTATTTTATCATTCAAATTTAAAATAATATATTTATAATTTAATAATTTTTCATAGCTTTTGAATATGTGAAGCATCATTCTAAGTCACTATTTTGACTTCTCCTTTTGGTAAAATGTATTTTACAATAGTAATTGAGCAATTTAAAGCACTATTATTATAAACAGGTTGTTTTTTATTGATCATATAATTAATCTAATTCATAAATTCCATAATAAACCTTAACATACTATATTATATTTACCCTCCATGAGTAACTAGGAGTACAGTGATGTTATTCTGTTTCAAATCGTTGCATCTTTATATAATTAATTAAAGCATTTATTAGGCTCTATTGTTTACATCGATCCAAGATTCTCCTTAGTCAGGCTTAAATACTCTAATATCAACTCCTTATTCTGCGGCTAGTTTTTTAGGCAATGCTAAACTTTGTCCTTACAAAACACCCAATTATATTATTAATCTGTACCTGCATGTTTTTCTCTCAGAAGAGGTTCAAAATTTGGCATCATTTATTTGCTATGGTGCTTCTGAATCAACTCAAATGTTTATTTTGTTCTTGTTAAATCACTTACATAAACCACATCGAAATTTTCCTTTTTAATTCTTTTCCCCAAAGCTTCTGCTTACTTTACTCCTAAAGCAGATAGTTGTCCATCATCCTATCCTTACAAAATCTATAGTTTGTTTCCTTCAGTTTACCCATGTCTAACCAACCATATTTAAATTGTTTTTTATCCGATTTGTATCATTATTTATTAATTAAGTTAGAATCAGCCTATTGATTAACATAAGCAGGGTGGCGAAGTGGAATCGCGTTGGGCTCATAACTCAAAGGTCGGTGGATCGAAACCACTCTCTGCTATATTTTTTATTTTTTTCAGATATTTATTATATATGTTTATAATTATTAATAAAATAAATTATTATTATTATTAGTATATTAAATACGAATAAAAAATATCATAAATTAAATTAGGATTTAATCTAAATTACTTCTTATTCATTTGTTGCTATCAGAAGATCCACTCGTTCCAAATATTCTAATTCGTCTTGTAACTTTTTAACTATCTAAGAGTGTTTCCTTTCACTTCTTTATAAAAACTTTTGTAATTTTTCTTAAACATTTTCGAACTATTAAGTATTTTATGGTATTCTTGGAATGATGGGCCCTGGTTGGTTTCTCAACTTGTTCCAATTTATCGAATTAAGAAATGGATGCTTCTTTATTTACTCTATTGACTCATGACCTATCCTCTATTTATAATCAGGATTCAACAATTATTTAAGTAGATCGTAAACGCATTCTGAAATTTATGTCTCAGGATCATCCCCAATATCAGGCCATTCTATTCTACCTTCCAATATATTAGAAAATATCTTATCAACAGATTCATCATTAAATGGTGGTATTCCAACCAAAAACTCAAATAAAATGACTCCTAAAGACCAGTAGTCCAAAGTTTTATTGGAAAAAGAGGTTCCTTTGATTATTTCTGGAGCTATGTAATCAGGAGTTCCAACGACTTTCCTTCTTTCCTCTTCTGATCCTTTTTCGTATTAACTGTTGGTCGATCTGGATTTCTTAAATGAAGCTCCTCTTTAAATTATATAACCAGGAGAGGATGATAAATCCTACTTCATCATATCTCTTTGACTAGTTTTTCTCTTCACCATCATTTTATTAAACCCTATTTCACTCAATCCAAAGTCAGCTAATTTGATATGACCATTTTAATCTAAGAGTATATTTTCTGGCTTTAAATCTCTATGAACTATGTTATTGCTATGAAGATATTCAAGAGCTAGCAGAATTTCAGCAAAATAATGTCTTGCTATGTTTTCATCGAACGCCTAGACTATTTATTAATTTAAATACCCCTTCAATCATCAATATTTTAGCAAAGTCCCCTCCAACCATAAATTCTTAAACAAAACACAATGAAGATTGGTGTTGAAATGAATAAAATGCCTTAGCAACATATTCCCCAGTCAAAATTTCAAATATGTTTCTCTCTTACTTTAATTATGTCAATAATCTCTCAAAAGGTCGATTCGAACAATTTATTATCTTTAGAGCATATTAATCTCCTGTTGCTATCCTTTTCACCTAGAAAACTCCTCCATATGCACCTTATCCTATTTGTCTTATAAACTAGAAATCCTTTAAACAAATGTTCCTTTCTTAATTTTTATTCTCGGCATCTAACTTAATTATTTCAGTATCTGAAAAATACCCTTTTTCAGATGCAAAAAAACAATCTTATTCAAATTCTATCTATTTTGTAGATTCAAGTGTCTCCATTTATAAGTCAGAATTTTCAATACTTATATCTAAATCACTCTCAGAACTCGCAGTCTGAGCAAAACAACTTTTCTTCTTTGTTTAAAAATTATTTAATTATTCCTCCTCAAGATCATTATTTTGTATTGATTTTATAGACTATTGTTGTTATAAGAACTGACTGATTTTTCCACTCTTCTTTAATTTCCCCATTATTGATACTGACGATTTGGCATGAGTTGTTTATTTTAATCCTATCATAGACCCAGATTAATCTGAATTCAATGTAAAACTTATTGATAGCTATTCATTTACTTCAAACTTAAATAATCAGAAAAAGAATTTAATTTATTTGTATCTGGAATGCCTCTTGGACTATCCTATCTAAATTTACTTACTCTAAATGAAATGCTTCCAAAATTTTACATCTTGGCTATTTATATAGTATTACATATGTATTTACATTTATAACAATAGTCTAATCTTTAATTGATCAGTCTATTCATTTACTCTATCAAATCTAGTATGCTCTGATCTTCAATACTCTATTATGCTGCCATTATTTCATTTTGAGTTATCAAATGATCTAAATCTTTAATAGAATTCATACATTTTGCATCTAACTCCTGATTGGCTACTTTCTCCCCATAACTAATCAATAGTTTTAACACTCTCTATTCTTAATATACCTATCTTGTATCTTCGCTCTATTTAATCCCTTGCCATTTTCTGAGTTTCATCTCATTCATACTAGTTACATAATCCTAAAACTTATACAATTTTAATCCTTATTTAAGATGAATTTAATGTTTTTTCATATATGCTTTTTCACATAAGCGAGCCACCTGCAAATTTATTTAAACTTATTTTTTTCGATATTCAGCATTATTTTTGCAATTTTAATTGTGGATATCCATTAAATTGATGTTTATTCTTTCATTACAAATTCTGCATATAATTGAGAATTCCATTATAATTTATTATAATAAAATATTTGTATTTTATAAATATTATATTCACCTATCCTTTTTGTAAATCAATCTATTTTATATCATCTCTTTCTATAAAAATTGCTATAACCACTCAAATAATAATATATATTAGTTATGCTAGATATATATATATTTATGTGAATAAACTCATAAAGCAGTTACTTTTCTTTAATTCCTAAGATTTACAATATATTTAATAAAGTAAATTTATATATTATGGTCTTTTTATAACAAGATCCCATCAATTATATATCAAATAATGATGAATGGCAATAAGATCACTTTACCAGTATAAGAGTAATTAATGTGATTATTATATATATAATAAATCTAGAGTTCTAAAAATATACATTGAATCAGAATAGAAATCTGTCTCTATAATCTAATCAATATGCCGATAGTTTAACAGAATTCTCGAGTCGATATAATATTAACTTATATAAGGGTTTAGAATTTTGATATTCTTATAAATATGTTAATTTAAAGAGACGATAAATCAGAATTCCTTATTCCTCTCCTTGATATTAGGCACTTCATCCATTAAGGAATTAGATGATTCTTTGGGGGTTTCATATTTATCGTCTTAATCTTGTGCTTCAAATAGATCAAGGTTCTTAATTCCTGAAAATTTCTTAACCTGAATTTATGTTAATGGAGATCCATTATCCAATTATGAAATGATAGCATCAAATTCAAATTTTGATTATACTCTTAAGTTATTGAAATTTCTATTCATTTATTTGTAATGAATTCTATAATTAATATTTTTGAATTAAGAAGTTTAAACACACTTATAATTATTATAAACTCGTATAATTATATTGTGAATATTTTATATTAACATTAAGTAATATCAGCTAAATTAAATTACTTTAAACTCTTATATAGGATTTTTATAATTGTAGAACACTGAAGTATAATGTAATAAATTATATTTAATTTCTAAGTCTGATTCTTCCATTTCGTATAATTATTATTCTGATTGTATTGGAATTATTGAAGATTCTTTTAATTATTGACTTTTTTGATGTTTCTTACCAAAAATGCTTTTTGAGCTTTTCTATCTAAATTGAGAAACTTTTGAAACTTTAGTTTATTCATAACTAATTGAGTAGTCCACAAAAATGCTTTTTTGATTCGAAACTTGTTTTATAGAGTTTGAACGCTCGTCGCTGGATTCCTTTTAACCAAATGTGTTCTAATTATTTTTACTTGAAATCTTCCCATAGCTTTCCCTTTTTATATTGGAAATGGATTGAAATTGTTTTTTATTTTTATTATTAAATGAACTTTTACTAATTTGAATATTGTTTAAAGATCGTAAAGATTTAGAGGATTTTAATTTTAATTCTTAAAATTCCTTCTTATTCCAATCAAAGATCAAACAATTACCTATTTGATTTTGATTTTCAATTACAAATAAGTTTTTCAATGATTAATAATCAGGTTTCTATTTATGCTATAATTATTTCACATATTTCATGTATCTAAATATTAAAAGGAGTACTTTAATATTGCCGATGGTAAGCCTTTACATAATGTTTCTAAAGTAATTTCTTACTTCATTTAACCTATCTTTTCAATTCTGAATACATCTTCTTTATCTATATTTGTCCAAGGCAATGTTTGATTAATGAAGAAAATAAGAATATAACCCAATGATTCTAAATCATCTTTTTTATTCTATTCAACTCCCAAATGAGCAGCCAAACTAGCATATCTGGTAGTCCCAATAAAGGATAGTTTATCCTTAGATTTTTTATTTTACTCCAAATCTTTGGCAATTCCAAAATCAATCAAGTATATTTTAGAAGAATCAGGTGATCCTAAAATATTTTCTGGTTTCAAATCTCTATGAATGATATTTCTTATAATATATAGATTTAATTCTTACTTCTTATGGATGAGCTCCAAAATTTCAATCATTTAGATGGCTACATTGCATACACACTAATAAGAGAAATGCTTAAATTTATGAAAATAATAGATTAAATCTTTCCCCAGCATATTTAGAATTATAACATCCATTCCTTTATAGTAACCATTCCAATAAACACTTGGAATTTAGTCAATTCCTTCTAATTATTTCAATATTGTAACCTAAGTTGTATTTAATAAGAAGCACTAGTTACTTCTTTCTATAAACTATTCAGATGAGCAACTTCATTTTTTTCAACTTTAATTGCGACCTCAATCTTTTATGATAGTGATCTTCCCAAATAAACCTTTCCAAAAGATCCTTGTGATAATAAATTGATTATTTCATATTCTTCAGCAATTATATCTCCTTTTTTAATTTCTTCCATTCAAATTTAATTAATTATTAAACTAATCAACTTATCTAATTTTTGATAAGGGATAAATCACTTATTTTATATAAATACAAAGACATATGAAATTGATTAATACAAAGAATTAGTAATCAAAAATAATTACGAAAATCATCTCATTGTTTCGATAGATGTTCTTTAAAATGAACTTTTATCATTCCAACTTTTCTTTGTTCTTAATATATCTATTCTTCATCATCATTTAATTCGTCATCAAAATTATCAAAATCATCAAACTCTGAAAAATTTATTGGACTTTTCTTTTTTTTGTTTTCTTGTTCATCGAAATCTCTAAATTCTCGATTTTAGAAAAATACTCCTTGAAATTTCTATGCCTTCGGTTATTTTACTAATGAAGACTCTCTGGAATAAGATTATTTTGAATTTTATCGAGATCTCGAAAAATTTACATTATTTCTATTAGATACAATTGAAGGAGCATAATTGAGAACAACTGAAGATTATTACGAAGTTTAATCTATTTGATAAGATTTACGTTTTTCACTCTTTTTTAGCTTAAGGTAATCACCTTAGATATTTGAAATATCAATTTCATTAGAAGATTACTAAGCTTAATCTGAAGATTTAGTAGAAGTAGTTTGATTGTCCATCCAATCAAATTTTCTATCAAAATTAAAGTTATTCTATTGAGCTATTCTTTTAAATAAACCTTGTAAATATTAATAATCTGGAGTAGATGCAAATTTCAATTTGTAAACGTAATCCATATATTTTTAAAATTCATTAGGCAATCCTTTGCATAAATCCTTTAATTCAAGTTCCATTTTTAATTTACCTACTAACTTAGTTTTCTCTTTATCAGAAGTGGATGTGATATTTTACCATGGTAGATTCCCTAATTTCATACATATTATTTAATTTACCTCTGAGCAAATATATAAAAACATATCCTAAACTTTCTAAGTCATCCTTTCTTGATAATTCATAACCCTTATGAGCAGAAATGCTAGCATATCGAGTTGTGCCTATGAAAGGTTTGTTTTCTTGGAATGGACTAGATAAATAAAAAAAATATACATATGCTAATTGTTATTTCGAAATTTCTTAGATATTCCAAAATCAACCATGTAAACTTATTAAGAATCGTTTCCTCTTCCCATTAAGATGTTTTCTGGTTTTATGTCTCTATGGATGACACCCCTTTAAATATTTTTATATGGTACCTTTTATGAATCTCTTCTAGAATAGTAAGTAATTATTCAGCTAGGTTGCATACTGTTTTTAATGAGAGTTTCTTAAATTTCTTTTAAAAATGAGATAAGTCTCTTCCAAGCAATTGCATTGCCATACAATTTTAATTATACTCATTTCCATACCAATATAACTTTGGAACACCTTGATGTATTTAAATTTATTAATACCTGTTATTCCTCGAAGTTCCTCTATGATTTAAATTTCTCGTTCTAAACTCATTAAATCTTTATTTTCCTTTTCCACTTTTATGGCAACATAATCTCTAGTAACTTTATCATGGCAAATATAAACTACTCCAAATGACCCTAAAAAATTTATTCTCTTCATACCTTGGCTTAATTTATCCCTCTGGACAAACCTGCCATAATATATCCTGCCTTTGTCCTGCTACATTGATTACAATAAATATTAAATATATTAAAATTTCCCTAAAGTTAATATTTAGAAGATTTTAAGATTAATTCTAAAGAGAATGCGAAAACATTATTTATCAGAGACTTTTTCGTAGTATTTAAGTAAAGACTTGTCAAAATTAACCTTTAATCCATAGATGAATTCTTGGATCACTATCTCTAGGTATATTAATATTTTAATCAATAAAAACTGCATATTTTTACTTTCTAAAATTTATCGTTTAGTTGTTTGAAATTTTTATAGATTCATTCTTTTTTATTTGGATAATGTAATTACTATAATATATAAAATAGCTTCAAAAACAAGGCTCAACCTATTTTATTAGTTAAGATGGGATCAATATTTTCTTTTTATTTGGCTTTTTTTAAACCATCTAATTCAGTTTTAACTACCATTAATTATTCTTAACTAATGTGGTATTGTTTATTAATTGATAAGAACTTATTTTTCCAAATGTCAATCTCTTCTAAGTATTTCTTATGATTCTCTTCGCATGATCTCGAAGTTTGATTCTCAAGTTCGGTTAATTTTTATTTTAAAATTTTATTTAATCTTTCAACCTCCATAACCAAAGTTGCATTCTTCTTTTCAAGATCTCTAATAATCAATTTTTACTCATTCTTAATCTACTTATTACAGTTACAATCCTTCTACATACTCAATTCTCTAATCATAAGATCTTTTTGTCTAAAATTATTTAGTTAATAACTTACTCTATAATAATTTGTAACTTTTAGATTTAGGCTTTTTACTCATTTTAAACAGATGATTTAATCATCTAAGAGAGTTGAACATCTTATTTTTACAATTAATCTAGATAATACGTTTCTATTGCTTATTTCTCCTTTATAGCACTTTGTTTTTCTTCTTTAAGATTTTAGCATATCAAATTTGTTTGGTTCAACTGTTATTGCAATATCGTAATTTATTAATTTAGCTACTTACAAATTTATATTTGGCTTTCTAATTCAATTTACAGAGTTTTTATTTGCTATTAATGCTCTTCTGATGTAGGAACTATTGATTATTTATCTAATAATAATTAGTTTTCTTTGTTTAAACGCTATATTTAACTTTGATAAGAATCTATCAGTTATTTCATGCTTTCAATTTCTTATTCTTTTTCTTTTTTATAGAAAATGAATTCCTTTTAAACTAATTCAAATTTATTTTCTAATATTTAAATAAATTCATTAGCATTTTGTTATTAACTATTTTACAAGATATGTTCTCTCTATTTTACAATTTCCTCTTAATATCTCTTTATCTCGCTTTATTAAAATCTTTATGGATAATAATCACTTTTACTTAATTTCCTTGTCCTGTAGGAATTCTTTTTCACTTCTCATTTCCTTCTCAAGATTGTTCTTTTTCTAAATTTACTCTATACTTTCTTGCAATACAATAATCTGTTATTTTTATGTATCATAATTGTCTTATAAATAATTGTACTGCTCCTCCAATCTCTGAACTTATTGCTAATAAATGAGAGAATCCTTTTTCTCAATTTGGAGTTTGAATTCTAAATTCTCTATAACTTATTATTATTATTTATTCTTCAATCTCTGCTCATTCAACTCAATGCAAATTTAACTCTACTGTTCTAATCTATCAAATTGGATATGTCTACCTTTAGCTTCCAATAATTCAGTCTCGTAGACTTTCAACTTCTACTTATATAAATCTCTATCGAATTCTCTGCTGATTTATCTAAGAGGCTCTTCCATTGTAGTAGCAAATGAAACTGCTCTTGTCTATGGAGATGGTTTGTTGTTAGTATAGAATTTTTCTTAACTTTATCTCAATGACCTTGAAGGTTTGTACATAGATTTTTATCAGTTAAATTAAATATTGTAAAATTTATCCATCTTTTATCAATGAAAAATAATCAACCCATGCGAAGAGAGACTCGTCCTACTTCAATTAGTAAATTATTATTGAATAGTTGAGTAGATCATCGTTCTTGTTTTCAAATATTATATAATAATAATTCCAATTTTATATAATTTATTTACGGTGAGGAATAATGTCAAAAGACTTTTCAGAGTATTTGAAAGGAATGAAGAAAGAAGAAACAACTAGCAATATTGATTTAAAGGAGTTAGAAAGTGTGTTTGATCAGAAGAAATATGAAGTTAAATGGTGGTAGATTGTAATAGGAAATTCATTCACAACCACAGCCTTGGGGTAAGAGATTGACATTTAATAAGATAAGAATATTGACATAGCCTTTGCAAGTTATACATACTACATTTTAACTATCAATTAAAAGAACGGATTTTTAAGTGAACAATCTTAAGGACATCATGGAGGCAAAAATCACTTTGGGACAATAAAAGAAACTAGAATAGATATTGAAATATAAAATTGTTAATTACCAAGGCGCATCCTATCAAAACTATAATGCTGTTTTCAAAGGACTAGGTGAACAAGGAGTTTTAGGATTTTTTAAAGGGTTAGGAACAGGAATCTTCTATTAGATCACAAATTCTTAGTTGAGATACTTCTTAATCTAGAAGTACTTCAACGAATAGAAGTTGATCCAAAATTTGTATGCTTCCTTTATTGGGATGGCTGTTGACGTGCTCACAAATCCATTAATGCTTATATAATCCAAGATGATACACCAAAATAGATTACCAAATTTTAGAACATATAGATCTATTTATGATGTATTAAAGAAAGAGAGAAATCTGTATAAGGGTGCATTGGGACATATTTATAAGCACATCTTTATCTGTTTATCATAGATGCCTTCAATCTACATAAATGATTCAAGGTTATGTTTAAGCTATTTGTTGATGATTCAATAAGTAGTATCGTACCCATTTCTAACAGTGATCAGGAGATTGCATTGTTAAGGGTCGTAGCCATTTATGTTACAGACCAATTATAAAGGATTTTGGGATGGAGCAAAATAGATATATTAGCAGGAAGGGATTTTGACGTTTTACAGAGGGTTTGCTGCTTTTGGAATTGCAAACTCATTTATGGCTTTTGTATTGTATTCAACATAGCTTTTGGGAGAAAGTTAAGAATGAAACATTATAATTTATTTTTGTGTGTAATTTACGGTATTTTAATTAAAGATTTGTGTACCTAATTAAATTAATTATGAATACATCATATGCAAATATTTGAATTCTTAAGACATTTAATGCAGATATTTTATATCATTTTTAAATTAAAATATAAAAAATGGAAGAAAGTGAGACATAACAAAATGTGAAGGTACAAGAATAAGGCAAATTGTACAGTGCTAATGAGATTGAAAATTTCAATTAGTATTTAAGCGCAATTTGTTTGAGTTTATTGATCATCGATAAGGATTAATGGAATGTAGCTTGTCATGAGGATGTCAATTAATAAGTATGAAATTGTCATAATCGAATAGAATATTTGTTAATTTTTATCGGATTCCTAAATAAAGGCTCTGATAGTTAGTAAGACTGTGGAGAATGAGAAATTCAATATTTAAATTCGCTCAGAATATGAGGCATCCAACAATTATGCTCACACAATTTGCTTTTTAAAGAGACACACCTTTCAATATGACAATTAATTACAACCATAGTAATTTAGTAACCATGTTTAAGTGATAAACGTTGGGTATGCAGAATCACAAGGAGGAGCTAATCCCTTCACTTTGTCACACAACTACGTATAAAATTGTTTCATTCCGATCTTCACCCAATACAAGGGTGAAATTGATAAGAAGAGGATTGTAGATCAATCAAGCTATAATGATTTGATTAAGAAGCTGAATGAAGTTAATTTGGCATTCATAAAATGCAGATAGAATGTGGAAGTGCCTGAAATCATTTTACAATTTGATCCTCGTATCAAGGAAGCAGTCAAATAGAGAGGAGGCAAGCCAACAATAGAAGATGCGGCTCAATTGAATAAGCCTGACATAGTTTAATCGATCTCTCAGACAGTGACAAGATGGATTTCAGACATCAATTAAATATCAAACACAAAGTTGGAATTGACTAATGCAAGTATAGTGGATGAAATAAACTATTGGATGAGTATGGAGAGGTCATTGTTTTTTATTGAGAATCAATTGAAACAGCCTGAAGTTGATTTCACAATTGAAGTGTTGACTCAAGCTAAGAAGATGAACATCACAGCACAATTCAAAGAGATTGCCTTGAAATAGAGCTTGTAGAAGTGTCAATCGTGCAATTAATTCATGAAGGAATTCCCAATCAACAACCTATTGATAGCAACGAACTTGGTGGAAATAAAAGATGCTATGATCTAGATATTCTAACATATGAAGAAATTGTCGAACATTCAAGAGACATACACCATTCCTAGATCACTTCAATTAGCAGAATCCTTTTCAAGAGAATTGACAAATGAAATGATCAAATACTTTAAGGGATTTTAGATACTCCACATTAAGTATGTTGACTTCAAGGGGTTAATCATCAAGACTCAGGAGATCTTCAGTCAATGGGATGAGGAATATAAGATATTCAAATAGAGTATTGTCAAGAAATCAGTGCATCAGAAGGATCAATATGGTTAATTTGAGCACATCAAATTGCAAAAGCAGATCCAACATATTTAGAGACTTAGAGAAATGCATGAGAATCTCAAAGAAGTTATTGAGTAGATCATTTAAAATGATTAAGAAGAGTAGAAGGAGAATGTTCAATAGTTTGCCACCTTACAAGAAATTCAATAGGCATATGACATTTTCAAAAATGTAGAAGTGTTTGATTTGAGCAGAGATGGTGAAGATTAGTTTTTCAGAGCATTAAAGCAATACGAAATAGCTATTGAATCAGTTGAAGCAACTATTACTACAAATTTGAGAGATTCACTTGGTTCAGCTTCGTCTGCCAAAGAAATGTTTAGAATATTGGCTAAATTCAATAAGTTGTTTTCAAGACCTAGAATTAAGGGAGCCATCCAAGAGTATCAATCACAATTGTTAAAAACTGTCCACAAGGATATTCAATCCTTACAGAATAAGTTCAAGGAGACTTATTAAAAGAGTCAGAACTCGAGATTGGCATCAGCAAGAGATATTCCATTGACTTCAGGATTTGTTATCTGGTCCAAATAATTGCAAATTAGATTGTAGAAATATATGCAAAAGGTAGAATAGATCTTAGGTCCTCAATGGGCAGAAGATACTGATGGTAAGAAATGTAAAGAAATGGGTGAGACATTTGAAAGGATTCTGGATTCAGGACCAGCCTTAGAAGAGTGGAAACAAGAAATTAATCAACATAATAAGGCAGTCAGTCAAAATGAAAAGTTATTTGAAGTTGTTACAAGAAGGAGAGGATTAGAAATTAGAGTCAATTATGAGAAAAAGCTAAGCTAATTATTCAAAGAAGTGAGAAATCTAAGTAATATGAAAACAAAGGTCCCTTATTCAATATCTCACATTGCCAATGATGCTAAGGCTTCTTATCCATTTGCCTTATCTTTACAAGAATCATTGCACACTTACATCTAGATTACATCCCAATTGAATGCCAAATCTGCTAAATTGGTAGCCGCTTTAAGAAAGGAAGTTTAACTTTAGATCGGCTAAGGATTCAACTACCTATGGACTCACAAGACCTAGTTACAGCCATACGTGAAGAAATTCACTGACAAGGTCTTTGAATTAGAGTAAGCTGTTAATGGATTGAATGAGAGAATTGGATAAATCGAATCATTATGTGAAGCTATGAAGACTTGTCCAGTGGATTCTTTGTCTGATAAATTAAAGGATATTCAAGAAGTTATAGATTCACTATGCTTCAATAATTTCTCAAATTTACATATTTGGATCTAAGATATTGATAAATAAATCGAAAGTATTTTATGTGATAGAGTGACTGTGTAAATGAAGGAATGGTTGAATTAATTCATCAATTATCAGAAAATTCAAGAAAGAGGACTTGTAAATTAAACAGTTGTGCATGAATTAAAACTACAAGATCAGATTATTTATGTGGACCCTCCGGTTGAATATGCTAAGTACTTCTGGTTCTAGGAGTTCCATAAAATGATTGGTTAAATTTGCAGCTTACCCAGATTAGTTGCCAATAGATTCGACAATACAATATAATAAAATACTGGTCCATGGGGTACTTAAAGAGACTTAGACTATTCAACTACTATAAATAAGATAAATCAGCAGTTGATAAAGGATGCTTATTCACAAATTGGGTAATTATTGGAAGACATGGAATAATACGTGTAGACTTGGTTAAATTATCAATCTTTGTGGGAATTGGATATTAAATAGGTTGAATAAATACTACAAGATGATATTGAAAAGTGGTAATAGATGTTAACAGATATCAAATAAGGAAGAGCTACATTCGACAATTCAACAACAGAGGAACATTTTGGAGCAATTATAATTGATTATCGAATGGTCTAAGTAAAGATTAATCATAAGTATGATGCTTGGCATAAAGAGTTATTAAATCATTTTGGTAATAAGTTTGGAGAGTAGTTGAGAGTGTTTAATAAGAATGTTACAACAGAAAAGGAGAAACTACTCAAAATCAATTTCTAAGATCTGACATCTGACATCATCGAATCCATTACTATTATCTAAGAGTAGGATAAGAAGTTCCCAGGGTGGTCGGCTGATATAGAATCCTTTAAGAATGGCCAAAAGGTTTTGGATAGATAAAGATATCAATATCCAGGAGATTGGTTGAGTTTTGAATAGGTAGAGATGCAATGGAATCAATTTAAGTAGATTCGTAGTAAGAAACTACAGCAACAAGAGAATGAGATGAATAATATTCAGTCTAAGATTCAATAGGATGAGAGATATTTGAATTAATAAATCCAAGAGATTGAAGAACAATGGAAGTCATCTAAACCTGATTCAGGAGATTGCTCTCCAAATGAGGCTGAATAGATACTCAAAAGTTTGAATGAACAACTGTTATCAGTTCAAGAGAAGTATGAGAAGTGCAGTTAAGCAAAGGAGATTCTGAAAATGGATCCACCCACTCATTAATAGAAATTAAATGTACTATTGGAATCAATTTCAGATCTCTAGGATGTTTGGTAGGAATTGGGCAAGATTTGGAAGGTGATGCAATCGATTAAGGAATAATTGATATCAGCTTTATAGAATAAGAAGATCAAGGATACATGTGACGAGGCTTAGAAACAATTGAATGGAGTATCCACTAAGACAAGGAATTATGATGCATTTGAAAAAATGAAGGAGAAGGTAAAAAATTACATTAAGATGAATAAACTTATTATGGATTTGAAGGATGAATCAATGAAGGAGAGACATTGGAGACAATTATTGTCAAAATTAAAAATCAATGAATCTTTAAATTAGTTGTAAATGCAACATTTATGGAATGCTAATCTTTTGAATTATGAGAATCTAGCTAAGGACATAATGACAGTTGCAAGAGGAGAATAGGTGTTAGAGACAATGATTTCATAAGTGAAAGATTTCTGGAATTCATTTGAATTAGAATTAGTGAAATATTAAACTAAGTGTAAATTGATCAAAGGTTGGGATGAGTTGTTTTAGAAATTAGAAGAGGATCTTAATAACTTGGCATCAATGAAGATTTCTCCTTTCTATAAAACCTTCGAGGCAGAAATCTCTTAATGGGATGATAAGTTGCAGAAAGTGAAATTGACTATGGATATTTGGATTGATGTTCAGAGAAGATGGGTTTATTTGGAAGGTATCTTCTTTGGTTCCTCTGATATCAAAACATAATTGCAAAATGAATACAATAAATTCAAAGATATTGACAGTCAATTCACTAATTTGATGAAGAAAGTGGCTCAAAAACCATAATTGATGGACGTCTAAGGAATCCCCAATTTGGCTAAGACCTTAGAAAGATTAAGTGATTTCCTGTAGAAAATCCAAAAGGCATTGGGTGATTACTTGGAGACTTAGAGATAAGCATTCGCTAGGTTTTATTTTGTGGGAGATGATGATCTTTTGGATATCATCGGTAATTCAAAAGACGTGACAAATGTGTAAAGACACTTCCCTAAGATGTATGCAGGAATAGTGCAATTGTAGAGT